TCAACATTCCCAAGTAAGTTATGGGCTTGTCAGGTAATAGGAAACGCTTAAGATAACGATCATCATGAAAGGACACGTTGTAATAGTTCTCGCAACGTCAGATGCAGAAGAAAGAAAGATGTCCAACTCACAGTTCCACATTAACAGATCATGCACCATAGAATGATCTGCAGCGCTTGTTAGGTAGCATGGCAGAGATTGGGCGCCAAGATAACATAGAGCGCAAAACATTGGCGACGCAAAAGCAGAGCAAGGAGAAGGCGACTCCTGTCGAGTCCGCAATCCAGAGACCTTGGCAACACCACCTCCGCGGAAATATTGCATTTGCACTTCCGATCAAGGCTTGGCCGGCATGTTGTCCAACCCTCCCATGCCTCACCCCAATGATTATGGATAGCCGGCGGGGGATTGGTGACTCAAACGACGTCAATTAGGTGTAGCCTTGGGAATCGGGCTGTGCCACACTGGTTTCAGGTGGGGAACGAGAACTAAGCCTCGCCAATTCTGTTGCGCAAGTTGCACAAACATGCTGTGCGAGTTAGCGTCTGACTCTCGTTTGCCAGTACCAGGATGTAGGAATGTAGATATGGGCAATGAACATGTTTGAAGGGGAGAAAGCAAGTTCAGGAAAGAGGAAAGCAAGGTGGAGCATATTAAGCCATGTAAGAGCCATGGAGGGGCTTGGCTTGAACGATCGACTCGATCGTCATGCTTGGCTCGTCAGAGACTAGCGCGGAATAATGTCGGTGAAGGCAATGCTACTCCATGGAGATTCAAAGGCAGAGAAACAGAGGGTCCCGCACTAGACTAGTTAACTAGTTGACTAGATCAAGGAGGTGGAATGCTTGTAATAAAGAACACCGAATTGATCTTATGTCTGGTATGCAAGGGACACGGACCTCGTCAGGTGACAGCGTGTGTTGGAGTTCTCATTATGTAATGGCGCGTCTCCCCCGCATCCTCAGCGCAAATGGCGTTGGAGGTGCATTCGACGTGCATTGGATGAACAGGGATGAGGGGGTTTGTTAGGTAACTAGAACTCCGATGTCTGGGGAACTGTGAGCGGATGCATCGGATTTGCAATGATCGGCTGACCAGGTAACAAAGTACAAGTATTAAGCAACTGGATGGATGCAGCTGGGAACCTTGGAGAACATCTCGGAGGCGCTAAAAAGGTTTCGGATTATGTCATAGAATTGGAGTGTGTCTTGAATTTTACGAGCACTTCCTAACTACTCTGTAGATGGGCTGATTAGAAGCTAAGAATTATTTAACAATTACTCGTATTCGACAGACTTTCAATGTTATTTGTTGTCTGTCAAGTCTGGATCCGGCGAGTCCCATACTTTCCGCATGCATATAAAAAAAAGAATGGAACAAAGCCGCTCCAAAGAAAAAAGCAATCTGCAGGGGTAGCTTGGGGGACTAAACTAAAACTGAAAGGAGAGTCAGGATCAGGCTAGGATACTATAGTTGTATATAGTGTAGTGTACAATAATGAATCCAAATAAAATAAAATAAAATAAAATAACATCCGAACATAGGATCAACAGCTCAGATCCGCCACCTCAAGATTTAAAAAAAAAAAAAGTTCGCCCCATGTGGCTATGATCCCGTGCCTCTACTTCTCTACCTCTGACTCTTCAACTTCTACAAACCTCCAATCCTAAACCTCTGAAGCCAAACCAACTCCGATCGGAAGCTTAGCCGTGCAACAGCGGACCACGGGCATTCCGTGACTAACAGCTTCTCAATTTTTCCTCCCCCCGCCCCTCTACAAGCCCTAACACCCGTTATTCCACGGTGTTAATTCTCTTTCGATTGACCGGGCTCACTTTTCGCTCTTTTCTCTTCTCTGGAATCTGGGGAAGCTTTTTTTCTTTCTTAATTTCGGTAGAATTTTTTTTTTCTGTGGTCCACTCCAAGGTACCGACTAGTCCACTCTGTAGGGCCCTTTATAGAGGGCCTTACCCTCACCTCAACATGGCTTCCGTTACTTCCCCTTCGCACTCCAAGCCTCCTTTCCCACACCTCACTTCTATTCCTTGTGGTGACCACCATTACCACTCTCGCGACTCGTCTCCCTCGTCCTGCGGCACTCCCGACGGGTCCAGGTCCAGCAGCCAGCGCCGCACATCTTTCGGCTCGATCAAAGAAGACGTTGAAGACGGTACGTATAGCCATGTGCGAAATCAGACCAAAGACTGACGTGATTTGTGGGATTAGGAATTGCGCAATCGTTCGTGGACAGCCACCAAGCCCCATCTCCCCAAGAGCCCAAGGCCGAGCGCAAGGTCGAGCGTCCCGGCTTTGAGATGCAACAGGCCCCGGATTTCTGCTGCCCGTGTGGTGGATTCCTGGGGTGGAAGCAAATTCGACTGGGCGGTAAGAGCCTCAGCCGCAGCTACAGTGATCTCCGCGGATTAGGCCAGTTGCAGGCAAAGGGCTGGGCATGGGAATCGCATGATCATGACCACAAGCCGCAGGACCTAGCTCCTCCCAAGGAGCCTAAGGTAGTCGAGCTGCAGACCCCTCCTGGTACTTCACCTCTGGAAAGGCTCCCTCCAGAAGTCCTCGGTGAGTTGAGCTTCCCCATTCAGACCTTTTATATACTGACTTGTCTAGATCAAATCATCTCTAACCTGGCGCTGGATCTCCCACCCAATGGCTACACACCTCGCAACGTCGATTTGGTGTCATGCCTTCTCACTTCGCATACACTGCACGCGGCTACTCTCGGCGTGTTGTACAGGAACATGACTTTCCCGCACTCGATCATCTTCTCCAAGGCTCTCAACCATATGTCGCAGTACCCGGCTCTCGGCACACTTGTTCGCCGCCTGGATTTCTCGCACTTTACTTCCGTCGGATTAGGTCGCACCAAGCAGATGAACGCCGAAATCCAAAATTTGACCTCGCGCACCCTCTTGCAGTGCCTGGACCTCTTGCCCAACTTGAAGGAATGTTTACTGCAGGAACACCTCGAGGGCGATATTAGCGTGGATGTCATTCGGAAGTTGTTTATGGGATTGCCGAATTTGCGCGCTGTGGATTTCTGCGGTTGCTCCACTCAGTCTTTCTCCGCGGTCTTCCAAGAGGCCCTAGTCGGTGGACCCGCTTTGCCCATGACCATGCCTAACCTGAAACGGCTGTCGCTCCATGAATGCAGCACTATTCCCGCTCCGATGTTTGACCACCTTCTTTCGCGATTGGTCAACTTGACGCACCTCGATTTGACTCACACCCAAGTCAACGACTCTGCGCTCACTCTCATTCCTGAGACAGCTCGCATCTCCCACTTGAGCTTGTCTCGATGCACTCGCCTTCGTCCTTCGGCCTTGGTGGAGTTCTTGACCACCCACCCATCCGTCAATGAATCGCTTGTGTACCTGAACCTGTTGACTGACCCGACCCGTTTTCGCCTTCTGCAAGAGGAGGATGTCTCGGCACTGCTGCCCAAGCTTCCAGACACTCTCCGCTCCCTCAACCTGGGCGGTGCAAAGGTGACTTCGGACCACGTCCCATCCCTGGTCCCTCTGACCAAGCACCTGCATGAGTTGGGCCTGAGCTCAGCCGAGCTCTCGGTCCAAGATGTCAACTGCTTCTTCACCCGGTACCAGGACCCCGCAACAGGAAAGGAGAACAACGAGCCTAGCACTCTCTGCTACCTCGATCTCGCGAAGGTGCCTCAGATGACCATCGGAGCCATCTTTAACACGAGCACCTGCATGCTACTCTCGAACCTGAGCTACCCCCTGCAAGTCATCGAGTTCAGTGACAAGATCATCACACCTCTGCGCGAGCGAGCTAAGACCCAACGTGTCTCCGTCGGATGGACAGTCCGAGACCTGGGCCGACGTGGCTGGTATGTCCGTGACCCAGCATCTATCCCTGAGCAACCCCTCGACGATGGCGCACGCTACTGGAAGATGGGCGCGCGCTGGTGGGGAATGCGCAAGATTCCCATGGCAGTCGGCGACGTCGGCGGCCTCTACGGTCACTACATGTTCAAGAAATGATCTGCAATGGCTTGAGCGTTCTGTTCTAAAAGCGTGCTCGCTGGATCTTTATTTTTGCCGATACCCTTGGTTTCTCAGTTATTCTCGATTTTGCGTTTCCTATGGGAGGATTACTTCTGATCATGACTATTTCATTGCTATTTCATTGCTATTTCATTGCCTTTTTCATTGCTAATTTATTTTTTTATCCTGCTTTTTGACGATCATAAAGGTTGATATCCGGTCTATGCATGGCGGCGCGCAACATGGTTTACGAATTTCGGCATTCTGGCTCGGCTTTCGGGTTCGTGCTCTCCGTCGCGTCTATTTGATTTTGCATAGCATCGTGGGATCTCTTCAGCGGTGTCCTGGTTTTTTTTATGTTCATATGGTTTTGGCGTTGATGTACTTACGATATGAATTTCATCTCTGCTCATAAATTATTCTACTTTTCTCCCTTCTCCCTGTATGGATCATTGCCAAGATTGACAACCATGTCCAAGGGAAATAAGCTGCTATCCTTTTATACGTACAGTCAGTTTGACTCGGGAAGAATACAGCCAATAGAAAACTACACAGTAAGTTAAGTAAGCTTCAAAGAGTATCATCAAACAAACCCAAGTAAGTTTCCATTCGGACGAATGACGACAATACAAAAATGATCGCATAACCAGACAAATTCCCAACAAAGACATCTCTCAAGATAGAATCAACTGTACAACAAGAAAACCTACCTAACTAAACCCCCGTCAAACAAACCCCAAATAACTTAGGGCATTAATTCAAAGGTGATGCTTGGCATATGTCATGTGATACAGCCCAGAAGAGCCGCATACCCATCCATCACTTCCACCAGAAACAAAGACAACCCACAAGTTCACGCAACCCCCCCGGACCCTCCCTCAGCTCACACCACAGCCCTAGGGGAGATTTTCTTCTCATCCCGATGGGTGGTTCCAGTGTCTTCGCCTTGGACAGTGGAAGCTGTCAACACACGCGACGATGGCACCTCCGAGCGGAGCGGCTGCGTACAAGAAGACGGACGGCTCCTTGACCATATCGGCTGATGAGTATTCTGTAACATGGACGCCGCAGGCGGCTGGTGCGGTGCAGCCGATCACTATTCATGTGGCCAATATTTCCAGTGAGTTTGACTAAGTTGGGAGTTGAATTGCCTTGTCTTTCTGGAGTTGGCGTTGGCGTTGGCTAACCGCAGTCCAGATTTGCAGCAGACACCAGCTTCCAAACCGAAGGTTATGCTGAAGATCTTTGCTCGCGCCCCGGATTCTCCTGCCGATGCTACACCCGAAGCATATGTTTTCCAGTTTACCGGTGGGGCGGATGCCCGCCCGCAAGCTGATGCGATTAAGGAAACACTCAGTGCCCGGATAAATACGTTGAGATCGCAGACGCCATCGCAGACGCCGGGACCGACGCCGGGTGGGGGTGGTGGAGAGGGCGTGTCGGCGGCGATGGCAATCGCGAATGCCGTCACGTCGGCGGGGACCTCGAAGAATCCACTAGACGACGAGAACAAGCTCCGAACGAACGGCGAGCTACAGCAGTCATTGCTGAAAGCGGATTCAAATCTCCGTCGCATGTTCACCGAGGGATTGAATACCAAACCTGATGCGTTATCGTCTGGTCAGTTCATGTCACAGTTCTGGTCGACGCGGCTGCATCTGCTGCGCGCGCATGCTATTGAGCAGAGCCAGATGCGCGGATCTTATAATGTGCTTTCATCGCTGAAGCCAAGGGTTGAGGGGGATAATGTTACCCGGATGAATATTAGCAAGGAACAGATTGCGCTTATCTTCTCGCAGCATCCGCTTGTTAAGCGGGTCTATGATGAGATTGTTCCGAAGCTCAATGAGCAGCAGTTTTGGTCAAGGTTTTTTCAGAGTCGGCTTTTCAAAAAGCTTCGCGGAGAGCGCATTTCTGATGCTGATGCTACTGATGCTATTCTCGATAAGTATCTGAAGACGGACGAGTCTGCTGGGCCTGGGCGTGATGGGGGTATTCATCATTTCCTGGACCTTGCTGGTAATGAGGGCAATCATAGCCAGCGGCGTGGCAATCGACCTGATCTTGATATGAGACCGTCGGGTGTGGATAAGGTGCCTATCATCCGGACGTTGAATAGCCTGAGTGAGAAGATCATGGCCAATGTAGCACCATCCGATGGTGACATGAGTGCGCCGGTTGGGATGAATGAAGAGGCGTGGAAGAAGCTCCAGCTGCAGGATCTCCGTGGAGATGAAGAGCAGAGCAGGATTACATTGAACATCCGCGATCAGAGTCGATTCTTCTCCAATACACAAGAAGAAGACAAGAGCAAGCAGTTTGCCCAACAAGACCCGGACCAGCTCTTACAGACTCTTCGTATGGAGATCGCTCAAGATCTCCCAGTACAAGGAAACACTCAACTGCGCAAACTGGTGGACCCCGGCGATGATGAAGATGAAGAAATGGAAGATGCACCCGCTACCCAACGGCCGGTAGGCTCCTCCGCCGCCCTCCACGACTCCTTCGCGCAAATCCTGGAAGCCGTGCGCGATCGACGCGCCCAGCTAAACGAACAATCAACATCAGAGACCTTCGGCCTCTCAATAGCCCTCTTTGACCGGCTAACCCTGACACACGCCACAACCACAGAATTCCTACACCAATTCTGGCAGGCATACCTATCAGGCAACCCAGACCGCGCGGGCGAAATCGCATCTCTAGCTGAATCTCTCCAGCGAGCATCAGAGCGAATCAAAGCCGTTGCAAATGACGCAGAAGCCGATCGCAAGATCGAAGTCGACAAGTTAAGGCAGCATGCGCGCGAGGTATTCGAGCGTACTCAGCGCAAGATCCGGCCGAACCTTGAGGCTGTACAGGGTGGTCAGAAGGTCGTTAACCAACTCCTTGGTCCGACGCTGCATGCGCTGGATGTTGCGTTGAATAAGTACCAGGAGGAATTGGCCGAGCAGAATAAAGAGGCGGCTGCCATGCCTGCGTAGAGGTGGGATGGGATGAGATGCAAAAAGATCATCGGCGTTTTTGGCCATTGGTTGTATACTATAATACCTTGAATATCTTATACAAGCGAACAGAGAAGCATATCAAGCTGAAAAGACCATGCATGGATTGTAGATCGTAGAAAAATAAACTAAAACCTCGGCATGCCGAGGTACCCCAGACTTCGGTCCATCCAGCCAACTGTCCCCTCACCTTTCATCCACCGCACCGCCATCAACTACCTCAAAACCATCCGAATGAAACACCCACATACCCTATAAAATCCCCAATCTCGAGAATATCCCCCCGCCCTCCCTCAAAAAAAAGGGAGCAATCCTCAAAATGCTCACCTCCGGCCTAACAAACGCACCCCTAACAAAACTCCTCCTAATCTACACAATCGCCTCCTCAATCGCCCTTTCCCTCTTCGACATAAAACACCTCGTTTCAATCTCCATCTCGCCCCATTTCTGGCCCTACGCCCAATTCTGGCGCGCGGCAGTATGGCATCTTGTCGGCTTTGCCAATTCCACCGAGGCGCTCTTTGCCTCTATGCTTGTTTATCATTTGCGCGTTGTTGAGCGTGCTTGGGGGCAGAGGAAGATGGCTGTTAGTACTACATTCCCCTTGAATTCGATTGAATGACCTGGATCGGGGATGCGATGGATATGCGTACTAGTGATGCCGTGATGCTAATTCGAGATCCGTGATGCCTATAGACCTTCCTCCTAACAACCCTCCCATACACAACTCTCCTCCCACCCCTCCTCCTATCCCTCCTCATCCGCCCTCTCTCAATGAACAACCTGAACTACCTACCCTCCGGCCCGACGGCTATGATATTCGCGCTGTTGGCGCAATATCACGCGAGTATACCGCATACATACCGGTATCGGATTGGGACGACGACTACAGCGCCTACTGTCGCCAACAACGCCAACAACACCACAGACAGCGCCACAGAACCCGAAACTACAGAGCGACCTGCCGAGAACTCGGACCCCAAACCTCCCAAACCAAGTCTGACCCTCCTCTTCTCGGATAAATCGACAACTTACATCGTTGCTGCTCAGCTTGCGCTTTCTCAATTTCCGGCTATGCTCCTGCCCGCCGCGCTAGGGTGGATTGTTGGTTTTGCTTGGCGTGCGGAGATCTTGCCTGGTCTTTCGCCGGCTCTGAATGGGCTTAGGGTTCCTGCTTGGGTTGTTGGGGAGAGCGAGCGGAGGGGTGTTGCTGGTGGTGTTGGTGGGGAGAGGGAGAGATATGAGGATTTGAGGAGGAGGTTGGAGGGGGAGGCTGCTGCTTCGGCTGAGGCTTCTGGATTGGATGGCGGAGCGCAGGGTGTGCGGGTTGATAGACGGAGTGAGACTGCTGCTGTTGTTGATCGGTTGAGGGGGGATTGGTAGTTTCTTTTTGCATTGTTGGGGGGTTTTGTTAGATTAGTGGTCTATGTTCCAATTTTTACTTTTATCTATGCTATCTGGTATGGCAGATAATTTGTCCGGTCTTCGTAGTCATTTTATGTACAGTTTACTAGGTATGTATTATGCTATGGTGATGTACTACCTAGGCAGAACATATCATTAACAGAAGAAAGCCTTTGCCATCCAAGGAAACCTACAAAACCAGCCCAAATGCCAGAATGCCAGAATGGGATATCAAGGTATCAATTAGGGTTGAAGTCAAAATGGGGGGATCTAGAAGATGAACCATGACACCGCTAGAACAAGAATGCTCACTGTAGAGACAACAAAAGGTAAACCACCACATAAACACCATATCAGTCATATCTAATGCAAAGCTCCAGCTGTGCTCTGGAGAAATCACAACATGACCATCTCTATCAGCGGCCATTGCGACTCCGTCGCATATTCTCCTTACACTCATTGCAATACCATTTGACTGTAGAAGGTTAGCATCACAATTCGCAATAGTACACTGGAAGACATAAAACATACCATTCTTTCCAGGCGGTTTCGTCAGGCCTACACAAGACAGATGGAACCATTCGCGCGGACAGGCGTCATTGTCGCAAGCAACCATTTCACCGAAACTGATCTCGTTACAGTAACAGTATCGCGGCTCGCCCTCTTCGTCTTCGTCGTCGCCTTCGTGAAGGGACTCCTCGTCAGAGGGTATGACGGGTAGTGGTATGGGTTTCTTTTGTGTGCGCTTTGTCGAGGCCGGGTCTTGGCTCCGTGTTGGTCGTGCGCGTTGCTGGGTTGGTTCATATGTCGCAAGGACGGGTGTTGAGGTCTTTGATGTGCGTCCTTTGCTTGGTTCGTTTTCGCCAGAGTCTTTGCCGTCCAGTTCTTCGCGTTTGGATCCGGTCGGTACTGATGTTCGGGCGCTAGAGTCTTCGTACTCGCGATAGAAGTCTGTGGCAAGTTCGTGCTTAATTGTGCCGTCGCGGGGTATCGATTTCGAATCAAGGGTTTTGCCTGTAGAGCAATGGGATTAGTGGGTGGTGGCCTTGACGGGGAGGGGAGGTGTGATGACGTACTGTTGTTGGGCTGGCCAATGCGGTTTGAGGCTGAGGACGACGGCCTTTGTCGTGCATTGCTTGTTGACCCGACGTTTTGCTGATTCCGTGAAGATTGTGGCCTTGACGTGGGACCTGGGCTGGCTGCACCCCGCGGGGCATTAAAAGTTCCAACCAAAGGCGACGGGCCAAGGACAGGCGAACCGGCATTCGATGCATTGGCCCTGGAATAGCGTTAGTTTAGCGCAGTGCAAAGAAAAGGAGGACAAAACATACTTCTTGCGCGCAGCAGCAGTCGGATTCGGCGCGCGAGACCGCTTCTTCTCTGCGGGATCCTTGTTTGTAGCTCTCTGGCTCTGTGCACCACTAGCAGACCGTTCCATTGGAATACTCGTGTCTACAGGGAGTGCTGGGCGTTCCACTTTCCGACGCTTGGGCGCAGCGCTAGAATCAGCCGCATCTCCACCACGAGACCTCCCATTGTTGGTCTTGCGAGCACCGGAGCTCCGTGTTTCCTCATAATCTGCATCGACATGCGCACGACGTTGCTTCCGCGCCAATACAGCTTCACGCCGAGCCTCACTGCGGCTAGCGGCTTCAGCTTCGTGAAGTACGTGTGAGAGATCCTGTCTGTGGTTGACTGCTTCGCGACGGGGGCGCTCATTGGTGGCTGCCTTCGCGGTGGTCTTGTTGGAGTAGGCCCAGTGGGTCAGACTGCCCAAGCGAGCTTCTTCGCTGATCTCGCCTGCAATGTATGGGAATACGGTATCCAGTCGGACAACTTGGCGGTCCAATTCTTCGTTCGCGTTAGAGATGACATGGTTCTTTTCATCGGCAGTCATCATTAGATCGGAGAGACTCTGTCGTACGCGATCAAACAGAAGTCGGCGACTTTTGCTTTCGGACGACTCGGGGGCTTGAGAGAGATCCTGGCGCAAGAGAAACACCATTAGACCAAATATCCATGTAGATAAGTCAAACTTAGGACTGGACTTACTTGGGGCAATACATCCTCACGAACAACACCACCAACGATAGGCGCGGGATGAGGAGGGTGAACAACCGGCTGCGACTCGCAAGTATGCTCGAGAAGCTGGAGCAAATTTTCCTCGAGAGCCCATGCCTTCGCGTCAACTTCCTTTAATAAAGAGTTGTGACGTCTGAACTCGCGAGGAAGCGCAGTAATAGCGTCTGTAAAATGCGTGAGAGCAGGGTAGAAGCCGTGGGGAACAGGGGCCGTGGAAGGAATTTCAGCAGTTGAGCCTCGGCCGAACACGAAAGAGGATCGTCCGATGGTTTTGGAGGTTCGAGACGGGTTTGTTCGTGTCTGACGGGCTGACTGTCGTAGTCCCTGGCCCTGGGGGTTCATGGCTGACGATGAGACGGCAGACATCGTGAATGAGAAAGTTGGGACTGGGAGCTGCGCCGCTGAGAGGGATTCGGGGGTTCTAGCCCGATTTTAGGGCAGAGTGGGAAAAGACAGATAATCAATGGTAATCAGCGATGGCCCGTGAGCATTTGCAACAGCTAATACCTCATGTAACACTCGAGGGACATCAATGCAGAAGAACTGTCTCTGGCAAGTTTGAGTGCGGAGAAGAGCAATCGGATCAGGTGAGATGCGGCCTGTAGTATCAGGCATCATTTTGCTGAATCATCAGAGCCTCCAGGTGACGTCATTCCAGGTACGAAGTAAACAGTTGAGTCTGGAAAGAACATAGTCTGAATATGTGATCAGCTTATTATATGCCAGGGGGATCTCCTTCGATACTGTTGAGATGGAAGACCACTACTGTCTTAGGGCATCTTTTACGTCCACTAATTCGAGATACCCTTGTGCCATATAGGCTCTAGATTCTATAGGGACTCGTTGGCGATGATCTTTTATTGCTATCTTTTGTCACATATTGCACAATGGTGAAAATAACCTGTTATCTAGCCTAATTCAGAGCTAATCACATAATTTCTAGATTCAACACACCTGCTTTGTAACAGGCAAAGTAACTTCCGGTGTGATATGTTTCCTCCGCTTTTGCATGTTCAGACCTCTCCTCTACCCTTTGTTACCTGATTTCCATGGGCACCTCGGACACCGAGGACTGTGATAGCCACTCCAAAGCCAGCTATGGCCATGCTACACCACACACCAGATCTGTACTGCTGAGGCAAACTGTGTTCTCTGTTGGTGTTCAAAGATTGGACCATTAGCTCCCATGGTAAGTTGTTATGATATAGTTTCCATGCTATCTGCAAACTGTGTCTCTGCGAATTTTATTTGTCCTGTCTTTGGCAACCACCATCTGCCATTCGAGCTTTCAATCGCCGGTGGAACAAATGGTAATGCCACTCCCATTGCAGCACACACCCGGATAATCATTATCCCACTAACAATGAGAGCTTTACAAGGTTGATTGGAGATAAACGAAGTTGTCGTGGGGATCTGAGTACGCGATGAAATGCGACTCTCATAGTCTACAAACTATAAGAGCTTTCCACAGATATGTAGGTTCAGTAGAAGCATGCTGAGGAATCTTACATAGAAGGATGATTCGCCAGTGAAGACGCAGCGTGGTTCACCGATAGAGCCCTTTCAATTCAATTCGCTGTTTAAGTTGCGTCGACGCACGAAAAGAATACTTTTGCTTAAAGACGGTTGGAAACTAAATTCTCTGGACATTCGGGACCTCTATAAATGAACCTATCCCATTCCTACTTGTTGAATATTGTTTCAAGCCAGAAATCTCAAGTACAACTCCGTAGGCTAACATATTTTCAAAGAGCCAATTTTCCATACTGCCGACTGGCATTAGTGGTATATCATTTGCTATGCAAGTAAGCCATATATTTGTTGTTGTTCTTATCCTCCTTTCTGTTGCCTTCTACTTGTCGTTCCTTCAGCCAAACGCCAATCTATCTTGCAAAATCTATGTCTTCCAAAATTGCCCTGCTCAGCAGTGGCTACGAGATGCCTTTGACCGGGTATAGTCTCTGGGATGTGAGCAAGGCCGCCTGTGCCGATCAAGATTCCAAGGCTATCAAAGAAGGTTATTGATGCTTTGACGGTGCATGCGGTAGGTCTAATCTGTGGATGAATAGTCGATCCTGTGGATTGTTGGATAGTAATTCGCCACGAATAATCACTAATATAATGAAGCACGCAATCATGGGTGGACCTAATAGCAATAGCCTTGACGTTTTATAAGTTTTGGTTTGGGACATGACTATTACCGTGCTACAAGAGGCTGACTACGGACCATCAAATGAGGTTCATTCTCTCTGTCCCTCTCTTCTTAATGGGAAACTGCTGTTCTCTGTATCTAAGGAACAAGCCATCAAAATATGGAGCATCGAAACCGGCACCTGTTACCGCACACTCACGGGTCATTCTGGCTCTGTTTACTCCGTTGCAATTTCACCAAACGGCCGACTCCTGGCTTCAGGGGGCACTGACAATAATGCCATGCTTTGGGAGACATTAAAATTTACCTTGTGTTATACCCTGGGTCACTCAAGTTGGGTTCATCTGATGGCTTTCTCGCCTGATAGTAAGTTCTTGGTCACCAATTATGGCGGTGGAGTAAAGGTTTGGAACAATGCCACAGGTGCCTTACAGTGGTCTCAAGATGGTCGAAGTCATACGGAGCCCGTTTCGTGGCTTTTCCACCGGACAACCATTTGTTAGTCGCTGGGTCCAGAGATGATGTAATGCGACTCTGGATTACGGTCACTGAAGCCAACGGATTTAAAAATCCCCTTCTCATACACGTAGCCTAAGGGGGGGGGGGGGGTTCAGGCCCCAATCTCCGATAATGGGACAACCAGTCTCTGGAATTCTGACTTGCGAACACCACCGCAAGAACTTGAGCGCCATGTTTATGAAGACGTCGCTTGTTGCATGGCCCTTTCCTGCGATGGTAGTGTTCTAGCAATTGGCACCCTCGAGGGGGAAATTGAGATTTGGAATACAGCTACATCTACCCTATATCAAAATATACAGGGTAGTGGATTCCCTCAATCCGCTATGGCATTCTCTCACAGCACAATGCTACTCGCTAGTGGTGACCACAATATGAGCCTCGGGGATGTAGGCTCTGGCGCTCGGCGCCAGATTTACATAGGTCATCCCGAGAAGATTTGCTGTCTGGCATTTTTCTCCCAATGGCCAGATTCTCGTGAGCGGCTCAGATGATGAAACAGTCAAGATTTGGAGTACGAACGCAAACACTTTACGCAAAACCTTTACCGGACATTCAGGCTGTATACGGTCTCTAGCAATCTCTTCAAATGGCCAACTTTTGGCATCTGGATCGACCGATAAAACTGTCATACTATGGCACATAGCCACGGGGTCTCAACTTCACTCATTCGGGGGCCACTCTGATTGGTTCTTTTGCGTGGAATTTTCCTTATGCAACAGATATCTGGCATCTCTTTCGAGAGATCGGATGGCTATGCTTTGGAACATAATGCTTGGCAAAGTACACCATGTCTTGGAAGGTGTTCTACATGATTCTCTCTCTCTTCGCAATTTGATGCTAAGAGTCAGCCTTGCTCTGCAGAGTCAGTTGAATAAGTCTCAAGTAGATGTGGCAACTAATCACTAAGTTAGCTACTCTCACATTCGGTTAGCCTTAGTAGTCGGCAACTGTGGGGGGTTTCCATTTCCCTGCGGAAGCACCGAGATTAGGCTGGAAGGCCTCATCATCAATGATAGTGTAATTCAATATGACATCCCGACATAGAGACATAGAGACATTGAATTTGTGCACTAGTCTTGAAAAAAAGAAAATGAACAAATATCGGTAATCCAGCCACGATCTAGCCTAGTGGACCTGCTGACATAGTCACATGGATTTCCATTATAACGATACTATGCTCGTTCATGTACATGAAAGACTAAAAAGCCTGACATTGTCTGAAGATGATCGTCGCGATAGCCTTTGGTCTAACCGTTTTAGGCTTGGTTAGTCGCGGGTGCGGGTATATACTTAGTGTTTGATAGGCATACCCTAACAACCATGTAGACTGTACATTGGCACCCATTCAAGGACACAAAATCACTTATCTTTTTTTTGCCGTAATACTCTCCCTTGCTTTAAATTTTGCTAGTGTGCAACTATGTTTAGAGACCGAGATTTTTGTGTATCACAAACATCCGAGGCGATGAGCCACGCTCTCAAAAGCACGACCGCAGAGCCGGCAACAGCATCGGACTTGCATCATGTCGAATGTCGCGACCATTGTCAATCGAGTGCTGAGCTGGTGGGGACTGTACTAGCTCTTGATCTGGGCTTTGTGAGGCTGCGCCGTGCGGATCGCGAAGACTGGGACTCTCGCCTCGGCCTTTGGATCCCGAGGCTACGGAAGCGAGAAGATGAGATGCATTTTGAATAAAAGAAAGCATGGAAATGGGAACTAAATTGATGACAAATTTGCTTGTGTAAGGACGGAGCACCGTGCAATATCACAGCGTATTATCAATATCAAAAGTTTCCGATAGAAGTATGCCAAAACCTAACTTTACTTCCACGATCACCAAGGAAAGGATCCTGTGAACCACGGGAACTAAATTATATGGGTATTATGCTAGCATTAATATGATCACTGAGCGAAGGTCCCACTATTTACCACTAGGCGATAGCGATAACCAAGTCCTCTATGTCAGTACAGCCCTTGGGCACTTCTGGGCACAGCCGTTTAGTCTCTCTCTTGGCATAATGTACAATACCTTAGTAGTAGGTAAGACCGGTATACTACAGGCAGGGGACTTTAAAAGAGATGAATGATCAGGCAGTACGAAAAACGAGCAGGGCTCCGCGTAAATGAACTAGTGCCTTTATTTTACATAACTTAGATTCTAGGTATAGACGGGAGTCACCTGCGAGAAAGCAAGAATGACCCAATACAGAAAACCCAAGACACGGCGTATACACCACGAGAAAACGAAGAAAATCGATACAATAATGAAAAGAAAGGATGGTACAAAGTAAACAGACGCTAGCTCCTATAAGAACCGATGAGATAGGAAACCAAACTCAATACAGATGACAATGTGCGAGCACTTTCAACTTTATAGAGTTTAAATGAGACCGCTAAGAAGGACAGGCGTCTACTCGCCCTTCAGGTGGTCCTGGTGGATGGAGAAAGCATCCTCCAAGAACTCCTCCTCCTCCTTCAAGTGGACGGCCTTCAGACCAGTGGCGACGGAAGCGGAACCGGTACGACCAGCGTACAGAACGTGGCGGCGGTTGTGGTGCTCGGTGGCGTTGAGCAAGCTCTCGATACGGGGCTGGGCGTAAGACCAGGCACCGGCGTTGAGGGGCTCCTCCTGACACCAGACGATATCCTTGGCGTTGGGGTAGCTGTCAAGGTTCTCCTTGAGCTGAGCCCAAGGGAAGGGATGCAGCTGCTCAACACGGGTGATGGCAGTGTTGCGGATACCGTTGGCCTCGCGGTGCTTGAGAAGGGCAGCGTAGACCTGACCAGAGCAGAGAACGACACGCTCGATCTTCTCGGGCTCGTCAACGGTGGTACCGTGACCCTCTTCGGGGATGATCCACTGGAAGTGAGAGTCACCGCTCAGGGCCTCAATATCGGAGCGGGCAATGGGGTGACGCAGCAGAGCCTTGGAGAAGAAGATGACCAGAGGCTTACGGAACTGACGGTGGATCTGGCGACGGAGGATGTGGAACAAGTTGGCAGGAGTGGTCATGTTGACAATCTGCATGTTGCAGTCCTGGTGCTGGCGGTCGAGCTTATCAGCCGAAGGGAAGACACGGGGCTCCTCGTTGCAAAGCTGCAACCAACGCTCCATACGACCGGAAGAGTGCTCAGGACCCTGGCCATCGTAACCGTGAGGCATGGAGACAACCAGGCCAGAGCGCTGCAGCCACTTGGTCTCACCGGAGGCGATGAACTGATCAATGATACACTGAGCGTTGTTGGCAAAGTCACCGAATTGAGCCTCCCACATCACAAGAGCGTTGGGGGAGGTCAGAGAGTAACCGTACTCGAAACCGAGACTACATTAAAGGTCAGCATCGTTCCCGTTATGAAGGAATAATTTCAAAACTTACACGCCAAACTCGCTGAGAGACGAGTTGGAGATGACGAAGCTACCCTGCTTGTCGCTAATGTTTTGCAGGGGAGTATAGGTGCGCTCGGCATCCTGGTCGTGCAAGACGGCGTGACGCTGAGAGAAAGTACCACGCTCAACATCCTGGCCGGAAACACGGACGTGATAGCCCTCGTCGACGAGGGAACCGAAGGCAAGAGCCTCAGCTGTAGCCCAGTCGATGTTCTTACCCTCATCGACGGTCTTCTTGCGGTTGTTCAAAATACGCTTGAGGTTGCGGTGAAGGGTGAAGCCCTCAGGAACACCACTGCCGCTGACCTTGTCAGCGATGTGGGCAAGAGACTTCTCGCCAACAGCGGTAGGCAGGTGAGGCAGGACCTCGGTGGCCAACTCCTTGGGGGTCTTGAAGTTGTTCCAGGCGGAAGTCAGCCACTCCTTGCTGGTGGGCTGGTAGTCCTTGCTGCGGTCGAAGCTGTCTCCGAGCATGCCCCAGACCCACTTCTTGTGCTCGTCGATGTCTTCCTTGGTGAAAGAACCCTCAGCAATGAGCTTCTCAACGTACTTGTCAAGCTGAGCCTTCTGCTCGGCAATGCGCTTGTACATCAAAGGCTGAGTGAACGAGGGCTGGTCAGTCTCATTGTGACCCTGCTTACGGTAGCAGACCATGTCGATAACAACATCGCGCTTGAACTCGGCACGCCAATCAGCGGCGACCTGGCAGACGTAGTTGACAGCCTCGACATCGTCGGCGTTCACGTGGAAGACAGGAGCGTCGATGGACTTGGCGATGTCGGAACAGTAGGGGGTGGAACGAGAATAACGAGGATCAGTGGTGAAACCAATCTGGTTGTTCACAACAAGATGGATGGTACCACCGGTGGAGTAAGCGGGAAGAGAGTGGAATCCCATGGTCTCGTAGACGACACCCTGGCCGGCAAAGGCAGCGTCACCGTGGAGCAGGACACCCATGGCGGAGTCGTAATTGGTCTCGTCGTTGTTGTAGTGCTGGATAGCACGGGTCTTACCGAGAACGACGGGGTCCTCAGCCTCCAGATGGGAGGGATTGGCAACCAGAGACAGCTGCACCCGCTTACCGGAGGGAGTGGGACGCTCGAAGTTCATACCCAAGTGGTACTTGACATCACCGGAACCCTCATCGGAAGGCTCGGTGGAACCAGCGAACTCACTGAAAATAGATTCGTTGGGCTTGCGGACAACGTTGGACAGGACGTTGAGACGACCACGGTGAGGCATACCGATGACGATGTCCTTAATGCCGTAATCGACACTGCGGTCGATCAGGGCCTTCATACCGGGGACCAGGGTCTCACAACCCTCAAGACCGAAACGCTTGTCGTTGGGGAACTTTGTGGCGAGGAAAGACTCGAAGCTGGAACTCCAGATCAGACGGTCAAGGATGCGGCGCTTGTCGTCAACGGAGTAGTTGTAAGGCTGGGGGATCTCGAAGCGGTCACGGATCCACTCGCAGGGCTTACGGTCAGGGATGTGAATGTACTCAACACCGTAAGAACCGCAGTAGATCTTCTCACAGGCGTCAATGATCTCGCGCAGAGTCATCTTCTTGCGGCCGTCAACAGCGAAACGGGGCAGAATACCGGGTCCAAGAGCAAACTCCTGGTCCAGATCACGCTCAGTGAAACCGTAGTGGTCAAGCTCGAGCTCCTTGGGCTTGTCGTAGCCAAAGGCCTCGGCCTCTCCGCGGATACCGAGAGGGTCGATCTTAGCCTTGTGGTGGCCACGGGCCTGGTAAGCGCGCACCAACAACTGAACCTTCAAGTGGTTCGTCACGTCAGCGCCAGCGGCGAGACCCTCACCGGGCATATCTTGAGGGACACCTCCGGTGGGAGTTGGGACGAGGGTGGGAGGAGGAGTGAACGCCTGGGAGATAGGCATGTTACCATCCTCCATGTTCTTGAAGTAGGTCTGCCACGAGATGTGGACACTGGAAGGGTCGTTCTTCCATGCCAGGTACATCTCATCGACATAATTAGCGGTGTTTCCAGAGAGGAAGGAATCGTTGGGGTCCTATCCGCGTAAGGGCAAAGTTGCGCCGTCTCGTTAGTCGAATGTCCCATTTCTCGAATTTCTGGAATCGGGGACCAATATCGAATCGCTCGCGATTCTCACGGTTATTTTTGCTTACCACTCCCTGGGTCGTACTTTCCGCGGGGGCGGCATAGTATCTGGCACCGTTGAAAGCACGGTCGACAACAGCGAGAGGGCGACGGGCGCTCATGCTGAAGCCGGAGCTTTTTGATGAGCTACGGGCGCTCGAGGCGAGGTGGAAAGAGCGCCGGCATGCTGGGGAGGTCGCACCACGCAGCATACCGCTGTGGGTGGCCTTCAAAGCAGTGTTTCTAAACATTGCGGGATTTTTCTTGGATCGAGGGATCCAATGAAGTCCGGAAAATCGAGAAGAGGAAAGTAGATGGAAGATCGGAGGTTAAGACCCTGTAAGTCAAATTAGACGCCTAAGTGAGACGCGCTATAGGCAATAGTGTCAGCCGATATAACTGCCAGGGTGTTTGGTCTCTGCCGAGGAAACCGGGATACGGAGGAAAGGATGAACGAGAAGAGAGTACACGTACAAATTAACACAACAGGTGTCGACTAGTATTGCCGTAGCACCTGTAAGCAAGCTGAACTCATCAGAGAGCAAAAACTCTCTAATTGGGAAAGAAGTGGAGAGGAGAATGAAGATGCGAAAGAAGCAGAAAGCCACGCAAAGGAAGACAGCTGCCGAGAATGACGGTTCTCACGGCCGGCCTGAGGCTGGTGTGCCTTAGTCAGCCCGAGCCAGCCGATGAGACACGCCTGCGCCACAGTTGCCGGCTAAGGACTCCCGGTTAGCGGGTGTTTTCGGCCCAATTGCACTACTAGCGATTTCCATTACATATAGGCTTGAATTACTGTCCCTATACTCCGAAATCAAGAGCTTAATAGACTGAGAAGGTCAAATAACGCCATTATCTCCCATGTGCCATAGAAATTATAAGACTGAGTACTAGGGGTAAGTAGAGCTCAATAGCTAAATGCCTATTGGCTGTCAGACCATCAATATATATGTAGTCCTTCAGCCGAAGTGTGCGCCGTGGGCGAGCCATTCATTAGCTTACTATAGGTTATATGATATCCTATTGAATGCGAAGAAGCTCCACGGGCAGCATAAAGGAAGTCAGAACAAAGTCTCTACCCCTCGTAGATGCTTCTTAGTAACTAATTATTGGGAATAAAGTGTTACCGGCCCAGGTATTATACTAAGGGGTGTGGCTATTTGTAGAAGGAGCTTCCGATGCTCCCTATGATGTAATATATCGTCGAACTATGAATTGTCGATTGATTGAAGTTCATCATTGAACTAAACAGAATATGTAAGAACGAATTCATACCACACTCCACCTAATGAAGTTCTTGACCACCATGGCACAAAGTGAGCAGTCCCTTTGCAGCGTGCTTTCCTAAGGCATCAAGGGTATTCAGGCTCATCATTTCGAGCACACTGATATCAAATTCGAAAGTTGCTCTCCACCACTGTCTCACCTCAATTGCCACCAAAGAATCCATTCCCAGATCAGACAGCGAACATGACGTGTGCAGGTCTTCTTCTGGTTTCAACAGCAGACTAAACACCTTTTTCCCGATCTCAACAGCTAGAAGATGAATAGATTTTGGCTCATGCAGAAGAGAGGCATCCACCTTGGCCGCGGACATGAAGGACTTCAGGTAATTGCTGGAGGAAGAGTCTGATGCGGGAGCACTCCCTCCTGTATTGTGGAAAACTGCCATTCGGACATCTTTCCTGTAAATAGATCGGTTCTTGGGATTGCTCAGGGATACATTGGGTGCGTGGATACCAACACAAAAGCTGCTCAAAGCAGTAGATTGCGACCTGCCCGACGTCGAAGTCACGGCTAACTCTATCGCTTGAAGAAGCTCCCGGGGCGAAACTGTTTCACTAACAGTAACAAGATTCTTCAGATTCTGCTCAGCTGCATAGCCGACTTCCTCCACGGCACCGATCCCGATGGCACAGGCCGGTAGTCCCTGGTTCAAGCGGTACTGGGCGAACGCATCCATGAAAGTGTTGGCACCAGCATAATTCGTTTGACCAGGCTGCCCGAAGATACCAGAAATGGAGCTAAAAAGAACAAAAAAGTCAAGGTCCGCGTTAACGGACACGGAAGCATTGTGAAGGTTCCATGTTCCCTTGACCTTGGGGTTAACAGCCGTATTCCACTCATTCATTGTCATGCGAGTGAAAGCCTGGTCAGAAAGCACCATGGACATCTGCAAGATGCCTTTGAGCCGACCTTGAGCCTGTGCAACGGCTTTGTTCACATCGTCAATGTTTGACACGCTACCCTTAACAAAATCGGCCCTACATCTCATACTGGCAAGTTCTTGTGCAAACTCCTGATGTGTTTCGCTTGCACCCGCACTTCGGGAAAGAAAGATGAGGTGACGAGCTCCACGGTTCACCATCCACGTGGAAATAGCGCGACCCAAGCCCCCGAGGCCACCGACAAGCAGATATACACCTAAGCTGTCCAGTTGAGCGGGTTTGTTTCGCGGCTGAACATTTTCAGCAAGGACCTGGCCTGCAGCATTGCGTATAGACATAACAATCTTGCCTAAATGAACACCTTGCTGCATGTAACGGAAAGCATTGAGCATGGAATCTGCACCAAAGACGTTTATGGGTCGAATGGGATGTATGTGTCCACATTTGAGTAAGTCGACAGTTTTCTTGAGCAGTCTTCATGATACGTCAGTCATTAGGTGATCCATAGGCAATGAGTGACACTTACTGTTTTGTAATGTGCAGTCTTTTCACACCAATATGAGCCAAATCAACGCAGCAATAGCTACGGTTTTCTAGGAAGGGGCTCATGTCAAGCTTTCCAGAACCCATCAAATCCCGCTTACCAATCTCAACCAGTTTGCCAAACTCTGCAATACACTTCCAAGTAGCGTGTAATAGCTCTCCAGATAATGAGTTCAATGCCAGGTCGACACCTGCGCCGCTAGTCTCACGCATGATACCTTCGACAAATGATGTGCTGCGAGAGTCGAATATCCTGTTTCGAGGAAGACCATATGTATTCATGAGATAATGGACCTTCTCCTCGCTACCGACAGTTGCATAGACGTCGGCACCAACCATCTGGGCAAGTTGAATGGTCGCAATTCCAACACCGCCACAGGCACTGTGGATAAGAATGGACTAAATAAGAAGTAAACATTCAACTCCAAATTCGGAAGAATTAGAGAAAACGAACCTGTCCTTTCTTCAAGTTTCCAATTTCAAAGACCGAGTAAATCGATGTGGTAAACACGGTTGGCATGGTAGCCGCGTCCTCAAAGCTTAGGCATTTTGGAATCTTTTCACAGTTTTTTTCAGAGACGATCAGTCTCGTTCCACAGCCATTGGGACTCAAGACCATCACACGGTCACCGACCTTGAGATCGCTGTTATGGGAACCAGTGCGGCGAACAATACCGGCACCTTCAAGCCCAAAGTTGCTCTCTGTGGTCTCAATTATTCCCATGGCACATAGGACATCCTACAAATTAGATTAGCATTTCAATGCCATTCTTCTATGTCATTTTGGCCCACCTTGAAATTCAAGCCGGTTGCATATATCTCAACCTCCACTTCGTCGTCGCTTGGCGCTCCAATCTCCTGATACGCCCAGTGTAAGGCGCTGAGGTGACCAGGTCTTCTGGTACGAAGATGAACGCCGTCGCTTGAGCCCGATGTTAGGAGCTGGCCTTGAACTGAGAAGGGGTAAATCCGTCCAACATGAACAGTGTTGTCAACAATGGCGTATTCAAACTCGGGCTTTAGCATCTCGTCCTCTTGACGAAGTTGGAAACACTCAAAAACATCAATAATCTTATCGAGAGACGAGCTGACATTGTCAACCTCGCAGGTAGCAAAATCAATTAGCATCTCGGAGCGAATGGTTCTGGCAATGCCATTTATTTGACCAAATCGTGGGTCCTGGCACTGGATTTGTGAAAGACCGGTTATCCAAAAGATGCCACAGTTCTTCAAGCCCTCTATCAATGCCTGGAAAGAGCCAAAGCGCTCATCATTCATGTCTTCAAAAAAGGGGCCTTCGTCCTCAAGCAAGGCAATGACATTTTGCTCGATAGGAATGTGCATGTCTTGTAGCCCACAACAGTGAACTGTATAGCCCCTGCTCTCCAGGCGTTGAAGTATAGGGCCCGCACACTTTGACCCAGAATAGGTAAGAAGAGTAACAATTTTTCTAGGAGGTTGCTCGACCGCGGGTCTGGCCACAAGCACACCACTCATCTGATATGGTTCCGGCGAATCAAGAACTATGGCATCAGGGGCGCGAAATCCAGCAGCCTCCAGCTCTTTCGCCCACCGGTCGGGACTAATATATGGCTCGTCCTCTCGGTCATCGGCTTCGCCGTACCACCAGCCAGGTAGAGTGCCCCAGATGTAGTTGCTCCATTTGCTAGCCGTGCAGAGCTCTGTGAGTAGGAGGCGGCCATTGTGGGCGAGCAGTTTCTTGACATTGCTTAAGCTCTCATTCAGAGATTTTGTAGCATGAATGATATTGGCGGCCACGACAAGATCATACTTATTCCCATCGAAGCCCTGTTCAATGGGATCCTTAGTCACATCGAAAGTCGCGTAGTCGATGTTTGGATACGCACCGAAGCGCTCTCTAGCAGCAACGAAGAAGCCAGATGAAATGTCGGTATAGGTGTATTTTGAGTATAAGGCCTTGTCGCCAGGCATCAATTCTCTCAGAATCTTGGTAGTAGTACCCCCTGTTCCAGCGCCAATCTCAAGGACTCGAAGATTTGGCTTGCTGTGAGCCAGACGCCTCAAGAATTGCGACTGATCCGAGTGGTCCATGGCGACATAGAGATTTGACAGTGTATCATCTGAAACAAGGATATCCAGCGCCTCCACGTCGCCGATGAAGATTTTGTTGACATTGCGAAAGACCTTGTGAACGGCTACGGCAGCTTCCGCGAGCTCGGTTTGCGACAGTACTTCGACACTGTTTTGCACTCGCTGCTCAATGGCATGATTCTCAAGGGCCTCGAGGTCCTGGAGATCGACAGACTGGAGCTGGCGGTCGATCCAAGAGCGGTACTTGTGCATGTGGTGAATTGGTGTGTCCAATCCAGTAATGATTCTCTTCGTATACACCATACACATTTTTGTTAGCTGTGTGAGCATTGGCATTGAGTCACTGAGATCAATTGATGGCTTGATAAGAGTATTCGCGTCCAGAAAATCGATATGGGGGCCCCATTCAGTGCGAGCAAAACCGTCGCTTCCTTCATCAGAGCTCTGGTCATCTAAGGCGGAGAGTCTTGTTCCAGAAATGCTCATGACAATCTTTCCATTGGCGGCAACGCTCTGCCCGCTACCAATGATGGAGCCGTTTGGAGTGTAATGTGCTGCAGTGCGGACCTGAACATTCCCAAAGCAGCGTGATATACATATCTCTCCAATTTTGGTTGGAAGTACCATTTTTGTTATGGGATCACAATAGCCCTTGGAAGCAGCAACGGTGATCATTTGCAGTGAAGCGTCAATTACCGTTGGGTGTAGATGGTAGTCCTTGCTGTCGGCTTCTTTTGCAAGAACTTCCGATGTTGCATTCTGTGTAATAGTGTCTGACCGAACATCTTCAAGAAGTTTGAACGAGGGTCCAAAATTGAGCCCAGACTTCGCCATGGCCTTGTAGCAACGGCGGGTATTGACCTTGCGCACAAGAGAAGCTCTCTCTTCTGCAAGTCCAAAGTCTCCAATATGTGATCTGGCCTCGCCGGAGCAGTGCTTCTTCCAACTTGTCCCATTATGAGACGAAATAGAAAAGTCCCACCACTCACTATCAAGAGAGTCCGTCAAGCGATTGCGACGAAGTGCGGTCACAATCTCGACTGACTGACCGCTGTTAATGACAAGGGCAGTACTAACGAGAACATTCCGCAATTTGAATGACTCATTCACCCCGGTGATCTGTCGAACGGCTTCACCGGCCATTCCTGCATAGCCGGCAAAGGGAAAAACAATATCGTCGCCAACTTTGTGATCACAGATCCACGAGACATTGTTCAAATGAAGGACATTGCGGAACAGGACTTCATGTTCAGGACTTTCTAGTACTCGAAGACCCAGAAGCTCATGATGCGTGTGTTCGCGGTGCCGCCACTCTTTACTTAACCTGGACTCATACCAGAACTTCCTCGAGTGATCCCATGGGTATCTAGGCAGGTCTGGCAGGATTGAACCATTTTCGATCACTCTTTTGAAGTTGATGTCAGCATTTAGAACATGAAGATCTCCAATAGCTGCTAGGAATGACTCCACATCATTCTGTTTGCGACGCAATGCAGATGTATATGGACAAGTAGTGGAGTGCTGTGCCTGGATTTGCCGCAAAGGGCCAGCAAGGGCGGAGTGAGGGCCAACCTCGAGGAATACCATATTCGCCGCAATCTCGTGGTTGAGAATAGATGAGATCGCGGAGTGGAATAGTACCGGCGACTCCAAATTTTGCTTCCAGTATTTAGGACCGAGGCTTGAGGTTGGAGTGAGCAGCTTGCCTTCGACGGTGCTGAAAAACAACTTCTTGGGATCATTGGCTGATACTCCATGTTCAATGAGGGCATGATATTCATCGCTTATTTCACTCATGTGGTGAGAGTGGTATGCCTTGTCAACTTGCAACTTCCTTGTCAGGACATCAGGACGAGTCTCCTGGATATTGGCAACAATACTTTCAATAACATCGGTGTCACCGGCGAGGGTAACGCTCTGGGGCGAGTTTTCGCATGCAACACGCACACCGAGCTGGAGATATTGCTTAATCTCGGCGGTCCCCATCCCGATAGCTGCCATTGCTCCAGGTCTTGTCTGCAGCTTGGTAATCTGACCACGGTAGAAGGCAATTGTAATGGCTTCCTGGGCTGTGATTGCTTTAGCTGCATACGCAGCAGCTACTTCGCCACTGGAGTGGCCCACAACAGCGGTGGGCTGGATCCCAACAGAGGTGAAGGAATCAACCAGAGCGATTTGAATCGCCGTGCAAAGTGGTTGAGAAAACTCAGCCGAGTTGAGTCGACTGGCTTCGCTCTTCTTCTGAAGCTCTCCTTTAATAGTCCATTTCGGTGCAAGGGCAAGCGTCCGCAGGTATTCATCGAGGTACTCGATACTCTGATTGAAGACCGGATAAGTGGAACTTTCGATCATAAAACGTCCCATTTCTGGCCATTGAGCGCCCTGGCCCGTGAAAACCATGACGATGTTTGGCGGTTTCCCAGCATTTGACGACGTCGAGGTCGTGGCAGCACCGAAGGTGTTAACAACGGAGTATGCCCGGTGAGGCAAGTGCTCCCTCTTATTACTCAGCGTGAATGCAAGGTCACTAACTCTTTCAGGGTTTTTCTGGATGTACGTTTCGTAGGCGGTCTTCATGTTTTTCAGCGACTGGGCTGTGTTGGCAGAATAAACAAGCAATTGTGGTTCCGCAATAGGCCGCTTGAGAACAGGAGAGAGGCCGAAACTTTTAGCGGACTCGAGAATAACGTGGGCGTTGGTGCCTCCAATACCAAAGCCGTTCACGCTAATTCGCTCACGCTTTGCCGCAGGCCAAGGCGTTGGCTCCGTTGGAACAGAAAGTCCATAAGTATCCCATCCTATTTTCGGGTTGGGCTTGGTAAACTTGATGTTCGGAGGAATGATACGATTTTCCAACGCCAGTACTGACTTGATCAGCGACGTGAGACCCGAGGCTCCTTCAGCGTGACCGAGATTTGGTTTGACAGATCCAATATGAACGCCGCCAGAGGGACCGAAAACACGACCGACTGCTGTAGCTTCAATAGGATCTCCCACTTGAGTGCCTGTGCCATGGCACTCGACCAGCGCAGTCTCAGAGTAGTCCGTAATTCCAGCTATATCATAGGCATGTCTGATCAGTGCCTCATGGATAGCGCCATTAGGTACTTGGATACCGGAAGCAGTGCCCTTCCCATCGCTGTTGGATGCTGTTGCCCGGATCACGGCGCGGACTGGGTTGCCATGGCGGATGGCATCAGCCAAGGGCCTGATAAAGATAGCGGAGACAGCCTCGCCTCGAGCGTATCCATTAGCATCAGCAGAAAAGGTCTTGCAGGAGCCGTCTGGTGAAAGGACGCCTTCCTCCGACATGGCAATGGTCATAGTTGGTGTCAGGATCAAGTTGGCTCCGCCGACAATGGCTCCCTCGCAGTCCCCTCTAGAGATTGCTAGACATGCTTCATGCAATGCAACGAGCGATGCCGAACAGGCAGTACGTATAACCACGCTGTTTACCCCGAGTCATTAACTGGCATGGTATCGAGAGGTGGGTAGTTTATCTTACCTTGGCCCGGACAGGTCCATCTCATAAGAGACCCGGTTGGCCAGCATAAAGTCTCCAGTCCCAGTGAGGCGATGCATGCCATGCTGTTGATCTTCTTTGGCCTGAATTTCGGACCAGTCTTGGCCAAAGCTGCCCATGAAACAGCCAATGCGCCGTCCTTTCCAGATTTCGCCAGCGTCCTCCATGCATTCTCTGGCGACTTCTAGCATTTGTCGGTGATATGGGTCCGCTTTCTCTACTTCAGATGCACCCATGGTGAAGAAAGACGTATCCATGGTAGCAAGATCGATGCTCTCATCAAGAAAGTATCCATTCATGATCTGGATAGAGCCGGGTTTCGGCTCCTCGGAATAATATGCAGAAGCATTGTATCTGGATTTTGGAATTGGCCCAAGAGCATCACCCTTGGCAACCAAGAAGTCCCAAAATTGCTGTGGTGAATGCAGTCCACCCGGGAGACGAACTGACATACCACAGATGGCGATGGGCTCTGGGGAAGGGGACTTTGGCAAACAACTGCCAATTGAAAGAGCTTCCTTGCAAATGGTGCGATCAATGGTAGTATCATTGGGAATTTTAGAGCCATTTACGTTTGAGACATGCTCATTTGTGCCATTGGCATCCGCAGTCAAGGTTGCCATTGTCTTGGGTTTGCAGCTAGACTTGTAGTAAACGAGAAAAAGATTGTCTGAACGTTGGATTAGAACGAATTGTTGCGAGAAGTAACCAAAGATATATATCATCAATTATGAATAATACATCCTGTCTAAACTACAATCATCTACAGCCTCCAATGTGCATGCAAGCTACTGGGAATTATTTCGGGTATGTGCTGTACTACCGCACAGCCATCGCGCTCTCATATCTTGCAGCTGTGGCCAATGCATGGATAACAGAATTCCCATCATTGTTTTAAATCGTTGGCCCGCCACGAGAAATAGACTTGTTGCACAAAGGTGGTGAGTTCTCTTGTGGATGTGACCAGTGGACCTGCGAAGCTGGGAACTATAAAGATCGTACATGAATAATGTAATGCTCCTGCAAAATCTTGCAGATTCAAGTATAGTTGGGATCGCAGTGCCTGAGATCAGGCACACCGCTTCTTTTTTACAGTATATTGATCTATCATGTTGCCTGTTAGTGTTAGAACCATGCAATAGATCGGGCTCCAGCAAGCCACCAGCTTACAATAGCTTGGCGTTTCAACCTGCAGATGATACCATATGGCTGATAGTGAGTGCCATTCGTATCTTGGCATTGCAAGTTGAAAGCTTGGCGACTTGGGCAATGAAGGTTGCTAGATTGTCGTCCACAATGAGATCTCGAACAGATCTCGCGAACTGGACGCACTTCTGAATCGAGCCATCAACGCCTATTTACCGGAAACATAACTCCAGGTGGGGCGGGTCTACTATCGTATACTGCAAGTATCTTGCAGGTAACGCGGTTGAGGAGTCGCTGACTAGTCGGATCGATTTGATATTCACTCAACAGCGTCCTCATCGTCCTCATGGAATTGGGCAGCCTGGACCCCACTCTGCAAAAGAAATATGGTGAGGGTGGCCTAGGTATCCATGTCTTAGCTGTTATTGACATCTAGCGCTGTCAGATATCAGAACGTTCGAGTAATTAGAAATAAAAACACCCGGAATGACAGAGGATGAAACATGCGGACAGTTGCTAGACACTCGGCAAATCCTGAAGGAACATGACTATATGGAGGAATGGATATGCAAGACGACAACAAGTGCGGTAGACTGACGTCAGTGTATGTATGCTGCATACTAGTAGGAGGCGAAGCCAGATCTCCTCACTTATACTATTCAGTATTGTCTCGATTATTATTAACATCTACCGCTGCAATATGCCACAAAGTAAAAAAACGTGTAAATAAAATCACACAAGACGGCGCAGAGAAAAGGCGGACAGTCGCTGAAGATTCGTGAAATCGTAAGAGTACATGGCCGTGCATGGAAACATATGCAAGAAGAGAAGTACAAGTAAACGTATATCCAAGCAGGAAAATGCCGTAGGAGACATCACAAAGCACCGCTGATACGAGACTCGTCCGCGTCATCGGCGAACGCTGCTCGTCCGGTGAACTCGCTGACGGGGAGATCGGCAGGTCCATCGGACAGAGCCAGCGGTGAAGCAGTACGGACCTGACCATCGTCATGGAAATAGCCAACAGCACTGGGAGGACCCTCATCAGGACTGAACGGGATCGGACTAGCTTCGGAGGCACCAGTGAAACTGGCCCGGTTCGAAGACGAAATCGGATGCTGCGGTGGTGGACTGCCAGCACTGCTTCGCAGACTACCATTGCTTCCCCCCCAAGCGCCGCGTCTTAGTTTCATAAGCGCGCTCAGAGAGAGCTCGTCGTCGATATTTCCCATATCGACGAGCTGTGCCAAGCCTGGACTCGCGAGAGATGGGTTTGATGTTGCTCCGTGTGCCTTAAGCGAGATCATGGAGTTGCGGGTACTCCATTCACTTCGTTCAGTGATAGGTGTGAGACTCGGTTCTTGGAATTTGCCGCGGCTGCTATGGCTGCGGGTGACGCCTTCGACGCGTCGTGGGCCGAAGTATCCTCCGTTCGTCAGCTCTGTGTTGCAAGTGCTATCTGCTTGTGCATAGAAGCCAAATTCCTGGCCATAGAAGCCCTCGTCGTCGTTTTCTAGGGCTTCTGCGTTGGCTGCTGCGACGATTGCGTCGTCGAAATATGTGTCGTCCATATCGTCGTAATTTGTATCGTCGTCGAAGACGTCCTCAAATGCCATGGGGTCGGCTCCCTGGCTGAGACGGCTGTCGTCAGAGACCAGACCCGGTTGTGAGTCTACTGTTTGTGCCGTGTGGGCTATACTGTCTTGACCCTGGGATCTTTCACTCATGCTGATTGTTCGGTCAAGACGACTGTTCTGTGCGGCTTCGTTGGCCGCGAAAGCCAAGGCATTATGCAGAATATCCAAGTTTAGTTCGGTCAGTACACCACCATGGGCTCGAGCAGGACCCAGATTGGGTATTGGCTCTCCAAGAGGACCACGCTTGATCGAGCCTTTGCGATAATCACTTGCTACACTGGGCATGTGCCTGAGGCCGGGATCTCCGGTGTCTGTGCCAGTGCTTTCTTTGACCGGGGAAGAGTCATCCCCTGACACCGTGGTCTCCGCTGGTGGCGGTGCCTTAGGCTTTCGCTCGTATAGATGACTGGTTTCATCATCGAATATTGATTCATCGAAACCTCCATCTTGGTCGTTGATATTAAGATCTCCAAATTCGCCATCGTCGAAATACATATCATCCTCGTCGAGGATTGGCGGTAGTGGATTGCTGGCGGTGGGAATTTGAGAATTAGCCGCAAGAGGTGCCACAGGCTTCCTCTCGTATAGGTGACTGGTCTCATCATCAAATATAGATTCATCAAATCCCCCATCTTGGTCGTCGTTATTGAGATCTCCAAATTCACCGTCGTCAAAGTAAAGATCATCCTCATCGAGCCCCAGCGGCTGTTGAGTATTGGCTGCCGGAACCTGAGGATTCGCAAGCGGAGCATCACTGCTAGCCACAGGAAGCGGTTGCTCCTGGGTCTGATCTTGAGTATACTGAGCATCAACCGGCGGAACCTCATACTGGCCAGAAATATAACCAGAGTTACCCGTAACACCAGGCGGCGCAGGAGTAATGGGGCTAGCCACGACAGGCGACAACCCAGGAATAGCCCAAGACTTGAGCTCTCCGTTGATATTGCGGGAAAGAGAAAGGTCATCGAAATCGTCATCGTCAGCATCGACATTGACACCCGGGATCTTCTCTTCCAGACCATCCATGTCGTCCATCATGTCATTATCAAAGTCATCATCGAAGTCATCAAAGTAACCATCTTCAACCTTGCGAGCAGCTTCTTTTGCTTTATGCTTTTCTTCCAGCAGCTTTTCTTGCACGGAGGATTCTACTCCGCTCATGTCAAAGCTGAACCGGGAAGCATTGCTCTTGAGATGTCTTGGTAGACCAGACGGGTTGAATGGTACATGGGGAATCGTGTCTTCGTCGGCTGTTCCTTGATATTGGTATTCCTTGGGAGAAAGTGCTTTTGGTGGATTTCGAAGAGGAGCCGGGGACTCTGGTTCAGGCTGCTGTTCCTCAGGTTCATTGACTTCTTCAGGCAAATGAGATGGCAAGTTCCTCGCAAAAGCCGGTAATGACTTTTCATATCCAGGCTGAGATTGGTTCGTCAATAGCGAAGACTGAAGATATCCCTTATTCTCAACCTGTAACACATTCTGATCCTCAAAATGCTCCTTAAAAACAGGTGAATGATCACTGTGCCGTTTCGTCTGATCATTCCAGCGACCACCTTTAGGTTGACCCGGAATCTGAGAAGGAGGCGGTTCCTGCCCATCCTGCTGCGCAGAGACATTCTTGCGAGGTCTTGGAGCAGAGAAATCATGAACTATATTCCCACGAATTCGAGGATCATAGTCATCCGGCATGGCAGGCACGTGCCGATTATTGAGCTTCGGTTCCTCAGTCTTGGAACTAACGATCTGCGACGAGCGCCGACGCGCAAGAAGAGACATAGGATTCAAAAGATGAAGCATCGCCTTGCCAGACTTGTGATGCGTACTGGCATTTTCCGCAGACACATCCCGATCCCCAACACGGCGAACAGCCGCGCTCTCCAACTTAAATTCCTTCTGCGGCATGTTTTGTTTATCTGCAGGCGAGTTGTCAGGCGACGCCCTGAAACGAAAATGGCCAGACCCCGGACCAGCAGTAGGCGAACGTTTCTGCTTTCCAAAAGACCGACGGAAAGGCGAGTTTGATTTGAAATTCGACTCCCCATCCCCTTGATCAGAGCGCAGACCCGAAACAGAGACTTGGGAATCATTCGCCTGCGATGTGAAAGTTTCGTCTTCCCATTCCCCGGGGCTCGAATGAGGGCGGTTCTGGCTATCGTATGACGGCGAGGGAACGGCAAGTGTGAGGGAGGAAGAGAGCGGCGCGGCTGATGAGGTGATGTTTAGCTTGGATGTATCGATGTCCAGCGGCGATTCGATCAGGGGAGGGGCATCCTGCGAGGGGTGACCGAAGGGCGTGGTGAGGGTCGGGGTATCTGGAATTTGCGGGAGCTGGGGAGGACTGCTGATCGGGCTTCCATTATTTGGCCCTGTCCCTTTGGAAGACGGTGAGCCTGCTGGCAAGGCGGGTGATATGAGTGAACGCCTGTGGTCGCGGCGCCAGTATGAGAAGACTGTAGACGGCGGCATGGTGTAGTCCACCCACGCCAGGTTAAACCGTGAGGATTATGAGGGGGCGTGATGGTCCATTGCAGTTCTTGCGCTGAGGGGTGTGTCGACAAAGAGAGTTGCTTCTCACATACCGACGGGACCGTGGGGCGTGCAGGAACCCACTTTGAGCTTCAGGGCGAATAAGCTAACTTTGATGGAATGATACTTAAAAAATGACCAAAGAATTGAGGATAAAAATAAGTAATTTTAGGTTACGCTATGGAACGCTGCCTCGTGTCCTGCGCGTCTAGGCCCATCTTCAATATCGCGTTACCCTACATTGGGAATCACTTAATTAACATGCTTCGATTAATCGTACAAAATATTCTACATGGATATCCTTCAAAATCAAAAACGCTCAATATGCTATGCAAATAGGCAGAAATGGAAGGGTTTCATGCCGCATTTCAGCGAATGCTTTGCCTCCAACGGTCAATCACGGAGACCTGTGCCGGGTCAATTGGCTGTCCAGCCATGTTCATGTTTGGTCCACATCCTTGAGGCATGGCATATCCCATCCCATTCATACTCATGGTATGCTGGACTGGAAAGCCGGTCTGGGACATGGGATAGCCATATTGCTGAGCCATAGGGTAGGCTTGGGGCATACCGTACCCCGTGCTTGGGAATTGCTGCATTGACATTCGATTGCCGTACTGGGACATGCCCGGTCGCTGATTGAGAGCATCATGGGACGAATAGCGGTTGAGTTGGGCTGGGCGACCCTGCGTAAGGGCAGCCATGCTCCGGCGTACGCGTGGGTTCTTCGCCGGTGCAGGTTGGGCACTGGCCTCTTTTTGGAGACGAGCCCGTCGCTGCGCAAGAGTCTCTTCCTCATTGGTCTCGGGGTCAGCTGGGGTTTCTTTGGGAGCAATGCCAGCCCGGGTATCGATTTCAGCCATGAGATCACTGGCGAACTTGCTCTCCGAGCGGTTGTGTCCCTTCAGTCGTTGCAGACGTTCGGCCAGAGTTTCAGTCTCGACCTCATCACCATTCTCAGGGACAGACTCAGGTGGTTCAGGGGTGTACACTTTCTCGGCTCCATACACCGTAGCAGGGCGCCGCTCTGGTTGCGGAATGGGTTCACCCCGTAGTCTAGCTCGGCGTGAGCTCAGAGGTTCATTTTCCTCCTGTTGCCGTTTCTCCATTAAACCAAGAGGTCGATCCTCGTCGTTTGGATTGGGCCTTTCAGGATAGAGCATAGCCAAGGGGACATCTTCATCCTCGTCGCGGCCTTCCCAAGCCAATGCTACAGGGCGCTGTCGTCGTTTGTCACTCTGCTTTTGGGCCATTTCGTCCATTTCAAGCAAGGTGGTCTGCATTCCTTGATAAGGCATAGGAACCGCTGTGCGGCGTCGGTGTGCCAGCTCATGCTTTCGCAACTCGAGTTCGGCGATAAGTGTATTTGGTGGGCCGACATAATCCAGCTCCTCTTCACTGTCGTCTTCCTCTTCTTCGCCTTCGCCCTCTGTGGATTGCTCGCCGCTTCCAGAGTCAGTCACCTCTGACCGCGAATCGTCGTGTTCATTATGGACTCTATCGGAATCATGCCCAGCCTGCGAACCGTGGCCCGTGGTCGTTGAATCACCATGCTCATCCGTATTGTTGGTGCTAAGAGGCTGCCCCATGGTGTTCCGTGAGAGGCGGTTTGCTTTCTGTCCCGTCAAGTCCTTGAAAAGAGACTTACGCTTGGACTTTGCGTAGACGTTCGAGCCGAGATTACCAGCGAAGGGGTGATCAGTAAAAGCGGACACGGGTGCATTCGCAGAAGCGTCAAGAATGCTCTCCAGCGTCGCTACAGCGGACTGTTGCTTGACCTCTACTTGCAGGGATGTGCTGGGCTGGTCGAAAAACACACTCGCACGGAGGTGAGCCGGCACTCTGGATTTGTGTTTTTCGGTTTGTTCGTCGGTGGGTTTGTTATTGTCAGCACCGGGTACGACTGCAGTCGACTTTCGATCCTGAGCGACGATGGCGGCTGCAACCTCCGCGCGGCGTTTGTCGTGTGCTGTGTTTGTTTTGCGCGACAATTTAGGTGGGAGATTCAGCATGCGCGGGACAGGGGCTGGATAATACACCATGTTCTCTCCCGCTTGTGACTGTTTGTATGAGTCGGGATTCCTAGCCAAAGGCGGATGGTTCAAGGGGACCTGGCGCATAGACTCAGCCCTATCCAAAGGCGCGAAATGGACACCATCAAAATCGGTGAACAATGTGCGGGCCTGTTGGTAGGTATCGTTGGATGCGACCGAAGCGCGTCGCTCCATCGCTGCGGGGACTTGTTGCGGAGCATATTGGTCGTACTGGTAGTCGCTCTGAGGGTAGAAAAGGGGTTGCGTAGGAGGCAGGATAGGTAGCGAGGGATATTCATCTACCTCGTGTGCGAGTTCGCCATCATCGGGCTCGGAGAGCCGTGCCAGGTGAGACCCCGATACGGAGCGCTGACGCGCAGGGGACACATTCGACCCATGAGCGGAGGAGATAGTGCCCGTCGGAGAGAATGCACCATTCCGGAGTTTTATGGAATTCGACGCGGAACTGCATGAGCGCTTCTTCTGCGCCAGATCCATGCGGCGGATCTCGCTGCCGATACCTGCTGAGCTCGAGCTCAGCCGCTCCGCACTTTGCTCCAATCGCTCTACATTTCCAATGTAGGCACCTTGTATCGACTGAAGATCCGGGGTAGGGTGACTGAGAGGCACGGAAATGTCGCTGCATGCACTGTGGAGCGGTGGTTCGGGAGAGGAATGCTGCGCGACAGCTGTATTAAGCAGAGGAATGCGGCGGAGGCTGTTGGAACGCTCCGGGGAGGGATCGGCGTCATAGTCATCGTCCTCCACCACATCGTAGCTGGCAGAAGTCATAGAGCGGATCATGGAACCCAAAGGGCCAAAGTTGGAGTTGTCGGTCGTTTTGGCGGTTTCTAGATGGCTTCCTCCCCCAATGTGATTAGTGTCAAGCGGGAGCTGCTCAAATGCATGACCGTGGGCGGGCGAGGGGCTGCGTGATGCAGAAGCGGATGAGTTCGAAGCCACCTCGTGGTCGATCTGAGCGACGGCGTTGTACGCCATGATAAAGGATTTGGTCACCGGCTATCCATCCAGGCAAGGTCGGGGACAAAAAATACCGGGGATGCAAGACAAAGAAAAAGAAAAGGAAAGGGATAGGACACGAGAGAGGTGAAAACATGGGAGACCCGGCAAGGAAATGTCTCTCGTCACGTTTCGTTTGAGGTCTGGGCCGACTCTAATTTTGGAAGTTTGACCGTCGTACACAATCTTGGAATGCGCTCCCTAGTGTCTGCTAAAAACAAGTAATTAAACAGACCAAGCCACTAAAGGGGCCACAGCGTGTGTCTCGGGGTCTGCCTAGGTCCTTTTTTCTCCACCGTGGAGAGTCTTGGCATTGACATTATAGTTACTCGCGATCTATAACAGGTGGACATCCCTGAATATAAACCCACTCATTCTACTTTTTTGAGGCCTATAGATCCATTATACAGGCAACGCTTCCCATATGTCACTTCCAATATGCAACACCAAGCAACACCAGGGGGGTTTGTCTGACCATACCTCGATCCCGAACCAATCAAACCCTGAAATGATATCGCAAGCCTGCTTTTGTCATAAAATTACAGCTCGCATTTGACCAATTAGAAGATTCAGGTGAGAGGTGTTATGCGCGAAGATTGTGGCACACTCGTGGAGGCAATCCACCTCCTTTAATATAACTCTATACTGGAGTGAGATAGCTTTTCAGGTTATCTTCTTTATCTCGGTATGTCTGGATCATTCCACTTTAATTCTACTTCCTTGGAGAGGTAAGGTGTATCTTGCTATCCTTTCTCGGCTTTTCCATGGATTGTGTTTCCGACACTAGTACAAGACACCTCTCACCCCCTATATCAAAAGCAAAACATATGTATATTAGCAGAGCTGAACCACACCAACTAGGCCGCAATTGCCGTGAACCGGCTGGACTCGAGGTCGCATGACTATTTGCCTTCTCATGCAATTAGCCGGTATCAAGCGGCCGTGCATATGTAGTCCCTTCTATAGGCTTATCCATATCTTCTGGGGCTAGAGCATCGGTCTACTGCATTTTTTTTGAGCACAAACCTCCACCGGCTCAATGAAAACACCCTGTCTGCCAAGAACATCGCCAGCACACTCCAAACAAAACATCCACGTTTATTTCTCGACCATGGCCCAACACACTATATTAACTCAGCCTTACATCTCATGTGATATTTTCCAGATCCGGTACAATATACTTCTCCACTGATAGGCGTGATCGCCGGTAGGTGCTCAGACGTGCACAGGCCCGGTTGCCTTTCATCAAACTCCCCAGAGAAAACACATGTAAGCCCCTGTAGAAGTATTTATTGCAATCTCCTGTTGGGCAACCACATCATGCACAGGACTCCACAATACATAAATGATTATCTTCCCCGGAAAAATAAGCTTATTTAGGAATAGACCGGCCACGTGTAGACCATACGTACAGTATCACGGTGTGTCAACGTGGTACATTATTACTGATACTGTCATTCTTTTGTTGGCCTTCCACTTCAACGGAATATTCTGACGCATTAATCTGCTCAAGTTCGGCGTAAAGGTAAAGTTGAGATACGAGCATACCGAAACCTGTACCCTTAGAAAAAACCAGGGCTTACCCGCAACAGGTTTCTGACAACATCGTAAAAAGTCAGCACAGAGCCGTTGGATAATGATTCAACGAAATTGATTTTGACTACCGAAATGTAAATATACAAATAAATGATAATCTTTACCCCTAACGCCCCAAAAAGTCCTCGCCCTCTGCACATGAGGGTACAATAGTCCTATTCCTATGGCTCTATGTCCCGAATGCCTTCCCCTCATGAATTACCGCGCTGGTTGGGCTTTTGTGCCAATGGCATGCGTGGAGCATTTCCAGAATTAGTACTGGGTTGATGTTACTTGAGTAAATTGGGGTGCTTACGGGGCGCATATGGCCAAGAGGTTTGCAGTAGGATGGAGTATAGTCCAAACTTGTTTTGAAATTCCAGTTATCAGTCCATTTGCCGAATTATATAGAACTTTGAGGCAATGGATGTATATGTAACGATGCGCGCTTCTCGATAGCTTTGCTTTTGTTTTCGATACTGCGGTCCCTACACCACATATGCTAGGAAAGGTAATCTCAATGAGCCATTCTTGATATATCAGTCCCTGTATCTGAAATCGATAAATGAAGGATGTTGTGGTGTTTAGAGCCCGAACCTCAGGAGACACATAGATATGGAAGCAGAGCAGCAAGCCCAAAATCAGTACTGACACCATTCGGGAAGATTTAAATACAAAACTTTGAAAGAGTATATAAAAAATAAACCAAATTAAAACACCAACAAGAAGGGGGGGGGAGGCATAGTAATATAGACGGTCACGTGATCGCGCGTCACATATCGACGCGCCTCAATCGAACTTTGAGAACAACAAGACAGAACAACTCAAGGTGACACCATGTCGTACTATGATATCGACTCAATCTTAACAGACGCACAAGTATGTGAGAATTGACAACAGAGATCTAGTTGCCAAAACAACAGGCTAATAGAATCCAGAAACTGCCCTGTACATTCGAGCTCGAGGTACCGGGACTAGGAATTCTCGAAGGTAACCCGGGCGAAGATGTCTGTATCCCACCTCCTCATCTTGTTATTCAAATGGCTAACCTGTCTCCAGATCAAACCCGGAACCCGGATCGACCTGCCACTATGGCTTGGTGAAATGCTCTCCATCGGGTAAGGCCCTCACCAACCTCATTCTCGACTATCTACCCGAGAAGTCCACCATGTCTAATGTGAAACGATACAGAGCACGACTTGGTACATCCCGTCTAGTAACGCTCGACATGCCAGAAGCGCTCTCAGAGCGGGTGATGAATGCACTGAAGGCAGACCCCCGCACGATCGACCTACGCGCTTTAGCGCCCCATTTCTACAATCTCAGCGAGCGCATTCTCGAACTCTTCGAAGAAGAAGAGATGGTTGATGTTCTTACTGATGTAAGTGCCGTGTTATTTTCCGTATCTTGCTTATGATGCTTGTGAGGAATGTTTTCGACAGGGTTGGCTCTAACTAGATGCTAGACATTCAAGAAACGAGCGGCGGAGATTGCAGACCACGCGCACAATTCGCGTGGAGCGGTTGGTGACGGAGTTGATTTCTTGCGTGGGTTGGATGAGACTGAGCGACAGTGTAAGTTGTGGTTTCTTTGACTTTGGGTGTGTAGGAAATTACTGATAGGTTGGATAGTGTTCCGGGCTGCTCACGATCGAGCCAAAGATATGCGGATCTGGTCTGGAGAGGCGAAGCGGAAATGAGAGGGTTTGTGATAGGGAATTTCTTTTCTCATGGACTGAGCTGTGCTCGTCTGTGGAAATTTTGATAGATACATTTTATTTTAACTTTAGTCCATATGATTCTTCACGCCGATAGGCTGGTGTAGGACAGTATTGAGATTCACTGTGCTTTCTTCATCTATCTACTCTCTATCTACTCCCAATGTGGCAGGTTAGACTAAAAGAGAATTTGTAGATGGTTGGAAAACGAGAGCAATATATGAGACTTTCTGCAGGACGTCTAAGAGAACCTGAGTACTGTATGCTAAGTTATGTCTAAGATTTGTGACGTGGAAAATGGACAAAGTTGACAGATGAAACCCGACCTGTCCGAAAGTCTGGAAAGAGTGGAGACTCCACGCGGACCGCGAACTGGGATTTCCATGGGTGAGATCGCCAGCTACGGAGGACATGTTCATTTCTTTTCTCAAAGTGTAAACAAACGTTCAAAGTCCCAGAAAGACTAAAATGTGGCTGGCTACCCAATTCAAAGGCATCCGTCAGAGTGAATGAGGTCACTTACGGGTTGCAGGGATTGAAATCCTCGTTTCAAAGCGGAGAATGGCATTGGCTTCCTACATTGCCACTCAGAGACCAAACGCCTAGAGTAAGGGAAAGCTGAGACGGTTTGGCCCCACGGGCACTATCCGATTGGCGACTGGGATGTCAGGAACTAACTTAGCGTACTTAGCGTATGCAAAGTGATCGCCAACTTGATGAATCTAGCCGGGGGCTGGGAGCAGAAAATTGAGATGCCTTTCCATTCCAATTGTCCATTCTTCCATACTTCTAGACTTCCATTCTTCCATTCTTTAATTCGGTAATTGCACCCCTACTATCCAAACAATAACAATCTAGGGAGACTTAAGTGCTTGCTAGCCGAGACTGACTCGTCACAATTTGTTTGCTTCCCCTCGCTTCATTTGTCCCCGCAGATATCGACCTCCCTTGATCTCCCTTGACTCTAGCCCTAGAGTCTTTCTTGACTCCACAAGTTCCACGGACCTGCTTCTGATTGCTTCTCGGCTGCAACTCATCTGCATCCCTCACATTGTCCTGCCGGCTGGTCGGCCACCCCATCTGATCATCCAATACGTTGTCTAGCGACCACCCAATTGGCGTCAAGACTCCGAGATTCATTGAATCTTCCGATGCGGCTGGATTGTTGCTACGGTACCCACTGATAGACCTGGACGCCGCTGTGCCGTGTCCAATCTAGTGCTTGCTCGGCACGTCAACTATGCACGGTACCTGCAAATTATGTCTGCAGCTATGATGGAAGGGACAACTCAAAGGTCTTCGGCTGCTGGACAGCCCACTCCTTCACAATCTCGTTCTTCCCACTCTCGTACATCTGTATATCATAACAAATCTGCTTCGTCCAAGCGCAGTGTCTCTAAAGATCATTCGCAGTGTATGTGAAATCTCATTCTTCTCTTCGTCTTAGGGGTTGTCACATTTAATGATACGGTGAAACTGACTCCCCTCCAGACCCATCTGAGCGCCCGCAACACCCGTCGCTTTCTCGCGTGAAGGGCAGAGACAAGATGTTCACTCCGCCTCGAATGAGTGCCGAGGTGTCGTGGCTGAGAGATCAGTCACCGGCTCACTCTGGCCCAAGGACTCCTTCCCGCTCACGTGGTATGTCTACATCCCCAGTTGTACGCCTTGGGGCCACAGAGTACTGACTCGGGTGACATAGAAACGCCTGAGCCTGGAACACCTACATTGGTGAATCCTGCCTCTGCTTTATTGCAAGATCTCCTCAAGGAACAGCGCGCGCATCGCAGCTCCCGAGGACCCAACTCAGACGAATGGGAAGACGCTCCTCGAACTCCAGAGGGAATTCGCGCACAAGACGATACTGGATCTGAAAAGGCCCGAAAGGTGAATGACGTTTTTAATGCCGGGTTGAGAAAGCCAAAAGAGATGGGCATTCGGGAAATGGATCAGGTATGTTTTCAAGTTGGAGATTGGTCTGCACAGGCTCATCATTTTGCAGTATGTTTCGAAAATGAACAAATTGAACTTCGATTTGAAACTCGAAGTGTTTCATCGCGCCCAACAGATGAGTACCCTTGAAAAGAAAGTGGAGCGAATGGAAGCGATGGAGGAAGAACTTGCCCGAATGCATGACCTGGCAGCTGAAGTTGAAGAGCTTCGCGCCACCAACAAGGAGAACCAGAGACTGCGAGAATCCAACGAGCAACTCCGCAGCGACCTTGACAAGCGAGACCTAGCAGTAACCGAGGCAGTTGAGCTCATCTGCCAGTTGGAATCAAAGATTGACATGCTGGAGAATGGCGGCAGAAGCTCAAGGATGAATATGTCACGACCAACCACTGCGGATGGCTCTGGAGTTTCCACGCCCAAGGCCCGGGCTATGATAGACATCCCAGAGAGAACCTCATCGAAACGAAACTCAAGTATGATCACCCTTCCGAGACGAGATACTTCATCTGAAATGCGGAAACTTTCGAAAGCGCCGTCATTCCTTCGAGGAGAGAACAAGAGCACGGCGACTCTACGAAGCCTTTATGAACCCGAAGAAAACCAATCGCATTCTGTCTTGAGTCAGCTTACCAAGTCAGAGAGCTTCAATACGATGAGCGAACATGAGCCCGAATCACCCAGGTTGAGTGTTCTCAGTGAATGCAGTGAGCTGGATCCCTTTGGCACGCCAACACAATGGAACCACCTTGATCAGATTAAGATCCCAGTTCGGAAAGCATCTTCAACCACAGGCAGTCTCGATAGCTATGTCGCCCCTGCAGATCAGGAAGAAAGTAAAGAGGACCAGATTGATCGCTGGATGCAGTCAAGACAGGATATGCCACAGACTATCATCACGAGGCGCAGGAATAGGGCATCATCAGATGCCTCCCAGGCCGCTCTCCCTAACCTGAAGGCAGATCTATACTCCCAGAAGCCCCGCGGACGTGGACGATTGGATGCATCGCTCTTCGGGGGCGTCAGACTTCCTCCTACACCCGACACCATGAGCACGGCATATGCTATCGGCACAAACCGCTCAAACGGCAGCATTGCAGCTCGACGGAGCCCAGTTGAGCATGACATGTACTTCCCAGGTAGACGGCTGGACCGTCCACGCTCGGCAGATGAAGTGACTACAAGTCGCCCAAGCTTCGATGGAAGTGCAGTCAGCGACAGCATGCAGACCAATTGCAATGATACCCCACGCCCTAGTCAAATTACCCTTGAATCACCCACTATCCTGCCCGCCTTCAACACCGTCTCTTCCAAAGCTAGCGAGCTCCTTGGCCCTGGAAGTCCTAACAATCCTGTCATTGAAAGCTTCGCAAGTCTACACCAAAGCACCTCCAAGCAAGCATCAACACCCACTATCAAACGCGTCCGCAGCCCAGTCAAAGCCATGACCCCAGAACCCCAGTCAAAAGACGAAGCATCACCACCGCTGACCCCTCAAGACTGGATGGCAGCCGCAAAGCAAGGCCCACGCTCGCAGAAAGGAAAGTCCCGCGAAACAGGACTCGAAATCGAAGATACACAGCTCCGCCCCGGCAGAACCCTACTCCAACCGGCCTTCCACGACGCCAGCAGCATAGTCTCGGCCCTGAGCAGCGAGCCCGACGTCCCAGGTATCCCAACACTAGACATGAACACCCTGGACATCCTCGAACAGCCCCTGGACCACCCACAAGCAGAATCAAACCCAGAACCCGAAGCCCGTCGCCGCCTAAGCTTCCGCCCGCCATTCTTCAGCCGCTCAAGCAACGGCCCACGGACCCTGGCAGCATCTCCAATCCCGAATGACTTTGACGAAGATGACGAGGACGGAGCTCCGTCACCCATAATCCCCAAAACAAGGACTATGGGTGGTGCAGCGCGTAGACCGATGTCTCAAATCTTCACTGATTCAACTGGTCTTTATAATGATCAGCCCTTGCCTCTGCCTCTGCCAAGAGAGGCTTCCTATCAAACCCAGCCTCAACCTCATCATTATTTTCAAGCCCAAACTCAAACATATCGCTCAACAAACCTCCCATCCTCCCTCACAGACCCATCCCTGAAAGACCACCAGACCTCGGCAACAATCTCCGGCCGCCCATCTACATCCCACGGTCTGGGCTTAGGCACAGAGCACAAACGCCGCAGTTCGCTAGGTATCTTTGGCTGGATGAAAGGGAAAGCCCTCTCCAGTTCTACGGACAAGGAAAAATCAACTGATAAATCAGCTGAATCACGCACGCTGTCAAGATTGGCGTATGAGCATGGTGATGGAGATGTTGCTAGAATGTCTCGTGCTATGACGCCTGATTCTTTCGATGTGCAAACTGCTGTCAGGGGGCATTTTGAGATGGAAGGGCAGGAGGAGGGTGGAAGGAGGCCAAGATATATGGGACGGAGGGCGAGGAGGGGGTAGAGTTTATCTGTTGTCTTGATATCATTGGGTATGCTGCTGTCTCGGTTGCTACTTTGTTTACTTTATTTGTATTATATGATACCCCTTTTCTTTTCTATGTGCAGTGGCACAGCTGCCACGTAAGTGATCTTGCCTTTGATGTGAGCTGTGCTTCGTTTTCAATTTCTGTCTCCATTGTTTCGAATTATGAGGGTTATGTTTAGTTACTGTGCATTGCTGGAAGGTTTTTGTATTGATTCCGGTGGCAAGTTCACATTGGAGTTCATCATAATTCGTTTTATGCATTGTGTAATGAAATGAAACGCAATGATTACTGGAATGACTAGGTCGGCCGACATCACTCATTCTGGCCCATTTCATTTTGCTTCGCCTTCTCCATCTTGTCTCATATCAGCGTTGTCCACTGGAGTACCAATTGCTCCAATTTCTGATCTGCCGAACTGAGATCCGAGCAAGACTGTATATCAAAAGCTCAATATCAATTTAGATTTCATCTAGTCAAATTAACCGCACATGAGAGACCCCACGCTGCGTTTCCTCATTTCACATTAATCCAAATCCAATGCCCTGTTTTTGTGGCTTTCCAAAACACCAAAGATTATATACAATAACCAAACATGGCATGGCATAGCATGGCATAGCAAGTAAGATATCAAAGCAACAATAGAAGAAACCTAATACCAGCCATTCCCCTTCTCGCCCAACTTCTTCTTCTTAGGGTTAAGGGAGAGGACCCGCTGCCCGGGCAAAGTATCGGCCGTGAAAGCGGCCTCAAAAATACTAGCAATACCGCGCTTGGCATAATGCTCAAAAGAATCATAGTCGTCCCTTTTCCCATTGATAGCACCCCACTCAATACCACCCGGCGTAGTCCCATCACCAAGATCCGTCCATCGCGTCACAACGATAGCCTGCTTGAACCGTCCATCTGTCCGGTCCTCGCAGAGTTTAACCTCAATGAGATATTCAGTTGGACACTCGGGGCACCTTCGCATAGGTCTACAGAACCCACAAAGTGTCGTCAACGCATTCGGATCAAACCTCTGGCCCGCAATGCGATCTTTCACGCGGTGTTCGATACCCTGCAATCCGCCTGTTTGTCGTATTTTGGGGATATGATCTAATGCGCATTTACAGGCGGGCATCAGTTCGCCATCGCGCCAGTGTGCGCATGCGCTGAAGTATGGCCAGTAGTCCTCGCGGCTGTAAAGAAGCATGCGCATGGCTGATGGTGTGAGCCCTGGTTCTGCGAATGTCTGGCTTGTTACGCGCATTAACAAATGGCCATCGTTAATGTGGAAGCGAGTGGTATGCGACCAGTCGTCGCGTTGCCAGCGCCGGCCTAGCGTGTCTGGTGTTAGGCCGTATCGGGGCCCGAAACGGCGGTTGCGCATGGTGAGTTGAACAAAGGTGAAGGGGAGGAGGCGGCCGTGGGTTATGCGATGGCGAGGTGGTGGGTTGCCTGAGTTTGTAGCGTTTGGGCAGTTGAAGAGGGGGTTTAGGACGTGGGAGGGTCTGAGGCGTTCTGTTCCTTCTTGGGTGCGGCGGTGGTAGATTGCGCAGGGGATGCAGAGGAGGTGGTGAGGGAGGGTTTGGTCCAGGCCGGAGAGGAAGGTGAGTTTGTAGGATATGTTTGAGGGGTGGTCGAGGGACATGAAGTATCTGGGTCCAAGCCGTCGGTATAAAGTTATGCTGGCGATTGCGAGGCTGGCTGCTTCCGCTGGGTTTAGGTATGATGCTATTTCAGCCCATAGCTTCGGTGGAAGACTGGCTATGTCGCCTTCGCCTGGTGGTCTGCGGTCGTAATATTCGTATGCAGAGCCGGTGTTGCCGTTCATGTCCAATGTTCCGAGAGAATGGATGATCTCGGTGTAATCTTGTCGCTCGCCCAACTGGGTATCCACTTGAGTGTGCAATTCCTTGTACTTAAGTCTGTGTGCGTGCAATGGCGCCAATTCTGGCATCGGAGGCGCTTCATCAACACTGGAGCGTGCGGCCAGCCGCAGGTCTGTAGTCGATCTGCTGCCCTTGCGGAGGGTTTGACGGGATTTCTTAGGACGTAAGGCATTGCTTAAGAAGGCTTTGAAGCCATGCTGCTGTCCAGGACTTTCTGCCGACATGCTGGAGGTGTTGTGAAGCAATGCAAATGGCACGAGGTTCTAGAACAAGATTATCTGGGTCTAATGTTTCGGATGGTGGTGACGTGCCCTGCAAGCGGCGCGCCCGGTCCGACCAAGCCACACTGTGGCTGAAGCTTTACCATTTAGGACATACGGATCGAGCGGATGGGAGATATATAAATGTTCAATCGTGGGTAATATTGGAAAACACATGCTACAATACAAGGGTAATTAAGCTCAGTTATTATAGCATCCTAGAGAGCTGCTTAAGCGAAACGCTTCTCAGCGGCCTTCCAGTTGATGATGTCCCAGATGGCAGAGAAGTACTCGGCCTTGCGGTTCTGGTACTGGAGGCTATGAAAGTGTTAGTATATAGTGATATACCTTTAGGGGAAGGACTCTTACTAGTAGGCATGCTCCCAAGCGTCAATCCCGAGGATAGGCTCGAACTGGCCGACGACGGGGTCCTGGTTCTATAAAGAAGTTAGTAACTAAAAGCTTGAGATCAAGTCATAGCTAGCTTACGGCGTAGGTGCGGATGGAAATCTGGCCAGTCTGCTTGTCCTTGACGAGCCAAGCCCAACCACTGCCCTGGATGCTGGCCAGAGCAGCGTTCATCTTGCTCTGGAACTCACCAAGGCCACCGTAGGTGGTGTCAATGGCCTTGGAGAGAGCACCAGATGGGGGCTCGCCACCACCGGCGTTCTTGGGAGCCAAGTTCTCCCAGAAGAGGGTGTGGTTGAGGTGACCACCGCCGTTGAAGTTGATGGCGGGCTTGAGAGCAATCTGAGCAGCAATGTTGCCCTGGTGCTGGGCCTCCTGGAGCTGCTCAACAGCATTGTTGTAGTTGGTCACATAGGTGTTGTGGTGGTTCTTGTGGTGCAGCTCCATGATCTTTCCAGAGATGGAAGGCTCAAGGGCGCCATAGTCGTCTTGTTTGGGTTAGTTTACTGGCGTATGAGAGGCCAAAGTGAAGTCTTTCCTGGACTTCACCTGGCATGGGTGTACACAACTCACAGGAGAGGTCGGGGAGAGTGGCCTTGCCGCGGGCAAAGGTCAGACCCGCAGCACCGGCCTTGGAGGTAGCCGAAACTCCCGAGCGGAGGGCAACGCGGGCAGTGTTGCTGAAGAGGGTAGCAGCCATTGTGAAGATATGGGGTGTGAATGTATGTTGAAAGGAAGTAAGAAAAAGGGATGCCAATGGTAGGGGAATGGGTTTAAGAAAAAGGTTAGTGGACAAGCCGAGCTATGAAGTAACCGGCCTTAACGTCATCTTGTTTTCGTCCGGGGCCGGTTATTCCGGTCCCGGATCTCCACGTGAATTTCATGAGCTTCGATTCTTGTCTTTTGATAGCATTACTTGCTTACCCCAACGCGGTTATTGATACAGAAGGGGACAGTCGTCTTGGCTCACCTTTGCCAATGACCCCCTGAGCAAAATGGAGTCGCCTTCACACGTCGGCCAAAAGCGCAAAGTCGCCGACGCCGACATGAGCTCCGAAGATGATGCGCCCCCCACCAACGGCTTCAAAGGATTCGCCAGAGCTGCCTCTCGATCCGAGTCACCTCCATCAACAGGCGGATTAGGCAGTGGCAACCGCAACACACGCAACAACATGGCCAACGTACGAGGCGGCGCGTCGCGGGGAGGGAGAGGAGGCATGGGAGGAGGTGGAAGCTCTTTTGCTGCGCGCATGATGGCAAAGATGGGTTACAAGGAGGGACAAGGTCTTGGAACTACTGGCCAGGGTATTGTCAACCCGATCGAAGTACAAGCGCGTCCGCAAGGTGCAGGTTTGGGTGCCGTCAGCGAGAAGTCGAAAAAGACCCGCGAAGAAGAGCGACGAGCAGCTGCTCAGAAGGGCGAGATTCTTGAAGATAGTTCCGAAGATGAACGCCAACGACGACGAAAGAAGAAGGAAGAGCGCAAGACACAGAGCCGGAGTGGCACAGGCACACCGATCCAGCGGGCCAAGCCTAAGTTCCGGACAGCGCGCGAGATAGAGGATGACATGGAGGGACTCGAGGTGCCCAATGTTCTCAAATCGCTCGTCGATGCTACCGGCAAGGAACAGCGTGTTATCACTTCCACCGCTGGCTTGATGTCAAGACAAGAATTCGTCAGCCAAGAGGAAGGAGAAGCATTGAAGATTGCCCGAAGAGCTCGAAACGATCTGGAAGCTTTTGCCGACGAATGGAAGGGGCTGACAGAGAGGAAGAAATTCATTGAACTGGAAGAAGCTCAGGTCGTGGATGAACTAGATGCATATCAATCTCGGGTCGACCATCTTACGGGTTTGATCGCTGCAGTGGAAGAGCTAGACCTTTTCGAACACGAAGAAAGCGTTGCATCCAAATTTAATGAGATGACCGACAAACTTGAAGCCATGGAATTCAAATACCGAGATGCAATTGATGAGCACCGTCTGCCAGAGACCGCAGTCGCAGCCCTACATCCGCTATTCCGCCAGGCGATGGAGGAGTGGGAGCCTCTTGAAGATCCTACTTTCCTTGTATCCAATCTCACCCGGCTTCAGCCTCTTTTATCTCGCCAGGCGAACAACGAAGAGCCACGAAAACGGTCATCCACGTCCCCTTACGAAACAATGATCTATACTCTCTGGCTCCCACGAGTGCGCTCAGCACTTTTGAATGATTGGGATGTCTACGATCCATCCAAGGCAACCGCGCTGGTCGTGGCCTGGAAATCGATTGTGCCTCCATTCGTCTTTGCAAATGTCCTTGACCAACTGGTCGTTCCGAAGCTGGGTGTAGCCCTCAAAAACTGGAAACCCCGGAGTAGCCGACGACATGGCGCTTCCCAGCAAGACGGCAAGTTTCCTTGGTGGCTGTTCACGTGGCTGCAGCACTTGGGTGACAGACACACGAACCCCAAACAGCCCACGGGTCTCATGTCTGACGCAAAGAGAAAGTTCCGCGTGGTACTGGACACATGGAGTCTGCGTAAGGGACTAGTTGACAGCATTGAGATCTGGCGGGATGCGCTCGGGTCTGAATTCGACGTATGCCTCCGCAACCACCTGCTACCACGTCTTGCTCGTCATCTTCGCGAAGACTTTACCGTGAACCCGCAAGACCAGGAACTCACAGTCCTCGAAGATGTACTACGCTGGAAGCCGTTCTTCCAACCGAATGTGATGGGACTGCTTCTTGTCTCCGACTTCTTTCCGAAGTGGCACGAAATTCTCTACATCTGGCTCACCAACGACCCGAACTACGAGGAAGTCGGTGCCTGGTTCTCCTGGTGGCGCACCCAAATTCCAGCAGAAGTCAACGAACTCACCATCGTCGACGAAGAATGGAAGAAGGGTCTCCAAACCATGGATCTTGCTTCCCAGCTGGGAGACCGCGCCAGTGCAGAACTCCCCCGTCCTACCAGTACACAGACCAAGCTTCCAACTCGGGAAGACAAGGTGGCCGAAGCCGCCGCTGCAGCCGCTGCAGCTACTGCTGAACCTCGCAAGGCACCTGTTGTGGAGGAGGTCGCTTTCAAGGATATTCTTGAGAACTGGTGTTTGGAGCAAGGACTTATCATGCTGCCTTTGCGTGAGGCCCACCCGCAGAATGGCCAGCCGCTGTTCCGTATCACGGCCAGCGCGACAGGAAAGGGTGGAGTTGTGGCCTTTGTACAGGGTGATGTGGTTTGGGTGCAGAATAAGAAAGCCAAGGAGATCTGGGAGCCGATGGGGCTGGAGGATCAGTTGGTAGATCGTGCGGAGGGCAAATAGACAGACCATCGAGTGCATACAGTGGTTATAGGGCTATGAAACCTTTTAGCAGTCTACACCCACCTTTTGTTCCATTCTGTCTAGTGTACAGCCTTGGAGTCTCAAATAGTTTACTGTTGTACTAAACATACTGCCAGTGTAGCCAGTGACTTTTCACCCACCCTTCTCTTCGTCCCAGAATCAGCCGTATACAAGGAACTAGCTGGTACGTAATACCCAGCTGTCAAGCAGCCGAGCATTGCCCTATGACTTAATATAGAACAAAGATCTACTATAGTCAGAACCACAAGCTCAACGGCCCCCATCCACCACCCGTGATCGACATCCCCATGACATCAAGAAGCAACCCCAGCCGTACCAGATCAAATAACTGTATATGGAAACCCCCACTAGCAATGATAAACATCTCAACCTTCCCCTCCCGTCTCGCGCCCGGGTTAATATGATTCTGCAGGGCGCCTAACTGCACCTTCACGGCCCCTGGCTGTGATATCACCGGGGGCTCTATACGCGCATGTCTGGTATTATTGGCCCCCAACACGGGCAGAACCAACAGAATTTTTGAACATGACTGGATGAGTTGGCTTGCTGAAAGACTCAGCATCCCACCTCCACGTTTTCAAGGGGACGAGGATGTAAAATTGAACTCTGAGGCTCAACCGCGCTTGGTTACATTTGGAACGGGTGTTACGAGTATATGATATTTAAGGAGACTCATACCTACATTTATAGCTCCAACGAAACCAAATTTTCATCTGCAAGCCACTTCAAACCAAACCAACCATCAAAATGCAAACCAAACTTCTCACCACTCTCCTCCTCTCCACAATGGCCTTTGCAGCCGAAACAAGCGACTCGCCTTCGCAATCCGCCACTGAATCCAAGTCTGCTGCCCCCAGCAGCATAATGCAAACAACCGTTAGCCCAGTCGTCAGTGCTACATCCCTCTCTGGCTCGTCCTCGGGGTCGCCTAGCGTACCTATGACTACCTCTGCCAAGGCGAGCGGGAGTGGATCTTCGTCTAGCGCTAGCACCTCCGCTTCGACATCGATTAGTTCTGGTGCTGCTGCGGCTCCTACTGGGGCTGGGATGAGGATTGCTGGCGCTGCTGGGATTCTTGGGCTTGTTGTTGTCTTGTAAATGAATGGGATAGGTGAATGAGAATGAATGGATGGATGTTTGGGGATGTCTTTGTTTCTTTTTGGGATATGAGCTTGTTTTCTTTGGCATACTTGCTAATATGGCCTGATTACCTTAGTACTACATAAGTTGAGAGTAATTTAAGCAGTTCAATTGACAACATGTGGAGCAACCTTAGACCGATCGGAGTTGATGGAGTCGGGGAATTCGGACTCGGACTATTCTTCGGGGAGATCCAATATGAATTGAAACGTAAACATGGAGATCTCAGAACCAAAAGAACCAAAGAAGAGAATTAGACGAAGTAAAAAGGAACTAAAAACGCCTCCATCTGAGCCTTACAGATCTGACCAATCAGAGTGTTTGTAAAGTACCACTGCGGGAAAGCAGATCCAGCCAATCACAAGTTAGGCAAAGGTCAGCACCATCTCGTCAGTCACCAATGGCAGTTGCGGCATTAAACGTTTCTCAGCACAAAGCATCTCGACTGCGCCGCCTGCAGCAGCTAGTCTTCCAACACTGCATTTGCTGACCTTTGTTTGCAATATGATTGGCTCCGAGGCACCCCCTTGACGAATGCATCTCCATTTTTCCCGGGTTGGCCTGAACTAAAGTGGACTTAGGCTGTATTTTTTTCTTCTTACTTGGTGGTTGCTGAGACCGGTGTGGTACTGAGAGAGCCTGTTAAAAGGGGGTAGACGGCCGATCATTGTAGATGCTTTTTTTTTGTTCTTTCCATCTTCATAGTTCTTTGATAACCTTCAATCGTCTTTCTCGGACTTTCGAATTTCGGTCTCATTTGGGAATATCCCGATTGTTCTGAGCTTGTTTACTTGAGACTATTCTCTAGCCGTTGCCTGTTTCATACTTCGTAATTGGCAATCTTTTGGCCCTGGTGTCAGTTACGCGGCTTACCACTGAGCTATTTGTACTACAAGAGCTTGCGGGATATTGTGGGAGCGATTTGCCCGAGCATCTAGATCAGACTTGTCTTTCCGAGCACTCAAGAGCTGCAAATCGACGTGACATATTACCAAAACAAAGATGGCATTCCTCTTCATCAAGCAGAAGCTCTTCCCGACAAAGGAATCAGACAAGCTACCCGCAGGTAAGCAAACGGAGATCCTCAGATATAACCCCAGGAACTAACATACCGTCCAGGCAAACAACGCCTTCTAGCTCGCCTTGACGACGACCAGACCATCCGCGGTGACTCAGACCAAGACCTCGAGTCTCAGAGCTGTCGATCCTACAACACATTCGGCAACACCAGCCAGCACGAGTCTGCAACCAGCGGTAGCAGCACTCGCTCAAGGATCAACCCGCGCATCGTCTCAGATGCCATCCTCGGTCTCTCAGATGGACTTACAGTCCCCTTCGCCCTGAGCGCGGGTCTGTCAGCATTGGGAAACACAAAGGTTGTCGTTCTGGGTGGACTGGCCGAGCTGGCAGCTGGTGCCATCTCCATGGGATTGGGAGGATATGTCGGTGCCAAGAGTGAAGCGTACGTTGTCATCCATACATGACTTCATGTCCAAAGAACCAGCGCTAACAAGATATCCAGTGAATCATACCAAACCACCGTCCGTGAAACTCAACAATTAATCGAGAATGACCCACAAGAAACTCGCTCTATGGTTCACGAGACTTTCGCCCCATATGGTCTCTCGGACTCTGCTATCGAGGATATCACACGCGACCTGCACGCCTCACCAGACCGACTCTGCGAGTTCCTACTTACATTCCATCACCGCGAGACAGAGCCTGACTGCAACCAAGCCTGGACCTCGGCTATCACGCTTGCACTTGGTTATTTCATTGGCGGATTCATTCCTCTCATTCCTTACTTCATCGTCTCGCAGATTACGGTTGCCTTGTACTGGAGTATTGGTGTGATGGCCATTACGCTGCTGGTATTTGGATATGTCAAGACCTGCGTTGTGCGTGGCTGGTCTGGGCGTGATAATGTGCTCGCTGGTGTTTGGGGTGGAGTTCAGATGTGTTGTGTTGGTGGGGTTGCTGCCGGTGCGGCGATTGGACTGGTGCAGTTGATTGATACAGGCAGTTCTTGATTCAGTATATGCTGATGCTGTTCGATTCTGCGATGCATATGTGGAGTTTCTATTTTCTGGGTTCATCTCTGCTCTGGGCGTTTGGGTAAAGCTATAAAAGCTGCACGATACTCACGGTCATATCTCATTCTCATACTCATATCACATAACGACAAATCTAATGATTCTCAATACAAAATATCATCAATTCTCTCAAATACTTGGATATATAAACAGAAAAATATAAACAAAAACAACAAATCCCTCACTCTTAAGAATTACCCCCCAAAGCAATGCCAACCAACCTCACCGCATTATCCGACAAGGAAATCTTCAACGCCTCCTCCCGTCCCCGCTCACTCATCTTCCCCCAAGTCTTTCTCAAAATATCAACCATCTTCCCCTCATCCCCAAGCTCCCTCTCAAACCGATCAAATTGATCATCCAAGAAAACCAAACAAGCAACATCCTCCAGCGTCTGCGTATCCGCATCCCCCTTCTTCAAATCAGTCTTCTTAACCATCTCCCCAACCCTTTCCGCCTCCTCGACCGTATACCCACTCTCAACACAGATCCCCTTTACGATCTCCGCCTGCCGACGCTGTAGCCCTCCGCGCCAGCTGTGGTAGCCGATTTTCGTCATTGGATAGCTGTCTCGTGGTACTTCCCAGCGGCGGAGGTGTTGCGCGCGGATTGCTAGGCGGAGGAGCTCGTCGGCGTGTGGCTTGAGGGTTTCAAGGTAGTTGGTCATTTTTTGGGCGTAGTGTAGTTCGTAGGGGATTGGCCCGGTTGGGGTTTCGTGTTGGCGGGGATCTTCGGAGTGGGCTGCGTCGATTTTTGAGAGGGCGGTTTCGTATTTTGACATTTTTGCGGGTTCGTTGGGTGGTTTGTATAGATTTGTTTGGATGGCTGCCTTATATGACAAGGTTTTCTGTCTGTTTATGGGTAATTGGGTCAGGTTTGGTTATGCTTGTAGTTGTTGCGGTATCTTACCTTTTGATAAGATCACGCCGCTAGATCGGATTTGGTTTAGTTTGAGTGGTAATCTGGGTGGCTCTAATTGGACGAACTATACAACATTGACGACTTTGTACAGTACTTTGGCTGTTGCTATTAGCGAGATCTCGGTTCATCAATTACTTGGAAAGAATATATCTTGATCAAATTAGACTGACACCAGGAACATGGTGCGTAATCTCTACAATCTATCTATTGGACATGTTATTCCACACACTTTGCACAATCCGCAAAGAAAACCTAGATAACATCAGTGGCCTGCGGGGATTAGCCTGCAAGGAAACTGTTCAAGTCGAGCCCAGCACTGTCGTAATTACAACAAGCAACCGAAACAAAATTACAATCATGCCCGACTCTTCGGGAAAGCAAACAACTCCTGCGATCCATCCGAGCTAGGCGTATCCACCTCATAAGTCTTTGCCTTGTCCTTGTCCTCAAAGATGCGAGCAACCTCTTCCAAGGACAAGCCCCTGGTCTCAGGGAAGAACAGGTAAATAAGCACCAGGAAAACCATCAAACATCCCAGATAAACAATAAAGTACCGCCAGTGGAGCGTCGCAAAAGCCACGGGGTTCATGAACTGGTTAATAAAGCAAGCGAGGGAGTCAGTTGTCAGTGTGACTGCAAGACCCTTGGCGCGTAGCTGGAAGGGCAAAATCTCTGCCGGGTAGGCGATGAACAGTGGCATGTATGCCATGTCGTACCCGGCACAGAAAAGGAATAGCATGGGCACAACTGCGATGCCAGCTTCCAGTACACCGAGTTCTTGGAAAAGTCCTGACATGGTCGTTGCAGCGGCGAGATAGATCAGCATCAGGGTTGTCGCGATTAGCCATAGTTTCCGTCGTCCGTAGCGGTCTGCCGCCATTGCTCCGCCGACAGCAAACATCAAGTTCCATACTTGCATGCTGATATTAATGGCGGCTTGGTGAGATGCGTTATAAATACCCACCGACTCGAGGATTGGTGCTAGATAGTAGGAAACGACGCCTGCATATATCGTTTGTTAACAATGCATTTTTGAACGAAACATGGTGTGGGGGGCATTGCTTACCATTTCCAGCCCATTCCTGCATGAATCCCAGCAACACACAGATTGCCAGTCGATGCATATCACCACGACTCTTGAAGAAAGAGCTCCACTGCCGCGAATCAACATCCGCTTCGGCATTGATACTCTTGCAAATCTGATCAAATTCATCCACGACTAACTCATCAGTCTCGTCACCATTCGCGTGATATTTCGCCAAAATTGCCATGCCCTCATCCTTCCTCTCTCTCGAGACCAGCCACCTAGGGCTCTCGGGAACAAACAATAGTCCAATAAGTTCGAAAATCGGATAGAAGATCTGCAGCAGGCAGGGCAATTTCCATGACCAACTGCCTGCAACCCACAACCCGGCAAATCCGATTGTCGCCGACGTTATCGATCCAATGAACCATAACGCATTGTATAGACCAGTAAAGGCCTGCCGTTGGCGTGGATGAGCAGATTCGGTAATGAGAAGTGGTGCGGCAGTTTGTGATATTCCGACGCCCATTCCTGCCAGGACTCGTGCGCCGAAGAAAACCCAATGGTTTTGAGTGGCAATTTGGATTATGCCGCCGATTATCACTAGTGCTGAGCCGATAGCCACGCAAATCCGTCGGCCTAGATTGTCGGCGATGTATGAGCCTGGGATAAAGGCAAGAAATGAACCCAGTGAGACAGCTGCAATTATGAGACCTCTTGAATTTGCCTCGAGGCCACCCAGGAATTTGTTGACTATTGAACTAGTTAGCATTCCTTCTTTCGCGTGGTTCATCTTGACATGTAGATAGGGCTGTCATCGTACATTCGGGAAGCACGAGAAGTCCATTGATCATGCTAGCACAGTATCCCGAAGTGGCCGAAGCAGACAGCATAAACCCAATACCAAGGTTCAACTTCCGCAAGCCACGATCTCTGATCCAGCTCTTGTTGGTATTGTTCTGCAAAGCCACCTTAGGTTCCGACGAGGCAGCCATAATGTCGACAGAGCAAAAAGTTTCAATTAAACAAAAAAAAAAGCTCCGAGACCCGAGCTACTGGAGCTGTCAAGCTCGTTTTATTTAAAGACTAAAGACTAATTGTCAGAAAAACCTCCGAATAGTAATCCGCCTCTACATTCCTGTCATTTAGCCAGGACTTGAGCTCTCCGGGTAGGGTTACAGCTGTATCTAAGGAGTTGGAATGTAGGGAGGAAAGTCAAATGATCGGATCACCGGACAATTTTCCTTCGTTTGCTCAGATCCAAGAGCTTTGCTGTGTACACGTTTGTCAAGCATGCCTGCTAACGCGTGGTGATTGGAAGGAAGAGCTTTCAAGGATTTGGGAAGCTCGGTGCTTCAAGAATGTTCATAGCTCCTCACCTTTGGCCGCGGGGATCTTTCCCGCAGTTGCCTAGATCTAGCTTGATACTTGCTGGAAGAGATGCTGTATGGATGCCCTTGATTTCTTCAATTCGCAATAGATCGACTTCGTAGAGACCTTGTCTCTGGGGAAACGCTGTAAGGCAGAGTAGTCCTTACGGCGCACAGCGATCGTTTTTTATCTTGCTCTATTACTTTGTTACTTGTTTTATTAATCAGCTCGATATAGCTTTCTCTGTGCAACGTCACCTGTTATTTCAAAAAGTTAGTTTTAGGAAACTCGTGAAATTGAGACGCGATAACGTGGAATGATGCTGTTGAGCTTCTGACGCGCTTAGCCTACGCCAATCGGAAACTTACGTGTTTTCCGCGCTGGTTATTGTTTCCCCCTTTCTTTCATTGGGAGAGGTCATAGCAGATTTCTACTAAAATAGACTTTGCTGGGACGTAAATATGACGGTTGGTATGAGTTCATTTCATCTAGAAAACTTGTCTAGACTGGAAGATCCGGAGATCTTTATTAGCATTGACCCATGGTCAGATTTTGAGATTCTCGATTGTCCTTGTTTCAATGAGACAATTAGTCATTCTCTGAGTAGAAGTGAGACGTATGAAATCATATTAACGTAGTGCTGCTGCGCGGTATGTTGCATCGGAACTGCAAATTAGGGCTTTCCGGAAACCTGGGGCACCAACCTAGGGCTGGAAGGCCAATATAACTGATTATTAATCAAGTGGACGCCCGTACCTATTATAGTTTCACTTGGGTAACTTGGTCTCTAGCTAATGGCGCATATGTATACATAGTGTGGTATTTATTTTCGGTCATTCTGCAGCGTCGGAATGAGTTCCAAGTCTTGGAAATAAGAGTTGGTTCATGAAACAATAGATCATGGTTCAATTATATACAATGACCTTCCATATCTTTTTACCTGATGCAACTATGTGTAACGCTGCCAACGTATATTTGATGTCGAACATAAGTACCAGGAATATCGAAATAGAGCAAAAAATCATCTTCAAATTATAATACCAAATTGAAATGCATATGTAAGTGAAGACCGGGGACCATCCAGAGGCAATGTGTGCCTCAAAAGATATTGATATTGGTTAATCGGCTGGCTCGTACAAAAGAGCGGGCCGACTACGCCTTTGAGCCGTCACTGAAGTTAAGGCAATACATTTCCGACAGTCTCCAAAATTCAACAGAATCTTACAAGTCCCACATCTTGGGAGAAAAGATACTTGCGATGATAAGCTCATAAAGAAGCACATGAATCCTGTTGATCATTAGGGGGTCTTGGCAGTTGGGACAATATAAAAAAATTGCTGCTTCATCATATTTCAGTAATCAACATTGCCCCTCTTTGGCTTGCAAATCCCCAAAGATGATCCCAATACTCGCATATCACTCGTCAGTTTCATGAGGCCAAGAGAATTTGTGCAGGCACTGCCACCACGCCAAGGCGCTGAGTGTTCCGGACACCGGGCCATCTTGGCACGAGTCTTGGCTTTGGTATCAGATCGTTGAGTACCCCTAAGTCTTGGGACCAGCGTTAAGTTTTCTTTGTCGTCCTTATCTGATCTTTTTGACTCCTACCTCCAAAAACAACAGCCCTAGGACCAACCACCCAAAATGACAGAAGAGGACCCCCTCAACCTCAAACAATATAAAATCGAAATAACCGAACAAAAACGAAATTGGGTCCCAAGTTTCAGCGATGACGAGAAGCTCAATGGATTCTATAAAGAGCAAAATGAAATGATCCAAGGTTTTCTCTCCAGCGGCGACGAAGAACGCCTCAAAGCCGAAGATGAAGCCCAGAACGGCGGCAAAGTAAAACTTGCCGTGCGCGCCAGTTTCGTTGTCAATTTCTGCCTTTTCGTTATCCAACTTTATGCTGCCATCTCTACCGGATCCCTAGCCCTCTTTGCCACCGCCGCAGATGCCTTCATGGATCTCGTCTCATCGATCGTTATGCTGGTCACATCACGCATGTCCTCTCGACCAAAACCATACAAATACCCCGTCGGACGTCGCCGTGTCGAGACCATGGGCGTGATCATGTTCTGTGCCTTGATGACCATCGTGGCAATTGAGCTGATCATCGAATCGGCGAAGTCGCTTGCCGGCGGTAAGACAGAATCGGACCAGTTGAAACTTGTGCCCATCATCTGTGTGGGTGTTGCTATCTTCTCGAAGTTTTGTTTGTTCCTGTATTGTTACAGTTTGCGCCGGTACCCGGCGGCACATGTCTTCTATATAGACCATCGCAATGATCTTGCTGTTAACGGATTCGGATTGATCATGTCTATTGTTGGTGATCGATTCGTTTGGTACCTTGATCCTGTTGGCGCTTGCTGTATTGCACTGTTGATTTTGTTCTCATGGGCTTCGACAGCCTTTGAGAACATGTGGTTGATTGTGGGCAAATGTGCGCCTCGTGAATTTGTCAACAAGTGCATCTATGTCACTTTGACTCATGACCAGCGGATCCAAAAGGTTGATACGGTACGTTTTCGTGATGTATTAATTCTATTTTGAGCACTAGCTGACCTTGATACAGTGCCGTGCCTATCATTCTGGTCAGCAGCTCTACGTTGAGGTTGATATTGTCATGGATCCTGAGACTAAGCTCCGGGAATCTCACGATGTGAGCCAGGCTTTGCAACGCAAGCTGGAAGGTCTCGCGGATGTTGAACGGGCTTTTGTGCATGTCGATTATGACTATGAGCACGATATTAACGAGGAACACCGGCCGCTCTATGAAATGGGTGGATCAAGCCACTCTATACGAGCTTTAATTAAGCGGTTATGGACTAAAAGCCAGAAGCATGATCCAGTTGGAGCTGCAGTATGAGGCTTGGACATCTTTATGATGGCTAAAATTTTACTTGGAGAGAAAAGATCAAATAATACAATGACTAGACATAATATTGACCTTTGGATTTGTTACAGTGCCCAAGACAAGATACAGTGTGCGTTTGCAAGGGATTGAAAAAGAAAGAAAGTTCTGTTTGTTCGGACTGAGTTCAGGAAACGGACACTTTTCTCTTCTTTGCGAGTGCTGCGTGGTATTTTTCAGTAATGTCATGAGAATTGATGCTGGCATTCGCTTCGGAGCCAACCTCGCTATCAAAATCGTATGCTCTATACCCTAACAGTCATTTAATTTAAAGACAGGCACCAATTGAGTGGTATGCCACCACATGGACTACTTTCAGGAAATTGAGATATGATACACAGCTGTTCCAACGTATGCTATATGTTGAATCTTCACAATATCTTGAACTTCCCGCTAATATTCTTCAGCAAAGACTCAGTCGGGTCGGCCGAGACAACAGTATGGGGTAGAAATGTATACTTGCACAATGGAGGAATGTAATCAAATAAAGCAGAGTCATATAAGCGAGGGACCTGTACGGGCTATGAAAATTTTGTTTCTCGGATTTGTTAGCCCCAAGTTCGTAGCCTTACATGCTCTTCAGCTGTTACCAGAACAAACCATTCTTTCCGCCAACTGTGGTACGGCCTAGTCGTTTTCCGGTATTCACCTGGGCTGAAGTTATTGATACGAGCTGAGAAGGTAAATTCGGAATCAAGCATCTTTGAAATTGTTGGGTGAGTCTTCAGTGTAATCAATAGGGACAAACTTGCGATCTCAGTCAATAAAGGGTCGATTGCAGAACACAAAATCGATCATTCTACATTGTTCTCTCATTTTAACTGCTGCCACGTCCTCATGTTATGCCGATACCAACAAAGGTCCTGAATCGCCTGATCGACTGGATCCAAAGGCTCAAGGTCCGCAATCTGTCTGTCAACGACGGTAGCATTTGCATCCGGCCTGAAAAGTACAGAAAATTGTACTCCGACCTTAACCTGATCATCCCATACACAAAGGTGGAATATAGCCGCGGCATGGACGATATCGACCTTGCCAGCTATCCCGGAAAGTACAGTGTCAGGGTTCGACAAGTCACCCGCGATAAAGCACGCTTCAAACCTTTCCATTGACTCGAAAGAGTTCATATCCCAGATCGAGAAATCCTTGGTGCAAATCAAGTTCGCAGCAGGGGCGCCGTCAACGGCCAACTGTCGTAGGGCATAAACGAACGCGCAACCAGCATCAAGGAGGATATCGCCTGCTTTGACGCGTTCAATGATCTTCGGATACTCTGTTATGTGATTGCGCAGTCTAGAAATAGCCAGTGGCCGCTGCTTCCACACCGGAAAATAGTCCATGCTTTTGCACGCTGTGATAACTGGTGGGTATTTGCATCAAAGGCCAAGGGGATCCACTTACCACATTTCTGAGATGAGTCTCGATTTGGCTTGAAGGAATGTTGCCGTATGATTCAAGTGAGGCCCCCCATATCTGGCCCTTATCAGCGGGTAGCTCTTCATGGTATTCAAGATTCTGATTCGTGTTCGTGGACATACCGACGAAAGGGGTTGGTTTTCAAAGAGACTTTTGAGATGGAAGATGACGGTTTGCAATATCCTTGTATTCACATCAATAAAAAAAGATTGTTTTGTTTTTACTGACCTCTTTATATGCTAGTAGTTCGAGAAACTCGTTGTTAATAGATTCGTCTATAAGCGACTGAGTCATAACTGTAGTATGAAGGCAGCGGCATCTTAACAAGGAAAGCCCCACGGCCAAGTACAGCTGCATGTTTCCAAATCAGGCCTCTCGCTTCTTAGTCGTTGCAAACATCCCAGATGGCTTCACACTGAAAGCACCATTGAAATTCTTCCCTTCGATATCAAGTGAATACCCCTTATCCGCCAACTCAAAATCAACTTTCTGAAGAATACCAACGAGCGTATGTAGTGACCACTCCCAAGCATAGTTCTCGCCATAGCATACACGTTTGCCGTTTCCGAAGCCCTTCTTGACCCCAATAGGAAGTCGGTCATATGCCTCGCCAAGCATGCGTTCAGGTACGAAGGCATTCGGATTCTCAAAAACAGTGGGGTCTCGATTGACAGCAGACAAAATCGCAAGCATTGATTGACCCTTCGGTAACTCGTACTCTCCCCCTCCCAGTAGGACAGGCCCTTCAATGGACGGTAGAGACTCGATATTCAGACCTGGGGCTGTGGCGCAGAGACGCAATGTTTCTCGAAGGACAGCTTCGCAGTAGGGTACTTGCGAGAGATGAGAGTGCTCGAGCTGGCTGGTGGGATCGACTAGAGCATCTATTTCCTTTCGGGCACGCAGCATTGTGTCCGAGTTCTTGGCTAAGTAGTACAGAGCGAAACTGACGAGGTTCGGGCATGTGGCGCTGCCGATGAAAATGTTGATTATCTCGTCAATAATTCTGTGATCTGGTAGGAATTCCCCGGTCTGTGGATCTGTTCCATGGATGAGGGCATGGAGCAGGTCGTTCTTTTCGACGGGGTTGTTGCGTCGGTTGGCAATGATCTGAGCACAGTAATCACGAGAGGTCTTGATATCCCTGTCGAATGTCTTCTGGTACAAGAGCCAGGTGAGAAGCTTGGGCCGCGAGGGTCGGCGAACAGCTTCAAAAGTGGTGTCAATCATGGCTTTGATAGCTGGGGGCTCGGCGCCCAAGACACAGTCCACACGCTGGCTGAAGAAGCATTGTGCGTTTGCTGCATGGTTGAGTCGATCCAGATCATTGGTAACATCCACACGCTTTGGTGTACCGTCGGTCGAGGTCCACTTCCGAATCAAGTCGTCCAGTGTAAGCGATATATCCATGTGCATTTCCTTTACGGCCTCGGGAAGGACAAAGGGAGCCATAATGCGATGTGCGATCCCCCAGCTTTCCTCTGTGGCATACGCAGTGAAGAGACTATCGTGGGCAAGATGGCGGATCTCGAACATAGCGCCGGTGATGCACTTCTGAAAGCGCTTCTCATCACCGATTTCCTCGAGGAGGGCCGCGCTTGTGATGAAAACGAGTTGCTTGCCTAGGACTGTGATTTTGAATATACCTTTGCTGCCATGTTGTGCTGCTAACTTGTTGAGAGAAGCCCAGACATTATTTGCATTCATGTCAAAGAGATTCCCAACAATGGGAAGTCCTTGAGGCTGTGGAATCGGTGAAGGCATCGTTTGTATGCACCAAAAGGGGGTGGGAAATAGTCGAAGAGACAGCGCGTGGACTTTTATATAGCCACTATCACAGATATGCAGTGCACGAGCCTTTTGATGGACACTCAACGAACCCCTCGACTCGCATTATCATGAATCGCAGCTATTTGTGTGGCTTATGTGCTGTGTGATGCTATATTAGCTTCAGAATTGCCCGGACCAGCGAGGAAATCGTTATTTGACATGTTAGCATCCAATAATAATAGAATATATCTGGGATCAGCAAATTCCAGCAAGGGCCCTGACATTGAATGAGTGGAACCTGCACCGTTCACGAGACGTGCGGCTGAGGAATCCCCAGAGGCGCAGCTGGGGTACCCGTAAATCACGCGTAACGTACTGTAGTATGCATGGTACTTTTGTACTCTTCACATTCCAAATTGTTTGGTGAACTACTTGGCCAGGTAGCCAAGATAGCAGACTGCTAGGTCTTATTGATAGAAAAGAATGGCAGTGGCGAGTAAATAAGCATGCTATTAGTATACCACTGCTCAGACATGTGAAAAAGCCTGCATGATCTTGTCGGCTACAATAGCTCAAATTCTGCGGGGTCATCTGCTTACTGTACTTCTCGACATATCGCAGGTGTCTGCATGTGCTAGGTCACACCTTCTCTCTTTGTCTTGGTTCTTTGGAGACTATATGGCCTTGTTTAGAACTGGCCGCATGATCAAATCGCTCTGTAATATTTGGAAATCAAGACTTGATTAACAGAAGACTGGCACACATTGAACATAGTATATGGATTTCAAAACTCCTTCCAATACTTGAATATTCTAAACTGTTATAACAACGACTATCCCAGTATCAACCGCACAGATCAAGGTCTATCATTAACATTAAGCCACCCCGACAAAAGAGAATCAAAACACCTTCACTCCCCGAGGCATCTCTACCAGAGTGGTGACATCAGAGACACGAGAATGAGGCCTGGGCTCGGAATCGGAGGTTGCTATCGCGACATCAACGTCGGCAGTATCTGGTTTTTGAGTCTGGATGCCCTGATCCGTGTTGAAAGCTTGGTTCAGGGTATAAGCCCAACTCAGGAGACTGCTAAGTATACCAAGCACAGCAGTGCCACACATAACAGCCCAAACGATAGGCAGAGCTTTAGAATAGTCTCTCAATGAATTGTCTCTCATTCAAATGAACGGGCAGCGACTTGATATGTTGAAGCAAGCTCGAGGCATCCTGTGCATACTCCTCCGCCGTGCGCCCAAGTTCAGGGTGGCCATGGAACTCGGACTTGATGCGGTTTGAAAAACAACACCGCCGATAGTGACGCCAACTGCTTGGCCCAATGCTCGGAAGAAAGAAGTCGTCGTCACAGAGATTGATAAATATTGACGGCTGGCTGCGGCCTGCACAGCGAGCATCACGGATGGGTATAGGATACCCAGACCGATACCTGGGACCAGGTTGAGGAAAATCCACTTCACGATGCTTGTATGTGCATTGAGGAGGTGCAGAACTCCAAGTCCTAGGGCGGAGATTGGCCATCCGGACTATAAGGCCTATCGGTAACTGCCTGTTTTCGCAGCTGTGATGCCAACGACGACCGAGATTGGGGCTAGTGTGAGACACTCAGGAAATATAGCAACGCCAGCGATGACTGGGCTGTAGCCAAGCACACCTTCATAGTATAAAGGTATATAGTACACGATAGACCATAAGATGATGCCGGGGAGGAAATAGCCAACGTAATTTACCACAATATTTCGGTTGTTGAAAATGACGATTGGGACGGGACGCTGAAAAGCTACTATAGCCTCGTAAAAAAAAGCAACTAGGCTAGCAACGCCGAGAATTAGTGGCACTAATGTGTGCTACGAACTCTATGAGTATACAATTGCTCCCTATGTAAACGGGATCAACAATGAAGTCAGCAAGGCGACGAACAATGTACATCCGACATAGTCGACTTTGGCGTAATTTGGGCGCAATAGAACCGCGTCTCTGTGCAGCTTGAGGAAAATGAGAATAAGCACGAGCCCCGTACCACAGAATGGGTAGGTTAATCCAAGAAATCCACCGCCATAAAGCAGACGACTGTTCGCAGAGCCCAAGTTCTAGAGCGGATACTGAACCGTTTCCCACGCTCCTTCAGTGGGATCAGTTCTGCAATAGGTACCTCGGTCAATACCCTAGATTGATCGACCGACCAGCATTTGAGGGAATACATGAGAAAGACCAGCTGTGATAGATCCGACTGTGAATGCAAGAACGGCTACCCAGAGAGCGAGCTTTCGTCCGACGATATCGGATAATAGACAGACTAGCGGTTGGAATACACAGGATATCAGAAGGAATGACGTTCCTGCCCAGAAGGCTTCTGTGGCCGTTCCGCCAAGATCATCGATCGGATATGACCTAGTCATGGCATGTCAGTATACAAGCACTCATAATGGAAGAGAAGTGAAACTGATATAGATGTAGCATCCAAAGCCGCCACAAAATTCAGCAACCTACCCCCCCCCCCCCCCCCCCCCAAGGATACACTTGAGCTGCCATTTTGGACGAAATACATCTCCACCATCCTATCCACCGACAATCGTGACCTTTTCTGAAGAAGCGATTTCATGGATATAGATGCCTGGTCGGCCACAGCTTGCAGTCTATACAACCTAGGGAACAAACAAACCCTTATAGACCACCGGACACAAAATCGACCTCGTCGTGTATATACTTCCAAACACCCAGGTTAGGGCTGATCGACTATCGCTCCCTCCGCGCCAAAAAAGGCGTCATGTTGTCCATGCACAGCCTGAAGTATGTACGGCTCGGCATCAATGCTGACCGTAGTACGTGTGAAGTGGCAGAGGGATCATAGCTTGGTTTGGCTTGAGCGTCGAAGGCTGTCCACATGGCTCAATCTGAATAAATACCCGACGTGTAAATCAGCTTGAAGTAATTTCGTATCGCTTCGCTGTGTGGCGTTTCTATGCTACACTAGCTTCGGCAAAAGCCACTCAAGGGGTTTTTTTTATGCCTTGAATCAGTATGGCGCTTCATATACTAGCAGCTGAATCAATTTGAACGCTAATAATGACCACTAGAAAAGAAACATAGTACACTGTAAGACGCAAAATGGAGACGTGTCGTGGCTTGCATGCCTCGAAACAAGGTATCCCAACTCCAGAAACCCACCGAGCTCAAGACTATCAATCAGCCAAAGAACCCACAGTCAACAAAGGTCGCAAGGTACCGATCTCGAGTAATTTCCCAAGCTCCATAATCTAGTTTAATCGATCTTCAAGTTTGACTCTTGCAAATGCCGAAAGTCCAACGGCCATCTCCGTTAACCCACACAGCCAGCTCACAAGCTCACCACCAAACCAAATTAGGGCCAAATCGCGCCCAAGATTTTGGAGCCCATGTCTGAGCTCAGCTGATGCTGACGCAGAGACCCTGTAGATATGAGACGTGAGATATGACCGCATCAAAAAACTGGGTAAAGAAATAGTTAGCGCCCAATCGGCGGCTGCAGTAGTCCGATGTACAGCCAATCGCTGCTAGTCGCAAAACAGCACCGATTTTCTACTGTAGGCATCGCAAATTGGCGGAGGATTGGAAGTGGATCGGATGGGCCCCTTTCTGATTGGGGCATTGGTGCATGTTTGATTAAAAGCCGTTAGAGCGTTGGGGTGTGTACTGTAGGCGCTGGGATGGCATTTTGGCTCTGGCTGGCGGAGGTTTAGGCTTGAGCTTACTTTTTTTCTTGTAAGTTCGGTGTCGCCGAGGATACCAGTCATCAAGCCTTTTTCTTGGGCTTTTGCTTTTCTTTCTTTGTTTGTAGGATGCTGGGAGTGGTGTGGTTTGAGGCAGGGATCTGGGCCTAGGTGCTTCTGAATGGGTAAGAATATGCGGTGTTTGAGCGTCGGGTTTTACAGCCAGGCTATTTTTATTCCTTGCCATTTCAGGTTTGTGGCATTTCGATGGGTGCAAAAAGCGACATAAATCTGTCGATAGTGCAATGGAGTGAGAAACAGACAATTTCTATACGAAATCCTCGAAGCGAGTGTACCACTTGCGTTGTGTGTGCTGCAAATTAGCCTTTTTTTCACATCTTTTCTGCCCATTTTCTATTGCACTAAATAAATCAGTTATAACATATAAAGATGGGGGCGCGGAGGACTTCTAATTACTGTTGTAGTTAGGGACAGTGTAGACGTCTATGACATGAACAGTAGTATCTACATTGCGCTCGCAAACCACTTCGCTACGTGATAGTACTACACACTTTGGCTATGGCCTAGGGGATTTTAAGTCATCTATGGAATAAATTGACTAGCCCTTCGGATGGACTTGTCCAGATACCGCAGAATCAGATCTCCACGCTGTCAAGACAAAACCTCCGAAGATGTAAACGAATAAAAACATCGGGGAGTGAAACTAACACTCCCAATAATCATTGGTGAACATAGCAGTCCATCCAGTATGTCAGCAGAACGAGTTAAAAGAATCAAAAAAAAAAAAAAAACAAGCAAGCAGAACACAACACCGTTTGCGGCAAAGAAACAACCAACCATTACAACAATGGACATCTCGAATAGCTGTGCGCGAGAAAAAGAACAAAAGTACGAGGTAAAAAGAAACAGACCGTGCAACGTAAAATCAATTGATCGTATCCATTTTGGATAACTTTGTTTCCCACCCTGCCAAAAACGCCGATTGATGAAAGCCGGGTATATCCAGCACCGTGATGCAACATGTACTGATAAGCGGAAAAAAACAAGGGAAAAAAAGAAATCAAAGGGGAAAACAACGAAGGCTTCAAGAGCCCATGCCCTACATGGCAGCAAGACATGGCTCGAGCCATCGCCCCTAGGTTAATATAGGCAAATGGGGGTTTCATCGTATGGGGAAAGAAAAGAAACATAAACAGAGATAGAACTGCTTTTGAATGACCCGAGAAGACCATATTGAAAATCATCATCTGGCCCCAATACCAAACATGCCTACCCCGTAGCTACCACCGCTAGACATTGGGGTCGACACCTTGGCGACATGGTCCTAATTGGCGTGGTTAGGTTGGGCGTTGGACCACAATTGACTCTAGGTCCATACCTTCTTGCGTTTCTTCTTCCCAGTGCCCTCGCCGTTCGAGTAGAACCCGGGGTCCTCCTCATCATCCACAAAGCCTTCACCATAACCCGCGAAACTGTTGTCATCATAATGCCTCTTGCGACCTCTGCTGGGCCGAGGCCGTTCTGCCTCTTGTGATTGTGGTGGTGGGGATGTGGCGTAGGATTGCATAGAGGGACGGCCGCTTGGAGTTGAGGCAGCCTTCTTGCTGTGTTCGTTGGGGGCGGGATGCTTGACTGGCTTTTCGTGGCCGAGAATATCCTCCCAGAAATCATTGTTGGGTACCGGTCCGGGTTCCATTTGCATAGCGCGCGATTGAAGATCTTGTAGCGCAGTATCTATGTCTGAAATCTTGATCTGCTTGCCAAACACCTTCTGGTTTTGCCATTCTTCCTCGGGCCACAAAGTCATGTGCCTGAGACTCCCAGGCGCGCCAGGTTCCTGCTTAATGGATTTGTTCCGACCAGCGAGTCCCAATCCCTTCAGCTTTCCTTCGTAGGATTTTCGTAGACGGTTGATTTTTTCTCCAGTGACGGGGTCCAGTCGCGCTACCGAGTGTGCAATGGGTCCTAACCCATATAGGGAAACGAGATCCACTGACGGATCGGGGCCAGTCACGATGGGAGCTGTCAATGTGGAAAAGGCAGTGTTAACAACTTCAGTTCCCAAAATATGCAAGGATTAGTGATTCACGCAGATGCCCACAGTGGACACCACGATCCATTGGGGAAATCTTACAGCTCTTGCAAAGATGGAAAGCAGATGTGAGCTCCTTCTGAAGAGAATCTAACCCGAGGTTGCTGATATCTGGCCGGCGAGCAGGCTCTGTATCAACCTCCATAGCGTCGAGATCGGACTTTTGTTGGTCTTGCGCGGTAGTATCTGCGTGTTTTGAGAAAGACTGCCGATCGTGATCGGTGCGTGTGTGTTCTGATGAAATTTCTGTCATGTCGTTTGTGCTCATGTTGGAAGATTTTCTGCTGTCCTTATCTTCCCCCGTCGCATTCAAAGGACAACCGTTAACGCTGCTCGCAGGCGTAGGAAATGAGTTTGTCGAGCTCATTGGTTGTTGTTGTTGAGAGGCTTGAGTAGACATCGGCACAGAGGATGGAGGGGAGGATACGTTTGGAGGGTGGACCGTCGCCTGATTCGGTGATGTATGCGAAGATGTAAAGTTGGCGGCATCGTTCTGATCGCTAACCGACATCAACGGAGGGGATGTCGGAGTCTGAGGGATGTGTTCCGAAGAAATGGGCAGCCGATGATTCTCTTTCAGAGACCCGGCGGCGGGCGAAGAAGGCGAAGGAGGTCTTGCTTGGAAAGATGCTGGATAAGTGCGATCAGACATGAGAGCCCGATGAACAGTTCAGCATGCAAGTTGGTATTAACCAGAGCGGCTCTGGATCCAAATCGCAAACTTCGATGCCAGCGTTTGGAGAGGGGGTCCCGGTCGACGATCGACGGTCGCTCAAACGGACGAGCAGGTCTTTGACGGTCGACCTAGATCATTTGCATTCCAGGGGACTAAGATGAGTCCCGACGGGCGGTAGAAATTGGGTGGCTGATGGGTGGCTGTGGTGAAGGAGGGTGATGATGGAGACGATCCTGCGGTCAAAGGAGGATGACGGATTCGTATTCACGTGACCCAGTCTTGGCACGAAGTCTTTGGCTATTGACACGGTCTATAGACATTCGATATTTTTATTGTTCCTAATCTTTGGATTGAGTGAATGCAACAATAGAGTCCAGTCAATGCTCAGATCAGGATCAAATACTCTCAATTACTAGAGTGTTTTGATCTCCCAATGCTGTAGTCCTAGTAACCAGCCCTTACTCCACAAGCTATTAGACACTATTTAGTACATTGCCACCGCTAATAAAGAGCCTTTGGCAATAACGATCCTAGAATTTGGGCTCATTTGTGACTTTCATTGTGAGGTAAGACTTTATGTCAATAAAAAAAAAAAGAAATCCGAAAATAGATCAAGCAAGATACAGATTTACGTTTTTAAATTGAGAGCGCCAGTGTGAGCGACAACCAGTACTAGGATGGCTCTTATTCCCGCCATATGAACAAACCTCGGGGGCTGAACGTTATGTGGACGCCGGAGGTCAGGTGGCGGATTGCGGATTGCGGCCTTAATAGCGCCCATTATTACCAAAAAGTATAAGTCAAAAGCGAAACAGTTGTTTCAAACAGTTAAATGTGGTATCTCTTGCTCTTGGTAAACTATTCGCCGAGAGTAATAGAGTCATATGGTCCAAAGATGAATTCCTCAACCATGGGCTAACTCAGCCCAGTTTGCAACATGGCCATTCAAGATAATCCGGTAATGTCAGAAGATGAATCGGTCCAAGACTTAATAGCATGATATCGCTGAAATAAAAGCACAGAATGCTTGCCCACCACTGGGGTCTTCAAAGGCTAACTGACCAGCACCTTATGACTGGTAGAAAGCATTGTACTCATTCACCAATTGGGCAGACACATCGGGTATATTGTGCTCAAGAGAGGCCAGGAGCTCGATTTGCTCTTGCTGGCTTAGTGTGCGTTCGCGCCAAGAAGGTACTGGGAATGGCTCGTTGAAATACTGCGAGTACTGGTCGCCAATGGATGTGGTCCAGTTCATAGGATCGACAGATGCGTCGACGTATGCTAAATGACCCGCGGTTGTTGATGCAAGTGAGAAGTTAGGATCCCACCCTTGCAGACCGGGGACGACTGAAGGTATCGAGTTGTAAGGTGTGTTGGGGTCGATGGACATATCGGGATAGAGCGTAGTCGGGCCGACATAAGAGTCTGATGAATAGTGTTGTGTCACGGCGGAAGGGGGTGGCATCCCAAGGGCAGAGGAGACCGATGGCATTGGTGGTAGCTTGAACGACTCGGGTGGCGGAGGAGCCATCGCTGGTGGGGTGGGCTCCTGTGGAAAAGTAGGGTCGGCAGATTGTCCTCGGGAGTAAGTCCCGCTTGAGGCAGTATCACCGATTGACAGGTTTCCTCCGCGATGATTGTGAGAATGATAGGAAGCAGTCGTACTACTTGATGGACTGGACATGGCCGGTGGAGTCGTAACCCCTTGCGAAGAGGTTGGAGTAGGATGGTTAGAAGGTGAGTGGACAACAAATGACTCTTCGGTGCTGTAAGCTTTCAAACATGCCGCAACAAGGCGTTTGTAGAGAAGCAGTGCGGATTGAACTCCAGGCCATCGTTCGGCGGAGTAGACTATCACTTCGAGAGCCATATCAAGATGACCTTGGACTTCCTCGATGGTATGCTCTTTTCGGATCTCGGGGTAGGAGAGAGTCCACAAGACAGTGTTCAAGGCCATGAAAAGAGCTTGCACAAAGACCCACGTCAGGTCAACAGATCCAGTTAGCATCTGTTCTCGATGCATGGCAATGTTGAAAATGGCTGCTTCATAGCATGTTTTCGCGGCATTGACGCTGGGTTCGGGAATCTGGGGCGATGGGCGATACATAAGAATAATGATGGTGTTTCTTCTTCCTTGGAACCTGAAGAGAACGTCAGCGATATCACTTTGCATGGAAGATTACAAACTTACCACTTCACATTCAATCCGCTGCCGTCGTCATTCTTTGGACAGGTAGCCATCCAGTGATCTAGTTTAGCCAACATCTGAGAGAACCATGGATCTTGATCATCAACTGGAGTCTCTCGTCGGTTCAAGTAAAGCGTTCGCCTGCCTTCCAGCTGGAGTAATCGCATCTTGAAAAAGTGGACTGCAATGCACTTTGCCAGAACGGGTTTTGCGCCCGGTGTGATGCCCTTGACCGTAATGTAGCGATCATCCACAAGTTCGAAGAACTTCACATTGATGTGGTCGTGACTGACACTGTAGCTGCTGCAGCGACCCAGGCTGTGGGAAAGTCCCAGCTCCATTGATGAAACGATCCAGAATAGCCTCCTTCGCATATCAATCTCGAGGGGGTTCAGAGGTTGTCCACAAGGCGATTTTGTCACAGTAACTTCTTCGGTCAATCCCAAGTCTTGGCAGAGTTTGACGGCTGTCCCCACGACCCAATATGCAGCAGTCCGAGTGGGCGTCAACATTGAATATGAGGCGATAAGCACAAGGCATTGTAAAGCCCTGACGTCCATTCGTTTCAGCGTGGGCTCAAGGTAGGGCAAGGCCGCCAGATAATAACTATCAGCGAGACCAGCGTATTCGGTACTGAGTTTTTGCATGCTAATGGCGATGACCATCCGTAGCTGAAAATTCTGACAAGGATCCGTAGAACCATCAAAAACCTCTTCTACTTCTTGTCTAAATGTGGGCTCGTGTAAGGTTGGAAGGAGTGCTTGTGCTATACAACAAATCAGTCACACGAGCCACAAGAGTCTGACAGGGTTCGGTACATTTTGCGACAAAAAGATCGATCAACTTGTATGTCAGGTTCTGTGGAGGTAGATTCGGCTGTGGGATGGAACTGATCATGGGATAGATTTTGGAGGTAGGCTTCGAGTCTTCTTTTGCAAAGGCATCTTTGATCTCTTGGGCAGTGAACTCGGGGACAACATCTTTAATGCTTTTCGAGTCCGTATTCTGCTTGGCCATTTCCATGACCAAGCGAGTCATGGCAATGCCACTTGAGGGACCAAGATATCTAGCCTCATCATTCTCTTTGAATCGTATGCGCCCGGCGCCGCGCACCATCAACTCCGCATCGGCAGCATGTTGTATCTCCCTCTCGGCCTGGGCGAGCTCTCTTTCCAGCGCTCGGGCTTTCTCTCTTAGTGACACGATGTAGGTCCGCGGTATCGTGGAGTCTCGCGTCGAGTCGTAGTATACACACTTGGCATTGCTTCGTTCACAAGGTGCACATCGTGGAATTCCAGGGTCGCACCTGGACTTTCTCTACAGAGTGGGTCAGTCGACGGTGACATCGCAAGTAAATAGCAGCGGCGCCAAGAAACCGCAAGGAGAAAAGGAACGGAGATCGCGGGGACCTCTGATTAATTGCATCATACCTGTCGACACCTTGTGCAGGCAGTTAATGTGTGCGCAATGCGACCGTCGGGTGGCTCCAAGGAATGCAAATCCGGCGACTTGAGCCCTGCGACTGTTGAGTTGTCCGGACTCGCGGTCATGGCTGTGGGCCAAAAAGTAATAGGAATGAGGTCAAAGAAATATCAAGAAAGGTCCGATCACATGGGCCTGTAGTGCCCAGGCATTAAATGCGATAAGCAAGGTACATTCGAACGGAAATAAGAATTGTGGGCACTGTCGACATGGTCCTGAGGCTCGAGTATGAAGCCGGAGATGGCGTTCGGGAGCTTTCCAAGGGGGAGGATCCGATCAAAGGGCAATCATTTCAAACCACGGTACTTGCGTACAACCGGAATGGGGCCACAAGAGGTATGCGAGGTGCCACTGAGCAGTGAGAGGGGCAAGCCTCGGTCCAGATCTGGATCGACGCGAGGGTAAAGGATACTCGAAGCGACGGGGTTAAGAAAAAGGCCGAGTGGAGGAAGAAGATAGTGTGGTACAATGGCAGCTGAGACTCCGTTAGGGGGCTTGAAAGAGACAATATTAAGCGATGAAAGTAAATGGCGGCCTTGAATACCAAGTGGAACATGGAGACAATTAAAGTAAGAGGCGCCTTGGGTCAATGAGAGGGGGGCCGGAAGTCGTTGATGCGATGTCCGTGCGGTTCCACGGAAGATCTGCCCAATTCTTGACGCAAATGAAGTCTTTTTTGCCCCTTGTGCATAGTGGGGGGCCATTCCTCAACGTCTTTTTGCGGGTAAGGCTTGTTCCTTTAATATCGTTCGAGCAATGGTAGTCGCTAAACCCTCCCCAGCTCATGCAGGTCGCTCTCTCGAAGCTATTTCCCTCGGTCATGTGAGTCGTCTAGTACTGTGCTCGCGCGAGCCCAGTGGGGTGAGTGAGACAGGGGGACGCGTCCGAACTGACCATGTTTCCAGTAAAGAGTGAGCCATGTCGGTCACCGCCACGACTTTCTTGGATAATCCGCTGCTCAAAGTGAGTCGTCCGGTCGCCGCTTGCTCAAGATGTCGAACCGCGAAGATCAAGTGTGACGGCAAGCTCCCCGCCTGTTCGGCGTGCGAGAGGGTCGGCAAAGCTAGCAGTTGTTCCGGGGCGAGCGATGAATTTGCCAAAGGCAAAGAAAGAAGCTACGTAGCGTCGTTGGAAGGATACTGTGAGAAGCTCGAGAAGAAGATACATCAGATGCGTGCTCGTTCAACATCGCTGTCCGCGGAGGGCAATGGCGTCGCGCGGGAAATGTCCATCACCTCGATTTCATCCGAGGGACCATTGGGACCGGCACACAGCAGAGAAGTATCCGACATTGATGATCTAGTTGGTGATTTTGGTTTCTTGTTGGTCACTCTGGAGAGTTTGGTCGAATTAGTACTGACGTTGGTTGAAGGTCGGTCAACGCGACATCGCGTGACTTCCACGGCATTACTTCCAATACCTCCTTTGCGAACCTCCTTCTATCTGTCGCTCTTGTCGATTCTCCTCCGCCATCCTCTCCTCATTCATTACCTGCGCGCCATGAAGCAACCCCATTGCTACAACACTACTTCGACAATGTGTTCGTCCAGTTGCCTTTTTTTGTCGAGACGAGCTTTTGGACCTCGGTAGACGCAGTATATCAATCCGGCGGCCGGTTCGCTAAACCCTTTGATCATTGGATGCTGCGCATAGTTCTGGCCATTGCCTCGGCCTCTGTTTCGGGCCAGAATAACGACAAGATGCATCAACGGGCATGGTCTCTCGTATCAGAGGCCTTGACATATGCCGAGGAAGTCCTTCGGCCAGGGTCTATATCAGGAATTCAAGCGATATTACTGCTTGCTCAGTATTCGTTTGTTGATCCAGCTCGCTTTCGCAGTTGGTATTTAGTCGGTATGGCTGCCAAAGTCGCGGTTGATTTGGGCCTGCATCAAGATCCGCCTACTGAGGTTTTGACCGACCATGACCGACTTGATATCCGTCGGCGAGTCTTCCATTGCATCTACTGTCTGGATAGGTTCGTTTGAGTCTTACCATTTTCTTCGCCATTACTGATTATGTGTTCCAGAGGATTGAGCTCCACTATACAGAGAACCTTTTCGTTCTCCGATGCATCTGTAAATGTTGCATTACCATCATGCAGTGCGGCTCCTGGTAAATCCCTGGAACAAAGTCATATCTTTTTACGCAGCCCAGTCCCCGCTTTGCACATCGTGAAGATTCGACAGATCTTATCTGTCGGGTACCAAGAAATGCATTATAGTGGGCGTGAACCATCCCCGCAGCCTCTTGTCTTAGTGTGGACTCTGTGCTGGCGAGCTCGGGAGTGGTATCACCAGTGCCCAAAGAACGCCCCTAACCACTTCTCACTTCTGTATCGCCTCGAACTGCTGTACACCATCATTATCCTCCTATCACCATCGCACAGATACCCAACGCTACACGACTACAACAAAACCCTGCTCTTCGACCGATGCATGGACTACATCAGCCAGATCCATCAAGTCTTAGAGAACCCCAGCGCCCTTCCCTTCCTAACATATCTCGACATTCAACGAGTCCACCAAGTCGGCCGACTCTTCGTCGACGTATTATCCGAAAATTATGACCAACTTCTGAGTGCCGCTGTGCCTGCACCACCTTCCGTTCCCGCTGGGACGCCTGACCCGCCCGTACTGGGTGATGAGGACTTGATCAACTGTCATGCACGCGCCATGCGTTGTCTCGCTTACGTTCGTGACATGCTGAAGTATTGTGCGAGGAAATGGGGTTTGCACGGGCCTCTCGAGCAATTCGAATGCCAGTCTGCTTCCCTGGAAAAGACACTGATGGATAGCTCTATGGGCTATATGTCGAATCCGGGGATGTACTCGTCGAGGATGCCGCTGGTCGGCGATGAATACTCGGGATACCATCTAGGGCTGTGAAATCACCGGGGTCTGCAATTTGGAAGGGAAATGATGTCAATGGTTATGACCAGTATGGATTTTAGTGAAATACCCCTTTACATGCTGTGCATGAATAATATTATTGCGAATCAACCATCCTAATCGTACCCGTATTCCTGTAGAAAAAGATGTTTGTATGTTTGTCGACTAATTCGATCTCTCTGGTTAGTCCATAACCTGCATGTAGACGTGTACCCTCAGGCCGATCCCAACAAGAGAAGTAACTCTCCCCTTCGTATGACGAGATCGATGTTCCCTTGCGATATACATCAGAGGGTGATTGCCTTCGGTGATGTTTGAGGAGTGCTGGGTATCGACAGAGGATATCTGCAAGGAAAATAAAGTCCAGCTCACATCTCCAACAGAGAATATGCACAAGAATATGCACATGCATTGATCAGCTTCAATAAACCCAAACCTCTTTGCTTCGATATCCAAATTGCCGATTTTCTGAACCTTGCAGGCGTCTCTACATTAGTATATCTATAGTCCAGCCCACATCTACAATCTTACGTACAAACATGCAACAAGCTTCCCAGTACCATTGGCTCAAAGGCTGAAAGGCAATCCCATTTTCAGTATCCATACGAGAGTCCACCGCCCATTTCTTCCCAAGGCAAGTCGACCTGGCGATCGGTTCAGCGGTGTACTCCGTACAGTGTGGAGCACTGTATCAACATTCCATAGCTCTGGGTCATCATCACATGTTCCCACTGAGCAGCGCTCATCTCAAATTTCTGACAATCTAACGGTGAAGAGACCCGAATAGGTAAATAACAGACTTCGGCTAGATTGCTAATATCGCACCTTCGATTCACAATAAATGAGTATCGACATTACCCAGGGCACCATAACCACATTCGTAATCTCCGGGCCTGCCGAGAACAGGGGCGTGGATATATCCACGCCCAGATGCTTCTATCGAAACCAATCTTAGGGAAAGATACGAGACTCCCCAAAACCTTCGTCCCCAGAAATGCACGACCCCGTTGTTCTTCGTGGGTATCGTGGAGTAGGGCGTCCTTCTCATCTGCCAAAGATTTTTAATATCCTACAGTAAACGCCCACCTCGATAAATTACTTCCTCGAAGACGTATGTACGATACAGAAAGAAAGAGACCCATATCGAGGTCTACTCTCATTTGTCTTTGGTTCTGTGATGTGGCGAGCTGGCCCCATTCCCAGGATACAGTCTACCGGGACCCGTCCCGCGTGAGAAATGCAAACAAGTCTGGGCCGTCTGCGGTTGTGTGGACTTGGGATAGTTACGGAAGTAAGGTATGATTTGGTTTAGCTTCGTCTACATGAAGATTATGCCAGAATGTCTGGTAGAGCTTGAGTTGGTATGAACTAGTTCAAATAAAAGGTGTTTCCAGAGTCCAAGTGCTGGTGCGGAACCATACAGACAAATATGCATATCCATGCTTGGTTTAGTGCAATTGATCGGTTGCTACGTGCCTACGATTCTTGCTATGGTACGGTATGTGTCATGCAGGGACTGTTCATTGCCATCCATGGGTCTAAGATTGGTGGCGTCCTTGGTTCGTACAGTGCATTTGAGGCTCGACATGATCCAAATTATGTCTCGGAGCCGGTACATTTGCTGGCTGAACTCCACCGTGATCAGCTAGCATATGTCTATCACCCATGTGAAAGCTCCAATAACCTCATACAGGAAACTCATAACCGTTCAAACGGTCGGTTCCATAGCTTCCAGATTCTTTCAACGCGGATGGAGCATTTCAGGGCGGCAGGGATGGCAGAGAGACATCTACAGTACGGATTACCAGCTTGCTGTTACTCCGAATAGTAAAATTACTGTTTATCTTGGGTCCAGTGAGATTCGGGTGTTCCCTGTTGGTCAGTTGCCATGGAGTGTTACTGAAGTGCAGCAAATCGGAATCAAGTTTATACAGCGCAGAACGACTGCTCGGACAAAAACACTGTTTGCAAATGAGTATTGTTGCCGCTCAAAGTACATACGGTACACGATGTGTATCGTAGACGGGCCGACAAAGCTGGATAGTGGATATAGTGGGCGGTGTTATTTGATATGGCCCCGAATCGATCTCAATTGGGAACCAGATCGGCGTGTCCTAGATTTTCGGGAAGCTATCGAACTTTTGTCTATGAGCTATCGAAGAACCCCATCAGCTATCGAAGAACCAGGGAATTTCAATGCTACACTACTATATGATTCGAATTCGAGAAAACTGTGGAATATAACGTACAAGCGGACAAAAGAAATTTCCAATCCACTCAGTTCATCTTCGGTTCTGGAGTAGGAAGGTATCTACGGCACGATTAGCACGGAATGGATCGAGCGGAATACCCCCCCACTCCGATCGTGACCTATGATGTGCGAATTGAATATGATGATCATCCTCTTGGCGCTCAGGGATGCCGTCCGAGAAAGAGTCGACGGGGTATGACCGAAGTCCACCCGGGGATCGACAGCCTCGTGTTGACCGCAATGTTGTGAAGAAAATGGAAGCTTCGCCCCATAGACTGTGCTGTCAAATCATCCGAACCAATTCACTAACGCTTTGACACTAATCATTGTCACTTTTGAGCAGGGTAACCTCTCAAAAAGTAAGCCCGTGTAAGCCGGGGGTTGTCACCAAATGCCGGTCCGCCGGCAAATAAGGGGGAAACAAGCGCAATGATGTATGTGGCCCCCAAACTTTGTGAACCTCGATCTTGGTCAGTGGCCAGCTGGAGCGGATCAATCCGAAGGGGATTCAATAACCATGTTTTCATTCCCGGCCAATCCGGCATCGAAGTCGAGTGAGATCGTCCAATGGGATCCATAAAATATGCTGAATAGGGCAAGTGGGTACGATATAACTGGGGCACGACAGGGGAAAAAGTAGGTCCCCAGAAGTTTATAGTGAGGTTGTTGGCTCTTGGGCTCTGCAATGCCCACATGGCGGCATTCAGGTGGGGGCTAATCGGTATCACCCCTATTTGATTGGCAATATACCTCCGCGCTATTGATTTTAGACGTCAAGTCACGAACCCTGAGAGTGTATTTTGACTGCAGATCATGAGTCTTCGTTGCCGGAGGCTCCACGTTAATTTCCGTAAAAATTACAGAGAAATCAACAAGCTCCTGTAAACGGCACAGGTCAACAATGCGCTGGAGCGGAGAAACAGGTTATGACATCCCCTATTAAAAGTGGACTTGATATATCAGGGATTCTGCAGGTACTTTTGAGGTGAATTCGGAAACATGCAGAATAGATGTCAGATCGAACGTCCAGCAAAACAAATTATTACGGTTAAATTAGGTGACGCCACGGAGATGCTCGGGGGCGCATGGTTCGTATAAGCTCGCGCTACGGTAGTTCCATCGGACACGATCTGTGGGAAACAACCCTTGATGTACCTGAACATTGAGCGTGCAGATCCCAATTTGAACCCCATCGGCCCATCCGGTCATGGCCGGACTGACCCCATCCGACTAGATTCAATAATTCCTTCTTAAGATTCATTCGTTCAATGGGTTCAAATGACATAATTGCCTAATTTCAGGAAAATCCTGTTTGTAGGGCTGGGATGAGCAATGTTATGGCAAATTATACCAGACGGCACAAGTAGGTTTAGATGGATGTAGGCATATGTACCAGGGCTCAATGCCCCATATTTGTAGGGATTCTTGATGACAGTCCACAGGACCCTATTCTGGACACTTCGGTGCCTGTCGTGGCGTTTATTGTCGGCATAATGGAGATTGTTGTCCCACTTATATCTGTAAGACCGAAATGGTATGTATCTGTAAGGCCGAATTAGGGCACGCCAACTATGGGGCTGACCCGCTAGCTAGGATACCAAGTGCATGTCCCATTTGGAGCTTTACAATAGTAAAAATTGGAACAGGGGGTAGGGGGCGAGCAAGATCGTACCTGTAGATCATGACCTGTGTATAAATACACTCTCTCGCCATCGACTCCTCTTGCTTTCTTCTTTTCCCAAGCCTCTCACTTCTAGTCATTCTTTATACAAACTACAGTCACTCTTTAACTGTTTTATACCCCTCTTAATTCACAATGAAGGCCTCTTTCATCGCTGCCGTCGCCGCCATGGCCGGCTCTGCTTTCGCTGCCCCTACCCCCACCAACGGCCTCGAGTCCCTCCTCGACAACCTCCACATTGGTGATATCTTCTCTGAGCTCCACCTCAACGAGCTTCCCAAGGTCCTGACCGCCGGTGAGCTCGCCAAGGCTGTCAACAAGCCCATGCCCTCCGCCAGTGCCGTCCCCGCTGTCCAGGATGGCCACATCGTCCAGAACCTCGGTCCCCAGCTCGACAACATCCTGACCGTCACCGGTCCTGATGTCGGCACCCTGCTCATTGAGCTCTCCCCCGAGGTCACTGCCCTCGTCTCCGGCCTTGGTCTCCCTGGCCTCGGTGTTCCTCTTGGTTCCATTGTCGCCTCCGCCTCCGGTCTCGGTGGCCTCGTCACTGCCCTCGGCAAGCCCGTTGATGGTCTCGTCACCGTTGTTGGTGCTGATGTCGGTGCTCTCCTGATTGAGCTCTCCGCTCCCGTTGCTGCTCTCGTCTCTGGTCTCGGTCTCCCCGGTGTCGGCGTTCCCCTTGGTACCGTTGTTGCCACCGTTGGCAAGAACCTCAAGCGTGGTGAGATCGTCAACGACGTCGCTCCCTCCGTCAAGTCCACCCTGACCGTCACCGGTGCCAACGCCAAGCAGCTCCTCCTTGAGCTCTCCCCCGAGGTCACTGCTCTCGTCTCCGGCCTCGGTCTCGGCTCCATCGCCGGCCCCGTTGGCTCCATCATCAAGGAGGCTGCCTCCGTCGGTGACCTCCTCAAGGATGTCTCCGAGCCCGTTGACCAGCTCCTCCACGTTGTCAACGACGATGGCAAGCACCTCCTCATCAAGCTCTCTCCCTCCGTCGCTGCCCTCGTCGCTGGCCTCGGTCTCCCCCAGGTCGGCACCCCCGTCGGCACTATCGTCGCCACCGTTGGCAACAACCTGTAAATTATTTTACACGTTTGATTTGCTATGATCCTGCAAGGTATATACCTGTTCGTCATTGCCATTCATGATATGTAGCGATGGACAGCGTTGAGGATGTTCCTTCATGCATTGATCCGGTGCACATTTTTCGTGAAGGCGCTCTTTTGTGCATAGATATTCAAGATTTTTATCGCCTTCAACTTAACGTTGCTTCTCTTCCTGGTCAATGACATTTATCATTTTCTAATGTAATATATTGTCATGAAAAGTTTATAATCTAGATTAACGACTTACTTTTATTCTTCAATCTTCTCCTATTCTCCCCAATATAGAAAACTGTAGACTTATTATCACTGAAAGGTGCTGCACTTCAATGCTTCAGCCGCTAGATACTACATCAATCATTCACGGATCTAACTTGCTGCATAGAACCACACGGGAACAACAGAATGGATAGGACACCGTTATCAGTTCCTGCCTAAGACACCGTCGAAAATCGGAAATGCTTCTCACTGGACTTCTAATATTAGCCATTCAGCCGAGGTACTTCAATGTGCACGACTCAGCCAACAGCACCCTTCTGCCCGCAGAAGCACCCAATCCAACTCCAATACTAGTCCAAACTCAACTCTATAAAGCTCGATATTCCTATATCAACAGCTTATGGTCCTTTTCATTCGAGTTTTACACATGTATATGATTGGCTGATCAATTTCAAAACATAGCACAGCTACTCGATATATGTAGTTCAGACGTCCGTTCAGATTAGGCTAATACATTCAAATTCAGAAATACACTACAGCCCTTACAACCGAAATGATCGATGAAAGAATCGGCTTCAGAAGATAAAGAAATTCCAAGTGGTAATCTTGAGGGCCGCTTGATGGCTGAACTGTTCTCGAAATATATATCCTTAACAAATGCCACTTCTCAAAATACTCCAGTAAGTACCAAAATATCCCCACATAGGACAATTCTGAACCAGGAAAAGTGAAAACCGAGAGCTACATCCTTTCCTAGCTGGACTTTGAGAGCATGTACAAGCATCTGATCTACATTTATTAAAGAGTCCGTGCGCCACCTGCATGCCTCATCCGGGGTCGGTACCGGGGAAATGAATTTCCGCGCTCGCCTTGCCAGACTATTTTAGGAAGCTGTATCCGGGGTACTAGAAAAAGGCAGTCAGAGGCGCCTGCCTAATTGATACTAGGCTTGTTAATGAGTTGCCTTGGACTTTCGCGCTAAGACACACAGGATGGATGCGGAATGCGAGCCATTCCAAGTTTGGCGTGGTGAGGCGGACGAGACAATATTTGTGGAGAATAATATTGGAGGGTAGCTGAGCACGCGACCTTGGATAACAAAATAGATTATCTGGAAAGGAACATTGACAGATGATCTGGCGATTTGTGCTGAAATTCAGGCTCTCGTGTACGCTCACACATCGGTTTAGTGTACAGAGGCTCTTACAGTATACATTATGACAAAAGCTTCTAGTCTATCAAGTTCAATGGATCACGAGTTCTCCCGCTTGGAATGACCGAGTTCTAGGTCGGCATCTTCGACGAAGCCGAGAACGACGGACCGAGAAGAACGAGCAGATAACTGACGTGCATGCAACTAGAGTTCCCTGTTTGAGATCATCGAACCGATCGCTTATCTGGTTCCTTTTCTCCGGAGTAAATCCGACCATGGGTCGGATGAACCTGGGAGGAATTGGAGGGGAAGGTTTAGTGAAGTCTCAACAATTACATTGTGTGAAGAGATTTCAAATAAGTCCCTGTAGAGTGAGCCGCTTCCTGCCTAGCCTCGAACGCAGGTACTAATCAAACCAACGTAGCGGCAGGATTAGTAAATGGCAAATATAATTTGCTTATCTCCGGGCTCCATAATAGCCGATCGCAAATTGATCGGTGCAACGCAGGTTCCCCCGTGAAAACTCCGCAAGTCTGTAACTCTTCCCGTCGTACATCTACGTTTAACTCAACGTGAGACACTTGGTATCGGCGCTATTAGGTTGGCAACGGTTGGCATGTCCTAAGCTTATCATACAGCCTATCAGCACTTGGCTCTCGGTTCCGCGCCATCGGGCTTTCTCCAACGTCCCCAGTTTTTTTTGTAGTGGATAAACCAATCGTGATCAATGTATAAGGTTTATCTTTTATGGTTCTCCGCCACCTCCTGGTGCCTTTTTCGCCTATCTCCCAACCACTCTCTCTCTTATTATACCTCAATTCTTCATTCTCCCTGCCGTGGGTGTATATACCAAAATATCCCTCCACACCTCATGTTTCCTCTATAATTGTATCTGCGGCTATTGGCGATGACCTCATGTCGAGCGCCGACCCTTCTGGCAAACTCAGCCTGGGGGCTGATCCCTCGCAGGCCAGCTCCCACTCCACTAGCTGGATAGCGGAGCACACCATAGTCGCGTGCCTCATTGGAATCGCTTGGTACAATGCATTGGAGTTGATCGTCCTATGCTTCACCACCTTCAAGCGCTATGGAGGCTGGTACTTCTGGTGTCTCCTCATCTCCTCCTTCAGCATCATCCCGTTCGGCCTCGGCTACCTCCTCATAATCTACAACATATACACCAACCTCTTCCCCGTAGCGATGGAATTGATCGCCTGGGTAGGGATGGTAACCGGCCAATCCCTAGTCCTCTGGTCACGACTGCACCTCGTTTGCCACAACCAAACCGTCCTTCGCGCCACCCTCGCGATGATCATCGTCGACGCCATAATCTTCCACGTCCCAGGCTCCGTCCTTGAACTCGGAAGCCACTCAAACAAATACTATCTCTTCAACACCGGCTTCAACATCTTCGAGCGCATCCAATTGGTCGGCTTCTCCATTCAAGAAATCATCCTCTCAATCATCTACTCCTGGGAAGCTGTGCGCCTTCTGAACCTCCGACCCAGAGGCCACTACCGCGGAACCCTGGTCCAACTCCTTATCGTGAACATCGTCATGATCCTCATGGATGCAGCCGTCATCGGAGTCCAGTACTCCGGCTTCTTCGATATTCACGTTACCCTCAAGGCAATGGTTTACAGCATCAAACTGAAGCTGGAATATGCAATCTTGGGCAAATTGGTCGTCATCACCGAAATGGGTGGTAGCAATTCCGCCCCAACCGACCTATCCGATTTCGTGGATCTCTCGTTCCACAATAATTCAGCAACGCCGCAGCCTGATAGCGAGAGCCAGGCCCGGCCTCTCGATCCCCCTGACTATGGTGTTCATACTCGTGTGCTAGTCTCTTCTAAGGGTTCCTCCCATGATCAGCTACGACGCAGTCTTTCTGCTACCCCGAGTCCGAGTTTGAGCAACTCGGGCTCATGATGTCCCCATGTAATTAACGATTCAGAAATGCCCCTGTATATAGCACTTACCTCCGTACATAATCTACAACCACCTACAATACCTTTATCCAATTGGCGAAACTCGTACTTGAAGAAAGAGGGGAACCCCTTCCCCTCACTTCCTTATCTCGCATCGTCGGATGCCGCCGTACATGAATCTGAAATCGCCGAAACACACGCCCTACATATCAACCACGATCCCACCTTACTTTACTCCATACACCTTAATTCAAATCTCAAACCACCACCACCAACCACACCCTAGCAAACATACAACTCAACCCCAAACCCAACCATCCAAAATGTCAAAAACAACCCTAGAACCCCTCACAACCCCCCAGCTCGAAAAAGCCGCCACAAAAGCCTTGAGCCTGCAGACAACTGCCCAAAAAACCCACCAAAAACGCCCCTTCACAGCCCTCCTCCTAGCCCCAGACAACGAAACAGTCCTCCTATCCTCAAACTCACTCTCGCACGTTCGCCACGCAGAATGCGAACTTGCGCGCAACGCAGCAGATAACTACGACTGGACCTATCTGGCGCGGTGCACGCTCGTCTCGACGTGGGAGCCGTGCGCGATGTGCGCGGGCGCGATCTACTGGGCGCATATTGGGCGGGTTGTCTATCTTGCTTCTGAGGATGCGTTGAGGGGGGTTGTTGGTGTGGGCAATGAGGAGAATCTTACGCTTGATTTGCCTTGTCGGGAGGTTTTTGGGAGGGGCCAGTTCGGCGTGGAGGTTTGGGGGCCGTATACTGAGGGGGTGGATGGGGGCTGGGAGGGGAGGGTTGTCAGGGATAGTTTGTTGTATTGGGGGAAACAGGGGGGTGGCGAGGGAGAAAAAGAGGGAGGGGATGAGTGTTGAGGTGATATAAATATGGAAATGTATGGAGGGATAGGCTGGGTCTTTGAAGTAGATGTAGGGTTGGAAATTGAGAAAACAATGTCTTGTAGTCTCGGTGATCGAGGGGTTATGTTGCATTTTATATCTGTTATCCCTTGAATGCGTTCAAGTGCAATTGTTAGTTTCAGAAAACACCCGACTCAAATTGGAGTCAAGACATCGACTCCGTAAGTGCAATTAGCCTTTGAACATTGTGCCACATACTTCATTACTATAAGCTGGCGTACTGCTAGACTCAATCTAAGTGACGCTGGTAGAGGCTCGAGGCCCGGAAGTATACAACCGCTATATGACGAATCGGGTAGCATCACCAAGACATCCCCTGAAACGCACGTGTTAATAAAGTGTCCCGAGAAAAAGTAGTGGCGGGCGATCAGGTCCCAATTAATGGAGAGACATCTCCACAGCGAATATTTGGAATCAAAGATTTCGATCATCAAGCTCGATCTGGCTGTATAGAGCAACTGCTCGAGTGGACGTGGAGACGCTAGTCCATATCCGGAAGCAGTAAGGGAGCCTTAGCGCACACAGCCACAGAGCCCCTTTCTTGTGGCTGGAGCACTATTTCCGGAATAGCTTTGAATATGCAACAGTCAAGCTGTACTCTCCATCTAGGCCATTGGATAGTCAATTCTGATCCATGGGAGGAATCCTCACTGGGATCCTGCCATGCTTCTTTGCTAAGTCAGAATCTGTGTTGACGTCAAGGTGAGCAGACTCTGATAGTCAAGTTGACCCACAGTGGACCATGGATGATGATATGGAGCGTATGCCAAGGCTTGATCTTGCCAGGTTTGCAGATCGTGGGACCTTTTAGGAATGGGTCTGGAGTTGGAAGCTTTAGCTTCTGTTTGGTAGAATGTAGCAGCCTTATGGAGTGGAGGTGTGGACTCAACAAGTACATTAACATGGACCACACCCTATGCATGTGTAGGCAATGCGGAGTACGCGTCCTCGTACTTTGTAGAGAATAAAGTGTTAGGCACAAATCCAATTGCCAGACGGAAGGGCGCGAACGGGGAGCAGGATCCCGTCGACATGTGCCACGTGATGACGTCAGGTGTAGATCAGAGAACTCAGTTGAAACTCGTCAGTCCCTGGTGCACTTCAGGGATCCTGTCGTCATACCACTGCTTGGCTTTTATATCCCTTTTCAGTCTTCCCCTTCGTCTTCCCTTTTCCTTTCCTTTCCCATATTTTCCTTCATTCCAGTGATACCCCCTTGTTTAAATCGGGACTAATTTGTATGTCTCCCCTGTTTGCCTTAGTTGCAAACTGTTAACCCTTTCTAGTTCCTACATAATACCTTCCGCATCTCTAATACCCTGATAATCCATCTCAATTGCGTCGTCATGTCTGTCAACGTCCCCACCGATACGAAACAGAAGGAGAAGGTGTGTGCGATAATGACCTTGATGGCTACAGCATACTGATCGCGATTCAGGATATCAACGCCAAGCTCCAATTGTTTGGTATCTACCATGGTAAGTTCACCTGAGATTCAATTGACAATTGTTGTGCTGACCCACTGTGTTTAGCCTTCAAAAACAGCAAGCTCCCATCCGTTCGTCGCGCCCCACTGCCCGCGCCCCAGCTCCGCTTTATACTGATCATTCCCCACAGAACAAGCAATGCGACATCGCCTTGAACAGCGCCTTGAGCTCCAAGGCCCTTTCCTCCCCCCCTAAGGAGCTCTCTGCCGACGGAAAGACTCTCGTGAGCGACGTGCGAAATGTTATCGAGCAAGCCAAGAAGATGCTCTTGGTGAAGAACGAGGGTGAATTGCTCCAAGACTTCATCTGGCAAGCGCAGAAGATAACTGCCGGCGATGCTCAGAAGCCCAACCTACCCATCGACAAGGAGTCTGGCAAGCAGGACGCGAACAAGGCCGCCGAGGGTCTCAGGACCCTCGGCACACTCATGATCACCAACGGAGAGTTCCGCAAGCTTTGTAAGTGGAGCTTCCCATATATGGCAGGCAATCTGATTCTAACAGTACTTAGTGAGTGATGCAATGATCCTTATCAAGGATATTGGCGCCGATGCTTCGCAAAAGGCCGCCAACAAGGTCCGCCCTTCAGAGGAGGAGCTTTCCCAGATCGACCAGGCGGCCGAGGACAACGTGTGGCACGAGAAGCCCAACATTTCCAAGGAGGACATGAAGTCCAAGTTCAAGAAGAACAAGGCTGTATGTGTTCCCTTCCCCTGAAGCAGGCAAATTGCTAATTATATTTTAGGACAAGGAAAGTGTTGCATCTGCCTCCATTGCCGAAAATGACTCCACCATGTCGTCCAAGAGCAAGACTAAGGAGGCCGCCGACAAGGCCAAGAACTATCTCTCCGACAAGGTGCCCAAGGAGCGCCGTGACCAGACCATCTGGCGTCTGAAAAAGATGATCATCGAGATTCAGGGCCACGCTGATTGTAAGCTGAACTTTACGATGTGGAATTGCCGATCGCTAACCAATCATATAGACCAGCAAGCCATTGAGACTCTGTTGAGCATGGCGGAGCAATATGCTGGCCACACCAAGGATGCCTCCAAGCAGGGAGGCAGCGCTGCCCGGGACGTCATCAAGACTGACAGTGTCCAGGCTGTTCAGTCCAATTTGCGCGTGAGTATTTTTGGGTCGATTTGTTGTTGAGCTCGATACTGACTATTTTCTAGACCCTTGTTGAGCGCTTTGCCAACAACACCTCTCTCGATAGCTTCTTTAACTCACTGAACACCGTTTACCACGATGCCGAGAAAGACCCCGAGCTCAAGAACTGGTTCAAGAACATTGATAACCTTATTCGGTATGTGATCTGAGAAACATGTTTGAAGAATAAGCTGACATAATATAGCAAATCTCTGCGTGAGCAGGGCTTCATCATGGAGGAAGAGTGCAACCGCCAGTGGAACGACCTCTACGAGAAGGGCCGTTACTTGTTGCGTGAGCGCTACCGCGGCCACACCGACATCATTGTCGACGAGACTAAGTTCTTGGCCGACCAATTCGAGAAGGATCCCCAGAACCAGGCCCTTGCCGAGTCCTTCCAGAAGCTGTTCAAGGATCTTGGACGTGACACCGATGGAAAGGTTACCTTCAAAAAGGATCTTGTTCGTGACCTCCGCGACATCATCGTTCCAGGTATCTTCGAGAATGTCCGCTACGTTCCCATCCCTCGTATTGAGGTCTCTGACCCCATGATCGATGTTGTTGTCGAGAACCTGTGCATTGAAAGTGACAACCTGTTGCCCAATGTCGTCGAATTCGGCAGCGACAACTACTTCCGCTGGGGCCGCAAGAAGATCAGCAACAAGCGTGACAACAAGATCATGATCTCCATGTCTGGTATCCAGGCTGACTTGCGTGACGTGAGCTACTACATCAAAAAGAAGGAGGGCTTCCCCTCTATCACTGATAAGGGTATTATGGACATCTTCCTTGGTGGCGAGGGCCTCAGCGTCAAGATCGCCGCCTCTACCGCCCAGAACAACGACAAGGAGTCCTTCGTCAAGCTGGACAAGGTCAACGTGTCCATCAAGCACATGAATATCAAGCTCAAGAAGTCCAGCCACAAGATTCTCTTCAACACCTTCAAACCTATGCTCTTCCGTGTCGTTCGCCCCGCCCTGCAGAAGGTCGTCGAGGGCCAGATCCGGGAGGCCTTCCGGAAGGGAGATGGCTTCGCCAAGGATATCCACACCGAGGCCAAGCGTGCCCAGGAAGCTGCCCGTGAGGATCCCGAGAACGCCCCTACAATCCTCGCCCGCTACAGCGATGCCATTCGTGCCCGTGCCCAGGCCAAGGCCAAGCAAGCCGAGGCCGTCGTCCAGCGTGGCACCAAGGTCCAGACCGTCATGACCCTCCACGACTCCATCTTCCCCAAGATTGAGCTGCCCGGAGGTGTCTCCAGCAAGGCCACCGAGTACGCCGAGCTGGCAGCCAAGGGCGAGCGCTGGGAGTCGCCCATCTTCAGCATCGGCAATGCCTCCGAGTCGACCGGCATTCCCTCCGCTGGCCCCATCACCAACAAGCCCCACGGCCCCAGCACCAATGGCGCGGGAGTTGCCGACGTTGCCGCTGCTGCAGGAACATCTGGCGCCGCCACCGCCGCCGCCAATGGTACCAACGGCACCACCACCGAAAAGGTCGCCGGATACCCTTCCCGGGGTTTCTCTGATGAAGTCGACCAGGCTTTCGTCAACGGCAAGACCCAGAACATCCCTGACGGTATCAAGAACGGCACCAACGGCGTCACTGCTGCCAACGGCGTCACTGCCACCACCGGAACTACCGCCACTGCCCACTAAATTTGTGGCCGTCTCCAAAATCATCAGGACATTCGTCTAATGTCGCTTTTTATTGTCGACGCCTGAGTATCTAATCTTGCTTTTGTGCTTTCTCGTTTTATGATTTCCCCTAGTGCAGTCCGGACATTATTTCTATTATGTACGAGTATTGGTTTTTCTTTTTCGGTAGCCTAATACATAATGCCACCGCTGTTGCGTTGATATAAATCATTCCAAAGTACTTCGTGAAGTAATAAATAATTATAGAATTCACCGTACCTCCGCATTGCATAGAGTGTGGATAAACCGTTAATCAAGTGTAAGATAATGTTAAAGCTCAAAATGTCATTCATAATCGTCTAAATCAGTAAATTTCCCCACTATACAATCAATCACACTTTTCAATCAGCATCCACATCTATATCATTTTAGTCTTTCATCTACATCTGATCAAAGTACTTCTGCCACCCCAACTCCCGCAGCTTGGTACCCTTCAACTCCATGTTCTCGGCACGGGCAGCCTCAGCATAGGCCTCGACCTTGCGCTGAATGGAAGGCTCGTAGGAGCCCAGGACGCGCGCGGCGAGGAGGGCTGCGTTGATGCTGTTGTTGATTCCGACTGTGGCGACGGGGACACCTAGTTCAGTCAGTATATGTATGTTCAGTTTGAATAATGGGATTTAGGTTAGAATGTAACGTACCTCGGGGCATCTGGACGATGCTGTACAAGCTGTCCACACCATCAAGCGAGCTACCCTTAACGGGGACTCCAATCACGGGGAGGGCAGTGTGGGCAGCTGCCATGCCGGGGAGGTGGGCGGCACCACCGGCAGCGGCGATAATAACCTTGATACCGCGCGACGCAGCCTGGGCGGCGTACTCGGCCATGTAGTCCGGTGTGCGGTGGGCAGAGGTGATTTCGACCTCGGGCTCGAGACCGAAGTAATCGCGCAGCAGCTTCAGGCCTGGGACTAGAGTCTTCAGGTCACTGTCTGAGCCCATGATGACTGCGACGGAGGGGGCGGGCTTCGAGGGGCCGGAGGGGGCGGCCTTGGTCTTGATATCGGTGCGCTGGGCGCGCATGTCGTCGACGACGTTGATAAGGGGCTGGATCATTGTCTCGGCTTCGTGCATGGTGGCAGCGGTGACGGTGACGTGGCCCATCTTGCGACCTGGCTTTGCGTCGCCCTTGCTGTAGAGGTGGATGCTTGCGTTGGGGATGCTTAGGGCTGCTTCTGTGGCCTTGAGGTGGGAGTCTGGGGTTGCGCCGCCGATGATGTTCAGCATGATGGAGGGTTGGCGGAGTTCCAGGCTCTTGGGGGGAATGGGGAGGTCCATGATTGCGCGAATGTGGCTGTCGAATTGGGAGAGGGCGCAGCCTTCGATTGTCCAGTGGCCGGAGTTGTGGATGCGGCTGGCGAGCTCGCAAAGCATTAGGCTGTTGTCTTCCAAGAGAAACATTTCAACACCGAAGGCACCTTTGCCTTTGAATGCTGAGACGGCTTTGCGGGCGAGGGCTTGCGCCTTTTGGTTGATTGCGTCGGAGACGTTGCGGGCTGGAGCGTAGACCAGCTTGCATATTGAGTCCTCTTGGACGGTCTCGACGGTGGGGTAGGAAAGGACGTCGTCCTTGGTCTTGATAACCATAACGGCCAGTTCCTGGGAGGGTGTTACGTTAGAATTGTAGGCGTAAGGTTTGGCTGGACACTAACCATCTTGAAGTAGGCCCATTTCTCGGCGTAGAGAGGGCGGTCCTTCAGGGCCTCGAGGGCCTCGGGGATGTCTTCCTTAGAGTTGACACGGAAGTTGCCTTTTGTGCCATTAGTAAAATGCTATACAATTTCGCATGAGGCATGACTCACCACGGCCATCGTAGGCCATAGTCTTCGACTTCAACATCATTGGGTAGCCCAATTGCTCTCCGATCTTGGCCAATTCCTCAGGGGCATTGCTGGACAGTTCGCGGTGATCGGCCATGGGGATATCGTACTTGCGGAGATGCTCCTTTTGGTCGAACTTGTTCTGAATTGTCCGGATAGCTTGCCAGCTGGGCTCTACCCGCACCTTTGACGCAACCTCCTCGAGGGCGTAGGTGTCGACGTGCTCAATCTCAGCAGTAATCACATCGCAAGAGTCGGCTAGCTTGCGCACGGCTTCGGGCTCCTTGAAGGAGCCAGTGACATGGCCGTCGTGGGAACTGATCTGCTTGGCGGGAGAGTTGTCGACATCGAGGATGTTGGCTTGAATGTTCAATCGGTTGGCAGATTCCACCAGCATGCGGCCCAACTGGCCACCGCCGAGGATTCCCACCTTAGGCGAATTCCACATGTCGAGGGTATATGAGTCAATGTGAAGTGAAGTGGGAGATCGTCACTGCCCCTCCGTCTCCGAAACTTCGCGGAGAGTCATGTGACTCTATCGATAAGCTCCGACCAATCAACGATGTTGACTGGCGCGTCACCGACTTCGTTGTCGCAGCCTCAACTTCCTGCTTGTACACAGCTAAAGGGACAATGTCTTTGGGTAAGTGGCCCACCACGGTCGCGCTGCTATTCCTCGCAGCTTCTGCAATTTTGCTAACCCGGGCACCGCAGATGAGGAAGCTCTCCGGACAGCCGCCAATGGCGGCTCGATAGAAATGTACGTGTCAAACTGCCATGGAATAGCTGAAAGCTTAGACTAACGCGCTTCTTTAGAGAGAGATGGAGCGGTATGGCTGCGCCTTTGATTGAGCGGCTGGAATATGTGCGCTTGCCCTTCCATGACCCCTGACCGACACATCTGACCACAAGCTCCAGATCGTGTACAACATGTTCCCCATGCCTCGAATGCGCCCAGAGGAGATCGGCCAGCAGACATCTACCAACCATGCATCTCAGCTACAAGAAACAAATCACATTGAACCCGAAAGTAGTAACAAGGAAAACGACGCACCTGCAGACCCGCCTGGCTCTCCCCCCTCAAGTGAGCGCGTGCCAGATTCGCAACCCCAGCCCTCTGGTACATCGACCGATGATCAGCTCCCACCGCCACTTGTCCTACTGTTGAAAGCTATCCGATCTTCGATCACTTCTTTCTTTGAGGAGAAACCCCCGCATACCATTCAGAGACTCGCAGAGCTGGTCCTCGAGCCGACCAAGCACTACAAAACTTTACCTGCGTATCTCCGTGCGGTTGACCGTGTCATCTCAGTGACAAGCTCCGCAGATGTCTTCCCCTTTAACTCTTCATCCCCCACCGACGCTCACTCAAATGGGATGGTGCACCCCGGTAATAGCAGCGGGGTTTACCTGGCTCCGGACTATGCCCATGGCCTGGGAAGTGACGAATCTCTGGGAGGTGCTCTATTGACCCCTATTCCATGGTTGAATGGCTCTTCGTTTGAAGGCGAAGATACGAACGTATTAGGCGAGGGTATTTACTTTCACTTTCCAACCACATCGTTCTTCATTGCTAACGTCATATTCAAGGCACCGAAGAACCTATACCAACACAGCCGACAGAGGAGCCCGAAGCGGCGCCTACTACTCCCACCGAAACTGAGGATGTGGCAGCCACCGCCTCACCAGAGCCATCCGAAGAAGTCCCTCATGCCCGTGGCCCAATTGTGCTGGGAGTCGAGGATATGGGTCTGCAGGACGGGAAAGGCGTAGAGATGAACCTCGGCCCAGATGGCACCGATGATGAAGCAACTGCAGCCGCAGCAGCCGAAGCTGTGGCCACTACCACAGAAGAACAGAAAAAGAATGAATCAACCGCCGACAAGGACGGTGATATTGTTCTTTCCGACGAACAGCCACAGGAAGCAGAAGAGACTCAGAAGGAAGACATTTCTGCAGAACCACAGGCAAGCGAGACGGAATCTAAGCCCCCTGGTAATTTAGCCGAAGCGCCGGACGCCGAGAAGAAAGCATAAGCGATTTTCTGCGTCTATTTGAATGTCTTTGTGTTATTTTTTTCTCAGTTGGTTTTATGCTCGCTTTTAGCATCATGAGTGACGACCTATAAGATTACATGGATCAATTGCCAATCAATGGATTTTTAAATGCCTACATCTTCCTCTTTAGTTAAAGTAAATGCATATCTGAGTCACAATGTGACCAAAGTCACTCAGGTGGAGCTTTTAGTAGAGCTTTTTCAAGATTTATCTCCAAGCCTGATTACAATTGAAGGATAGGCATGTTGATTCACGGTCTTAACTCCTATTGGTGATGCTGAAGACTAGAGAGATGAGATATAGTGGAAAGATAGATATTAAAGCCACATACATGTTGATAAAATAGGGGCTCATATTTCTGTTCACAGTGCTTTGAAGCATCAGACAATTCCTGTACGAAACCCTTGGCCTCGTTTTTTCACGGCTTTGTTTACCCAGAATTGAGTACCTGGAGTGAATGAATCAGATCATAGAAAGGACAGGATATAGAAGTACCTAGGCCCACTGTCTTGGAAAGACCTCAATTTGGAACGACTTAGAAGCAAGACCGCTTGATAGAAATCATACAAGGCTCAAATACCTTTTCATAATATGAGATTGATGACCTAGGAGTACCTTCAAGGCTTCGTGATTCCGAGCAACATATATCTCAAGCGACAGAAGCCTGCAACACGCGGAATTCCCCGCTCCCATGTATTCCATAAGAGCCACCACAGCTAGAATCCGAGAATTTCCTATGAGACATGCATCTGGCCGAGGAGCGCGTCTCATTGTCCTTCCTGGACGAGAGAGCACTGGGACTGGAGCGCCTCAAATGGGTTTACGATGAGAATCCCTGGACTAGTCAGCTAGGTGGAATGAGTAAAATGTCGCCGGCTACTCTCGACGCACTGAACATCCTACTGAGTCCAATTCTACTGCCGGGGGATGTACAGCCCATACGTGAGGCAATTGATCAAGGTTCTATCGACAGAGCGGCCCTCCAAGATGCCGCAGATTTTATCAGAGGCCGAGAAATCTACGAGCAAGCCTACAACACAGCACCAGAGGCATTGAACCATGGCATCTATGGCTGCATGCTACAGCGATTCATGGTAACGAGATGCCCCATCGAATGTCCAGACCAAGCAGGCGACAAGGGCATGAATCTTCCAGCACAACATGTGGAATCTGGTTCCCCAGAGGTTGATATCAGCGAGTCTCTTACCACCAATGATTGCAGTGAAGACGACTGTTCGGAGCGTACCGCGGAGGACGAGGAGGCAGAGGTGGTTGCGATGTTGGATCGCGAAAAGGACGAATGCTTTTTCATCTGGTGAAAATCCCAATCAACAGGAGACACAGCGGGTAATGAATGCGAGAAATCACTGGTTCCAGGTCAGGACGATGACTAGCATGGAGGATGGGTATTGCTTTAATCATATGCATTGCATTACGTGTAGAGTATGTAAATGGACGTACTGAACGAACTACTGTGTTGCCAAATGAACTCCCTTCTGCTTGTATGAATGCTTTATCCAAGTCGTAATACTCATATTACCTGTGTCTATGCTGCATCAAGCGCTTTAAACGTCATGTACGGAGCCCTTCACCAGCCGAGTAGTAGAACTAGGAACATTTCGAGGCGTGCATAGTTATCACATGAACTTCTCAGCTGCGGCGGCCCCAAGGAGTGATTCATCTGTTTTAGTAACATCCACCGATTGGTAGTTCGAGTTGGTCTCAGCTGAAAATATGGGGGCCAAATCAAGAGCCGTATGCTACATTTGAACAAATTTGTACATGTAGTTAATTGGTCCCTTGCTGCTCAATTATGATGGAACAAGCATTGAATGGCCGCAGTGAATGCTCATCAGATAGTAAGTCATATACAAACAAGATATATTGTGGCTCCTTGCTTGGACAAGAGATTGGCAAGCGTTCTCATGTCCGTTGAACCGATCTACACGCACATTCCCTTTGTCTGGGTCCACTTGGCTTCTGGCTACTCGTTGGCGTTATTGATTTCTCCGCGAACGTCCACCTTTGGAGGAAAGCAAACACAGGATTACGAATCGCATGTGTGTTCATGTTCGAGATAGCCAATGAGCTTCCAAAAGTGGGGACGTAGTGACTACAAGATGTGCTAGTGCAGTAGCCTCATGTATATCAGTCACGGCGGCACACTTAAAGGCCTGCGGCATGTATCCCCTCGATTAGCAGAATCTTGCGATTGGAGAGGAACTGGTTCCTCCACTATTATTTTGATGAGCCGTGGTGCGGAAATTGTCGTGATAGACATGAAGTGTGCCGAGGCTTAGTCTGAGACTACTGTTATTCCTCACGGCGCGGCCCGTCGATATACCTCGTCAGTTATGAACACTCCATTTATTTGGTGGGATACACGTATATCCACGGTGTGTCAATCTGCTCCGCTTTCTTTATTTCTAGTTCAGTACAGTCGTTCCATGAACATGGAGTGCTCTTCTCCGGCTGCGATTGCTTCATATGAAAGTAAGTAGATACGAATACGCAGGGTATAGGTTATCATGTTACTCAGCCAGACAATCTGAGTTTCTTGATCTTAGACATGGAAAGTGTGAGCGTCTCATTAGGCGCCCAGGTGGGCCAGCACTAGCGCTGACCTAGTGACTGTATGAGGAGGCTTTGAACAGCACGAGATAATGGGGGCCTTATAGTCAAGAAAGATACCCAGCCAACTGCCACTGGAAGCCAAGGGACACTTCATAACTTCTATGCATGCCATCGCGATTTCGCGCAAAAGTCAAACTGGCGGCTTACATCCATCTGCAAGAGCCCTGGAAATCAAGTCGCAAAGCATGGAAAACACCAACCACATCTTCGATACTGGCAGCTGCACGGAACTCGATCTAGGGAACTCTTTCCTTCCGGATCTAGAAAGTTCTGAGGGACTCAGCCATGTCGGCCACTCACTGAATGCCGATTGGACTGGTCGATACCAGTTCTCGCGTAAGCAAAGCTGAAGGATATAGATACATGGCCATTGCTAACATATTGTGTCTGCGTCTAGACGAGGAAATCACAGCCCCTTTCTTTCTCAAGGATGAATCCGGTCCATCGAACCCAATACAAGCACACAGAGATCCGCCCGGATCTGATACCCAACGGACACCTGAATTCCTGTTGGACAATTTTGGGGTGCCAGATATTTGGTCATGTATAGACTGGAGTGTTGTGGGGCAGAGCGGCCAATACAAGTCAAATGAAACGACCAATTCAGGCTCCAGCCCCAATATCGAGAGTGGAACAACTTGTAGCAGCAAATTTCCCAGCTACAGCCAGCATGCTTCGCCAAGCGGGAGGGCAGCTGCAGCTGAGAGATCACGATATCAACCTTCTAAGCGGGTGTCCCATTACCGTATCGAGAAGAAATACCGCGCAAACATCAATGACAAGATTCGCCTATTGGATGAGATGCTGCCAGAGACCCCACAGCATGGCCAACAGTGGATGAACTCAGGGAAAGAAAATAGCAATGTCAGTTCCACTAGAAGGACAGTGGCGGCAAATCGCAGCAAGGGAGAGGTGCTGTCTCTAGTCATTGATTATATTGTCTTCTTGCGAAAGAAAGACGCCTTGCAGCAACAGAGCATCCGGGAATTAGAGGGTTATATTCGGACATCAAGGAACACATTAGGGTTTTGAGTCAAGTTTGTTTCCGAATACATTTTGAGCAGCAGAAACATCTGATATTCCTGAGCCCCGAACGACCCAAATGATTCGACGAAAGTTAGCAAACATCTACTGACAGCTTGTCTGTCATGTTTGAGTCTGATCCAGCCATCTCACCCCCCATTAGTCCCATTCTTGTTCTGACCCACCTGAACCAAGCGACTCTGAACAACCAGCTTGTCCACCAAAAGTGTCAGTGACGAGCTCTGCATAACATCAAAAATGGAGCATTCAGCATCCAATGTTGACACGACCCAGTTGCGCAACTCCACAGCAATGAGGGAATCCACACCAATATCTGTCAGAGCCATCGAGGGATCGATTTCAGTTTCAGGACGCCCAAATTCTTTCGCCAGCCTGGTTACCAGCACATCGTTGATTATGTTCTGTGCCTCAGCAATCGTCCGAGCTTCTGCCAGTAGGGATCTAGTATGCAGCACCGTACCGACTGCTGCTCCGTCACCATGCTTTGATGCTATAGCGATGCCATCTGTACACTTCAAAGGCACAAAGCGGACGTCACGACTCCAAAATGCCGCTGGTGTGTCGTAGGTGAACTTGGGCGGAAGAGCCGTGATAATCTGACTGGACTCGGGACTCCGACATGGATTGTGAATAGCAGACTCAACTAGACGAATGACCATCTCGTCGTCGAGAACTCGCGGTCCCATATTTTCTAGATGATTGGCCAGGGCCGCGTTGTTTGGTTCGGCAAGGACCCCAACTGACCTTACCATTCCAAGGTCAATAGATACTCCTGGAAGACCAAGCGACGCTCGATGACGAGCTAGTGCATCTTGGAAAGTACCACCTGCGGCATAGTTGGCCTGGCCAGTATTGCCTGCAACACCACTGAGACTGGAGAGCATGATGAAGAATTCTAGCGATGCAGAAGGAACAAGCTCGTGCAGATTCCAGCTGCCCTGTACCTTGCTTTGGATGACACTGGTGTAGTCTGCATGAGACATACTCTCAAAGATTGAATCCTATGAAAAGCTAGTCAGTACTCAGCTATCAATTTGCGGACCTTCACCACTCACCCTGAGCACCATGGCTCCTTGAATGACACCCTTGATTGGTGGCAGTGAGCCGGCCCATTCCGCGACAGCTTTGGCCAATTCAGTCTTGTTTGCTACGTCGCAGCTCTTCAAAACCACGTTTGCGCCACCTGTCACAAGGCTTTTCACAAACAATTGGTTCTCGACTGAAGGAGAGCCAGCTGAACGAGACGTGAGGATAATATGCCGCGCGCCTCTGTTCACCAAGGCTCGCGCCAGTAATTTTCCAATGCCTCCCAAGCCCCCGACAATAAGATAGCTGCCCTCAGATGACAGTGCGAGATTTTTGGCTGACGGTAAGACCTAAGTGCTTGATAAGTATCTCTAGCAATCAGACTGTCGAACTTGCGTTGTTCCTGACTCACCTTCACAACGTCTCCTTCGGTAGGCCGCAGAACAATCTTGCCTATATGTTTCTCCTCCTGCATGGCACGGAACGCCGACTCCAGGTCTACCATAGAATAAGCAACAATGGGTCTGATAGGGCTGAGTTTTTGGTCATCGACCATCGCCGCAACCTTGCGAAGAATATCATAGACCTGATCAGGGCGATGATCATACATGGTCCATAAATCAACCGAGAAAAATGATATACAACGAGCGAATGGTGCCAGGGAGATGCTGTTGCCATCTTCAATGTCTCGCTTTCCAATTTCGATAAATCGTCCAAAGCGAGCAACACAACGCAATGTGGCTCGGAGGAGGGGACCAGCCAGAGAGTTGAGTACAACGTCCACTCCCCTCCCAGCAGTATACGCCATAATAGCATCGACAAAGGACGCATCCTGGCTAGAGAAAATGCGATCGGGTGGGACACCATAATTTTCTGATATGAACTTGCGCTTCTCTGTTGATCCCACGGTCACGAAGATTTCTGCTCCGATATTCTCTGCCATCATAATAGCAGACTGCCCAACGCCTTCACTGCCAGAGTGTATGAGGATCGACTCCTTGGATTGGAGACGTGCAAGTTCAAACAGACTGTGGTACGCTGTGGAATGAGCCATGGCTAGGGATGCGCCATCGTCGATAGTCATCCAGTTCGGTAAATGGGCAACTGCATTGACATTGACACAAAGCGTGGTAGCAAAGCATCCAGCAGTGAGTGTATAAACACAATCACCAACTTCGAAACCTTGAGCTGTAGCCTTAGGGCCCACTCGAGTCAGAACGCCACTGCATTCAAAACCCATCCGTTCTTCCTGTATTTGACCAAGCGCTGCCATAACATCTCGGGAGTTGAGTCCATACGCCATAGGCTTGAGCTCGACAAAGTCTTCTGACAAAGTTTTATCAGGACGAAGGTCCTCGACAAAAGTCAAGTTCTGAAGTAAACCAGGCGCGGTCGATGCAAGCTTAAGATGTTTCCTTTCCTCTGCAAAGGGTCTGAGCTCTGATATTTGACGAGAGACTGAAGTCGCCAAGTGGTTATTTTGCACAAAGTCCTCATAAATGCGAGGTATTTGCAGTACGCCCGAACGAACCGCATATTCGCGTTCTGAGAGCCCTGGGTCCTTGGATGGCTTAGTTAAGACGGCATGCAAGACCCGAGTAATGTGATGAACTGTATCGGTACCCCAAAGGGACTCGGTGGGATCAAGGTCTAGAGACACGTTCTCCCTCCAGGCTAGTTCATGCCGCAAGGTCCGCAACAGTCCATGATGCAGACTAGAGAATGGGCTGTAGCAATCAATTTGAGCACCCCGAGACACCCAAAGTGTACCCAAGAGTTGAGAACACATGAATTTGAGGTTTTCGAGCTCTTCTGCGGTGATTTGATCCAGCAATGTTGTCTCCAGGTCTCCTAGGAATACCACAAACGTGAATGGATTAATCAATGCTTTGATCTCGCTTAGTGCATGAGTTGTCACGTTGGTCGGCCTGACTTTATCGGCAATGGACTTCGAAAGCTTCTGCAGCCAATTGGTGGGGATGGTCGACCGGGCGTAAACGATAGCCACTGTGTATATCGGGTCCCTGATCTCTCTAGATGGAGCAGTCGCCAGTGTGATGCTCGAAAAGGCACAATTCATGTTGTCTGTACTTGCTTGGTTCATGGAAATATCATCAAAGCCAGCATGTTCGAGTGTCTCGGTCCATCGCTGCGAGAGCAAATGAGCCCCTTCGATCTCGGAGCGTCCTGCATAATGAAGATGTTGTTAGCAATAACACAAAGGCTGCCAGATCAGTAAATGGAACTTACTTCTCCAAGCCGGAAGCGTCTCATACACCATACGCATATCGACCCGGTCAAGAGTGGGTCCCCATACCATAAGTCGTCCATGACCCTTCAGAAGACCTCGTACATGGGCCATAGATTGTTGGAGATCATGGGCTAGGTATAACTGAGGCGAGGCGATGATCAAATCGTAACAGTTTGTCTCAAAGCCCTGCTCTGTAGGGTCTCTGTCAACGTCATATTGGTGGAATTCCACGCAGTCTGCACTTTCTCCAACTCTTAGTCTGTCAATGTGTTCCGCAAACGCATCGGCCACGTCAAATTTCCCGCAAAAGACACCACGATTTGGCAAATTCTCGAGTAGATCCAAAACAATGCGGGTACATTCACCTCTTCCAGCACCAATTTCCAGTAGCCGAGCACTGGGATCCCTGTGGATAAGGTGCTCAACCGTTTGCTGGACTTGGCGGGTACAATGTGTCACACTAGATGGTTCTCTCGTGTATATCTCACGCATGAGTTCTGCCGGATCTACTTTGCCTGTCAGAATTGCCGGAAGATTCTGTCCCATTCGATGGATAAGTCTGCTCTCGGCGGTATCTTGGAAAAGGCGCTTATTCCAGAGCTTGCTCATGTTTTGTTTCACGGTGTCTTTCATCCACTGGAAATATTGAGAATATTCAGCATTCGGCGTAGCCTCCATTTCTAAGGACAACACTGCTTCGGCCATATAGGTTAGTGTAGTTGTTTGGAGTATCTCAGCCAAATTGCTAGCATCTATCAGATCGGATGGCGGCGTGGGTGGCAGATTGGAGGCCAATAGCAAGCCCAAATCAGGCTTCCAAACAGTGGAGAAACACCATTTGTCCGAAATGGACTGACTGGGAGTGACTGATCCTCCAACGGACTGACAGAAGAGGCCTTGCATGATCAGAACAGGAGAGCCCCTAAGTTTGCTGGTAAACGAACTTCCTTCATTATAAACAGTCGCAGAGGATCCAAAGCCATTTGACTTGGTATGATCCAGTCGCGCGTATATCTTGAACCAATGATCCGGCTCACTGCTAATGTCCGCTGAGATGTACAAAGAAGCAATAGACTTTGGGACTGATGCATCACGCCCTTGGACACCCACTGAAGGAGCAATATGGGACGTTGATTGAAAAATTGTATCAAGGGTCGTTGGGTGAATTACGTGGCTTTGCTGATAGTTGCATGGCATGACCGCCATAGTGTCGGGCACGCGAATAACGGTCGTGGAACGTCCATTTCTTTTTTGAGTAAAAATTTGGTTCTGGAACATAGGGCCGTAGCTCAGACCGATCTCCTTGAGACTTTGATAAGTATCATCATCTCTTACTAATGGCCAGAGACTACTCTCGTCCCAGTCATTGGCACATTTATATGCCCTTTCATCGTTCAAGCAGAAGGTCTTGGAGTCAGATGTAATGACTGTAATGCGTCCTTGACAATGAAGGATCCACTTGCCTGTAGAATGCAGCGACTGGATGTGAAAGTCGTTCCAGCCTTGAGCAGAGTGAATGCGGTCCACACAGGCCCGGAGTGAAATGCGAACATCAACACCCTCATCATCATCCTCCAGCACCAAGGCACGTGCAATATCAATATCCTCGAGCTTATATCCTGTGATCTGAGCTTTACTCTGCATGGATTGCCGCAGAACTTCAATAACCATCGCAATGTATCCAGCAGCTGGGTAGACAATGCTTGACTGGATAATATGATCACGCACCCAGGGAATATCCCGTGGGCGAATAATGTGGCGCCAGGTCGGGGTCAAGGGAGAAAAATCAGCAGTTTGGCATCCCAGAAGATCATGAGGGGGAACAGTTCGGTCTCGGGCAAATTTGCTCAAACGAGACTCCCACCAGTATTTTGTCTGGTGATTCCAGGGGTATGGAGGTAGATCCCTTAGGATTTGCAAGCCACGAGGACGGCCATGTGGAAAATTGACGGCACCCAGATCTACAGGGTATCCCTGCTGAATGAGCTTGCAAACCAAGGCATGCATGCTTTCCACGGCGCTCTGGCCCCTTACCAGACAAGACGCGTACGTATTTGTGAGTCCTTTCAAGTCGGGAACCGCAAGGCATTGACGGATAGGACTTCCCAGCGCTGCATGGGGTCCAACTTCGATGATAGCATCGACAGAAAAGGCATTGTTCTGGGTTTCATCAACGCACATGTGGTGCAGGGAAGACACAAACTCCACAGGCTGAATGGCGTTGCGTACCCAGTGCGCTGGGTCAGTAACTTCTTCCATCTGATTCATACGACGACTGGTTGTAGACGAGGAATAAATAACCGAATCTTCGGTTTTTCCAACCGGGGTCACCCAGGGGGCCATAGCCTCCAGGTAGGGCTCGGCGATGCACTGCACCAAATGTGAATGATACCCAGCGGTGACCTTGAGACGACGGGCAAATATGTTCTCCTTTACCATCATGGCCTCAAGCTCAACAATGGCAGGTGTATCACCAGAGACCGTGACACTGACAGGGCTGTTCACACAGCCCACAACTAATATGCCTGACTTGACGCGTGAGATTCTCTCTTGTGCGTCTTCGCGACCGAGGCCTACAGCAATCATACCACCACTATCGTCGAGCAGATGTACCAACCGTGTAGTGAGAACACCTCGATAGTAGACAATCGCCAAGGCATACTTGAGATCAATGAATCTGGCGGCATATGCAGCGCTAACTTCGCCACTGGAGTGTCCAGTGACTCCTGTTGGACGAATACCCCAGGATTTGAGAAGATCAACCAAGGCCATCTGGACAGATGCGACGAGCGGGAGACTATAATCAACCTCATTAACGTGACTGGAGGACTCATCCCGCATGAGCTCCTCGATCAGAAACCAAGGAGCACCGAGCTCATGTAGACACTCCTGGGCACAGATGAGGGTGTCCATGAACACGGGATAGAGCAGAGCAAGCTCTCTCCCCATGGCGTACCACTGTGCGCCCTGGCCAGTAAACACAAATCCTAAACGAGGCACACGAGAGGATCTGGCTGGTGCGAGAGAAGGCTGTGATGGTGGCTTGGTCTTGTCTAAAGATGCGACAAGAGCTTCCAAGGAAGTGGCTGCACATGCCAGTGTCCAAGGGAAACGAGACCGCTTTTCACCCAACGTGAATGCCAATCTATCAAGCTCATGCTCCGGGTTGCGGGTATTGAGAGTAGTCAGGTGGTCGAAGAGGTGGTCTCGCATGGTCTCCACTGTGTATTTGTCCTTTGCGCTCAAGACAAATAGACGAGGCCTGTCTCCAAACCCAGAAGCCTTATCGGAGAAGAATTTGCTATCAGTTTCTGGCAGGAGATAGCGTGGGTGTTCGATGATGGCATGAGCATTAGCTCCTCCATAGCCAAAGTTATTGACAGAGGCCCGGTGCAGACTATGTGAGGGCCATTCACACAGCGAGAGTGGAACCTAAACAAGCAATACTCAGTTAGGGCACATAGACGCATTCGACCCTTCAATTTACCTGGATTTTGAAGTCTTCGAACGGGATATTCGGATTGGGGTTCTCAAAGTTTATATGCGGCGGTATTAATCCCTTTTCCAAGGCCATGACCACCTTGATGACTCCTGCCAATCCACTCGTTGCCTCTGTATGCCCAATATTGGTCTTAACAGACCCTATTAGGACTGGGCTGTCATTTGTCCCATGAGCCCCAAATACCTTCCCAACTGCAGTGGCTTCCATCAGATCGCCAGTTTGGGTTCCAGTTCCGTGTGCTTCAACGTAGCCGGTATCGACGGGGTCCAGCCCACTAGCCTGATAGCATGTCTCCATGAGCTCTCTCTGGGCATCTGCGCTTGGCGATGTAATTGTGGTGGTTCTGCCATCTTGGTTGATGCCCGTATTTCGAATAACAGCACGCACAGCGTCCCCATCTCGAACGGCATCTGCTAGGGGCTTAAGAACTATGCTTGCAATACCATCTCCACGGCCATATCCGTCAGCGCGGGAATCAAAGGCAAAGCATTTGCCCTCCCTTGAAAAGATCCTATGTCCCCGTCATGGCAGCATTAGCCATATTTCCAAGAAGGGACCCCAAACGATGAGTACATACCCTAGTTTTGTGCCTGCAATAAACATGTCTGGGTTTAACAAGAGACCCGAGCCTCCCACAATTGCCATTGTTGATTCTCCCGTACGGAGGCTTTGGCATGCCAGATGCAAAAGCGTTAAAGATGTTGAACAGCCTGTGTCAACCATGACACTTGGTCCTCTCAGGTCGTAAAAATGTGAGACTCGGTTGGCGACCATGGCTGCACCATTTCCAGTCACAAAGTAGGCGTTATTCACACTAATAGGATCCCGCATATGGTTGTCATGGTTATCGCGGAAGGAGGTGCCAGCAAAGACGGATACGTTGGTGCCTGCAATTTGCTCGACGGGGAGACCGGCATTCTCCAGTGCTTCATAGACTGTCTCAAGCTGCAGACGAACCTCTGGGTCCATTGTCTATGTAATATCAGTGGCTGATCCGATAGGATAAGTTAGGGCTCACTCACTTTGGCAACGTCAGCCGAAAAATTGAAGAAGGACGCATCAAAGTGTGTGATATCTTCAGTCAGATAATGTGCCCCTATAACATATGACTAGTTTATGCTATTAGGTTTTCGTTGGTGATTGGAACTGGGAGCTTTAGAATGACATACGGTTCCGATGTGCCCTTGATCTGGATGATACCACGCCTCTGTATGAAATCTTTCAGGTTTGATGGGTGACCACGCACTGCGGCCATTGGCAAGAAGATCCCATAATTTCTCTGGGTTGGTAGCATCTCCCGGGAATCGACAGCCCATACCAATAATGGCAATAGGCATTGGAGATGACTCCATATCGCTGTTTGGAGTCGGTGCATCGATGTTACTGAACATCGAGTCATCCGATGAGTCCCTGTCAGAGATCATAGTGCTATGTGGGAGGCTTCTGAAATTTAATATCAATATCCAGAGGGTTGTTTTTCTTTTTAGGTATGTCTACGGCTATATACAGTAGCCACTGGTGGGTCTGACAGTTGAGCCATGACCCTTCGCGTCAGAATATTACTCCACATTGCATAGAAAGATGCAAGATTACCTGCATGAGTACGGTCTTGGTGAGTCAATATTGTGTCCTATTTGCGGACTTTGGGGCGTTGGCCTTGGTAGTGGTACCACCCCGAAAGGGCGCCAATGCTGGCGTGGAAGCGACACCATACTAGATTTAGTTCAAGAACTTAGACTCTGCAGAATGTAGCTAATCTCCTAACATTTAACCAATTGTTTGAAGGCTCGGCTATGTCTTCCCTCGTATTCCGTGGAGTTCGTGGCGCAGCTGTGTTGGCCCCAGTAAGACTGGATGCTTGGTCCTCCCCGGAGATATCTGGGCATAACAGATTTGCTTGTTCGCAGAGCCGCATGTCGAGCACATTTTCTACATCAAAGGTGAAAGGGAAATGACCATATCTACTTGGCTGGCGTTGGTTCTGGAATAACGGGTTTTTATTAGAGTTTGACTTCGTTGTCTTCCCAGGTTCAACCAGTGGACACCTTTGGGAAGTAAGAATATATTTAGGCCGGAGAAGACAAGTTATACTTATGATATTGTAATTTAATATAACCGAAACTCACCGTGCAATAAGTAATTCAGGACGATCTCTCAACTCACTAAGCGTAGTAAAGGACCTTGCAAAGCGCATTCCCTCTGCATTTTTTCTCTCAAGGAAGCCACCACCCTCCGTAGCAAAGGAAATTTTTTCCTTGAGAGCAATTTCCGGGGAAATTGTGACCTGATTGAATTTGAAACAGTATTTTGTGATCGCGGACGCGATAATCAGGGACCGGGAGGGAATTTTGTCTCCGGTCTCGCCTGCACAATGCTCCGTGCAAACAACCTGGCGACTGCTACTGGACTTGTAAAAGTTGCTGGAAATAAAAAGCCATCTTTCATCCCAGCAGAGTACCTGCGATCGCACTTCGTAGGCTTGAAAGAGCGCGATAGCTTGGTAAAAAGTGCAGGCCGTACCTCCCATAGCCATGCGCCTTCTGCCATGTAACGAGAGCCATTCCGGACACAATGAGAACAGTAATCAAAGCCGGCTCTCATCCAAATCGGCAAAGTAACTGGAGTTGGTCTTGTGCATTTGAATGTCAAGCTCGAAGATCGGAGCTCGCGATGTTAAAACATCCGGTTGGAACAGTGGATATCGGCTCTTTTTGAATAGAATTTTGCCGGTTATAATGGTATACAGGACTCGTGCCTATGGCTTTGTCATTATCAGCAAGACTATGGATTGCTAAAGCGGACTTACATGCCACATGCCCGGTATACACTTGAAGGTTGGCCCAAAGAAGGCGAATGCTGCTCCTGCAGCACATATGTATAGGGTGACAGACATGTTGAGGGCAATTTCCAAGAGACGGCAATGAAGCTAGCTACCTACTATTCTAAGTTAGTTAATCACAAGTACGAACAAGGTTGTAGTGGCGTTTTGTTCATGCAGGGCTGGTGGTACCACCGCAGGGCTACCAGAGCGCCGAGTTCTCCGAGCATCCTAGTACTTTTATTCCTATAGCTCTAGTTCCCAACTTCACGAAGGCACCATTATATAATCATGACTCATGACTGCAACAGCTGAAGCTCTCATATCGATGGACACCGTCCCGTATCACGATCGTACTGCATGGCCGTTATCAGCAACTGTACATTCCTCATTCGGGTAGATGGAACAGACATGGCCTCGGGGGAAACAAACTATCCTTGTCAGTACCTCCACCGATGGTCTCTCTGATACTCTCTTCAAGTAGTACCTGCCAGTTGTAGTGCTCACTCTTTTTCACGTGCGAACTATAAGCTCTGAGTGTATTGTTAGTTTTCTCCCTTTGAGAATGCAAACCTCAGTATACTGTTTTTATTTCTACGGCGACAGACCACCAATACGGCCGATCTTAACATGGTTGCGACTATCGGGTGGTACGGTTTGTACCGGCGACTCGACGGCCAGATCAGCTTATCTTCGGCAAATTGGTTGGTGGTTCGCTCATCAGAGCTGTGACAGCATCATCTGCTCTTTACTTCCATTTCAGCTGAGTCGATCTTACCTGGTGGGAAATAAAGATGGAAGTGGCTAAAAATCGTGCCTTGTGATCTCCCCTTAGGTGGAATTCATTAAAACCATCTCACTAGAGCAGGGGTCATATGTAGTGTAATCAAACGCAGTGCTTGGAAGGAGAACTATATCCTGATAACGAGAGAGCCATATATGTGAAAAAGTGGTGCGATGTTGGAAGGCTCTCAAAACTGTAGCCTGGCAACAATCTTGGAAGAGCTAGTGTGCTTACGGTTCCAGGCAGAGTCTTACAACCCCAATAGCCAAACTCTTGCAACGAATTTCCCTAGATTCTTCAAAGATGTCTGCAGATCCAAATTCCCCTATTTATCTCGCCCACACCTACATCTCTAACGCCCGGTTCCACCAGCGCTTCACCGTCGAACCCACTGCCACACATGGCCCCCTAAATGTAACCTACGCCGAGTTCGGGCGGCAACCCGACGAGTCAGGGCCTCCCCCGACCATTCTTCTGATTCCAGGGATGTTTTCCTCCCGGTACCTTGGCATACAACTACATGCGATAGCCGATAAAATAGGTGTTCGTGTATTGGTTGTCGATCGGTAAGGGTGGAATAGTTTCCGCCCCCACTATACGTGGTAGAGCGAGGCTAACACTTGCATATTCTTGACAGTCCTGGCATGGGCGGTTCGACTGATGTGCCGCTTGTACAGCGCATGTCTACCTGGGTAGAACTTGTCCCGCGTCTTTTGTCGCATCTCGGTATTCAACATGTGGCGCTGGCGTCGCATAGTGCTGGCACTATGTATCTTTTGAATACTATGTACCATTGTCGGGATCTTTTGTATCCCATTCATCCGACGGTCCATATGTTAGGTATGTTGTATATCCTACTACGTGCTTCTTCATGTTTTATCTACAAGGTCTCCGGTTATATCGAAAAAGAATATTGAGCTAACCTCCTCTCAGCCCCATGGGTTGATCCCGCACACTCTCTCCAAACCTCTATGCAAATACTCCAGTATATCCCAAACAAAGCGTTTGGTGTTTGGCATCGCATCCCGAAATTCTTCATGCTCCAAGCCGCACCTGCTTTCGCGTCAAGCGGGGCAGTTGTGAAGAAAGTCACAGATGCATTTTCCTCAAACGATACGACTAGCCAAGACAATTCTCGGCAGGAGAAGCAGCGCCGTCATATCGAGGATGCGTATGGGCTATCGCGTGATGTGCAAGCCGAACTGGACAATCTCATGCATAAATACATGTTCGAGGAGGAGACTGTTGGCGCGAACAGTGAAGCGCTGCAGTGTCTCCGGAAAGAGCCTAACAATACCTGGGGCAAATGTGAAGATTATGAGGTTTTTGTGCGTGATTTCGTGGCTTTGCAGCGGGGACGAGACCGAGAGAGCTCGCCGTTGAAGATTCAGGCTTATTTTGCCGAGTCTGATGTTATGATTGGCAAGAAGGGGCAGGTATATTTTGAACAGCGTTGGTGTGGGACGAATGAAGAGTATAAGGATGTAGTTGAATTTGCCTCGACTACAGTTCCTGGTACTGACCATGATACTTTGGCATTGTCGGTGGAGGTTTGGGAGCCGATTCTCAAGGATTTGATTCGGGTCTTGGATAATGATCATGAGCAGTAGTCAGGAAGCCATGGCAAATGGCAGACTATATAGATGCAATTTTCTTATTCTTTCTATTCAAATGCGTAAATAACTTGGGCATGCTAAATCTGAACCTGGGTTCCTTTATGCCAATCCTGTTCTATTGCTATATCCATACAAGTACAGCTCAAGCCGACTTAGCCTCCTCAACATGCTTCATAGCCTCATTGAGCATCTCAACCAAGCGACAAGCTGCACCCTCTCCCCAAAACAACCCTTCATCCTCAACGCAACGCTGAATATAATCACGAGCGCGAGGCTTCATCTCAGCTTCATACTTAACAACAGCCCGCTCAAGAGCCATGATATCAACCTTCCCATCGCCAACCTCATCCACAATACACTCAAACAAAACCACAGCATCAAACATAGCCTGATTAACCCCCTCTCCATTAGGCGTAGAAATATGTGCCGCATCTCCCAACATCGTAGCCCCAGGCACATGTCTCCAACGATCTTGACCTCCAGGTTGAGCCTCCCGCGTTGCGTCCTCCACAGCAGAAGCAGACAAGAAAACATCCGGATCAAGCCGATAAAGAGGCCAAGCACGCCACGGTCCCTCAGCCGCAGCAATGAAATCTCGCAAATGCGTAGCCCAATCGCCATAGAACCCTGCAGGCGCGAGCATCGCAGCACGTGTCTTCTCGGTATCCGTTACATCTGCAATACCACCGGGCCTGGTTATACCTTCCGGTGCAATAAGACCCATATAAACACGATAGGGACCATCAGCTGTTTGCTGGATGCAGAGTGTACTCTTCGCACCCATAGCCATGGAATTACCAGCGCCTACCATTTCAACTGCGGCGTTGTATTGTGGATTTGTGAGCGAGAGACGACCTTCTAGGAAGGTTTTGCCAGAGTAGATTGGTTTGACGGGTGTGAACTGTAGAAGAGTCAGTCGAAATCAAAACTTGATAGATATGATACAGAAGGGAATGTATACCAACGAGCGCAACCGACTCCAAGCCCCATCAGCGCCAACAACAAGCCCAAACTCACGCTCAACAGTCCCATCTGCAAAATGAAGCACTAAGCCCGGATTACCATGAAGTTCACTCTGATCGATCTCATATTCCTCGTGCTTTTCAACCGAAAGTAATCCCATCCCCCATCGAACACGCTCCGCCGGAATAGAACCAAGTAGCATGCGCCTCAACTGAATGCGATCAATCTCGGGTGCATCGCGCGCCTCGTTGAAGACACTGCGATGATTCCCGTATGCGTCTTGGATAGTCATTGTCATTGCATTTCGGCGAGCTAGTTTCTCGAATTCGGCGTTTAGGCCTGCGCGGCGGAGTGCTGCTTGGCCTGTTTCCTTGTGGAGGTCTAGGGTGCCGCCTTGGAAGCGGCTTGTTGGTTCGGGCAATGGGTCTCGCTCGAAGATTGTGTAGTTGATATTGGCTGTTTCGAGGAGGCGGGCGAGTGTTAGACCGCTGGGTCCGGCGCCGATTATGGCGATTGGGGGTTTGTGGGGCATGTTTTTGGTATGGTTAGGTTGGAGTTTGGGCTTAGAGATGGTCCAAGGCCAAGGTTTGAATCGTACAATTGTGGCTCTTGGGGGTTCGGGGTAACGATATAGAGAGAAAATGACTGATTGAGGGAGGAGCAGGCGGCTGCCTTTATAGTTCCCATCAGGTCAAGATTAACCACTCTACTAAGCAGCATCCGGCAATAAAGATAGATGTAGGCAAGAATTCAAGGTGTGTCGGTTCCGAATCACCAGTGAAAAGGGTTATAGAAGTCTGCTATGCTCGGTCCCGAATTGAGAGGATTCGGTCCCGAGCCTTGTCTAGCCGAGGCGAATCTGACTCGCAAAAACCGACACGGGAATCGGTGACTGGAATAAAACATCCGGTGTGATGTGTCTGACTTGCTTCAAGTGTTCAAGGTTAGAGAACCCGCCGAAAGAGAGAAGTTGTAAAAACCATGCTACTGTCTTCTAGGGCAAACAAAGGTGGGTCGGGGGTTCCTTTTTGTGATTGCTAGATCTTGAAAGTTTGGTTTGTGCCTGATCGATCAGCTCTATACCTCTCAGTGGAAATCTACCAGGCGCTCTAGTAAAGAAAAGAATATCATTTGGATCGAATGCATAAATCACATGAACAGGGGAGGTATCGAACATCTATGAAAAAGACCCAAAAGCAAACACCAAAACGTCAATCCAGGAGCGGACCCGAAATGCCAGATGAATGACAAAGTCGTGTTGAATCAAAGCCAGGTTTAAACAAAAGAGTTATGCAAAAGAAGAAGAAATTGAAAATCAAACAGGCTCAACTGTCTGCAGAGGGACGTAGCCCTCATCTTGCCTGATAGTGGTTCTGACACCCTTTCCAGTAACTAGGGACCAGAATGAAGCCGCCAGACCACCGACCCGGCGACGAAAAGAACGTGGACTGTCTGACATAATGACGGCAGGGGACCACCAGCTGCGCTTCCGGGCATGAGTGCCACGACTGATGCCAGCTGCTGGGATTGTACCAGAGGCGATTTCCTTTTCGAGACATTCGGTCGTCATCCATGAGGGACGGCTCCAGAATTTCAAAAGAAGACTGCTGACAACGACGGAGACACTTGATAGGGCCATTGCTGCACCGGCGGCCATGGGTGGAAGCATGAAGCCAGTGAAGGGGAGGAAAAGTCCCATGGCGAATGGAAGACCAATGATGTTGTATAGACAGGCCCACATCAAGTTCAACTTGATGCGCGTGAAGACAGAGCGTGAGAGGGACAGACTGGCTGGTACGGAGAGGAGGTCCTCGGGACGCATTAAGACGATGTCGGCTGCTTCTACGGCTACGTCTGTGCCGGAGGCGAGGGCAATTCCGACGGATGCTGTTGCCAATGCAGGGGAGTCGTTGATGCCGTCGCCGACCATTGCGACGCGCTCGCCTTCTGCTTGGAGGGCGGATACGATGGATCGTTTTTCGGATGGTGAAACGGAGGCGTGGATTGCTGTTTTGGGGATGCCGACAGCAATTGCAATTGCCGTTGCTGTTGAGAGTGTGTCGCCCGTGACCATTGAGGTTGAGATTCCCATGCGGTGCAGAGCTGCCACTGCGGCTGCCGCGGTGTCTTTCACTGTGTCCCGAAGGGAGATGGTGCCAGCATAGCGGTTATCAATTGCGACGTGGATCCGCGTAATGCCGGATCCCGAGCTACTGGGTTTGGGGGCTTCGGTCTCGGGTGTAATTCCAGATGCCACAGAATCAGGGTCTGCATCAGCAGGCACAGGGACATCTTTGGAACGGAGATAGTCCGCGTTGCCCAGGAGGACATTATAGCGAATACGCTCGCCGCTGGATGTAGGTTCGACAGTAGTAGAGATACCCTTGCCAACACAGTTGTCAAAGTCGCCCATGACACCAGGCAATCCACCCTCTCCAGGATGTCCTGATTCTGTTTTGGCCGCAGAGAGGATGGCTCGTCCAATTGGGTGCTCACTGCCAGTCTCTGACAGGCCGACAACGAGCCACCAAAGCTGACGGCGCCAATCGTTCATTGTCCATTGAGGTTCAATCCGGGTGTGAGCTACGCTCATCTTTCCTGTCGTCAAGGTGCCGGTCTTGTCAAAGACAACGTGAGTGACCTTGGTGGCGGCTTCCAAAACAGCACCACCTTTAACAAGAATGCCGTGCTCTGCGCCGACTCCAGTGCCGACCATAACAGCCGTTGGCGTGCTAAGGCCCAAAGCACAGGGGCATGCGAAGACAATCACTGAAATACACAGCTTCAGACAGACCATGACTCGGCCACCACTGCCTTCAACTTCGAAGATCATAGGCGGGTGGGGGAGGACATGGCTTAGGAACATCCAGCCGAAGAACGTGATCAAGCCGAGACCAATAATAGTAGGCACAAAATAGCCAGCAACGATATCAGCCATGCGCTGAATTGGAGCCCGGCTTGTTTGTGCATCCTGCACCAACTTAACAATCTGACTGAGCTGGGTGTCCTTGCCCGCGCGAAGGACTTTGAAGTCAATCGAATTTGTGCCGTTCACAGTTCCAGCAACGACCTGGCTACCAATCTTCTTGTAAATTGGCAGTGCTTCTCCGCTGATCATGCTCTCGTCAACATAGCTCTCGCCCCGAATGACAACTCCATCCGCAGACACTTTGTCACCGGGGTGAAGGATGACAATGTCACCGACTTGAATCAGCTCGGTTGGGATGCACTTCTGATTCACTGTCATATCATCGGCCAAGGCTGGTTCTTCAGAAGCGCCAGCTTTGGGCTTCGAGGACCAGCGCTCAGCCAACTTCTCTGCCGCAATAGGGTCTTCATAAATAGTGGTCATAGATGGAGTCAAAGACATAAGTCGTGACAAGGCAGCGGAAGTTTGACCCTTGGCGCGGTTTTCCAACCACCGTCCCAAAGTGATGAACGTGATCAGCATAGTGCTGGTATCAAACACGGTGCTTGGGCGCTTGTGATCAACACTGCAGAGGGCCATGGTCATAGTGAAACAGCTGTAGAAAAAGGCAGCAGAAGTCCCCAACATAACGAGCACATCCATGGTTGGGGAGCGGTGCTTCAGAGACTTGAAGCTGGTAACATAAAATCGTTTACCAATGCCAAATTGCACTGGTACTGTAAGACAAAGACAAATCAAGTCTCCAAGATAGAGGCCTGGGATAAGTTCAAAGACACCAAAGTCAAGACTTGGCAGATACATGGGGAGGATCATGCTGATGAGGAAAACAGGGACCGCGAAGGACGCTGAGGTGATGAATGCGCGCCTCCACTCTTGAATCTCCTTTGTCTTTGACAGCGACTGCAGTTGCGCGTTCGTATCGTCCGAATCAACCATCAGGGCGTTGTACCCAGCGGTCTCGATCACGTCCACGACGGACCGAATTCCAATGATTGATGGGTCAAAGGAGATCGCTATCCGGGATGTGGACATTTTAATTGATGCTGAGTGGACTCCGGATTTCTGCAGTAAGTTGTCTTCCAAAGCTGAAGCGGAAGCAGCATCCCGTAAGCCATGCAGGCTTAGGCTAATGTGTTGTGTCTTCTTTGACAGAGGCGCCTGCGCCTCTGATGACACGATTGATGCATCAAATCCAGCATTCTCTATTAAATCTGGGATTTTGCTGGCGGGGATAATGGCAGCATCGTGGACAACAACCGCGCGCTCAGCCAGAAGACTGATATTGAACTGGATCACACCATCCACACCGCTTAAGGCACCCTCAACGCTAGATGTGCAAGCGCCGCAGGTCATGCCTCCAACTGCGACAGTCGTGATTAAGAGTCCGGTCTTGTCCTCCGAGTCAACCGGTGTGGATGGCCCTTCAGGTCCAGTTAGGGATGTCTCCAACACACGCGCCCCAAATCCACGATCCTCGATAATCTCTGCGATATGCTCCGGGGTAATGACACCAGCATCATGCTCTACCACAGCGCGCTCAGAAAGCAGGGATACGTCCACCGAGTTGACACCCTTGACGTCTTTCAGCCCGCTTTCCACCGCAGATGTGCATGCGCCGCATGTCATACCTTCAACGGCCAGTTTCGTAACCGAAAATCGCGTAGCCGGGGTATTGGAGACGATATCGGGGTGGGGTTTGGTCTGTTCGTCGGTCGATAAGACTGTCGCATCGAAGCCGCAATCTTCAATCCTCTCGGCGACTTTTACCGGCGATAAGACTGTCGGATCATGTTGCACAGCAGCTCGACCCATTATAAGGCTGACGGAGACATCCTGCACGCATTCAATCCCCTTAAACGCGCCCTCCACTGCAGACGTGCATGCTCCACAAGTCATGCCGTCTATTTTGATAGTCGTCGTGGCCATTGCGGGTCGATCGGACCCGCCTGCGGCTGGGTTTGGCATTTGGACGGTGAAGCGCGAGGCGAACACGGCGAGGTAGGACAGGCTATTGCATGAAGGTTCAATCAGGCTGTGCGATGGAGGGAGGTGATGAGGCACGGATGCTCTCGGATGGCGCAAGACCGATCAGATCATTCCCCGATTAGACAAAGAACGGCAGAGGTTAGAATATAGAGTACACTCTGCCAACAGGCGGCGTCAGGGAGGAGATGTGAAGACAGGAAAAGCAGGCAAGGACGTAAGAAAAGGGCAGTGGATTTGATTACGAGGGGTGTGGATTCCCTGAAGCCACGCGAAAGAATGTCGCCGATTACCCAATCTCATATAGAACTGATAAGATGGCCCTGTTTTCAAAAGGACCAGCAAATTAACGAGGCCGTAGATCAATATTCACGTAATATACAAGGTCCAAGAGAACTTGAAACAGGCTAGTCATGTCAAAAAGAAATGGGTGGTTTCAAGGGTTAGCGGATAATATGTCTACTCGGTGACACTACCACATCAGCTTAGTGCCTGGAGGGGAATGCAGGCGTTTCCTCCTGGACAATTTGAGCGAGGAATGATGCATATGGCAGTCAGCAATAGATTAAGCAATAAAACATTCCCCCAACTAACATTAATCGAATAATAAGAACAGCCAAGACCAAGTAAATATCCGGAGCATCAGATAAAGTGTGTTTGCACTGAGTGCAAACCAGCACAGCTCAATCTCCAACTTAGCTGGAGCATCCGCTCTCCACACTTGATTGCACCTCACCCTTGCAATCTATTCACCTTCGCTGCTCCCCCTGCTCCCGTCCTTTGATCCAAACATCATGGATCAAGTTCATGCACGAGCCCTGGAGGCTCTCCAGCCGTTCGTCCTACTCGCCAAATCAACCAGCGCAAGCTCGCCCCGCTTCATCGCGAATATCATCACAAATGCCACTTCAAGCCCACAAACATATGTCTTCGCCGAGCTGCTCGAACTGCCAGCAGTCCAGGCATTGCGGTCACCAGACACACCAGCCGATTTCCAAGGCCATCTGAAGCTGCTAGAGATATTCGCGTGGGGCACATTGCAAGATTACCAAGGTAAGAACTATACCGATATACCAAAACAAAAAGAAATAACCCGCACCACTCAAACAAGCCCTTCCCCCACCCAATTCCCAAAATCCAAGATCAGATCCAAAGCTAACAACAACACCCAACAGCAACCCCAAACCTCCCACAATTGAACCCAGAACAAACAACCAAACTCCGCCTCCTCTCCCTCCTCTCCCTCTCAACAACAATAAAACCATTAACATACACCTCTTTAAAAACCGCCCTATCAAGCCCAACAACAACAGACCTCGAATCCCTGATAACAACAGCAATCTACGCCTCCCTGATAACAGCCCGCCTCTCACCAGCCAGCAAACCCCCCTTGGTAAATATAACCGCCGTCTCGCCCCTCCGCGACGTGCAACCAACCTCCCTGCCAAGAATGATCTCCACCCTCACAGAATGGGAGTCCCGCTGCGGAGACACTGTGACCGATCTGGAAGCAGAGATCGCCCGCATTAAGAGCGATGCTGCTAAGCGCGCGCAGCAAAAATACACTTACGGGCAGCGGCTTGACAAGTCTCTTGAACGGCGCCAGAATGGGGCTTCCGGGGAAGGCGGTGCTGGTGGTTCTGGGCGGAGGGGGAATAGGGCTAGGTTTGGGGCTGGGCTTGGTGGGAGTAAGAGGGATGCTGATGATATCGATCAGGATGATGGGTTCTTTGAGACTGGTGATGGGGAGGGTTCAAGGATGGAAATTGATGAAGGGGCTGGGGCTGGGGGTCGTGCTGGGAATAGTCGGTCGAAGAGGGTGCTTGGACGGAAGTCTTGAGATAGCCAGGTTTACCCTGTGAAGGACTGGACTGGGACTTGGCTCTAGTTCTTTTCTCCCGCTTTTTCTAGCCGGTCTTATGATTTGCTAGTCATTAGATCACACTAGCGGTTGCAACGGAAATTCATGATACGAAATGACCTGATTATTGATTATGCATTATTACTCTGGTTTTTCCAGTGGCTTCCAAGGTTGTTGACTATGAAAAGGGACAAAGTTCCATTCGTAAAACCCAAAGGGCGCTCGTTGAGAAGGTAAATACAATACAAGTATGGCGAGTTGAAGGGGTATTGTGAGAAGAGAAAAAATCACAGAATGAACAACAGCAGGCAATATGGACAAGACAAGGAAAACTGGATGAGACCGCTGATAAGCGGGTGGATGGAAGAGATCCGGGTCTCCGGAACAGCCTCGATATCGAAGACTGATATTCGAATCAGAGGTCTCTTTCAGAAATGTGCTTCACAGAAGCTGAACCTCATTATCCGGACGTCATGGTTGGAACGCCATCAAAGAGTTATGAAGAGAACCATTGCGAGGATGATGGTCAAAGTCCGCGGCAGGAGATCGTGTTGTTTTTGGGAAGAAATTAAGGCGAGAGTGACGAGGAGTTCACAGGATAGTGCCGGGGACGAGAATGAACAGAATACTTAAGGCCGCAGCTGTCAGGAAGGCGATGAATGCAGTGACGAGGGCGCGCTTGTTGAGGAGCTTTCGAACGTAGGGCTCACGAATCGGGGCCCAGTTCATAAATGTGTATTCACTGTAGCCCAAGAAAGCCATGACGGGGTCAATCTTGTACTGATATGAGACGATGAAGTATGCGGCGACTGCAAATGGAAGGATGATCTGTCTCGAAGTTAGCCACTGTTCTTCTGTACTATAAAATTATCGACATACCCAGCAGCGGATGTTGCGAGGCTTGTTTCGTAGGACAACATAGAAAGCACCCCAGAAACCTCCACCGAAACTGATCAAAGCAAAAGCGAGGCGCAAGATCATACTCAATGGGACGAGGTTCCCGAGAGCCTTTGCCTGCAAGAAGCCTGGGAATGCGTCGCGCTCCATGGCCTGGAAGACGTAGTCCTTAGCCGGGTCGAAAACCTCAGGGTCGTCACGGCCGTCATCTTCAATTAGGTTGATAATCGACGAGACCATTGATTCTGGCAGCATGACCTCTCGCTCAGAACCAGGGAGCAGGTATGTGTACAAGATCTTCTCGGCACTGGCGCGAATATCATTGCGGTCCACGGTGTGACCAGGGGAGTTTTCGTCGTCATTGCGGGTGCCTGAACTGGGTCTGGGCTCTTCATTCGATGAAACTCGGTGTGCTGATCCGTTGGACGATACGCTGCCCTGCTGCGAGTGCGAGGTGTTACCCTCGGAGCGAAGGAATGCAGATAGACGATGGTCGGCGTCTCTCTCCTTCTCATCTCCGCCAAACCCGTGGCGCATACGGGAAGGCCCAGCCTCCGTCAGCGGGATGTCACCCAGGTTCTCGAGGTTGTCTAGCATTGCGGACGATCGTTTACTGTCGGCTCGTTCAATGTCGGGGGTTGCGACCAGGACGGAACGGCGAAGTTCACGGACATAGTGTCGGCACAGTAGCATGTGTTGGGATACATCGAGCCTGATAATTTGGGTAAGAATATGCCACCAGAAGCATAGCGGGTTAATTTCACCTACCAGAAATCCAGATAGTCCACGGAACGCTGCTGGTCCCGCATGTAAATGTAGAACGAGAAGAGGTCGACTGGGGCGAGGGTTCGGCGACTGAGAACCTCAAAAAGAGTCGGGAGGCGATTCCGCGACTCCGCGTCGGCATAGTCGTGAGACATGTTGACAATGTGTAGTGAGTTGAAGATGGTGAAAAGTCCAGCACCGAGAAATCGAAATCAAGAGGGGCGCAATAGGGGGCTGAGATGGCAGGGTCGGGTCGGCGAGTTGACAATATCAAACAAGATCCCAAAAGGCTAGCGTATGAAGGTAAAGGCTGATAGAAGCGAACGACAGGCGATAGGAAACGAAAGGAGGGGTTGGAATGAATTGGATTCCACGTCGCGAGACAAGCAATGGCTGTGGATAGGCGGTATACCCCTGGGGACCCCGGATGGCAGAACAGTGTCGATGACAGCAAACACGAGCAAAACACAAGACTTGACAAAAGACAAGCCCAGCAACGAAATGAAAGACCAAGGCAAGGGTGAAGCAACGAGGATATCCCAGCCATCGGCATTCTTCTGAAACAACAGCGCATAAATGATAATCCGAGATTGGGCTCCACCTGTCAGGGGGAGGATTTAACCTCGTCGTTCAGGTTATTGCGTCATATACTTGTGTAATATCTTGTTTATATAGGGCGAACTGTAGCTTATTGCAAGGTTGAGCTGCTTAATGGTGAGTTCTGTACCTTGGAACATGTTCGTAATGGTCAGCCCCGCAAGATTAGATCTACAGATCTAAAAATAAACCAGTATACATTTAGTTATCAAATGGAATTGTAAAAGACTGAAGAATACATGTGGGCTTACTTCTGTCCTATGAAATCCCCTGACTTATGACAAGCTATTACTGAGCATACGAGGCACTTAGCACCAGAATCCCAAAGTAACGCCATAAACAAGCATTTGACCGAACTATACTTCATCCAATTGAGAGAAACTACATTACCAGCAACGAAAGCATGATAAGAGTAAGATCTTATCATTAAAGCCCAACTTGAGTATGTCACAATACTCACAGACACGAACTACATAGGGACTAGACACGGGGACTAGACACAGTAACTCGTAAACTTATCCAATCCCAAATCACACAACATCCACCGATAGACTACATGCGCCATGAATCGCACTCATCACTAGACTCAACAACCGACGCACATGGGTACTGAGCGTGAGGTGAAAATTGGGAACCATCATCTTCAGGAGAGGAAGTGATGGCTGGAATGAGGAGCAGAACAAAGATGCACAGGACGAAAAATGTAGTTGAGAGTAAGGTGCGTGTCAGCGATTTTTTTTTCACTCGAGACAGCGCCTGATGATGCATGGCAAAGCAGAAGAGGAAAGAGGAAGGTAAAAGATTAGACGAAGATAGCTTGAACACGCGGGACAATTTGTATGCAGCCCAATACTCCAATATCATGCCCTCGCTTACCACCGTGGTCTCAAATCCAATGGTTATTTTGTAAAGATGAAGAGAAACTTACTAGCGTCAGCTATAAGCCAGTGAAGCATATTCCATAGTAATCTATCAACAGGGTATTGCCCAAATATCAACCCCAACGCCATCCCAACAAAGTATAACACCCTCGCTGCATAAATGTATCTTTTCAATCAATGGTTGTCCGCAAGATGCTAGAAGTCGAAGTCAGTATTTGTATTGCGAGGGAGAATCTGTCTTGAGAAACACTCACCGACCACTCGGGAATATTCCGAATCTGAGACCACATAAACTTCTCGAGCTTGTTCGCGCTCTTGGCATATGGCGTAGTCTCATTGTTATAACGGCGACAGTTGTCGAAGATGAGCATGGCATCCTTGATGAAATCCTGTGGAGTCGGATACAGGTCCTTCTCGTGCTTTTCTTCCATTGTTGATAGGTCCATGGGTTCCAGAATCACTTCATAGTAATCTGGCACTTCATCACGATTCACAGGTTGGGTAAATGGCCAAGCCGCACTGTGATTCTGCATGTCGTTCAACAGATGGAGCAACTGATTGTAGTTGGGTCCATGACGGGGTTGACGAGCCATTTCATCCATGTCAGGAGACCATCCAGACTCTTTTATTGCCGGAATGCTAAGGGGATCAATTGGGTGTACGCCGTTCTTCCATTCTTTCGGCGGAGGATGGACAATGTGTGATCGGCTGAAGGCGCGGATCTTAGCTTGTACGGACTCTTTTTGCTTGGTGAGCATACGGCCCATCTCCAGGAAACGTATTTTAGGAAGCATGGTGCACTGCATGAGCGTGCCGCCCTCGTAATCCTTAATGTATCCCATCCAGATTGACCTGTCGAGTGTAATCTCCTTGGTGAAGCCTTGCTTCTTGAAGTATCCAATAGCGTAGTTATCGGCGTAAGTGAGGAAATGCATGATGGGAGAAGTGGCTTTCACGTAGTCCTGGTTCAAATAAATCAGCTGAGATCGCAAGCCGAGACCCGCGAGCCTTACCTTGAGATGGGACATCAAGTGTGCACCATAACCCTTGACTTGTTGATCGGAGGAGATAGCACAGAAGACAATCTCGGCGAACTTGCGAGTGTTGAATGGTCGATATGTGATGCCGCTGAATTGGAGATCAGCACCGTTCCACCAAATGCGCTAGGGCCGAAACATACCCAACAACCTCTAAAGGATGTTTGACAATAGCAATGGACAAATGTGATCGATCATATACAAGCCGAGCAATGTAATCCTTCGGCATCTTCGGTAGTTGTTTCTGGAAGATACACTTCAACCCGGTGAGGACAATGAAGCTGTCGTGGGAGCCATCATTGTTAACAACTCGGAACTCGATATCTCCACGGCGTTCTTCGAGTACAGCGGGCTGCAGGACGTCAGCCATTATCCAAATACACAGATGTAGGCAGAGGCGCAGGGTGGGAAATACCTTTTCGGGGAATGGGACAATGCGGAGGGGTGGTTTCTTAAGAGGGCCATCTTCCTACAAAGGAGCGTGTCAGAACAAGCAATCAATTTCTCCAGGATCTGAGTCGCTTACTACTTTCTCTGGGGAATCTGTGCGCGCTTTCTTGCTGGCCTGCTGCCCAGACTCTGGGGTAGCTACCTCCTCGGAGGCTTTGCGCTTAAAGCCTGGTCCCATCGTCAGTAATTTGTGTGGTTTCACAAGTGAAGACTCGGTAGGTTTGTAATTTGCTCACTTTTGGGCGAGTCTGCGGCCATGGTGGTCTGTTTGGCGGAACTTGCATGTTCGCGATGCTCCAGCATGACATGGGGTACCGGTCGGATTAACTATAATCCCGTTGGGCCAGATCAACACGTCGATCTACACGTCGCAACTTATTCAACCTCACCATTGTTGCTCAGTTGCATTGACTTGATCCTATTGTCCTCATGTCTCTTAACGAAGTCTGGGAGGCAGCCTCCGCTACACCTTTTGCCCCTCTCGTCGACAAGGAGTCCCAGTTCTCCGTCGGCTTCAACTTGCTCCTTATCGGTAAGCTTGGTGGCTTCGCAGCTACGATCGCCTGCTAACCATAATGAAAGCATTGGTTACGACTACTCTCTTTGGTCTGAGTAAGGATCCGTTCACTTTCTGTCATTACTTGAGCTCCCCTGACAAAAATAGACCGGTCTTTCCTCAACATCGCATCACTGGGCATCCCAGCCTCATTAGCATTTGGGTTAGTAATGTGGTTCTGTGACTCTTTTACGAGATCAAGTATACTGACGGGTCCTTGGGTAGCTTTGGAGCTGTGTTCACGATCTGTGCTGTCGGGGTTTACGTCTAAACGGGCACCTTTCCTATCCCCTCAGATGTACCATAAGCGCGGGGTTCAGAAGGACCTGTACTGCTAGAACAAAGCAATCACACATTTTTCCGGCGTTAATGCTTGTCCCGTGTCAATCTCGCAAATTCCGGAATCTGAGTGAGCTGTGGAGCCCGCCCCCGAGCCGCGCAAAGCTCCCCCGAACAACACGCCATTGGACCTTGTCGCATCACATACTTGCCTCTACTACACCATGGAGCCCTTATTCTCTGGCATCTCCAACAACGCCCATCACCTCTACTCACTACTCTCCTGCATTGGCTTCGCGCCCAAAGCCACCGTCCAAATCACCCCCGATGGTCTCCGCTTCTCAGTAGAAGAAGGCCGCGTGATCCAAGGACTAGCCTTCCTGGACAAATCCCTCTTCACAAGCTACACATTCAATGCGCCTTCAGACACAGAAGCAGACACCAATGAATCCTCCCAAAATGTGACCTACCCCCACTTCGCTGTGTCAATCGCAGCCCTCCTCGAAACACTCAAAATCTTCGGCATAAACGAAATCACAGAACCAAATCGCGAAAAAAGTATCACACAGTTCTCAGGCGCCTTCAACGCCCCAGCCCTCCTAATGGACCGCTCCTGCACACTCCAATACGCCCAACACGGCAGCCCACTCAGCATAACAATAACAGAAGCAGGCGTGAAAACAACCTGCGAACTAGTAACCTACGAACCAGAAGAAGACGAATCGGACATCCCCCTCCAACGCGAAGCAATAATAATGAAAATAATCATGCGCTCCGCCTGGCTCCACAACGCAATCGCCGAACTAGACTCCTCCTCGCCAACAATCCTCAAAATATCCGCCTGCGCAAAGTCAGAACCATACTTCGCGCTTTCCGGCGCAGGAGGCCCATTCAGCGAATCAACTGTTGAATTCTCCGTCGACACCCAAAACGAAATAACAAACGGCGGCGGTGGCACTACCCAGAATACCACAGCCCCCTCCCAAAAGATCCTAACAGACGACGGATCCTCACGCGCACGCGCAACACGCGCAAAACTCGCGCCGACTGTCACAGAGACATTCCTCGTATCGCCGCCGAGCTCAATGGGCGAGCGAATCCGGCAGAATTACCGATTCGCACTTGTTCGGAAGGCAGCGCGTGCGATGTCTGTTGCGAATAAGGTTAGTATTCGCGGGGATCGGCAGGGGGTGCTTAGTTTGCAGTTTATGGTTGAGTTGGAAGATGGAAATGGGGGTGTAGGGAGGCCTGTTGGTGCTGGGGTTCGGGGGCCCAGCGGACCTGTTTGTTTTGTTGATTTTCGGTTTGTGCCATTGCTTGATGAGGAGGAGGTTGAGATGTCTTTGGATGCTGCTGTTGAGTAGGTTGTCTAGTGTTGATTAGGTTGTTAGGTAGCTATTGATACGCATTCAGTGAATATGTTTCTCACGATTTCTGAATGCTTGCTCGAAAGGGTCTTCAGAAAAGACTTGGGAGTCAGCTAGCTTGGTAAGGTAAATCAGATATATGCTCCTAATGGAGGAACATTCAAATGAGCTGTATATCTTGAGGAACCAGCTGTGACTCGTGAGGTAAATATATAGATCCCTAGAAGTACTTGTCGGCCACAAGTAAGAACAAAATAGGATATTTAAAGTGTATAAAGGTCGTAGTCAGATTCCACAGCGAGTATATACACAACAAAAGTGGTATAAAGCAAAAAGTCGAATTCAAGGCTGAAAAGCTAAAAAAGAAAAACAAAGCACACGAGACACCACCCATATCCAGGCGACAAAATAGAAGTCGAGTATCCAAAACAAGATCAAGTGGATCATGCACATGCCTCCAAAGGAGGAAACAGAAACAGCATCGGTATCAGTATAGCCATTATAGCCATATCAGCCAAGCCACGAAATGCGAGTGTACATCCCAATCGCCAAATCCCATAATGACCCCATCATCAACATAACGGAACGCCAAAGTCGAAGCACAGAGCGGCCCCCTCCTCAAATATAACTTCATTCATGCATGGTCCGGATTGTAACTCGTTTCACCCAGCATACCCTGACCAGCGGCCGCAACAGGCGCCGAAGCTCCATGCGAAGAAGAACTCGGCTCGCCTAACGGTTGGGGCTGGGGCCGGGCAATAGTAGCAGCCTGCAAACGCTGATCCAGAGCGCGAAGAGCGAGTGTCCGTCTCCGCTCTGCTTCTTCGCGCTTCCCCCTTGAGCCCGCCCCGCCGCGCTGGCTGCTGAGTAGTGTCGGCAGGCCTGCTTCGCCGCGGGCCAGGACCTGCTGGTTTCCTGAGGCGATGTCGTCTTCTGAGAACGGTGTCATGATCCGCATTGCTACTAGCACGGCGTAGATCTGATCTGCAACGAAGGCGATAGGCGGCTGCATGACGTCCGGGAAGAGACACGCAAAGGCGAAGGTCTCGCTGGCGTCGCCTTTGATTCCGCTGCCGTTGGAAGTTCCTGTGAGGTCGGGCTGGCGCTTGTAGAAGCGGAGGTAGGTCCACGATGCTAGGACGCCTAGCCAGGCGAGCACGCCTGCGGTGTCGGTTCCGAAGATGAAGCCGCCGATCGTGTTTAGGAGGAGGAAGAGGGCTGGGAAATGCTTTACGCGCATCTTGACTAGGCCTTTGAAGACGGTGACAGTGTGCTCGGGGACGAGTTGCTTGAAGGCGACGAGGAAGGAGCCTTGGATGGAGACGCCGCCGCAGATTTGGGTCAGGCTTGGAGGTTATTAGTGATCGACCGTTTTGTCTGAGGGTAGATTGTACGAGGGACATACGTTGTACCTGAGGAGCCGCCGATTGCGCCCCATGTTAGGTAGATGGGGACTATCACCACGCAGGGAATTACGGCGATGACGGCGATGAACTTGCTGAACTCGCGCGAACCCCACGCGCGTTCGAGGTATTTGCCGCCATAGAAGATGGTTGCGGCGTTAAGCAAAACTGTGAAGATGTTTTGTTCAACGAATGTCGCTGTTGCGATTGTCCAGGGGTAGTAGAAGACGTAGGAGGGGACGAGGGTCAGGTAGGGTACGAGAGGCGAAGTGGTCGGTGTTCCCCCGGTGGTGTCAATTTGACGCCATCTGGCGATGTTGTAGAGGAGGGAAAGGGTCAGTAAACCGACAAGACAGCTGCGAGTGGCTGGAGGAATGTTGATTCGGAGGGACATGTTGCTCCGAAAGCAAAAGGCTGAAGTTGCCCAGGTGTCCAAGTGTGGGAAGTTTTGCCCAGAGCGGAAGTTGCCATATTTAGCGCGGGAGCTTTCGGCGCCTTGGGGTTCACGCTTCTCTATTGTTTAAAGACCTGATACTTTCCTAGATACATGGACATCCATGTATTGTGCTTTATTACGGACCCTATATAATGACAGATTGTGCAATCCCATCAAGTTAGACACATGATCGAAACGAGGGAGAAGCCCGGAGACATGAGCCATGAGCCACGATCCACCTGTGCAGCTATCTAGACTCGGGTGGATGCAGTGAGGCATGTATATAATATACATGTAAGAGAAAAAAAGAAGAGTTCACACCTACTGTACAGCGTGTGAATGCCCATGTGGAGAACCGTTCGCAGACGGGGACGGGGACGGGCTTACGGGCTTGGACACACGGGGCCTGTGGGATTATAGGCTTGCATTGCACGGAACATGGGGCTCGGGTAAAGAGTTAGTTTCAAGCGAGTAAGGCGTGTCATTTGCCAGAGAACGAAGACTTGTAGTGAGGTTCAAGTGGACGCCACAGGATCCAGTGGCTAGTGCCTGGATCCTTAATCTCAGATCTTCACGTCTTTTCCCTTTTCTCCATTCTCCATTCTCCAATCTTCAATCTCCATTTCCCTTCTTTCTACTGTACTCTCGGATCTCTTCACGTCGACTCAATTTCTCCTTTCTTCATACTCCACTCACTGTCCTCCCCCCCCCTAAGCTTCCTCTCCACTTTGGTTTTCGGCCTGGCAAACAGCTTCCCTTCCCACTCTGGCATGTTCGCGGCACTTGACTGGTCGCACATGTAATCATGGCACAACCTGACCTCACTTCGCATCACGTCAACTACTTAATATGGAGGTAAGTTACTTACATCTTATGCACGTGCTGTACTGATCATCTTCAGATATCTCCAAGAATCAGGTTTGTCCCCTAACCCTGCAGTTCCGACTCCGTCTAACCCAATGCGACAGGCCATGGCGATGCCGCTGTGTCTTTGCAGCGCGCGTGGTATCCTGATCCTCAGACTCTTCCATTTGCACCTTACATCAAGACGCATGCGCTGGTATCGCTAGTCCAAAAGGGTCTGCAGTACCACGAGCTCCAATCCTCACTGGACAAGGTATGTTAAGCTAGCCTACGCGCCAGGGGGCGCAACCTCTGATACATCCCAAAATATCACACATCTAGGTCCTAATCTGAATGTGCAGGAGGGCAATCACATCAACATCTCACCAAATGACTACTTCTTCGGGCCTGAACCCTTTGAAACTGGGTTTGTGGACAGGCGCGATGAGGTCGGCACAGACCAAGCTTCCCCCGGCAAAATTGCGCGCGACCATCCGAATGGGCATGCCGATCCAGGAAAGCAGGCCCGAGAAGACGATTCTATGGATGATGATGCTACTGAAAGCAAACCTAGCAGTCCTAACCTGGATGGGGATGGCGATACCAGTATGGGGGAGATTCCCGAATCCACCTTCACCTTGACAAACGGCGGCAGCGTTGGCGTCCAGATCTCCCCCGCCAAGGCCGCTGATTTGACGCCCGACACCGCCTTGCTGGATGCGGAGGACCACGTGACCCGCGCCCTATGGAGGCCGAGGGACCCGACTATGGTGGTGGCCGCTGGTGACACTTTTTGTGATATGTGGAAGTTATCATCGTCATCGCCCGTGAAGAAGAAGATTGTGGATCACAGGAACAGTAGCACCTGTGTGTCGGCTGTCGGCTGGGATGCTGTTGGTGAGAAGTTGGCTGTCGCAACATGTGCGGAGCAACGGGGCACCATCACCATGTATAATGTCAACGGCGAAGCAGTGGATCTACTGCCTGAATTACCTCGAATGATCACTGGCTTGCATTGGGCTGATTCCAGGTCGCAATTGGTGGTTGTGGCCTCGGACAACCATATCTCGGAACTGGCACTATGGGACGACAGCCGCCGACCTGACGTTTTCCCTCCGCCTCAACATATCGAAAATCCCATCTTTGATCTCGCTTGGTGTGGCCCAACCCAGGTGTTTGCATCTGGCGAGGGTGCAGTATACCAATGCGAAGTGGACACCACCGTCCGCTTGGTCAAGAAATTTGCAGCCAGCGGGCCCAGTGCGGCTTGGGAATTCATTCGTTGTGTTCAGGCAGGCTCTCACTCAGTTGCTATCACCGCATCTGCAACTAGCAATGCGATTTGGATCCCTACCCACGATATTCTAATCCCAGATGCACACCACCAGGCCATCACCGGAATCGAGATTCGCCCTCAACCTCAGGACCAGCGCATTGTTTTTGCTTCTTTCGCTACAGATCACATGGTCAAGGTGTGGCAGATCGATCTCGAGTCAAAGGATTTCTCGTGTCTTCACAAGCTTCGCCTCGGATCCGCTCCTGCTCTTGCGGGATGCTTCTCTCCTGATGGATACGCTTTCAGTGCAGTCGGCAAAGACTCACTCTTCATCTGGAATGTCGAACGTGGAGGCGAGCCAATGGCTACTTGGACTGCAGCTAGTTCAGAGGTGAAAAAAGAGGATGGCATGACCAATGGACAGAATGGTCACACAGAGCCGGTTGGATATCGGGCTCTTTCATGGGATGCGGATGGCAAGCGACTTGCCTATGGCCTTGACAAACAGGTATGTTTCACCCATAGCTTTTACCAGCTGATACTAACTCAAATAGATGGCACTTGTTAATTTGCAACGGTGACGAGCTGGGCTTTGAATCTACAACATAACAATTTACGACTCATGCTCCAACCGACATTCCCGCTTGAAAAGCCTTTCTTTCTTCGAAGACAGACTCTTCGCCTCTTTTTTTCTGTGAACATACATTTTTTTCTTACTTAGAAATGCATAACGGCATGCATTGCTTGGAATAGGGTTGGGTGGGCACGGCGAACATGGGCTGGCGACGGTGGATTCTGTCTATTTTCTTTTCTTTTCTTTTCTGCTCCAGTGGTGATATTTCCCGGAACCAACTTGTTTATTAATCAAGAAAATACCCATTGACTTCAAGTTGATATCCAATAGTCACCTTTGTATTGAATTAAATCTCCCTGGCATACCCGTGATAGCTCCATAGGGCGATAGGCGCATCTCTCCCGGCCCGGCGATATCCCCCACTATGAATCATTTTCCCACCAAACCGATCTTCCCTCTACTCTCTTCTCGTGCAATTTCAACCACAAAAAATGGCACCCTCTGTGAGTATTTGCGCAGATGGTGTATCCTCAGCTGTCACGGATACAATTTGCTAACGCTCACCGATGACTTAGATCGCCACGACCCCGTCGCTCGAGACGGCGCAAGACGTGATCTCGAAATCCAGGAACTCCCAGTTCCCTCCTAACCTCCTCCCTGTTACTGCCTCAATTCCCGCCGATCTTTTGACCCCGACATTGGCATACTTGAAGATTGCAGAGAAGTGAGTCATGGCTCACCGCATAGTCAGAGACAAGGCGGGGCACAGAGGGGAAGAACATGATCGCTGACTCTGCATAGTTCGCGATTGTCATTTTTGTACGAGAGTGCAGCTACCACGGAAACCATTGGACGTTACAGCTTTGTTGGTGCAGGTGGGTGTTTACAGTCTTTGACTCGGCCACATTGCTAACCGTCCCAGACCCCAGAAAAGTCATCAAGACCGGAGAAGGACATGGACCGGCAGCGGATCCCCTCCCCTACCTCGAGGAAGAGCTTTCTCAGTTCCGTGTCGCCTCAGTACCCGGATTGGTCCTCCCGCCATTGACCGCTGGTGCAATCGGATATGTTGGATATGACTGTGTTAGATACTTTGAGCCGAAGACGGCACGGCCGATGAAGGATGTCCTTGGAGTGCCCGAGTCGTTCTTCATGCTCTTTGATACGATTATCGCATTCGACCACTTCTTCCAGGTCGTCAAGGTCATCACCTACGTCCCTATCCCCTCGGTCGATGCCGATCTCGAGGCCTCCTACGCCAAGGGCCACGCCATCATCCAGAAGACAATTGAGACCCTGCTCCAGGACCGCACGCCTCTCCCCCCTCAAGGACCCATCATCCCCAACCAGGAGTACACATCCAATATCGGACAGGAAGGCTATGAGAACCACGTCAACCGACTGAAGCAGCACATCGCCAAGGGCGACATCTTCCAGACCGTGCCCTCCCAGCGCCTATCACGACCCACCTCCCTCCACCCTTACAACCTCTTCCGCCACCTCCGCACCGTCAATCCCTCCCCATACCTGTTCTACATCGACTGCCAAGACTTCCAGCTGGTAGGAGCCAGCCCCGAGCTCCTAGTCAAAGAAGAGCGCGGCCGCATCATCACGCACCCAATCGCAGGAACCGTCAAACGAGGCAAGACCCCAGAAGAAGACACAGCGCTAGCCAACGAACTGCGCAGCAGTCTAAAAGACCGCGCCGAGCACGTCATGCTAGTCGACCTAGCCCGCAACGACGTAAACCGCATCTGCGACCCTATCTCAACCCAAGTCGACCGCCTAATGGTCGTCGAGAAATTCTCCCACGTCCAGCACCTCGTCTCGCAAGTCTCAGGAATTCTCCGTCCAGGAATGACCCGCTTCGACGCCTTCCGCTCCATCTTCCCAGCCGGCACTGTCTCCGGCGCCCCCAAGGTCCGCGCCATGTCTCTGATCGCCGAATTGGAAGGCGAGAAGCGAGGCGTCTACGCCGGTGCTGTTGGTTACTTTGGTTATAACAGCGCCAGCGTTGATGGATCCTCCGAGGAACCCGGTGCCATGGATACTTGTATCGCCCTGCGCACCATGATGGTCAAGGATGGCGTTGCTTACCTCCAGGCTGGTGGTGGTATTGTCTTCGACTCGGATCCCTATGATGAGTATATCGAGACGATTAACAAGCTCGGTGCCAATATTGCTTGCATTAAGGGTGCCGAGGCTAAGTATTTGAGCATGGAGCAGTAGTGCAGTGCAGTAAATTTTTCTGGGGACTTTTTTGGTTTTCAGTTTGGAGATCAATATATCTTGGGGTCATCTCGCCCGGCCTGTCCCTATGATGCTGGGTTATACATATTTTTGAGGCTTTTATTCTTGTTTATTCGCTTCTTTGTTTCGATGTGCCGATGCATAGCAAGGGCATTGCAGCGATGCATGTACCGATGGGCGCTGTTTCGGTTCTTCTATAAATGGCAATGTTTGAATGATAGACGTATTTTATATATGCCTTGTTCACGATTCCTCTATCTCTATGTAGATATCTATTTGGACCTTGCATGGGCACAGAGATCTACTGGTTTTTGGAGCTGTCACAGACTGTGCATATATAATCGTGTGGGATTCAAGCTATTGGCAATGGGCGCATCTGCCTGCCGTCAGAAAGGCCAGGCTCGAGAGCTCGTCTCATCCAGGTAACATTTTCCCGTCCATCTCCAAGGGCAATGTGTGGTGATGTCTTCAGCCACGCCGCAATGGGGTTCTCATCTGGTTCAACTCTGCCATGCTTGATCCTGGCGTGTCCACCTGCCGTTTAGAAAGAACAAGTATGACAGCTTTTTCCATGGCGTTATTTATGGTCTTCCCCGTCGTTCCCCGAGAGGAATATGTGGTGATGTGGGCCAGGCCGCAATGAATGGCATTGGTTCTCGAGTTTTGCCATGGTTGATCTTGGCATCGTTGGTCCTAGCATGCTTTTTCGCGGTGCTCTAGTAAGATAACATTCTAAACATTTGGCTTCCAGCGTGTATGGGCAAGGAATATCCTTGCGGAACTCCTTTTCACCATGTCAATATATATATATAGAAGCCATATGTATAGATCCTCTGATCTCATTGGCCGAATGCTATGAGCTGTTAGCTGAAGAAATAAACCTTAATGTCGGCCAATGATGTGCTCGCTGTGAGGGTTCGCTATGACATAATTTTTGAGGGAAGTAAACGGTCTATCGTTTCACTTATACATTAGATATCAGATTCTCAAGTATCAGGAAACAATGAATGAAATCTGTGTGGGAGTTATATAGTTGAGCGCCGGCTCAAATAGGACGACTCGACTGCACTCGTGTTGTATATTCAGGCCGGTGGAGCCACGACTGTATAACAGACTTTGATGATATATAAAAATGCTCACCAGCAATGATCTATTCTCTATGCGAATATGTAATGTGCTGATAGATTACTGGTAATGCGGCTGAATTGAGGAGATTTACTGAGGATCTAGGGTTTGAGATAGTATCAAAAATTTAGCTGGTTGTCGATTTCACTACGTACTATCCGCTGATTATGGACTCGGATATTGTATGATATCCAGAAAGTTGAACAGGATAGAATAGGCTCGTCATTAAAAACGCATATTATTAACTATTTCAGAATCATTTCAGCGTCAAACACAAGTATCACTTCAAACTACCGTCAACAACGCCACAAGCTAGCTTATGAGCAATGCCTCCAATAAAGTTTTTCCTCTCCATTCCATCCTTCCATTCCTGAGGTATAGACTCAACCCCATAGAAAGCTCCAGCCAGCCCTCCATAAACAGCACCAGCAGTATCAGAATCACCACCCCGATTCACCACAGCCAAAGCACCCTTCTTCCAAGAATCAAACTTGAAGAAAGCCCACAGCGCCACCTCAAGCGTATCAACAATCCATCCACTACTAGTAATATGCCTAGCAGACTTGGAAGTCCAGTCATTAAGAGTCTTGTACTGCGCCACACGCTCCTTCAGCGCAGGATGCGTAAAAGGAAAAACAGAAATGGTATCAAACAATTGCTGTTTGGTATGACCTGCCCAAAACATTAGTACAAACCCCACCAACCAACCAATATATCAAAAACTCACCATTCATAACCCCACAAACCAACTCAGTATAAGCCTCACAAGCCTCAACACAAGGCAGCGAAGGATGCGTAACACGACCCTGAACCCGGGCAATCTCCCTCGCAAGAACAACATCCTTCCAATAAGCCACACCGACCGGAACAATCCTCATCAAACTCCCATTACCGGACCTTTCCTCGCCGTCCAACTCGATATCAATGCGAGCCTGCACACCCTCGATATTCTCCATGTGCGACTTTTTCCAGATAGACAACGACTTCCGCGTTGACCGACCCATATCCCAAGCCCGATTGATAGTTCCGAATCGACCACTGGTCATCCATTCGACGTAGAATTTTATTGAGAGGGTGTGGTTGTATTTCATTTCTGATTCGGTGATTGAGTACGCTAGGGCCAAGGTCATTGAGCCGTCGTCGGAATAGGAACTGCATGGTATGTGAGATTATGTTGTTCTTCAATGGATTTCTCATCACTGTCGATGATGATTGATGGTGATACTCACCCAGCAGGCTGTTTAAATGGAGCCACAAATCTCAATCCAGTAATCGGCTCGAATGTTTTCGGATCTTTGAATTGGACCGGTCCGCCCAGGGCGTCGGCGACGCAGACGCCCCAGATTGCACCTTCTGTGCGAGATTTGAGTGATACAGACATTGAATGTGATGGATAGTTGTTATGTTGCTGGGGGTTTGCGAGCTTGGAGCTGGGAAATGGAGTGTTATCTTATGTATGTTGGCAGGTGCGACTCAGAGAGCGTCAGCATGAGCCAGTACACAGCCACGGAAGGCGCAGTGCAAGAAGCCAAAGGTTTCTTTCCTTTCAAGGCGGATCGCGGATCGCAATCAACTACCTAGGCAGGGCTTAGTAGCTGTGCAATACGAGCCTCATGTGGGGAACCTCTGCGCCTGGTGGTTGCCTAGTATAGGCTGACTTGGTCCTATCCAGCTTCTTGGGGTCTCATCAAGAAGACTTGGAACATGATGAATGGTCTGACTCATGGGAGACTGTCCCGGTGGGTATCAATGCAGATGATGCCCCTCTCTAAGCTAATGATAATATTGAGTGCTGACTCTGGCTGTGTGAATCACCCATACCAATCAGCTAGTGTGGAGAGACGCCTCGATCCCTGTTGTATGGTTAGCTATCGGGTTCCTGGCCGGTCTATTTGAACGCCCGTATGGAGTTTCTGACGAGCTGTTTGGGGTCAACTTAAGATACTCCGTATTGTAAGACGATGTAGTCCTGGTAGCACAGGAATGTCGTTGTATCTGGGAGATACCTACGGTAATTACCATAGCATTGAGAATGATGGACCAGAGGGTGTCCAGTTGAGATCGATCCAATCAGCAGGATATTATACAACAAGGTAAAGACCCTTGTAAACAAAGAACAGTACAATAAGGGCTCTGTCATTCATAGTATATGTGTGACCGATGTGTATGCAAGAAGATAATCAGATAATCCACCCCATTCGGCAAGATGACGAAGCTCAGTACGAAGCTGGAATGGTGCAGCGAGGTACATTCCATCTGACGGCAGCTAGGGAAGGGTTTCAAAGTGCCTTATGATCGATAGTAGGAACGTGGATGGAAGCTACGGGGATCCGGTATCGGCATCTCTATAGTTCGAGATTTGCCGACAGGACCATCAGCTCTGGGTGCCCGTGATGTGGACTACAAGTCAATGCTTATAGCTGTTGATGAAGAAACAAGGTCATAAGATCAAATCGTGCCTAGGTCAAGCTTGTCTATGATTGGCCGTGGGGTCAGCCTCCAGCAAGGAGATAGATTCGCCATACAGAGAAGCATTCAGGCCCACAGTGCCACATTTATCGATTACAGTATCGATAATGACAAGCTCCACAGTGGATCATAGCAGGAATGTAGATACTGAAGATATGATCAATTTCTATAGTTGATAGCGAGAAGAGTATCAAATGAGGATCCCGTGTATCCCGTAAGCGAAACAGCTCCAGACAGACTTTTCCTGCACGGCCAACCACATCCGGGATGGCGCGGGGATACAACCAATGGGAGTGAAGATAATTGGCAACTTTGGGGTCCACGGGGGCTGACAACCAATCAAGCTGCTTTGGGGTGCTGTTCAGCATGTGCCATGGACTCTATGTTCGAGTAAATGTATCTGTATAAGGATCCTAGAGCTGTATAGCTGGAGCTATACGAGCATGAGAATAGCTCCATAGCCATATAGTCATCGATGGGTGCACGTATAGCTAGATCCAAGTATTCGCCTTGGAGGCAAAGATGGAACAGGCCAGTCATACGGTAACAATACGGCTTGCCACCCGGAGCTCCCCTCCCAAAGCTTCTGGAATTCGCTTCAGCTGGGGAGAGCTTCGGAGGGGCCGCTGATAGCGCCTATCGCGACTCCCACGTTCCAAGTCTGTAGTTTGTACAGTAGCTGTGAGACATCTCTAGACTTGATTGAACTCCAAAATCTACTCTCTCTCTACTATCGTCTCGGCTTTTACTCTCAAGCAGATTCAAAATTACACCTCGGTGTTCCACCGGGCTTTCCGAAAACCGCCAGTAATTTACTAAAGCGGCATCTCAATTTTTCTCCCCCTTGATCAGGAGAACATTCCAAAAATGCGCTCTTAAACAAGTATAGTACAGTAAATCAATGTAAGTACTAGGTATGCATGTCTATTTTAGGCTTTGTAAAAGTTGGAGGGTTGAAGAGAGTGGGAAGAGAGGATATGGGGTAATTACAATTACGGTAATACATTCCCACAACGGGGCGATGTACTCTCTACACTTCTTCCTTTTCCCTTCTTCTCTTCCTTTGAGATCTGCCCATGTTTGCCAATCCTGGTCTTTTCTGCTCTTCAGCTTATACTCCCTGCTTGGCTGACCTCTTCCCTCCTTTATCTTTCATCTCCTCGGGATCTCGACCCCATATGCACCATGCCTCCTCGAAGCTCTCTGACTAGCTCCTTCTCGGTCACTGATGCCAATAATGAAGTGGTCTGTCCTCTGAAGAATAACGACAGCTCCAATTGTCGCAAGAGATGCCTGGGTGTGAGTTCTCCCCCAGACGACGCCTTGAGCCCCACCTATACCTATGACTCTGCAGCTGGGAGCTCTGGGGATGTGCAACTTGGAATCAAACTAATCCGGTTGGTGCTCAGGAAAAACGCTATCGCTCCATGCAGGAGCATATTCGACGTGCGCATCCGAACCACTACATCCCGAAGCTCCCGGCTACCGAGGAGAGCTTCCTGCTGATGGTGAACACCCCGCCCGAGCAACGAGTGCAACTGTCTCCCCCAGAACCCGCGCAACCCCGCCGGCCCCAAGGTCAGTTTTTTAATTCGCAACTTACCTCTTATTCCTCTCTGCAGGGTATTGACGGGGACCCACAGATGTGGCGCCGGATAGGGACATTTACGTCGCTGATGCCGGCTCTCCGGCGACCCCTCGAGCTCACGATGAACCCCACCCAGCTGCTGCTACGGCCGCTGTTGCGCTGGCACAATTGCACCACCATCGCCTGGCGTCGGACTGGGATACCGACATGGTTGGTTACTCTGGACTGGGGTCTCTCCACGGCACTGACCCGCATTTCCCCAGGAAACCCATTCCGATACCGACTTGAGCCAACCTCGCATGCGCTCCACGATCGAACTTCCCCCACTCCGCGATCACTTCAAGCAGGAATCTCTGCCACCATTTTCATCGCCTCGCCCGCGCGAACTGCTTCCGTCCATTCTCAATCATTCTCCGCCCGGTCGCTCATCTACATTACCGCCCATCCAGCGACGAGACAAGTTCTCTCGGCCGCGCAAATCCTCCATTTCGCAGTCCGCGCGGAAGCCGAAACAGGATCGGCCCAAGTCGAAAGAATTTGGACGGCGACCAAGCCTCGGCGACCGCAAGGCCCTTTCTGCGGAACCACAGACGGCAGCGTGGGCGCAAGGCAAGCGATGGGAAGATTTGATCGAGGCGGCGACGTCGGCAACCGAAGCAGATGATGAGCGGTACTCTGAGGTGAGTGATCAATAAGATCTCGACATGTTCGATGCTGATGCAAAAACTCAGGCTGGTCGGTCTCCAACGATTGCCCCACTACTCTCCAACGTGACGTCTGCTCCTTCTGTGAAAAATCGTTCTTCGCTACCACCCGCTTTCCAATCTGCAGGATTGCCTCCACTTTCATCGCATCGCCAGTTTACTCCTCACAGCTACGCTGCTTCGCCTTTGCACAAAGCATTGACACCACCTCCGTTCGAGAACCATCGCAACCGCGACAGCGACTTGGAACCATTCCCTTCGATTGAATCATCGCTCGATTCCATGTCGTCAGCGTCGGGTAGAAATATGTCAGGACAATCCGGAATTGCGCCCTCGATAAACTCTGATTCGAGCCCAACAATGGGTTTGATACCGCCAATTTCGCAACGCCCACACCATAGGTTCTCGAATCCTACTCCATCTTCTTTCCGCAACAAAGAGGTCCAAGTCTTCTGCGCTAACTGCAAGCGACCATCCGCTCTCAATGAATGCTACGCTTGTACAGAGTGTATCTGTGGCGTGTGCCGCGACTGCGTGGGCATGTTCATCTCGAGTCCACCAGCTTCCTTCCGAACCCCGGGCAACGGCCTATTGAACAACATGCAGCACGGGCCAACCAGTTATCCCGGCCCTCGTGGGTGCCCACGATGTCGAACCGTCGGAGGGAAATGGAAAGCATTCCAGATCGACATCAAGTGAAAGATTTAAGACAGCGTCATTGTCCGTCATTGGCGTCACGCATTTACGACTGATGTTTTGATACACGTTCATTATATGGTTTATTTATTTGATTTCGACTTCGGTATGGGTCTATCATCCAGATGTGCAGGAGTTCAAGGCTGGTATTCGGCAGGTTCCCGACAAAACCCCGAAGAAGCTGGTCTTTTTTCATGGTACAATTTAAGGGTACATTGCTTTCTTTCTTTTGGCTGCATTGGGTTATTTATGGATATGGATATGGACTGGACATGTTTTTGGTCATGATATTATGTTTATGTTTATGTTATTTATGTTGAACTGTACTGCACTGGTTTCATTCTGTCGCGCTGTTTATAGAGAACAGGATATTCACTATCCTCACATCCTTGATTTACAATCCATTCCAACATTTGATTTCCACCACAGACAAGTCCAAAGTCAAGCTACTCATCCCAAATAACACTACTCAACCCCTCAGCACTCCCAACCTTCCCAGGCCCTCCAACCTGAACCTTGGCCACCAACTCCCCAAGATCCCCAGTCGTCCGATCCCGCCGCACAATAGCAACCGTCGCAGAAGCCTGGTTCCCAATAGCAACCAGATCCCCCCGTCGATTGATCACAAAAGTCCGGGGAACCTTTCCAAACGCGGAATCAGTATTTTGCACCTTGACAGATCCATCAGCAGCATTCCGATCCAGAACAACCATCGAATCAGCAGGTGCATAACCCTGGTCACTCCGAATAGAAACATAAAACGCATCTCCAACCCGCCGGATCTCAGCAGGCGTAGCCCCTTCAGGCATCTTCCCGCCGGGGTACGGAACCATAGTCTGAGTCTTCTCAAAAGACAAACATCCAGACCGGGAGTACGAGACATCATAAACCATCAGTGTCCCGCCGATTTCGTTCACGAGGTAGAGCATTGTCTTGCCGACAGCTGCCATCTTTGCTTGGTGCATGGATGCACCACTCTTTCCAGAAGGAGAGGACGAGGCAGAGGCCCGGGAAGACCGATCCGTCCCATCCGTCCAGAAAACCCCATGGCGCGGTCCACTTCCGTACGTGATGTTCAATGCTGGGCATTCACGCAACTTCCCATTCGAGCCTTCGATCGAGTAAACACGCAGCAAGTCGGCGCCTAGATCGGGACTGAGCACGAATGTCCCCGTCGGGTCAAGGAAGACTTCGTGCGGGTGTGGTGTATCCTGCTGCGCAACTTTGCCTGGCCTTGTCAGGTTGAAGTGGAAGGATTGGGATTCCTTCTGGGAGGGCTTGAGGGGGAGGGTGAATGTTGAGACTGCTGCTCCTTCGCTGCAGTATATTGTGAGCGAATGCACCCATTGATAATTATATGGGTATCCAAGCTGGGACGATGGTTGGGAGTAACATACTAATGCGCAATTGCGATATACTTCCCCCCTTTATCACCACCATAAAGAACACTCGCGACACCACCCCCGACAGTATCCGTCTTGGCGATCTCGCTCAGAGACCCGTTCGTGTTGACGTGTAGGGCTGTTAGGGAGCCGTGTGTTGATGCGTCTGTTGTGCCGTCTTCATCGGAGCAGTACACTGTGCGCGTGTGTGCGTCGAGGGTCAACCAGCTGGGCATTTTGCCGCATGTTTTTAGGGTTTGGGTGACTTGGAGGTCATTTTGGGGGCTCAATGTGAGGGTGTAGACGTTGCCGTTGTAGTGGGTTGCCCAGAGGGTTGCGGGCTTGGGGGTTGGGGGTGGTTTTGCCGTTGTTATTTGGAGGGTTGTTAGGAGGGGGAGGAGGAGGGTTTGGGGTTTCATCTTGCAATTGCAATTCACTAGTCGACAGTTATCGCTGGTGGTTGTTAAGGGTCTACAGATATGGCGGTGTGCTGGATACTGTGTACTGGGTTGGACTTGGGGTGTAGGCACGGCAGGGAAGGAATCGAGGATGCTTATGTAGGAGTATCAGACGCGGTGCACGCGGGATCAACAAGCCAGACTATGCCCTGCGACATCGCAGGTACATGGAATGGATCTGCAGTGGGGAGGGGCTGGGGAAGGGGACTTCCGAGGTGGCATTATGCAGGTTATTGTTGGTATTATGTTTCTATGTAATTCATTGATTGATTCCATTCCTGTGAATATGGCACATGTATGCTTCGTAGGTCAATACTACCATACACTCGGACTGTTGTTGTTTTGATCTCTAGTTAGGGTTGAAGAGGTATGGGGGCCTTCCCCTGGAATGACCGTTTCATCAGCTTCAGCCACCTACGACACCTCACAAGAATTACCCCTCTACGGAGTACGGAGAGTATTACTACTTGAGACGCAGCTCGCAGTTTACGTCTCTCTTTGCTTAGTGCTATGGGGCACCCCGTATTGCGTGGGGGTGTCGGCTTTACTTCGGCAATACATCACGAATCGACAGTCCAGCATTAACAAGTAGAGAGTAATGTCTGTGTACATCAAACAGGCGTCAAGCCCGTATAGCAGCTATTATTCCGAATAAGCTCCGTCTTGACGCCATCGGCCAACGACACCGAGTACAGACTCTCACCCATATCAGCCACATAAACAATATCATTCACTTTATCCAACTTCAACCCAATAGGTTCACAGGCAGTTTATCAAACAACCGCCGAATATCACTCCGATACCCGGCACTCTCTCCAAACGGAACACTAAACCCAATACAAAAGATCTGACGCACAAGGTTTTCGGCAAGTGAGGCAGATATCGGTATAGAAATCTGATATCTCGATTATGTGGTCAAACACAACTTTCTTTATGTCTCTATGGCATGTATTCACTGCTTCCTGAAAATTATAAGCTGAAGATCTCGAAAATGGCCAAAGAAAGTCCCCTTTCGTCTCCCAGATTAGGGCATATTATACATATATCGACATACCAACTGGGGTCTGTATGGATATTGACTAGCACAAAGTTTGAGAACAAACCATTCCCCCTCAGAGCTATCTCAGAAAGAGTGGTCTGCTCCAAGCCAACTGCTAACTCATACATTATTTCCACCCTTAATTCGCCTCTTTTTTCACCTCCTTTGTTTCGTCTCGTTGTTGTCCACTTTAAGTAACGTTACCTCAAATTATAACTATTAAAAGAGTGTCAATTACGTAGATTGCATACAAGCAGGCATACAACAGAACTTCCAGATAATGACTATGATTTGAAGACGATATCAATCCATCACAAACGCCTTAAAACGAAAGATCAAGACTAGGTACAACAATACTCCCCTCAGCAACAAGCACCCCAGTCCCGGAAATCCAAACACCAACCCCATCCCCAACATCCTCAACACGCACATTCATCAAACATCTCCGTCCAGTCTGCACACCTTGCAAAACCTCAATGCGCATCATTCCATCTCCACCTCTCAACCCTACAGAACCATTCACCCCCGTGTACAAATAAGCACCCAAAGGCCCAGCAGCAGACCCAGTAGCCGGATCCTCCATGCCCATCGCGGGACTAAAAAACCGCGCCTCGAAACTTGGAATGATAGATCCCTCTTCGTTGCCAACAGGAGCAGAAACAAGTGTGAAAACATAAACACCACTGTTATAACTCCCGGCCCTAACAAGGACATCCTCAATAGCGTGTTTATCCCCAAAACTAACCCCCCGAAGCACATCCACACTCCGCACAGGAACTAGCAAATGGCGCGCAGGAGATGTAGTAACAACCCTCACCTCGTCAATCTCAATACCGGCATATCTCATCCCGAGGTCGGGCTCCTTGATGCCCAAGGATCTAGCAAGTGATTCTCGATCGGTATATGTATTCAGGAATTGAGGCGTGCCCTGACGCATTGAGATCGTGATGTGTTCCGATGATGGAGATGGGGATGAGGATATGCTAACTGGAAGGATTGTGTTGCCTAATTCCTGGTGGAATGTCTTTCCATTTCCACTTGGACGATCCACAAGTCCTGACTGGGAAATCCACCACCAAGCACCGAGAGAGTTATGTCCAGCTCCGAAGACTTCTTCGCCATTAGGGAGGAAGGAGCGGAGACGCCAGTCGGCTTTGTTGTTCGCCGGTTCGTTGGTGTGTGTGGGGTTGTCTGTGGTGTTGTCTGTTGGGGGGCAGATGAATGTCGTTTCGGATAGGTTGAATTGTCTAGCTATCAGTTTCATTTGGGTTGCTGTTAGAGATGGGGTTGTGGTTGTTGTGTCTACCACTGCGAGCGGGTTTCCTTTGAAGGGGATTGATGAGAAGACATCGATGGTATAATAGCGTAGGGTGGACATTGTGATATTCTGGTCTGGATGAATATTGGATATTGTGATGGTGTCAATAGGCGAGGAACAGACTTGGAAAGTGAATAGAAGCAAGGAAAGTGAATAGAAGGGGTTTAACTTGACAATGTTGCATTCAAGGGGCATTACCATGTCATTATAAACTATACTTACCGAATATCCTGATTTGAAATCGAAACCATAATACTGGGGCATGTACCTCGTATTCGTGACATCTTTCCACCAGAAGTCTTTGCCAAGTCCATATCGTATAGATCTACCTCCAGCCTTCATGTCTTCCTACCAGCCCCTTGCCCTTTAGTGCTGACATGCGGTATTATGCAAGAGGAGACGGAACGGGAGGAGGATTGTCTATAACGAGTCAGACATGATCGCGTCATTGTATACGGAGAATCTTCGGACATCGCCTTCACTGCTATTGGACATGGATTATGCCGTACTATACATAGATAGGGCTGAATGATGGCTGGGTCTGAGGGGTTAACAGACAAACGGGAACCTGCATGCATTACTGCTAACCTTAGTCTGACCTCAGTACACTCCCCATCACCGTACCCCACATTCCATACGTACAAAAAAGTCTTTTCCAAGTACACCTTACCTGCTACAAACCAACCACCCCAGAAAGAAGAAAATGAAGAAAACACCAGCCAAGTAGGCATGGCATAGGATTAATTCAAAAATATCAAGTAGTTCACAACAAAATGCAACGCCAGGCTATCGTAAACGCATATCGAGCTCCAAAACCAAGACACGGGGAAGGTAAGAGCACCACCCAAACAAAGGAAAACCAATATCAAAATCAAAATCAAAGCTACAGACCAAAGACCATAGACCAAATGAAATCCCACGAAGACTCAAATCCAACCCATCCCAAAGACAAACAGCCCGGCCATGCAGGCTGCAGAACGGGGACTGATCCAAGACCATCCCAACCCCGCTTGAAACAGAGAGAGCATTTGCATTTGAATGAAATGAAACAGGAAGGAAAGGAAAGGAAAGATAACGAAATAAATCAGGGATCTCGGTTCATGCCTCAGGCCTCCTGGCATTCCGGGTAAGGCCTTGCGATTGACAGGAGAAGGTAGGTAGCGAGATATAAAAATAGAGAGAACGAATAGCGCATAGCATAGCAGAACAGGGTACAGTAAGCAAGGAAATCAGAACAAAACAGGAAAACAAAAAAGCAAGTTGAGAACAAGTCGCGCGCTGGGTATTGATAATCAAATCTTCGTAAACCCGTTTTCCGTGTTTCCATTTTCAGTCCTTGGACTGGAGATAGAGAGAAGATGGACTGGCCTGGAGGTGAGGTGGTAGACCAGACTAAGAGAGGTGGATGGATTTGATCGGCTGAGGGTCCAAGCTTGCCACGTTGGATACTCAATTTTTTTGTCGCCAGCGATCAGAGAAGTGGGTAGAGAGAGAGAGAGAGAGAGAGAGAGAGAGAGAGAGAGAGAGAGAGATGGTCTTACAGTACGTAAGACGTAACAGACGAGGAAATTCGTAAAAGTGTAATAATACAGTGAAGCAGGTATTGCTTCCGTGAGGCCCTGCATAGAGAGCAGATCGGATTTATCGGCCGAACTGCGACCAGACCGTGCTGAGCCAGCCGGCTGGGATGCCGATCTCACAAGGTGCGAGCATGGACAGCTGGGTCCATTCGCCCCCATCTAAGAAGGCGAGCACATCATCTCCACCGAGGCTGGTGGAGAGCAAGCTCGAATCTGGGCCTTCCGTTGAGGTCAGTGGCGGGGATGGGGCCAGCTGGGTGACTGATCCCGGGGGTGGAAGGACGGGAATGCTGTGTGACGCGGCAGCATTGATAGGAGGGAGAGATTGAGAGTAGGGTGGAGGAGGAGCCTGTTGGCGAGGAAGCCAGGGGTTGATCGGGTTCAGACGGTTGCTTGTTGCTGTCAGGTATTGAGACGGGGACTGTGTGGTTGCGGCGATGGAAGGCAAGCTAGGAGACGAGGTAGTGTATATGGGACCGTCGGGGTGGTGTTGTTGGAGCGATGGAAGGGAGTAAGGAGATCCCGATGGCATTGGGCGGCTGTTAGGAAGGGGAAGGCTGGGACGGCGATCGCCATCATGGAGTGGCAGGCCAGGTGGAAGGCCAGGGCTGTTGACCGGTACCCATGACTCGCGACGACCACCAGCACCATCGAGCATCTGATCGCCAGGATCGCCGGTCTCGCTTCGGACAGCGTTGCTCCCGGCGTCACTGAGGTTAGTGCGTTCAAAGACAGACTCGTTGGCGGGAACAGCGATCCCGTCATCATCCATTCCAGTTTCTGGCAATTGATCCTCAATGCTTCCAAAGTCGAGGAATAGCTTTTCAAGCATCTTGAACTCCTCAAAACCACCGCCAAGGCCGCCTTCGCGAAGAGGGCGAATGCCGTTGGGTGCGTGGTCAGAAGCATCGGACATGCTATCCAAGCGATTGCGGGAAATTCGACGGAAATCGCGCTTGGTCTTGGAGAAGTAGGTGTGAAGACGGTTCAGGGTACGGAACCATCCAACGGCCATCTTTAGACGGGGGCGCATTTCCCGCATAATATCCAAGGCCTTGCGTGCCTGTACAGCACCAATCTGATGACTATCGTGGCTTGCCGGGGGTGGCTTGGGACCCAACAGCCCATCGGGATCCATGTGTTGGAAATGAGTACCATAGACACCGATGAAGGCGGCATTGTAGATAGCAAAGCCAACCAATGGGTTTTCAACAAGAGCACCGCGAACTTGGCAAGTAGCAACGAGGTCCATCATCTGGCGAGCAGCTTTGAAAAGCTCGCGAGCACTGTCACGCCAGAAATTATCAGGTGGGCCATTGACCTTGTCAGTGGGGAACAATGGTTCATCAAGGGGGCCGATAGGCTCATTGCAGCGAAGAGGCAGGAATGGGATGTAGGCACGGTGAAGGACGATCACGGAGAGGAAATAGACAACATGCATCACAGTATACGAAGCCAATGTGGTCTTATACATGATGTGCGTGTCAGTATTTCGGAGAGAATATTGCAGGTTGCGAGAAAGGCTATCTTGGAACTCGTTCAGCTGCATCCGAAGAGACGAAAAGCGAGACTCAGGATGCCAGGGAGGATATTGCTCGGTTCGTCGACCGCCAGCACAGGACCACTTCGCAATGCTGCCCCAGATACGGATGATCCGGATCACCCGACTGAGAACCGACTCTTCAGCACCAACTTCCCATCGATCAATATCCTCCTCGCTGGAATCCTTGCGGCGCGAGATGGGAGACCAGGACTTGCCATCTGGTGTCCCATTAGGACCCGGAAGCTTTTCATCGCTGAAACCCCCAATACTCTGGCGAATACTGGGGATTTGCATGCTCTGCGAGCCAAAGCTCTGGGGCCGACGCACGGTCGGCTCATTGAGTCGGGCAGTGCGAACACGCTCCCCGAACGCAAAGGCATTATCACTCGGAAGTTGAATTCCGAGCTCCTTGACTCGGACCATCCGGGGCCGATACTTGCCGCTACTGAGACATCGATCGAGGATAAAACAGGCCCAGAAGGTCCGACGCTTGGTTTCTTGCGCGATGATATCATCTGAGGTTGGTTCCCTGGGCTCGAGGCGTCGTGGCAGACCAAAGTGGTCGGCCTCGGTCTTCAGTCCTGGGGATAAGCGAGACCCCTGGGCAGGGAACTCATTCTCGAGTTCGAATGGTAGACCCATGGCCTGCGCCAGTCGAATAGCCATACCCACGTAGACCCAGGCACTCTTGCCTCGACACATCCCCCATTCGTGTAACGCGAGCATCAAGAGCGCCTGGACGCGCGCGAGGTCCGGTTGAGCGAGACAGGCGCCATCCAAGCCGGCCAGCCGGCTGCGAAGGGCGGTCGCATAATATTCCGAAGCGGTTAACGGGTTGGAAGGAAACCCGGGTGATGCCGGAGAATGGAAAGCGACCAGAGGTGGATGGAACCGAGCTGTCAGGGCCAATACACCCAGAGGAATCAGGGAAGAGGCAGGGTCCTTTGGCACTGTATTTCGGGGATCTTGCCCATCGAGAGTTGGGGGAGGAGGTTGTGATAGTTGACGGATTTGACCGAGAAAAGTCGCAGGATGTAGGAACGGCAGGAGGGTAGCGAAGTGCGATTGAAAGAGGTCGAAGACGGCTTCCCAGACTTTGGTGGTCAGTATCGAGGCATCCAGTACATCGGCCCCTAATTTCGAGCCGGCCGAGCCGCCCGATATTGTGGCTTTGCGCGAACGGTGTCGTTTGGGGCCATCCCAGTCGCCATTTCGATCCTCCGAATCTAGGGCAGCCAGGTCCCGTTTGGCTCCGCTCACACCAATAGCCGGGGTTGGGTAGACACATTCACGGCCAGACGATTCGCAGGCGCGACAGGTGGTATCGATGCCGGCATTGACGCACTTGATCTTGCTGCGGCGGCACCTTGCGCAAGCGATGCTAGACCGCATGGTGAGTGTGTATGTATGTGACTAGGTCAACATGGGGCAAAGGGAGAAAGAGAGAAAAGAAAGACACGCGGGTTGGAGTGTGGGGGAAACTTAAAGGTCGGGGCACCGGACCGGAGCAAATTCAGTCGGGAAGGAACGGGGGGTCTCGACCGGGAAAAATACCAAACATGGAGCCGAAGAGACTGGGGAATTGCGGAGGTTGTGGAGCCCCAGTTTCCGGCTGCCGATTCGTACAGTACATTACTGTATATTATATTCGCATTCAAGTACAGGATGACCTCAGCTACATTGCTATTCCTACTGGTCCAGTTGTGAAGTTGTCCTCATCACAGTCAAGTTACCAATGTCCATCACGGTGAAAGTAGTCGGTGAATAATTTTAACCTAGGAACCTAGGTAGCGGTCGGCATATGATTCTCTCCCTCGGAACACCAAAAAAGGTAAGCCAAGGGCATTCTCGGAGGGTAATTATAAACGGAAAACTGCCCAGTATCGGGCCATCCCTCCCTCGGGTACGGAAATCCGCCTATTTCCCTACCCCAGTGCCATTTCTCTGACATGCTCTGACATCCTCGGCGTCCAATGGTGGCTTTGACCCCGGGGTTCCCCGCGAAATTCAAGCGAGATCCTCGATCCTCCCTGGAATCGGCTGTGGCCTTTCATTTGACGGCGGGCTCCGTTCCGTGTGACGCTACATCCTGGGGATAGGCTCGGCTGGCGTTATACGAGTTCAACCGAGGCCTGAGAACCTACACATCGGCCAGAGTAATCTGTATCTCTGTATAGATATATACCTTTAGAGATGGTCTATATCTATCCTCCATTCATACATGCTTATATCTATACACCCTTGTATACTTACTTATAGTGACTGTATACTCTCGATGCATACAGTGTATACATACAGTAGGGCGAAACCCTAACCCCAACCCCGCATTTTCTTTTAGGTAATTAGTCGGCACAGTTAGTTCCGCTCTGATTGGTGTCAAACACCGCTGAAAGGGGGAAACATAGGCACCGTTGCTATGACATAGCTAACTAGGGAGGTAACTATACTCCGGATGTCTACTGTTACATGTACATACTTGGCTACCCTAGGTAATGTAGTGGGCCCTCCAACTCTCAGCTGACACATTAATAAAAGAAACCCATTTATTCCCCCGATTTTCTCTCCCCAATCCTGTTCGCCGACTTATTATCCGATCAGGGTTCCCGTGCCGCCGGATTACCGTGTTACGCGTGGGATGGCTTGTTCCACTATCCTACCACTGTAACAGTCTTGGCTTAAGGTCAATGTGTCGGCGTGACATCCCCGACCGGGAATCTATTCTTCCTACTCTGGGATGTGACTGGCGGATTATTTCCTTTTCTTGCCGCGGAGGAGGTGCCGTTACTTTCGGCTATACTGTTAATCAATCTCTTTTCTCCCCTCATGAGTGGAAGTACAGTAGGAATGGTATTCTTCAATATGATCCTATGATACATTGTACAGGCTCAACACTCACCCAGTACAAATCCCCACGAACAAGAGCAAAAGAGAAAAGAAAGAAAAAAAGAAGACAAAAAAAAAAAAAAAAAAAACCGGGGAGGCGAAAAAGAGATTGCAAAGAACGAGCCAAGAAAGTCAGGAACAGCCCCCACATCGGGGAAAACGAAGACCGGTGGGATCCCGATTCCGAGTCGACACCGGTGCAGTATTTAGCCCTCGGTGATATTCCGACGGTTATTATATATTATATCATGCGTGACGTTACTTATGCTGTATGAATGTTATTCACTATTCCCTATGCAGTCCCACTCACTGTACTGTTCAGCCTAAGATATATATCCGACATTCGAACGGGACTAACGGACTAACGCAGGGCTGCGTCAACCCGAGTCTTGGACTTGGACTTCCCGAGTGGGAGGAGCCCACTAAACCTAGACCTGAACCTGGGATTGGAACTGGAGAAATGTCGGGGGTTAGTCGCCCGTCTCCATTTAGCCGGTGCTTATTTGGGCCCGGTTAAGTAGGGAGAGGTTCGGGATTGGCTTCTGGACTGTTAGTTTCTACGATATTTCCGGTGGCTGTTTTGACTTCATTTCGTTTGGTTGGGTTGGTTTGGTTAGCTTGGGTTCTTGTGGAATGTCCACGGAGACTGGTCAGGCAAGGAGGGCGGTTCGGCAATATCCAGCCCGAGACATGGTTTAATTAATGGCGGGCCTTTGGTCTCTTTTTGGTCTCGTGTTGGGTTAGGTTTATTTCCTGGTTGGGGTGGGGTTGGATTTGGGTTTGTTTTTACTGTCATCTGGGTTGAGATCTGCACCCATTTGGGGGAAAGCACTCCGTATTCTCAAGCAGATCGCAAGTAGATTCATTACAGCCTAGCTTTTGCGAGATGGAAATGGAAAAATATATCAAGAATGAAAGCCATTATACTATACTGCCTAAAAGCGCAACATGGGTATATTATGAAGCCATAATAAATTGTAGGCGGAACAAAACGTAGTACAGAGAAATTAAGTGAGTGGAAGAGGAAACTGAGAGAGCCCAGAGATGGGATTGTTGGATTAAAATGTTGTCAAAGGACCCAGCCTAGTGACAGTGAAGCACGGCGCAGCTCTAAGTCTATGTAAAGAACCTAGCCAGCCTGTTAGTAACCACACATCAGCCTATCAACCTCCCGAAGAACTTACCAAGCCGCAATAGCGATAATCAAATACATCATCATCAACAAGACACCCTCCAGCCAGTGGGACTTGCCATCTCCGATGAGGTAGTTGACCAAAAGCACGGACATGAACAGGGTGATGACTTGGAATCCATCAAAGTTGAGGGTCTATAAATGTCAGTTACTTGATCCGTGATCTAATCAGTGGCAGATCGTCTCTTACCATATCCTCAATACCAATGATCCATCCAAGAACCACAATCAGCGGCAGAACCAATAACGCGATCTGCATACTGGAGCCAACGGCAACACCGATTGCTAGATCCATCTTGTCCTTGCAGGCGACTGTCACGGCGGTGGCGTGCTCAGCTGCGTTACCGACGATAGGGAGAAGGATCAATCCGACGAATGTTTCACCGATGTTTCCTGTGGCCGTGAGAGCGTCGATGGAGGAAACCATAAACTCAGCACAAGCAGCAACAAATCCAGTAGAAATAGCCAGCGTCAGAACAGCCGTGAAGATAGACAGTTGGGGCTCCTCAAGCTCATCCTCAGGATCCTCCATCTGCATATGATCACGACTCTGACCAACCAGAGGCGCAGCAGTCATCTTGCCAATCTGCGCAATACCCCGGCTAGCATCACCCTCCAAGACACGGGCACGGCGACGCTCAACCTTAGGACTGGGCCGGTTATACATCTCAGCATGAGACTTCAGCTGGAAGAAGAGATAACAGCCGTAAACGATAAGCAGGAGAACACTAGTTCCACGAGACAGCGGCGCAGTCTGATCGCCATCAGAAGCGTCAGACCACTTATGGAAAGCAGTTGGAATGATCAAACTGCTAACAGCCAAAGCCAGAAGACTGGCAGCGGTCTGGGCAACAGTCACATTGAAATGCTGCTCCATGCGATCAATGCCACCGAAGAAGAAACACATTCCCATCACAAGTAGCAGGTTGGAAAGCATGCTTCCAATCAGCGAAGTCTGCACAATGAGAACCTTGCGCTGGACCAGAGCAATGATGGAAATGATCAATTCAACCGCGTTACCAAAAGAAGCATTCAACAACCCTCCAATCGTCTCACCAGTCCGCAGGGCAATTTCCTCAGTAGCGAAACTGAGCATCGCAGCAAGAGGAATGATAGCAATGAAGTTCACCACGAAAACAGCAATCGGGTTCGCATCAACGGCATAAAGCGCAATACCAACAGGCGCAGCAACAAGCAACACATTAATCCACGAGTTCAAGATAGTAGCCCGCAACTGCGACGCAAAAGTAAACTTCTGCGTCCCGGAAATAGACTTCTTATCTTCCAAGTCATCGACTTGATCGCCATGACCGAACTTGCCCAGGAAACCCTTGCGCATGCGCGGCTTTGTCGAATCAGTGGACTCGTCCATGCCGCGCGATACATTAATCGGATCATGGCTCTCCATCGACGGCTCAGGTGGTGATTTGGGTGTGCCTTGGTCACTGCCAGCCGACTCTGGGGGAAATGTGCCTGCGTACTCTGGGCCGCCGAGGCCGTTGTTCATGTCGAGTCTGCGGCGCGTGTCTTCTGACATGCGGATATCTAGACTGCGGTGGCCGGGCATTCTGCTTTCGAGTTGGACGGAGTTCGAGCGCCGGGGTGAGCGGCGGAATTTCTTGAATGGGTTATGTGACGAGGCTTCGCCTTCTTCGTCGTACCAGGCCAGGTTGCGGGCCTGTCGGCGGTAGATGTCTAGTTATTGACTCAGTATTGGTTGGTGAGATGGTCTGGATCTCCTGGGTCGACTTACGCATAATGAATAGGGATTGGTCTTGGAATCTGGACAGGCTGTGAGTATGGCTCCTGTGTGATATATAGGGTGACAGGCCAGCGAGATAAAGGATTGGATGTGGTTGAAGGCAGCAATCAAGTGTGATAAAAATGCCAGTATACACGCCACAGTCGTGGCTTAGACCGTGACATGATTCTTAAATAGGAGACACGTACTCGGGAAAGGTTCCAAATCGCAAGCGATTACACGGCTTCAAAGGCTGAGCTGGTCCACTCTAAAAGCTGACGGGAGCCTCAATGAAAGCCACAAGATGACAGGCGGATCTGCAATGTTCAAAGAATTCCTGCCCAAGTAATCGCGTGCACAGTGAGAAAACGGTGAGAGATTCGCGCCCAAGCAAGGGGTAACAGGCGGGCAATCAACAAAGACGAAACGAGTGACAATTCTCACCCGAAACCACGAGAATGAGAAGGAAAAAGTAAAGCGACAAATGTAGGGATAGAATTCGCCTGGTCAGATCCTGAAGTTCTCCAGGAGTCAAACTTGAGAGGATTGCACAGCCACACAGGCCCAAGGGCGATCGCGATGGTCGCTGAATTGTGGAGATACTATGAGCTTGGCGTTAGAAAAAGCAAGCTCGGATCGCTCGACTGGTCTGATATAAAGTGTTGAAGGGTCTAATTTCGGTATTGAGTTGGATCTTAGCCACTTTGTTAATTGTGTTGCGCAATCTGCGTCATCAGTGATATTGTGTACTGTGCACCGTTGTATATTGATGCGCTGGCGGGAAACACGAAACAGCGCCACTAACCAAGGAAATTAGAAAGCTTCCAGTCCGCGAAGCTTTCTTGCTTTATGCTTGGGCTCTTGGCAGCATAAACTTGTTTTCTGGGATCGTCTGCAACTGCGATATTGTCACACCGCATTGATCTTGGACTTTTTCTCGGGCAGTGCTGCAGACTGATTATGCTCCCAAAGACCGAACATCGAAGGCTCCAACTCATTGGGAGGAAATTGCACAGAAGCATAGTGGATGTGGTCCACTCTTGGCATGTTTGAGTCAATTAAATGTCGAGGAATGGTTTCCACAGGCGAAGTGGACGCCACAACCCCTTTTCATTTCTTTGAATGCCTCGGGATGCATGATCACGTGTTGGCCGGTGTTTGTGCTTGTGCTGCCCTGCTGTAGGCGCCAGCTGCCCTAGGAAGAAGCCCCAACGGCGTATATTTCGCATGACTGAGTCTATATTGGCACCCATTGTAGAGCTTCTGTAAGACAGTGGTGAGACGGCTCAGGCAGAATATCGTAGACGTCGGTGGCTTGGGCTCTTTGACCCTTCGAAAGCCAATGATCTCGGTTGGTTGGCGGGAATATGTGACCAGCGGTCATTTTTGATAGGCGACGTAAGTGTCTGTCACCTTTCGAGTCCTGCGAGTCGCAAGGTTAGCCTGTGGTAATTGGGCTGCATTATAGCCTGTGTTCGGGCTGTGTCTTAAGCTGAGTGAGATGAAGAACACGAGCCAGCACTGATAATATGTGATATGGGCATCTTCCTGGGAAATCGCCTTGGTCTAGGACGGATGCGATTGAAAAGAGAAGAGAAACTGTAGGGATGGGAAAATCAGCCCTATGGGAATCCGGGGCCCACTGCGGCTAAACAAAAATGGTTGCCTACTCCAGTCCTATCTGGGCTGGTCAGCATTGCTGGGATTCTGTCCAGTTTTGCACTCTACAAGTACATTTCCCACAGTTACTTACTTTATGATATAATAAGCTCATAATCTTTCCATCTAGTAGAAGGTCTCATATATTTTATACTTACTTCGCATGCTAAAGGGAAAGTTGCTTCGTTTAGCCTTGCGCATCAAGAGCTGGGCTCAAATAGATGTTTCGGTTACACGGAGTACAACCCGAATCGGCTTATTCACTAACGGCTTATGCCGACATCTGTACCTGCATTTACATGTCTAGACTGACTACGAACAAGCACGTTGGTAAACTTCAAACATGGCACCAAACAACCCCGGTCCGAAGAACGATACATAGCCATGAAAGAATATTTTTAACAATTCAACAGTTTACACGGTCTAAATAGGGATTATAAGTTCGGCTAGTGCTGTTGCCAGTGCTTTTTCTCCATCAATATATAATGGACTCTCAATGTGCTACTGATATCATCCCAAAGTAATTTAGAGTGAGGTAGCCCAAAATGCGTTAGGAAATGGATTTGCATCAAATGTTCAGATATACCTTCTACAAGCTGTCTTCAGGGCAGTTACTTCTAGTCAGAACCCTCCTCTTCTTGGTAGAGGATTGGCCTACCTCTGCATCATTACCAATTGCTCAAGCTCGCTGATAGACTGACACAGAAAGGGAATATCAGACCCAGAGGGCTCAGGTTAAACCCTGCTTTGTTATATGTTGGCGTTAGTGTCTGAATATTAATCAATGCCATTAGACAAGTCTCGTGCTGTTTCATGTAGAGTAAACCCATCACAACACAAACATAGGAAGTGTTAAAACAAGATAAGCATGTTTAACACTGGAATATCCAATGCTGCTTCTTTACCGTACGTCAGTTCTGCGGGTATGATTGATGAGATCCAGTGCATTGAATTGATTTCCAGAAAGTCCGAGGAAACTAGAGCCCGTAGCTACGACCAATCATACCTTAAGCTCCCTGCACATGTATGTTATCATTGTCAAAGATCCATTGTTACCCTCTCAGCTTGTATTTTCTAGTATATGTATGTAGAAACTTTCTCTCAGTATACTTCGCATACAATTGCAGCCCCATGAACACAAGCGTTAACGCCTGAGAACAAAACTACTTAGCCGTAACGATCAAAACAAATGCCTTCTATCTCTTTCCACGAAGTACACAAAAGTAAGCCAGGCCAAAGTTCACACAGCCCCAACGCCTAAAAAATAGCGCATACAATAGAGCACCCTAGAAGCGAGAGAGCAAACAAGCGAAGAACCCACAACGACCCATAAACAAAGCTACATCCCGCCGCCACAAAAGCTTGGTACAGGAAATCATGGGAGAAGAGTATCGTTCCGCCCTGGTTAAGCCCCTTGGGGAACACGACATGCTTCCCCGAAAGAGACGGACCCGCCTCTGACGTGATTGATAGTCAGGGGTAGCCGCATCTACAGACCTGAGCTATAGTAAGGTACTAGCTGCTAGTTACTAGAGAACGGAATCACTATTTTTGTAATGTACTTCGTACCCTGGGTGTGCATGCATGAGATAGAGCTCAGCGGTAAAGACGGGCCGTGTGTACATGCAGATATTGGACCAAGAGATATAATGTATCAATGTTGCCTGCTGTGCCGTCTGATCGCCCCTGTAAATTTGATGTTCCGTGTTGTAGTTTCGACCCACCGATCGATGGAATCACATGCAATAGCAGGAAGATCAATTGGGAGATAAGGTTTGAGGTTATTCTGATTAAGATGTCAATTTCGTAGATGAGTGCTATAAAATAGTGGAATGGATGGTCTTTTTGAGACGGCATAGGCAGCAGGGATTTGATGTTTCGGATGTGATCCAGAGCCATGAATTGGATATAAAGGGGACTGTAACTTTGACCCATACCCACTGACTTGGATAGTCCGTGCTCTCTATGGAGTACCAAGTAAGCGACATCGTGAGACATTCTCAATAGTTGTATGCTATGATTTACGGAGTAGGGTAGAACACAAATTTGAGAGTAGCCATGTGCTGACCACATTGGATCAGGAATGGAGACCGCCCAGACTGCCCAGACTGCCCAGACATAGGCATACCGAACGGCATCATAAGCAAGCATTGATCATCCCTTGGCGAGAGACAAGCTTTAGAAAGTGACGCACTTCAGGTCATCGGTTTACATTCACATTCCACACTGAACTTGTAACAGGAAAAAGGGAAAAAAAGGGATGTCAGCCCGAAATTGAGTAAGAAAGCGGTCCACCACACCCTATCAGGGTCCAGGGTCTTGAAAGGCCCCAATTGCCAATTACTAGTCAATACCATGTTTCAGGGGGTTTGTAGTGGAAAGTGGCAAAACACCGTGAAATGATCCACAGGGGAAAGATACAAGTGGGGACTCAGGGTCAACAGGGACCAATGATGTGGGACATCAAATCTATTCTCTACTATCACCACCAATCGTTCACTGTGATTTGCTGTACCTGGAAAAGGAACATACACAAATATACACAAAGAACGCAAATAAACACCAATAGACTGTACTGTAACTTCCGCACAGCCCGGTGATGCGTACACCCCCCTACTCCACTGCCATCCCCTTCCAGCCCTTTTCTTCTCCAAAGCCCCAATTCCTCTTCTTTTTTCATACATTCGCTTTTGTGTTGTCACTCATTACTATACACAATGAAGACTTCCATCATTGCTGGTCTCACCCTCTTGGGTGCGGCCATGGCCGATGTCCCCAGCATTGAGATTAAGGGCAAGAAGTTCTTCTACTCCAACAATGGCACCGAGTTCTACATTCGTGGTGTTGCTTACCAGCCTGACTACACCGCCCGCAACGGTGCCTCCGGTGATGCCAAGTACACCGACCCTCTCGCCGATATCGACAGCTGCAAGCGTGATATCCAGTACCTGACCGAGCTCCGCACCAACGTCGTCCGTACCTACGCTGTCGATCCCAGCAAGGACCACGATGAGTGCATGAACGCTCTCGCCGATGCCGGTATCTACCTGATCACCGATCTGTCTTCGCCCACCGAGTCCATTGTGTCCGACGACCCTACCTGGAATGCCGACCTCTTCACTCGCTACTCTCAGGTTGTCGATGCTTTCGCCAAGTACCCCAACGTTATCGGTTTCTTCGCCGGAAACGAGGTCTCCAACAAGGTTAACAACACCAACTCCATGGCCTACGTCAAGGCTGCCGTCCGTGATATGAAGTCCTACATCAAGCAGAAGGACTACCGTTCCTCCCTCTCTGTCGGTTACGCCACCGACGACGACCAGACTGTTCGTGAGCAGGTCTCCAACTACCTCGTCTGCGATGACGCGTCCGACTCCATTGACTTCTTCGGTTACAACATCTACGAGTGGTGCGGTGACTCCACCTTCAAGGAGTCCGGCTACTCCGAGCGTACCGAGGAGTTCAAGGACTACCCCGTTCCTGCCTTCTTCTCCGAGTACGGCTGCAATGAAGTGCGTCCCCGCAAGTTCACCGATGTTCCCGTCCTCTACGGTGACAAGATGAACGACGTGTGGTCCGGTGGTATCGTCTACATGTACTACGAGGAAGCCAACAAGTACGGTCTGGTCTCCGCCGACGGCAGCTCCGTCAGCACCCTCCCCGACTTTACCAACCTCTCCAAGCAAATGAAGTCCGCTACCCCCACCGGTGTCGCCATGAGCGACTACTCCGTCTCGACCACCGTCGGCCGCAGCTGCCCCACCATCGGCTCTGACTGGAACGCCGCCTCCAAGCTGCCCCCATCGCCCAACGCCGACCTCTGCGAGTGCATGTACAACTCCCTGGAGTGTGTCCCCGTCGACGATATCTCCACCAAGCTGATCACCAACACCTTCTCCTACCTCGGTGGTGTTGATGGCGTCATGGACGGTGTGAACTCCAACGCCACCAGCGGTGAGTACGGTGCTTACTCCATGTGCTCCACCAAGCAGCGTCTCGCCTGGGCCATGAACCAGTACTACAAGAAGAACAAGTCCAAGGCCGGTGCCTCCGCTTGCGGCTTTAATGGTGCTGCCTCCACCCAGAAGACCACCACCGCCTCCGGCTCTTGTGCTACCCAGATGAGCGCTGCTGGCTCCGCCGGCACTGGTGCCGTCTCCGGTGGCCTTGCTGCCTCCTCTGGTGCTGCCGCCTCTGGCTCCAGCTCCGGCAGCGGCGCGACCTCTTCTGGTATCGCCGTGGGCACTGTTCCCCAGTCTGTTCACATTGGCAGCTGGCAGGCCGGTGCTTACGCCGTTGCTGCTATTGCCTCCGGTGTCTTCATGATCATGCTTTAAACTTGTTTTTATAGCTTGATATATATATTCCTTGGTTTAGACTGTTGTCGGTTGAGTCCTTTTTGCTCCCGCAACGCCATTTCTTGGATGTTTCTTTTTGTAACATTGTCGTACATAATTCTATTTAAACAGCTTAGCAGGTGTTCATTTTTCTTTTTACCATTTCCAAAATTTACTGCTGATCTCATATCAAACTTTATTCCCGTGTAATCCTTACATCTACTTCGTACTGTACTGTCATTTAGTCTGGCACTTAACCCGAATCCACAATCGATCTATATTCTCCACATGGGTGAAAACAGCCCCAGCAGCATATCAAGCTCGGCATGCCGAGATCGTCGGGGCCGTCAGAGTGGTTCCCTTCTGGCTGGACCGCATACTGTCAAACACAAAATTTCAATGGCGAAACCTAAATACTGCAAGGCTTTAGAGTTTGCATACCTTGTATTCTGATACACTTGTTTGCTATGTCTTATCATCTAAGACCCAGTTTGAATCGTGATGTCCATTTCATACCGTGACAACCAGTCTATATCATGATTTCTTGCCCGCATGTAGCTAATTAGAATTCGAGCTCAGAGATACCCTCCCTCAAATCGGTCGACGAAACACCATAATCTTAGCCGGCTATCGTGATTTGGCCTGGGCATGGGGATTCAGACCAGACACAATACAGTAGGTGTGGTTTATATGTATGGCAGTATTGGGCAGCAAAAGGCCTGACCAGGCACAGTATTGTATAGCCAGGTATCTGAAATTAGCATTATAACTACTGTACTGCATGTAAAGCCCCAAAAATCCAATCATTCTCCCAAAGACACACTATATACCACTCTCCACTCGCCTATACTTACTCCCCAACCAACCGTTCACCCTCCTCACTGGACCCCAATCCCCCAAACCTAATCCTCCTTATCACCTCCCCCTTCCACATAAGTAACATAACAAAGAAGAAGGAAACAACCGCAAAAAAAGCCATCATCCCATAAACCCACCCAACCCCAACACCCTCTACCCACCCGTCAATATAAAACCCAATAGTCAACCCATAAACAATGCGATAAGCCCCAACAACAACCCCCACCTCAGCAGGATACCCCTTGAAGCACTCAACAATATAATTAACTGTAACAGGCACACTCCCAAGAGACCCAATCGTAACAATGAAAACCCCCAGCGCAAGCACCATATAATGCAGATTATACTGCAACGCTGCCCCGAAAATCCCCAATCCGATTGGATTAAGCACAAGACTGGGAAGCCACAACACGTGCAGTCTATACTCGGGCTTCCAGACTCCGTTGTTGAAGCGCCGTGCCAGGTAAAAGGGTACTGAGTCGTTGAGGCAGTGGCCGTAGAATTGGACGACGATTATGCCTATCCAGTGGCTAAATGTGAATGCTGCGTTTTGTTCCAGGCTGAAGCCGTACCCGCCTGCGCTTACTGGCTTCTGTAGCCACACTGGCGTGAGGGCGTTCACGCCTACGTAGAAGCCGAAGGATATTAGGGTGAATGTACCCATTATTATTGTTGCTGGGCAGAGGCCTATTAGGAGGGGGGTTAGGCCGATTTGGGCCTGCGGTTTTATGTTAGATTGGACTGCATTGGATTGGATTGTTTTTGGGTTGGGTATGGTGGGTTGGGTATGGTGGGTTGGACGTACTGTTTCTTTCCATGTTGTCGGCCCTACAACCCGGTTGCCAGGGAAGAATGTCGCGATTCGATTGGCAATTCTCCCGTTTGGGATATCTGGGTTCTTTTCAAAGCACGTACGATCAAAACCAGTTTCTTCGAGGAAGAAGAAGCAGCAGAGCAGTGTGAATCCTAGTAATCCAACCGTCCACCAGAACTCCACCGGGAAGAAAGAGTGCGCAGAGACGAATCCGGAGAACGTAGGTCCGGCAATAGTCCCGAACAAGAAAGCCATATGCAGAACAGTAAATGCACGACCCCGCTGATGCAGAAAGAATAGATCGGTAACGATACGCGGTCCAAGTACTGTAGGCACTGCGCCGAAGAAACCGGCAAAGAGCCGCGACATCACGTAGGGAATGTAATTTTTCGGGTTTGTCATCACCGCACCCCAGATCTGACATACTGTTGTGCAAGCCACACACCAGAAGATTACAGAGCTGCGCCCTAGTCTGTGTGCAATTGGGGCGAAGAAGAATGGACCAGCCGCCATGCCTGCTAGGGCGGCTGAGTTCTGGGGTTTGTTAGATTTGGGGAAACTATTGGGTTGAATTTGGATAGATGGTTATGACGCACTGCGTATGATTCTTCAATCTTTGATTTGTTGTATAGCTTTTCTTGGTCAGCGAGGTTGAGTTGGCCGGACAAGGGCGCGATTGCGCCGGCAAATGAGGCGAGGCATAATACTGCTAGGATCATGTGCTTGCGGTGTTGACACCAGCTCTAGAAGAGGTCAATTAGTCGGGACCAGAAAGGAACATTACATATCAAGTATTATGCATACCAGAGGGTCCCGGGGGTGGGTACTAGGCTTGGGGATTAGGACGACGTGAGCATGTGCTACATCGTGATTGTCCGCTGGTGACAATTTCGAAGAAGAAATGGATTTCTCAACATCTGGGGTTGCTTTTGTGTCCATTGTGCACTGAGGGAGCTGTTGGGCGTCTAAGGCCAGGTAGATATTTGTGGTCAGTGTTGACAGGTCACTCTATCCCTTTTTTTCGGAGGTTTCTTTTTTTTAGCCCTGGCTATTACTATGGCTTGGCGGGCCTGATCCATATCCTTAATGTGCCAAGCTCTTTTGCCGAGCTCTTGTACGCGCTGGGGAAAGCTCGAATGGGGACGCGTCAGCTTGAGTGGTCTTTCGGGCCTGGTTGTGGGCTTGGGGTTATGCTGGTAGTAGGGTAGGGCATATATAGTATGAAGATCATTTGGAACATCTTGACTAGATTTATAGATTTATAACAGGCCAATATGTTTTACTCGAATGACTTCAGCATTGTCAGTGTAGGTCAATTGCCGAGTAGACTGGGTCCGCGAACTTGGCCTGAGACTTCAGGTGTCGATTGCCAACACAACCATGGTCACGGGTATCCTGATTGCCTATAGAGGCAGTGTAGTCTTCACCTTGTCACCTCTGAGATCTGAACATTGATTTCGATACAATGCTCTACGGTGGTAATTTTCAAGCCAGCATATCAACGCAGCCGAATTAAACCCCTCTGCTTACACGTGACGGGGCTTGGGCTTAGGATAAAGAGAGGAGAGGTGATATTGGTGCACGCTGATTTCTCCGACTCTCGAACTCACCTCACTCTCAACCAAGCCTCATTGTGGACATCTCCGACATCTCCCCAACGCTCAGAGGTTAATAAGCAAGCGGGCCGTGCAGACCTCGGGAGTCTCCCCGCCCTGCATGGTGGCTGTGCCAAAGGAACCTGGTCCTGTCAACTTAACTCTACTTTGACGGCTGTCGAGGTATCACAATGGAGCGCGAGATCTGCAATGATACTGCTCACTCTTTATCCAAGCTGTCCCTGTCTCGGCCCGAGCCGGGCACGGGCACGGTCAAGCGCCGACTGTTATTGATATACATCCATGGCTTCATGGGCTCCGAAGCTAGTTTCCATGACCTGCCAGCACACGTCCATGATCTGTTGACTGGGCTACTGAGCGAGTCTCATGAGGTGTTTACTCGCATATATCCTCGATACAAGTCTTACGGTGAGATGCATGTTGCAGCGGAGCAATTCAGTGCTTGGTATGTAATCACGTCATTGGATGAGGTGTTTGAGTGGTGTATGAGCTGACAATCGCAGGCTATCACCACACGAGGCGGATGACTTGGATGTCATCTTACTGGGACACAGTCTTGGCGGGATCCTAGCAGCTGATGTTGCCCTTTTACAAGCAAGGGACCACCAACCAAAGCATCGCATTCTAGGACTAGTCAACTTTGACGTCCCCTTTTTGGGACTACATCCGCGTGTTATTCCAACTGGAACTATGGGCTCGGTCGCAAAGAAAGACCCAGCAGCTGAAGGCAAGCTAGCGGGAGAGCAAGAATCGCTAGGCATGCAACCCGCCTTCAAACCTGGCACTTCAAATCCGAATTTCGATCCCCCATTCATGAATGATGTACGCCTGGTTGATCGTGGATTTTTCAAAGGATTGATGCATTTTGTCAACAAGAACACAGACAACCTCTCACGATCAATATTTGACCGTGTTGTGTCGTCCTTTAAACATGCAGGTTGTGTCAACAACTATCCGGAACTTCGCCGGCGGTACCGACATCTGGCAGATCTGGAGGCTGCTGAGTCTAGTCCTAAGAGAGTACGTTTCGTCAATTACTACACCGCAAGTACTGGCCGTCCGCCAAAGCCGCCAAAGCCACCAAAGCCCCCAAAGCAGAAGAAGACCAAGTCTTCAAAGAAATCGGAGGACACCGAGGACAAAGAGTCAACGCCGGCCTCCTCAGAGCCCTCCGAAGACCCTTTAGAGACACCAAGTGTGTCTGAAGAAGATAAGACATTGAATTCAACGAGCGAGGTGTCACTCGAAGGACAAGAACTAAAGTCCACTCCTTCGAATTCTACTTTAGTCGAAGAAACCAAGGATGAAAAGACCAATGACGAGAAGCCCAATGTCGAAAATGAGCACCCAACAGACACAACAAGTCTCGCCTCATCCATCTCAACAGACCAAAAGGAGGCTCAGTCCACATCAGAAAGCATTTCCATCACAACCTCCGTGGCCTCGGGGTCTTCAGAAACCTCGAAAGATAACCTTCGCAAGTTCATTCTCTTGCCATCGCATCATTGGAAATTTGAGAGAAATGCTTACTGGCACCCTATATTAATGGAAGGCATGGACGAAGTGATAGCGCATCAATCTATGTTTATTCCCCAAGGTGCAAACTACGACCATCTTGTCGGAGATACTGTCTCTCTGATTGAACAGTGGATCCAGAGTGATTTAAGTCGACGATTTCTTCTCGAGAATCTTGACTAGATGCTGAATACATGAATGATAACACTACCCACACACAATTCATGGCCCTGAAATAGATTGTACTTCAGGAAGATGTTTACTGGGTTCGGCATGCGGTAGCCGTTTTCAGCCACCCGCCAACCATCCTATTGTCAAAGCCCCGTATAAATCCAATTATAACTCCTAATTTGTTATTCAAAGCTTCTGAATGACCCAAAACACCAAATGCAACCCAACCAAATACTCGGCCACGCACGCCGATCGGCACGTCAAACCGATCCACATCGGAGCAAAAAGCTCCACGGGCGAAACACCGAGCTTCGGCTACATGTCCAAGTCGCCGAAGGTCCCTCCATACAAAAGAACCACCAAATCCTGCATTCTTAATCTTATAAAAACGCTTCACAGATAATAGACATGCGCTTATCGTTATTGCACCAGCTATCCACACCAAAGCCACTCTAAAACCTGCCATCATGCAAACAGAACAAGACCTCGAACCCCAAAAACAAGAATCCAACCCGCAAATCAATTCTCCCCACGACTCAGATGACGAAGAATTAGCGCTGAAACCCCAGCCTTCAAATTCCTATGACATCCCAACATGGCGCAAATGCCTCATCCTCTTCGTCGTCAGCTGGATGACCCTCGCCGTGACTTGCTCCAGTACTTCTCTGTTACCCGCAACACCAGAGATCGCAACCGAGTTCTCAACCACGTCGGAGATTCTTAATGTCACTAATGCGGGCGTGTTGATTGCCATGGGTTTTTCGTCGTGTATTTGGGGTCCTCTCACCAACCTCTTTGGGCGGAGGAATGCTTATAATGCTGCTATTCTTGTGCTTTGTGCTTGCTCCGCTGGCACGGCTGTGTCGATTAATTTGCATATGTTTATTGCGATGCGCATTTTGAGTGGGCTTACCGGGACATTTTTTATGGTTGCTGGACAAACTATTATTGCAGATATCTTTGAGCCGGTTTGTTTCTTGGTCTGGGGTTTGGGGTGTATTGTTGCTGACGATCTATATAGACTGTGCGCGGAACTGCTGTTGGTTGTTTTATGGTTGGGTCTGTTAGTGGTCCTGCTATTGGTATGTTCGATTTATATAGATGGTGAGAGTTTGCAGGCGCTAAATGTCGTTGAATAGGACCCTGCGTCGGTGGAATTATTGTCACGTTTGCGCAGTGGCGTATTATCTATTGGCTGCAATTTGGCATGACATTACTTGGACTCATCCTCTCTCTGCTCTTTGTGCCAAGTATCCAAGAAAAGAAGCAAATCAGAGATCTCGACAAGCGTCGCGGACTCTGTGAAGTGCTCGGCATGTTCAATCCCCTGCGCATCTTTCGTCATTTCATCTATCCCAATGTCTTACTCGCAGTGAGCATATTCCATCTACTCTACCAACCCCAGCTACTAACAAATAACGTTACCAGTGCTTCACTTGTGGTCTTCTGGCTACATTCCAATATGCCATTCTCACCTCAGCGCGCTCAATCTTCAACCCACGCTTCAACCTTACATCTCCGCTCGTCAGTGGTCTCTTCTATCTTTCACCAGGTATAGGCTTTTTGCTCGGCAGTGTTATTGGAGGCAAGCTATCCGACCGCGCCGTTAAAAAATGGATCATTAAACGCAACGGTGTGCGTTTGCCCCAGGACCGACTCAACAGTGGCCTTGCAACGCTATTTTGTGTTCTCCCAGCTGCCACTTTGATCTATTGTTGGACTCTGGAAGAAGAGGTGGGCGGGATGGTTGTGCCCATTATCGCTGCTTTCTTCGCGGGCATGGGACTTTTGGGTGCTTTCAATGGTTTAAACACATACTCGGCTGGTGAGGCAATTATTCATGCGTTTAGCTGTCAGTCCTCGAACTATTTACTAACAAACTTACAGAGATGATCCCGCAACACCGCTCAGAGGTTATCAGCTGCAAGTACATCGTGCAGTATATCTTTGCGGCCGGTGCGACGGCAGCAGTTGAGCCATTAATTGGTGTTATTGGTGTTGGATGGACATTTACGATCTGTAAGTCTCTAGTGAGGATCACATCTAACGTTATACCCCATTTATCTTACTATCCTAGGTGTTTTCTTCGCCATAATCAGTGGATTCTTGGTCCTCATCATCACAAAATGGGGCATCGATATGCAGCGATGGTCTGAGAGGAAATTCAACCTCGACACAAAAGCTTAACGACACGCATTTTTGACTTGCATTTGCAGCTTTGCATGGATCGACATAGCGTTGATTGATAGATTGCGATAGATATGACTTTTGATTCGGATACAATAGACAATACAGGATATATTACTGACTGTGATTTCCAGAACTAATAATACTTAGATAAAACGACTCTATGTAACAAATCTTCAGATCAATATCCTGCCCCGACCTCGGGATAGGCCCATTAGTCAGGCTCGGCAAAGACCGTCAACCTCCGAACCCTCGGTAGAGATCCCCAGACTTCTGATTGCATTCGTTTCCTTCCTTCACGGGCACACAGCTTACAAAAATGGCTCGGAAAAGACGTCTTCCTTCATCTGAGCAGGAAGAAGAAGATCGAGGATCACAAAAAAGAAAATTTGTTGCGTGCGTATCATATCATGCATTCCTCCACGCTGAAGTCACATAGCATTGACATTCCCCACAGTTGTCAAAGATGCCACACACATAAGATCAAATGCTCCGGAGATCAACCGTGCAGGAAATGCTGCGCTGTAGGGTGTGCGGATGAATGCGCATATTTGTCTCGAGATCGTCAAGTGAAAGTCAGCGAGAAGTACGCGGAGCAGGCCACCCTTGTATCAAAGTTTGCATATCAAGCTTGGATCAGCGGCTAACACGACCGCTATAACTAGCTATCTCGACCAGATCCTGGCAGAGAATCAGCGACTCAGAGAACAATCAGTTATTTCGGCGCAAGTGACCGAGGCAAATGACCCTACGCGTCCAGAGAGGTAAATCCTTGGCTCAGACCATGTCCAGAAACAGACTAACCGTAATGATAGAGGTCCCTCAAGGCAAACAGATGCCCCAGATGGAACGGGTATCCAGAACCCACTTATTGGAGATCGGGCCTGGTTCCACCGATACGATCCCTCCTCGCCGCCCATCTATATCGGCGAGGCAGCATGTTCAGCATTCGCAACTCGGTTCCGAAGGTTCTTGATGGGCAACAGTGCTATGCCGCATATCCCCAGAACACAGTATGAGCCTGAAGAGATCATTGCTGCAGCCAATGAAGCCGATATTCAATGGCCGAGTCTTCATCATGCGCGGTTGCTGGTTCGGATCGCAATTCATCAGATTGGGCATTTGTATCACCTTATGATGCGCAAGTCGACGTTGGATAAACTGGAGGAGATATATCAGAAGAAAGAGTTTGATTGCACTGCTAATAAGTGCAAGTTCTTTGCACTTTTCGCCTTTGGGCAGGCATATTCCATTCGATCTGAGCCGAATTCCGGGTCGAGAGTACCTGGCACGTCGTACTTTGCTCGATCCATGGGATTGGTTCAGATTTTGCCGGAGAGAACAAGTATCACACACCTGGAAACGTTGCTTTTGCTGGTAGGTTGTTCAACATATACGTCTAATGGCACTATCAACTGACAAGATTTCAAGGGGCTCTTTTCATACTATCTCAACCGGCGACACTCTGCATATATCCTAATAGGAAATGCCATGCGAATGGGCCTAACCATCGGACTCAACCACAACATCCCAGAATCCCAGCTTATAGACCCAGTCGAACGCCAACACCGCATCAGAATCTGGTGGACCATCTACATGTTCGACCGAATGTGGGGATCAAAAATGGGCCTCCCAATGCAGATCCTAGACGAAGACATCCATGTCGACATGCCATCAACAATATCTCCACGCTGGCGCCACGAAGAAGAACTCTCCGACACAGACTACATGACAGCGAACATCAAGCTCGCCCGAATAGTCGGCGAAACCATAACAAAGCTCTACAGCCGGCGCAAATACCAAGAAACATTCCTACAGCGTGTGCAGAAACTCCTCAAAGCTCTAAAGAACTGGGTCGAAACCCTCCCGGAATCTCTCAAGCTCAACATGGAAGACCTAGAATCAAGCAAGAAACCCATCGTCTCACTGCATATGGCGTTTAACCAATGCATCATCCTAACGACGCGTCCAACTCTGCTTCACCTCCTAATGACATTACGACAACATCAATCTGTTGTCAACCCGTCATCGTCATCCAGGCCTGTAGCCCATACCAACGTTCATGGACCTTCACATGCACATACAAACAACGATGCCGAGACCGAGACCGAACCACTTCTCTCTTCTGCAGCCGCAGAAGCAACAGCTACATCTGCACCAGCACCGATATCAGTATCCCAACCAGTCCTAACCCTAAGCGAAGCCTGTATCCACGCAGCCCGCCATTCCCACTCGATGATCCTGACCCGCTGGATAAACGGCACAATGCCAACATTCGGCTACTTCCACGCTCACTATCTCTTCTCCTCAGCGCTGATCTTAGCAATGTCCAGCTTCGTCCCAACCGGGACACCTGCAGATATGACCGGGTTCGATTCTGCCTTGGATTTATTAAGGTCAATGACTGAGAATGGGAATTTGGCCGCTGCAGAATTTTATCATAATCTCGAGCAGGTCAAGGTTTGCTTGGATTCTTTTCGGGGTGTTGGTGTCGGTGTTGGTGCTGATGCAGGGGGGATGATTCCGCACCCTCGTCGGAGTCAGGGTAATCATACTCAATCGGATATGGCGGCTGCAGGTAGTGGTCATGGCGGTGCGACTCTGCGACATGCGTCAGACCCTGCATCGGGACTATTTGGGCCTGTATCCGCCCCTGCATCTCATTCTCGATCTGGCCCAATACCATCGGTGATACAATCGGTATCAGCCACTACATCCGATCTGGACACTCTGCCCACATCGGCCCCGACACCGCTTGGTACATCATCATCTGTAGGTCCGATCCTACCAGCGCCGAATGAGTTACTAGGTCCATATGGACAAACAGTTCACAGCCAAGCGACTGATCCTTATAGTTTCCCTGCAAGGGATACTGTCAGCGGGTATACGACGGAGATGGCGTTCCTAGAACCGACTATGCAGGATTTCTTGGCGCAGTCTGATATCGATCTTGGGCTGTTGCATCCTGTTGATGCTTTCTTTAATGAGGCGGAGAATCTTTATACGTGTCATGAGTTATGACGGGGTTGATTTGGTGATATAATATCTTACGATGTACAGCCTTTGTACCATTAGCGTTAATCTCCGCAATCCTCATTAAACTTATATAGATTAAAATTTGCAGACGCTTTAATTGCGGAATCGCTGCAGTTCAATACTTTTTCGTCATTCCCGGACGCTTTGATCCGGGCTAGATGTCATAAGAGTCGACACTCATACTATCTTCGAGCATGTAATGAAGCTTCATCCCTGGCCCTAGCACTCAGTCTTGTATCCCGCGCCGGAGATAACGCCTCTAACGCAAACCAAAGAAAAGAACAATGCACCCCAAAATGATACCCACATTCGCGAAATGAGGACATAATCAGAAATGAGAACTCCACATGCAAATCTATCATGACCGCACGTACACAGCAGTGGGCGCAAGGAGTTCAGAATCAAAGCCAAACTTCGACCCATGCCGCGAGAGGATATCCATACAGACCAACCAGGCACGTTGCGAGGAAGGATCTTTGGCAGACATCTCATTTAGCCAATAGGTCGCTTTCTGAACGCGTTGGATGAGGCTCGCGGCCTTGTGTGTACCCAGGTGAGTGCGGGTGAACAGCTCCACAAAAAGGACGGTTGTCGACTGCATGATATTGTGAAGAATGCACCACCATGGAGCGATACCATACAGCCAAGAGCTGTCTGCCTCGTCAGGGAGGAGGTCGAGCATTTGACACGCGGACTGGACGCAGATCGTCGCCATGTTGTCGCATATTGTTCCTGGGGTTCCTTCTGCTGCAGTCTGGTAGAGACGGAGAGAAGGTTGTGTGATGATCAATTTAGTGGCATAGAATCGGAGGGCGAGACTGGAACGTTGCTGTGCGAATCTCTGGGTTGCACTTGCATTTGGAATTGCGAAATGGAATTCGGCTGGTAGATGAGAAAGCCAGTCGTCAGCATGGTCATTGAATGTAGCAATTGTGCTTTCGATCTCGCGACATGACATCCGTGTTGCTCTAGGGGCATACAGCATGTTAATCGCCTCTCGTAGGAGATGGGCTAGATCCACTGCATATAAGAAGTAAAGTGAAGTATTCGGTGCTAGACCAGTGTGGTGTATCTGACTTTCCACCATGGCTTGGGGTGTTCGGGTCTCCCACTTTGGTTGACTGGGTCCCGCTTGGATCGAATTCTTGCGACCCGCACCACCTTGTGGTGGAGTCGAGGTGCTATCGGAAAGCAAGGAAGTGAAGAATGCACCGCGAGTCTCTTGGCTGGTGATAAGCTGCACGACCCGATCATCCCAGAAATCCTCTTCTCCGAATGGTACTGGGAGAGGTGTCGTGCAAAATATTTCTTCCATACTCAGAGGACGACCTGTCATCTCGCACAGAACTGTATCAAGCATGAAAAGCGCCCACCATAGTCGGTAACGGAATTCTTTTGAGAAGTGTGGAACGCTCTCGCTCTCGCTCCGGAGATTCAGACCCATTGTCACCGCTGATCGAATCGCGATCCCAATAATTCTCCAAGACCTAAAAATGATGTTACACATTAGAACATTGAGTACACGCACAGAAAACCCAAGAAACCAACCTATTGATTTGACCAATAGACAGAAGATAGAAAGCAGCCAATCCCTCAACCTGCACTTGCTGCAGGTCAGGGTGATCCAACAGTGCGACCTTGCCGATGCTCAGATTCCACGCTCGTGCAAAAAACGTCTGATGGTCATCCTGATCCGGCCGGAGCTGATCTGTGAGGTGTGAATGTCTCGTCGCAATAGCAAACACCAAGTTCAGCAATGCCAGCCATCTTTTGCCAGGTCGCGAATTCGGGTTCGAATAGAAGGATCGGTAATGATTCAGGAAAGTGGCCTTGCCAAAGATCGGAAATGCAGGATGCACAGCGTGAAAGTAAGCGTCAACGAGGTTGTCGGCAAGGTGTTGGGGAGGCCAGCGTGTAAGGTCGACAGGATCGGGCACGGAAATATCTGAATCGTCTTGGAAGTAGTTCACGGAGGATATCGCAGGGCGTTCAGGGGTCTCCTTGATTGGTGATGAGCTATCTTGATCGAGGTCGCGTTTGAGTCTGTACAACCATGCCATCTCCGAGTGTTCACCAACGAACCCCATAGCCTGTATCTTGTCATCACGATTATAGTCTTCCTCTGTATAGTCTGCAGAACCAAGCGGGAAGACCGGGGCGGCATCTGTAGAGGGCAATGAAGGGTTCACCTGCTGAGTATGGCTTGGCGGAAGGGTGGGCGAGTTAGGAGCAACAGGAATGGATTGGGGGAGCGGAGTCCGAGAGCTCATTTCCGTCAGTGTCTGATCCACCAACTGAGATGACGAAACATCTAGCCTGGGATAGATGTCACGGAGCAGTGATTCAAGCGAGTTGACCTGCGATGTCAGATCATTCAACTGCCTATTCCTATTAGAAGCGTCCTAAGATGTGGTCAATGTGTTACCCACTTCGCCATCTTCTCCTTCTTCCGATCGCCATAAGAACACCCAACGCCCGCATCTCGACATCGATGGCAGACTGGACGATGTCCACTGCATTTGGCCTTTTGGTCACGACAGTTTTCACAAGCTCGGCTGACACGACCACTGGCCGTCCAGTTGGTGCGCTGGGCATTTCGCGGGATGGCAACTTTGGCATTTACTCGATCGCCTGGGGGAGTGAACGAATCTTCCGGGACAGCCGCCTCGAACGAAGGCAGAGCATAATTAGGCACGACCCAGTCTGTATTGAACAATGCCGACTCGTCCACCAGTTCGGGATATTCGGAATAGGATGGGGCGCCGAAGTTGGCACTCATTATGAGGGTAGATATAAGGAAGGGGAAATTCAGTTGGGCGCTAAGAGAAATTCGAGCGGGGGGTTTGCCCCTTGTACTGTGAAAAATACAGTATGGCCATTATGGCCTCACATTTACACTCGAATCATCTCAGATTGTTTGGCCGCAGTGCTTCTCTGTGGTGTGGTGGATGTGTTTCCCGTCCATATTTGCCACATCCGCATCAAAACGTTCCCAACCCGCAATTGTAAGTATTTGCAGGACGTGAAGATATTCACGGAAGACAACGAACATCAGTTCGATTGTTACTGAATTTCTGATCAGTTTCCTTGGGGTTTTTGGACACTACTCCATACTGGAATGAATGGAATGTGAGCTGCACGTTGTCTGTAGTTGACGCCTATGGCGTCCCGGGGACATCTTATAGCTTACTTTGGAGGATCGACTGGGTCAAAAACGATCTGGTAGGAGTGGATTATCCATTCAATAGCCTACCTGCAAGCTGGCAAATGTAGGAAACCTGTGGTTCTCGTATTGATTATAAAATCGCCGTCACGTTGCACGTTCCAGGTCGCCTTAGCCCTCTTTCAGGCTGTGTTCTGGAATTCCAATCATGACATCGTGTCTTTCATATTCAGGTTTCACTTGTCCAAACTCTTTTTGACCGCGTGAAAGTCTGGCAAGAAACACGATGAATCATTCCCATCGAATTCACTGGCTTGGATGGTCACTCTCGGACTGCAAACAGGTAAGATTAATGCTTAGGTCTCCTCTCCCTTGAAGGGTCTTGAAAGTCGTTGCTGTGCTTTCAGCTCCACGGAAATGCTAATCTCTGAAGTGAGCAGAACACGACTGGGTCAAATGCCCAATACTCTTCGCCACCGTCGTCTTCCGCGCGATGCGTTGATACTCAACCACCCTCCTGATGCCAAATCCACACAGAACCTTCCCCATGCCTTTCCATCATTTGGGAATTGATTTCAACATGAATTTGGTTTCTCACAATGCCGGACAGCGGCCAAATGATTCGAAGATGGCTCTGTTGCTGAGTATCTTGCTTCAACATTACAGCTGGTTTTCCCTTGCTGAAGAGGCTAGTAAGTGATTTTTTCTGAGCTTGCAGTCTGGCCCAGTCACAGATGTTTCGACAGTCGAGAATATCTTGCAGTCGCGCTGATTTAGGATATATTGATGGTTTTCGACTGCTAGATGACCATACTGGAGTTGAAACTGCAGAATCGTGAGGGAATCGTGAGGGAATCGTGAGGGTCGTCAGAAGACCCGCAACGCGGATTTGACACAAAGTCGTGATAGTAAGTGAGTTTCTTTCTGATGCAGAGACTTCGACGAGACTGATCAATCTCGACAACAGGGCATCATTTTTGATGCGGCTGGTCATCTTCACGAGATCATGAGCTGCCACTCCCACACGTACACCCACCCACCTTCGACACGGACGCAACACGACATAGATGGGACACAAGAATCTGTAATGGACTATATGCCATTGAGATGGTTCAAATTGAAATGTGTCAAGAGCAACACTTCATACTGTCAACTGACACGTGCGGAACGCCTCTGTCCCGGCATCATCATCAACCATATCATCAGATGCGGCTAGTTCTTTGCAGAAAGCCAGCCAGTATCCGTCCAAGAATTTGGATTCGTTGGAAGTCCTCGAATCCAGGGTGTGAAAAAGGTTCGATGTGGTTTTGTTTGTGTCGACACAATGAAACTGGGCATCATGCGACGAGAACTGCAATCAATGCCCTGGACATTGTATACAATCAAGCCATTGGAGAAGCCCAGCCTTGAGATACCAAGGGACATATTGCGCCGTTGATGATGTATCGAGATCCAGTGGCGAAATGTGGCGCGTGTTTTGAAACCTGGTCCCTGTTATGTCTGGACAGTTCAAGACACACGAATCTTATCCAGGCCCAGGCTTTGCTCAACATCAGGGGTCCAGGGTTCAGCGATACATCAGGGGTGGCGTTGCTCGACTTGCCCGGTGACCTGCAAGATGTTGAGAACAAAGTCCACAATATCGCAACAGGCTCCATGGATAAGAAGCACTTCATCAAAGGATTCAGTAGTTGTTTCGTGGTGGAAGTGAAAGTCCATAGATCGGTGCCGAATCGTGAAGGGTGCTGGTGCTATTTGAGTCAGTGCAAGTTGAGATGAGTGGCCTAGAATCATGGCGTATATGGCAAGACCTAATATTGTCCTACCACGGGGGGCCATAACAGTCAGATTTAAAGATCCCAGGTCTGTTCGTTGGGAAGATGAAGGACTATGCAATTTTGATAAAAAAGCTTGACGCGCCACCTGGTTGCATTGCATCTCAAGGGTTGGCACTGCAGCGCGATGAGTACAATCAGCATCGACAACAAAGCCGAAGAAGTGAAGGAAGGAGATTTTACCTGAATAATATACCTTACTTTCATCTCGTGGTTGGCAGTTTCCACCATTCATGATATGCTTGGGATCTCCAGGGTGACACACGACGCGCTGGTCTATCAGTTGGTGTGACAATTCAGAGGCCTGGGGCTTCACCCATCTGTTTCGATCTTCAATTATCCTCATTAGTCAGCTCTGGTTTATCGAGCTGGTGGTTGTTTTCGATGATAGCAGGCCAGTGCGGCGTGGAATCCTAATGATTAGCCACTGTTGGTTAGCAAAGGAAAGAGACGGGGCCTCCAAAGGACTGCGACCGGCTTCTGTTGCCTTTTCGGGGTGTTCAATGTGCCAGAATCATCATCAGGACATTATTGTGGTAGCAAAAGCGATGCACAACCCAGCAGGAAAAGAGAGAATGCAAAGAAGGGTTGACGGGACAAAGGCGAGAGCGGGTGTACTACCGGAGATCGATTCCGTTGGTGTCTGGGCCAATAAGACATGATGTTCGCCCCATTCTGGCTGCTGAGAAGTTCCCTTTCCGCTTTCAAAAACACCCATACGGTTATGCAAATAGTCTTGGAGATCCAAGGGATTTTCGAAGAGATTTCGGATTGGAACGAACAGGGGGGTTTTGGCGAGCCAGCACACTCAGCCTTACTGGGGTCTCAACAGGGGTGGTATTCCACCCGCGCAGGTCTCTCGGTCTTCAGAACTTTCCAAGGCCTTAACAAGTTTGGCCAGATCAATTCTAATTTTGACTTATTCGCCTGACATGAGATTCTGAAAGGACTAACTGGCTAAGGCTTTGAGGCTCCTCTCAATCCCTTTGATAACCTCCACGGACGTTCAGAGCCAATTGTATTGGACAGAGAACTCGCCTCTTCGCATTTGTTAAATTGGTATTTCGCCCCCAATCATTTGGATTGGAGAGATTTGGCCACAGACCTGACAGGTTAAGCTTGGTCTGAACGGCCATAAAAATAGAAGGTTTCGACGCTAATTCGCTGAAGTGCTGCGAATCATGTCTATTAGTTATGTCCGGTAATGCCTCTAATATCAGGCCCTTATTGCAATGATCGCCACTCTTCCTCCCCTGTCTCAGTTTCTCCAATTGTTCGGGTCGACCACCCATTAAATTGACAATGATGCTTCCATGACACGGCTGGACTGGACACCTGAGGCCGAATTCAGCAAAGTGGTTTTTTTTTCAAAATCAATTGTTTAGTGAGGCAATGGCCCGAAGGATCAAGTTTTGAACAGACCGGACGCTGAAGGTGGTCTTGTTGACGCATTGGCGCGAACTATGGGCTACCCTGGTGTTCAATGTGAGTCTATCGATAAACCCCAAACTACTGGCATGCACGCAGGAAGGCGGTTCTACCAATTTCCAGCTTCATTGGCCAATATGAAGACTGAATGATTCCCTACCCAGTCTTCCATCCGCCCTCAGTAGGTAGGGAGATAAATAGTAAGTGATCACTTCATTTCTGTAAAGCTCTATTATCGCTATTCCTAGTCTTATATATTGAAAAACAATGACACAATATCAATCTATGTTTGTGTCTGTGAACCCAGAACTGTAAGTATACGTCGTCGTCGGTGCATGTCATGCCTCAGGCAACGTGATCATGTGACTTTATCTCCGCAGGCCTCTGGATAACCGCCCCATGAGATCGACATCATAGAAGCATTCGAAATCTCTGAACCCAAAGCCAATGATATGCAAGCATAGATAATATGTCCTTGCGCGGCCCCATGCGGCGGTCGCATCTGCGGCAAGTGAGCGCGGCGAGCTTGGAGAGCAGCTCCACCCACTCACTGGAGGCCTCACATCATCGCGACGACAATGATACGACCACAGATGAGCGAACCGTCAAGCTGTCTCCAACCAATTTGACTCGGCACCAATTTGCACTCTGGGTGCATGATGAAATGTTCTCGCGTGAAGAGGTTTTGTTGAACCCTTCGGCTTTCGGCGAATCCGGAGTCCAAGTTGGGGATGTTGTCGAGATCTTGCCCGTCCGGGCATTTGGCGACATGGGCAGTTACGCTCTGAAATCCGAGGCGGCGCCAAAATCTATACGTGAGCACGCTGAACTGAACTCGTCATCTCAGGCGGACAGCACCTCGAAATTCAAGACTCCCTTGCAGAGCCGGTGTCTCTTTGTGGTGAAAGCGCTCCCACCGGAAATCAAGGCTCGTCATCCGCAACTGGAGATTTCCGTGACCAACAACGTTGCCAATATTTTTGGCTTCAAGAACAGGACTCAAGTTCTCCTTTCGATTGTAGACCGCGAACAATGCGCGGCGTCTCATGTCGATATCGCGTTTCGCGACCAATACATGGTCCGCTCAGACATGTGGAGGCTCGTTATGTCAGAACTGGCAGATAAGATCGTCTATAAGGGACAGAAAATTATGTTCATGGGAAGCATCAAAGCCACTGTCAAGAACATCTTCATCCGAGAGAAGAAATGCCTCTCAGGATACTTTGCTCCAAGTACTATCCCTGTTTTCCGAAGCGAGTCTGCCAAATATGTTCTATTTATCCAAATGTCACGGGAAATGTGGGATTTCGATTCCGAAGGCACCGGTGACATCTTGTTTAGTCGAGTTATCAACGGCTTTTTGCCTGAGCTCTTCAAGAGATGGGCTAACTCTGACGCAAAGCATCTGGTGACTATTGTCTTATTCACTCGAGTCGAATACGATGCGCCCATTCAGCCAAGCCATGCTAAACCCAGCGCTGGGAATTTCAGTACTAAATCTGGGCCGAACAAGAATCCGACTCGTGACTTCTATCGCGTGGTTGTCAATGATATGGCAAGTGGACACTGGACAACCATTCTTGACGAGCTCAAAAAAGAATTTAGAACCTTCTTGCGAGATGTCTCAATCCTGAAATCAGATGACATTGAGGCTGCATCTGGAAGTGGGCTCAAGATACCTTCCAAACCAAACATGGCAACCATTGCTGGACGCCCCACTACGGCCTTGCGAGGGAATATTCTAGAGGCCATCCATCTTGCCTCTGCTCATTTGGCTTTCGACCACATCGATCGGGACATGGTACACACAGGTACTTCAATCATTGTCATTACACCCGGTAGTGGCGTTTTCGAGGTTTCTTACGAGTCATTGGCTTCTACAACGGAGGCACTTGCAAATCGTGGCATAGCCATTGACTTGGTTTGCCTGAGTCCGATGCCTCTTCACTCTGTGCCATTGTTTAAATACAAGGAGCCGGTGGAGCAGCCATCAGGCGTTACAGGAGATTCTAGTTCCAGTGACATTCGAAGAAATGCCCCTTCACCTGAGATACACCATTCCTTATCAAGTGTTGTCAGCAGATCATCCTACCTCTCTCCGAGCTCATATTTGTCTGCAACGAGAATGAGGGAACGTGCAGCTCCTCAGGCTAAAGAGTGGAGCTATGGTATTCCACATTGGCTTGATATTTCTTACTGGAATCCTGAAACCTACCGAGAGGCTCGAAGAATCCTAAAGAAAGATCCCAACGCCCCGATCTCTTCAACTGTCACTCGCCCATCCAAGGCATTTACACCACGAGTACGCATGTATGAAATTCAAATGATGGGGGTCATGGAAAGTGAACAGTCAAATATCTCGATTCCGTATCTTGCCGAAGGACGTGGTGGTGGAGTGAGGCCTCGTGTTCCCTGGCCTGGATACGGCCAATTATTAAGCCATCCTCCCCCTAAAACTCGCTTTGCCAATTCTTTGTCCTTGAAAGCGCCACATAGTGACAGTCTACGGCCAGGGTCGTTCATCCAAAATGCTTCTCAACACTCAGCAGACTCGCAAACCCAAGAACTTCCCAACTCACGAAAGTCCGTGATGGCTTGGATGGACCAATACGATGAAAATCTCTTTACTGTCTCCTCGAAAAAGCGTCAAATCCACAGAACCACCAGACAAAAGCGGCCTAGTGAAACAGAAGTTCAGGCAGCCGCTGCTGGAGTGCATGAACGGCTTTCCGCCCGCTCAATTATGCGACTCCGTGATCATGAAACAAACCCAGCAGAGGATGATGAGTCTTCGCTGCCGGGACCTCGAAGGATTGACTCCATGACAACGATGAAACCCAAAGGTCCGGGCTCGATCAAGAGTATGTCTCCCAAGAAGCCAGCATTGAAGAAGACGCCTACACCAAAGGCTTCACGAATTTCCAAGACTATCAGTTTCGCACTTCGGGGTTTGAGTGCCACCCCTCCAAGAGCTCAAGCAAGCACGGGAATCAATGTGGAGCATGCGAGTGCTCTGCCAGCTGTAGTATCCAGAACTCCAGCTGGGTCAATCTCTGATTCAAGAAGTATAGCTTCTTTGAGTCCATCAGAAACAACGTCCACTCAAACTGCCATTGACGTGCCTTCAAGACCTCCCTCGCCTGGGAAGCCTTCACAGCCTCACTCCAAGCCAATTTCCATCAAGATACCCCCGAAAAATTCGCCGAAGGAAATCGAGCAAGCAGAGCGTGCAGGGACACATGGATCATTGTCAACGTCTGTAGCAGAGATATCAGCTCATGACGTTGGTCGTGATCAAAATGAAGGCTCCTACCGGGATCACAAAATTGAGTTCAAACTCAACCACAGTCCACGCGAGCCATCTGCGCCTGCGCGCAACTCACCAAGCAAGGCTTTGTCCCCTTGGGTTCGCTCGGTCAACCCTTGTAACACTCCTAAGGATGTGCTAAGAGATACTAGCTGGTTTGGCCGTTGGCAACATGCTTATCCTCGGCCACCGCACGTGGCTGTCGTCAAGTGGAAAAGTTTGAAATCGCCCGCAGTCCTTCCATTGACGACCGAGGAACTACCAACCGCGAGTGTGCTTGCTTCGGAGTATCTGCAAACTCCATATCGTGTCTTTCCGAATGAGGACTCTGAAGGTATAGAGGCACCAAAGACCCGAGGTATTCTCATACGGGAAATGATCTCACTGCGACTCTCTCATGGCTTCCAGATCGTTGTTGGAAAGAATGTGGCCGAAGTATCAGGACAGCCGGCGCTTGAATCATTGAATGTCTTCGATTCTCGAGGACTAGAACGAGACGGCTTGACCGTGTTCCTATCCAAGGGTAACACTATTCACCGACTTGTCTGCGTTCAAGGAGGAGAGGTTGAAGTGACACGATTCACGCATCAAAACTCTGCTATGCTCATATGCCCTAAGAAGGCCACCTTTACCCTCTATCAGCCGGCCATGAAGACGATTCTAAGCCCGGAATACGAAATCAAAGACATCAAGCTGGATCCAACTGCCGAGGAATACAATTGGAACTATGCCGACAACTACGTGGCTGGTCACCGCGACTACCTCCAGAACCCAGCACAGCAACTGCATTTCTGGCGAGTCCGTTATGTGCTCATTCCGCTCCAACTCTATCCCAGTTCGCGGCGCCATCTACAGTCGTTCAATGAGGACAACGAAGAAGAAATTCATTTGCTTGGTATCAGCCAGCTGACCCATATCTGGCAACGGTACAAGTATGTGTCGCCGGAAGAAAAGCTGTTCGAGACTTCGAATCCCAAGACGGATCAAAACCCCCTCAACATCATGTACCAAACTCGCAATCCATCGGAAATTGTCACTGCAGAGCTTGATCGATTGCTTCTGACAGATCCAGGTCTTGACAACGCCCCTGCTCAGCTCCTACCTGAGTCAGAATTGCTGGAGAGGTCAAGCATCAGTCTTTCATCGTTGGCTCAAATTATTCAAGGCGAGAAGGGTGTACGAATGATGGATCGACGCTGGCATTGGAGACTGCACTACAACTGTTTCATTGGCTTTGAGTTCACCACATGGCTTTTGCAAAACTTGCGCGATATCGATACCCGCGAAGAAGCAGTGGTTTTCGGAAATGAATTGATGAAACATGGTCTGTTCCAGCATGTGGAGAAGAGACATAATTTCCGAGATGGTAATTATTTTTACCAAGTCTGTGCCGATTACCGCGTCACTCGTCCAGAGTCGCGAGGAAGTTGGTTCCCTCAACTCAGAGCAGCAGACAAATCAATGCCATCTACGCCAGCCATTGGAACTGCAAAGGAGTCTCCTGCCAGTCTCCATGCGCGATCAGACAGCATTGACGAACGCATACCGCAAACTCCCAGTACTCCTTCCAAGGCCAAGAACAAGGTCGCCATCATGTTGTCCAAATCTATGAAATATGATGTCGATCCGCGCAAACGGTCCAATCGGCCTGAAGTCATCGACCTCCACTATGACCGATTGCACAACCCGGAGAACTGCTTCCATATCGAGCTCAGCTGGATGAGCGCAACTCCTAAGCTGATCGAAGACACGGTACTCTCATGGGCCTCAACCGCCGAGAAATTCGGCCTCAAGCTAGTCCAAGTACCTATAGCCGAAGGCTGCGCCATCGACAAAACGCAACCATTCCGCAAACCCTACGAGATAAAGCTGAAGCTTCCACCACCAAAGGCACCCCTCCACACAGTATTCAACAGCGCCTCATTCGCGCAGCCAGGGCCCCCGGACCCTAATTACTACCAGAAGGCAATCCTCCGCAAATTCGACTTCGTCTTAGATTTTGAAGCCTGCTCCGCATTCCCAGCAGACGTGGAAGTCTCCTACTCATGGGGAAAACCAGACTACCTGTATCCGCAGTTCATCCACCGGACAGGTAGCCTCCTAGCCCAGATCACCAACGAAGGCGACTTCCTCCTACTAGCCAACCGACTCGTAAGCACGCGCGGAACAGCAGGCCGGGACGCAAACCGCTTCGACCACAGTCGCTCCGACTTCCGAGGCCGCGCAACAACAACCCACGATAACCTCGACCGGGTTTCGCCTCGCCTGTCCCCGGTTACACGGCCTGTCCACGACATCGGCAGTCCGATGATCGGATCCAATGCCTCCAGTATCGACTCTGCAAACCTTTACCGCGCCCCGGAGCATATCCTTAACGGTCTAGATGAGTTTTGTAAGGATGAAGCACAGTTGAAGCAATTCTATTCGGAGTCGCATGTTCGTCCTGCTTCCACCAAGGTGGAGCCTGCCACTACGAATCTGATGGATGCGTCTATCCCGTCACTGGAGCTTCCGGCTAGTGTGGTCAGTCATCACATCTCGCCGCCGCCGGGATTGCCGTCTCGTGTGACGCATGATTCGCGTGAGGGACTGAAGTCGCCGGAGTTTACGCGGGCTAGGGCTCGTGCTGAGAGTCTGAGCTACATGGGCAGTCCTAGAAGTGGGAGCCTGCGACCTTTGATGTAATGAAAGATACCCAATTTGTTCTGATAGGTTTGTTCACAATTGAAATGCAAGTCTAGTCATGAGATAGTCATATCCCTTACAATCTCAACGTCTAGTATAGATAGCTTGTAGACTAATCCCCACCCATGTCCGATCTCAACAGGAAAAATCAAAAGACAAACGCCATACCCAATCCCATCCCGGTCCAATACACCCCCACCGCTAACACCAAAGCCACAACACCCTTTAGCCTGATCTCTCTATTTCAGCCGATATCCCAACCAGCACTGCTGGTTGGTGGATATACTCAGCCAAAAATAAATCCCAAATTCCGAACCACTGCCCCGCCTTACAAGTTGTTTGGTACTCCAAGTTTCAGCGCGAAATAGCGGAGCTTCCCAGGTGCATGCTGGGGGTTTTGATTTGGAATCAGGCCACGGACGAACGTCCGTGTCTAATGAGGCATTTCGAGCTATGGCAGACGATTCCTTGTGAAACAAATATAGCTCTAATTGTTTCCCCTCTCGTTCCTTTCTATTTTATTTTTTTGTTCTTATTGTTAGCTTTGGAGCTGAGAGATCGGGCTTCTAGTACCTACTAGCCATCCGGAGTCCGTGAACATTTCATTTCGTTTCAATACTTGCCCTTTCAATTGGGATTATCACAGCATCGTTTTGTCAAGATGAAGTTCACTGCGGGGATGTGGTGTTTGCAGGTAAATTGGTTGCGTTTGATCGTGATGCTTGCTATGGGATATTGGCTAATGCCGGGGAACTGTAGGAGGGAGTTGCTATTGAGTGGATGAGCAACGTAGAGAGATTTTCTGTCGAGGCCGAGTCAGTCAATCTGCTCTTGAACAAGTTTCAGAGACATCGAGGAGATACTCTCAATTCGCGTATGGATCTAATTTCCTTGCCCCAGGGAGGTCAACTAATAAAGATCTATAGCGACTGTCTCCGCCCAAGTCACCTCCCCATCAGAGGGCATCATCGGCGTGAAGCTTGTCCACTGGTAAGATACGAATAATCGTCCATCTCGAAGAAAATATGTTTATTCCATGCACTTAGGGCTGGCCAAAACGATACCGGCCCACACTACCACCTAAATACAAGCAAAGACCACATCGCAATCCAACACAACAAAGAAGACAACAAACTAAACTACAAAAGCGGACCCCTACATCTAGACATCAACACCGCCGCCAACGAACTAGACCTAATCTTCCGCTCACCAACCGGCAAGAAACTAACCGGTCAATCCTTCCGTTCAATAGGCTACGTCCGCGACCAACGAAGCGAGAAACATCGCTACGAAGACGGCATCTACGCCGAAAAGCAGGGATACATGCTTGCAGGGCTGGACTTGGGCGTTGGCGAGAAGGTCTACGGCCTCGGCGAGCGATTCGGTCCTCTTGCCAAGAACGGGCAGGTGGTTGATATGTGGAATGAAGACGGCGGTACCTCTTCTGAGCTTGCGTACAAGAACATTCCGTTCTATATCAGTTCACGGGGCTATGGTGTTTTTGTGAATCATCCTGGCAAGGTCAGTTTGGAGATTCAGTCTGAGCGTACTACCAGGGTGAATATCTCTGTTGCTGGGGAGGAGATTGAGTATTTTGTTGTTTATGGGGCTACACCGAAGGAGATTCTTAATCGCTATACTTCTTTGACTGGACGGCCGAGTCTTGTTCCGTCTTGGAGTTACAATCTTTGGTTAACTACCAGTGAGTTGTGGTTCCGCTTTGCTTGTAGGATTTGTTGAGAAGAATATGCTGATGCTCTCAAGGCTTTACGACCAACTATGACGAGGAGACTGTCACGGGCTTCCTGGATGGATTCCGAGACCGGGATATCCCCCTGGGGGTCTTCCACTTTGATTGCTTCTGGATGAAGTCATACCATTGGTGTGACTTCGACTTTGACTCGGACATGTTCCCGGACGCCGTGGGATACCTCAAGCGTTTGAAAGAACGTGGACTGCGCATTAGTGTCTGGATCAACCCATACGTAGGACAAGCATCACCACTGTTCAACGAGGGCAGGAAGCACGGCTACTTCATCAAGGTATGCATCCCAATCCAACGAAAGCAAAAAGCAAAGCGGCAAGAAATGGAAAACTGACACATCCCAGCGCATCGACGGCTCCGTATGGCAATGGGACTTCTGGCAAGCCGGAATGGCAGTAATAGACTTCACCAACCCAGCAGCCTGCAAATGGTACAACAGCCACCTAGAACGGCTAATGGAGATGGGCGTGGACAGTTTCAAGACAGACTTCGCAGAGCGCATCCCATTCAAAGGCGTACAATACCACAATGGCGCCGACCCAGTGCGTATGCACAACTACTACGCCCTTCTCTACAACAAGATCGTTTACGAGACACTCAGCAGCCGCGTCGGACGCAGCCAGGGTCTCCTCTTCGCGCGCAGTACTGCGCCGGGCGGACAGGCATTCCCCGTTCACTGGGGTGGCGACTGCGAGAGCACATTCGAGGCAATGGCTGAGTCACTGCGTGGTGGACTGAGCTTGATGCTTTCTGGGTATATCTTCTGGGCATCTGATATTGGTGGGTTTGAGGGGACGCCGCCGCCGGCGCTGTATAAGCGGTGGGTTCAGTTTGGACTGCTGTCATCGCATTCGCGTCTGCATGGATCGTCTTCGTTCCGTGTGCCGTGGATTTATGGCGAGGATTGCTCAGATGTGTTGCGGGATTGTGTTAAGCGGAAGATTCTGCTTACGCCTTATATTCTGCAGGAGGCCTTGAGGGGCCATCGGGATGGCACGCCGCTTATGAGGCCGCTTTTCTTGGAGTTCCCTGAGGATTTGAATACTTATGCTGTTGATACGCAGTATATGTTTGGTCCTAATTTGTTGGTTGCGCCGGTGTTTTCGGAGGAGGGTGAGGTTACCTTCTATGTGCCTCGGTCTGAGGATGATGAGGCTGGGGAGTGGGTTTCGTGGTTTGATCATTCGAAGACTTATGAGTCTGGTCAATGGTATACTGAGACTCATGACTTTGATACTATGCCCATCTTAATTCGTCCTGGCTCGGTGACTGTTGTCAACCCGACCATCAAGACGCCTGAGGATGATGCGCTGTCCGGAGTTGAGTTGCTGATCAACGGTCGTTTGCGCGGAGAGACAGCGGTAGAGATTGTTAATTCAGCTCAGACAGACGAGATCTCGGAAACCGTTCAGCTCTCTCCTACCGCAGATGGAAAGGTTGAAGCCAGTGGCCATCCTGTAAAATTGGTCTATGTTGCTTAGTTCAATTGGAAGAGAAGATTGCAGAAATACAATGTCATTCGAATCAAGTGATCAAGTGTCATATTAAAGTGCGAAGGATGAGCCTTCGCAAACAGAACTAGACTTCAGCGAGAAGTGGGTATCATAGTCGAAAAGGGTCGCAATGCAGCGAGCATCGGAAAATCAAAGAAGCATGGCAAAGCAAAGACAAATCAATGCCCATGATCCGTACCACAGAAGGGCCGAGTCAGAAACACTGCGCAAAAAAAAAAAGAAGAAGAAGAAGAAGAAGAAACGGGGTGATGCAAGAATGCGTGAAGCGGACCATGCAAAAAGAAAAGGAACCTAGGGGGAAAGAAAAGCCAGGCATAGCAGATCACCAGGCTTCTTCGACGTCAAGGAGCCATTTGCGGATTCCTTCACGCAATGTATTGTCAGCACCTGCCAGTGCTCTCCTTCGCTCACGATCAGCCAGTCCCAGGGTAGTATCCACATCTTCACGGCAATGTTCGGCAGTAACGATGCGGACGACTTCTTCCAAAGCCCCGAGTACCATCTTGCGGCATTCACCACGAGGCACTTCGAGAGGAGGGGCTTCATCGGCTCGTGGGGGGGCTTTGTGGTCTTCGGCTTTGCGAGCACGAGTAGGAGATGGAGCACGGGAGTGGGCCAAAGACGAGTAACCGCTCTGGCCCAGCACACGCTCGACAGCGTCGACGAGAACTCCGTCAAGGTCCATCACGGGTTCCTCGATGAATCGTTCTTCCACAAAGCTATGATCATGTTCCTCGGGGGTTGAGCTTTGGGGAATCTTGTCTGGTCCGTTAAAGAAACCAGAGATCTGTGAAGAGCGAGATCCACCGGTATTGCGGGCGGCACTCGAGTGAAGGTCATTGGCTGGTGAAAATGGGGTATGAGTGGGCGAGTCATGGCCCACGGTGATCTTGCGTCTCAAGCGAATTCGCTTCACTGTTGAGGCCCTAGTGTCTGCGATCAAGGTTGTCGCGACATCGACCCATCTCTCTGATCCGTCCACATCGGGTGTGGAGGGGATATATGGGGAGGGTTCGTTCCGCATGGCCTGCTTTATCTCTGCTTCAAGAGTGGAATAAGGTCGAACTGCTTGAAGCGAGAAATCTTCATGGAACTGTTTCAGCCAGCCAGCCACGTGGACACTGGGACTATCGTTGTCTTTTCCAACACCGTGGAATCCAGAGCCACTGCTGTGGGTGGAAGCAATTGCATCCATACTGGTAACTGACGTGCGAGTCTTCTTTGGCGAGGCAACGGTAGAATCACCAGAGGAAGAAAGCGACATGAATCCTGGAAGGGGGAGATCAATGTCTACCACACCTTCCTCTGCGCGGACTGACATCTTCAAGGGTGATTCGCGAACTTGGCTGGTCAGTGATGACGGTTCAGGCGATCCAGCCTCATCGCTGTGAGTAGCTGCAGCGGGGATGGAGATATTTCCACTGGTAGTGTTTTTGCGCCGTTGTTCATCTTCATCCTCGGTAACTTCTTTGACCATTTGACTTAAAGTAGTAGGACCACGCACAGTAAGACCGGCACTTGTAGACACAGATCTCTTGCGAATATCGGTTGGAGAATAGGGCTCACTGCTTTCAGTGGATGACTCCTGTCGAGAGCTCCAAAGACCAGAGAAGATACCGCCCCAGCGACCTCCGGCTGATGGAAGACTGCCGTTTGAGGTTAACACAGAGCTGTCACTTCTTTGGAGGTTCTTCAGTAGGGTCTCGGACGCAAGACTATCATTGCCTTCAGCTGCGGCAGTTTCATTCGAGTTGCTTGGCTGAGAAGTGAAATGGGGCACAGGGACAGTGCTGCTTTGGGTGATCATGGATGTTGTCGCCCCGCTGGTGTTCTTTGCTCGGACATCCTTTGGAAGATTCTTTGCGGCGAGAGTTCTGATCGAACGAGCATCGGATCCTCTGCGTGCTGAGGCTGTGGAGGGTTCCGCCGGCGGCGTTATGTCGGCGCCATCTGACGACCGCTGGGCTGTATCTTGTGACGAAACACTCACTGATCGTCGATGGTATTCAACTTCGCCCATGTTCAGTCGGTTAGCTCGAGCTCGTCTTTCAATTGCTCGGCGAAGGGACTCCTGGCGGAGTACCGGAACTGTAGGTGGACTTTGGGAGATAGCACGCATTGAAGTTGATGTACCGGGTCTAAGCGGTGAGGGTAACGGCTCCATGCGTTGTTTAGATGGCAAAAAGGCAGCGAGCAAGAAGACTAGTCGGCGAGCAGTCATCTTGTCTGGACAGACAATGACTGTTCTGTTTGCAAGGGTGGGTTCACCATCTTGCTGGGACTTCTGCTGCATATTATGGCGCCGGCGATACCACTCGGGGCCAAGGGTGTTAAGCCATTCAGTGTGGTTTCCCAAGAAAGCCGTAAGAATCACCAGAAAGAAGAAATTCTGCTCTTTGTCGCCCAACCCACGGACGATTGAACGACCTTCCTCCCGCCAGACACCCCAGCGACTTTGTCCAGTGACGACGTATGGAGTTTGAAGGGCCAGGCTGATCCGACGAGAGCTGCGAACGGCCTCTTCCTTGAGTTTCGAATTGACAGAAAGAATGTTGGCGGGAAGGTGTACGATGGTCTGGTTGGTCCGTTGCATGTTGGGAGGTTTAGCAGGCTTGGGGTGTGGTCCCGACAAGGAGTCCACCTTCTTCAGGAGGAAAAGGACTTCGTTTCGAGCAAGCCTTTCAAGATGAGAGAGTGTACGAGTGATGACATCCCAATGATCAACCAGCAAGTCCAGGCGCTCATCCAGGCTAGCAGGTGGTGATGCTGCAGACAAGCTGTCTTCAAAGAATCCGCCTGGCCAGCGGTGATCCGAATCCAGCGAGCTTGAAAAGCCAGGCCGAGGGGAATCAGGGCCAAGCGTGCTGAATCTCGAAACGGGTCGTCCAGGATTGCGTGTGAGCAAAGGAATCTGGATTGTAATGGCAACCGCGTACATCGGCGTTTTCTTTTCCTTGATCTTCTTGCGTTTGGAGACATCCGGGAATGGGAAGCCACCCATCTCAGGCAAAGATTCCTGGTAAAGAGCACTGGCATAGTCCTGTCGCTCAGCTGAGGCCTCGGCTCCATCGGGAAGATTCACGCTAAACATGCGAGTCAAGAGGACAGTAACTTTGGCAGGTGGCTTGTTGTCGACTCCCCTGCCTCCCATCAATCCTGATGGGCCGCCTGTGGTATAGGCACGAGAAAGTGGACTGCGGGCAGCAGGTGATGAGGCCATCATGCCAGGTCCCGTATCGTCATCAGCAGAGATGATGTGCATTTTGGTAGACGATCCCCGGTAACTGAACGCACTGCTGCCGAAGATGCAATTCAAAAGACCGGTATCATTCGAGTCGGTAGAGTGTCGAGAATGGCCTGTTTCGTGCATTGTGGCTGATGGTGCCAGGGTTGAGCTCCGGCCTCGGGCCCGGGAGAAAGCACCGGCACCTGCTGGTGATGACCTGCGTGCATCTGCGGCGACGGAGAGGGGGCTCGATTCGACGACAGAGGATTGGTTGAGAAGATTGCGACGTGTCCCACGGGAGAGGCTTGAGACTGCACGTGTATGTCTAGGCCCGGACTGATCATTGCCCTGTGGATCGATTCCGAGGCCGGCGGGGGAATCGGATGCACGAGTGTCAAGTAAGACACATGCATCACGGTCGCCCAATGCATTCTGTGCAACGATCACCCGGAAATCTTTGAGAGCATCCAGCTCCAGTCCACCACGGTCATCGTAGGCTCCGGCAGTTGAGGCGTTCGGGGAATTAAACGTTGTTTGCAGTGGGTAGGCGTGTGTATGGGAACGTTGGAGGAGGCTGGCATCAGGGAAAAGAAGGCCGGAGGTATGTTCTTCTTCAGTGACGGACTCAAGTGGTGTTCCATTGTTGCGTGTCGAGTACGCCGCGGGGTTTAGAGTCGACGCGGCGGTACTCAAGAGTCGGCCCAGCATGATGAAGACGGCCGGGGAGACCCGCAGGAAGAAAAAAGGGGAGATGATGGACTGATCAAGTAACGCAGTGTAACGATGGGCAGACAGCTAGGGAAACCAGGCTGCATCCACCCATGGCTTAATTCAAAGCAGGAACCATCATCAAGCGATGGGGGAAGAATGTCCGGAAGAGGGGAGAGGGAAGGTGGGATGAGCTGCAGCAGTGGGGCTAGCAATTGGGAATTGGGAATTGACCACCGAACGAGACTCCACAGTCTTTTCAGAGGTGAGGAAGAGATAAAATAATCCCAAGCTTCTTAAGAGATCCAGATCATTGAGAGGAACGTCCTGGGGAGGAGCGGTGAAGATGGTCACGTGGTATCCAGATACAGTCAGCAATAGTGACATATCTTCTTTAATCAACTGTAACTTCATATATTGAGGCATCCCTTCACTAACCCAAATCTAATCTGCAAGATGTGGCTCAAAATATGAGCTCTTTTTACAATGAAGCTATCATATCTCACTCTCTTCCAAATGCTTACTCTGAACCCAAGCAGGTTTCTATACTGTCCACCATGTCACTATCCTCGACCGCCCCCTTGTCACCGCATAGCTGCAGTTGCAAGGAATTGTTACTCGGTGGCTGTTATTTGAGACGAAGATCAATTTGAGATTGGAGGATAGTTTTTCATTTCCAATGTATTACTCACAGTGACCATGTGACAGCTCTTCACCGTGAATCATCCCTCGTGTAGGACAAGCATCATGCCTGTAGTCTTCTGTGCCTGGGACCAAATAAAGTGTCGATCATATCGACAACACGCATCATTACCCACTATCTTATGCGGGGGTTCGCTTCTGCCTGCATCTAAGCTGGGGTCTAGCTGCATAGTGGACATGATACATTACTTGCCTTCCAATTGAACCCGTCACAGTGTGACCTATCTTAGCTGCTGGTATATTATCCTTGCACTCTTACTTACCAATGCCCAAGTTGATTTTTATAGCCGCTGGCTGCTACTTGGCATTGATTGATCATGGATAGTGACAGGATTATGTCCTGTCAGATAGCCAATGATTTATAAAATATGTTTAGCACAGCCCGGTAGCCCGGTAGCACTGTCACTCATATGATCGTATTGTCCTTTGATACACATGCTTATTTCCATACAATCCATTTGGAGACTTGTGTAGCCGTCTCATGTGGTCTTGCTATATATCCGCTCTGTAGGATGAAACAAGCTGCAGGAATGTAACACCTCACCGACTGATCACGAGCCTTAAATGATATCCAGTTTCCCGAGCTGATTATGGGATGATGTGTGGATTCTCAAGGAAGCAAGGTATCATGACCAGTCTTCGGAGGAGTCTCACGCTTGTAGGGAGGATGATAGAAGGAAATCGGAACGCAAATATGTATGAATCAACATGAAAAACATCTTGCAGTATGTTACAGGCCACAAGCACAAATGATAAGAAATAGCTTAAATCGTTGCTGGCAATGCGCCACAGACATATGCAAACAATTCAATTCAATACACCGATTCTTAGTGCAATAGCTCCAAATTCATTACAGTTCAACTATATGTTCATTCATGCCTTGGACTGGCGTTTAACCTTATCCACCAAACGCTTGAGATCCTCTGAGCCAGCCTCCTTGGGAGCCTTCTTTTGCTTTTTCGAGCGCTCCTTGGTCTCGGGCACAGCCTCGGCCTCGGCGTCTTCGCCAGTGCGTCTGCGCTTACGACCCTCGTCCAGCATAGCCTTCATACCAGAAGTAGACTTGAAGCGGGGGTTGGTAGGATCGATAGCAAAATCGTGGCTGTCGAACAGGCGAGAGAAACGGGGATCGCTGACGTTGACCTCGAAGTCATCTGCCGGAGCAGTATCCTGGGTCTTGCTCTTCTTGTTCTTGCCCTTGCCCTTCTTCTTTGCTTGCTTCTCGGCCTTCTCGATTTCGGTCATGTCGAAGTGCTTGATGTGGGCCTTCTCGTCATCCACCATGAGAAGCTCAAGCTCAGCCCGCTGAGCAGCTGATGCGGCCTCCTCGGCGGCACGCTCCTCACGCTTCTTGCGCTTCTCCTCCTTGCGCCGGGCAGCGGAGGTGGCCTTGCCAGTAGGGTCGTCGAAAAAGGGATCATTGAAGCCTGCGTCTTCTTGCACTTCCTCCTGTACCTCGACTGGAGCAGGCTCGTTGTCTTCACTATCCGCAGCCTCGGCACCCTCTTCATCTCCTTGCTTGGTAGCCTTGAGCTTCTCCTTTCGGCGCTTCTTGCGCTCACGCTCCTTGCGCACGTACTTGTCGATTGTGCTTTCTTCGATAACTGGCTCATTCTCGAAGATGGTATCCTTGCCATGGCCACCAGCCAACCCAGATGTAAAAGTGACTTCCATCTCTCCAACAGGGCCGTCGGTCTTGGAGCGAGTAGGTTCAGCACTTAGGCCAAGCAAAGCACGCATACGCTGTCTCTCAGCTTCCTTCTTGGATAGTTTCGTTGTTGAAGCTTCTGCGCCAGTGTTGTCAACAACTTCAACGCCGCCATCCTCGTCATCTGAATCTTCGTTATCGGAACTGTCAGAACCGAGGTAGGCTTTCAGATCGTTTTCGTCGATATCCTTGCGCGAGCCTCGGAATGCGCGCGCTTGCGCTTCTTTCCTTGACTTGTCATCCGCATCCCATGTCAATTTAACCTTGCTGTGCTGCAGGGCATCAGTAACAAACTCGGTGGGCTTGTAGTTATCAGGAATTCGAGAGCATTCGTCGCGAGGCTTGTCGTCGGAGAAGTCTGTTTCATCAGGGACGAAACGAAGATCAAAGAAATTGGCACTGGATAGATATTCGGCGCCATCAACCAGGTCGTAGACATGTTTGGCGACATCCTTAGATGAGAACTTGAGAATTGCGTAGTAATAGCGCAGGCGGTCGAGTTGGTACCGCCGTAATTGTGTAGAGTTGAATTCTTCGCCATCGTCGGCCTTCATCATCGACTTTTTGATTTCTTCCTCCTCTTCATCGGAGTCAACCTCAGAGTCGTCATTTCCACCAGTGCTCTTCTTGGTCGGCGCGAATATCTCTTTCGGGGGACCCTCAACCTCCTCCCTCTCCATACGTTCCTTTCCGAACTCACTAGGGTACACTGTGACGTTCGACACACGCCCACCAGGAGGAAGAAAACTGGAGAAGACAGCCATCAAATCTTCAGCGCGAATGTTGTCCCAGTCGAGGTTGACGACTGCTATCCGGTTCGACACTTCGCCCAGCGGCACATTGGACTGCTGCTGGTCTGGGAATTCGACCTCGCCTTCAATTTCCTCCTCAAGGTCTTCCTCCTCGCTGGAGCTCTCCTCGGATGATGAAGATTCAAAGCCGCCATCACGTGCAGGGTCATATGAAGCAGAGTCGATTCGCTTCAGCTCCTTCTTGACTTCTTCTTCGTCGTCGGAACCGCTCTCCTCATTCTCGTCATCGTCCTCAAGGCGGTAGAACTTCTTTAATTGCTTCTTGGTGTCGTCTTTCGCCAGCTTGCGTCCATAGCGATCGACAGCAGCGTTGCGGGAGAAATCCTTATCATCTAGCACGTGCGCAAAGCGCTTGTCAAGCTTGACGTGAGTCTGGCGCTTGCTTGGAAGACGGTAGCGAGGGTCTGATTGGATGTTGGCAAAACGAGGATCCGCTGTAATAGAGGAAGTCAGTAATCAGGGTTCATTGCTCTCTTTGGAACAAATCTAAAGCTTCGGATGTACGTACTGATCAACGGGCCGGTTTCGCCTTTGGCCTTTCCGGCCTTGGACTTTTTCTTATCAGGGCCTGCCATTATGAGCTCTGTGATATGTCACCGAGAGCTGGGCAATTTTTTTCAAGACCTGGGTATCGATAAGAGATCGTCAAATTCAACGAGTGAAAATACTCGACCGGCAGATTATTTCTTTTTTCTGCCCGTGGCGGTCGGTCAGGCGGTCAGACACATGTATCTAATCCTTGAAACGGCAATTCTACCACAATTATGGAACGGATATCTGAGTAAATCCAGTGAGTGTACGGAATTATGATGGTAAGGATTTTAGATTGTATGCAAATAAAGTATTTTCATTGTTCAGTATCACTCCTAATAATGCAATGCGTCCGTAGTCACGGAATATGTCATGGTTGGCGTATGTACTAGTCTCATGATAAATAGCGGCGATTGAAAACTTTAGCATCCAAAGTACCGCTTCTCAATCCATCTTGGTTCTCCCTCTTCCTCAATTCGCCCAACAATCACATGTATCTCGGGGAAAACTGCAGTCAGGCGTTTGAGTCCTAGCTCACCTGCTGCGCAGGTCACGAAAACGATTCTGTCTTGCTTCACTCCGTGATCAAGAAGCACGCGAACGGCCATAAGTGCAGCACCTCCACTGGACATTTGCGAGTCCATAAGGATAACTGTGGCATGTTCTTCAAGCTGCGGTGGGAGTTTCAGGTAATGCAACTCTGGCTCTCCACTGCACTCATTGGTTTGAATGAGCACGCGACCAGTGACACAGTCGGGAATAGATCGCTTGAGGGCAGTCTCAATACAGGAACCTCCTCGCAGGATAGCGACAGCGGATACAGTGCCCTTGGGGTGCAAGCCCATGTATGGGTTTCCTTGTGGTGTTTCCACATTCGCAGAGACATACAAGGTCATATCCAAGGCTCTGGCAACAGTGTTTGTTAGAATGATATACAGTTCCGGGGTATGGAAATCATACTTCTCAATCAAGATTGATGCTAGTCGATCAAAATAGAAGATGAAATCCTCCTGCTCGGTTGCTGGGTTTTGCAAAATAGTATTCATACCGATGAGCTGCGGTGTGGCAGGCAGAACATGCACATTGGAAGGTAATTCAACCTTTGCCGCAATCAGACCCAGCTTGTTCAGTTCTTCAGTGTGCTTATCGGATTTATCTTGAAGCTTGCGTTGAATGTGTTTCACCACCATGTCTAAATTTGATTAGCGTCAGGTCATCAGGCCATGCCGCGCGAGTAATACATACCAATGGCGGTCTTGTTCTCAATACCACGTGGGATAATAATGTCTGGAAGTTAGGGTTAGTGTAGTTCTCGAATACTTGTTAAGTCACGCGACTACTTACCTGAAATGGGACGTTGAGGCTCCACATATCGGGTGTAGGATGGCTTCACAAAAGCGAACCACTGCTTAATGATTCCTTCAATGTCCCGACCACGCTCACGGACATCACGAAGGACTGTAAATATCTCTGTCAGTAGCCACTTGCATGAATAAGATCCAAAATAACTCACCTCGGCGTCCTAGGCACACATCCATGTCGGCTTCAACGAAAATCTAGAGTGAGGGGTTAACCCTGTTTAACAGGCGGGGAAGTAAGGAAATTACCTTCACATCCAACATCTCAACGATTCTAGGATCGTGAAGCGCCAGAATACCCTCCAGAATAATCACCCGGGGCGAGTAAAGAGTGGTTGTGGTGGACTGGCGCTGATGATCAGCGAACGAGTAGACCGGGATGTTGGCTTTCTTTCTGCATACAATCCGGTCAGGCAATGCAAAGTCTAGATGAAAGAAAGAGGAAATTCACCCTTTCTTGAGATCCCGCAGAGTCTGTACAAGAAGATCAAAGTCGATCGAATCCGGGCAGTCAAAATCATATTCGTTCGCATGCGCTTTGTGGTGCTCCTCGGATGATAAAGTCTTATAGAATGAATCCTAGACGAATGAACGTTAGAACCACAACAAGCTCTAGATCAAGTATTTTCGTAAGCTTTACCATTACAAGGATCACCACCCAGGGTAGGTTCAAAGACTTGACAATCTCCATGGCCACAGAGGTCTTGCCAGAGCCAGAGCTACCAGCGATACCGATGATGCTTAAGTCCTGCCATGGTGGAGCATACCGCACCGCAGGGCTGGTGGAAACAAAAGGCGAGATAGACTCCATGGCAAAGAGACTTGTCAGTTAAGACTGTTCCCCCCACTGTACAATACTACTTGGATTGAAATGCAATTCCTCGATAAGAGCCCTGGAGGGCTTGGCATGATTATATAATACACTTACCTGATCCGGATTAGCCAGAGACAGCGTTCTGGCACCGCCTCTTATTGGTCTATTTCGCTGATACATATATTTGTCATCTACTGACTTGGGCTTAGCGCGTTACCTTCGCTTAAGCTCTTCTTATTCCGAGCTTTTTCTTCTCACCTTCCTCTTCTTCTTTCCTCCATCCAAACGGTCTTTTCCCACACAGCGACTGCCTATTCCCATGGCCGTCGTTTCTTGGGTCACCATTCAGCTTTGAGGATAGCTTCAGACCAGATTTAAGACTGAGCATTCTACTCCTGATGTCGGGTCAAATTGTATGCTTCTCGGTGTGAAACCCGTGGCTACTGGCCTTTTAACACGATGCAGATGTCCCGAACTTCCTCGACTGCGACGCCTACATGGCATCACTTCGAGCGAAAGCTCGAGGAGGTCAAGCCTTCCAAGACGTGAGTTACCTCCGATCTCTTACCCTCCGCCCCCGTGACATGATGTTCTTGAAAATCAAGTTGGGAATCTCTCTGAAAACATGTGAGGAGAAACAATTGACTTGTCTATCTGATTCACGTCACCTCTGCAAATCTTGCATTCAACAGTTGGATCCGAGCTATTGCTGACTGTCATATCACAGTGATATCAACTACTTGGTCATGGATTACCTCATCACCAACGGCTATCCCGCCGCTGCGAACAAATTCGCAGTAGAGGCCAACATTAAACTCAGAACAGACCTAGAGTCTATTCAGGAGCGTGTTGAGATTAGGACTGCGATTTACTCCGGTGATATCCAGTCAGCTGTCGAAAAAATCAACGAGCTCAATCCTCAGGTAAGAAAATTTTTCCCGCTAGTCGCATCCACATTTCCCAGCCCCTATTCTTGCTATGATTATACCAAGTTTCATGCACCACTCTTAAATCCCCTCCGGGGTTTTGCAGAAAAACAAACATCTTCAGTCCTCAGTATGAGCAATTTACCAAAATTGGATCTTATCAGCACATCACACACTTCTTGCAAAGTGCTATTGCTAACAAGACTTTAATAGATTCTCGATGAGGACCCTTCTCTGCACTTTGCTCTTCTGCGCTTGCAGTTGGTTGAATTGATACGCTCCTGCATGGCCGTCCCAGGCAATGACATTAGTCCAGCTTTGGACTTTGCGACGTCGCAGCTTGCACCTCGAGCCCCTACGAACCCCCAGTTCCTAGAGGACCTCGAGCGGACGCTTGCCTTATTAATATTCCCCAGTGACAACCTGGACCCATCGCTTGCATGTCTTCTGGACCCCGCGCTTCGTAAAGATATTGCAACCCAAGTCAACGAGGCCATTCTGCAGAGTCAAGGCGCTCGTAAAGAGGCCCGCCTGCGCAACCTTGTGAAGCTTCGGACTTTTGCCGAGAACAAGGCCCGAGTCGCTAAAAGAGACATCCCAGACACCCTAGATATTGGCTTGGTCGGCGATTCTCACAAGAACTCTAGTAATGACCTTGCTACTAACATTACCGACACTTTAATGTCCCACAACAGCGACGTTGACCCAATGATATCCTGATCGGGTCTTTGTCGTGGTTTCCCATTGCCGGCTTTAAAAATTATTGCCCTAACCTTTCGAGTTTTTCTAGCGTGGCGTCTTGGTGCCTCATTCTTAGGCGTTTTATTCATCGCTGGATTTTTCAACTGGCCGAATGAGCCATATGACAATACAATGAATATTCTTCACTTGAACAACTCCATTCTCTTCCCGCTCTTCTGGGCACTAAGTACCTAAATCAGTTTTCGTCTGTAGTAAAAGCAACATAAGCTTGATCGTCAGATTAAATTTCTTAACTGACGTGGCTTTGTATATTACAGTCAATGCATTTTTGCAGCAAGAACCACAACAAGAGAGAAAAAAGCTAGCCAATGAACGCAAACAAATCCACAGTCACGAGTATGCATGAAGTTCATCAGGATAAATCCAAAGGAGCAAGCAACAAGTCTCTAAGGCGTAGGTATTTTCGAAAATAACAAAAGAATCATCAGAACAAAAGATTCCCAGACTCGCTCTGACCCGCTCAATACTGTATCAGTAAAATAGACTTTATGGGGGATATCGCGGATATCTCATGATCGGCCAGCGACAGGCTATGGGTGGGAGTGTATGGGCAGCTTAGAAGCTCATGAGATCTAGAAAGGACGAAGAATATTAGCAATGCTGGCAAAATCGACGTAGGAAATAAGTTAATGAAGACATACCTCTTCCGAAAAGAGCTCTCTTGGCCCAGTCCATGGCCAACATACACCGGGTACGGAAGCTCACACTCTCCGCGAAGTAGATACTACGCCAGAGATACATAGCGATGACACCACCGCTGAAGCTCATACCGCCAAAGTCAAAGATGGCTGCGTTACTGATGTACGCCAAGCTTCCGAGGTGTCTGTAACGGAAGGCCTTGTAGACGGCCTCGTCGAGGTCACCGTAGTCGATCTCGTTGGCCCGTAGGCCGGGGAGAGCGGCGGCAATCTTGGTCAGCTTGCGGCCAAGGTAGACACCCTGCTGGTTGGCGCGCTGGGCGGTGGCAGGCAGGGAAGTGAGCTTGGTGTCGATCTGGTGCAGGAGCTCGGAGAGCTCGCCGTAGTCGAGGGTTCCAGAGTGGTCTTTGTCGTACTGCTCGAAGAGGAGGTCCAGGCGGCGGAGATGGTTGGTGGCTTGGGGGAAACGTCTCTTCACTCGGTTGGCAACTTCTGTCCATTCGGAGAAGGTGAGGTGGACTTTCTCGGGGTCGCGGCCCTTCTCCCAGGCAATGGTGCGGAGGAAGCGGATGATGTTGTCTGCCACATTGTTCTGGACTGTTGAGCAGTCACCAATAGCGTAGACGTCACCTAGCGGAGCACCAATAAGACGGAGATGAGAGTCAGTCTCAAGGGCATGCTTGTTGTTCTGACCCTCCAGCTTGTTGGAGAGTGTTTCACAGATTTCGGCTCGGGCTACATAGTGTTAGTTCTGCAAGCTAATCGAGTATTTTGATGTATTATGGTATTGTACTTACCCACACCAGTGGACCACAGGCAGAATGCGGTTGGGATCTCCTTGACAACGGTCTTGCCGTCTTCCACCTGACTGAAGAGGACTCGGTCACTGCGAACTTCCTTGACACGGGCGTTGGTCAACACCTCGACACCATCACGAGTGAATCGACCCTAGGAAGAGATGTTAGCTTGATCAACAGAAGCCTCTGGGGCATAGCAAACATACCTCGGCATACTTGGAGAGTGCCTCGTCGTAGGTGTTTAAGATGTGAGTTCGGCTCTGGATAATGTGGACAGAGATCTCGTTGCGGACAATGCGAGGGAACGAGCGAAGCAGGTCTTCATTGAGAAGATCAAACAGCTCAGCAGCAAATTCGACACCGGTTGGACCACCACCACAGATGACAAAGGACAACAGACGTCTGCGCTCCTCGTCGGTAGTGGTAGGAAGACAGGCCTGTTCCATGTTCTCCAACACCTGGTTCTTGATGCGACGAGCATCGTCAATCGTCTTCAGGAAGTTGCAGTTCTCGAGGCCCTTGACACCGTGCGGGTTCGTAACACAACCTAAATATCATAAGGTTAGTATTGTATTTCTGCGACAAACGCCGTTTGTTGTCTTGAACTCACCGACACCAATAACAAGCTTGTCGTAAGGCAGATAGAAGTTCTTCCTAACTCCATCATTATCAACCTGAGAAACCTCTACCAACTTCGCAGAGAAATCGACATCAGTAGCCGAAGCCTTGAGGAAGTGTCCATTGACCCGCTCAATGATGCGCCGCACGGGCTCCACCAGTGAACGAAGACCCAAAGTGCCCACAGTAGCAGAGGGCAGCATAGGAGTAAACAAAAAGTAGTTGGTAGGAGACACAACAGTAACGTGGTAATCGGCAGGGTTCAAGTTCTTGAGGAGCGCAACACTACCCCAACCCGTGCCGAGGATGACCAGACGCGGCTTATCTTTCTGCTCCAGCATGGTTTCCGAGTCATAGTCACCAACAAGGTAATCCGCAATAGGCAAATTTTTCGGGCCTCCGATCCGAGGGTTAAGCGCCAACTCCGAAACAGGGATGTCAGCGGCAGTTGACGATTCGCGATATGTACTAGCATCGTAGATAAAGAAGGCGACCACCATAGCACCACCGGAGAATATCAGAAAACCACACCATGTAAAGACCTTATACACAGCACCCACAAGGGCAGATTGCCGTGCAGGTAGAATCTTGGCAGCGAGTTCCGACTTGTATCGGATTGGCACCGAGCTCAGCGGTACCTGTGCCAAGGCCCGCCAATGGGGGGCGGGTCGACGACGAGGAGTATGTATCGAGCGTGATAGCGACAGTCGTGGGGCTGCAAATGCCTTTTGGACATGAAGTCGAGCTGGCAACGACCCCATTGATTTCAGAACCGTGCCCTCCGCACGGCTCCGGAGCATCGCGTTCAGCATTGTCAGACAGGAAGCGTGAGAAGTGATCAGCGATGGTAAACAGAGACGAAGCAGCTCATGGCCCGTCTCTGTGCTCTAAAGGAACGAGCGGCCTGGCAAAAATCTATAACTGAAGGCAAAAAAAATAGGCTGAGAATGCTAACCAAGACAAGGATGCGATGCTACAGAGCGACGTCATCTAGTGGCGGTCACGTGCATCGGGAAGCCGGCAACCAGAACCAGTTCTCATACGACAAGCCGAGCTCCCGTTCTATATTCACCGACCACTTCTTATAGAAGACGCCACTTGTCTCTTGTACCAATTGAATTGAATCCATGGATATCTATTATATACTCTTAGCTAAGGATGGATATCATATCATCGAGCCTAGCTCAGGCTATGTATGAAAGCAAAAGTAAGGGTATCCACTCAACCCATTCCGGAAGATAGAGAAAGTACAAAAAAAGCCATTCCATGTGGAATTCAACATGACCAAAGCAAAACAAATAAACGCCAGCCTCGCTAAACATGCAAATTAAAAAAAAAAAAAAGGAATCTCGTATGATGATGTGGATAAGGCATGTAAATCAATCCCAAGCAAATTCGTCGTCCGGCTCACTAGATTTCTTTCTTCCAGTGGAGCTTTTGCGGCTTTTGGATCGTTTGTTGAGGTTCGAGCTAGAGACGGAGTTCTTGCGCTTCATGGGCCGAGAGCCGGTCAGGCCATTCCCCGTGTCGTCTTCTCCAATGGCGTCGAGACTATCCCCTTCGGCGTCCTCGTCTGCATCCACCCTGAACTCGTCGTCGATGGAAAGCAATGTTGCAAACTCGCGGCACTTTTGGTGCATCGCTTCTTCGCTGTCTAGCGCGGTCATGTTTCTGGCCATAGCTTCCCAGACCTTATCGCCGGTCACTCCATGCACCTTGGTTGCGGTTTTGTTAAGATCCTTTGCGGCAGGTTTTCCGTTGGTCTTGCTATGAGCATTCAGTCCGTAGACACGACGAAGGTGTGTTCGAGCTTCCCAGAGCATTGACAACGACGCGGCTGCAGTCGCCAGTAATCTCAAGGTTGCAGGGTTGGTTGGGCGTGGCATGATTGTCGAAGGCTGCATCTCAGGCGCAAACCCTGGCATCATTCCGTTTGAGGTATCGAATTGGGGCGCGCCAATCGGGGCAGGAGAGATCTCGGTCTCGATAGCGTGTGCAACGATGGTGCCAGTTGACGAAACAATGCGTTCGATACACATAATTGTTGGCATCAGTTCAGCCAATTGAGCGTAATCGAAGAATGCCAGGTTCTGTGATATGAAACGTGACAGGAGAAGGTGTTCCGGGGGAGATCCAGTCACGTCAAGCTTCTTCAATTCAAAGTTGACCTTGGCGCAAAGGTTCGAGAGGAATTTCTTTTGGTACCGACTGTTACTGATTTTGACGATCTCGAATAACTGTGCAAGTTTCGGAATATAAGGTCGTTGCCGGGCCCCATTGGAATCACCAACAACATCACGCTGGTAGTAGAATGCCTCTTGCACGGCTCGCATGTATTCCCGCTCAAACATGGTTTCATACTGCTGGTGCTGGGCTTTGTGGGTATCAAACGCAACTTTCGCGATGTCAGACATGGTAGATGTCTCCAGGGAAACAAGTACACCGGCACATTGCTTCGGGTGCACCAGGCCTTGTCGATTGATACTTGCAATAACCTGAATGGCAGTCAAAGCGTACGCATCCTGGCGCGATTGGGCCACCTGGATCATGTTGGAGAGGAAATTCTGGGCAATCAAGGCAGCAGCACCGTCATTGTCACTGGCCTTCAAGGAGCCGCCCAATCGAGTTGTATCTTCCTGGGCAGCGGTCTCTGCGCTTGGGATGACAGCCTTTTCGGACTTGCCCTCGTGGATGGCAAAGAAAGCTGCAAATGACTTGAGTACAAGGTTTTGCAGGGCTGGAGCGTCTTCCTTGAAGGTTTGAGCAAAGGTCTGCCGGGTACACTCTCGGCCAAATTGACCAGGCCATGATTGGCAGATAGATCCCAGGCTTTCGAGGGCGTTGATTCTCAGGTCCAAGGGCTGGGCTTTTGTAGAAAATGGGACTATGAGATCAACCATCAACCCTGCCACCGATTTGCCAGACCATTTCGGGAAGTCAGTCTTGAACTGCGATGCAAACTTGTCAAGATCGCAATGTCCTCCAACACAGCCTGCAATGCGAATATAACTGTTGGCACGATTCAGATCCGCAATATGCTCACTCGAGGAAATGTCCATATCCTTGTACTTCTTCAGAGGTTTCAGTAATGAGAGTGTCAACTTTACCAGTCGGACAGTATTTTGTAAAACACCGTTGATGGTCCACAAACAGGCCATGACTTCGTTGAGCTCACCACGAGGAAGCCTGGCGATGATTCTGAAGAGATCATTCTGTACTTCCTTCAAAAGAGTGTTGTGTGATGAGGATAAGTATGGAAGAATGCAACGATAAATAACCACAACTGATCGGAAGATGAAAATGTCATCTGAAGTAGAAAGATTCCCGATATAGGGATGGAGAGCTTCCAACTGATCTGGGCTGAACAGCTTTGCGTTTGCCTTGGCGAAAACAGTGATTGTCTGCAAAAGAGCTTGTTGGGACTCTTTGCTGGAATCGGAGTCTTCTATGAGTTTCTCGAACATGGTAGCAACCATAGCCTTGCAAACCTTGAAATTTAATACAGTAGACTTGGATTTATCAGAAAGCACAGCTTGTAGGCAGATGCTGAGAGAATCCAAAGCAGTATCATTGCGTTCGGCCAGGCCAACGATGAGGGCCACCTGTTCGCCAAGAGCAATCTTGAGTTTCGGGCCATCGGATGAATTGATGGAGTCATAGAAGGGAACAAGCCAGATTTCTTCAAAGGTTTGTCGGGCCAACGATGTCACGCTCTCTTCAGCGTCACCTGTACGTTGAAGGAAGCTGTCCAGGATGACTAGCTTCAAATCTCGTCGAGACGTCTTGTGGTATATATCCTTCAACAGTCCAATACAGCGTTTCCGGACACCAGCCGTAGTATCCGCTGCACAGGCGAGAATCCTTCGACAACCTTCTTCTTCGAGCTTGGGCTTCAAGGCAATACACTGGCCAATCAATTGAAGGGCAGAGTCCCGGACCATGGGCGAGGCATCTGTGGTACATCGCAAGATCACGCGCAAGACGGAAGCATCTCTATCGAGAAGATTCGGGTCTTTCTCAAGCATGTAGATGACACTTTTCAGGCTGCGGCTGCGGACTTTGGCCGAATCACCTGTGAAAGAGTTCAAGAGAACCTTGAGAATGGTGTCAAATGCTTTTCCAAAGCCTGAGTTCAAGACTGTCAGGATGTAGGCGAATTTTCCATGAGCATTGGTGATGTTATCGAATTCCTTGTGAGTCTCCAGCCAGCGGGGGTCTGAAAAAGATCTTGTTAGAAGAACAACCAAGTCATTGGTCACATCATCATGTGCCATTTCCTCCTTGTCCTCGGAGTTGTAGTAGATTGTGCAAACGGTTTTGGCCCATTGAGCCAAATAGTAGCCCCGTGCGCTAATCAGTTGCCAATTATCAGAATTCTTGTCCTGCAAAAGGTGTTCGAGCGCCATTCGGTATGGACCAGTGGGCACAATGAGATCTTGCGGGTGCAATGCTCGAGAATTGAATTCTTCGAATTGTTGTTTAAGGTAATCGGTGAGTTCTAAATCGGAATCTTCAAGAGCCGGGAGCATGTGCTGAGCGGTTGCTATCAGGTCTGAGATGGCAGATCCCATCCAGCCCAGGAGCTCAAGTGCCATGCTCTTGGCAGTCGCTGGACTCTTGTCCTGATCAGCGAGGCCAACCATGTGGGATGCCAAGATTCGGAGAAGTAATTCTGCAGCCGGCCAATCAGCAGAACCAAGTACGTTGATCAGATCCTGAGTGAAGAGGTCGAGGATGTTCCTGTATGGCTGATCACCGGTCTTTGTTGAGTTCATAGCACGCTGAACGATGAACTTCACGATGTATTGTGCGGAGCGCATGGCGTTATCAAAAAGTCTGTTGGCTTTAGTCGCGAGGCGTTCCAACGACTCGTTCGACTCGTCGTCATCCGACTCATTGTTCGCGTTGTCTCCACCATCCCCCATGAGCTCGTCATCATCATCATCGGTCTGAGGCTTGATCTGGCGTTTGGACTTTGGTCGCGAGGGTGTTTCCAGTGCCGTTGTCTGAACGAGCTGCAAGACAAGTGCGGTAAGAAGCTGAATATTCTTTCCATCTGCAACCTTGAATTGCCTTGCGTTTTGGCGTGTGGTTGGAAGTTTTTCCAATGAGACCAGAATTTCATCCAGTATGAAGGGTCGTTGTTCAGGATATTTGGAAAACACCTTCGCAAGCACCTCCATCGCACCACGCCTTGCGGGTTCGTATTTTTGATGGCCCAGGGCTGATTCCTTGTCATTGTGCGCGTTTTCCACAAAGATAAGTTTCGAGGCGAAGAACTCAGCGGCTGTGATCGTGCCTTCGGAGACATCAATCCGAGACAGGAAGTCAGCGAAAAGGGTTAGAACCTTCTTACTCTGGTGAACGAGACTTCCAATGATCCGCTTTTGGGTTGAGAAGAAGTGGAAATGTTGGCCGTCTTTGCCACCAGGGCGTGCTTCCACTGCAGGAATGATGCAGTGGTCAAAGACTTGATTAAGAACGTTCGGAATGGCCTCGATGAGATCTTCTGGGCAGAGATCGCGCTCCGTCTGGCGTCCAGACATGGTCTGCAACAACGTCCCAATCGCAAGAAGTGCATTGAATACATCTTCGATCTTCCCCACCCACTCCTGAGATTCAGTCTCATTTGACGAGTCATTTAAGCTTAGATCAGGGGTTTGTGCAACAACTATGGGCTTTTCGCACAGTTTCTGAATCCGATTGAGATAATCAGATGGTATGTCCTGGAGTCGGTCGAATCCTGCGACTTTTCGAATCGCTTTCTGGAGGCGACTGTGAGCATCTGAAGATAGCACCTCTCCATGCACCTCCAATGATCTTGTCTGCACGAATATAGGGTTTGAATTGTCGGCATTCGAGCGAGTTGAAGCATCCGGTTCCAGTTGGTCTTCTGCCTCGAAAACTTCATGAAGGAAGTCTTGCAAGTTTAAAAGAGCCGCATCTGCCTCCGCTTTTTGATCCTTCATTCGTACCGCCGCCTCACCATCAGTCTTCGATTTGACCTTTTTCGTAGCCATCTGACCAATATGAGAGGGGACTGGTTTCATTGGGATTACCACGGATAATTGACTTGAGGATGGAGCTCGTGTTGGCTCAAAAGAAGCTGAGACCGATTTGTTCGTTAGATGGGCACGCTGGTTCAAGGAAGTAATGGTCTTTGGAGTCGAGTCTTTCCTCTCGAGTTTGGTCGTAGATGATGCTTCGGGATCTGATATCAAAGTGTCAATTGGACAAGTCCACAGAGCTGGACTGAGCTAGATCTTACATCTGAAAGCGATGTCGGTAGAGTCAAGCATCATGCGGGCAAAAGAGCCTAAGCTGCTGCGACCAGAAGGAGTTCCATTTGAGGCGTTTGGTCGTAATTGTTGACTGCGAGCGGGGGCACGGGAGAGCTTGAACTTGCTTGAGGATTATGAGTGAAAGGTAAATATAAAGGTACGTGGGATTCTCACAATTCTGTCAATTCATGTCCATCCAGCAACTGTTGCAGATATTCCCGGGACGTCTCTAAACGACTAGATTCATCCTGTCCGGACTGGATCTCCGCGTCCAATCCACCCAGCGTCTTACGGCCTTCTTGCAGTACATGGTTGATCGAGGTAGTATTCGAGGGTCGGCCGACGTCCGGCCGAATGATACAGTCTGCGCGAACAGTCCATCAGTCAGTTGGCTGGCGTTGAGAAGAGGATTCGGATACACAAACCGAGGCCAAATACAGGCGCGCTGGACATAGAAGAGTACTGTAGAGCCTCTTCTACGGATAGTGACCGCGGCTGATTCTGGAGCTGCATGTTGGATCTGGAGGCCTGCATCTGGTCATAGCCGTTGATAACCACCTGGACGGCCGGGCGTCCATTCTGGTCCATGATTGTGGTTAGGTCAAAGAAGGTAGGCGCTGGTCATGAGAAGGTTGACATGCTCCTGAGAGAGACATGACAGAAACTTTATATTCCTTATGACATCCCTGGGTCATTCAAACATAAAACAACAAAAAATTGAGAGATAGCTGTTCAAGCTACGGTCAAGTAAGTTCACCAATTCCGTATGAGTGACGGCACGTCTACTGCCACGCGTGACCGCCTGTCGGAGGCTCGTGCGCCAAAAAAAAGTTGCATGTTCGAGTCGTTGCGCTGAAGGCCTATCTCGTTCGTCACTTTGCTCTTTTTTTAATTTCCTGCATTTTTTTTGGACTCCCTTCCTTGCTTTGATCAATATGTCTGTCATAGGTTCTTTGATTTTCTGCACAGATTGCGGTAATCTCCTACGAGAGTCTACCGGCAATGCTGATGCGATTCTTCACTGTGATGTCTGCGGCACTCGGAACAAAGGTGAGTGAATTGTGTTTTTAACTTTGATATTGTCTTCTAATTCCACTTACAGACACTATTCCTCAAACTACCGTTTCCGAGTCCAAGCCTTCCGCATTCCCTTCAGCACTGAGAGCCAAACGATCGGCAGTCCAGACCCTGTCAGCGGCAGACCGCATGACCGAAGCTATCATCGAGCGTGACTGTCCTGACTGTGGGCGGAAGGAGATGTTTTGGACTACAGTGCAGCTGCGCAGTGCTGATGAAGGAAGTACTGTATTCTATCGATGTGTTTGCGGTTTCAAGTATGCCAGCCCACTTCAAGCTCTCTCGATTTTTCTCCGCTAATGACTTTTTCTATAGGGAAACTTCAAACAACTAGTTTGGATATTCGGATTGTACAAAAGATGTTGAACTGGTCTATTTTTGGAGAAAGGCTGTATAACTAGCGGGACAAGAGTATCAAAATCACGACGTCACGAATCAATTTTTTTTTGGCATATCCATCATGCAGCCGCAACTTGCTCGGCACTTCCTGGCAACAGCGCATATTCGACTTCACCATTCTTCTCAAACTCTGCCATGTCAAGAGCCACAATGACACTATCTCTGACAACCTGATCGGGGTCGTTCAAGAACTTCTTCAAGGTCTCCTCCACACCCTCTTCCTCGCCAAGGCTGCCCAGAGCCTCCGCCGCTTCGTGTCGCACCATACCGGCCTCTGACAGGTCGCTCAGCGATTCTGTGAGACTGGGGATGGAGGCGGGGTGGCAGAGTTGTCCGAAGACAAAGGCAACTTCGTGACGGAAGAGGGCAGAGGGGTCCTTGAGGCCCTTGGCGAGCGCATTGACAGCGTCAACTGCGGTGGGGAGGTCTGGGGGCGAGGCAAGATCACGCAGACCGAACATAGCACGGTATCTTTGGAACAGAGGAAGCTTGGTGTCAAGCAGTGTCTTTTCCAGGTCGGGGACGTTGGGTTCGCTGGCCTCCAGGGGCATGGGAGGAGCAGGGTCGATAGATGTGAAGTCACTGTAGATTCAAGATAAAAATGTCAGCAATCTCTTCGCTGTATGCAGTGTGACGCGCAAAACGTACCTAGGCTTCAACTTCTCAGCCTTGCGCTCCTCGGAGTTCTCCCACAGAATGCGGTCGACGGCAATATCGCAGGTCTCACGGATGATGTCCAATTCCTTCTGATCATCTCTAAGCTTCTTGAGGATTTCCAAGCTGTCCTCGTAGCCGAGAGCGCCCAGCGCCTCTGCGGCCTCGTGGCGGCACATCGCATCCTCCTTGGTATCTTCCACGACTTGCTGCAGGTATGCGACAGAGCCAATGTTCTTAGTTTGACCGAGACAGTAGGCGAGCTCATGCTTGAGTAGAGCTGAGGGTGAGGAAAAGCCGGCGGCAATTGCTTCGATGGCGGGGAGGGTCTGCTCGGTGGGAGGCTGCAGGCACGCCAGGTGCTTGAGAGAGAAAAGGGCGCGGAATCGGCGCGCAAGTGGCTCAGATTCGGAGACAAGAACCTTGCGGAGAGAAGGAACGGTAGTATCTATTTCGGCGGTCATTTTGAGGGTGTGGTGAACAAAAAGGGTCGGAGGTGGGAATGAAAAGTTGTTAATCTTTTTAATCTTATCAATTTTTAGAGTGGGGGGTGGGTGGGTGGCGGGGCCGATTTGGCCTTTAGCTGCGCATACTTTTCTGCTCGTACGTTCCTATTCTCCCTGCTTCCGGTGAGACTGCTATATGCCAATTACAATTTAATCAATTTGAGGTGTGTTGATTTTTGAAGCATTCCATTCTTGCTGTTGGACAGTATTGTGACTTGCAGAGATATATATTGGTCATGTTTCCACATATCTGCAGTTTCAGCAAATCTAAACATACCCCAGATACATAGAAATTCATGAAAGAAGAGTAAACAAGTATGTTTTAGCTTGAATAAATATACAAACTGCCAGCAAATATATATCATGTGTTATTTGAAAACAAGACTGTAAGCCTAAAGAGAGAGAGAGAGCCAAGGCACAAGTGCCCTAAATCGAGCTTGCCCTAATAAATGACCACTGCTGTGTCAAAGCTCCTATGATACTACACTGTGCCAAGATACATTCGAACCGACACGACTCGAGCATTGTTATATTAAGGACAACATTGGATGCTTAAACATTCGAGCATCCACTGGCGCGTGTGTCTGACAACACTATTTAACGAGTGAAATGCCCAGAAAACCAAGTGCACCGGAAAGTCTGGTATAGCGGGTCTGAAAGCATATTACTATTCATAACATTATTTTCTGAACGTATTTGGCTATGCTTGAATGGAAATTTCATAACATAGCGGACTAGCATATAGGTAAACGGCAACTAGCAACCCAGTCAGATGGACAGTCCTGAACAATGAGGTGTAATCCAACGTCATGATAAACAGTAAGCAGGTAGGAAAGTCGCAACTTTTGCATCGAAGTCATTTTAGAGAAGAATTAATTTCAGTCCTCGGTCTTTTCTCTTGCCCGCCTCTAGCTTTCTATTCGGAATACCATTCGATAAGCTCATGGTCATTGCTTGAAATTGAAAAGCTTGGGATTGATTTCAAGAGATAAAACTGGCAAATATGTACATTATACAGCACGAAGGTCAAATCATTTGGTCTTGATGTGCTTGATCTTCTTGGATTCGTGAAGGAAGTTGTTGGCGTAGGCCTTGGGCACGAAACGGCGCTCGTTTGGCTCCTGGACAAAGTATTCGTAGCCCTGCTTTTGGGCAAAAGCAATGGCGTCTTCCTTGGACTTAAACTTGATGTTAGTGCCCTGCATGCCGTCGGCGGACGATTGCCAGCCCATGAGAGGGTTCTCCCAGCGGTGACCGCGCTGCAAGATATCCCAATCCATGCGCCAGTGGTGCTGGTGCCAGGTACCAGACTGTGTTGCAGCCTTAGTGGGACGGTAGATGCTGTGTCAAAGTTAGTATGTGAGAGCTAGGTATTATGTTGAAATCTATAGAACGTACCGCACAGTACGGGCCTGGAGATCGGTAGGGGCTCCGGAGAGGACAGCGCCGGGGAGAGAGTCACCGGGCTCACTGCCATCCATGACGCGCTTGGGCACCGGGGAGAATTGCCTGCATTGACGCCAATGGTTAGTGGAAGGATCTGCGACGGAACTAGAAGGGGATCTCGTACGAGGTACCGTGATCGATGGTAGCCTCATAGTCGGGCTGGTGACGGGCCATAGACTCGGAGGGACTCTCCTTGTTGATCAAGGAGCTGCTCGAGTGAGTCGTGGTGGGAGCCTCGGACGGGGTGGTCTTCACGATGGGAGCGCCCTTGGCGCCATTGGAGACAAAACGCGCATTGAGGGGCGCAGAAATTCTGCTAGCGCGAAGGGTAGCGGCACCCCTAATTCTGAAAAGCGACATTATGTCTTTTGGATGGGTGGAATGGTCGTTGCCAAAGAGGAAGCATTTCAAGGTGTGGTTTGCCTGCAATTCGCAAGTCACGACACCACCGAATATGGTTTAGCGGGTCTTGGCTTTCCGACCACCCGCAGGGCTCGGTTTGTTCCTCCTTCCTCCTCCATCAGCTTTCTTTGGTTCACTTGCGCTGCAATCAACGTAAGTCCACGACGTCTCCGCCTCCCGAATACTCATTGAGAGTTCCTCTATCCTGTGCGACCAATTTCTGACACCCTCCAGCCCAGACAAGATGAGCTACATCGCCCGCCGAGGTCTCTCGACCTTGATCCCCCCCAAGGTAAGGACACTATCATTGATGACTATTAGGGTCATACACCTCTGCGATTGATGCTAACTTTCACTCTAGGTCGCCTCCCCCAACGTGAGTTACCCATCCCGCTGTCATCGTTGACATTGCGCACCCTGTCTACACCCGTCCCGCCCCGAAGTCGTTTTCGTGCGAGCCATCGACATCGTTGATTCCCAAATATTTCTCGACTTGATCGCTGACGTTTCTTCAAGGCTATCGGTGCCGCTCAGGATGCTGCCCGTATGGAGCGCGTTGTGAACTTCTACGCCGGTCTTCCCCGTGGCCCTGCCCCTACCGTCAAGGCTACCGGTATCATCGGCCGCTACCAGGCTCGCTACTTCAGCGGCAAGAACGCCTCTGGTGTCCGTACGTATAATCCAACCGTTACTTGATATTCGCATGTATACTGATCGACACAGCCCTTGTCCACGCCATTGGTGGTATCCTGATTCTGGGTTACAGCATGGAGTACTACTTCCACCTGCGTAAGCTCTCCCAGCCATCTATCATGCTCTTTCTTGATCCATGAGTCTCGAATAATAGCTGACGCTTCACCAACAGGCCACCACAAGAACCACCCCCACTAAGCTTTCCCCTTTGACCCAATGCACGGAGGACTGATGTATATACTGGATCCTCACTTTCAGTGCAAGGGAATGTCTTGGTTTTAGCGAGAATCTTAGAATCTCACTGTGTTTCAATATCTGATTTATGCCGCTTTTTTTCGTGTAGTTCTAAACGTAGAGTATGAAATCTGGTGAAACCTAGCTGGCGGGCTCTTTCCTCACTTTTTCGTAAAAACGGCGTGCAGCCTCACGCCGAAAGTATTATTTCTTGTCCATCTTCTGCGTACAACATTACACACAGATTAAACCTCCGATAAGTCGCAAATAGGGCGTCAAGCAAGGTGTGTGGGCAGATACACCTCACAACTTTCGTCCGGGCCACGCTAACCGAAAACAGCGACCCTCAGCTTCAACCCGAGTTGACACTTGAATCTTGTATCATCCTCCCTATTCTTGTACCATCAACCCTCCTCACTCAGAAAGTCGCCCCCTTGGACCTCCTCCCGTCTCTGGGATTTCTTGCGCTGCGGACTCTCCTAACGCACGCGCCCTCCGATTCCGCCGTACTCTCCACTTGACACGGCTACCCCATCAGCTTTCGAAGACTGTTGGCCGAATCATATCTGGTTGTAGAATCCCATTTCTTCAGGGTGCAACCAGTCGAGCTAGCAGTGCAACCGTGGCGATCCTTGATATCTGACGATAGGTATGTGTTCTTGGGCAACCCGCATGGCCGATCCGCAGCTGCCTTTTGAGCCCCCCCGGAACCCATGCTCTCATCACCGAGGGCGCTTTGCTGATATTATCGCAATTGTTGCTGTGGACAGATTCGAGTATTGTTATGGCAGAGCAGAGCAACCGCGATGTGGTAGATCAGACCCTGTCGGGCGGCGAGCCCTCGCCTTCCGACGTTCCTGCGAGTACCAACGACAATCTATCTGCTGGAGGGGACGCAGGGAAGACCGAACATATCGCAATGAACAACGCTACATCAAACAACTCACGCTTGAACCAGCAGAACCACGAGACCACCGACATGCTTGATTCACGAGGGGAACGGACTGGAAGTGACAAAGATCCTGTGGGCTCTGTGACAGTGAGCTATGCTGTTGGAAACGTCTCGAAGCGCGTGCTGACTTGGGCGCAGGATAATAGCAAACAGGGCGCTGGAGTTGTTGCGACAAGGGTCCTTGAACTAAACGGAATTGCATCGGCATCGGATGGCGGAGATGATACAGCGTCACAAGGTGGTTCGGAATCTGATGCAAGTCGAACGGATAGCAGAAACCATGCGCGAAGTGGCTCTGTCAAAAAGCCAGGCTCATTCAAGCCTGTTTCCTTCGCCAAGTTCTCAGTACCCAAGGTTGCGGGAGCTCCAACACCCCCGAAGGCCCCTGAGAAGGGTATGTTCTTAATCAAGGATCTTCTGATGACCAGCACTGACCTGTGTAGTGCCTTCAGCTTCAAGTACACCACTCGGTACCCCGCAGCCAAGCTCTCGACCACGACTTGTCGCAAAGACTACCGCCGGGATGCGTGATTCGTTTTCAAAGACTGGGGCAGGCGGAGGCAATACTGGTGGATCAGGTCCTGATCCCAACCAGGTCTGGAACAAGAATCGGCGTATGTTTTTAGCTTGATTGAGCGGGAGCTACCTGAGCTGACGTTGATATCTGTATAGCTGTCCAGCCTCCTCCACCGAAGCACTTGACCGACGAAGAGTTGAAGCAGCAATACGGCATTCATATGACTTCGCGTATCCAAGAAGATGGTGCTGTTAGCTCTGAAGCGAAATGGGCGGATATCGATGATGACGAAGATGATTGGGCCCCCGAGACGATCGAGTGGACAGATGGAACTAAGGTCACTCTCACTCACACTGACCCTCCACCAGCTCCCAATCAGCCAGAACCTAAGGAGGCGCCTTCTGCAGAACATCCGCCCGCTACGAAAGAGCCTCTTAAGTTTGCACCGAAACCAACGACGTCAATCGGACCAAATCCCACCATTCTCAAACTAGGAGCGAATGCTGAACGTCAGGCAAGGACTGCAAGTGCTTCGTCCAAGGGCACAAATGACAATGTCCAATCTAGCTCTACGAGCCCAGCACCACCCTCCAAGTCTCCATGGGCCACCTTACCACCGGTTGAAAGAGTTTCTCCAGTCAGTGCTCCGATGCAGCCTCCTCCTCATCAGCTGCGCATGCCTATGAGCCATTCTCAGGGTCCGAGAGATGAGGGATATCATGGCCAATTACCACCAAAGGAGATTGCAGCAGACGATTTCAACCGCACATGGAAAGATACCCAGTCAGGTGCTCCTCGAGAACTCTACAATTCTCGATCCGGCCGGTATGAGCCAGTGGCAGATACTCGGAGACCATCATGGCGTCCTGACCAGCATCCTCGAGCCCCTGCTGTGTTGCAGAGAGCAAATGAGCACTCAGGTGGGCCAGCCGAACCATCTGCTGCATTCCAAACGCACAGATCCAGCCACCAGGATGGTCCAGGTTGGGGTCGTCGTCGAACATCGTCGAATGTGAGCGGTGGAAGTGGAGGGTATGGTCGTAGGATGTCTTTCGGCCGACCCGATGCACCCCCAAGATTTAACGATGTTCGAAGAGGCTCGCAGGTGAATGGAATGGTGGATCCAGCCTTAATCGATCGGGAGCAGCCCCACGGGAAAGATGAGATGCATTCATCTGGGCCCAACGGGACAGCGCGTTCGGTTGTTGATGTAGGTGACTCTCCTGCGGAGGCACAGGTACCAGTTCCTCAAATACCCCAGGAGGATCCTGTTGCTATGCAAGAGCGTATCATGAAGGAGAAGCGTCTAGAGGCGCGGCAGCGAAGAATTGAACAAGAGGAGAAGGAGGATGCGGCTAAAAGGGAGAGGATAAGACAGCGACTCGAAGCAATGGGTCCTGCACCAGAGAAGAAGATTCCGGAAAATCGCAATTCTCACTCTCAATCCCATCAGCAAACTCATCCTCTTCACCATCCTCCCCCGCCATCTCCCTCGCAACTTCACCATCACCCTGCCTCCGCCATCTCTTCACCTCCAAAGCCCCCGGTCCCTGAGCCATCTGGCGAACCCAAACAGTATGGTATGATGAAAGTACACCATCCCGATTCTGTCAAGAAACTCGTGGCTTCACATGATCGTGAGCGGACTTCCGACAAACATCATCCTCGACACGTTCCTTCACCAAACCAACAGAAGCGTGACCACCCTTCTGCACCTGGTGGCCAAGATCAAACCGAGTCGCAGTCCCCAGTTCAGAACAAAGCTGATACGAAACCCGAAGAGCAGCATGGTCCCCAGTGGCGTGCCAATCTGAATGTTTCTCACTCTCCTTGGTCTACAAACCCTAACATTGGGGTGAATCCTCCTTCTGTCAACAACCCTTGGAAGCCTCTGGGAAGTGACCGAACTCTCACTCTCGGCAACGGTATTTTCGATCAGCCTTTGGGCTTTGCATCTCGTGAAGTTCCTCTTCGCAGTCAACTCGGGTTAGATCAAGCAACGATGCCTGCACCCAACTTCCCTGGCCCTCAAGAGCCAAACGTTCCTACCCTTCCGTCGCCTGAGACCAAACACCCCTCTCTTGACAAGATGACTCCTATCGGCCACCCTCGTCCTATTGGACCTCCGAGCTCACAGCAAAATCACGCAGCAGCTTTGAAGGCTTGGAACAATTTCCACGAGGTTGCCGCTAAACAAGAGGCCGAGGATGCGCGCAACTTTATGGCCCAATTCAAGGAAAAACGCGAGAAGGGAATCACCAGGCCCATCATCCTCAACGAGACTTGGAATCAGGTTCGAGTCAACGAGGACGGCTCGCGCAAGGTCATTAAGACTACCGAGAGAACCCATTCCAATGTTAAGGATACTGTTGCCCCTTCGAACCCACTGACCGAGCTTGATACCCCCGCGGATGGCTTTGTCAATGCTGAGCCCAATGCACGCACCGCACCTACTCGCAGCTCGCGCTTTTTCCCTCAGGGCACCGAACAGCAGAAGCGCCAGGTTACCGAGAAGGAGCGCAGCCCTTCTCCACCTCCTCCGGAGGAAATGTCCAGCCACCATCCTGTTTACTTTGGAGACTCGGATCGTCCTCTTGTCCATCTGCCTACCCCGAAGCCTCCCAAGCCTGTTGTAAAGTTGCCCCCTAAGGCAGCCGCAGCCGCCACTGCTACTGCTACCGTTGCTGCTCCCGCCCCCGCAGCCGCAGCCGCAGCCCCGGCTCCTTCTTTCGCGTCCATGGCAGCAGCCCCACCACGAAAGGCTGCTCCCTCTGCGCCCTCTGCTCCCTCCGCTTCAAATGCTGTCTCATGGCAAGCCAAATTTGATGATCTCTTCGGCAAGTCCACGCCACCTGATAGGAAGAGTGTCCTGGCTGTTACTTCTGCTTCCAAGGAGCCTCTCCCTGTCCACGTTTCCGGAGCCGCTGTCTCTTTACCCCGAGTTGTCGTCGATTCGCAGCCCGGAGATGGCGATCTCGCTGTCCGCCAGGTTGAAGAGCAGGATGAGATGTTTGAGGACCGCGAGCCGGGCTCTCTGCCTGCTGTTCGTGTGCCTCCTATGGCACCTCCCATGGCATGGGCCCCAGTGAAGTCTCGTTACAAGAACACCAAGCCGGTAAACGCCCAGAGCCTCCGAGTTTTCCTAGTCGGAGCAAATGACATTGACCACCATGGCAATACTCGAGTTACAATTCGTGTCCCCGGTGGCACCCCTACTCAAGTTTTGCTCCCCAGGAAGGCTGGAACCCTTACTCCTCGTCATCACAACCCCGCCAACCCCAGCAAACCTCGCAAGACAAATAATAAGTCTCGAGATGCTGCTGGCGGGGGTCCCAAGAAGTCCGGCCCTCAAGGCTCTTCTCAAGGCACTTCTGGATCACGATACCGAGGCTGGAGCCCTGAAACCAAATAGAGAGATTCAGCTTTGCAATGACACGCTTGACCAATGGGATCCTCGGTGCCTCTTTTCACCTCTGAGAGCTGTGCCATGGTTCTGCAGCAAGATCTGATCAGTCTTGCCCAGTTTAATGTCTTGCAATCAGCAATAACCTCAAGTGAACATCGCCCACTTTGCTTTTGCTCAGAGTTGGCTTCTCATTTCATACCCTCACGTTTCTTTCGTGTTATGTACCTTCCAATTCCCCGTGCCCACCCCCTTCTACTCAGGACTCCAGCCTTCAGAATCTCCGCACGTCTCTGTGATGTATGGATACCTGGGCTGCTTATTCTGGATGTCCTGTGTATGTTACCCCAATCGCCGCGATGGCGTCTGCTTTTGAACAAGCAGGCTCCCAGGCCCCGATTTTCGTTGCGAGCTAGTCGGTCACGAACTAGTCTTGACGTGATTTCCTCAGCACTATCAATTCATCATTAAGCAATTTTCATGTCTTATGCAAACTCGTAGTATTTAAGTAAGCTAAGTTCCATGCTTTGTAGGTGGTGTCTATTCTTCCTTGGGCGTGTCGATAATCTCAACTCTGCCAACCCCTAGCAAACTTCTTTATTTTAGTTCTTGCTAGAACCCCAAAAACTAATTCACCCAACTGCCAGGAAGATACTCTGTCTGTCTCATGCAAGATTGAAGTTTCATTAACCGCGAAGCCCACTTCAAACTATTTGCTGACATTCACAGACCGTGCCTTCGATCGACGTCCTTAGAACCCTCCGGTCCATCGTACACGATTACCTTTCACCAAAGCATAGATACAGGACCACAGTATCAAGGACCTGATAACAACCAGTCAAAAGGCGCAGTCGTATTTTCGAGGAGACATTCAGAATGTTTTAGGCGCTGCTGGATTGCTCTTCGTGAATGGAGCAGGATGTCTGCTTTGCATGGATGGGATGATATAAGATTGCTCCGTAAGCTTGAACCCTTGCTCATTGATGATTCAATAAACATCATAAAATGCATATATAGGATCATGTTGATCTTCAATACGAATTTGAAGATCTCCCGTACGTACAGTTGACGTCTAGTTTCGCCGGCTTAGGGCTGGCTCCTATGTGCTCTTGTACAGCTGTCAATGGACTCATACAAATTCAACTAGAAGGGAAAATCAGCATTAGAAAGCAAACCACAGTATCGAGCAGATAAAGACAAAATTTCAGGTCATCGATTATTCCTCGAATGTATAATGATCTTTCAAGCACACGTAGCAAGGTAACAAGTGGCATAATGTACAAAACAAGTGAGAGAAATAGGTATCAACCGAAGAAACAAGAGCCCCATAAACACCATTTTCTCAAAATACGCCCATCCATCCAGACCTAGCCCAGACCCCAAACTCATTAGATAACCAGTCAGATAATAACAACTCCCAGATCAAAGTAACGGCAAACGAGACGAGAAGCACAAGCTTGGCCTACCAGTTCCAGGTTCGGCTGGAAGCTGTGAAGACGGGTGGCTTCCACTGGAGACGGGTAGGATCAATCTTACGCGCGCCCTTGACCTCTTCTTTTTTGAGGCGCTTGTTGTGTTCCTCGACGACATGGTCTGTGAGGACGATGACCCAATTGCCCTTCTGCAAAGCTAGTTAGCAATCCCATCCCTATGTATGGTACAGTATAGTGGGAATCAAAACTTACGTAGTACCGGAGCATGTTGAACACAACCAATGTCTCGTGAACATCCTTTTCAGTCATGGAAGTAAGCACAGCCAATTCGTTCTCGCTCATTGCTTCGCGGTTTGGTTCGATGAGTAAGTCCACTAATGTCTCGCGCCAGTACTGGCGATAACCGAGCAGACCTAAGTCACTGAGTGGTTTCTCGGGGGAGCCGAGCTTGCCTTCGCGCTTGCTGAGCTCGTAGCTGAAGGAAATGAGTAGACGACCGAAGCCGCGGCGTTGATACTGGGGAAGTGTCATGATACACGCCAGGTTGTATCCCTCTGCGGAGTCTTTCTCCTTGGAGAAGTAACCGACGAGATGGCAGCCTGTCTCGTCGCGCGTACACATGCAGTAGAAGAGAAATGGGTCGACGTCGTAGTAGAGGGTCTTGTGGTCTAGGAAGAGTTTACTCAGGAGACAGAGGTTGCGGCACCAGGTTCGCTGACGGCGGCCGTCAACTTCGAAGAAGGAGATGTAGTCGTCACGGTAGATCTCGTTGCCGGGTGGGTGGACAAGGGTGCACTTGGCGCGGTGTCGCTCAAAGGCACGTTTATTGTCGAAGTAGCTGAGGCAGAACTCGTCGATGTAGACCAGATCCACGTCCGAGAAGGAATCTGGGTATGGCGAGAAATACCACGGCTCGACATCATACTTGCCCATCTGGAGTCGGGTCAAGTTTCGGACACGATGGATTTCCGTTGGGTTCTGTGTCATACTGCCGCTTGTACGCAGTCGTTCGATTTCTTCGCCACGAGTGATTACCTCGCCCGACGCTGTTTTGACTTCGCCTTCTTTGGGGGATTGGGTTTCCGCTGAGACATCTGGCATTTCTGCATCTTCGAGATCTACAGTCTTTGGTGTGCCGACAGTTGAAACTACCTCTGATGGGAATAGGGATGTATCACCGGGCGTCTCGACACTGAGGTTCTCTTTCCCACCAGCCTTTGAAGGTCGTGAAGCCTTGCCGACATTCACATTCTTGCCACCCAATGCATCGGGTGTCTGTGACACATCGCGACTGTCGGCACGAGCACGCTTATTCGTATTCTTGCTGGGTGCTTTGTTGGCAGCGGCAGTCTTCTTCTTATCAGCCTTTTCAGGCTGAGGCCATTCAACCTCATGCGAGAGATCGATACGCGAAGACGAAACCCATTCTGGACCCATGTTAGATCAAAATAGATACAGTAAGGGGACTGCTGCAACACAACTCACCATCAAGACGCTTGTTGAAGTCGACATAGTGTACGCTGTAATTGAACATCAGCACTGACTCGAAGCATGAAAAGAGAACAATGTCAAACATACTAGAAAGAAGGTCCGTCCTTTCGCTGCCTGATGGACAGAATCTCAGCTTTGCGCAGCTCCCCATCCTATCAACAACAGTCAGTATTAAAGCTAGACAATTGATCCAGTCCAACGACGCCAGTCATCACGTGATGCGATCACTAGAATCTGCAACCGAAGGGCCAAAACTGACCTTCTGCACCATGGCCTTCACACCGATTCTATGAGAGCAGTTAGCACTTGCGACCGAGAAAAGTGCCTACGGGCACCCCAGGGCAATTGTTTCATGCATAAAAAGCGACATACCGGATAGTATTGAGGGTGGCCATGCCCTTCTCAACAGGGTCGGGGGTCCCCGTCGCCTCCCCCTGGGAATCTCGGACACCCATCTTGCTAGACTGGCAGTAGGTCTGAACGAAGCAATTTCCGAGATGAAAACTGATGAAATGGCGTTGTTAAGGGTTCACTTGGGTGATGCGCTCATGGGTTGTGACGGGAAAGGGAGGAATCCGGAGTTCGAGTTTAGCCGTTCCGCTTTTGGGAACAATGTATCATCTATACAACTGCGACTATATTACTGAGAAGTTTACATATTGTATTTTTGTCTGTTTACTGGATGGAAAGACCTTGAAAAGCATAGGACGCCGTCTCTTGTTTTTGTATCTGCTTCCCATTTCCCATTCCATTGTGCCATGGCCATGTATGGCATAGTCTTTTATGTAAAGTGATAAAGAACAATTCAACCCAACGCCAAGTGCCTTGCAGATAATCAAGAGATATGCAGAGAGTCCCGAGAAAGAAGTCAAAGATATGCGTCGAAGCAGGACAGCGAGTTTTTTCCCCCTATCACTCTTCGAATTTGCGCTTGACGCCGTTCGGATTCGGTGCCTGGGCTCTCCGTTGCCTGTCTGCATCTCCAGCAGCCATGTTGTTCGCGCGCTTTTTCCAGGCAGTCTTGATAACTGGCGCAAGACGGATGAGGTCATCTTCAGTGACGCGGTCCTCAATACTTTCAAGAACCTTCTCAACAGTCGAGATGTGGTTGGCATCGTTCTTGTCGTCACGGAGACGATGGTACCGCCATCGCCCTTCGGAATCCTTGGCACACTCGACAATAGTGTTGTCTAATGGAACGCCCAGAGCCTTGAGATCCTCCCATTCATTCGCATCAACGAACATCTCCCCGAAATGACGGTACTCGCCAGCATTGAGCATGACGAACAAATGAAAGATCGGAATAGCATCATAGTCCACATAGGGCTGAGTGATACCCTCAGACTCATCCTCAGTGTCAGGCTCAAGCATCGGGAATTCAAGACGCATACGGAAATCAATGGTATTTTCAGCTGGCGGCTTCCACTTGAGAATATGCTCATCTGTACCAATGCGGTATGGAGTACTGCGACAAGTAAAAATGAGACCGTCGTTGCCGTGGATTTTCTTAACCTTGGGAATAATCTCGCGGAACATCATCTCAATACCATAGCTGAACTGCGTAGATTTGTCCTCGACAGCAAAAGCGCGGTGTTGCTTCTCTTCTGGGAACTTGCGGTACATGGCATTGTACGGCCGGAGGACCTTCTCCTTGAAATATGCCAGACGCTTATCCAACGTCCGGTGCATGAGACTCTGTCCGTCCAACACGAGACAATCAAAGACGAGGTATTTAAGCTGCCGCGATCCATCTTCGTACGTGTCGTTGACGAGCTCGCCGTCGACTAAGGTGTCAACATGGTATGACTGGAACGTGTCATCGTTCGGCAGGGGGAAATGCAGACCCGGTACGAAGCGGTAGTCGTTCTTGCGATCGATCAGATAGTGAATCTCTGGTGCGTCGGAGTCTGGGTCTCCGCGCGCAAAGTACATCAGGCAGCGAATGCCGTCTGTCTTTTCACACACGAAGTAGTCCTCGCGCTGCAATTCCTCCAGGTGTTTCGATGAGAAGCTGACTGGTTGTGCGCCGGGGAAATTGAGGTTGTTGCGCCCGAGGAGAGTCGCGACTTCGCGGCGGAATTGGTCGGCCAAATCATGCTCGGCTTTGATTCCTATGGAATCTAGGTCTGGGACCGCGTGGCTCATTGTGAATGTTCGGGAGGTGTAAGAGACCGTAAATATCGGATGGTAGCTAGGCAAAGATGCCCAGTAGGCTTATGATTCCCTCAAAGGGTGAGAGGGGGTCGGGTTGCGATCAATTAGACTCGGAGAGCTAGGTGGAGTGATAGCTCAGAGGGCGCTGGCCCGCAATGACACAAGATGAGCTGGGCGTTTGGAGCTGGAAGCTGTGAGATGATCGGAGTAAGAAGGCACTCAGCGTAATAGAGCCTTGCTCGCGACTGTTATAACGACTCCAGGTTTCAAAGACAATGACTGATCGGCGAGCCGAATAATGATGGCCTGATGACTCAGGCCATAAATAACGTAATCTGAATAGCTTCAACTGCAACTGCGTGCTACAGTCTTGCAGTAATGCCATGTCAAATACTACAAGTACTACGAGTGCCACACCAAAAATCAAAGACCAATATGGAAAGGATTCAATTGCAATCTACTTTCCAAGCTTCAAATGTATGGCGCCAGCCGGGGTATCATGTCGTCACCTTTCAAACCAAAGAGAACCAGCCTGGGCCCATGGCCTATCCAGGGAAATCGCAGAAGAAGAAGTATGACAAGAAAGGAACGGAGGGGATGCGCTAGTAGGTAGTCCCTGCGCCCATGAACGCCAGCATCCAATATCCAATACACCAAGGGAACTCAAATCCAAGCGCAAACGAAAAAAATAGTTGTCGTAAATCATCATACAATGCGCCGGACGGATTATGTAGCAGTCACTGGGGTCTTGCGCGCACCAGAGACATCGGATTCCGCATTGGGGACCACGGGCGAGGAGGAGTTCATATCAGCAGCGACAGACTGGAAAAGAAGGCCACCAAATAGAGGCTGGCTGTCGTCGGCGGAGAAAAGCCCACCGCCACCGCGTACTCCCATTGCATGCGACATCTGCTCCTTGATGCGGACGTATCGGTATTTCGATTTGGTGGTGATCAGGGGATGTTGGACCAAAGGCTGGGGGTTAGAACGAGCGATAGCAGCCATTACAGAGTCTCTCTCTTCGTCCGAGTCAATAGGACCGTTGTTCTCGATATCTTCCTGTAGGGGGGCATTGGCATCGATTGCGGCCTCTGGATACGAATAGGTCAGTCACCCGTGGGCAAAATGCAAAGTAAGAAAGACACCACATACTCTGCTGGCGGGCCTGGTTTTTCTTCTGATATTGCTGAAGCAGCATATCGTAAGGCAGTGTACGACCAGGAACTGATCGCTTCGCACCCATGGAATGACTCTTGCAAGTCAAGGAACGAGCGCACTGCGCGCCGTTCGGCAGAGTAACACCGCATTGTTTCTCGACATCCACAGGGCCCTTGGGTTTAGCGGTCTTCGGCTTAGGCTCATCCTTCTTCTTCTTTTTCTTGGGCTCGCCTTTGTCGTCCTCATCGGCCTTGCGCTTCTTGCCCTTCCTGTCATCGGTGCTCTTGACGGCACTCTTCTTGGAGCTTTTCTGGCCCATCATGGCGTTACCCTCATTGTCCTTGTCGAGAGGATCGTCGTCTTTGTCGTCGCCGGCCTTTGCGCGATTTGCCGCGTCGCGTGCCTCCTTCTTCTTGCGCGCCTTTTCTTGCTTCGCCTTCAGACAACCACGGACATGCTCGGCCGCTGTCTGCTTGAGGGTGGGGCGCTTGCAGTGTTTGCAAATGACCGTTTCGATCAGATCTTCCTGGCGTGGCTTGCCAGTTGGGAACACGGAGACGATCTTGCCGTCTAGGGTAGGGAGAGGGGATGATGTCGGAGAAGTGTCGACAGGGCCATCTTTTGGTTCTGATAGTTTTCTAGAGTCAGTTGTGCTTGAGGGTCCGGGTCCGAGGAGCTGTACCATCTGCCTTTTTCTTCGTTGACGCCTTGGATGTCTTCTTCACCTTGATCTTGCCGGGCTTGGTGTCCTTGTCCGTGAAGGAGTAACCGGACGCATCAACCAGACTTCCCGGTCCTGTCGGACAACATGCTATTAGTTCAAGGCTCTTGCAGACACCATTCGCATTGATTTGTTATCGAAAGCGGCTCATGTTCGGCGCGCCTTCCGTCACAATCAGTACAACTTACCTCGACCAGGGTCACCATTGGTCGCCATGGTGAGCGCAAACTAAGAATAACTCGAAACACAAAACGCTCTCGGGTTTGCACAACGAGCGTTCTGTACAAAGACGTGGGGGGTGGTTCTCTTGGATCAGGTCAAGCATCCGGAGTCAAGGTCGGGCTGGGGCTCCGCATTTGGATGGGTCACGTGTTATATGCTATACTGCTGCATCTCGAGTAATAATTGCCCTTTATTGTTTGGATTTCTCTTGTTGGGGATAGTTATGAAAGCAGTATAATTCTATTCGCTACTTATTTCAATAGCGCATCGATGATGGATGAGATCTAGGCCATCTGAGCACAAAGTGCCTCTGTCAAAACAACACCAAAATAATCTGGGAAAATATCATACAAAGGTGGAAAAGAGCCGCTAAGAGTACTTTGAAAAGCAGAGACTGCTGTTTGTTCCACCAAATCCAAAGCTATTTGTCAAAGCGACATCGATCTGTCGAGACTGAGGGTCCTTCGGCGCATAGTTGCAATCAAACCCATCAGCCAAACGTTCCAGATTGATAGTAGGTGGCATAGTGTTCTATATCTTGTCAACAAAATCCGTATCGAAAAATTCGGGACGTAAAGCACCACTTACCTCATGAATCGCAAGAACACTAATCAAAGCCTCGATGGCACCAGCACCACCAAGAAGATGACCAAGCGCACCTTTAGTGCTACTGACATTCACATCAGAAGCCTTCTCCTTACCATCCTCGCCAAGGAAAAGTGACTTGATAGCAGCATTCTCAGCAGCATCCCCAACCATAGTTGAAGTAGCATGTGCGTTGATATAGGCAACCGCGGAAGGACGCAACTGCGCCTGTTTCAGCGCCTTTTTCATAGCCATAAAAGCACCTTCACCATTTTCCTTGGGCGAGGTCATATGATGCGCATCACTGGAGCAGCCGTATCCTTTCAGTTCGGCGTAGATCCGCGCTCCTCTCGCAAGGGCGTGTTCTAGATCCTATATCAGGCATTAGTATAGAGCTGGCCAAAGTCGATGTTCAATACACGTACTTCGAGAATCATCACTGCTGCACCTTCGCCTACCACAAAGCCTCCGCGGTCAGCGTCGAATGGCCGTGATGCGCTTTCTGGTGTGTCGTTGAATGCTGTTGCTAGGCTTCTGGCTCGGGCGAAGCCGCCTATTGCTAATGGATGGATGCAGGATTCGGCTCCCCCGGCGACCATGACATCGGCATCACCGCAGGCAATGAATCGGGCTGCGTCCCCGATGGAGTGTGCTCCGGTTGTGCACGCTGTTGTTGCGGCATGATTCGGGCCCATGAATCTGTATTTCATGGAGATGTGCCCGGCTCCGAGGTTAATCAAAAGCTTCGGAACAAATAGCGGATTGACCTTTTTGTAGCCCTGTAAAACCGAGTCAGTCATAGTCTTCTCCCAAATAATGATTAACTGACGCCTTTTTCATAAGCTACAACTGTGTTGTAGATCTCGTCAAAGTTTCCAATTCCTGATCCCAAACAGACTCCCTAGAATAGGAAATTAGGACACATTTCAAACATAACTATTCGACATCAAAGGCACACATACCGTAGCCTCTCTCTGCTCAAAAGTCTCAGGTTTCCAATCAGCATCTTGCAGTGCCTCTTCAGTAGCAGCCATAGCGTATTGCGCAAATTGAGCCATCTTCCGCTCCTCCTACAAGAAAAATCAGCATCATAAAATGAATTCATCCAACAAGAACATCACACACCCCCCGACTCAACCACTCAGAAGCCATCCATCCACCATCCTCCCGACTTCCTTTGGGCACAACAGCAGCCACCTGGCAAGGCTGCTCAGCAAACCGCTCATCACGCTCTTTTACATTAACAATGCCACAGTGGCCGTCCAGTAGACGCTTCCAAGAGCGCCGAATACCTATACCGCACCACAGTCCATATTAGCAAATTTATTCATATTCGGAGGGAAACTCCGGAGCTCCATGCACATGTCAAATCAAATCAAACCATAGCATGACACGATCAAATGCACAGCACACATTCAGTATGGAGTATGTACAAGCGGACAATAAGCCGCTGCACTCTCATTGGCAAGACTTTCCCTTTCCGGAGAGGAGTGGGGACTCGAGGCATGGGAGAGTCCGGGGATGCCATGCAGCTCCGGCCAAGCGGCCAAAGCGAGTACGATAAGAAGAAGGGGGATGGGGCATTGGTAAGCTGGAGGGGGCAATTGCATGCATTGCTCGCAGTAAAACCGGCGTGTGCTCGCGCGCTCAAGCTCCAGAAGCTATTCGCAACTCGCAAAGAAAAGATCACTCACCCACACCGAGCGGAGTGACCGCCCCAAGACCCGTTACAACGACACGCCGCATGGCATTGTTGATAGCTATTCAGAATAGCTAAACACTGTATTTGTATTGTATACAATGTAGTTGAAGTGTAAGAAGGGAAAAAGAAAAAGCGGGCCACAGCCAAGAAAGGAAAGTCTGCACGACCGGGTGGCGCTATCTTCCTATAGGAAGTTCGGAGAGATATAGATACTGCTTGAATACCGAATTGCTTCTTCTTCTCTTCACTCCTACACAATGGCTTGGAAGACACTGCTCACACTGGCTCTAGCCAGCTCCGCGGCCGCCTGCTCGCACCACAATGATGGTGAGGTTGTGCCCGAACACGAACGCGCCGAGCTGCTCAAGAAGTGGGATCAGGAATGGTCGTTCTCTGGAATTGCCAGTTTCGCCCATCTAAAGCCTGTCAAATGTCTGATCGAGCCGGAGGAACACTATGACATTGCTGTTATCGGTGCGCCGTTTGATACCGCTGTTAGCTACCGCCCTGGTATGACTTCCCTCCCACAACCTATACTCTACCACACCAACTCCCCCCAGCAATCTGCAAGAAACAACATGAACAAGGCTAACACAACACAGGCGCCCGCTTCGGACCCCGCGCCATCCGCGCCGCCAGCGCCCGCCAAATGGCAGCAACAAGCTACAACACGCGAGCCGGCATAAACCCCTACAAATCCTGGGCGAAGATCACCGATTGTGGCGACATCCCAATCACCCCCTTTGACAACGGGCTGGCCGAGCGCCAAATGTACGAAGCCTTCCTAGAACTAGGCTCACGCAAGATCGTCAACAAAGCCCCAAAAGCCAACGCCGGCATTGGAGCCACCCACCCCAAGCTCGTAACCCTGGGCGGCGACCACAGTGTCGCACTGCCAGCCCTCCGAGCCCTGTACCAAATCTACCAGAAGCCCATAACAGTGCTCCACTTCGACGCGCACCTAGACACGTGGAACCCAGTCCGCTACAGCGCCTACTGGCAGAGCGAACAGACACAATTCAACCACGGCTCATTCTTCCACAAGGCCAGTCGCGAGGGCCTGATTTGCAATGCGACAAGCGCACATGCAGGTCTGCGCACGCGCCTGACGGGCGTTGATGCGGGCGATTATACCAACCCCGGGCCTGAGCAGGGCTTTATTCGGATTCATGCGGATGATATTGATGAGCTTGGACCTATGGGTGTTGTTGAGACTATTATTGCGCGCACTGGTCTTGATGCTGAGCAGCCTGTTTACCTTTCCGTTGACATTGATGTGCTTGATCCTTCGACCGCGCCTGGAACGGGTACTCCTGAACCTGGTGGTTGGACGACACGCGAGTTTATTCGTATTCTGCGGGGTCTTGAGAAGTTGAATGTTGTGGGCGCGGATATTGTGGAGGTTTCGCCGGCTTATGATAATAAGGGGGAGACTACTGCTCTTGCGGCGGCGCAGGTTGCTTTTGAGATTATTACTTCTCTTGTTAAGGCTGGTGTTGATGAGGAGCTTGGCGGTTGGTATGGGTGGAAGGAGCAGCTTGAGGCTACTGAGGCTGCTGGTGAGGTTGGTAAGGATGAGCTTTAGTTGTTTTGTTCTTTTGGTGTATATAGATGACATGATGTTGAATGAAGTGAAGATTGATGACTATACTATTATGGGTTTATGTGTTAGGAGTAAGTTATAAAGTAGCTGGTCCATGCTTTGATCTGCATATGGCAGAGGAACCTACAATCAACTACATTTGTCCAAGAGATACATCTACTATCTTTCTACTATCTTTCTACTCTCTTTTCCAAGTATATCATCTACTCATCTCAAGGAACCATTTCAAAGAACCATTCTGATTGAGTCCACCACCTCGACTTTCTAGATCCAGGATAATGTCGCAGGAAATTCACGTAGAGAAAAAGCAGACGCTTGTATCAAAGCGCAAAAGTCATGTCGATAGACAGAAAAAGCAGAAACATACGCAGAGCAAGCAAAATCTGCAAGGCAAGGTACAGGCACATCAATATCAAATCAGATTCCAGTTGCAGATAAAATGTGTAGATATCTCAGAGGCAAAGGCAAAACTAGGGGGGGGGGGGGGGGGGGGGGGATATGGGCATTGGGGGAAAGATCAGCCAGAAACATGACGCCCTGACGTCCAACGCCGGAGAGACGATGAGAGAGGTGAAAGCATGTGAAAGCATGAATGGGGTAATAGGGGTTAATGGAGCGACGCGACAAAAAAAAGGGGAGGAAAGGGTCGAAAGTGCTGTCGCTGAAGTCGTGAAGGAAAGAGGAGGTAAGTGACGTCAAAGGAAGGATGAGGAGCACGCGCGAGACCCCTCAATATCGGGATTTCGACAGGAGACGCAGCCAGGCGAAGCAAAACGCAGAAAAGAAACAAGCAGAGAGAAAGGAGATAAAAGAGGGAGATATGGCAAGGTAGAGAGGCCAGAGCTGGAAGTCCCGGGCATGCCAAACACGAGAGAAGAGGGGATCAAAGAACAAGGCAATTTCAAGTGGAAACGTAGACATGGAACCCGCTTCAAATAGCATCGCTAGCACAAAAGATCCCTCTCCCTTTTTTTGGTGTTGCATATTCATATCCCGAAAGACCCAGTCAAGCCAGAAATATTTGCCTCCCAATAAAACGTGAAAAGGAGCAAGAAAGAAGAGAAAAAGCGATAAACAAGGTTCATTTCATCGTAGCTGCTTCGAGGCGCACGTCAACCAGGCAACCCGACGCGCGATAGTTCGTCTGCGCAATCGGATCCCACCTGATCCGAAACAAAAAATTCAACCGTGAAGCGATTCACAGCAAACGGCAGCCCCGTGACTTCTTCTTCGGCGCGGGCTCAAGTGCCGCAACAATAGCCTAGAGAAAGTGGAGGTCAGTAACGGCGGTGAAGAGGGGGAAGATATCGGGCAGCAAAAAGTGGAGGAGATGGGTACCTCATCAAAGACATCCTTAAGCTTGTACTGCGTCAGAGCGGAACACTCGACGTATTTCACCGCACCAAGCTCCTTGGCCATGCGGTCACCATCTTCCTTGCGAATGGGCTGCATTTTCTGACGGGAGAGCTTCTCCCGCACACCGGCGTCTTCGCGCAAATCAGTCTGGGTGCCGACGATGAGGCAGGGGACACCGGGGCAGTGGTGGTGGACTTCGGGGAACCACTTTTCGCGGACGTTCTCGAAGGAGGCGGGAGAGGTGACGGAGAAGCAGACCAGGAACACGTCAGTCTGTGGGTAGGAGAGGGGGCGCAGACGGTCGTAATCTTCTTGTCCGGCGGTATCGAACAGTCCAAGGGTGTAGGGTTCATCGCCGATCCTGTTCATCGAGGCACACGGTCAGATATGAGACGTGGAGAATTGGGGGGGGGGGGGGGGGGGGGGGGGAAAGGATGCACTTACATGACAGTCACAGCGTAGTTGTCAAAGACGGTGGGCACATATTCCGAAGGGAACTTGTTCGTTGTGTATGAGATGAGCAGACAGGTCTTGCCTACTGCACCGTCCCCCACCACGACACACCTGGGGGATGAGTTAGCAGGGAAGGTCGGTCAAGGAGAGAGTAGACATACTTGATGGTAGCGACAACCATTTTGACACTGTAACTGTGGAAGTGGTTGGATATTGGATGGGGAGAAAGAAAAGTGGGAGACAAAAAGGGAGGAAGAAGCTGTGGTCTGGATTGAATGGGGCAACCCGCAGAGTATGGAGTCTAGACACCGGCACGGCTTGTACTGCAAGCGAGATAGATCTCTTTCACTCTTGAGCGAAGTAGCTAACTACTATACTACTTAGCAAACTACTACTAGAGGTATTTAATTGTACTCTACTACCCCTTAAAGAAAGCAATTTCCAAGGCGTTTCACGGGGATCCTCGGCCCCATCTCCTTTCCAACCGTTTTTAAGTCAGTTCTGGACCGCTACTTTAATCATTTAATTAACGAGTCTCTCCAAAACATATAACATATACTCTCCCTCCATCCTCCAGCCCTCTCTACAGTATTCAACCTCCCCTCCACCTCCCCCCTAAGCCCAAACCACCCCCCAACCCAAAAAAAAAAAAAAACCCCCCCCCAACTCCAACTCCGACTCCAACTCCACAAACGCCCTCCGAAATAACTGCCATACAATTCCGTACACCTAGACACACACCAACCAAGGACAGGAGCCAACGCAACTTACAGTGCTGACAGTACATGTAGGTACCAACCTAACATGAGCGCCAACAGAATGCATCTGCATTCCCGCCCATCGGCCTCCGCTCTCCGGCTTGGGTGCGGACGTGGGCTTGGGCTTGGGATCATAGCTAAAGGATTAAAGCCAAAATACAGGACTCGGGAACGGATGTGTCTGTCTGGTATACGTGCATGCATACATATGCAGGTACATGCACGGGCTATCTACATACGTGGTTGAATACGGGATAGGGGGTGGATAGGGGGATAGGAACGGGATTAGGAGGTCGGATATGAGTTGGTCACTGTCTACTCTCTGCTTTGCTCTGTTGGCGGGAGAGTCACTGTATTGTGCTCTAGAGTAGGGCAGGTGTGCATGTTGATTGTACAGCTGGACTGGACTGGACTGGGCTGGACTAGATGACATTGAATTGGGCTGGGACTTGACCTTGTTGTCTACTGACCGTGTTGATCAATGATGTACATGCACGGTACAATATCCAGTTGCAATGCTGCTAGCTGGTTTACATAGTCTATGCCTGTGCAGATATCTACCTGGTAGAAGCGGTAGCGTTACTGTGCCAACACGCGAGATGAACTCTCCCTGATAGAGAACGGTTGTTACAGGGAGATGAGCCGGGCCCACATAGCATCATCATGATGACTACAGGGCTGAAAGGCGCATCCCGGTTACAAGTACAGTACTCAGCAGACTGGACTGTAGAGAGAAGCCCGGAGTGGCAAGCCGGCCGTATTGGAATGCGAATTTAGTTCCGGTCGGAAGTTTGCTACTTTGACAGGTCAGTTTGGGGAGTTGCAGGGTGGCATAGGGTCTAGGCTGGGCCGGGGGTTAGGTAAGAGATGAGTCTATTGTACCTTGGTCATGGTCCGTGGTCTAGGATTGAAGGGTGATGAGTGATGAGTTGTGTGATGGGTGATGAGTTGTCTACTGTACACCTGGGCAGTGTGTTGCTCGGGCCAAGGATGCCGTATAGAATTAGGTCAGTTGTCCAGAACTTCATGTTTGGACCCACTGTATAGATCTATGGCACGGGTACATTCTCTGAAACGTCTAGAACCCACAAACCAAAACCGGAGTCACGCCAAATGCAAATGAGGATCTGGGTCTTGGTCCAGAATAGATAAACATGTACATGTAGATCAGAATGCATCGAGACTGTCTTGGACATGATAAAACAATCAATAACGCCGCTTGCTGGGTTGTATCAAGGTGCAATTGCAGTATAAACCACAAAAAAGAAAAAGATCGCACACGAAAGAAGATGGCTCAGTCATAAGATCATAAGGTCATGTGCAGAGGGTGATGCACACGGAGGAAAGGGTTGCCCATGGGTATTAGGTTCGTTTGGAGTGTTCGTCCTCGTGGTCAGGCTCTGCCTCGACTCGTTGGGGGTTCTCCTGGGGTAGGGAGTTGCCGTAGCCCATCTAGGTTCATGTCAGAAGAGATCGAAAGAATATGCCGCTGGGGTGTTGCTCACCTTGTCAAGTTTATAGTTCACCATCATCAGACTAAGTGGGATCAGGGGGAGGGTGGCAATGATGGCCAAACATAACAGTCGGTTCATGGTCTCTTGATAGGCGCGGTTGATGGCAATGCGAGTTGGAGATCCCACCGGGTACGATAGGGCCTCGGTCAACTTGCCGAAGATTTCACCAGCCTGGCCCTTGGTTTCTTCGGGAAGATACTTGAGAAGCTTGTGTGGGATGGCCGAGGACCAGACGGCTCCTGAGATAGCAGCACCAACGGCACCGCCCATCTCCATGGATGTCAAGAACATGGCTGTTGCTGCGGCGACTTCTTGGTGGCTGGCGGAGGCCTGGACACCTAGTTGGACAGGCACGTTGACTAGACCACCACCGATGCCGACGATAATTTGGGTTCCCAAGACCTGGAGGTGGGATGCACCTTCGCCTCGGCATAGAAGCATGAGGGCCAGACCGGTCATGTAGACGACACATCCGATAATCACGTAGATACGGTAGCGACGGGTATATTTGATAAGAAGGGACACGCTGAACGCGGCAATGGTTGAAGTAAAGGCAAAGGTTTGGGTGACGCGCCCTGCTGTGGCAACGTCGTACCCTTGTACAACCTGGAGGTAGGAGTACAGGTAGGGCTGAACGGAGAAGTAGAAGGCCACTGGCGAGGGTTAGTAACAAAGTTCGAGGACGGTTGTATTATGATACTCACTGAAATACCAAAAGGCCAATGCACAGCCTGCAAGAGCAGTCTTTTGCTTGAGGAGATGTAAAGAGAGCAGGGGCTTGGGTGCCAGTTTATGGGAAGCCTCCCAAAATGGCAGCACAATGAAGCAAATGACACCAAATATCATCATTACCAAGATACTAGGGTTCATCCATCCACCCTTCGCATTAGCTGCGAGAGTCAAAGGCACCAAAAGCAATGTCACAGCAGCAGACAAAAGAGTGAGGCCGCCCACATCCAGATCGTACCAGGTCCGACGCACGATGCTGAAAAAGTCCCCGTGTCGCTTAGACCGGGTCTTGATCAGATTCAGTCTCCGAGCCTTACGCTGGTTAAACAGCAATGACAGGGCCAGTGGCAGGAAGGATGCAGGTAATATAATAGCCCACATACCATATCCCCACCGCCATGAGCTGCTGCGCAGTACTGCGCCCGCGATAGTCGGCCCAAGCCATACAGTGACCAAAAATGGGAATTCGGGTAGAAGCGCGAGGAATGCACGGTTCAACAAATCACTACTGTCGGCAATGAACACTTGTTGGAGGATCTGCAAGCCTGTTGAGCCGGCAGAGTAGAAGATTTGGGCCGATGCGTAAGTTTGGACATTGGTAGAGGCAGCCATCTGAATATATCCCAGCATGTATATGAGGATGCTAACGCAGAATGCCTCAAATCGACCGAATACATCAGCGATTTTGGCCATCGGAGGTTTGATAACAGCTATTGCAAGTTAGTGATGTTCGTCTGCTTCCAGGGAGCGAGGCGGGGTAGTAAGTCCTACCATTGACCACATTCTGAATAACAAGAACTGTCGAGATCAACGAGTGCTTACTGAAAGCACTCGTCGCGTATGCCGACAGCGACATCACAGTCTGGCCTTCTAGCGACGTGCAGAATGCCATGAGGAATATACTTTGCGCCAAGTCAGTAGGGGTTCACAAAAGGCATGGGACTGCAAGCCACACGAACCTGACGTAGGCAATCATCAAAGACCGAGTTGTCCAGGTCAAATTGATGGCTTCAATCTTTGCGACTCCCTCTTGCATTTCATCCGGCGTGGACATTCCACTGGGCTGAGCCTCAACCTCATAGTCATCCTGTAACAGCTGCTCCCGCTCATTATCCAGTTGGTTATCGTCGGGATCCATAGTGCCGTAGGACGGTCCTGAGCGCGGATCGAGAAGGGGCATGTCGGTGATGCACACCGATATAGCTCAACGGAAATCTCGTTGCTGGCCAGAGTCCATAAAAAAATAGCAAGAGATCGGTCTTGGATTGGATAAACGCATATACAGCGGACGATCTTAACAGTGTTGATTAAGCGGCAGACAACAAAAAGAGTTCATGCAACATCAGGTGTCGGGGGCGTATCACATAAAAGGGATGGAATCTTGCTCTACTGAGCAAGTACTGGGCTGTTCAGCCTGAGCCAGCCAGGTCCACTTGAAAAAGCAACGACGAGCGAATCGGAGAGCGAGTCGGGAGAAGAAAAGAAAAAGAGACGAGAAATATGGGGCGCAAATAGGGAAGAAAAAGATGAAGCGCGCTTGCCTGGTCGATACCTCATGGAGAGCTATGTACGAAGCAGGATCCGGCAAGCAGCTATGGGGCGGATGGGTAGATCCGCCTTGGAGGGGGGCACCCAGGCTGTAAGGGGAAAGCAGGCCTGGAATAGGTCGGAGTGCAGTAAATGACACCGAGCCCGATCGTCGGTCGCACTTATGCACGTCGATGGGTCAGTAGCAGCAGAGCGTGAGATGAGAGGCTGAGGTCCGATCTCAGACATTCCAAATTAGGCGAGTCGGAGTCATGCTTTCTTGTCAGCCAGTCATCCGTAGTATAGTCATTCTCGTAAAGGTCGGAACAAGTCCAGATATGTGAAAAGAAGAGAGAAGAGTCAGAAAATTGGAAGTGGAGTGGCGTGTCAGGCACCTCCCGGTCTTTACGGGGTTGCGTTCGGAGCGGTACCCGAATAGTACCCGGACGGTACCTCAGTTCACAGTGTGGCATAGGCTGATTTTTTGGTACTGCCAAGTCACTCTTTGGTTCAGACCATCAGATATGATTTGATCGATAAGATGCAAACCTGATTCTTGGTTCGGCGGTTTCTACCGCCATTTGATTATTTTCGGCCTGAGGGTTTTCTTAAGGAATGTAAGGTGGGGTATACTCTAACACTTTTCTGTGAGAATGAAAAGCAGAAAAATGTCTTTTAATTCAACCATCCACTATCTGGCGTTAACATGCATTGCTACCCTCTTGCAGATCTTTTAACGGAGTATACGAGAATATAGACGGCATACCTCCGTTAAAGAAGAGCACGTCAAGGATCCGATGAAGCCGGCCGAAACTTACTTTTCCCTTTTACGGTCTGTTCTATAGTAAATCTCCACTATAACTCACTACAGTAAATTATAGAGTGGTGTGACCTCGGCAGCTTTGCGCCGGGTTAAGCCGTTACACCATCGAGAGGGAAATCTGATAAACTTTAATTAGGGCTACTCTACAGTATGTATTGCAGTAGTTGGGCAAAAGACCGGACTTGGCAGTGAAAAGAGGAAAGTACTCCCTTGACTAGTAAATTTCTTTCATTTTGTGGAGGTCCGAGAGAGACTAATCCTGTCTCCACTTGGCACACTGCAGTTTAATATAGTATGGCAGCTCTATACGTTTCAGGTTCAAATGAAAGCCCGTTGATCTTTCCACTAATGCATTTGACAGCTTCTGGTCACCCGACATGACAAGGCTACCAATCAACTGTAATGGGATTGAAGTCTATCCGTCTGTCGGCTGATCGACAGTATATCGTCTGTGGCATATACATATGGAGTTGGGCTCATGTCAAGCCAGCCGATCTCTCTATCAGATCAGAAACTGCCTATTCGATTTCATGTGCTTTTACATCCCTGTGGTCCCAGGCCATCTCGACTCGATGTGGCAAGATTGCACGCAGACAACAAAGTTCAAGGACTATGTACCATCTGCCTAGTTCGGTTACTTTTTACATTGCTAACAAATGTATAGACAGCTACTTGCAGACAATCTCTTATCAGCCCTAACAAACGTTGATCCCATTGATTCTTTCTAGAAGCCTTCGCCACCTATCACACACATATCTAACCATCAATATCCCACGAAATCATGCCTGATCTATAATCAAATGTCCAAAGTTGACAGGAAGCTCTCCACTCTCACTAGAAGGTCGAGCAGCATAAACACCAACCCAGAGGTCCTTCACACCCTTCTCCTCAAAAACCCAAGTGATCTCTCGAAGAGGCGACTTCTGCAGGCCCTCAACCAGATAAATCCACAGACTATTGTCCTGTTCTCTAACCATTTCAAGGGTCGCCGCACCACCACCAGAAGGCACAGGCTGCAGGCTCCAGTCCGCCCAGTTATCTTTTGCGACAGTGCTCAGGTGAGGTCTGCCATGGGTGAGCTCGATGCCGCTTTTCACCCACTTCTTGCCACCATCGGCAGTGTTGAGCACAAGTATCAGACCACCCTGGTCATATTGCTTCTCCCAAAGAGCGTTAAAGGCCACCCGGACCCGCTTGAACGACTTCAGCGGAATAGATTGGTACAGAATCGGGGCTGAGAAGCGGCTGGTGGAAGGTGGCTTGTCCCAGATGTCCGTCGAAGCTGGGGCATTAATGATGAACTCGGGGGGAGGGGTGCCGTCGCCTGGCACTTGAGCGGTTGAGTTGGCGAATTTGAATTGCGACATGGTGGGATATATGCAGCTGCGGGGAAGCTGTGGTATACTTGTAGGTAATGTATGTTCAGTTGCCACACCACGGACTAGTGTGTCTAGAGAAGATGTGAGAATTGAGTCCAGCGAGCACTGAGAGTAAGCAGGAAGAGAAATGAGGAGCAAAAGTACCCGGATATGGCTACGTCACTACATAGAGTATAATCCGGAAGCTCCCATCGGATGAGCGTGTTACACGGTTCGCCTTGTTGGGAGAGGTACTGGATGTTTGACGGAGGAAACGGAAGTCCCAACAAATATGACACTATTGGTCAACTATTCTAGCCATATACGCAGTTTCAACTTCAACTGCCAGCTTTCACAGAGTCGTCAAGCATGGCATCATGTACTTTGACCGTTCACGTGATATGATGACGTAAAGAGCCTAACAATTCGATCTGGAGATGACAGCGAGGCCCCTTTTCATATGGCAGCATTGACTTCTGTCGTTCATTTTTTGCAGCTGAATCTCGTTTTTGGGATGGGGAGACCCGACTGGTAATCTGTCATGACTACCCGCCTGCTTCATCCAGATGAATGGGAGCTCAATTCGCGGTCCTCGGTTGACTCGCAGGGAACCTTCAACCTCGACGAGGCCGATTTTGAATCCCAAGTTCCTCCTACATCCCCATTCAAAAGACACCGCTTGCCTTGGCTATCTCGGTTCTTCTCAACGACGTCAGCAGGTTATCACCGCCTGAAATCCAATTCCAGACCGGCTTTCGCGGGATCAAAACGACCGAACTGCTCCCGTCGCTTCTTGCTTCGCCGCGTTTGCTATATCCATGTTGTCTTCGGTATCGTTTTCGTGCTCGGTCTCTTCACGTCGATACTCTTCCCCTCCTATACACACCCGCCGGCGCACTATGCAACACTTCGCAAATCAGTGCTCGAGAAGTCATACTCTGGGAGAGGAAATCTACGGAATGAGAAGGTCTTTATCGCAGCCAGTCTATATGACAGCGGCGGCGAACTTGCAAATGGACAATGGGGAGAACAACTGCTAGAGTTGATACATCTGCTCGGAAATGACAACGTATTCCTCAGCATCTATGAGAATGACAGTGGCGAGGAGGGAGAACGTGCATTACATGAGTTAGAACAAAAGGTGCAATGCCAAAAAGCAATTGTATCTGAGAAGCACCTGGATCCGAACAGTCTTCCGACCGTGACTATTCCCGGCGGCTCAAAAAGAGTCAAGCGCATCGAATACCTCGCCCAAGTCCGCAATAAGGCCCTGCAGCCACTAACCGACAAACCGAACATGAATTTCGACAAGCTCCTCTATCTAAACGATATTCTCTTCGATCCTATTGACACCCTCCAACTCCTGTTCTCAACAAACGCAAACGAAGACGGCGTATCTCAATACCGCGCAGCCTGCGCTGTGGACTTCGACAACCCATTCAAGTTTTACGACACTTACGCAACGCGCGATTTGGAAGGCTACAGCATGGGGCTCCCCTTCTACCCTTGGTTTACAACATCCGGCAAAGGCGCAAGCCGACGAGATGTGTTAGCCGGAAAAGACGCCGTGCGAGTACGCAGCTGCTGGGGTGGAATGGTAGCCTTCGACGCCAAATATTTCCAGTCCGGCCCGCCACCTTCGACTCCCAATCCAGCGCGCTTCCGTTCTGGGAAAGATCTATTCTGGGAGGCATCTGAATGCTGCCTCATCCACGCCGATATTCAAGATCCGCAAACGAACGTCGATGAAATCACCGACACGGGAATTTACATGAACCCCTTCGTGCGCGTAGCTTATGACCACCGCACCCTCTCTTGGCTGGGTATAACCCGTCGCTGGGAGAGACTATACTCGTTCCTCCATAACCTGATCAACCATATCGTCGGTCTTCCTTGGCATAACCCCCGTCGAGCAGAAGTTCCTGGTCAGAGTGTACAAGAGACTGTTTGGATTCCTGACGCTGCCCAGGATGGCGGTGGCGCTTTCCAGACTGTTGATCGCATTGCTGGTAATGATGGTTACTGTGGTCGTCGTGGTTTGCAGGTTATTGTTGAAGACCGCAAGCCTGGACAGAAAGGGTTCGAGAATATCCCTGTTCCTTCATGAGTTTATTAATTTTTGAGAATTTGATACCCATTTCTTTTGGACTTTGCTCTCAACGATTGATGGTATGTAGCTTCACAAAGCGTAAAATATATATTCCACGTCCCTAGAGACTCTACAACTTGCATGAATTGCAGACTTTTCTGCGGCACTCCCCATGCCTGTACCATCCCTTGACAGTCCGAATAATAGTGCTTTGAACATTAAAAGCACGATCTAGTCCTCAGAGCAGTATCCAAAGAGCCAAAGAACACTCGAAATCCCCCCTCCACACCCCCTTGCCCTTCCCTTTCAACTATCCCAGCTATTGGCACGATAGCTAGAATGTCTTACTCTATACCCCCAATTCACCTTCCCCATCCCACTATCGACGCCACACCCACAAGCGACCCTCCCGCAAAATTAGACAATAGGGGCTTCTTAGCTCTTAGACAGAGCTCCAAAGATGAGACACGGGCCATTCTTTATTGAAATATCCATATTTGGAGACAAGCTAGTCTGGAGCAAATCCTTTCACGCATCTACAACCGACTCGAGGGAATGCAAGCACCCCAACAAACATAGACACAGCCTCAAAAAGACAAACACTGATTATCTCTTTGCTTTCCCCATCGTTTTCCCCACGCCGTTTCACTCTGAAAACGTCCACTGTAAGCCTTAACCTTAGTCCCCACCGACATGAATTGGTGAGGGTTAGGTCTCCAGATCCGAAACGACGAGTTCTTCAGGAAGAAGTGTTGAATTCGTTGGTTTATAGCTTTGAACTGAGTTTTTTGCACTGTCGCACCATGGGCAGCAGTTCGTTTCGGATTGGTATGTATGTAGGGGGCAAGGATGGTGGGTGGATCTATGTATGTTGTTGCGGTATCCACTGCCATTTTTGCAGAGAAACCAACCCGAGTATATGAATCATGCAGGGTATTGAGCAATTGGTTTATTGAGGATATCCGCGGAGAAAACCTTGAGTACGAGAACTATATCTACGGGATTAGGTTGGATGAAGTTTGTTTACATAGTTCCCAACCGCTCATTGAACGGCCGGGAGATCCGACGGACCAGTGGAGGGGTGAAAGGAAGATCACTAGATTGAAGAAACTGCAGAATAGGGAGTTTGGTATCTAAAGACGTCACATTCGATCCACACTGGACAGTGCCTTTCGACCGAGTGAATTCGCTCAGTGTTAATCTGGTCATGGGATTATCACCTCCTGTATAGGGCACTGCTTCATGTATGAGAAGACGTGCCATAACTCATCAGTCTGTGGAATAAACTATGCTTCCGGTATCCCGAGTCTTGCTTCTATGACCAGTCTCGCTGGAAAGTCGGCATGGCCGGATACGCACTTCGGCGAATACCTTGAGGAGACCGCGGTCCGAGTAGGGGTGGGGGATGCACCAACGATCTACGGTGCATGTATGTACACGTGCTGAGTACTGCTGTACTCGAGTATCCGTCCATGGGGTTCAGCTCCTCCGTTGAAGGGAAATCATGAATTGCCTCCTATACATAACTAGGTGTATACCCAAACGGTACATGTACATTGAGCCTTAGGCGTTCGATCGATGCGCCACTTGATCTAAGCCCATGGTCCAGATTGAGTCGCAATGCATGCATCCTTCAATCTGGGGCTTTCTTTTGATTTAGCCCATGAGTGGAAGACATCAAAGAACCTCGGATTTCGGGGTTTGACCGAGCAGGGGCTTGTGGCGCACTATAGACAGCGGATGGCGATGCATGCAAAACAAGCCCTGCGTCTTTCACGGTTACATGGCTAATGTTCGGTACGAGGTTATCGATAGTCCAAATTGGCCATTACTTGGCGGTATATCACCCACAGGTAAGCTGATGATCTTTTAGAAGGACCAATAGGGCTGGGATAGGCAGACGCGGAAGTGACGGAAAACATTGTTGGTCCAATCGGGCTCTGACTCGGCGACAGGGATAGCGGAAGAGATCAGTTACACGAGGTATTTAAGATATCAAATACCTTTAGAGGCATGCTTTACACTCAGTGGTGATCCGAGAGATCATTGCTTATTGAAATAAAGTAGCGCATCTATCACATCCACGCGTTGCCTCATGTCGGTTCCACATCCATGTTGACCACTTATTGAGGCCGGTTATTGAGACATTGTAATATCTCCAAACCCCAACATCAATAAACCCCTCCGCTAGCAACTATCCAACTCAAAGATTTCACTTAGGGCCATATTGACTCAGACACATACACTATCTCGTGAATTACTTACTCTCGATCTGACTTCGATCTACTGTGAAGTGATATCAGACGCGATCGGCACGTGAATGTCCCAGAACCGGGTAGGCGGATAGACGCATTGATCCTGGGGCAGCCAATGCGCTGCAGAGAATTCAGGAACAGGAAGGCGACCATGGAAAGAAGATTCAATAGCTACATGTAACATGGTGATCCTCGATGTGCTGCCCCTGAGTCAAAAAGATATCAGATCCCGATGAATTACATCAGCCCGTGGCATCGGGGTCTAATTCGATCAACCCTGCAGGTACAGCAGCATTATCCCAGCCAATTGGTTCTGGAGAATAGAAGCGGGAAAGAAGAATTGAGATATGGGCCGCAGTGGAACGCACAAAAGGCGTGACGAAATGATCGGGCCATTTTTGGTGGAGTGGAGGCTGGACCACCCTCACCGAGGTCCACAGTATCAGCTCGTGAGCGTTGAATGGATGGCATAAGAAGAAAGTGGTGTGAGGCGGTTGTCTGCAGAAGTGTGAATCTCTAGATGTGATACCCTGTTAATATTGGCCTCGGTCGTATACTATCTAGACTATTGTTTTGGAACCAGAGAAAGGACAAAGAAAGCCGAAGGCCTTGTTTTTAGGCTACTTTATTATACATGTAAATTCATTGTATTGTCTCCTGAATCCTGGCGGCACGAGAGGAACAACAAGGATTCGAAGTTATACTTCGGGCATGCATGCCCTTGAAAAAGCATGGGTACACAGCCTCCATGCTTATAGATAGCATGCTTGTGTCCTTATGCTTCATACTGCCAACCTTCCTCTTGAGGCTGGGATCATCTAGATGAGTTGAAATTGTGAAAGTTTCACAAAATCACTAGTTTAGCCGATCTCTACGTTTGTGGCTCGGGCAGTTTTGACTGCCAAGAGATCTTAATCTTACGGACGCCTTCGTCAGCCAATTATAGTCTACGGACTTTGACAAATACTTGTGGTGACCAGACGACAGGGCCAATGTGAAGCTCCGATCGGGCGGTCACGGGTCCACAATCAACCCTAACTTACAAACTATCAGTTCTAAGTCGGTTCGAAGGGTGATCTACAGAGGGCTAAAACTTGAACTCGGGACAGGGGTCCACTTCCCTCGTGCTGGCGCCTGAACTGGATCGTGACTGCGGTTCAATTCACTTAAAAGCGTCCCTGACCCAAGTAATGGGTCAAGTAAGCGCTATCCAACTTCACTCACTTTCCTTAAGCACTCAAAGCCACTATGGGGTCCGAACTCGGTGTCACTGCCGACTCCAAGGCTGAGATCGATCTCAGCCCTGTCACTATCTGGTGGGCTGTCTGGGCATGTGTCTGGACCATCGCCGTCGTGTGCGGCATGGCCTATCTCATCGTCCATCGCAACATGCCTACTCTCCGAATTCGAGGCCTCGGTCTATCGTTATCTGCAATCGTTCTTCTTCATTTATACTGGGCACCGGTCCAGTTCGCCACTATGGTCGGCCCTCTGTTGCCAGGAGACTGCCAGTACTGGATGATGGGCACATTGTTGCCCTGTGGTATCGCCTTGTTCCACGCCTCCAACGCTCGCTTCCTCCACGTCGCCAAGCTCCAACGCAAATACGCTCAACACGGCGAGCGTCTTTTCATGTCCCCCACCCCCGAAGAGCAGCCTAAGGGCCTGATCGCCCGCTTCCACCGTCTCAGCTATTCTACTAAGATGCTTACTATTGTTGGCGTCGGAATGTTCCTCCAGATCTTCCTCACTATCCTTATGTGGCTCATTTCCCGCAAGTGGCACAGCTCCTGGGGAATCCCCGGCACTGAAGTTCACGGAACTATCATGGAACAGAAGACGGCACAGGGTGCTGGATGGGAGTGGTGGCCTGGTGTAGCCTGGCAATTGGCCTGGTCCTGGGTCGTCGCCCCTATCGTTCTTTGGAAATCTCGCAACATCCATGACACCCACGGCTGGCGAGTCCAGACTATCGGCTGCGCCATCGCCAACCTCCATGCCACCCCAATGTGGCTCATCGGTCTCTACGTCCCTGGTATGGCTCCGGTCAATGCCGTATTCGTCCCTCCTCAGTGGATCTGTCTGTCTATCATTTTTATTGAAATCTTTACCGTCTTCCTCCCCTGCTGGGAGGTGATGCGTCACCAGTCCCTCCAACAGGAGACTCTCGACTCAATTGCGCGCTGGGAGTTGAAGGTCAAGTCCACGGGCTCCGAGGCCAAATCTCTTAACTCTGAGAGCACCATGGTTGGCTCCAGGATTTCAGGCTGGAAATCTGCCAATGAGTCAGTGAGAACTGAGAACAGCTACCGTGACAGCATCTTGACCATGAGCGCCCTTGAGCACGTCCTCGAACGCAACCCCGCTCCTCTCCAGGAATTCTCTGCCCTCCGCGAATTCTCCGGTGAAAACATCGTCTTCCTCACCAGCCTGGCCGAGTGGAAGAACTCGCTGCCCGCCACTCTGCGTGACCGCAGCCTCCCCCGCGATGGCAACAGCAGAGACGTGATCCGCGACCACTTCAACCGCGCCCTGCATATCTACGCTGAGTTCATTAGCGTCCGTCACGCCGAATTCCCCGTAAACATCTCATCCCAGGACCTGCGCAAGCTCGAAACCATCTTCGAGCGCCCCACCCGTCTCATCTACGGCGAGGAGCGTGAGTGCGTCGACCCCACCTCTCCTTTCGACAAGTTCACCTTTGATCTTCCATCGCCCACTCTCTCGGATAGCTCCGAGAAGCCGATGAAGTCGTCAATCAAGAGCTCCTTGACCGATGCTATTAAGGATCGCGTGCAATACTGGGGTGACATCCCGGCGGACTTTGATGCTTCGATCTTCGATGCTGCCGAGGCGTCTATCAAGTACCTTGTGCTCACCAACACGTGGCCCAAGTTCATCAAGGACCGCAGGAATTCGATTGGATCCTTTGATACTTTGAATGTCGGTGTGGAGGTTTAATTTTCTTCGTGGCATGAGCATGTGAAATGAATATAGCTCGTTGGATGCTTCGAGTTAGGTCTCGTGTGCAACTTACTTGGCTCTTGGCTCCAATGGAGAAATCTCCAACTACCGATTATTGAGAGACTGTACATACATATTTTGGTCATTGGATGGATGTAATGTAATGGATTAACTTAATTACGCTGGATACCCACACAATCTATTTCTTATTAACTGTTGTCATTAGCTTCAAGGTAGGACATTGTAGCCGGGAGTTGTAGCTTTAGGTGTCAACATTTATCCCTTTGCTATGTTCTTGTGCCTGATATCTTGTATATGATGCCTTAGGCCCTATGTGGTCTGTCTAATGCCTTGTGCCTTTTCTTTCTGAATTGCATCCAACCATCAAAGCGATCGAAGAGAAGGATTCTTGTTATGTGTGATCACGTATACACAATGAATGGTATTGCCTCCAAGCGCAGAATGGATAGGTCATACACTATTGTAAAGGCCGTCTTAATGATCGAATCTATTCACAATGAGCGTACTTGGGTTATATCAAGTTGAATCAAACTCGCGTAGGAATAGGACGTAAAGTGGCGCGCAGTACACGCATTCATATCGTCACTGGTGTCTCACTCCATCATCCATCTACTATCCTACAATCTCGCTGATACATTCGATGTCTTGCTGTTTGTCATTCCAAATTCATGTCTGGTAACCGATACTATTTAAGACTGGGTTATAATCAAACTCGCGCGAAAGTGGGACGTAAAATTGCGGGCAGTACACGTATTCTAAGCGTCACCAGTGCCTCGCTTTATCTTTCATGCACGACTTTGCTGAGATATTCGATGTCCCATCGTCTCTTCGCCCCGAGTCTATGTCTTTGTTGTGCTAGACATAGATGTGACATCTTGGTAGCCTGTAGTCGAGTGTATCACCGTGTACTTGGCGTAGTGACTGATAACTATTGTCTTCTTCGTATGCCATCCTGCCCATGGGTCCTATTGCCGTTGCGTATAACCTGCTTTGCTGCATGAGATTGAATATCAGATATCAGAGGTCAACATAGAATGAGCTTCCGATAGCTAGACTTCCTAGGCAGCTAGACATGAAGTTCAAAGATGTAAACGATTTATCATAAATGGCGGAATCTGAGGTCGTGCAAGGTCCCAAATAGGCAGGCACCACCGCCGTTCCTTCCCCAAGTGATCCCGACTTTTCGACGCGTGACCGTTTGTTGTTATTTCTCCCGGTCTCCATCGTCCCTTCTCTCTTTACCTTTCCCCCCTCCCCAGGTTTGATCTTCCTCTGTATCATCATGCATACTGCCAATATGCCTACCGTCATTGGTAACTCGACTCCCTGGAAGCAGATCAGCGAATCTCGCACCAGCGAGCTCCGCGACAGGCAAGAGATCTGCTACCAGACTGCTGTTATCTGGGCTCGGGTGACAGGTGAGAAGACTTTGGATGACAGCGTTCATGCTCCCACGCCCAACTGGCAGCTCGAGTCGAAATGGCAAGTGACTTATGAGTCCTACGTTTCTGATCTAGCTTCGTCTCGCACTGAGATGTTTCATCGCTCGGCTGTCTCCCACGACAAGGTATATCATGATAATATGTGCTCATATGCCCAACTTACCTCTCCACATCCTCCCCTCTCTCTTCGCGCCTTTCTCGTATCACCTCACCGCTGGCTTTATAGGTGCTTGTCTTATGTTGATATCTCATAGACTGCACCTCTCGCTGCTTCTCTGCATGCCTCTGGCCACTACAAGAAAGCGACCGCAGCTGCCACCGCCGATCCCACCGACAGCCCCGGATATGACAATGAGTCTGGCAAGACTGACGAGATCAACACCCTTGGCAGCACCAATGATACCGGCATCCGTCCTGTCGCTTCTGCTAAGGACTTTATGAATTCCTTCCGAGCTTTGCGAGTCGCCGAAGCTGCCGCTGCTGCCGCTGCCGAGCCTGGCCCTCCTCGTCGTCTGTTGTTCAAGAACCTGCCTGAGTGGGCAACCATCTCCCACGTTCTGCACCTTGTCTGGGGCGGTACCATTGAGCGGGCCTGGAGTGAGACCTCTGGTGAGGTCAATGTCCAGTTCACCGATGCCGACGACTGCAACAGATACTTCGAGCAGTATTCCGAGGGCATCTCCATCAAGGTCGGTGATGATGGGACCCAGATCTTCATTGAGCTCATGGACAATGACATTGAGCACCCTGATCTTGCAAGCCGTATCAGTGCCGATGCTTCGCGTCTCGTGTGCCTCTCTGGCCTGGCAACTTCCCTGGTGGGACAAAACGATGAGCCCATTTTGGGTATTGCCTCTCAGCCTGAGTGGGAGAATAAGGAGCTTGAACAAATTCTGATCGAGTATGGCACGGATGTAAGTCTTCCTCCCAGCGTGGACTCCATTGATGTTGAAATACTTACTGACTCAATGAAGGGCACTCTTAATATCCATGTCTCTTTCTTCAACCTTCACGACGCTTGGGATTTCTACCAAGATATCAAGGAAGGCACTTATGATTGCATTTCCAAGTTCGAGGCTGACCCGTAAGTTGCCTGGCTCATGTTCTTGTTTCTTTTCAGCGATTCCTTTGCTCATCATATAAATGATAAGTTGTACCCTGGCGAATGCGTTTCACTTCTTTGATATGAGCAACCCGATGTTCGGGGCCATCTTTGCCGGGGCTGCAACTGCAGAGTAGGTTGCGAGTCACCAACTACCGAGGACGCTTCATCAGCAACTGCCTCGCTAGTACCGCTGCTATTATCTCGTTCATGTTTTTCAGACATCAGTGATATCCAGGTTCGGATATTGCAGGGTGGGACCTTTTTCTCTCTCTCCTCCTGTTCCTTTTGCTTTACAGGGGAATTTCATTTCGGCTTTCTCCTTTGGCCAACACCCGGATGTTCAGTTCAAGTCTTTCCAATGAAACATCATTTCAAACAATAATTCAATCCGATACTACTTACGCTGAGGATCCAATCCATCATAGACCCCTCATCGGTATGTATCTGCTGACTTGAATAGAAAACCCTCCATGTCCAATCCACTGCCGATCTCAACATCGAAACCCAGCCCACAGATATCACCTACGTATTCACAACCCGCAGCAGCCAGTAGAAGAAAAAGCCGCAACCAACAGCGCCAATTCACGGCAGTGACCATGTCACCCGTCTTAGCACCCCTCAACCTACCAGGCGCTTCGAAGGCCAAATCCGGTGAATGCAGTCATAGCCGAGACTTCTCCGTTCAAGGAAGGTGGACAAGGATGAACAAAATACCAAGCATGGAAAGACGAAGAGTGGGCTGGCAAGGTTTAGATGACGCCCCAAATTTCTCCGATCAACCCCAGTCAAGCCAACCAGCCGCAAGGCGTTCCATGCCTTGCATCCGCCGGGTTTTGCATTATATCGAAACAGGAAAGAGATAAGACTCAGCCACGTGGTGATTTGTCTCTTTTCTTGGTGCGCATTGAATGCGAGGTTGGGGGGAGGGGGATATGCGGGGTAGATGATGCAAATGAAGTCATGTTGAATCGTTTCAGGAGATGTGCAGCGTCGGGTAGTGTCGGTAGTTTGGTTGGTTAGATTGGGTGCTGAGAACTTGAAAGAGACTATTCCAAACTAAGTAATTGAGATGCTGGTGTTGATGTTACGGAGTACTGGTAGATATCTTGGTTGGGAGATGGATATACAAGATGTCGGTGAGTGCTGATCTGATATCGAAAGTAAATGAATGATTCTGCATGAATACACATTCGGGCATGCGACATTGCATTTTTGCATTCAGAAGATTTCTAATTTGGGTAACTACCTTGTATAGCGTAGCATCATGTATGTAACTACGGACGACAGAAGACAGAAGAACCACCGCGACAAATATCCCGCAATTTCGCAACATGATAACGAATCAGTCCAGTTGCATGCCCTGAAACAGTTTGCTCTGCAGGCATCCTGCAGGAGCAGGAGATCGGTCCTATAGTGGTGGTTAACTTGGCGCTAGACTGCTACTACTGCACTGCGGCAAACTCGGCGATCTAGCAGCAGCCAATCTGATACTCATATTCACATTTACCTTCGCGTCATTTTCGTGGGCTGAGACTTTATTCTCGGGATATACATCTATGACATATCCAATACCGTCCGTCCATTCTCGGGTTTCATTGCCACAATGTTTCTTTGTTTCTTTATTACAGTCACGAATGTCTGGGGCAAGGCTGTATACCACTAAAATAGATGCGACAGTACTCCCAGTGCGCAGCAAGGCGTCCAAGACAAGGCTACCCACAGCCTATCTGCACAAAGGACCAACGTTCCCCACTTAGCATAGTTTGACATACAATGCGAGGATCGCAATAGAAGGTGGAATGAATGGAATTGAAATTGGGACGATACGCACGCAATACACCCTTGACCGGTGTTCTCTGCTCTACATAGTCCAAAAGTAAGAATTAAATGCAGCAAATAATGTTCCCGTGAAGAAAATCTGTCCCCCTTCTCCCGTCTCCGTGTTCTCCGTTCTCCGTTCTCTAGTGCTCCATTCTCCACTTGGTCCGGCTACCCCGAAGTGGATTGTTCCATGGTTGACCCTCCATTTGGAATCAAATGACTCAATGCTGGTTGGGCCTTGCAAGCGAGTAGATTCAGAACTCTATGGGTGAGGCTCTGCGCGCTTGTATTTTTTTTTTTGAAACGGTGTCATTACATGTATTGAAACATGGTAATTTGAACTTTTATTTTTTTCTTTCACCATCCTTTACGTGCTCAGATCTTTCAGCCACTTCACGGACTTAGGGTTTCGATCCCTTGATTCCGCGGACTTGCATGTTAGGGCTTTGATATTGTAGATGCAACGGCGTCTGACTCGTGAACTACGACGTCACCATCGAGCCATCCTGTCCCATGTTCAACCCCCATCTCCAATAAGAAGGACCGGTTTGCCCGAGTGGCCAAACTGAGTCAAGATGTGCGAGCTGTCGTCAGATGTGGTCAGGCTCTAAGTCGATCCGAGCTAGGAGCGGTCACGGATATCACCGAGGACAAGAAAATGCGCGGTTTTCCAACCTATGGATTCGAATAAAGCTAGGATAGAGCGGATCCAGAGAATCAAGAGTCGATAGTCAGACTTCGTATACTCCACAACACCACACTGAAGAATGCCAGGTTTTTTATACGACAGTGTTGGGTTTATACTTTCAGGCAAAGTAAATTTTTTAGAAAAAGGCAGCGACCTGCCGAAGTAGGCGAAAAGCGGATCAGATTGTCATTTGATCATTCATCACTTCTTCAATGTCTCGAAAGTTTGGCGTTAGACTTCCGGAGTTTCTGGTCTCTGAAGGCCAAACCTCGGAGATATTCCCTCCCGTGAAGAAAAGAACATCCGAACCACTTACTACTCTAGGCATAGTCCTGGATCCCGTCAGTGTCAGACCCATCAAGGCACGGGTGAATACGACCTCCTCCAAATCCTATACACCATTTTCCATAGACTGGCCACTCGCAACGTCCGAGATTGAGATGTTCCAAGACAGCACCAGTCATCGGCCGAAGTGAAACACCCTAACAATGAGATAGTCCACGTTACAAGGCCCGATCCCGGAGCTAAGGACCCAAGGCTCTGGCTTTGGTGTGATGACGGAGCATTAGTCCTTGCCTCTTGTCGTCAATGCCCGGGGTTTGATTGGTGCTGAATAGAGGGATGAAGGAATGTGCACGTGTGGGCATTGACCTGACCGCTCTCACCGATAGTGCGAAGATATCCCAGTGGAGGATACACCAGTATACGATCAAGGCGTGCCATGTATCTCATGATCATGATCATGTTCATCACTACAGAGTACAGCCCGGTCGCTAATGATCAACGTAAGTACAGTAGCATGGGCGTACAATACTGTAGCAATCTAGGGATGATGGCTGTCGCTCGCCCCTTCCCACCACAGCAACGAATCAGAAATCCCTCTTCTGCACTTTTCTTGTTGGTTCTTGACCTGTTCTTGTCGAAGGATTTTTCATGTCACATCCCACTGTTCATACATACCGCACCCGTTCAACGCCTCCAATCTCCAGCCCCAAAACCAACCTTGCAGTGCACATCCTTCATATCGCGTAATCACCGTTGCAGGTCTTCATGTAGGTTGAGGTGCCTTGCCAGTATGGCGACATCCACACAGAATACCGAGTCCCACTCATGCTCACTCTCACTCTCACCGCACCTGTACCTCGTACCTACTATACCGATCGCATGCCATGTAACCTGATCCTTCCGTAGGGTTGAGTAACACCGGTATACACATGTACATGTAGATGTAGTACTATCGCCCTACTATCATTCGACATGAGTTTTGCACCTGCGCATCTCCATGCAAAATGGTACGGGCAAGAAACAATTTCCAGACGTAGCGAATTACATTGCCCTGCATATAGATCCACTATTTTTTTTCAGTGACGTGATTGGCAGTATTTATACGCTGTGGCCTATCATCATGTCGCGTTGTCCTGAATCGGGCAGTTAGTGGGCCTCTTTCTTTCAATTAATCCGAGGTCTGTACAGAGTGTCAGTAGGTCGGTATGTCGGTATGTCGGTATGTCGGTATGTCGGTATATGTATGTGGGTAATGGGTAATGGGGTTAAGACCCCCGGGGCTATGTACTGCACAGACCTAGTAAGCCGGGCAGATCAGGTTCAAGGTGAGAGCGGATGAAGCATGGTATCTGCAGGCTATGTGATCGAGCCTAAGTCAATATTATTGTGTGTGATAATGTGAAATGTAAATATAGATGCCGTGGGACAATTTATCCAGGCATATGAATATTGCGATAATTCTTGTTCTTGGAGATACGAAACAAGCAAGTCCAGTAACGCTAGCCCAGTCGAAGCACACACCCAGTATATTTCCTTTCTTTTTTTATTTTTATTTATTGCTATAATTGATCGCTAAAGTCAGAAAATAAGCAAGCTTCGGCAGTAAGAAGTAATCGTCACGCAAAACCACGTGTCCCTAGTGCCAAAGAAGCCCCGGCTAAAACGGTGCGCCTGCGTGGCTAAGGGATTCAGTGGCTCTGATGAGCCGACATAGCGTCAGCCACCCCTTCCAGGCTAACCCGTCCGGAAAGTAATCCGCGAGAGCAGGATGAGACATGACTCTCCAAGTAGACCATCGTTCCGCCGATCACGAGCCGAGTCGTGAAGATGATCCGCGGAGGCATAGATAGGCGTGTCTGTCACCCGCAAAGTGGAGATGAGAGAGAGTCAGAGTCTCGGAGGGATTTTATCTTTTCTTTTCAGGTACGGAGTACGGAGTTTGGAGGGCGATATTCCTAACGGAGTACTCCGTTACCAACTCCATACTTCATGGCCTGATTGGTACTGTAATTACAGACCGTGTATTTGTATCCAGCCCTGCCAGTCAATAAGCGTGTAACATGGTATCTGACAATACCAATGTGAATAGTCAATTCTCATTCGCTGCTTCGCTTATCATTCCTTTGTTCTCGGTCGATTCCAGAACTGCGCCAGAACACGGAGACTTTCTCATTTCTTTTCCTTTCTCGAGCCTGATATAGTCCTCTAAGGTCGCATCTGGAATGTCACTGCCCTAGGCTGAATCCAGGAAAAGCTGTGAGCGCGCTAGTAGATACTGTATATTGGGCACGCTCCTTGGCAGTGATGCCTATCCTATCCCCAGTCGCTGTGAGGTCATGTCACGGACATGGCCATGGTTATCTCGGCATCGGCTATATACAGTATCAGTGTATGTGGCTAGTCGAACGGAGCTAAACAAGGTACGTGTTCTCTCTGCCGCCGTTGGGGCCACTTCATTTCCCCTTCCTGGTCATTGCAGCGGTGCATCGCGGAGAACCCTTATGTAAAGTACATCGAACTAGACAGGAAGAGGAGGAATAGGTCGTCTACATGCATGAGCAATGCGCATGTTAGTCCGTCTTGTGAGGCGCACGGCCAATCACGTGCCGTAAATACCCCGAGACTCGCGATTGCGTGGGGGCCAAGAAGCGGAGTTGGGCTACGTGTGTCTAGTATATCACCGCGCTAGTTACCACGTATGCGCAGCAGAGTGCTTTAATGTAAGAGTCGAGTCTAGTGCGGATGATTTCTGCATGATTATCACCATGCGGCTGAAACATACATCTTGGAGGCGGGAAAGGTGTTTCATTTCTGTGTGCTTGGAGTATGTGGTATTGGAATGGATGGGAGTCGGATCCGACAATCGGAGATTGACTCGAAAGGCGTTGCTTTGTTCCTTTCGCTTGATTCTCCCGAGAGAGGAATGGCTTGAAGGATACTTTCTGGAACTTATGATGCGTTGTAAACGTTTTGGCACCGGGCTTTGCGCCTCCCAACAGCCAGGGCGAGGATTGTTGCATCTTGCATGCAGATGCAAACTGTCAGGTGCTCAAAGTAGATATTCCAAATACATCATGCCACGATCTGACAGTTCGGCGCAGTTCGGGGGATCGACTGCGATCCAAAGTTTGATACACCCCGAGCCTCACTTGGAGACCCATGGTTCAATGGGGTCGTCGGTCTTCTGCGCGTCTATGCAATAACCGGAATAGTTAATTTTCAGACGGAAGCGTCCCGTTTCCAATGCGGGTACTATACCAGTGCAAAAGTCTAGAATGTTCAGATGTCAACTTCCGCCGATACTCCGAGATTAATAATTATTACGTGCTCGGTTGGCGGCTATCGCTAACGCCTAGCACCAGGACATAGCGTTGTGGCTAGACTCCATTGCAAGGATTGGAAATCTACTCTGAACAGGAGGTTCGACACATCCCATATGCAAACAAAGAAAAGAAAAAGAGGTATGAAATCATCAGAGAAGTGATTGGCTCGTATAGCATCAATTTTGAACCCATCCATCATTTTTTTCCCCTTCTTTTATTGGAATTTCTTTTTTGGCGAGCTAAGTATGCACAGCATGACTCGTAAAAATATAAAAATATGCCTAGGGGTTGAAAACATTACCCTGCACCATGAAACCACGGCTCTCTTTTCAGGAAGGAGCCGCAGTTTGGTTCAAGCGGGTCAGGTACTTTTAATTAAATCAGTAACCACAGACCGCAGACAGAGAGAAACTGACTAACTGCTGTGTATTATCCGAGCTAGGCCCTCACGTGATTGACATCGCCTGCGGCTACGCGACTGACGAACGCCAGCGCTTTCCATGATTGGATCTGGTGGAGCGAAAACAAAGAGAAGCGGGGGGGGAGAGCAGGCTGGTTTAGCCCCGTGTTGATCTGATCTGCACGGAATCGGGGCCTTCAGGGACTTGAAAGGTCTGTTCAGCGCCTGAGTGAGAGGCTTGCCAGGGGTCTCGGAAGCAACAGGCCATACAGCGTCGACAGATGACGTCCCCCGTTGGGCTAGGGAGACGGCGCTTGCGCAAGTTGACTGCGCCGCGCACATAACCTGCTGTCTCTGTGGTGTCTTTTACCTGAACTGTTTCGGGTGTCTCGGGGTTTGCCGTTGACACGTCGTTTCATTCGAATATCCCGCGTTTAAGGACAGAGAGAACGTGGGCGCTTAGCTGCGACCATATTGATATCCTCTTTTGGGGCCATCGGCTCCTGACGAAAATCCCAAAAACCGTTGGCGGCAAATGCAGATGACCGACGATCTTGGTCAAGGCGCAGATCTAGGGAGAAAATGGCGCAAAAGAACGAAAATTACAATACGAGTGGAGGCCAATCATGCAGCTCGGCTGGATCGTCAAGGAGATTCGGTATGACGGCGGGAAATCCGTTTCACTGTATAGCATATGGTGTGTAGTCTTTACAAAATATAGATGTAGATATTGCTACATCTGAAGAGGATAGAGAAGAGCTTGTGCCACATCCTCTCGGACATCTAACATTGGAATGCGTTGGCAGTTCGAGGCCAAATTGAGCCCGCATTAGCTTGACACGTTCATTCGTCGTGGTGTCCCAAGGCCATGGCTTACGTCGCAACAGATGACTCTTGCGTCTACCAATAGACGCCGCGCGTTTGTGTTGGTTTTTAATTTCACGGTCATGTATCTGTATAGAATTGAAACATCCAAAACCGCAAATGGCAAATGGCAAATGCCACCTATACATAGCGGCTATGAATTTGGAATTGTCGCGCTAATAGTGTAAAAGGGTAAAGGTGTAAATCCACACGGAATTGCCGCGGAATGGGAGCCTTTTTGATCGCCACTTTTTCTTCAAAGATATCAATTTAAATAGTGGCGAAAAAAAATAAAATAAAAGTCCTCTCCACCGGACACGGAGCACCCTGTCCGGTTCACCGATTAATTATTTTTTATTCTCTGGGGGTGGAACCAAACCACCCCTGTAGCCTTGTGTATCCGCGGTACACAGCTATACAGGGGGGCTAAAGGAGCAGACAGTTAGCTTCTTCTTTGGTTCTCATTTAAGGCTCTGATCTGCTTGCCTTTCCCTTAAGTTTTTTATTTTTTTGGATCTATAAACCTTGGCCCATTACCCCGGCTATACTTCATCCCACCTCCCTTACTTCTACACATGTTCATTCCAAATATCCCCCATTGATTTGGATCTGATATACGGCGCTTCTCCTACATTCTCCCCACTATAATTACTCTGGTCTGTGCAACCACCTGGGGAAAGGGAAAAAAAAAAGTTGAACCTCGGCTTTTCATCCCCAGATTTAGATCTATTCAGATCCATGAAACCATAAACCTACTCGTCTTTCTCTACACCATGGAAACACGCACAGAATACGCGCAGCTGCCCTCGACACGACAAAGCCGCATGAAAATCGACGCCCTCTTAAACCCAGGCGAAGAAGACAGCTACACAGACTCACCTCGCTCGCAACACGCAATCCCATCCATCCACAGCTACCAACACTCGCCAAGTTTCCCCCCAAGTCCAAACTACTGGTATGGACGGTACCACGACACCAGCCCGGGGGGACTATCCAGCGCAACCCACAGCAGCAGCCAAAGCCATAGCCATAGTCAAGCAGGAGCAGGGCCAGGCCCAGTCCTAGCACACCCCCAACCCCAAAACCAATCCCAAAACCAACACATGTTCCTAACCTACCGCCCCTCCAACCAAATGAGCACAAATCCACCCAGACACAACAGCACCAGCAACGCTGGCTCAGGCTCGATCTCAGGCTCAGGCCCAGGGTCGCGCTCAACAAACTCCTCCCCAGACCCCTACCACCCTCAAAGTCGTGAGCGCTACGACAGTGTATCCAGCAGCTCCAGCGCAAACGCAGATCGGCGCCGGCCTCCGCGGCCCAAGTACGAGGAGGAAGAGATGTACTTCATCTGGTATCATCGCGTTGATCTGTGCCAGGAGTGGAAGGAGGTGCGCGAGGCGTTTAATCGGCAGTTCCCTGATCGCCAACGACGCGGATTTCAGGGTATCCAGTGCAAGTTCTATCGCTTTATTAAGGAGAAGAAGTGTCCTACGTTACGGGAGCAACGGCGCATGCGCGATGGCGAGTTCCTTCGTGAGGGGACTAGTGTTCAAGGTGGGACTGAGTCTGGTGCGCCGCGCTTTGGAGTGATTGAATGGGGGAAGGTTTGGTATCCTTGGATGAGGGAAAGTCGGGAGGAGATTTTGAGGTTGTGATTTTCTTTATTGTTGCTTAGTTATTCTGATTGCTTGTTTCTTGTTGGGCTGGGAGGTCCTCTCGTTTGTTTTGTTTTTTTTTTTTTTTTTGGGTCCTTTCCTTTGTACTTTGGGTGGCTTTTTGTCTTTTATCCTCTCGAAGATACCTCACTGGAGTTTCGTTTTTCAGCGTGGGAGGTCTATTTGTGACCCCTGTCAGTTAACAGGGTACTTTGTTTTACCGCGCCAGGATGTTCACGCCCTGGCTTTTCTTGATGTCTACTACACTATACTATACGATCTTGACTTGGAGCAATCCTGTCGGACACAGCTATCAACTGCTTGAATGAAATTCAAATTCAAATTCAGATTCAATCTTCTGCACGACATGACTCGTAAGCATTTGTAATACCAAGTCGCCGTTCAATATTCTATAGTCCGTCCTGTCCGTGATCGATATCCTGCCGGAGACTAGCGAGTTGCTACAGTACTAACGACTGACTTGTTCTAGACAAAGCGCAAGGCGTGAAATGACAACGAATGAACTGAGTCGACAGGCTTCGTCGATCGCGGGGTCCAATCCGTCAATTCTAGCCCCAGGCAGACTTGGCAGTGCAAGGCCGACAGGCAAGATACGACATCTGCATCCTTCTCTACTATAACTATCTTACTTCAATTACTAAAAATGTCACATCGCCCCTACCGATCCATTCCACAGCCCCCAATACCAACATCTGGGAAGGATCAATCCTGAAGGGATGGGAGTACACCCTTCCTAGGTCACCGGTGGCTGGAAGACCAACTGGCACATATGGACAAAAAAAAAAGGAAATAGAAACCGAAACAGAAATGGCCCCCGGGTCGATCTGAAACGATCGGAGATCGACAACTGACCAACGATCAGGGATCAGTACACGCACAGCAGATACAACAGCCGCCTAAATGCAATACCACACAGACGAAGCAAGCCATAACCAACAATAGTAATTGTGTCGGTCAAAGCACAGCCCAACCACGCCAAAGGCAGAGAGACAATGCGCTTGATTTTCGTAGTGCAGCAAACTAGCTGGATAGACACCGTCGATCGGCGGTAGAATAGACGCGTTTGATATGAGATATGAGATGAGATACATATAAATGGACATGGACACGCATATCCCGTGCTACATTGTTTAGGTGATCCAGGGAGATCCTAGCAAACCTACAGGAACCAGAGGTGCCTGAGGAAGTTTAAAGAGGAGGTCTGGCAGAAGTGAGGAGTCAAGCGCAACTCTGACGCAAAGGATGCGACTGCCAGTGAGTCACAGTGCGCGGTTGGGAAGTACTGTACATGTCATGTATAATGTATGGACTGTATAGGGGGCGGGACGGGAGTCGGGTAAAGCTGTGGATTGGATGTGTCGCGCGCAAGCGCTCACCGTTAGTATGTCGTTTCTTTTGCTTTTTTTTCCCTGGGTTGTTCGCTCTCGCTCTTCTGTGTGTGATGCTTGGTGTTTTGGTCTTGGTCTTAGTGTCTTTGATGGTTGGGATCTACGGTCTGATCGAATTGGGTAGGTGGGCATACGATTTGTTTACATGTAACTGGTGTGCTGTTTATAATGACAGGTGGGGGGGTTTCGTACTTGAAGGTAAAGGAACAAGTTAGAATCTTAGCATGTATTTTCAATGACAGTCTCTTCATTCCTTGTAATTACTCTTCTATAAGGAAGAGGAACAGGAACGATGGTCATTGGATCGCATCAAGATCCTCTTCTGACGGAGACTAGCGTCGGGATCGGGGAACCATCCCGCGGGCGCCTTAATTTTTCACTTTGCCGATCTCATGTGAAGCCCAATGTCTCAGCCTCAACCTCGAAAATTGGGGGATTGGAGAAGCAAATTCGGGGAGAGTGTGGGGCGACACAGGCCGAGAAGCATACGTAGTAGGCTGTAATGGACTAATAGCCTAAATTAGCTTAGAACCGCAGTGAAGAGTGAATGTCGATCTGCATCCCGTGTGAGTTAGGGCCCCAATGTTGAGATGGTTGGGGGCCAAAGGTACGAATTGTCCTCGGTGGGGCATGACAAATTGCGAATACGTGTTCAATCGCTTCATACTATAATATGGAGTCTAGGATGACGATAGGGTAAATGGTATATGGTATGGGTATAGGTATATAGAGTACAGTCAGACTGAAAAAGCTAATCTCACTTCTTCAAAGGCTGACACTCGTGCAGAAACACTCGGGATTTGAATGTCACTGCATGACACATGCCACATATGCCACTCCCACTGTCCAGACCAGGGCATGGACGTTCCAACGTCTGGTAATCCGTCCTCCGTATTCCGTATAGAGACCAATTCCCCCCCCCCCCCAAAAAAGCAATTTCGTCAATACATAACCATACACTTACCCTCCACTTACTTTTCCATTTACATGTACAGTACTGTAGTAAACAAAAGAAAAGTAAACACGCTCCACTCCCCACTCGGCACGAACTTCCCCGGCGCCATAGTTCGCCCTAACAAGCCCCCAGCCCACCCGATCCCCACTGTCGCGGTCGAATCTCATCAGCACTAACTGGGATAGGCAAGAGGGGCTCCATGAAGCGCGATCTGATTTGTGCTTGTTTAATCTATTTTCACCAATCCTGGCTTCCAGATTCCTTGTAAGCGAAGTAAGCGATCCGAATGTGGATTGTGGGGTTTCCTTTTGTTTACTGTATGGGTGTGTATTTATATACTAGTATGTATAGTATAGTATACTTGACAATTATATCATTCATCTCCAAACCTATGAGGTAAAGCGAGGATGAGGCAAGGCTGTGTCAGGTTGGGCGGGTAGGGATTGTAGTCGTACGGACACAGTAGGTGGTGTGTGCGGTAGGGGTCATATTGTCGACGTGCATATGTGGGTGAATGGAGATCAGGGTGAAATGCTGTGCATATATGTGCATTTATCCCGGTTTATGGTCGTAGGCGTGTTCCGGGTGCTTCTGCTGTGGGTATGTTCTTGCCTTTGGGTGATGCCAGGTTACATGCGTTTTGCAGGAGGCGTTTCGGGGGTATGACCTATATATCTACTAACCTAGGTGGGGAAATGTACAGGGCTGCGATATGTATGTGTAGTGTCGGGATGGGTCAAATCGAGCAATTGCTCGGTGGGTACCGGGAAATGTTGATTCTGTTAATTTTTCTCCTTCTGTTGGGTCGTTGGGTCGCGATATGGTAGAGGGATCAGAAGTAGAGAGGTCAATAGAAAAGGAAAAAGGCTGTATGAGGTATCCATTGTATAAACCAATCAACCAGATATTGGGCGACTGCCAACCCAATAAAAGCAAGAAAGAGGAACACGACGTTTCAGTGGTAGTAGAGCAAGCTACCCATCCATATCAGTAGAAAATCAGTAATCATCAGAGTCTGAATCCTGGCCACCATAGCGCGAGTTATAGCCGAAACCAGAGTTGAACCCGTCCTCGCTGGCAGAATCATCAAAGTCAAAGCCAGCATCATCAGAGGAAATCTCCTCATCGGGATAGTCATTAGCGGGATTGTTCTCAGCTGGATTGGGAAGTCATGTTAGCGCGAGTCCAAAACAATGCACTTCAAGGACAAAAAGGAATTTTACCATTCGAATCCGCATCCTCACTGTCCCACTCCTCTTCATCGTCCTCAACGAAATGCTCCCAGTACTGCTCATCCTCTTCTGTAATGACGATGACACCAACACCAGGCTGAGCCTTGGCGGCATTCTTCTGCTGCTGCTCGGACTCATACTCAGAAAGAGGATTGCGGAGCATTTCGCTCTCCGACAGCGGACGGCGAATGTAGACATCGTAGACATAGTCACCATCATCATCCTCTGCCTCAGGCGTATCCTCCACGGCCTCCTCGTTCTTCAGCGGAGATTGAGACCGAGGCTGGGGTTGAACAGGCGCGATTCTAGGTTCCTTCGGCAGTCTCGGCTGATATTTCAATGGCGACTTGAGCGCAGAGCTCACAGGCTGAACAGCCGAAGGAGCCGACACATGCGCATCCCCATTCCCAGCAAGTCGTGCATCAAGATCCATACCATGCTTCTGCTCCTGCCCATCATCACCCTGAAGCTCAAGAGCAACCTGCTCAAAGTCCCTAGCAAGCCGCTCAGACTCCTCTTCCCAATTCCTCTGCTGGTTCGTCTGCGCAGATTTCTCAACAGTCTCATTAAGCCGGTCCTTGGCCGCGGAAATTGACCCCTTCCGCTCCTCCCTCCACCGTCGCTCAGCCTGATTAACAACAGGACGTTTCCTCGGCTTCACAGGCGAAGCCGGAGCCGAACCCTCCACAATTTCCTTCGGCGGAAGCGAAAGAACCCGATCCCCAAGCTGCGCCTGCACAACCATATCAGAGACCATAGACGTCTTGCGCGAATGCGTGCGCCGATGCATTTGCTCAACTAGCACAGCGACACCCGGCGCAGGACCATCAATGCGGCGTTTCTGGACTCCGCCAGGGCTCCGTAGAGAACCGAGGTTTGATCGCGAGATCTGGAAGCGGCGCAGAGACTGGGCACGGCTAGGCGATGCATTTCTGGATGCTTGTTTGGTTTCACCCTTTGCTGATGCCGAGTCGGAGGTACTGGGTCTAGACCCGGACCCAGATCCAGATCCAGATTCAGGTCTCGGTGCAGATGAAGCTGCAGATGCAGACGCAGGGCTGGACTGTCCTGGCGAAGGCGGAGCTTGACCCGAGTAGATGAGTTCGCGGCGCTTTTCCTCGAGCTCTTTGCGCGCAGCTGCGAGGCGCTGTGCTTCGCGGAATTCTGCGCCTGGTGAGGTTGCTCGGACTGTTGGTACGCCATTGCCATTGCCGAGTCCAATTGAGGATGCTGGTGAGCGGCGGTTTACGTGCAGACTGCTTACTGAGCGCGGGCTGCGTAGGAGACGCTGGGCTGCTGGGTGCGCTGTTGATGGTGGGCTTGGGGATGCATCTGAGCTTTCGCTGGCTTTCAGTGTTACTCTGTGGAAGACGAAGTCTGTGAAGCGTCTTTTGGTTTGGTGGAGTGCCGATTGGATATCTGGGATCTGGTTAGTGGGTAGTTTTCAATTTGCTAATTGGAATTCTAGGGCGGAGGTATGCAATAGGCTTTTATGCTTTTTTGGGAGGGGCGTACATCGCGGGGAAAAACAAGGGGAGCATTTTTCTTACAGAGGGTTTCCACGGGCTCTTCTTCGCGTCTGCGCTTGATGTTGATTTGTTCTGGGGGGAGCGTCATGTTGCTATGTTTTCAGTTGATCATGCGATGAGAGGATTGATGTTGGGATGGAGGGATGGGAGGGCAAGTTGGTGATCTGAAGCATCCAGTTTGATGCATCTGATCCGTCCCTGATTCGGATTAGTGCATCACGTGACATGCATATTGAGGAGGTCAACTACCACACATTGTCCGCTATACTGGATTCTACGAGGACTACGATGTTTGATGACGGAATCACTGGTTCTGCTTCGCAATGGGTATTTTCATCGACTCATTTCCATGCTTTCTCAGGAGTTCTCCACTAGTTACACATCTGCAGCCCTGACCGGCTTCCTCTTTGCAACCAAAATATCCAAGACAGACAAGCGGGAAGGGCTGGTATTTCCACTGGATCATACCATCGGTATGCATCCTGCCCAACGGTATGATAATATGAGATCACTAACCAAAAGACCATGAGAAAGAGCACCCAGGGCCCGAGTGTGGTGCACTCGCCCGCTGTGGTAGATCATCCAGTGAAACATGCGGTGTGCTCAGTCCCTAGACCAAAATAAAGGAATAAAAAGATAAAATGGAAGATGAAGAGAAGGGAAAGACTCAAGCCAGCTAGCAATACATGGTGATAAAAGAAGGGGAAGATGGCATGAAAAGAAATTAAAAGGGGAATAAAAATCATTGGCGGCGAACTGAATATGTTCGGTCAAAATGGGGATATGATCCAAAAAGCCAAAGTAAAAGAGAAAGAAAAGGGGGTGGAAGTGAATGGCAAAGAGTCAGAAAGGTAAGTAAAAAGAGATTATGACCAATACAAGAAACGAATAAAAAGGGGGAAGTAAAAGGACATGACAATCAAGAAGGGACTATATGTATGAAAAATGAGAAGAAATGGCATTAGATTCACCGAGGACAATGAGTCAGTTATGCATCCCCCGGGTATGCAAGATTTGATGCAAATGATTATTTGGCCCCGATCTCCTCTTCAGCCCATCCGGGCAATGAGTTTTCGTTTTGAATAGCCAGTCCAAATCCGGGGTGGTTGAGGCCGCCGAGAGCAGAGCCGAAGCTAGAAAAGCTGCTCTGGGGTTGGTGGGCAGCTCCTGCGCGGTGGATTGGCTGGCCAGAGACAGGACCGAAGGGCTCTTGTGAGAAGGAGGGCAGGCTTACGGCTCGCGAGTGCGAGGCACGGGGCACGCTCAGGCTGCTGGTGCTGGCGTGGTGGCCGTGGCCGGAGCCGTTACCCACGCTCAAGTAGCTGTTGTTCGAGGACTTGTGTGGGTGCATTGGCGGGTCCATGCTTCCGTTGGAGAGGTCACCGTTGGTTGCACCGTTGTACATCGACTGCTGGGGCTGGGGCTGGGACTGTGCCTGTAGGCCGGCCAGGGCCATGGGGTCTCTGAGGCCATTCTCCTGGTCCTGTGCCTGGTGGGCAGACATCTGGTTCAGGTACATGGTGAGAGGGTTGCTAGATCCGACGTTGAGGACGCCAGAGGGAGAGGAGACTGTCTGCAGAGGGTGGCGCTGCTGTCCGTTCTGCGAGCCCGTAGAGCCGGGTGCTGGGGAGAGAGCGGGACGAGTCGGGCTGGACTGGGAGCCTGACTGGCTGAGGTTCTGCTGGAATCCGTTGAGAGCGGGGGTAGGTGACTGAGGGCCTTCCATGCCGGATCCATTGCGACCCTGGCCATTCTGGTTGTTGCCAGCCTGGCGGGGAGGGTTTCCACAGCGGTCCTTACCGAAGTTGATCTTGAAACGGCGGTAGTCCTCACGGTTGCGCATGCCCTCGATGGCCTTGATGGCATTGGCGATGTTGGTGAAGTTGACAAAGGCGCAGCTCTTCTCGCGCAGAGTGTTCACCAGCTCGATCTCACCGTACTCCGAAAAGTCCTGACGGAGGCGTTCCTCCGTCCAGGCCTCATCCAAGTTGCCGATGTATACGTTACGCGACGCACCTCCGCTGACTGCCAATGCAATGGCGGGCGGGAGAGGGCCTGAGTGCTTGCCCCAGCCAATCTTGAGTCGGCGGTTGTGAATCATCAGACCCTGAAGGTTACTCAGGGCATAGAATGAGGCAGCTGAGGTAGGATCAATGAATGTGACGAAGCAAATGTGCTTGTCAGGAATATACCGGACGTGGTGCAGGAGGCCGCCACGAACAACGTTGCAAATCTCTTCAATGGTAGTCTCAGGGTGAATGTTTCCTAGGTAGATGGTTCGGTTACCAAGGTTGTTGACACCGCCCGCTGTCGTAGCCACGGCGGCCGCGGCCACAGACTGTTGGGCAAGCGCATTGGAAATCAAGTCACGATCCGCAGTGTTGAGCACGTGCGCGTATCCAGGTGCGATTCCTAAGAACTGAGCAGCATTTTGCTGCTGAGTCTTGGACACATACGCGCAACGGTCCTTGCCGTAGAACACCCGCTTTGGCGCTTGCCATTGCTGCTCCTGAGGGAGCTGGGTGACGGCCTTCATCGCATTACTGATGGAGAGGAAGTGCACAAATCCAATAGCCTTCTCCTTGACAATCTTCACGGTGTCAATGGGTCCGAACTTGCCCAATTCCTCGCGAAGGTCATCCTCAGATGTCTCTTCGGGGAGATTTCCGAGGTAAACATTACGCGACGCGCCCGACTGCTGAACAGATAGGGCGACGGAAGTGGGGACCTGAGAAGGCTTACCCCAGCCAACCTTGATATCATTTCCCTTGATAGCCAGCTTCTTCAAAATGGCATCAGAGTGGAAATGCGTAGCAGAGCTGCTGTCCAAGAAGGAGATGAACGCGCAGTTCTTATCAGGGAGCAGACGGACAGACTCAATCTGGCCGCTACGCACATGGTTCAGGATCTCCTCAGCAGATGTTTCAGCTGGGATATTTCCTAGGTAAACAGTGCGGCTGGTCCCTGACAGCATGCCGGGGGCCACCGAAGCCTGGGGGCTTCCCAGAGCCGCGTTGCCCATACCTCCGAGACCATTGATGGGCGACTGAGGGCCCATCATCTGAGATGCACCCATGCCGTCGGGGGACATCATTCCATATAGACCCTGGTTTTGCATTCCTTGAGTCGGGCTGTGCATGTGGTTCTGGTTGTTCTGAGCGTGTCCATTGCCATTGGCCTGGGGGAAGCTGCCGAAGTTGGCGAACTGAGGCGATTGGAAGGCCGAGGGAGTTCCAGGTTGAAAGGGACTGCCCACCAGCAGCTGCGAAGGTAAAAGGGGGGTGAAGTTCATATCGAAACCGGAAGCCATGTCGGATTGTTGTCCTGGGTTCGTGTTTATAGCGGGAATATTGGCGCGACGAGCGTTTCGATCCGAGAATCCTTGAACCGAGTGAGGGTGATTATTGTTGTAGGCACCGTGGGAAAATCCAGTATCGCCGTTGAGCGCGTATTTGGACCCTGGGGGGATTAGACGCGAATTGTTCGGGATGCCTGATACATCCGAGGTTTGCATGGCGAGGTCGAGTCCTGAGGAAGTCGGTGCGACTACCAGATTAAGGAGGCTCTGAGAAGAAAAAGAAAAGAATTATCAGATCACCATTCAGGATAGGGAGGTCACTCTCCACACGGGTCAGAAAAGGGGAGAATGTAAATATAGGTGGGGAAAGAGAGAAATGAGGATAAAGTGAAAAGACGAGACGTGGCTAAATGAATGGAATGTAGGGAAGACCAACCGTTTCTCCGGGAATGCGTATGTTCAGTTGGCCATGCGATAGAAGAGAAAAGGAGAGAGAAGAAAAGCTACAAACAGTTAGCCGGAAAGAGATAAGTGGGAACAGAAAAGGTGGGAGGGAAAAAAGGAAAAAAGGGGGGCTATGGAGACTTACCTTGACTAAAAATTAAGAAATTGAAAAGAAAAAAGACAGGGTTAAAGAGAGAAAGAATGAAAGGCAAGGAAGTGAATCCAGGTAAGGTATGAGAGAAAGGAAAAAAAACATAAAAGGGGCAAATCATCAGAGTGGATTAAGGGGCCGAACTACAAACTCCTCTTATTTCTACTAAGCTAAGACTGTGAATTTCCCCAGTTCTGCAGACCCAGCCGCAATTTACCCCTGGCGAGTATAGGGAAAAGTCCAACCTTGGAACCTGCAAAGTCACTGTTTAGCCTCCTGTTCTCCGTAGGCTCCCTGCATGCCAAGAGCGGAGTCCCGTGACCTTTAGGAGTTGACAGTTAAGGTGGCTGGATATCAAAGTACGGAGTCGGTTAGTATCTGCTGATCTACTTTGATTTGCCTTTGACATTGTCGAAACGTGGTGTTTCTGTCTCGGGATACGAGACACTTGTATACGAACTACGTGATATGTCTTCAATACAATAGACCAATCGTGAGGGTGAATAATATAGATGAGCCCTGCTCATATTTGGTACTATACATATAACATATAACTATAGCGTTAAGTTATAAGTTATTGCTATACTACATGTAACGACTGACTTGAGAAGTTACAACCGCTATGTTGCGTTGACTCATATATCGTTGTCGCCTCAGGCACCCGTGGGGAATCCCGCAGATCGGAAATTTACCCCTCCACAATGTGTGATTCTCCTTGCGTTGAACACTTTGCAATTGGGAGATAAGAGGTCTCTTTTGTTGCGTCTTATCAGGTGAGCATTTTGGTCTGTCCTAGTCCTGGGATCTATGACTCACATTCCGGGCACTATTAATGCACGAAACGAATAGAACTCCTTCCCAACATAGCATTGGAAAGAGCGCAATGTCGACCAACATTTATATCGACGAGGACGTTGGCAGAGACGAATCTCCTGCCAACGGTACCGAGGCCGCTCCCTACAAGACCCTCGTTCACGCCTTTTTGGAACACGCTCCCACCACCGAGGGCATCCAGTACTTCACCCGCAAGTCCCAGACCGATGCCGCCGGCGAGGATGTCGACCCCGCTGCCAAATTGGAGTGGAAGCCCGCTACCAAGTCCGCCTTGAAGAAGGCCACCAACCTGATGGATCAGCGCAAGAAGAAGGCTGCCAAGGAGCACGAATTGGCCATCCGCGAGAAGGCCGAGGCCGAGAAGCGCCAGAAGGTCCTTGAGGAGGCTAAGAAGGTCGTCATCAAGGAGGACACTTCTCTCCCCAAGCCTGTCCGCATTCGCCTGGATGTCACCGACCCTGCCACTGTCAAGCTCCGCTCTACCGAATCCGATGAGCCTGGCACCCGTGTCCGCGTTCTTGGCCGCGTCCACCGCATGCGCGCCCAGAAGGACTACGTCTTCATCACTCTGACCGACGGATACGGATACCTCCAGTGTATCCTGACCGGCGACATGGTTAAGACCTTCGACATCATGACCCTCACCCTCGAAACCTCCATGGCCATCCACGGTGAGATGCGCGCTGTGCCCGCTAAGCAGCACGCTCCCAACGACCGTGAGCTGCACGCCGACTTCTTCACCATCATCGGCCGCGCCGCTGGTGACAAGGAAGCCATCACCACTCGCGTGGCGCCGGACGCCGACCCCCAGACTCTGTACGACAACCGTCACCTCGTGCTGCGCGGTGAGACCTCCTCTTCTGTCATGAAGGTTCGCGCCGCCACTCTGCGCGCCTTCCGCAAGGCCTTTGAGGGCCACCGCATGCTGGAGGTGACACCTCCCGCCATGGTGCAGACCCAGGTCGAGGGTGGTAGCACTCTCTTCGGTTTCGACTACTATGGCGAGAACGCCTACCTAACACAGTCCTCTCAGCTGTACCTGGAGACCTGTCTCCCATCCCTGGGCGACGTCTTCTGTGTGTGCCCATCGTTCCGTGCCGAGAAGTCCCTGACCCGCCGTCACCTGTCAGAGTACACCCACATCGAAGCCGAGCTGGACTTCATCACCTTCACCGATCTGCTCGACCACCTCGAGGAAATGATCTGCAGCGTCATTGACCACGTTCTCGCCGAGCCCGAGATTGCCGGCTACATCAAGCAGCTCAACCCCGATTTCAAGCCCCCATCCCGTCCTTTCCGTCGCATGAAGTACGACGATGCCATCGCCTGGTTGATCGAGCACGAAATTCCCAACGAGGAGGGCCAACCCCACAAGTTCGGTGATGATATCGCTGAGGCTGCTGAGCGCCGCATGACCGACATCATCAACCAGCCCATCTTCCTGACCCACTTCCCCGCCGAGATCAAGGCCTTCTACATGAAGAAGGACCCCGAGGACCGCCGCGTCACCGAGAGTGTCGACGTGCTCATGCCCGGTGTTGGTGAGATCGTCGGTGGAAGTATGCGTATGGACGACTGGGACGAGTTGATGAACGCCTACAAGCACGAGGGCATGGACCCCAAGCCCTACTACTGGTACACTGACCAGCGCAAGTAAGTTTTCCTGCCACTCGGCTTTTCTATTGGCCCAATTCTAACTTTGTAATAGGTACGGTACCTCCCCCCACGGTGGCTACGGTCTCGGTCTGGAGCGTTTCCTCGCCTGGTTGTGTGCTCGCTACACCGTCCGCGATTGCTCCTTGTACCCTCGCTACACTGGCCGTTGCACGCCTTAAATTAAGCACATAAATATGCATCGTGATAAGGTTAGGCATTGGTAGAACGAAAAATGGTTGCTCATGTATGAGAATGAAATCTTTTTTACTTTTTATATCTTGTCGGGGTTTGTTTTCTATAATATAGACTGGTATTTTCTTATTACTACCCTCGAATATATGAACTCTTAGCGGGACTATTTACCACGAAAATTTCCACAAGTAAAAATCAGGATAGATATCACATGTATGCTATATCACCTACTCTACAAAACCACTCTACATAGCCAGGGCAAAATCGATATCGACATCAATGCTGACACCCCCCCCCCCCTTCCATCCGAGACCGCTGTCAAATATAGACAGCCTCAGTGATACTGCGTACTCTCTACCCAGATACTCATCCGATTTCACAACCCTCATCTCCAAGGTCCAGTCCAATCCAGCCTAGTCCAGCCTAGTCCAGCCTGAAACCCTAGCACTAGATACCCGGGATTGAAGAGTCATCTACGGCATCATGCATGTTATGTGCACCTGTCGTGCATAACAGACTGAGACCGAGTCCGTTTCTCCCGCTGAATGTGTGCCTGGACTGGTTTGCAATGGGACAGGCTTAATTATATTAGAGTTATCTGCGTTGGGTGAGGGTTGCTGGGTGTGAGGTTTGTGATTTGTGGAAGGTTTGTGGGTTGGTTTTCTGTTGTCTGTGATTTGTAAGGGGTGTGGTTATGGGGTCTGCATAGGAGAAGAGCAGAGGAGAATAAGGTAGTGACAAGAGAGACGTAATAGGGAAAGAGACGGAGGTTTCAATGGTTCTGTAATTCTTTTCAATCCGTTTTCTCCTTCTCTTACTCAAGCTGGTTCGGCGGTCAGCTCCGTTTAGCCTGGTCTGGCTGTGGCTGGTCTAATCTGGTGTAGTGTGGTGAGTCGGTGCCTGGGCTCGAACTTGAGAGGAAAGGACAAGACGTTCTCGCTGATTGTGGTTCTATTCGTTCCATTTCCTCCCCCTCCTTGCCAGTGAAACTGGTTCTGCGGTCAGCTTTGACGTTCAGGTCTGGCTATGGCCGGTGTAGTGATTCGGCACCCGAGTTCGTGGTTGAGATGGTGTTCGCCATAGAGTGCTCTTCTGAGTAAGGATCGAGTGTGGTGATGAGTGTTTGGGCTGTCATGCTTCGTCTAGCGTTGTGTCTGTCTGTGTTAGTGCTGATCAGCCAGACTCTAGCCCCAACGTCGAAGTATCATCCATTGAATCAAGTAGATAGACTGTCCAGGTAGTGTGGTAGACAGGAGGTTTCATGAAATAGGAATAAAAGAATAAGGATGATCAACCCGAAATGAAGCCAGTCAGGAGTGCGCGTCTGTACAGTCACGGGCAAAGTCACGGGGAAGAACTCTGGCCCTAGTCAGGTCAGGATTCAATCCCTGCTCCACATTTCCATCACACAACAGGAATACTGTCCATCATCAAGTGATGAATGTCTCTGGGAGAGGAATGGACTCTATGTGCGTCTCACAGAAAAGAGGCGTCGCGATCCACATCAAGGTCTGGCTTGCCATTGCACGAACCGACACGGAGATAGAATCCGCAAGTCCCACTGTTTTTCATTCCATTTGACCCCTTTGAGAAACAGCAGGGCCATCTTGCTAGGCTTGAACAGGGTTATTTCATGCTGGAATGTGAACCACTTTGTGTTAATTTTAGTGTCAGCGTCATTATTGATGCTATTGGTGATGTCGCTTTGTTCTCTTCTCTCTCCATTCACAAATGAGGGCAAGTAAACCCCCTCACAGGACGTGGCCATTACGGTATCCTTTTCCATTCACGCGAACCGGCGATCTCAAGACGGGTCTCTTTTTTCCATCCCCGCTTGATTGGCAGTCGACATGACCCTGGTACCGTACCCATGCAGGTGTTTGTCTTTTGTCTTTCCTATCTGGGATATGAAGCTCCATCGATGGTTATACTGAATGCGTTAGATTCACATGTTCTCGTCATCGCCACCTTACGGTGTTGTTTCTTTGCTTCCCCTCTGTTCTTTCGGATCCCGGTTCAGGCCAAGGCCGGGACGTTTTCCCACTGGACACTCATATATGGATTGCCGATGTTGACACAGCCATCCCCGATGACCAGATATGCAAATCCGACACAACGGATAACCATCTTAGCAAAAGAGATATGATCAAATATGCGTCCCGGGTTGTATGGATCTACCACATGACAGCATTGAGTTCTTTTTTTGGCTTTTCTTGTTTCATATTTCTTTCCAAGGAATCTCAGCCCTAGTCTGAGCACTAACGCGACCAGCGCAAATCAAGAGCAAACAAAAAAGCACTCATGGCCGCTGGACATCATGATTGATCACCAAGTGCTTCAACCTCTCAATCCAATCCCACCTTCTCGGCAGTCAACCCAAAAATCCGAATCCCCAGCAAATGCAATACCAATGGGGAATCAGCCGCAGCACTAGCAGGGCTCAACCTGGAGGGTCGATTGGATTCGATTCGATTTCTCTAGGCGCGGAAGAGGTCGTTGTCGTTCTTGAGCTGCTGGATAGCTTGGTGGATTTGGGCCTTTGACACGCCCGAGCGGATGAGATTCACCAGGCGTTGGACCGTCTCTCCGTTGCCATCACGCATGACGGTAACCATGTCATCCAGGAATTCCCGGTAATAGTTCAGTTCGTCCTTGGTGGCGCCGGTGCCATTGCTTGGCTCTTTGTCGAGGTTGCTGACGTTGCTGGGAGAGGGAAGGCTCAGCTCTGTGATCGTGGCACTCTCGGAAGGGGGTACGCAGACGCAAAGGGAGATGCAAAATTGGGAGATGCAAAATTGGATTTAAATGGGGGTGGGTGGGATGAGATGGGCGAGAGATATCAGGTGAACGGGCAAAACAGTGCTTGGTATGGAAGAAGACAGGCTACTCACCTCGATGAGTTCTTGATTTGAGGTTGGTTGCGACTTCCAGCAGGAGATGCTTGGCCGGGGGCGTTTTCTGCCATATCTGCTGGGATCGTGTGAATGGTAAGCTTCGTTTCTACAGATCTTTCGACTTTGACGGTGACTTTCGAGATACTCGAAGTTTGCGGATCGATGTCGGGTGACTGGTACTGGTATCCTAAGGCTGTGTCTGAACACGCTGGAGGTGTTAGTCCAGCATGAGAAAGAAGATGGGTGGGTTATAAAGTAACGGGAGGGGTCAAAAGAGCCCGCCCCTCCATATGCTAGACAGACGCTGGGCATAAGGGAGAGATGTTGGAGATGAGAGATGGAGCGGTCAGCCATACTGGAGGTGTACGAGCTAGCGTGTCCAAATAGGGAAAATAGCGAACCTGTAGAGATATATAAATTCGATACGGAGGGAAGAGAGAAGGGAGAGAACGATCGAGCCGAATATTTATTGTTTTGCCGCCAGTCTAATTGATTTTGCAAAAAAAAAATAGGTAAATCTCAAGGGTCCTTTCACGAGCTGTGATCTGGCTCGGGAGAGGCGTAACATTTGCCATGATTCCAAGGGAACGGAATTTGGCATGATAATTGGCATGGTAGGTGAAGAATTGAGAAGGCGATTCTATGTTGAGTTGGTCGCTATTCACAAATCGCAAGGCTTGAATCCGCTTCGGAGAAAAGTGCCAGCCAATCGTGGATGCGTCAAGTTCTCCACGGAGAGATCTCTCCAACTTCATCCCATGTTCGTTCCTGGACTCTGCATAATTCCTGGGAAGTGAGTGTCGATAGCCTTGATATCTCGCTCTCATTTGCGTGTTTCGATTCAAAAATGCGATGTTGATGGATTGAGAACGCTTGTTTTGGCTGGTGCGTCACCTTCGGGATACACTGGAGCCGGAATTTGAGACCAGGAATTTCCTATTTTGTCTTCAATCTGGGGCTTCTCACATTGGCGTAGTTGGTGGATAACACTCGATGGAGTTGGCATAAGGCGAACAGGTCATCTCTCGTTCTGTTGGTCTCTTCTTCAACCATCGCATCAGGAGCCAGGTGGAACGGCTCAACAATCTCCTGTGGCGGATTCAATTATTGAGCTCACTATGGAGTATCTGGACTCCGTTTGCAGATACTATGCAATGATGCTGAAATTGATAGTATATCCAATCGTTGAACGCGTGGACCTTTCTCTGATTGTGAATCCTTGAGCCCGGTAACCTTCCTGCCAAAACGCGACCTTGACGACAATGGCCTATTGTCCCACTCGATTGAGCGGTCATTTCGATGTCCGTTTGTCCCAGCAAGATCCAATAATGGACATAACTTGACATAAACAGTCGAGAAAACGGTGGATGTACTCGGGGGGTATGGCCTCATTGTCACAACGCGTCAGGTTCAACAGGCACTCCATCGCAACTTCCTCGTCTTTGAGAAACTCGCTGACTTATTCTTTTCTCCGTAAACAGGGCCAGAACATCATGTGAATGTTAAATCTCGATCCCTTTCCCTCTCCTTTCTCGACCCTTTCGCAGTGCTTGTAGCCTTCACTTTCCAAGTGAGAAGGTTTCCAACTATGCGGTTCAAGCTGCGATGATCAAAACGATGAAGACGACGTTTATCCTGAGCACACAATGGCCATGTTTGTCCTCATCGAAGCTGGCCACGCCGACGTGATCGTATGTTATGGACTGGTTGAGTGAGCACCCATTAGCAACGGCTTCTTGTTTGTTGGATTTTACATTGCAAGAAGTACGCAAGCAATTATTGCTCTGGGTGTGTTTTTATGCTTTGGACGACAGATCTCCTGTTCGCGACGGCCTCACTTTCGAACAATGGCAACGCGCTCAGAGCCTTCGAGGGTCAATCACCATACTTTGCTGGCAACCTGTGGACGGACTCGCTGTTTCGTTTCAGTCATAGTCATATTGCAGCTAACAACTTGAAGTGAACCCGCGGTATAGGCATGAGGCTGAATGGTTTATCAACAATCTCTTCGGGTGTGTCCAACATTGCGATGTCAGGGATTCGTGTTGATTGCGATGCTGGATTGAAAACGATTGCTTTGGTGCACGATGGTACCACATATGGAGTATGTGGCGAGTCTGGAGCTGCCTTGGGTTTGGGGGTCAACGGGCCATCCAGCCCTTGACGTGAGCAGCCCCGGTGCGCTTCGGGATGTCCTGGGTCTCGCTCGGTTTCCGACACTGGCGAGATAGCTGCTGGTATCTTCGACGCACCGTGTACCTGGTGTTATTTCATTCTCCATCGTGGTTTTTGTTCAAGTAATCCGCGTGGATGTTTCGATGCTGATGGCTACTTCGATGTGGTATCTGCAGCTTCATATTAACCCAAATGCTGGCTCGAGACAAATGCAATCACGCTCGATGAGCTGGGCTTCAGTTCGGCCTGATCGGTCCTCGGCCAGACGCGTTGCAGCAGGTCTTGAAGAAATATCCCCGCTCTATGCGGACTCACATGCAGATACATTGTCAGTTGTCTTAGGTCTCAGGGTTCGTCAGGGGCAGTGATCTAGCACCTCCACCGTGAGGTGGCAACGTTTCTGAACGGTGATTGGCATCTGCTTTTGAGCGCTACTGGGTCCCAGTCTGGTGGTTGTCGCTCACTGCAACTCGGAGGTGTGGATCGATATGCGACAAGTCAGTCATTTGGGGTGCACAGCACATCAGCAACTTGATCTGAATGTGTTGTGGTCATCCTGGAGGGTGACATAGGAATCCTTTTCCGAGGTATCCTTTGATATCCTCCTTTCAACCGTGATGTGGATCCATTATCATTGGAAAGAAAGACTTGGTAGAGTCACTGCCTGCCGCACGGTTTGACCGACCCCGACTCTGAGTGGCCCCTTAGGGTATCGGGCATAGTCTGACATCTCGTGATGCCAGAAGCACGATAACAGCAGACTCTTCACAAACTCGCCAGCTGCCGACTGTTCAAATCGATGCAGCCGGTAATGTCCGTCAGATGGTCGAGGGAAGACATTCCAGAAGAGAAAGCCCTATTATTCACCCTGTATTGCCAGTTGGATCCACCCCGCCATGGGAAAAGTGTTCCTGGCGAGACCATTGGAGCTCCACCTAACGCCCAAATAACGCAAGTGAGCGTCAGACTTGACTCGCCCGAAGTCTTAACGGAACAGGAATTCTGGATCCTCTATGATGGTGAATATGCTCAAATATTAGTACAACTTTGTCGAGCGTGTACCCGAGTGGAAAAGATGATTCCGAGAAGGAAAGCCCATCTTTCCTTGTGATCGGCCTAAAGGGGCGTGACCCTGGTCGCCTTATGAAGAATGATATGTTCGGGCGGATCAAACATTCAAATACTCCGATACTAACAAGAATACCGTGTTTGAACTAGTGACAGGGACCAACTCTGTCGTTTTCAGGAAACAAAGCACCTGGGGAATCATTGAGCCTGGTTGGTGGATCCTTTCACTGTATACAGCGTACAGAACGATACCGGGAACTTGCAGTCCTAGAATCCCTTGTTATTCACGCGTCTGGCTCCAAGCTTAGGTATCCCCAAATATCGCCTGAGTGGCAAATACTGAACGTTACAGGGGTTTGTGAGATTGGACTTGACCCTGGGTTCTAGTCCGATCACTGTTTATTTTCACAGGCCACGCCAGTGCCTGCTGAAATCTACAGGTCGTGGATCGTTCTTATTCGTGACTTTGACGCGGAAGTAGATTACCCCCGACAGATGAATACTTACAGCAGAATTTGTAGACTTCAAATTTGTCGACCTTGCTACCAATCAAAAACACCAACCAGGGTTGAATACAGACGGTTTCTCATGTCTAGGTAGTAGAACGAGTCGGTGGCTGACATTAACCACATTTGAGCCCACTAAGGGAATGCCACCAACGCCCGTCTCTTTGACCAAACGATTGGCAAGTCCGCCACTCTAACTTTGGATATTCAAATAAAGTGTCTATTGTTATCATCGTTTCTAGTTTTCAATTTTCCTGGATGATGGTATAATCCCTAGTTCGTGCAGAATCTACGTGAAAATGACGCATGGATTCGTAGACCTTGACAGTGATTGTAGGTTTGCTGTACCGTGGCGAAGTAAAATATGAAAGCCAAAGCAAGAACAGTGTATGTCTGATAGGGACCTATTCGATAGTTCTAGATGTCTTCGTCCCCAACTACATATATATGTATGTGGGGTTTGCCTCGTACTAACCATCTGGTTTAAGTGGACAGGGATGCACCGCCACACCTTGCCAATTCTGTGCTAAGAGCGTGAAAGCAATCAATATGAAATGTTTCAAATCACCTGTGTTCTTCTATGAATGCAGAATGAGTACATCACACGTTGGTCACGCTGATCATCCTCCAGGGCTGTATCGACGACACATGGTGACCACAAATCAATCATCTACCACTAGTACTTACACATGTGCATTGGCCTAGACACAAAATGCGGAATACTCAAAGATGTTTGTTTATGAACTAACACCTCGGCAAAGGTTGCTATGCAGATCAAGATTTACGACAACACCCTCTAACTATACGAATCGGTATCGAATGAAAAACGCCGGCTGACTACCAACTCAGTACACCGATGTAGCAAAGCAATGCCAGTCTAATCGCATATATCCCCTAAACACAGCCAAGAATTGTTTCTGCATTGAGAATTGTGTTTATTTTATTACGTCAGATCAATATAAAACCTTCACATTCCACACGCGCAGGAGAATGCCACAAATCCCAAACACAGCCCGCTTCGCGCGAGGCAACTAATGAATCCCAAGAATTCCAATCAAACGCGCAGCATACTAATATCCAGCTTCACACCACATCTGTCCAACGATCGGCTTTCGACAACCCCAATTATCACGACACACCACCCTAAGTCGCTCATCGCCCACCGACACCAGAAGAAAAGAGGACGAGGACGATAGTTCAAGGGCACCAGCATTCACAATGCACCTCCCAACCCTCCTCTTGCTGGGCAGCACCCTCGCCTCAGCCCGCCAGCAGTTCGGACCTGGCCCTGAGCAAATGGGTTACCTGACGCATATCGGGCAGGGTATCAACAACGATCAGAATCAGAGCCCAAACGAAGGTCAAAACGAGGGTCAGAAGTACAACCAAAATGCCAACCAGAACTATGGTAACTACGATGGCAACTACAACGATAACTATAGCGACAACTACCACGATGACTACAGCATTGACTACGACAACAACCCCAGCTCAAACGGGTATGGCAACAGCCCCGGCTCAGACAGCTACTACAACCAGCCTCAAGCCCAGGACCCAGCTGAAGATGCCCCTGCTCAAGCTCAGGCACCCATCGTTCACAGCGCATCCACGGCACCATTTTACGTGCCACTGGCTCCGTCTGATACACCTGTGGCACCCAGCCCCAAACCACAGGTGCACTCGCACTCGCACGTGCATGCCCCTGTCCATGCACAGCCTCAGGATCAGGCCCCGGCTCCTGATTATGGCTATTCGTACTCTAGAACGAGTGTCTCTAAGGTTCCTGTGCCGTTTGGGACCCCCAAGCCTACTTATGCGCCTTCTCCTCAGTATCAGCCTGAGCCTCAGGCTCAACCTCAACCGCCTGTCCAGCAGGCTCCAGCTCCGGCTCCTAAGCCTCCTGCTCCTGCACCTGCCCCAGCTCCAGTTGCGCAGGCTCCTCAGGCTTCTCCTCCTCACCCCAAGCCCAAACCTGCCCCAGCTCCCCCATCAAACAACCAGCCCCAGCCCCAACCCCAGTTCGAAACCCCTCAAGCTCCTCCATCTAACGAGGGCCAGAACCGGGACCAAACCCTAGAGCAGAACTCAGTCCCAGAAACCCAGACCTCAGCAGGACCAGACACAAACCCCCCAGCAAACGACGTTCCAGCCAGCGAAGTAGCACCCATGGACCCCATGCAACCAGGCTCGAACATCGCTCCCACCACCTTGGACGATGTCCCAAAACACGGCAAGGATATCGGTAATGCTTTCTGCTCGGGTATGTGTTACCCGAATGAAGCTGATGCGAAATGTCCGCCGCCTTTTGTGAGTATACCCTCTTTCTTATCTCCATGAGATGGACGTGTTTTATATATCTATGATAGGTTGTGGTATTGTTTGCTAATATTTTTCTCTTCGTTCTAGTCGTCGCCTATGCTTCAGAAGGCTCAGGGGTGTTATATGTGTTGCTTCACTGCTGGGGAGTTCTAGAGTATCCCCTAGCTGTGGGTGATGATTTATTCCTTTCTCTCGGGGTCTCCTATTTGAACTTGTGTCCTGGAGCCCATGATATTCTGTTTCTTCTTGTTGTTTTTCTTCTTCTTATGGTGGAACATATGTACTATGTATATGTGGCTCCCCTATACCTGGTTTTTAGATACTCGAGGGTTAGTCTCTTAACATGCCCTCGGGACTCACTAATCAAAATTTGTGTTAGCTGCAGATATCTCTACAAGAATGCATGCCGGTTTGACATAACGACATACAGGATACAAGTACCATACTGTACGAGGAACTTTTGTTACCCGTGCAACCTCCATGCTCCCCTCCCTCTGGCTGGACAAGTACGTACATTGGATAAAAGCCAGAATTGTATCTGCTGTATTAGACCGTACCACGCAGTTCTGTGATAAGAACATCGTCTTATAGAGGCTACGAGTATCATGTAAAGTGAAATGATATCCCGAGATTGTATCAATAACCGACAGTAACAAGTCAAAGACATCGGGCATTTCGATCAAGATAAAGGAGCGACAAACAATGAATCATCTCCAATTGAATCCTCCACAGCCCATCTCAACCTGTGACAATGAAAACAACCCTAAAGACACTGAATTTTCATCCGGTCCCTCAAGGCAAAATTACCTCGTACTCGCATGTACTGCCAATTACCCTCTCCCTACTGGAGATGGGCACTGCTGTACGCACCACTAATAATAGTCGGGGCCTTATCGACACCCTGCCAACCACGAAGCCCGCAGTAGGTTGACTCCTTCATTGTTTCCTGACTTTGCCAGATTGCTCGAGCGCAACCCTCTGTATTCGAACACGTTTGGGTACAGGCTTGCGCATTGGCAGCAGCTAGGGTGCGGATGTTTGCAGCGCCCCAATCATCCACTGTACATGTATTAGTCTTTGTCGGGGAGGGATATATCATAGGCCAACTAATCTCATATCGGCGAGTTAAGAGATAGCCTAGCAAGTTGGATAGATATCACTGAAAGTTTCCCATAGAATATGGACTTATACGTCCGTACGCGGAGTATATAGATATACATCATCACCCCCACAAATCACATGCACCCCCAAATCCAAATCGGACCCCCGTGGAACCACCAAACCATCCTAAATTTAAGCATGATTAGAGTAATGGTCTAATATATTAGTTCCCTGACTATGAGTTCTTAAGTATAGAACCCGTAGTTTGTAGACTGTGGACTTACTCCATAATAAAGTCCATAGATCCACTATCACTTGCATCTTCTACATAAATTGTACGACAGAGAAAAGTCTGTAGAAATGATTCCAATTCAAAGTTTAAATGAATACCAAAAAGACGGCATTAGAAAAGATCTATATTCGCTTCCAGGCAAACAACACCCAAGAGAGTGTGAAAAAAAAAAAAAACGTCCAAAATCCATCACATCACATCATATATTTCCCGCTAGAGTCGTATCGCTCGACTCGGCATGAAATGAAATCAAAGAGAATCGAAGAAAAGAGAAGAGAAAAGCAAGACACAGACAAGACAGATTCAAACCCGAAACCCGAAACCGCAACCTCAGTCAAGCCACCTCAAACAACACCCCTCTTCATAGAAATAGGAGCAGACCGCTCGCCCTTTCCCCAAACAGCCGAACTAGCCGGAAAAATCGAGCCAGAATCAGCATCAACATGATCGGCATCAGCATCAGCATCGAAATCCGACGCGATGCGCGGCACGACAAGCTCAACGCCCTTAGCCACGCCCATACCCGCAAAATACGGGTTGTGACGAGGGGGGAGGGGACGCGACTCGTGCATGTGCATATAGCTTCCGAGGGAGTCGGAGGCCGTGCTGCTGTAAGAGGAGGAGACGGTTGAGGGGGTGTTTATCAAAGAAGGCAGGTGGCTGTCGGCACCAGTGCCGATAGCGTGAGCGTGGGCGTTAGGTGGAACACCGCCGACCAGGGCGGGGAGGCTTGCCGCACTGCGGTTATTGGCTGGGCGGGTTGGAGTAGAAGTGCCAGCAGCTCTAGAACCAGACTCGCCGTGGAATTGGGAGAGATAGGACCAGGCTTCCGAAGAAGCGAGGGACGAGCTTGAGCGAAATAATACTGGCTTCCACTCTGTTGGGTCGAGATCTGATTTGGCGGTATGGGATGTGCTAGGTATCCTGATTGATGGGATGCGGGTGGGCGTCATTTGAGGCACGATTGTGCGTGGGGAGAGGGGTGGTGAGGTTGGTGGCGTTGTGGTCATTTTTGAGGTCATTGTTGGGAGGGATGCTGAGAGGGGTTTGCAGGAGTCTTTGCGGCGGCAGCTGGAGGGAGAAGTATTAGTATCTATATATATGTATATAGGTTGTAGATGTGCGGTGTGATATGTAGATGTTTCACATGCAGGTCCCAAAATAGGATGTTGATAAGGATGGGGCTGGGTAGCCCCAAATACAGGAGTTTGCCACATACCTTTCGCTGCAGTATAATAGGGTGTTGTTTGGTACGGTAATTTGTCTTTCGCACATGGCGCTGGAGGGTGTTAATTTAAGGTCCGTGTGTTTGTTTATGGTACAAGGTACACAGAGCATGTGAGTTTCCTTGACGATATCCTTGAGATATCCTTGAAGATAAGGAATAAGAGAATGATGCATTGATATGTACATACCAGAAGTTCAAGAAGCTCGCCATATCTTCTTCGTCGGCAGGCTTTGTTCCCCTTCCCGAGCCTAGTTTGGCAATGGAGACAGTCGCACCGGATGTTCCTCGTCGATGTAAGACAGGACGTCTGGGCTTTGAGGCATGAGGAGAAGAAGGAGAACGGCGGTGGACAGGAGCTTGAGTCATAGCGGTGAGACTTTCTTTCAAATGCCTCACTATCTTATCATGTGGATCACACAATCTTGAAACCCCTTTGGGAGCACAGACTGAGGGATTTGTGATCTTAGAAAGTCTTGAATTCGACTGGAATGGAAGGCTGGGGGAATACAAGGGATCCCTATGTCGTTTTAACGTAGCGAAGAGTGAGAATGACTATGATAAGGTCAGTTTTGTTACCGAAGGAGACCCCGGAGGGTTATCTTTGTGTTGTGAGTGGGGGGAGATAAGCCGGATCGGGAATCTGAACACTTGACATACCTGAGTAGAGTAGTATACTAATATAGGGTATGATGTAGGGTAGTGTGGAGGTATAGTCTAATATTTAGTGTGAACAGAAAAAGGGGTAGAGGGTCAATATATAAGGAACTTGGAACTGGGAAAAAGATATGGTGGGATAAGATGGAGAACGTGCTGTTGCGGTAGGATGAGACGATCAAATCTAGAACTTCTTCCAGGCCCGGGTACCCTGGAAGTCACTCTCCGTCCAATCCCCCACCCAAAGAGTACCTCGTGGGTACAAGGATCCCCCGTCCACGCAATGGTCCGTCTAGACCTGAGTCACATTTCTATTATTATATTCCGTTTTGGTCGTTTTTCTCTTCTCTAATTCTCTTCTATTATCCGCTTCTAGAATAAATGTATACATTGTAGACTATGAAGCCATAATCCCGGACCTACCCTCTGACCATCTGAAACGCACAGATTCTGCAACGTGCCCTCTCTGCCAGGTTTACCTGCAGATGAGCTGCAGTAGCGCAGGGAGCATATCTCCGGAGGTCGGATCTGGCCTGACATCCCACATAATGTATTCGGTCATTTGCTGTTTCCTTTACCCACAATTCAATAATCAAGGTTATTGCCCTTGACCATGGATACACACTATAGCCCTGCTATAACCTAAGTGACGCCATAAATGCCGCGAGTATGAGTACCCAGAGGGTGCAAAATGGTGGGTAAACATACATCATCACATTAATTAATAGATCCACCAGACAGAGCATAGTCAATGTGAATGTAAGTGTAAATGTAGTTAGTAAAATGAAATAAAGGAATATCTGCCGGCAAAGGCGACAATCACGAAAATGAATCGGCCGTGGATAAGAGATCAAGTGCCACACAGACGCAACACACACAACACACAACACACTGACACGTTGCTCTGTTCTGGCCCCTAATTGTCGATCTTCCGTTTCTGTTTCGGGTCTATGGGGAAAAAAAAACCGGGGACTTGTTCGAGAATGTAGTTACGTGTCAGTCTCAGTTTATGTGGGTTAGGGCTTCATCACAGCTGGAGATCCAGTACATGGGTTACATAAATACAGAGTGCAGAATCGAATCTTCAGGTTTCCCTGGTAGATAGGGCGCATTGTTGCATTGATTAGACTTCAGACAATAACTTTCCCTTCCCCGTTACACCTAACAATAAATAACTCGACTTGCTTGTATTCCAGCGAGTTCGTTCTCTGGCTCACGGCCGAGTTCCACCCCTGGAATTGCCGTTATAGGCGGACATTTGGCGATGGGTCGGGTCGATGACATCTGTCACATCATACACCTACACTGCCTCTGCTAAACAAAGTTTATGATCCAAAGTGGAGCAAGAATGATGTTGACGTTTGAATGTCTTTGTCTTACAATACAAATGTATTCTGGTCTCGATCCTGGGTGGGTATCTAGTAAATCATACAATAAAGGACTATTTGTCCAAGTCCATTGGCTCAGACGCTGGAGCCTGGGCTGTAGGGAGATCGCCATTCGCGGCAACGGCCTTATTTGGAATCGACTCGGCCTGGCCCTTGGCCTTTCCATCGCTCTCTCTGGAGCCCTCTAGGGCTGGGGGTTTGACGGTGCCTGGGCCTGGACCGGGAACCGGGAGTGGTTCTGGAACTGAATTCGTAACTGGGGCTGCGACGGAAGCCGGTCCTACTTTTCCTGAAAATCGCTCGGGCACGCCTCGCGCGGCACCATCGGCTGGACCTACGAAACAGCCTAGCATCGAGCTCCAGATACATCCTTCGGATAGGAGGCGGCGGATTTGTCCATAGGCGTAGGAATTGGCGTATGGGAGGCCTGTGTCTGAGTCGCGGTATCGTGATGGCATGGAAGTGATGACGCAAAGAGATGACGAGATTTCTGTGCTGGTTAGCCCTATGGTTCCATGTGTTGTGTGATCTGTAGGATGTGGTGCAACGTACTTGTCAAACGCGGTGGCTTTTTGGCGTTAAAGTACATGCTGTATTTGCGACTGTGGGCGGTCGCATGGTCGAAGTTCTCGAGGATGGTTAATGTGCGCCCGGTGTGTTCAATTACTGGAGGAGATGGTGGGATCGCTGGCTGTCCTGTCTGAACTGGCCCTGGCTGTATTGGTCCCATCACATTTGGATGTTGTAATCCGGGCTGCCATCTTTGTTGCGGTTGAGTTTGGAGCAAGGCATTCTCGGGCACCGTGGCTGAACTAACTGCTGCAGTCGATATATGAGGGGCCAGTACAACTCCTGTGCTGACGGGAGTGGCAGATTCCACAGGCTGTGATGCGCCCGCCGGTGGTTGTTCTTGAAGACTCGGCCCGGCTGGGTCTGCTTTGGGTTCCTGTGCCGAAACTGGTTGGGCACCTGCATTATCCGAAGACATTAGGTTTGCTTTGGCCGGCTCTTTCGCTTGATTGTCCTCGGGAACATCTGTAGGCGCTGAATGTTGGTCAACATCCATAGCATCGTCGTCCTTGGCAGAGGTTGGCTCCGGCACTGTTTGAGTAGAGCCATTATTTGTAGGTCCCGATAAACGGCGAGCTGGGATCTCCACAGCAAATTGTCTCTTCTCTGGCTGTTTCCTCGGGTCTGGCACTTTTTCATTATTCTCTGAAATCGGTGTCGTTGAATTTGTCTCCTCTTCTGCAGTTTGCTTTTCCACTGCATTGCCCTTGTCATTCTCGGAAGGTATAGCTGCACTGGCCTGCGTTTCTGATGATGTATCAACATTGGCAATTGTCTCAGCAGATGTAACAGATGTTTGTTTGTTTTCAGAAGTTGGTGTTGCGACAATTTCTGGTGGCTTGTCCCCAGCCGGCTTTTGATCCGTAGGTGTGGGAATGGTAGGAGTCGGAATTGGCTGATCTGCTGTCCCCGGCGTAACGGGTGCAACAGTATTCGCAACAGAAAAGTTTGGGTTTGGTAGAGGTTGTGTTGAGCCTGGGAAAGGTGCAGGCCCGAAGACAGGAATAGACTGCAGGGCCAACTGATCCGCCGCCGCTTTTTCTTTGTCTTCTTTCTCCTTTTTTTTCTTCTTGGCCTCTTCTTTGTCGGGCTTCGGTTTAATATCGATCTTGCCGACCCGCGTGAGACGCCCATTGGTCCATGTGGCCACACCACTCCAATAGGATAGAACCGGGCCATCCAGACGGCGGTTTTGGAGTGCCTCGATTCTCGCTCGTCGTTCATCTGCCTTTCTTCGTTCGGTCTGCTCCCAGCGGTTCAAGCTCTTGCTGTTGAGGCGCTCCACTCTCGCAGCCTCCGCCAGGTGATCCTCCTGTGTCATCTTCTTCGGCTTCAGATGGGCCTTGCGCTTCTCGGCTTCCTTCATGGTAGCAATAATGCGCACCCGCTTCTCCTGACTGTCCTTGAGACGCGCGTGCGTCATTTCCTTGTTCACCATCGTTTGGCGACGTGAAGACTGCCGGGTAGGCCCATCCTCCACTGTGGGAATCCATGAGATACGCTCCGACTTCTTCTTCGGACGAGGAGGGGCGGCGGGCACGGCATTGACGGCGGTCGGATCGATCTTGACTCGCTTGCGTAGGGTCTGGAACCGGAGGTCATTCTGCTGTTTGCGCTTCTTGCGCTCGTCTTTCTGTAGTTGCTGTTCGCCCTCGTAGTCATTCGTCGCGTTCGGTCCTTGGTCGTCATCGTCGTCCGACGATTCCAGTCCTTCATCCTCCTCGACTTCGGGGTCTATCTCGTCCGCGAATTCATTGTCGTCTTCGACTTCCTCAAAAAGTAGTGCTAGGTCGTCGTCTGCGGCAGCTTCCAGCAGAGCGGACATGTGTAGTCCTGCCGTGCTTCGTTTCGCGCGCCCTCTGATCAGGGACTCCACGGGTACCTCCTCCTCAGAAGACTGCATCCCAGACGAAGGGTCCTCTTCCATTATGTCGGTCATATTGGTGATGCTGGTAGCGCACAGTTTAGGATGGCCGTTTCAACATCGGAGATAACGCGCACGCGATAGGGTGTGCTTGGATTGTTATCTAAATCGGATATTATGGGTGGTCAACGTGGCAAGCTATACCAAGAGAGATGAAAAGTGGCCGTTGCGGCAAGTCCAGGAGCTTGAACGCGAAAGTGAAATTGCGGCCTCAGGCATGACATTCTTAGCCAATGACCATAATTAACGTGTCTCTACTACTCTCTAGCATTGCCTCAGAACGACCTCAACTACACTTCATCTCTTTACGGAGTACACAGGCTGTTATAGTACTCAATGACTTGCTTTATTGCCACTGTTGTCTATTCCCTCCATCCCCATTGAGTACTCATGTGTTTCTACTAGGTTCCACAGCTTCTACCGCGCGAACCTCCCGGTTCATCCGCTTGTGCCGACTCCCAGAAACTTGGCAGGGCTGATGACTGCGATTCTCGAGACAATGATATGTCCAAACCCCGTCCAACTGTATTTCGAGAGACGAACAGGCGAACCTTAAGACCGGAAGGACACGTATCTGACCCATCCCTTGCGCGTACCAACTCTACCAACTCCCGTGGATTCAACATCATCTCCTTGCGTGGATTGCATCATATCGTATACCCCGGGTTGACAACTCTGCCTTCAAGGTGTGTAGAGTCGAGACATGACGCATTGGAATGCGGGGCTTCGTGTTTCCACTCTCGCTTCTCGGAACAGATGCTTGAATTGAGGATAGAATGGGGAGACCTACTGGACTGTTTGGACTGGACTGTATATTCTCAGATGGAGTGTTTCAGAGACTGTTGCCTGGTTCAGTCTCGGAACTTGTATGGGGCTGTGCCAGCCAATGTCTCTGGGTCCTATATAGCATGGATAGAACATGGATTGCATGTATTATAGCATGGATTATAGAGGTCAATGGTCCATGTTAAGGATAGACAGATACTGTAGTAAACAAAGATCAAAGACATATGAGATGCCTTTTTAAACATACACGTAAATCTAATCAACAATTGGATTGTGGATGAAGCTGAAGAGGGCCACTCCACCAACCATATCTTCCTCGGGCATCCGGCCTCCTCTCTTCTCTTCTCCTTCTCTCCTTCATCCTCCCTTGACTTTCTTCACGTCTCTTTCTTTTTGTTTTGCATTCTCTGACGAATTCAACTTTTTCTGTTGGTTTACCTTTCTCTCCTCCGCTCCTCAACTAATTCCATCCAGCCACGGATCCCTTTGGACCATCCATCTTTCTTTTGGCTTTGTGCCTGCATTTCCGTTTTTGAGCCTTTGACCACTTGCGCCATAGAAGGAGTCCTTTTCTTGGCTTAACTCGATCGCTTTGGGACACCTGCAGATTGTCATACACGCACAGTCAAACGAGATCATCATCCAGGGCCCTGGATATTACTGTTTTTGTCAAGGATTCAGTATCGGTACGAGATTCCCCCCACATTCCCTCTCTCTGTCCCTGTGGTGGATGTGCTTCGTCAACCCCTCCCATCCGCCACAAACATCGCAAACACCGCTTTTGGAAACGCCAACTAACCCCAACTTCTATCCTCAGACTCTCCTCAATCCTTCAACGCGACATTCCTCCGAATTTATCCGATTCATCGAGTCTTTTTTATCTTTTCTATGCTCGTGCCACACTTTTGAACGGGCAAATCTACCACGTACCTTGCTGGTCCAAATTGGCACACGGTCTTTGATTCGGAAAGACTTGGGCACTGCCCACCTGAAGGCAGAAAGATTATTCATAATGTTACCGGTGTCGCGATCTGAACAAATGAGTTTCAACTACATCCCAACCACCCAGCCTATGTCGGGTACATCGACGGGGCGCAGCTCCCCGAGTGACCTGTCTGGCTCTGGATCTGGGGGCGGAAGAACACCATTCGGACCTGCTCCGGGATCCATTGGTAGTTCGAGGCCGGGGGCTGGATCCCCTTCACACGACTTGGGAGCGCGTTTGTATTCAAAGCGGTAAGTTGATTTCGGTGGAAACGAACGGGACTTGACTGACTCTCCGGCAGAGCTCGCGAAATTCAAGCACAAGAGGGTGTTTCTCCTAGCATTTGGGGACCTCCCACCAGCGGCCATTCAACCCCGCTTCGCGAAAATATTCCCGAATCGCCCAGCCAGGATAGCTTCCCCGATCTGATGCCTCCCACCAGTAGCTCGATGAACAGCCCCGGACGCCGCGCTCGCGCTGGAACCGTGCCTTCTCGTTTCCCCCCAATGGGCACTCTCAACGAAATGGATCTCCAGCAGCCTTTGCTCTCGCAGACTTCACGACCAACACCCTCGACTAGTCCTTTCAGGCCACCTGTCTCGGGAATGGATACTGGCTCCAAGGTTGCGAGCACTGCGGCTGGCCGTGAACCGGCCATGTTATCACGCCTTCGAGCTGGCTCGATGCCGCAGAGAAGCAGCCTCTTGGGAGGCGGTGGACCTTTTGGCCCATCCTTGTTTTCAACCAACTGGTCGACGGGACGCGAGCGAGCCACCACTTTGACGAGTATTCGATCTTCGGAAGGACCAACTTCGCCCAGTCATTCCTCATTCTCCAGGGACGGACTCGCAGATACCGATGTTAAGACGCTGGATTATCTTGGACTCGCTGAGACTCCTCAGCAGGCTAGAGCTTCTCTTGCGCGCCCCTCGATGGAATCTTTGATGCAGCAGCAGCAACAGCAGGCCTCTGCGCTCCCGCCACTCCTGGCTGAGTTGGCAATGATGAAGAACAACAATCGGTTCCGGTCTTACTCCGTCAACGCCAAGGAGAAATACGCTGATGACGAGGATCTCGAATATGAAAGCCGTTATTCTCAACTTCCCTCCGGTACTCTGACTCCGTCTGCTGCTGCAACCGCCGCTCAACTTGCTGCCACCCAGGCCCAGATTCACCAGCACAACCTTGCCGTTCAGGCTTTTGCCAACCATGCATCTGTGAGCAGACCCCGTGCTCGGACTGCCGGTATCTTGGAGGCTCCTTCCCAGCGAAACAACATCCGCAACTATCTCGCAACTCCCTCCCGCCTCGACAACAGCTTCAGTGCTGCTGATCTTGGAATCCCCGAGAATGGTGAATACGATGACCTCTCTGAGGCTGTTCAACTGATGGGACTCGGTGGTCCAGCCCACTCCATGGGTGTTCGACATGGTGAGATCACGGATGAGAACAACCAGGATGGACCTACTCGGGCTCTGTGGATTGGTAGCATTCCCGTTTCTACGACTGTTACATCCCTGGAAGCGATATTTGGACTTTACGGCAAGATTGAATCGACTCGTGTGCTTACTCACAAGAACTGTGGCTTCGTCAACTTTGACCGTCTCGATAGTGCAGTTCAAGCCAAGTCGTTGCTCAACGGCAAGGAGATTTTCCCAGGTGCTGGACCCGTTCGAATTGGTTACGCCAAGGTCCCTGGTGCTTCGGCCACTGGTACCCCTGGTGCAAACGGCATTCAGTCCTCCCCGACCCCTGATCCCAACTTCCGCTCAAACCTCGCATCCGCAGATGGAACGGATCGGGCAGACACCGCCAACAGTGTTCCCCAACTCCCCGCCCTAGCTGATCTCCTCCCCGAGATGGTGCAAATCGTGCAAGAATTTGGCGCTGGTGAGGAGGATTCTGCGAATATCACTGCCAGCATCCAGACTTCTATCGCCTTCCAAGACTTTGAAGATGAGATCCCCTCGATCCCAGAGCCTAGCCAGTCCCGGATGTTTGATGCACCCCGCCTTCGTGACATTAGAAAGCGAATTGACAATGGTGCTTGCTCTATTCAAGAGATTGAAGAGACTGCCGAAGCTATGCTCCCTGAGATTGCCGAACTTGCCTCTGACTACCTCGGCAACACTGTTGTCCAGAAGCTGTTCGAATTCTGCTCTGAGATTACCAAAGAGCAGATGTTGGCCCACATTGCTCCTCATCTTGCTGAAATTGGTGTTCACAAAAACGGTACATGGGCTGCGCAGAAGATTATCGATGTGGCCAAGACCCCTGCGCAGATGCAGTTGATCGTTGATGCCCTCCGCCCCTACACTGTTCCCCTCTTCTTGGACCAATACGGAAACTATGTCTTGCAATGCTGCCTCCGATTTGGCAGCCCCTTCAACAGCTTCATCTTTGAATCTATGTTGAGCCGTATGTGGGAAGTTGCTCAAGGCCGATTTGGTGCCCGTGCCATGCGGGCTTGTTTGGAAAGCCACCACGCTACCAAGGATCAGCAACGAATGCTTGCGTCTGCTATCGCTCTTCACAGTGTACAGCTAGCTACCAATGCCAACGGAGCTCTCCTCCTCACCTGGTTCCTCGATACATGTACATTCCCCCGCCGCCGAACTGTCCTGGCTCCCAGACTTGTGCCCCACCTTGTTCACCTCTGCACTCACAAGGTTGCCTACTTGACCGTTCTCAAGGTAATCAACCAACGCAATGAGCCAGAGGCCCGTGACATTGTTCTCAAGGCCCTTTTCTTCAGCCCCGGTGATGAAATTTTGGAAAAGATTCTGAGCGACCAGACCTCTGGTGCAACTCTCATTTTCAAGGTCCTGACTACTCCCTTCTTTGATGAGTCGATGCGATCCGAAGTCGTCAAGAACGTGTCCAAGGTTCTCACAAAGCTCAAGGCTTCCCCAAGCCAGGGCTACAAGCGTCTCATGGACGAGGTGGGTCTCTCTTCTCGTGGCAGCGGCCGTGAGAACCACCATGGACGAGAGCACGGAGCTGGCCACGCCACTCCCGAGAAATCGCAACGTCAATCCTCCCGACAGGGAAGCACAGCCGGCTACCCAGCCCAACCTCCCATGGAACGACAGTACAACGGACAGTTTGCTCCCAATATCGATTCCCGTCCCATGACCGCCGACCAGGCTAACCCTCCCATGGACCACTACGCAAGCAATGGACTCGGCAACCACCTAAGCGGTTTCCCCCACCCCAACCAAGACCCTGTGAACCACCAGTACCAGCAGCTGCAATACCAAGCCTTCATCAACGCCCAGGCCCAAGCCCGTGGCCTTCCTCCCACCTACCCCGGCACTCCAGGCGGCGCCTATGGATATCCCGGCTCACCAGCCATGGACAACCTGCGCTCACTGCCCCAGCAGGCGGTCCCACTGTCCGCCCCGGGCCAGATGCTGAGCCAGTCAAACTACCCGCAGTTCAGCCCCGGTCCTAACCCTCCCCAGATGTATGCGCAGTTCCCCCCGCAATACTATGCCCAGGCCCAACCCGTGCAGGGCCAGCCGGGCGGAGCCCGACGTGGACGGATGAGTTCTTTTTCGGATCGTCCGTGATCCGATATCCTGTAAAGGGGAATTCCACCTAGCTAACATCCATCTGCCTGCCGCTAGCGATAGCGTTGATCTTGATCTTTGATTCATTATTCGGTTTCGGTATGCTGTTTAATCAGATCTTCCACCTACATGTACAAACCTTCTTGATCATTTCTTCTCTTTTACTTTATCTCTTTACTGTTTACTTTTTTGATCATCTTTCTCGTTTATTCTACAGTCCTTGCTTGTGTCTATCTAGCTATCTCCTTGTTTGTGAATCCACAATCTCGCCCTTTGTCCTTTTCTCTATCTCCCCATCGGACGCTGGTTCGCCGATTGGGATCGTGAGAATCGGTACATGGGCGATTTTGAGGATCTACCTTAGGAGAGGCTGGATTCTTGGGGTCCTTGGGCATTCACGGGGATCATCTTTTTCTCTGGGGTGGTAAAAAAAGTCTTTATTGATTGGGAGACGCCCTGTTTGTGTTTTCTCTTGGTTTTGTATCTTTCAGCGGTTCTTTTCTTTTTTATCTTTTGGATGACCATGTATCTTTGTGATCTAACGATGGGCTCTTCTTTTCTTGAGATCTGTTGGTTTAAGATCTTGGTGTTGGCTGAAGATTAGCAATCCATTTAATGAATTCTTTTGTTTCTTGTAGATGTAGATCGGAAAATACGCAGCTGGTTCTTTCTTATATTTGTCCTTGGAATGGTAAAGATTGGCTAGTACGGCAAATATCTTTTCTATTCCAATAACCATATTCTTTATATGGACTCTCATCAACGCCTATGTATCAACACCCAGAAATCCCTAATTCCCACGCCAGATCATAATCCCATAAGGATCCCGATCAGCAACACTAACAAGAACCTCCACCTTCCCCTGGCCAGCATAAAGCTCCTTCACAACAGCGGAAACCCCCTCCTTAGCCTTCTCATCCCTAGAAGCCTCGTCGAAACAAGCATGCCACCTCTGATCAAGATCTTGAAGCAACTTAGGCTGCATAACAGAACGCAGATATCCCCGCTCGGAATTCGTGTGCGAAAGCGAAATAACAATCGACCCACGCTCTGTAGCGGCCAACGCTTCATGGTGGCTCATCTCACCGGTCAAGAGGAGGTCGGGGATTGGTCCACTGCCCTTAAGGAGAACGCCTGACCCGGAACCGGGACACATGCCTACTGTCTTGATCTGTATATCGTCTACTGAACGGCCTTGGGGCAGAGCGATGGGGATTCCACCCGGTAGACCGATACCACGGGCGACGTTATCGATTAGAGTGGTTAGGGGTTGGGCTTCGTTGAATGTTACTAGACGGCCCGCACCGGCTGATTCGAACCCCTCTGGGATCGAGGCTGGTGGTGAGGGGTGGATTGTGCTGCGGGTGTGTGGTGGTCCTTGGGGTGAAGCTTGGACGCTTGGGATGGGGGCTTCTGGGAATGAAGGTGCGGTGTACAGGCTTGATCTGCAGTTGTTGATGACAGCCTGTGTTGTGGAATTGGGCTTGAAGCTGCCTGTTACCACGTCGCAGAGCCAGTCTGCCATTCCGTCTGGGACGGTGTCCACTGCTGTGTGTGGGGAGTAGACGCTGATTCCATGCTGAGCTAGGCGGAGGAGGGATCTTTGCTGGGTGTCGGCCGAGGTGAGGGATTTGAGGCCGCGGAAGATGATTGGGTCTGTTGGGTGTGTTAATCGATGGCGATGATCTCCAACGGCGGACGGTGCAACGTACGGTATGCCACGACGACTGAGCATTGCTTGCCAATGGCTTCATCTGCAACAGCTGTTGTGAGATCGATTGCTAGGAGGACTGAGTTTTTCTGTTTGCGGGATTGGTCGAAGGGAGCTTCGAGCAGTACTGCAGTTGAACAGGGGTTAGCACAGTGTAAACATAGGACGGGGGTCCGAATAGAACAAGCTTACGTCCAGTATTATCAAAGCTCTTGTCAGCCAATGCCTCCGGGTACCTGCACACAAGGTCAACGCAAGCTCAATATAATGCGGGGAGCTCTCAAACGAAGCGGGGGAGAACAAACAGCTTCCTCATGGAGGCCACCAGTGTCTGGGTGAAATAAGAAGTATGACTAGACATCGAGAGGATAGACATCTTAGAAGCGCGCCTAACAGCAGTGCCAAAGAAATTCATCAAGCAAAGAAAACAAGCGCCAGTGTGCTCTCAAGTCAAGAAAAGAGCCCGATAAAAGACGCCACACACGTGCCACACTAGCCACAGTCAGCGGGAGCCTCTGAATTTGTAATAAATGCCAAACTCATACATCGAGTTAACCTCGGGCCTGTCTCTCACTCAATTACCCCTTCTCACCAACCTTGATGTTCTCCCGCTCCTCCTTAACCGCACTGAGCAGAAGCTGCCGCTATCTCCGCTCTCCGTCCACTTTCAGCCCCAGCCGCGCGACGTCGCTTTCCCTTCCCTACACATCCACCCAACGGGCCTCGTTCTCCCTATCCGCGCGCTACGCTTTCGACGCCATGGCTGATACGTCTGGGATTACGGCCGACTCGCTGAAGAATAAGCTTATTGAGACGCTTCAGGCGCAGCACGTTGAGGTTGAAGATTTGTCTGGTATGGCGTCATAATCTGGAGAAACCGAACTGTTTCATTTCCAGTTACAGTCTCCATTGGAGTTATTTGATGTTTGCTAACCTTTGATTGTTGTTTGTTATAGGCGGCTGCGGACAGGCTTTCCAGGCTGTCATCGTCTCCCCCCAGTTCGAGAGCAAGACTATGCTTGCGCGACACCGTCTCGTTAACGCTGCGCTTAAGGAGGAGATTGCTGCTATCCATGCTTGGACTCCTAAGTGCTATACCCCCGAGCAGTGGCAGGCTCTTGCGCAGTAAATTTGGGAAATGCTGCTAGAGATGCAATTGGACGAACCATGAACACTTTTCGTCTCCCAGGGTCCCCGCTAGAGAGGGATAAAGATATTGAATTGGACCGGACTGATAGTGGGAGCTGTTTGGTCGGCCATTCTAATTGTCCACTCCATTGATCCAGCTACGTCCTTGGTTAGTGGTCACTGGCATCGGGTTATCGGGCGTTGGCCGGGTTGGAATGGATGGTATTTTTTTGTACATTAATCGTTCCTGTGCTACGAGTACAGTGGATGGAACCAATTTTATGCCGTGGGCAATCATGTCTTATTTTTCTAACCTAGCTCACAGTATGTGCAAGGGTTGTAAAGGGATGCCTATGCAGACTAGTCAATTTAACCGAGAACCTTCTCGGCGGTGGAAACTTGAGGATGTTAGTGTAGCTCGATATACAGGTACTTTTTGAAGTAGACACATACCGTTCACACCAGTGTTGTCAGGCTCAACAAAGGCCTCCTTAACCTTGCCGTTCTCAACGAGAAGAGCGTAGCGCTTGCTACGGTCGTTACCGAAGATGGCGGCGCTGTCGAAGCTGAGGTCCAGAGCTTCGGTGAACTTGCCGGAGGGGTCACCCAGGAAGCGGACCTATATGAAGTATGTGAGCATAATCTACCACAGCCTTGAAGTCAATGGACCGAGAGAAACATACACCGCTCTTACCCTCGGGATCGAGGGAATCAGCCCAAGCCTTGGTCCTGTATAATCAACGTCAACAAATGCCAAAATTCAAGTGTAACTCGACAGGTCTTACACGAAGGGGTCATTGACGGAGATGACGAAAGCCTGACCAGCTTCCTTGAGCTTGGGGTGGTTCATGAAGCCAGGGACGTGGGTGCTAGAGCAAGCAGGGCCTAAAAAAGTCAGTTTTACACGTCTTTTGCGAGGTTGTTTCGCGAGCTTGACTTCACGTACTGAAGGCAGCGGGAGTTCCGATGATAACACCCTTGTTCTTGATCTCCTTGGCCAAATTGATCTTGTTGCCGGGGGAGTTCTCGACTAGGCAGTCGAGGTTGGGGATAGCATCGCCCTTTTGCACGAATGCGGGCGCTGTGCTGTGGAAGAGGGAGGCTTGCGCGCGAACGCGGGGCACATTGGTTGCGAGGCGGCGGGCGGCGAACATGATGGATATCAATTGGGATGGATTGAGACAAGGTTAAGTCTGGGAGGAGAGGAGAAGAGAGGAGTGGAGAGTATGCATGCGGGAGCTTGGACGAATTTCGTCATTTGGATCTGCATAGACTTGCCCTCTACAGTAAATCCCGTTTATAACGAACAAAAAGTTGCACGAAATTTTTATCATTTTAACTGGTATTCGCTGTAGGCGAGTGATAACTAGTTGTTCGCGCCCATTGATTCATACCTCCTTCGTCAGTCTCTATAAGCGCTACGTAAAAGTCGTTATATCCGACTCGTTCTAACTAGGTGGTCTCTGTAGAGATTGCTTATATAAGGAAACAATCTTACAAGACAAGAACGACAGCTCAGGGATTCGACCTAGGCCCCTAGGGTATCTTACAGTCTGGCGCCTTAACCAGGGATAACCAAGCATGCAAGAGGAACAAATTATATAGCATAATCGTTATAGACAATAGCCTCACGTCACCAAGCTTTCAACATCTTACAACTGCTTTTCTGCTCCATTGACGGGTGTTGTCCTTGTGCTTATACTTTGTGTTGATTGTTATTGACTATTCGGACCCCTCCGGTTATACCACCCTGCTTGGTGTCGACAGTGCGACCTACGGAGGCTATCCCGCAGGTACCGCGAGCATATAATAACCGTTACTAAGAACAGGGAGAACAAGGCTTCTTCGAATCGGATGATACCCAGTCATATCCTATTCCTCCATGACGCAGTGGATCCTTGGCCTGTTGCACAGTAGGATTTCCCCCTATTGAGGATGCAGTCAAGTTGCTAAGGTGGAGATAGGAGGTGTGTTGTCAGTGCCACACCTATGAGATGTCTTAGTCACTATTAGGTGTACCGTATCATCGGTTGGAACATAAGGCAACATAAAAGTGGGTAACGAGTTCATTACATATTAAACATATTAAAAGATCAAAGACAACCTTGGGACAAGTTCAACGTGTTGAGGTGGAGACTTATTAATCGCTCTTGGCATCACATATTTCATCTCATGAGGGCATGGTCCTCTGCGCACCGACTGAGAGAAAGAGAGAAAACCCGGGGTGAGATATTAGTAGTTGTAAAGGGTGACATGCCAGATATTTGCCCCTCGTTAGTCCCATGGAAAAAAAACCAACTCCTTGCATGTCCTAAAATATCCCAAAAATATGAAGAAATAAAAAGGGAATAAAGAATCAAGTCCATCTGTACCAGGCAGTACCTCCACAGTAACTTTGGTACTTGGCTCTACCGCCAAACTCCCCCATTCCAATTTTTCCCTTCTTCCACCCTCTCACCCATCTTCACTTCTTTATATTTACTTCTTCGAGGGGACCAGACCAGTCTGTCCGGTCGCGACCCGTCTAGCCATGGAGGGCCAGACCTCTTCCAATCCCGCCCCCGCTGGGAACTCCAGCGACTTTGTACGTGAATCCCCCCCCCCATGACAGGGTATCGGCTAACATGACCAGGTACGCAAATTGTACAAGTGAGTCTTGGGAGTTTTGGATCTCGCTTTTTGCCCCTATATACTGATGTTTGCTATAGAATGCTGGAGGACCCGACCTACGCGTCGATTGTACGCTGGGGCGACGAAGGAGATAGCTTCGTGGTCTTGGAGGTAATGCGCCCGTGGCATGTGAGAATCCTTGTGTCTTGGCTAACCCGACCTCTCCGATAGTGCGAGAAATTCACCAAGACCATCCTACCGAAACATTTCAAGCACAGCAACTTTGCCAGTTTTGTACGCCAGCTGAACAAGTACGACTTCCACAAAGTTCGCCAAAACAACGAGGAAAATGGCCAGTCGCCATATGGGCAGAATGTAAGCTCCCCATGCCAAGGTTGAAGGAACCCCTCTCACACAGAACAGGCGTGGGAATTCAAGCACCCAGAATTCCGGGCGAACAGCAAAGAGTCCCTGGACAACATTCGCCGAAAAGCACCGGCCCCGCGGAAGCAAACCCAGAACAACGACGATTCGGTGCCCACCCAACAGATCGACCTCCTTAACCAGCAGATCGTGGCCCAACAGCAACAAATCCAGCACCTATCCGATCGCTATGCTCAACTTACAGTCGATCATCAACTTATGCTACAGGAGGTGATGCGGGTACAAAAAACGGTTCTGAATCACGAAAATGTCATCCACCAGGTGATGGCCCACCTGCTCACGGTGGATCGCCAGCGCCGGGACAGCAAGGCTGTGTCTTTCCAAGCAGGAGCAACCATGAGTCCTTCTCAAGTCGGAGCCGTGGACGATGAGCCGTCCTCACCCCTTCAGAACGCCTCAAAGCTGTTGAGCGACATGAACGCCGAAATGCAGTTCAACATGAGTGGCGTCGACTCGATGAACGAGCCCCCCAAAGCCGGAGTCGTTTCAACGCCTACAATGGATCCAAACTCGCGAAACGGCCCTATTCGTCCAGCAACTACTGCGCCTGCTAATCAAGCACTTGTTTATCCCAAAATGGCCGGCGACCTGGAGCAAGTGGTTTACCCGGTCGGCGCCACCAACGGCATCGATCCCATGTACAGCGAGCACATCAACAATGTTCCCTACCCGATGCCGGCTAAGCAGGAGATTGACACTTCGGATGCTCGTCGGCAGTTTGCTGATAATCGCAAGAAAAGCACAAATGTTGACCCTGGTTGGGTGCGCAGTCCGCAGATCCTTCTGGTTGAGGATGATTCTACTTGCCGGCAAATTGGTGGCAAATTCCTTTATTCTTTCAATTGTGTCATTGATAGCGCGGTATGAATTCTTTGTCCGAGAGGCGAGGAGGCGAGTTTGCTAATCAGTCGATAGTTTGATGGTCTGGAAGCTGTCAACAAAATCCAGGGCGGCTCGAAGTACGATCTTATTCTGATGGATATTATTATGCCTAACTTGGACGGTGTCTCGGCATGCCACCTTATCCGCCAATTTGATCGCACTCCTATCATTGCTATGACCTCCAACATCCGAAGTGACGACATTCAGCTCTACTTCCAACATGGTATGGACGACGTTCTCCCGAAACCATTCACCCGCAAGAGTCTCCTTGAAATGCTGGAAAGACACCTGGACCATCTCAAGACATCACCACGCGGTCCCATGGAACAAGTACCACCATCAGCCGCCGCAGTAACCATGGCCGCAGCCCAAAACTCGGCCACTCAATCAATCAAGGAAGACAGCTCCCCTGGCCAATCGCCTGCAGGCTCCATGAGCAACTGGCAATCCCCCGGTCAATTCCAAAATATGCAAGCCGTCCCGCAAAACATGCCCGCAGTGCAGGGCGCATACGTCGCAGCACCCCAAGCTGCATACACCGTCGACCAAAACGGAATCCAATACCCAGCAGCCCCAGTCGCCGTGCCTACAGCGGGCGCCCCCTCCCGCCCCCCTCATCGCCGCCAAATCTCAGACATGTCCAGCGCAACAGAAAACCCCAACATGCCTAAACGCCAACGGATGTACCCACAACCTCAACCCATGCTTGCCGTGCAAGCAGGTCGCCCTGGCTGATTTAATCCAATTCTACGACAAATTGATTTATCTACCTCATCTCCCCTTTCTCTTACTCCATTCTTTCCATCTCTCCCCATCTCTCTCCCTTCCGCCTGTCTATCTCTCACGATTCCCACTTGTCTATAACGAGGTTTCCAAATCGTACATTGGCCGCTTGTAGCGGATTTTGTCTTTGTCTTCCCACCCCCTTTTACAGGTTACGGCGTTGGTGGCTTTGTTTTGCTGGTTCTGGGGTGGCGTGCGAATTGCGAATTTCGAACTTCCAATTGCGGACTTTGAGTCTTGCGTCTGCTATATCCACCGTGGGGGGTTCTATACATTCACCCCCTATGAGATTGTTTTCGCCCGGTATATATTTACGAACATATTTTTCTCACTTGATTGTATCCAGACATGCGTGTTACATTACGTGTAGACATTGGCGTAGGGAGGGTAGATAATCGGAATTAAGACATTGGCAATCCTGATCCCTGGATAGTATGAGACATGACACGCCATACTTGAAAACAAGAATACATGAACCTGGAACTGATAAGGGTCTTTCGTATGCATACACATCATCGACCCAATATTTTATTTCAATTCATCTTTGGTGTTACGCGTACACGAGCCAAGTCATAATTTTTCACCTGAGCCTCCCGAGATCCCCCCGAGAACCAAACAACAGTTAAGCATTTGATCTCTAAATCTCCAGAATGGATCGGCGTAAACAATGGAGTCTAGACCCGTCGAGATTCTATTAGGTCCTGGAGGTCCAGGAGGGCCTGGACCACGCGGAGAGATCTGGACCTGGACCTGGACCTGTGGCTGGTGGGAAGGGGAGTTTGGTCTGGTTGTGGCGTTTTAGAGTTATTTTTGGTTATATTAAGTTAGGGTTGCGGTATAAGTTGTGTAGTGAATCGACGTGGTGACTGAGTAGGTGAATGGTGTTACACTAGCACTACCTATTAACTATTGAGTCCAGATTCACTATAAATCTTGCGGGTATCTATTCCAACATACACTGTATACACTGCTCCCCTCTTTTATGTCTTCTCTTTCGTTCCTTTCACTTCCCGCTTAGTTCACCCCCGAGTGAATGAAATACCTTTCCTTGATCCATCACTCACCCCTAGCATCCCCATCCTCACTCCTCACCCCTCATACAACGGCTCCCCCATAAACCTAAACCCCCTTTGCCCCAGTCATCCCCTTGATATCCCCCACCAGATCATCACCATAAGTGAACAAAGCAATACCAGAGTATTGCAGCATCCCAGTAACCATACCAGCAACACCACCATCCCAGTCATGGACTAGAGACCCCGTACTACCGGGCATAGTGAACGGGTGATCGAACCGGGATAAGAGAGTATGCTCACATGACCATTTGTCTTGGGCCAGTACCATCCAACCATCCTTATCCTCTTTTCCAACTGCCACAGGCATAGAAACCACATACGTCCGTAGACCACTGTACACACCCCCAGCTGGACCAACAGACCCATTGATCCACAACTGCGTAGGCTGTGCATCCTCTGCCCCTTCAGTATTGAAGTCATGCTGGTTGTTATCATGTCCCTTGGGATCCAGACGCTCGGGTATGATATCGAGGAGTGCCCAGTCCATCTTGACGCTGAAAGTGTGTTTGGTGTGTTCACCAGCCTTGACGAAGAATCGGTCTCCGGAACAAGCAGCCACATGGCCGAGATGAACATTTATTTCGGCAATTTCCTCACTTGCTGCCTTCAACGAGGCGATTTCTTGGACCAGGTTCTCGTACTTGTTTTGCTCTGCTTCTGGTTAGTCTTGGAGCGTTCCGGCTTTCTTGTGCTTTTGGCTGGACTGGAAATTTGATAGGTGCTAGGTGACTTTGATGCGTTTCTAGTTTGTGGTTTAATTGGTCGGTTAGTTCGTGGAATAGTGGTTGTTGGACTTGGATTGTGTCTGACTTTCGTTGGCGTGAAAAATGGCGTAGGCCTTCTTTGTCCATTTTGGTGGGGCTTTCTGTATTGGAAGCGTGTTAGCTGTGGTACCGTTTTGGATTGGATGGGGTGGACTTACTTGTAGTGGTATCCTTATCATCACGAACGAAGTGGAAGCAGGTCAGTCCGAGAATGATCGGGTCCCGTTTATTGCCGTCGAATTCGAGCTCGACGAAACCTCCCAGCTTGCCAGAGCTGGTGTTGGACTTGGCTGATCCGAAGGTTGCTCCGACTCGGGCTATTCCTTCCAGCAGGCTGCGATCAAAGCCTGGGATGACTGATTTGGACTTTGTTACCAGCTCGTCTCGCAAGATCGGAACGGCCACTGGGGGTAATTTGTAGTGAATCAGGGCAGTGGCGATGATATCACGCATGTCTCTGAAGTCAAGCTTGCTCTTCATGTTAACTGTGACAAGGACCGTTGGGTCGGGTTTGTCTGCCATGGGAGGTTGGGCGTTCATGCATCCGATTGTGAGCACGTCGGTGAGATCAATGTGTTTTGTGATTGCTGCAAGAACGTTTTACCAACGTCGGAGTGAGGGCACTTCTCCAATTGGTGAGAACTTGTAGGGCTTGTAAATGCGCGGGTCTGCGATCTCCACGCAGACTTCTGGCAGGCCATTGTCGGTTAGCCAGTGGTATATTTCCAAACAGGCATCGAGCCACATGTATAGAATGCAATTTTGAGGCTCTGCATGGATGAAGATTGTAGTGTGCGGTTTGGGTTCGGGGTTGACTAGTGAAGTAGCCCGGAGGATGTGCAGCATGAGGTTCGTCACTCCGACACTAGCCAGGATATCGGAGTCTACTTTGTGAAAACCCGGTCTTTCTCTTTCTGGGGGTAGAGCTTGTGTCGTCTTGTCAGTTTCTCGATGATGATGGGTAGAGAGCACATGTATGGACCGCCGACTCTGTAGTCTTCGGTGATGAAGCCCTCGTTGTGCCATTCGATTGGGATATCTGCACTGCTGCCTCTGGAGCTGCGGAGGGGACTGGTGAGAGATCGAAGTGGAGGGACGTATCCCATTTCGCGGTTGGAACCTCGTGCACTGGGAGCTCTTGGCGGGATACCTGTGTGCACTGATGGGTCAGGGTTGGGGGTTGGTGTAGGGCTAGGTGTAATAGGCCCAGCGTTAGAGTTAGAAGAAGACATGGTGGTCATGGGGTTTGGTAGATCTTCATAGCCAGGAGGTTAGTCTGAGACGGTCTGAGAAGAGAGGACTGGAGACCAATGACGACTTACAAGCAATGGGTCACTCTGTTCTGTATTCTTGGGTGTTGCTCTTTGGCTCTCTGTTGTGATAGAACTAGAGAATGTCCGATGAAACCACATGAGGTCAAAAAAGTCAGGTAATGTCCGATGAGCCCGAAGGAGCTGCAATGGAACACGTTGAGCCATGGAAAACAAGCAGAGTCACGAGAAGCGGGCTGGAGTGTAAAACAGAACGATAGGACCAAAGCAGTGGCCCTTCTAGAAAGATATAAGGTAGAAGGAACAAAGGGAAGGAGAAGAAGAAGAAGAGGAAAAAAAGAAGAAATAAGAAAGGCAATAGATGTATTCTGCCTGTTGTTATGATCACTTTAGCAAGATGGTATCAACTGAGCCTTATTTGTTGTGCCCTCACCTAAACCAGGTACAAGCGTATAGATATGAGGCTAAGACACGTCTATCATCTAGCAAAGCCACATTGTACGTGAGGATCGCAGAAATAATCTCTTGTTCACACAACCGCGTCAGGGTCTTGACATTATGTTCGGTCTGAAGGGCTCTTCCCAATTCCGTTTCAGAAAATTCATGATTCCGTTCGGTGAATAAACTAACCTCATTATCTGCTATATGCGTAAAGGAAATGTTAGAATTCAACCTTGACGTGATATTGAAGGTTTGATATGAAGCATGTGGTGTAGACGATATTGACACCTGAGATTGGTGCCTTGTGATGCCTTGCAGCCTGAGGCATAAGTTTGTCGAGTTTGGCAACAATGCAGACAAAGCAAACAGGTGGGCGGGATGACTCCGATGCTTTTTTGTGCCCTTCCTTTGATAGATCAGTGCATCTTTTTGTCTGTATTTATAGCTGCTTCGCAAGCACGTCTTTTGTCTCCTCAGACAGCGCGCAACTTTTTGATTTCGCTCCAGCTTGGTTCCTGAGCGTTGATCCTGCGAGGTATGTTAGCCCTGTTCGTTTATTGTTGAGCTCATCGAGGGGCCAGCGATTGAGGCAGCGATTGTATGTGAATATTCTACTGACCGTCTGTTTATATTCTAGCCATGGCTCCTAGCAAGAAAGGAGCGCAAAAGCCCAAGGCGAATGCGGCGGAGGACGTGGAAGAGACCTTCCAGGCCGTGGTATGTCGAGCGAATTTATGCGGCGTTTGCGCTGAACCCACTATACCGGTATCGCGACAGAAATACTCATTTTTGACGTTGTTAGGTCCTCGCCGACACTTTCGAGACGAGATTTGAGCCCTTCACCCGCGAAAAGCCCAGGGTATGTACCCAAACCGCTCTGAATACAAAAGCCGGGAATAACGAGCCAATTACTAGTGTCTTCTGCCACTCGCCAACACACCTCTTATCGAATACACTCTTGAGTTCCTGGCCAATGCAGGCGTGGAGGAGGTTTTCCTTTACGGTGGAGCGCATTCGGACCAGCTCGAGAAATACATCAAGTACGGCGAGACTTACACTGCATCTCGTATGCACAGCTAACTTATGTTGTTAGTGCCTCAAAATGGAGAGCCCTCTCTTCCCCCTTCAAGCACCTGAGCTTCCTCAAATCCACATCCACGTCCGTTGGTGATGTGATGCGTGATTTGGACGGCAAGCACCTGATCACCGGAGACTTCATCGTTGTGAGCGGCGATGTAATCAGCAACTTGCCTATCGAAGGTGCGCTCGCTGCCCACAGGACCCGCCGGGAAACGGACAAGAACGCAATCATGACCATGGTTCTAAGAGAAGCCGGCCGCAACCACCGCACAAAGTCCACCTCAACTTCGCCCGTGTTTGTCATCGACCCTACCAAGAACCGGTGCGTTCACTACGAGGAGATCGACCGCAGCCCTGACTGCACTGAGCAAGCCCGGATAAGCATTGAGACCGAGACCATTTTGGAGTTCCCCGAGCTAGATATCCGTCAGGATTTGATCGATTGCAGCATCGATATCTGCACACCGGATGTGCTGAGCTTGTGGTCTGATAGTTTCGATTACCAGACTCCCCGGAAACAGTTCTTGTACGGTGTTTTGAAGGATTACGAGCTGAACGGCAAGACCCTTCACACATATATCATCAATGATAACTATGCTGCGCGCGTGCGCAACCTCAAGGCTTATGATGCTATCAGCAAGGATATCATCTCTCGCTGGGCTTACCCCTTGTGCCCTGATACCAACTTGCTTCCTGGTCACACTTACAACCTCCGCAAGGGCAGCCTGTACCAAGAACAGGGTGTGACACTTGCGCGGTCTTGTGTTATCGGCCGCCGCACTGTCATCGGCCAGGGAACCAGCATCGGAGACCGGACCACCGTTCACAGCACCACTCTCGGCCGTAACTGCAAGATCGGCCGCAATGTCAAGCTGGATGGGGCATACATCTGGGACAACGTCGTCATCGGTGACAACACCGATGTACGTGGTGCCATCATCGCCGACGGCGTCGTCATTGGCAAGAACTGCAACATTGCAACCGGCGCGCTCATTTCCTTCGGCGTAAAGATTGCAGACGGCATTTCAGTAGAGAGCGGCAAGCGTATCACAAAAACACGCATGGACGGCAGCAGAGCCAAAAGCGATCCCTCAGTCGTCGGCGAAGAAGGTGAAGGCTACGAATTTATCCATGGCGAAGAAGATGACAGCGACGACGATGACGAAGACGACGAGAGCATCGCCTCTTCAGGACTCATCTACCGCATGCCCGGTCTTTCCCTCTCCTCTGCCTCAATCTCAACCCTATCCTCAGAACTATCACAAGGATCCTGGCCACACTCCGGCCGCAGCAGTTTCTCCACAGATCACGAAGAACAAGACAACTTCCACCATGACGCCTCGGCTAGCGTATTCGATAGTCTGCGCGAAGGTGTTTCCGCCGACGTTGTCCAGCTCGAGCTTGTCAGTCTGCGCATGACAGCCAACGCATCAGACAACCAAGTCCGTCGCGCTATCGTTTCCTCATTCATGAAGCATATCCAACAGTTGATGGAAGCGGGCAAGGGTGCCGGCCAGGCTGTTAGCGAGGTCTTCTCGAAATACAAGGAGGTTGTTGAACGGACGCTATTCGATCGGCAGAAGGAGCAGAAGAAGGATCAGGTTGATTTATTGCTTGTGCTTCAGCAGGACCTCGTTCATCGCTCCAAGGGTGATACTGTTTTGCTGTTTACTGCTAAGAGTCTTTATGAGCTCGAGCTTGTTGATGAGGAGGCTTATGATCAGTGGTGGAATGATGAGCGGTCTAGTGCTACTGAGGAAATGAGGACGGTTCGTGGTCAGGCTCAACAGTTTGTTGATTGGTTGGCTGAGGCTGAGGAGGAGAGCAGTGAGGAAGAGGATAGTGACGAGGAGGAGAGTGATGATGAGTAGATACCATACATTATGTTCAACCAAAACTAGGATTTTCTTTTTCAATCTTTTCAATCTTACGCGTGGGCATTCATCTATTGGAATGTAGCAGACATTTACTTGCAGAAGATCTGGAGCAAAACAGGTTTTCTACACGAGCGCCAATGCTTACAGTCAGACTGGAACAAGATATAGTGGCTCAAGTACGATGAATCACAGTTCGACTAAACCGACAGACAACTATGCAGCAAGAGGGAATATAGGGAAATAAAAAGATCTCAGGAAACTGATTTGAAATGAGAAGGATATCCTAATGGCAAAGGAAACAGAAAACAAAAGAAAGAGTCTCGAGGGAGGTACAAGACAATGAAGTGATAAAACGTCCCAATTAGAACATCAGAGGGAGAGCGAGGAAAGCCTTGGTGTCTGGAAAGCCTTCACTTTACGGTGCAGCTCGCGCATTTCGTAGATGTAGGAAGATGGTGGTGAGTTTTGTTCTTGAGACAATAGGGAGAGAAACGAAGAAAGATAATAATGAGACCGGGATAACTCAACCAGAAACCAAGCCCCCGAATGACAGAGCGAGAAAACAGAAAGAGAGAAAACAAAGAGATAGATGGTATCCGCATGTGAGGCCTTCGCGAAGTCAAGGATGAATCAAGAGATAGTCTCACGGTGGCTTCATTACAAGTCAATCAAGCTACCTCCACGCTGTTGCTGTTGCTGACCGCCCCAGGGGTTGTTGGCAGGTGGCTGCTGCTGGGCGAAGCCGGTCTGCTGGGGCATGCCTGTGAATTGCTGACCGAAGAATGGGTTGTTTCCGGTAGGCGTGGCGTGTAGTCGGTCCAGACCCTGGCCGGCAGAGTTGACGAATGTGCCAGGGGCTGTGTGCTGCGCGGGTATGCGGAGGTCTCCTACGTTTCCGAAGGTGTCCTGGCCGTCGCCTGATCCGAGAAGTGCGTTCAGACGGGCATGGTGAGGATCTTGTGACATGGGTGGAGTGCTCTTGGGTGGCTGTGGGGCTTGGAAACTGGCAATTGGGTTGGGCTGAGAAGGTTGGTTGAACGGCTTGTTCATACCGAACTGGTTCGAGTTTCCTTGGTTGAACTGGTTCGTTGCGCGGTCCTCCGCCAAGGAGTTCAGAGTTGGAGGTCCAGTTGGCGCGGGATTGTTAAATTGTGTCTGAGTACGCTGGGCGAAGGGGTTGTTTGATCCGGTCTGCATAGGCTTCAAAGCATCGGCTTGTTGCTGTTGTTGGTTGCCAGCCCACGGATTGTTACTTCCGGCTGACGGGTAGTTCTCCTGGGGCTGCTGTTGCTGTTGAGATTGCTGCGCGAAGACATCACCGCCGCCGTAAGGGTTGTTGGGGTTGAATGCGGTTTGCTGAGGTTGAATAGTGGCTTGCGGTTGCAAGAAGTTATTCTGCCCCTGCCCGTAAGGGTTCTGATCAAAGGCCGAGGGCTGCTGGTAGCCATTGGCGTAGGGGTTGTTCATGCCGGTAGGTTGGTTCTGGAATCCTGTTGGCTGGGCATATTGGTTGTTCAAGAAGCCGGTCGTCATAGGTTGCTGCACATTGATGGGGTTTCCGAACCAATCCACAGCTCCCTGTTGCTGGTAGCCCTGGTTATACCCGGTTGGCTGGACTTGAGCTGGAGTGTCGTCGAACAATGAGTGCGCGTTGCTCTCCTCCAGCTCACGTTTGCGGAGGTCTTCTTCTTCCCTGCTGAGCTTGATAGCCTTGGCCAGGTCCTCATCCTCTGCGCCTGCCATGGTTTCCTTAGCCCGTCGCCTGCGCTCTTCCTCGGCTTCATTCTTGCTGGCTTCAATCGCCAAACGGTACTCGGCATCGTCCTCATCGTCCGGGTTGCGTCGGCGTCGTTCCCGGCGTTGGGGTTCGGCCCCGGAGTTTCCATAGCCTTCATCAAGTCCACTGACACGGGTCTTCCAGAGCTTTCGGTCCGATCGTTCGCTGCGCAGTCGGTCTTCGTCCAGTACCAAGGCGGTCAATTCCTTTGCTGCCACTCGGACTATATCCACTTGTCAGTGTCGCCTATTTCCCAATCGGAAAGGCAACCTACCGTTCTGACCAACATCCCTTCCTTCCTCGTCGACGTATTGGAACTCGCGCAGAGTCTTGATAATATAGACGTTTTTCCGCGCCCATGTCACCACCAACTCCGAGCCTTCGTGCAGACAGTAGTCCAGGACCTTGAGTGACTTCAGCACGTGTCGCCAGTTTTTGCCCTTATCGTTCAGTCGCTTGTCCAGCATGTCCATGATTTCGTAGAATTCGTTCGGACTATACGAATGACGTTAGTGGTATACACACAATTGGGCGCAGGTCGGTCTTACCTCCCGAAAGTCATGGCGGCAATTTCGGACATGTCGGTGCCCGTAGGGCCCCAGGGGTCATTACTAGTGGCTGCAAGATATGAAAGTCAGTGTCTTGGTCTTATTGCATGCGGGGCGAATAGAGGGGCGCATTGCAGCAATCCCGGTCAAACAGGGAGACAGGCCGCGGATACAGCCATTCTGCTAATGCGCCCGGACTCGGCTATCAACCAAGCTATCCAAGGAGAATGAGACCACTCGTACCATTTCGGACCTTGACCTGCACTGAGGAGTACCCCTTTGTCACGTTCTTAACACTGCGCACGACTTTGGACATGGTGTCGGTTATGCGGTCGCAGGAAACGGGGGATGGACGGAATGGATCGTAATCGCAGGGTAGAAGTCGATTGTCCGATACGAAGGATTATAGCAGAAGAGTTCAACTGCCAAGCACACGGCCTCTCTTTCTCCGAATCGCGGCCCAAGACGGTGGTCAGGCGCGGTCTCTCCTGCAGCTCCCGTTCCGAACAGGGGGGTGATAAAATGACTATAGAGAAAGTCAACTCTGAGCCTTTCTGGAGAGCGAAGTTAAGGAAGATGGAGGGTGAAAGTGTGAGAAGGAGAGGGGACTGTGGCTGCAACGGGGGGAGAGGCTTGGCAATGACGAAGCCAGATGTACCGGCTACCGTTCCAACTATGCTTAGCTACGATCTACACGCGCTCTCGTTTAGCTCTGGAGAGCAGAAAACAGATTTCAATGAGCATGTCATTTTGATTCACATTTATCACTAATATTGAGCAGGAACTCACGGTTGAAAGGGTATTAAATTGGACCACCAGAGACCGTCTTAAGTAGCCTGTACTTCCACCAGCTAGTGTCAAGGCATACACGGGTACCTCGTGGCCGGAGATCCGGACAGCCACGTCCCTTGCCTCAGTTGTGATAAGTTCAATTCAAGAGCTTTTCTTCGCCAGAAGAAAAATCGACCAAAGAAGCCAAATCCCGATCTGCAGGGTTCAGTGAAGACCCTCGGAACAGTTCCAGACCCTGAAACGGGTTAAAGCATACGTTGAACACCGCCACATGTGGCGATGGTGTCGGGCCGCGTAAGAGCCTTGGTCATGGGCGTCAGGCAACAGGCAATCGGGTTCCAAGACGCTAGAATGTAATGAGAGTTATACAGCCAATTGAGACCAGAGAAAGTATTAAGTACGAATTGCGGGAAAGTAGAGACACGGCACGCAGTTACGTCATACGCCGACACAATCAGATTGTTGAACTATAAACTATCCATGGATATTTGCTCCATATCGCAAGACTTTTCACTGGAACTTATCGGGGTTATAGTAGATCGCCATTGATCTATATTCTTGAGGCAATTGTCATGGTCCCGTTTTATGGACATCTGACAGCATTCCTTTACAGCACTCCAACACAGGTAGTTACAAGTATACAACCTTGAAGTCCCACACTCCATCTTCAATGCAATTGGTCACTAGTATAGCTAGACCAGTAAATCCCATCCCGGCGGGACATCCAGTTGCAGACCTGGAGTCACAACCGAATATAGATTGAGATGACATGAGCTATCCCCAGGGAATTAACGCAATGATAGAAAGCAGTTGGTGGAAGCCAAGTTACTGTCCAGGTATCCATTATTCGAGTAGAGTGGGCCGTTGCATTGTTGCACTGGAGCTTGATATTCCTAGTTTTAGCTCCTAGGTGCAGCTTGACAGACATGGAATCTATTGCTTGTCAAATTCAACCCCGGAAACCAACCAAGTCGGTCTATTGAACTACGGATTGGTCATGATATATGAGCACAGACGCCCGGGGTAATTAATTCGTCAGAGCTGAGACCAATGTGAAACCGAGGCTGACAATGTGTTCTGGGGAAAGTGGTGGCGCTTTAAGCCCAGTCATTCTTGACAACACAAATCAACAGCTTGGACGAAGCGCTATCGGAGGCAGGTTCCTGGGCTAATCAATCTAGCTAAGTGATCTCGAGAATTACATAGTTCACTGCCAGGGTATGTGCTTAAAATATATGCAGCCAAGCACCATGCCGTAGTATGAACGACAATGCGTCATTAAGATGATTTAGCTCTGCAGAGGCGCCTTCTAGTGCTGATGTGGCTACCCGATACCCCACATTCTGGGGTTTGTACAGTGCTTACCGCCATATTGCTTTTGCTTCAGCGTAGAGACCAGTATGGGTGCCGACCCTAAGCTTCCTTCAAACTCGTATAATTCAGGTAAAGACGACGGTGAAGATGAGATGCAAAGCTGTTTTATGATGCGCAATATCCCGAAAATCACAAGAAGCCAAGCTACAAACACCCACAAAAATTATTATGCCAGAACAAAAGAAAGAAAACAGGCTTCAAGTGCCGCTGCCATCACTGAAAATCACTGCGCCCGCCAACCACCCTCCCCAGAGAAATACCCATAATCACCAGAATGCGGCACATTTGCCGTGATTCGAACCCCATTCGACCAGGTGATCTCCATAGTAGACCCGCTGATAATCGCGGTAAAAGGCTCACGCACACGGAGGGAATGTCGGATGCTTTCGACCTCCCTCCAAGGAATATTCACAACAGCCGGAGCATGTTGGAAGGTCGCGGCTGTTTTTGAACGCGGGTTCTCGAAAACCCATTGCTCGCCCTCGATCTTGAATACGCCGGCCAGGGAGTGGTCGTCTTGGTACGTCATGGACCCAAGCCACTGAGGCATGACTAGCTAGATGGTTAGAGGGATATGGCTCTATCTAGACGAAGGGCGAGGGTGAAATTCTTACTGTGCTTGATGTGATCGAAATTTAGGAAGGATATGAGGCTGTGGAGAGAGATTAACTGTGGAGAAGTTTGTTCCCCCTGAGAAGGTTATATGTGTTCTACGGAGCGTAGAAGGATACGATGGAAGGTGAAATGGGCCGAGCGACCGTGCTAACAATGCATGGTTTTTGTAATCTGTGCAGCTGAGGCACCCAGTGAAAAAGTAACAAGCCGTTCTGATCTTCCAATAGTTTCACACCGCTCCTTTTCGGGGTGGGCGTCTCTGGACTTGTAGGGGCCCACGGGCTGAATCTTTACGGGAGAAAAGGAAGCGCTAACAGTGGCTCTAACACCCCAAGCATACCGGCAACTCATGCGAACTCAAGTCGGCGAACAGAAAGAGGAGACTTGGAAGATCGGAAATCGTAGGGATCGTCACATATTCACCCGATCAAGTGGGGGGATGGTGGGTAAACTACGGAGACTGCATGTATGTACCGCCATTTCAGCCAATAGTTCGTTGCAGGTGCTGTTTTACTTTGTCCACCAAACACCGATTAACTTGCAGCAAATTATTAAATAACCGCTTCTTAACTGGAAGCTAGGCTAAGACATCGATGTTTCCCTCCGACAAAAACTACAATGGATTCTTATATTGCTTCGTGGAATCTCCCTTCAGTCCCGGCACTGTGAGCTTCGAGCTCCGACATGACGATCATAGCTCTCCACTCCGCGCGTCAAGTGCTTGCGCCCTTTTACTTGCAAATCCAAAATGAAACTGGAAACAAGAAAACCAACGATCTGCACTCGGACCGCTCATACTAGGTCTAGGCTGTCGCTCAAAAGAGTTCTTAGATCTTCCGCTCCTGGAACGATATCACCTTAGGAGACATAATTTTGTTTCGGGCTAATAGTAAACACGAAACCCACTGCGAAGAATGACTGTGAAGCGTGGGCAGCCCGGCTGAGTATTAATACTGGCTAGTGCGTGGACTAAAGCACACATTTGCTCGAGGATATTGCTAACTCCATGGAGAAATATCGATTGATTCTTAACCGCCACTACGGCCTGGTAGAGCTACTACACGCCCCGACACGTCACCCAGCTGATCTGATTGATCGCGTTTACTGAATGTGAATGCAGATAAGTCTATCCATTTCCTGGTACTGTTGTCCCAGCTGGAGAAGAGTGGACACCCACTCGTCGGTGGGATCGAGGAGTCGGGCTAGTGAAACAGATACACCCTTACTGGCAAATCGGAAACGACGGATATGCGGGATTTTGAGCAATCTGTCGCCGATATATCTAAGCTTTGCATGTTCCGGAAGGTGTCTATGCCAGAGATGACAATATCTCTCAGGATGGGAGTGTTCCTGATATATTCGAAGAGAGATTCCCTTTTTTTTTGATAATGGGCAAGAAGCGCTGTTTCTTGACGAACTCGGTTTTTTTTTGTGAAGGAGTAGGAACGAGAACAGAAGCGACAGTAGATTGCACAGATGGATGTGATAATAAGCGATTAGCCTGGGTACCGTCTTGATTTCTTCCTATACCCACCGAATGGATTGCTCGGGAGCGTGGAGCTTGGTGACGGGGGTACCGTGTCGTTCTGTTATGGGATAACAGCGGGTAAGACTGACAAGACTGACTGGACAACACGGGGGCATTGCTATGCTCCAGTCAGTGTATATACCGGAAGAGCTACACATGACCGTGAAAAATACACTAGTATAGAAGATATAATGAGTAACTCAAAGCCTGGAACTCCCTGAGCGTAGAGGTTATTATTCATTTGATGTTGACGTTCTTTGAAACCTGCGAAATGAAAGCTGAAGGATGTATTTCGCATATAGAGCGTGATTATTTACTGAACCAACACCTAGGCTAGAATAAGTTCACGGCCTTCTTGCTATGAAGTACAGCCCCTCATTTTCCCACATTACTGGACTACTAGTTATATACTGTCACAAGGCAGTCCGACTTCATCACAAAAACAAGAATCAGGCACCAAATAATGCATAAGCTAGTCCTATTTAGGTGAATAACTCCCTAGCCTAAATGGACCGCAAAGTCGGATTACATGTACAGACATACAAAGCTAACAATGCCATGAACATCTCTTCCTCTGGAAATATTCCATGAGGTAATCTCATACCTCCTATTCTAGAAGCATGCCTCCTCTCTCTAAATCCAATGTCGCTTCCTGCAATCAATGTGCGCCAAGGCACTGCAAATTCGTAAAAAGGACACAAACCCAAGTCTCAGACAATGATGAGGGTTAAAGCCAGGCGTTCTAATTGCCAATGGTTATATTGAAAAAGCCCCGTCTGGGGGACTGGGTATCACCTCGAATGTCACCAGCCAATGATAAAGGAGCATAATGGCTTAGACTACCACCTACAAGGCCATCAACGCGACTTGAGCGACGAGGATCTAAGGATACTGCGGGAGTCGATTCGGGAGGCTAGATTCAAAAAGCTTGACAAGGATCGTGTGCTCAACATGCTCATGCAAAAGACGGTCCAAAACTCGACAGAGGATGAGGAGGAATGGGATGCTGATTCGTAGGAAACACTCTTAGCTTTTTGTTCACAACAAAAAGCCCGGCTTGGAAAATAGCATATCCAAAGTACGGAGAGCATTCATCACGCAAGCCTTGACAGGGCAGTAGTAATCTTGTGGTGTGATACTCTATGATTATAAATTCTATTGCTACAAATCCAGGCTTCGTTAACTCATCCATACAGACACCCTTAACCCAAAGGAGGAGTAAGCAACCCACTCCCAGGCAAAGCAAGCCCAACCCCCTGACCCTTCAAATCCTTCCCAGCAAAGAACAAAAGCACAGCCTCAGCAGCAGCCTTAGAATCATCATCATCCTCCAACCCAGGAACAAGCGAACGATTAATCAACTCCAAATACCCAGCAACAATCTCAACAGGCCAATTCGCCCTCCTCCCAAACTCCTGCGAAAGCTCCCCATTAACAAAAGTATCAAACTCAAAGTGACCCTGATAAGTCAAAACCCGCCCGGGGTTATAAAGACCCTGAATAGCGCACTGCGCACTACTCCCGATATTACACCACGGAGCCGGCAGCGAGACATCACTCTTTCCAGCAGCAGAAGCAGCCGCAACAGCCTCAGGCGTAGGAGCAACCCTATCACCATGAACAAGCTGAATACGGAACGGATTCAACTGCGAAGCACGCGCTAGAGGCGGGAAGCGCGCTGTGAATTCTGGGTCGAGGCTGATGGGCTGAATACCCATCTCAAAGCCTGCCTGGTCATGCAAGACGTGGAATGATGATTCAGGCGAGGTCTGGTCTTTGGAGAGGAGTGCCTGCGCTATGATCTGGTGACCAAAGCAGGAACCGAAGATCTTCACGTGCGGGTAGTCTGCGTGCACTATTTGGATGAAGGCTTGCAGCTCGTGGATCCAAGGGAGATCCTCGTAAGCTGAGGATGCTGAGCCTGTGATTAGGATTGCATCTATCAGGCCCAGTGGACCGCCAGCGTGAGGCTCTGTTGTGGTCTTTGGACTGTTGCGGAGACTGTGGAGTGGGGGCAATGTTCTGCCTACTGCGTCGAAGGCTGTGATGTGCACGGCTAGTGGTCCATGCTGTAGGGTTGTGTCTGCGTTCTGATTTAGGCGTGTTGCTGCTGCTTGGAGGAGGGTGCGGAATTGCGAGCTGTATAGACCCCGCTCTTTGTATACTGATAGGCAGGGGACGTCTGCGTCTAGCACGGCGACGTGAATGCTGTTCGTCATAAGGAGTGTTTGAATGAATTTATTAAGATGTGTAGAATAAAGAAAAAATGAATGTATATATGCCGAAAGAACTTGAAGTTCATATCGCATCTGCATACCTGATAGGAATTTCTCTGAGTCATCTGGTGGAGCTGTCATTCCCAGTTAGGAAAACGAATCCTTGTCGGGAGCACATTTGGTTGGTCCGTCGTTCTACTAGTAACAGATTGAAAGATAAAAGCTCATGTCGGAGACAGTGAAAAAGCTTTCTGGGGTAGTATAAGGGTCCATTCTTCAAGAGGTTATGGTAAATATTGCCGTATGTGCGGGTGGTCGCGTTCGAATTCTCGATGCCAAAGGAAAAGAAGAACAGGAGATAATAGGAGGCGGTAATGACTTCAAATCTTTTTTTTAGACCATAGCAATGAGTTTAAAGGAATGTCAATATATATTGGCCAAGTTTCTGCTTGTACCCGGCCTCTGTTTGCTCCACTTGTCTGGTTCTGCTCCTGTACCTAAAGCTTGGATAGGTTCTGGGAGGCATAAAATGCAGAACACTTCTTACCCTTTTAAGAATATTTCACCAAACCAAGAGAAAGTTCAAGGGTTTAAGAAGAGATATAACCGGAAAGTAGGAAACAAAAAGATCAGCGCTTTATTGAGAGATTAACCCAAAGACGGAGTCGTGCGGTGTTAGCCCTAACAACATGCCACAAGTCGGCGAACAAAAGCCGAACTCACTTCTCGACCGATAGATTGTTCCTGATTTTGCATGAGATGATCGACCAGGTGGGTTCTCGACCAGCATAAAGTTGCGTCTTCGATATGCGACATGCTGGTTCGCCGCGCAGCCAGGGTCGATCCAGTAATTCATGGGATGGAGGCATGGAAGTTATCGGCCGAGAATTGCGCAAGAGAAGATAGACGCATACCAGATAATTGTATGTTATGGAGGGTATAAAGTGGGTGGGTGCAGTGAGTCTCCATTGCGGCTCACTACATTGTCGTGATTTAACGTTATACTGCTTCTATACGTCAACTTCATGATAAATACACTCACTCTGTATGAAGAATTGATACTATTATACTACTACGCATTATAGTAATGTACTATTTACAAATAAAAACGTTGGCCCTGCCCAAGGTGACAAATTCGTGATCAGCCTTCGCCATCACAACATCGACCCCCGCAAATTGCGCCATCTGACTCCAACCTCCCAATCAGCGCAAGTTCTTCACTTCTGAATCCTTTCAACTGCATGTCCTTAGTAGCTAAATCAATAATACGAAGCTATTCAATGGATCTCGCACGCCATACAATCCACTTCCTTCCTCACTGCTTAACTATCATCCTTTCCAAGCATATGTAACATTGTATGCAGAAGTATAAATAACCCCAGTACCCCTCGTCATACACCAGTCTACAGCCACAACTTCCATTCTCTTGTCTATAAGCCCTCAAAATGGCACCCGCTCTTACAGACGCCCTCCCAACAGCGCCGCATAATCTGGGTGGTCCCATCTCCAAGGCTATCTTCCCAGATGGCCTAAAAACAACAGGACAACATCCCCCTCTCTACAACGAGCTCGTTACCTTCGACCAGTTCCCGAAACAGATCACCGGACCTACTGTCTGGAAGGCCGAGGACTATCGCGAGAGCCCAGAGAAATGGACGCATATTTTCAATGAGAAGCAGGTCGCCGAGCTGAGTGCTGCGGCGGATGCGTTCCTTGCTTCCAAGACTCCTTTGACTGGTATTTCGAAGGTGTGACTATTTAATCAGGCAGAACAGAGGGAAGTTACAGTAAAGCTAACATGATCTAATTCGTATAGAGCAACTTCCAACTCCCAAAGCTAGCAGGCTACCTCCACAAGCTGCGCGCAGACCTCATCGACGGCAAGGGCTTTATCCTTTTCAAGGGCTTCCCCGTCCAGAAATGGGGTAATCACAAATCTGCCGTGGCATACATGGGTTTAGGCACATACCTCGGCTACTTCGTCAGTCAGAACAGCCGTGGTCATGTACTCGGTCATGTCAAGGATCTCGGCGAGGATTCCACGCAGATTGATAAGGTCCGGATTTACCGCACCAATGCTCGGTAGGCACAGCACTCCATTGGAAATACGTTCAAAAAGACATTACTGACCAAACTCCAAAACAGCCAATACTTCCACGCCGACGACTCAGACCTCGTCGGCCTCCTCTGCATAGCCAAAGCCCTCGAAGGCGGCGAAAGCGACCTAGTCTCCTCCCACAACGTCTACAACGCCCTCGCAGCCGAACGCCCAGACGTCCTCAAAACTCTTACCTCCCCAATCTGGTACTTCGACCGCAAAGGCGAAACCTCGACCGGCCAAGAAGAATTCATCCGCACAAGTGTGATTTACCTAGAGCGCAGCAAAGCCAAAACAGGCATCGAGCCACGCGTCTACACAAAATGGGATCCCTACTACGTCCGCTCTCTCGGCCGTTTCAGTGACGCAGGCATCATCCCCCCGCTTAGCGCGGAACAGCTCGAGGCATTGAAGGTTCTCGAGGAGACCTGTGTCCGGTTGAGTTTGCATATGGTTCTTGATATTGGTGATATCCAGTTCCTTTCTAATGCGCATGTTTTGCATGCGCGCACTGCCTACACGGATCATGCGCCGCCTAAGCCCCGCCGGCATCTTATGCGGCTTTGGTTGGCGACGCCTGAGGAGGAGGGTGGGTGGAGGTTGCCCTTCTGGGATAGTAATGAGAAGAAGAGGGGTGGTATTCAGGTTGATGATCAGGAGCCTGTTGCGCCTTTGGATGCTGAGTAGTTGGTTTGGAGTTTGATGGTGCTGATGTTTGTATGCTTATGTTATGAGAATGATACCTTTTTTCTTCACTTTTTTTGGTTTGGGTCGGTTTTATGAAGTGGCTCGTATGGAACAGGAACGCAGAGTAATGTCTTTGCATTTTAGACTAACAAGCATGAGGAGTCCTTACGAGGATATGGTTTTCCCTTTTCGCTTAGTGGCTTGCCGCTTTTTGCTTACTCGTGTAAAACTGAGCGCGCTCCTCGATCTTACATAATCATTTCCTGAGCGTCACATTAACGTTAAAGTTGAAGATAAGTCAAACGTTAAGCCAAAGGACTTACTTACTAAGCAATATGCTCCCTCTCGCTGAACGTTAGTTGAACTTAAGCTCATATGCTCATGTTTCCTGATAATGAAGTCTAACAATTGCCACACCACAGCTTCATCCTTGAAATGACGGCCAATCCCAACTGTGAGAAGTTTCAATCCGTTTGCGGCTTTTGGTGGTCTAAATTAGGACAAGATCACTGGTTGACTCCCAAAGCGGATCATGGCTGTGAATGGTTGGGTGAAAACCACGGAGCTTGGCGTTCAGAACCATTTAGTAGTGTTACAATGGAGAAGCTTACCACTGCAGCGAGGGCGGAGGAAAGCTAAACTTGACACCAAATAGTTGTTTGTACAGTTTGTCCGTAATCTCACACAATTCTGTATAATAGTAGACTGCTACATTGGCAGAAATGCTCTCGCAAATTTGCCCCCATGTGAGAGATACACCAGCCTAGGCCTAAAAAGATCACTGCTCTTATGATCATTTCTCGTATACTTTGGCAATCCAAGGGTCGGTTTTGCATCAAACGAACTGAAAGCCTGCGAAAGCTATGCAGACTGCACGTGTTTAGAAGTGGATAAATACTTCGAGTACATTGTCTAGCTAGGTATAGCTGGGTGGATCTTGGTTAAGCTTCATAAGCTGACGTCGGCAAGCTCTATTAAGCTTTTTTGGCCAGTTCCGGCTCAGACAGCTCCCCATTTACAGCTGTGAACCGTGGAATCTTATTCCGCTCAATCGTGGGGAATTAGAGTTTGCCTGCCGTACGCGGAGACAGCGATGCGCAATACTTTACATTGCACTTTTATTTTACTAGCCCAAATGTTGGCTAGCTCGTCTAGCCAATGGTCTTCGGATCAAGTCTTGACGTCAAGCTGGATCGTGACACGTTCTGTAAAGACAACATAAAATCGTCTCATCGACTCAACCGGTTCATTTTCTCAAAGGCATTACCAATTGTTAGTTGCTAGTTTTCGTTAGCAATGTTTGATCAAAAGAGCAAATCGCGTATGTTTCATGGGCTGAATGTCCTTGGAACAATCCTTGGTTATGTGAATCTTGGTATCGCGCAATCTGCAGAATGGACATCTTTCCAATCTGTGAGTCAAGTGTTGATTGAATAGCCCGTGAACCAAAATGACAAGAGTCCTTTCGCAGAGGCCCGACATCCTCGCCCCTTTAATCAATGTGAGCATCAATGAAGGTAGCCAAGTTACACCAGGCTACATCTTTATCGCTCCGTTCCAGATTGAAAGACCTGGACCTTATATTTACACGTCTGATGGAGTATGTATTTGACATGCCTACTTCTGAAACTGGCTCACAATCCCCAGGACCTTGTCTGGAGTGGATCGGACGGTTCAACCGACGAGCTTTTCCATGATCTCCATGTCTGCAATTATGGAGGGTCTGATCATCTGTGCTACTTCCAAGGCACACAAATCGAGGGCTACGCACGGGGCCGAAACTTGATTCTTACCGACGACTATACACCTGCTGCAACTGTACAGAGCGGCAATGGACTAGAGCCAATTGATTTGCACGAATTGGAAGTCCTCGATGGAGAACGTATGCTCTTTCCGATCTACCAACCCAAGCCTTACGATCTATCCGCATACGGAGTCGAACCCCCAAATGGGTGGGTCATGGATGGTATCTTTCAGGAAGTCGATATCAAGAGCGGAAAGGTGCTGTTCGAGTGGGGGTCTATTGATCACGTTCCTCCATCGGAGAGCGACGTTCCTTTGGGGATCAATTCAATTGTGGGCAATGGGCAGAGCAATGCTACCCCTTGGGATTATTTCCACATCAACTCGGTTGACAAATTCCCGAACGGCGACTACCTCATTTCTGCAAGACATACCAGCGCCATCTACAGAGTTTCGGGCCAAAACGGGGCTGTGATATGGCGACTGGGTGGTACAAACTCTACCATTCAAACGACCGACTACAACTTTTCTGCGCAACATGATGCGCGCGTAAACGATGAAAATAGTACACATACAGTGCTCTCGCTGTTTGATAACGGAAGTAATGGCTTCAGAAACACTTCACTCACATCGTCTGGTATGATCGTCGCCATCGATCGCCAATCCAGCACCTCGACGCTCCTCACACGCTTCCAGGCTCCAGCACCAGGGTTACTCTCGTCAAGCCAAGGAAATTTCCAATTACTGTCCAATGGACATGGATTCATCGGATGGGGAAGCATTCCGTCTTTCTCAGAACACACTCCAGATGGTACACCAATCTACTTTGCTACCTTGATTGACACTGATGCGATGAATTACCGCGCGTTCAAGTACAACTGGACCGCGACACCAGCTGATGCTCCAGCAATCGCAGCACAAGCCCCTGCAAATGGCGCAACCACATTCTGGGCTAGCTGGAATGGAGCGACAGACTATACCAATTGGAACTTTTACGGGGCCAGTTCTGGCTCCGATCAGTTTACGCTGCTGGCTAGTATTGGCAAACAGGGTTTCCAGACTACCTACACAAGCCCTCAATTTTACACTCGGGCATATGCGGAAGCTATTGGGTCTGACGGTTCTAGTTTGAGGAAATCACCTGTTGTTAATGTTGCAGTTCCTTCTTGACATTTTTCAAGCAGGAAACGAGCATCACGTGTCTGACTGAAATGCGAGTCATCGTCCATTTATTCTTATTCTTTTGTCAACCCTCTTTCTACACCTCGGTTTTGCAATTCACACGGGAAGTTTGCGTTGTTCTGATATCTTTATTCTTCGTTCAATTGCTATCAAACTCAGTTGATTATTAGGACATATTTCGCCCGCTCCAATCAAGATCTTTAGCGTGTAAGATAGAGTAGCCATAAAGTCAAACGCTACTACCGTTGTCTTAATCCGATCGGATTGAGCCTCAGCAGTCACCGTATGTAGTTCCAGTTGTAGGCACCGTGAAACTATTTTCTACGCGCCCGTAGTAACGAAAGTCACAGGCCCCTGCTGGAGGCAGAGATGAGGAACCGTGATTGCTCGATCTATGAACGAACTAAAACATAAGGTTACGGGCTCGGGGAATTGATATGCGTCATGTGGCGTACCTGCAATTGGCGGTAGTCACCTGTTCGAATTCTAATTTTAGGATAACTAGACGTCAAAAGGAGTTTAGTGTAAAATCCGGTTGTGTCACCAAGTTCGTATTGAGTCGCAACGTCCAAGGACTTTGCATTGGCTGCTACTGCAGGCTTCATGACCTTGCCTGGAGATATTGTTGTTGCATCCGATTTCTCCATCATGTTCAAATATAATGCGCGAAGCTTACTGGAAGCAAAAATGATTCGTGCAGTCAATGTTAAACTTCAGGCCAAGCGAGACCATGCACGACTAATCTAATCAAATACCGAAAATGCACTACCAACCAACTTAGGTATTTTGCGAAGGGAGGAACCTTGAATCATACCCCAGATTTTTGGAACCAAAGTTTTCCTCTCTATCCCACTCTCTCGGCAGAGGACTTGGCAGAGATCTAGTGAGACTGCGAGGGAATCAGCTACATCGATGTCAAGGTGATTGATTAGTCTGACTTCGTGGCGTTTCTACACAGTGGCTAGATCAAATCTAAAATGTCTCATGTATGAGATCACCCGCGACTCGTATATTTGGGTTTCGGCATCCTAGGCGTACTGCAGCCTTGTAACCGATCATTATGACCACCAGCTCGTATTTTCTGAAAACATGCGATCATGATTGCGACTCAACATCTTTCACTGTCTATCAAGTGACGCAAGCTTCCTGTTAATATTTCACTTTTCCCACAGCAATTGCACAAGCACTAGGAGTTTACGACTTACCGCCTAGTCGTCCATATTTCTCCAATAATGGATTCGCTATAAGATCACGGTAAATATGTGGGAAATAAAGATAGTGAGAAGGATTACATAAATCTCGAACACTCGGCTTTCAAGCCACGTTTAAAACACGAGGCTTGTGGACATTTTGGCTCTGATTCGCCTGCCAGTAATCGCGTTCGTTAAATAAAGCAACTTTCGGAACAGCTCACACATCGCACATGACATTTAACTGCATCCATTGAGCTATGCAATAAAAAATCTATAGCTTTCCAGCCTATTTTTAAGGGGACGGAACCGTCTTGATCAGATTTCTACTTATCCATGGCTCACTCAAAAGCTGCATGCCGGAAGAAAGCCCAGACCAAACAGGATGTAGCTATAACATAAATTGACCGTTTAACAAGATCTCTTACCTTGGAGAGGCTTGGGGAACGGGTCTTGATGAATCGCCGTTGTAAATCAGTTAATGTGCGTTGACTTGCGCTTTATAGCTAGTAAAACCTTGGATCCAAACAAAGTGAGCATTAGGGATCCTGAACGACCTCTAATCAATAAAAATAGATAGATCGCCCGTTAAGGGTGGCTTACACGCCAAGCATCCAGACAAAGATGGCTTCCGTGTATCTACATTCCATGGCATGCAGATACGATACCCAAAAGATATCGTATGTCTAGAGCTTTATAGATGCAATGGAGAGCAGCGCCAAGACAGTGCCACGGCATGTTTGGAGACTTCCCTCTACTTGGATAAAATTGACAGCTCAAAGTCATGAACCTCACTTTCAATCTAGAATCGTTTGGCCAAATTTAGTCCTTGGTGCGAGTTATTCTTGGATCTGTTTCTTTTGCCACGGTGGTATATTTAAGCCCCGAACTATTTGCTATTCTCCATCTAAGATTTAAACAAGCAAACCAAGCACCCACTCAACACATACTATCGAAAAGAAATAACTTCTATTTTGAACCCACAAGATGAAGAACCCACTCTACATCTTGACTATCCTTCTTCCCCTGGCTACTGAGCTGGTGACAGCTTCTCCAGCCGCGGAGCCTGAATTTGATGATCTTCAGGATAGGGCTAACGGAGGAGGTGGAGGAAATAGATGCCGAATTAATCACAAGTACTGGTACTGGAAGTACCCGTGTGACCAGAGCGACAGAACGACCCAGCAATCCCGGGGTGACCAATGGAATGCAATCTGCAGATATAAGTGAGTCGACTCAAATCCCAGGATATAGCACAAAAGGTAACAGGAGCTGACCATCTCTGGAGGAACTGGTATAAAACCAACAAGGGATGGGCCCATGATTTCGACAAGCCTCCCAACTGCCGTAAGTTTCTCTTATTCCGCTCACTAATGCATTTTCTGACTCGTTCTAAAGATGGGGATTGGGATAGACGCTGCCCTTAAGCGGCTCAGGATCAGTGTACGGACTTTCTAATACTGGATCTCTCAGCACTCTAGCGGTGAAGAATTGGTATTAGCCGTGTACACCTTCATGATTCTTATTCCAACTTGCCCTCATTTGGTGAATTTCCTGCTTCCTCTTGTTGTCATATTTATGTTAGTTGCTGCTGGTAAAGTCAGAATTGGTCTGACAGTCGTCGGCGAACACTCTTTTCATAGCATCCTTAATAATACATGCTATGATTTTTACTCAATTCCAAATCATTGATTATATCGCGAGCGCAGCGAGGCCTCGACGGAAACCCTAAATCCTTTCGAAAAAAAACCCGGATGATTGTTTGAAGAGCAAGTATGTATCTACCCCAAATCAGCCGATACCATGCCAGTTGGGGCTGGGTGGAAGCTATTCCAACTCCTGGGCATATATAAATCTCTTCCCTAACAGGTTGATATACCATAATAAATCATATAATTGCTAGGCCTCGAGAGACGACCCTGTGGCACTATTTCAATGCTTTGGAAAGCTTAACCCAATGGTTGTCTAATTATGGGCCATGAACTCAATAAATCCATGGAGCATGATCGATTGTCCGCAACCTTTACCCAAGATCCTGGATTGACCCTTTGGTACGAAAGCTCAATGCTCTGTCGGTTGAAGGTTCCGCCCTGTGTGAAAGCACCTCAGCTTGCCAGTCTATTTCGATGGGCTCAATGTAGCATCCGGTCTAGCCTGGCCTATCGTAATTAGTCGCTATTCGGTAGGAGACTGCTACAAGCACACAATATTTTGATGACCATTAGTGACATAACTATCCAGCTCTATCCAGGCAGTGTCTACTTTAAATTGTCCCAATAGAAAAACGAGAAGCCAAGGAGGGTCACTTTAGCAAAGAACACTTGAGGATAGTAGCCGATGCGTGGGCAGCTTTCTCAACCTAAAGAACATCTTATTGTGCTCTTTTGATATTTCCGGTTTTCTTTTTTTGTTGCTCTTTCTTGAGGGCAGGCGTTTGAGAAAATGTGGTATGATATTCAAAAAGAAGAGAGGAATGTGCTTGAAACGGGATTCAACGAGTGATTTGAGTCCGCGGGATGCACGTTTCAAAGTAATTAATCTAGACTTCTGAGCCGCAGATTTAGAGTTTTTACGACCGAGCTCTAATTGGGTTCCTTCAGAAATATATAATGATGTATTGGACTTTCTGCCATTCACGGAGCGGCTACAATGATGTAAGATGCAGCAATTAGTTATGTTCAAAAAAAGTTCTTGCAGTAGTTGGTGTCCGCTTATTCTGTAATATATTATACCACATCCTATGGTAGCAAAATACCTTAAATCGCGTTCGTGACATCATTTTGCTACCTCTCGTTTATGCTGAGTTCTCTGTGGCTATAGGAGATTAGGTTAATGTAACCAGCGCCACCCCGCATCCCGAAACCGTTGGCTCTTTCAATGACTGGGCTGAGGTAACTATAAGACAAACGTGCGTCGCTGCTACTCCAACTGGAGTTATTTGGTTTTATCTTTCAAGATCTACAATCTTCAGTAGCTTTAATTTCTATCAGACCATTGTGGCATCTTAAAAATGGCTGGATTGAGCTCCAATGAAGCCACAGAAGAGCGACGCAGAAGAATATTGCTGATAACCTATCCTCGCACTGCGTCCAATCTTCTAGTGAAAATGCTTTCCCTGGATTCTCAGACAGCCGTGGTCTCCAACGAAAAAGGTGGTTACTTCTTTTGGAACGCCTTTATGACGGGACGAGCTACTGGATTAACATATAAGCCAATTGAGCATTGGAATGTGGAAGAGACTGATCAAATTCAGCGAGAGTTCCAGAAAGGCGTTAACGAGCTCGAGGACAAGCATGAAATAGCCAAATCCGCGGGGAAAATTACCTTTGCGAAGGAACATGCCCAATGGTTTGCCAACCCGGCCGAAGTCGCCAAACATCTGTCTGGTCAAGGTGGCCCAGCAAGCCTGCCGTTCAGCATCGAAGTTCCATACATTTCTAGCTCTAACGGAGCATTCTCTTCGAACAATTTGACGATCCTTCCAGATGAGTATCTGCACACATGGACGCCGACGTTTCTTATACGACATCCCGCGCTAGCGTTCCCTTCATTTTACCGATCCATGCTTGACCTGGAGAATGAAGGCTTCGCAGGCCCCCATGAGCGTCAACCAATGCTCAAACTATTTTCGACTTTGAAATGGACTCGACTGCTCTATGACTGGTATCGCCAGCATGGGTCAGACTCATCTACGAAGAGCGGCGACAACATACACCTTCCCCTTCTCTTAGATGCACAAGACGTGACCAATGAACCGGCCGTGGTGGCAAGATACTGTGAGCTGATAGGGATGGACCCAACAAAGTTGAAATTTGAATGGAATCGTGAAGCTCTAGGAAAGGCTGCCCATCCCGATGGAGCTGCACAGAAAACTCCAGAGGAGGTCATGATGGCTACATTGAACCATTCCTCAACGTTGCTGAAAGAAAAGACCCCGGTCGCTATTGATATGGTTGCAGAGGCAGAGAAGTGGAAAAATGAATTTGGCGAAGACATTGGGAAGCAGATGGAAGAATGGGTCCAAAGTGCTATGCCAGATTACGATTATCTCAGGGCCAGAAGACTCCATCTGTAAGAAGCGCGCAATTTCAATGTAATTATCTGTTGGACGTATTATTTGATCGTCTCTATCATTTGCTTTCATCTCTTGAGATTATTTTACTCTGTACTTGCTCGTAGTAGATATTGCAAGCACCTTGTTTCTCTCATCCACTTCGTACTTTAGAGGTCAATTCAGGAATAGCTCCAGTGACAAGCCCTACTTGAAATATAAACTGAAATTATGAGAAGCGCTGCTCTCCGAGGGTACGCTAGAGGTGTCATTTTCCAAAATTCTGGCTTAAGAACTTTAGTTCAGAAAGTTCATATCATGATAAGGTTTCGGGTGATCAGCCGCACACCAGATAGCAAACTCTATACGCCAAGGCTCGTATAGTCCATGTTCAAACGCTGGGTCAAACTGTGGCTGTAAGCTTATCAAACAGTAAGGTGGGACCAACTGGCCCGTGAGCATATAGATTGCGGAGTAGGCATTTAACTTGATCCAAACTTCCAAGCACAAATTGATCAAGAACAGGTTTTCTGAATTACGAAGGCGATATGCGGGTCCGCCGTACGCATGACAGGTTGAAGCCAATACCAAACACTATCCAGGTAAGTTTATTTGAAGGGCTTGGCATACCTTACCAGATTATAAGTAACGAATATCGGAACTTCAATCAAGTAGCAAATGTAACAAATAATCATTTGTGGGGTTCAGCATCATATGCTGCGAAATACGCATCAATTCCAATATCCGTGAATCTTGGACTTGATACGCGCCCCATGTCAAACTTCCCTTCATTGATTTCGTTTGGCTCCCTCAGCACAAAGCCCTCAGTCGAGGAGCTCGGGGAGCTGAGAGATTTCTTGTTAAAATATGAGCACTTCGGTCTAGTTAAGGAAGCTATCAGCGAGTTGCCTGGGCTTTGGAAGACTTTGCTCGCGAACGATGCGGCTTTAGAACCGCTCAACGGCCTAGCTGCTGCGGAGTGTCTGGCGGCGTGGGTTTCGACCAGGGAGGCCATCAGCACAAATGATGCGCCTTGGGGCAACATTCTCAGCCTCCCATTAACGATCGCTTCCCATTTGTGCGACTATCTGAGATATGTTAGGGAGACCGGCTCCTCACACTCCATACTTCTCGAACACATTGCCAAGGCTGCTGGCGTTCAAGGTTTCTGCGCTGGGCTTCTCAGTGCTCTAGCCATCGCCACTTCTACTGACGAAAAGTCCGTTGGAGTAAATGGCGCCTTGTCTGTCCGGGTAGCGTTTGCTATAGGCGCTTATGTGGATCTTGACAGTTTAAAGCACGGATCAACCAGCTGCCTGGGTGTCAGGTGGAAGTCTCCCAACAGTGTCGTCGATCTTCAAAATATCCTAAAAAGATATGACCAGGTAAGCAAAGTTGTTGGTTTACACATAAAACATAAATTTGGCATACTATGCCAAAGGCTTTCTCGTTGTTGTTAATCGTACTACTGGTGGTCTGATGGCCTTCAATGAGTCGATTGAGTTGACACATATCGAATTTGCTTCTCTAAATGTTCTTTGAAACCCGCACGAATTACTTCACAGAGTTAGATGCAAAGCTGATACCATGTCCTATTCAGGCATACATATCGGTCATCAGAAGCGCAACCGAAGCAACCATCACAGTCCCTTCTTCGACAAATCCCGAACTGTCCAGAACTCTCTCAAAATTCGGAATATGCGTGATCGATACGGGTCTCAGAGGACGATACCATACGAGTGCTCACCGGGGAGTCCCGGAGAAGGTAATCCAAAGCTGCACGCAGCATGCGAGAGTCGGATCTAGGAAGCAGCATGATGTCCGGTCGGACAGTGATGACCAGATACTCTCTCAACACAACGGGCTCATGGCCGCGTCTCGTGAAATACTTGTTACGTGCTCGAACTGGAACTTGGCCCTTTCAAAGACTGCTTCCCGACTTTCTGAGATGAGGGAAGTGGCATTTGCACTGGCAATCGGAACAGATACTGTGTTGTCGTCGCTTTCAAGAAATGTCAAGATCGTCGGATTATCAAGCAGATGCAAGACTGAAGCAGCCTCAGAACCAGCAGAATCCTTGCAAGATTATCCCGCTCACTCGATTGCAATTACTGGCATGTCTTGCAAGCTCCCAGGGGCTGACTCCCCCAATGAGTTTTGGGAGCTTCTATTGAAGGGGACATCCATGGTGGAGCATGTTCCGCCAGAAAGATGGCTAGAAACAGTCTCAAGCCGTGGAAGCAGAACAAAAGAAAAGCCCTGGGGAAACTTTATGCGAGATGTTGACGCCTTTGACCATAAATTCTTTAACAAATCAGCGCGAGAGGCGGCGTCCATGGATCCACAGCAGCGTTTGTTGTTGCAGGGTGCGTATGAGGCCATGGAGTCTGCGGGCTACTTTTCCCCTTCACTCCATAGTCGGGCTCATGACATAGGATGCTATCTTGGCTTATGCGCCGTTGAATATGACGCCAATGTCGCCTCCCACTCCCCCAACGCTTTCTCCACCCTCGGCACCCTTCGTGCCTTCCTAAGCGGCAAGATATCGCACTTCTTTGGGTGGACAGGGCCTTCCCTCACATTTGACACGGCATGTTCGTCCTCTGCAGTAGCGATACATACAGCATGTCGGGCGCTACAAACCAACGAGTGCACGCAAGCACTCGCTGGAGGAGTGTCCTTGTTCACCAGCCCATATCTCTATGAAAATCTCTCTGCTTCCCATTTTCTTAGCCCAACTGGAGCTAGCAAACCGTTCGACGCAAAGGCCGATGGATATTGCCGCGGTGAGGGCTTCGGATTGGTCGTTCTAAAGAAGCTGTCCGCTGCTGTGGCCGATGGGGATAACATCCTCGCCGTCATCGGAAGCTCGGCCGTTAATCAGAATGACAACTCAGTTCCAATAACTGTGCCAAACGCCTCTTCACAAGAGACATTGTACAGAAAAGCAGCGCAGCAGGCGGGAATTCAATCTCATCAAGTTTCCTTTGTGGAAAGTCATGGCACTGGAACGTCGGTGGGAGACCCGATCGAGATGGAGAGCATCCGTAATGCTTTTGGCGGGCCTCAAAGACAAAATCACTTGGTGGTTTCGTCAGTCAAAGGCAATATTGGACATCTTGAGGGCGCTTCTGGTGTAGCTGGTCTAATCAAGGCCATTTTACAACTCGAACATCGTACTGCCGTTAGGCAGGCCTCCTTTCAATCCCTCAACCCCAGAATCTCTCCGCTTGGTCCTGATCGCATCACTGTACCGACGGCAAATCTTAGCCTACAGGATGACTTACTGACTGCCTGTGTGAACAATTATGGCGCAGCCGGGAGCAACTGCGCCCTAATAATTGCGCAGCCACCACGCATTTCAGAGCGTCCTACGGATCTTGTATCTCTATCCAAGTATCCCATCTTGATTGCCGCAAACTCTGAAGTGAGCTTGGAAAAGTACTGCAGAGCCCTGAAAGAAGACCTACAGAACCAGCCGGATAAGAGACCTTTGATTAGCAGCGTCGCCTTCCATTTAGCTAGGCGACACAACGGCAGCCTACCATATATGTACACGACAGCAGTATCTGATACAAAAAATCTGGAGACACAATTAATACGGCAGCTTTCCGGGTCCCCGTCATCAATCCATCAGCGTCCATCTCGCCCTAGCATGATTCTCGTCTGTGGGGGCCAAGTCCGCAAATATGTCGGTCTGAGCCAACACCTTTGGGACAAATTCACTCTACTTCGCATGTATCTCGATGCATGCGATAAGATTGTGCGCTCCATGGGTTATCCTGGGATCTATCCAGCCATCTTTCAGTCTGAGCCGATTGCAGATATTGTGACTCTGCATTCCGCGCTTTTTGCTCTGCAATATGCATCTGCAAAAGCATGGGTTGACTGTGGTCTCGCCATTGACGCTGTCATTGGCCACAGCCTTGGGCAGCTTACCGCACTTAGCGTGTCCGGCATACTATCACTAGAAGATGGTCTTAAGTTTGTTGCTGGTCGTGCCTCACTGATTAAAACCCATTGGGGAACAGAGGCCGGCTCCATGATCTTGGTTGAAGCGGATCAGGAGACGCTGTCCAACATACGACACTCCCTGGAGGTAGCTTGCTACAACGGACACTCCTCGCATGTTCTGGTCGGAGACAAAGCATCGATGAATGAGTTTGAAGAAATCATTACACGGAAGAGTTTAAAATACAAAAGATTGCAGGTGACAAACGGGTTTCATTCCAAGTTCACTGAGCCTCTTATCGCGCCACTTCGGAAACTCGCTTCTACTCTTCACTTCAATAAGCCTGCAATACCAATTGAGACATGCTCCGACGGGTCAAGCTGGCTGGATCCAAATGCGGATTGCCTTGCTGAACATACTCGGAAACCTGTTTTCTTCGCACAGGCTGCTCAGCGACTTGCCAGTACCCGGGGCATATGTACATGGTTAGAGGCTGGCTCCGAGTCTGGCGTTGCCAGTATGGCTCGCCGCGCTCTGGACTCTTCTACATCCAAGGCGCATACCTTCCTCCCTATAAGCCTCAGCAAACCATCAGACGTTGATTTGATTGTCGATACGACTATTCAGTTGTGGAAGGTAGGCCACACCTCACAATTTTGGGCGTTTCATCGCGTGCAAAGTAACCAATACCACCCACTGCGTGTTCCGCCATATCAATGGGAAAAGAACAAGCACTGGCTTGAACTACTGCCACCATCACCATCAACAGCAGCAGGTCAGTCCTCAGTGTCAGCAGCTCCTGAGCCAAGGGCACCACATCTTGTGAGCCAGATCGAGCAGCATGACGAAGAATTCATTTTCAAGATTGATCCACTATGCAAAGAGTACCAAGAATTTGTCTCCGGCCATGTCATCGCGGGAAGCCCTCTGTGTCCTGCAACTGTTTACATGGAAATTGTCGCGAGGGCGTGCAAGATGCTTGTCCCATGGAAACCGACACTCTTGCTAGGATTTTCTCAACTGCAAATCTATTCTCCACTTGGAATGGCAGCCGATAGGAATATTACTATGATACTTCGGGTGCGAAGCGAAGGGAGCTGGGAGTTCAATATCATGAGCTATGCGGGAAATACTGAACAATCCAAAAAGGTGTCTCATACGTCGGGCATTATCGAGCTGCAATCAAATGCCGGAACAGTCGAGCGAGAGTTTTCCCGATACGAAAGACTCATTTGCCCAGAGACCGTGGAGAAATTGTACGAAGATGCCGACAGCGAGTCTGTAAGAGGCTCTATGCTTTATCAGGTATTCTCGCGCGTTGTCCAGTACAGCGGTCCCTATCGAGGGCTGAAAAGCGTTGCAGCCAAGATGGGTCACATTGCAGGCAAGGTCACTTCGTCGCCCGAATTCATCAGTGATACTGTTATTGCCCATCCCGCAGTCGTCGATAGCTGGATGCAGATCGCTGGTATTCATGCCAATGGTATTAGGCCGTGCCCCGAAGATGAAGTTTACGTGTTCACCAAGCTTGAACGTATGCAGTTTGGTCCCGAGTTCACAAAGCCATCGCCGACCTTCCCGTCTTCATGGATAATTTTCTCAAATCTGGTACCTACCGAGTCCAAAGAGCTTTTGAACGACATTTTTGTTTTTGACGCAGATTCGAAGCGACTCGTGGTGCTAATATTAGGAGCTCAGTTCAATAATGTCCGGTTGAGCACGTTGCAGAAAGTTCTATCTAGATTGAACACGGAACCTCGTGATGTCCATCAAACACCGAATCACAGCCAACAAACAACGATTCTCACTCCTTCATCATCCGCTACGGACTGTCGTGCTCCACTTCTCCCAGCCCCAGAGCCTGATGTCTCCAGATCTGGTCCTCCTGTTGACCGTGATGATGTTCTCAACAATGTGTGTGCCTGTCTGGAACGGGTGGCTGAAATTCCACGTCTTGATATTAAAGGAAATGCATCTATGGATGACCTTGGAATCGATTCTCTTATGATGATGGAAGTAATCAGTGAACTTTCCAGTCACTGCAATATTGAGCTGCCTATCAAAGACATGGAACAGCTGACCACTCTTGATTCGCTGGTGAACTATATACAGAACAAAGAATGGGGTGCACAGCGAGGAGATGACTCTTCTTCGGACATATCGACAACGGTCATTTCGCAGCCCACTAGTCCCTCCATTGATACTCCAGATACCACACCTAACAGTGAGGTTCCACCACCCTGCGACCGCCATGACTCCCAGCGGATTGAGCAACTTGCAAGCCTGCTGCAAGGGGTCCTGGACACGCCATCGGCCCCGAGCGGAGACGCTAATCTTGCGCAAATGGGCTTGGACTCTTTGCAGGCCATCGAGCTTGGTAACGAGATTGAGAAAGTATTCTCTGTCTCCATTGACATGCACCAGCTTGATGACACATCCACGTTCCAAGATCTCGCGCGCATGGCGGGGTTGGTCCAAAAATGTCTTCAGAACTCTGCAGGTAGCTCTGGCACGGCAGGTGGTCATTCGAATAGTCAACGGCACCAGGAAGATCCACCACAGCAATCCGGTGCAGTCGACGTGCGTGAGACTTTTGATAAGATTCGCTACGACTTTGACGAACTTGCAAAGGAAGAAGGGTTTGCCAATTTTTGGCGTGATGTGCATCCAGATCAAAATCGTCTGGTTCTCGCCTACACTGCGAATTCCTTCCGGAAGCTTGGCGCTGATCTGGCGTACATTCCAGCTGGACAGGTAGTGCCTGAGATGCCAATACTTGAGAAATACAAGCCCCTGCTTGAGCGCATGCATACGATCCTGGCCGGTGGTGGATACATCGATGGGGAGCAAAGCTTGGGCTACAAACGCACGTCCAAACCTTTTGTGCTAGATGCGCCGCAGACACTGCTGATGGGCATTATTTCTGACTTCCCTCTCCATGCCTCAGAGCATCAGCTATTGGATGTCACCGGGTCCCAGCTCGCCGAATGCCTCACGGGAAAGATAGACCCTCTCGCGCTGCTATTTGCCAACAAGAAAACTCGACAAATAGTAGCAGAAGTTTACGATCAAGCCCCCATGTGCCGCGCAACCACGCGGCTCGTGGAAAGGTTCATGGCGAGGGCATTTCCACCAAGCAACAAGGGCGAGGTATTCCATTTTCTAGAAGTTGGAGGTGGTACCGGTAAGTTAATCTACATCTCCCGTATTGACACTTGGTGGTCTTAGCTAAGATTTATCTCAACTGACATTCATTTATTCACGGTGTTTAGGCGGAACAACTAGATTCCTTGTCGAGAATCTGACCCGCCGTGGAGTCAAATTCACCTACACCTTCACTGACATCTCATCTGCCCTTGTGGAGTCTGTCAAAAAGGTTCTAGCAGGGCACGACTGCATGAGATACGCAACACTCGATGTCGAAAAGGACCCGCCATTACAGTTCAAAGGCAAATATCATGCCATTATCTCAACTAACTGCATACACGCAACGCGCAACGCGACAGCATCATTGGAGAATTTGCGCAGAATGTTGCTTGCCGATGGGGTGCTGGCTCTGGTCGAGTTCACGAATGGTTTATACTGGTTTGATCTGGTCTACGGTCTCCTCGATGGATGGTGGATCTTTGATGACGGCCGTCGTCATGCACTCGCTGATGTTTCCTTCTGGGAGCGTAGCCTGACTGCCGCCGGCTTTAATCACGTCAAGTGGACAGACGGCGACACGGCCGAGTCTCGCACTTTAAGGCTTATCTGTGGCTTTAACTCGACCTCCGATAGCGGGAAGAAGGGCCATTTGTCAAAAAGGGCCGGTATCGCTTTAGAAACAGTTACATGGAAACGTACCAATGGCCTGGAGCTTTGTGCCGACATATACTACCCCTCGCCAGAGGCGAAAGATACGGTCCGCAGCGGGCGGCCGATAGGTGAGTGAAACTAAATCATGGCTTGAACACCAGGACAGTTAATAATTGATCATCTGACTAGCTTTGTTATTTCATGGCGGCGGGCATGTTTTGCTTACACGGAAAGATATACATATGAAGCACATCAAAACGCTGCTCGATCGGGGCTTCTTGCCTATTAGCGTCGACTACCGCCTTTGTCCCGAAGTAAATCTCTCCCAGGGCCCAATGACGGACGCTTGCGATGCCCTCGCGTGGGCAAAATCTCAACTGCCTGATCTGGACCGTGCTCGTTCCGATGTACACCTAGATTCCAACCGAGTGGCTGCTATTGGATGGTCTTCTGGTGGTCAACTAGCTATGACTTTGGCATATACAGCGCCGAAGAGGGGCTTACAGCCTCCAAATACCGTGTTGGCATTTTATTGCCCATCAAATTTCGAAGCTGATTGTATCGCCCCTTGCCCCTGCTCTTTTGATCACTATATAAATATCAAGAACGCTCAAGCTTACTGAAAACAAAATAGGTTGGAAGAGCCCTATCTATCCAAGGTCTATTCCGGAAGCGTCAGATACCGAATACAACCTCCTAGAAGGTGTTTATGACAGCCCAGTGAGTTGCTTCAAAGAGCGAAGAGAAATATATCATGAGTACCAGTTGACATGTTCGCGCAGACAACAGGATATAAACCTGCACCTACAAGTGGTGGGCAGATGTCTCTCACGGATCCGCGGTGGCGCATCGTAATTCACTACAACTGGAAAGCTCAATTAGTGCCTGTCCTTGTTCGTGGCCTGCCGAGCAAGGCTCAAGCTACCCCCAACAGCATGCATGCAAAGAACTCGGAAGACTGGAAGCAGCTACCAATGCCTCCTGTCGAGGAAATTAGGGCTGTCAGCCCGTACGCGCAAATCCTGCGTGGCCAATACCGCACGCCAACCTTCCTCGTTCATGGCGATAACGACGAGCTGATTCCGTGGCAGCAAAGCCGTGATACTGTGCAGGCTCTTGTTTCACAGAACGTTGAGGCTGGATTCGCAGCCCCACACGGCGCAGGACATGCGTTTGATCTTTGGCCTGACGAGGATCCACAGGAAACTGGATGGCCTGCTGTCAATGATGCATATGACTTTGTGTGCCGTCATGTACTCCAGTGAGTATATTGATATGTCAATCTCTGCTCTTTATTCTATCTATTTTATAACGAGAGCGTTTGAAGTCAAATTGAATTCGTTAAGTCAGAAGACGTGGGCGTTCCATTTGAACTAGTCAGGCCTGGCTTTTACTGCCCCTATTTCTAGTATCTCACATAACCTCTGTGAGCAGTTATATTCTAAAGACATTGAGTGAGTCACCGAGGTCGGTAATAGAGATGAGTTAGCGATACATTATCACATGTCAATATTTGAGGGATAGGAGGTCAGCGTAGCTCCATGGCTGCCGCTCAACCCTTTATAGGCCTATGGTTGGGTCTTCTGGCATTTGGTACAACCATGACCCGTCAATAGTACTTTCAGCCCAATACCGTCGTCCATGGAAAGCATGGATGATGATCATTTACACGATACGAGAAAGAAAGAAGCTATTTGTGGCTGTAGCAGGTGTCTTTTCGCTTGTCTCATAGGCTGCTACTTTCTTAAAACTATAAATCTCGGGATATGGTATCTAATGCAAAAGGTGTTCGTGTTTTCGAAGAAGAATTGTTGTTATAAGCTCGACGTAAGTGAGGCTATAAGCTACGTGCAACAAGAACATGTAATTGACTGATAATCAACTTCGTTATTCGTAAGGATATTTCAAAAACCATGTCTGATTGTGAAAATCAAAGGGTGGAACACACTCAAGAGGTCGCAGTTCACGTATATCGAAAAATCCATTTTATGGCTATTGATCGTGGTCATTTGTTCGAAATTTTGTCGTAGATGTGGCCGATGTGGAAATCTAAGTTAAAACAACTGACACCATAATCGCGGTGACACCTTTACTACAAAAGAGCAACCATATATCTCACAACCCGGTTCTCGGCTTCTCTGGCATGAGTTCTTAGCCTCTTACAGCATATGACTCGGAAATGCCGTAAAAAATGGGGCGTTGTGGCCATCAGCGTTGATGAAGAGTTGCATAAACCCGCAGGGGGATTGCCTGCCGATTAACGATTGTCACCCCTGGTTACATCGGTATCGGCCGAGCGACACGTGATGGGATTGGATAAACATCCACCGGCTTGGCGGATTCCAAGTATCTCTTCGCTTGGAGGTGATGAGATATAGTATGTGAATAGTAATTGAACCCCCCCCCGCGAATACATTCTCCCAATCAAATCCATTTGCAAGCAGCAAAAAGGTTGCTGTGGAAGAGCCAGAGGGTTCGAATGACCTCTAAATAGAGGAGTACTTCATCACCTTCACGAGCCGAGTATTTATATACACAGAGCAGTAGCAAATGGTACTGTTACCAACGTAAATTAGGCTGATTCTCAATACGAACTACTTCGAGAACACGAGCCGTCATCATGATCATCATCACCCGCTGTATAGGTTACGGTTTGTAATGACTGTCAAATGTTCTTCGGCGCCTAGGTTACGGCTTTGAACAGTACTGTTCTGTACGGACAGCAAACTTTTCTTCCGGTTCGAGGGGGAATCCAGTCTATTTCGGGCAAGCAGAACTCGGAGTTAGGAGATCGGCCGCTGCTTTGTCAGCGGGTGCACGGCTCACCTCGGTTGTGGTTCCGATACGGATATCCTCCTCCGTCATGGTTTGACCAATATCATTGGTATGCTTTCCGGAGATCGGTAAGTGGACCATTCCTCGCCGGCGAAAAACAGGGAGATCACTGTTCTTTTCTTCCATTCCTTCCGTTCCTTAAGTTTCATCTTCATCGAAGATTGCCTTGTATACTTCTAACCCCATTGGACGCAGCCGATGCCTCGATTTCTGGACTCCACCGACTTTGGCACCCACGTTTATCGTTGGGAGGTCTAGACTCGGCCGTCCATGAAAGAGTAGGTTTGGTTGACAGCCCTTCGAGGATTAAGACCGTGGAAGCGGTCTTGGGTTATGCCCAAGAATCGCAAAGATTCAAGCCGCATGCCATGAGAGCAGCATGGTTAAAGCTGCGGCTATTAGGCTATGACAGGCCTCGGCGAAGCTCTAATTTTGCTTGGGATGTGGTACACGATAGATGTACACGCTGACAATTATAATTCATTCGAACAATGCGGTATTCCGCAAACATAAACCCTATCGACCCGTGTTGCCCGGCCGAGGAAGGAGGCCTCCTCATGCAACTCACTATCTAATGCTACCGCGGCCGATAATGAGATGACTTAGCGGGAGCAATTTCCGGTAAGTAGCCGGCATCTTGCGTGACTTCCGAGATCGCCGCTACTCCGTGTGGTTGAGTTGCGAACTCGACATGAATAAGCGGAACCCGGAAGGGCATCAAGTTCCATTTGCCGTCTATAACCCTCTCTTCGACTAGAACGCGGTCCATCATATCCCTCTACAAGTGGGTAAGAGCAAACGTATTTTAGCCAGCGAATCCCAGATTCTGATACCGCGTAGAATCAAACATTCTGTACTATTCACTTTTCTGATCAGCACAAAGACAAGCTACATGGGCATGGATCAGTCCGTGAACAATCTCTCAGAAGCTTTGAGAGACGCCAGCAAGCCTCCTGCGAACTCCGAAACCTCCACCCTCGCCGATCAGCATCCTACGGAACAGCAAAGCGCGGAGGCCGTCAAGGACAAATGGAGGTTAACATCGACGGTGAAAAGCTTCCATGAGCGAGAAGCTGCATCCGGATTGGGTGACCGGAAACTTGGCGTGACCTGGCAGGGCCTGACAGTCAAGGCCAAAAGTCAGGATGCAGCCGTGAATGAGAATGTATTCTCGCAGTTCAATCTCTCTCGCCTAGTACAAAAGTCTAGGCGGAAACCTATGCTGAAAACCATTGTCAGCAATAGCCATGGCTGTGTCAGACCGGGTGAAATGCTGCTTGTACTTGGGCGTCCTGGTGCAGGATGCACAACACTGCTTCGCGCGCTTTCGAACAGACGTGAAGGCTATGAGTCTATTGAAGGGAATGTTCATTACGGGACAATGACACATGATCAAGCTGCACGTTACCGCAGCCAGATTGTCATGAATACCGAAGAGGAATTGTTCTTCCCAACCTTGACAGTTGGCCGGGCAATTGATTTCGCAAGCCGTCTGAAAGTTCCGTATCAGCGTCCCGATGGTCTCTCGCAGGAGGCCTATCAACAGGAGATGAAGGATTTCCTCTTGGATTCGATGGGAATTGCTCATACAGCAGACACCAAGGTCGGCAACGAATTTGTACGGGGCGTTTCTGGCGGCGAGCGCAAGCGAGTTTCCATCATCGAGGCCCTCGCAACTCGCGGCTCAGTGTTCTGTTGGGATAACAGTACACGAGGGTTGGACGCCAGCTCCGCATTAGAATGGGCAAAGGCTATCAGAGCACTTACTGACGAGTTTGGGCTGGCGAGCATCGTGACACTCTACCAGGCAGGAAATGGCATCTACGAGCTGTTTGACAAGATTATGGTTCTTGATCAAGGCGAGCAGATATACTATGGCCCAACTGCGGTGGCTCGAAAATCCATGGAGGATCTCGGCTTTGTGTGCGCGGACGGGGCAAATGTTGCCGACTTTCTGACAGGCGTAACTGTCCCAACCGAGCGTCAAATCCGGCCTGGCTACGAACATCGGTATCCTCGAGACGCATTGGCCATTCGCAAGGCGTATGAAGAATCTCCCACCCACGGCATCATGACAAAGGAATATGATTATCCGGCTTCGCATACAGCCAAAGAGAACACCGAAGCTTTCCAACGGACCATCGACTTGGAAAGACACGCCAGCCTTCCGAAACAGAGCAGCCTGACAACCAGTTTCCCCAACCAAGTTCGCGCATGCGTTCTGCGTCAGTACCAAATTCTGTGGGGTGATAAATCGACCTTTATTATCAAACAGGTATCAACTTTGGTCCAGGCTCTAGTTGCAGGGTCACTCTTCTACAACGCGTCTCCCGACTCCTCCGGGCTGTTTATCAAGGGAGGAGCTCTCTTTTTCTCTCTTTTGTTCAACTCTTTGATGTCAATGTCAGAGGTTGTTGACTCCTTCACTGGTCGCCCTGTGCTGTTGAAGCATAAATCCTTTGCTTTATTTCACCCATCCGCTTTCTGCATCGCTCAAATAGCTGCAGATATTCCAGTCATTATTTTCCAGATCAGCATCTTTTCCATAGTCATCTATTTCATGGTGGGCTTGACCATGTCCGCATCTGCTTTTTTCACATATTGGATTGTCCTTTTCGCAGGCACTATGGTAAGTGGCATATCTTCAATCCTACAACAAGCTTCCCTGGGCTGGTCTTTTTCAAATGCCCGGCTTGGTGCTCTCGCTTCCATGTTCTTTAATAACATTCGTACAGTGCATGACGGCGATGTTTCGCGCAGTCGGCGCTGCCTTTGATTCTTTTGATGCAGCTTCGAAAGTCTCGGGATTTTTGATTTCTGCGTTGGTCATGTACACAGGCTACATGATCCAGAAGCCCAAAATGCACCCATGGTTCGTCTGGATCTTCTGGATCGATCCGCTATCATACGCCTTCGAAAGCCTGATGGGAACGGAATTCCATGGCAAGACAATTGATTGTGTTGCCAATAATTTGGTTCCGAACGGCCCTGGATACAATGATTCGACTTATCAATCCTGCGCTGGTGTAGGTGGTGCGCCAACAGGCGCAGTCTCCCTGACAGGAGATCAGTACCTGGCATCTCTGAGCTACAACCATTCGCACGTCTGGCGAAACCTCGGCATCGTCTTTGCGTGGTGGGCTCTCTTTGTCGCCATCACTGTCGTGTCAACATCGCGCTGGCGCGACAGATCCAACGGCGCATCGCTTCTCATACCACGCGAACGGCTAGCTGTCCACAAGAAGTTCAACTCAGACGAAGAATCTCAACTCAAGGCCACTCAGCCCGTTTTAGAGGCGGACAAAAAGGAGTCCACCGAAGGGTCCGGCCTAGCCGACAAGCAGCTCATTCGAAACACGTCGATTTTCACCTGGAAAAATCTCTCCTATACTGTCAGCACGCCTTCCGGCGATCGTGTTCTTCTTGACAACATTTACGGATGGGTCAAACCAGGGATGCTTGGGGCACTGATGGGCTCGTCTGGTGCAGGGAAGACGACTCTACTTGATGTCCTAGCACAGCGCAAGACCGAAGGTACCATTCGTGGCTCAATCATGGTTGATGGACGGCCTCTTCCTGTGTCTTTTCAGCGATCTGCTGGCTATTGTGAGCAACTTGATGTTCATGAACCGTTTGCAACAGTCAGGGAGGCCCTCGAGTTCTCAGCGCTTCTCCGTCAGCCAAGAGATATTCCTGAAAAAGACAAACTTGCGTATGTTGACACAATAATCGACCTTCTTGAGCTTCATGACATCGCGAATACGTTGGTTGGCAAGGTAGGGGCTGGTTTGAATGTCGAACAGAGGAAGCGAGTTACTATCGGCGTTGAGTTGGTCTCCAAGCCAAGCATCCTTATCTTCCTCGATGAGCCAACATCTGGGCTTGACGGTCAATCCGCCTATAATACAGTCAGATTCCTCCGAAAGCTCGCGGACGTAGGCCAGGCTGTTCTGGTCACCATTCATCAGCCCTCAGCACAGCTATTCTCCCAATTCGATACTCTGTTATTACTTGCGCGCGGAGGCAAGATGGTCTACTTTGGAGATATTGGAACTGGTGGGCAGACCGTCAAGGATTATTTCGGCCGTTACGGAGCACCGTGCCTACCTGGAGTCAACCCGGCAGAGTATATGATCGATGTTGTTTCTGGACAGCTGTCTCAGGGCAAGGACTGGAACAAAACATGGTTGAACTCCCCTGAACATGCGCGCAGACACGCCGAGCTTGAGGAACTCATCGCCGACGCTGCAAGCAAAGAACCTGGAACCAAGGACGATGGGAACGAGTTCGCCATGCCGATTTGGGCGCAAACCAAAATCGTCACCAAACGAATGAATACTGCGCTCTACCGGAATACCGACTACATCAACAATAAGCTGATGCTGCATGTCTTTTCCGCGCTTTTCAACGGCTTCTCGTTCTGGATGGTCGGCGATTCGGTGAATGACCTTCAGCTACGCTTGTTCACCATCTTCAACTTTGTGTTTGTCGCAGCGGGCGTGATTAACCAGCTCCAGCCTCTTTTCATCGAGAGACGCGACATCTACGACACTCGTGAAAAGAAGTCGAGGATGTATTCGTGGAAAGCCTTTGTTACTGCGCTTATTGTGTCGGAGTTCCCGTATCTATGTGTCTGTGGTATTCTCTATTTTGTTTGCTGGTACTACACTGTTGGATTCACATCTGCTTCGAACAAAGCAGGCGCCACCTTTTTCGTCATGTTGATGTATGAATTCCTCTACACTGGAATCGGCCAGTTCATTGCGGCCTATGCACCCAACGCAGTGTTTGCATCCCTTGCCAACCCATTGCTTCTTGGTGTTCTGGTGTCTTTCTGCGGCGTGATGGTTCCCTACGCCGCAATTCAGCCGTTCTGGCGGTACTGGATGTATTATCTGAATCCATTCAATTATCTCATGGGAAGCATGCTTGTCTTCGACATTTTCGACACGACCGTTACATGCAGCGATGGGGAATTTGCGAAATTTGATCCCCCTGCAGGCCAGACATGTGCAGACTATCTGGCTTCATTTTTGGAGGGAATGGGATCTCGGTCAAACCTTGTCAATCCAGACGCCACAAGTGAGTGCAGAGTCTGTGAGTACAGAACTGGGGCCGACTATCTCTATACCATCAACCTGAAAGACTACTACTACGGTTGGAGAAACACTGCGATTGTGGTCATCTTCGTCTTCAGCTCCTACGCGCTGGTCTACCTGATGATGAAACTTCGGACCAAGGCATCGAAGAAGGCTGAGTAATTCTTCCTCGCAGTTTTCTGATTGATGGTTGTATCCTCCGGAACGTGCCCCTCAAGCGGGCTCTGGCTGAGTCTGTTGTGCGCTGCATTGATTGAAAGTCCACCTATCCGGCGTTCGGCACCCATCAGCCCGCTACCGATCGATCTCTATTTCTTTTTCCTTTTTGCAAATCGCTTTCCCTTCTCTTTCATTTTTATCTTATTTAGGCTCAACGCTAATTCCTTCTTCTGTATTTCATTCTTTACCTTGCTTTATTTGTCTATCATATTCTTGTTTATTCTTCTGTTCGTTGCACTCAGCTTTCTCGACGGGTTGTTGAAGTGTTTACACATTTTGCCGAGATATAGGCTCATTATGCCTTCATTACTAACGTGCTGCCCATTCTCAAGTGCGGCCTCTACGCTTTTTTTTTAACCCGTCTATCTGTTATCCTGCTCTCTGTTCTGCACAGTTGCAACTGTATATAGGTTAAAGATACTTGTCCCCCTTTATATAAAATACAGTTCATTGCCCAAGCATAGTTCATTCACTATATAATTTCTGACTATTGTAGTGGTGAATCCCGTGACAGTAGTATTTTAATGGCCTGAGGCATCATAGATGCCTCAGGAGACATGCAGTCTTCTCCTACAGAGAGAGAGGAGCATGATCCAACAACCTCAATATGACTACAGTTACTCGCAAAACTTCTTGATTCATGATATAGCATCAGGCTCGGTACGATTTACACCTTCAGGGACCGCTCTCTACGCCTTCAGGCCATGGGAGTGGTTGTGTGACCTCTTCATTAGTATCGACCCGTCTGCTATGTCAGACTGCCATCGTGCCATCCCCATTTCACTATGTAATTGCAGGCCCGGTGTCAGTAAACAAGCTGAGGCTCGGATACTAGTCTTTCTTTCAAGTGTCAGATGTGCGGCAATTTCTTGTGAGGGAAAGTCTTCCTTATTGGTACCGCCATGCCGAGCTGCCTCCTATACATTCTAAAATCGTATGTAATAAGTGAAGTATAATAGACAGCCCGCTAGACCGAATTCAATTGCCGATCTCGCCGCAGCTTATGTCAGCGGGAGTTGATGGATTCCTTGAGCCGCTGACGTGTGGGCACCCAGTTCAACGCTGACGAGTGTCCAGTCCAATCGACGGTCGGAACATAGGCGGATCATGAACTGTCGGAATCGACATATAGGCCTGTGGATACAGCCACCGGAATCGGGATGTCCAGTGTCCCGATAGTTCTGCAAGCACCCATCACGCCTGTAAAGCCTTCTCCCGCAATGATTGCCTTGTCCCAAAAAGCAGGCCCTCGCACCGTCTTCGCCCCAAGTCCACCGTGAAGTACAATACTCTCCAGTTATGCCAAAAGCGGGAGGACGAGTCCCTCGGGCGTGTGACTCGTGTTTTATTAGGAAAGTATGGAAAACTCCTGCTGTGGGTAGTCAATACTGGCTCGATTCATTAACATGGCCCGAACTCCAGATCAAGTGCGATGCCGCATTTCCAAAGTGCGACTACTGTTGTCACCGTAATCTTCCATGTACATTTACACGGAAAAACAAGAAGGAAGTTGCGAAAACTCACGGTTGGTGTGCCGCGCCAGATACCTCAAGGGCACTCGGTCCCATGATGGACCCGGGGGATTGCCCGTCTCCTAAATGCCAGTTATCTAATTTTTCAATTGATCTTCAGGTTTTGCGAATGGAACGCGCTATGCAAGATCTGGAACGCCAGAATCACATCTATCTACTGGTCCTGCGCTCGGTCTTCATTTCTCAGGACGACAGAAGCTGCCAATCACTCTTTTGCGCGGTATCCCCAGCTTCTCAGACGAAGCAAAGACCTGGATCCGTCTTCGAACAGGCGAGCCAATGAGCTACAGTTCCCATTATGAGACGACATCTGCCGTGCAGCAACTGATTGCCCAAGACATGGAGATTATGTTGGTCAGAAGCCAGACCCGGGACATATTACCCTTACCTGATATTTCTATCATCGAGGCCTTCTTGGAAGAATATCTCCGCCGCAACTTATATCAGCGGTATCCGATACTCAGTCCTGGTTTTTTCCAGGCTACTGTTACCGCTGCTTATGATACGAGCTGGCCATATACACGCAACATAAGCCATAGGGCTTGCGTGTTTTCTTTTATTGCACTAATGTGTGTCCTCTGCCAAGATCTTGTGGGGCAATACCCGTCCATTGATGGTGAGATGTGTGCTATAAATGCCCGGTGTCTCATGGCCCAGGCCCTAAACGGAGAGGCTTCTTTTGAGCTGGCCCAGGCCGCGACAACTCTGGTGAGCGCTGCCTGGCTCGCCTATCACGGCGTCCTGCTCGTGCACGCAAAGCTAACCTCTCCCGACCTTTTCCTTCTGCAGGCCCTCCACGGAACTCTTTGCAACTCCTTATCCGTATCAATCCATTTCAACTCAATCGCTGCTCGCCTTGTCTTCTTGCTTGGCGGACACACTGCGTCATTCCAGGGCGAAGCCTCTACACCAGAGACGGGGGAACATTATGGTACACTCCAGATTAGAAACCTCTTCTGGATTTGCTATTTTGTTGACAAAGATCTCGTCTTCCGAACGGGACTACCTCCTTCAATCGATGACTCGTATTGCAACCTTTCATTGCCACCTAACTATGTCGCAACCTTCTATTCACAGGCGCAGGGCTATGCGACACCGGCAGTACCCATGGAAACGGCAATGTTTGTTTTCGATATCCGCCTATGCATTATAAAATCTCGAATCTATACACAGCTCTATTCGGAAAAGTCCTTGCTGCAACCTGAAGCAGAGACGGAAGATGTGATTCGTCATCTTGAAACCACACTCGGCGCATGGAAACTTTCTTTGCCCATGGACGCTCAACCAGCCTCCATTGGCTTTCCTTGTATTCCTCGCGAAACCAAGGTTCCCCTTGGCCTTTTGTTTACTTGGATCGAATACTACCACTGCGCGTCCATCCTCCACCTCGCACGCAGCCATTTATCCCACGGCAACATCCTGCGGGTAGTATCAGGGACTTATGACATGCCAGGCGAGTTAATGGTTCCAATCGCGGCGAGCAGAATGATATTGCAGCAACTCAATAACACTATTCAACGAGAATCCCTCTCAGTCCACTTGTCTCTGGTACTCCGTCGCAGCCCACGGGAATCTGATTGCTAATTTGAGCCACAGGCAATGTTCGTTCCAACTGTCCCTCGCGGCTGTTACGATATTCTGGAACATCCTCCACTGCTCTACGTCCTGCGATAGCGACCTGTCGCTGCTTTGGAGACTTGGTACCTGTATTGACGAGGTCCAATCCAGCTTGCGGCTCCCGAAATCAATACTGGCACATTTGTTTGATGTATGCTCATACATAAAAGAGCTGCACCGGCTTGCGACCAGCTACTTCAACATCCACAAGGGATCCACTGTCTTGACCTGATTGGTGCCCACTGGGAAATTCCCACAACAGATGTCTACTCAGTGAGCAAAAGCGGCAAGGGCTAACCACTAATACGGAAAGAGAACGCCAAGAAGTGGCAGAGGAAATCAAGTACATAGGAATTGCCCGGTCTATGTAGATGCATACAACAGTGGCAGAACAAAGCTAAATTGGGTAACGCTGTACTCAAAATAAAAGTTAAATCAGAAATCATTGATCTGGGTATCCATGCACCATGCACCATTCCAACGCCTAAAAATACACAGTAGCGATACCAGTCACCTAATGCACAATCTTGTAACTGCCACCACTAACAACCTCCAACTTCCCCTTTGAAACCATACCTCCAAGGAACTCCCTCAGCTCCTCATTGCTAAATGGAAATCCACCGGGCACAACGATCTTCAGCATCATAACAATATTCTGCAACGGCATGGGACCCTGATTCGTAAGCATGCCAACAATAAATTGCCAATGCAAATTCATCTTCTCCATAGCAGCTGCTTCAGCGGATTCCTTTGCCGCTGCCGCTGCTGCTGCTTCTGCTGCCGCGGCTGCATTGGCATCATCGTCATCTTCGTCTTCTGCGCCTTCTGGACCGGCGATGATGGAGCCATGGGCTTCGTGTTCGCTGGGAAGGATTTCCAGAACGCGGAAGGTATCGCGATGCGGTTCTGTCAGGATGCGTTTGCTTACCCAAAATAAGCACGCGCTGCGGACTAGGGCTGGGGTCATTGAAAGGGTGTCGGATAGTTCCGTAACTGATTTTGTGGCTGGCTCGTTGGGATCGGTGTCTGTGTCGGAGTTGAAAGCGTAGATTACCGTTGCTTGCCAGGTTGTTACTTCGCCGGTAAAGCTGTGGTTTTCCAGTTCCAGTTCGACTGTCACTTGGCCTAGGCCGTTGCGCCAGTTCAGTTTGCGTGAGGCTTTGAGGGCTTCGAAGCCTGTAGCGTAGCTTTCTTGTAGTTTGGCGATTTCTTTGGGGACCTTGAACTCTTGCTCTTGGATCTCCGGCCAGAAGAAGCGGGATAGGATCTTGGCGTGAAGATCTGTGGAGTCTGGTGGCACGAGTCTGTTGGCCATGGCTGCTGAGCGAGGCTTTGTATGGCTCTGCTTCTGTACGGAGATGTTGAGACGTCGGGAGTCTGAGATATCTCGGAGCATGACCTCGCATGCTTGCAGTGCGGAGTCACCGAATCGGACTTTGAGGAGTTCTAGGACTGTGATTTCCTGGTCGTAGTTCTTGCGGTTCTGGATCAGACGGTCTGCGAGGAGAGTCTGCATTTCCTTCACGAAGGTCTCTTTCGAATCAAACAGGCTGACCAGGCTGTCAATGACATCGGCGCTCTTTGACTTGCGGTAGTCCGGAGCGGCATCGACTGGGTCAGGCACCCAGTTCAAGTCATCAAAGTCCAGTTCGCCCTTGTTACCCCGCATGGAATGCTGGTGCACCTTGGTCAGCTCTGTCGATAGCTCGGCCAGAGTATCGCCTGTATTGGGCGCTGTGGAGTCTGCCAAAAGACCGCCAACAATGACCTTGACGGTATCATCGCGGTCTCTCAAGTAACGTCGGATAGGTCGAGCGATACGGTCAAGCAGAACACCCTTGGGGTCGAGTAGATGGAATGCTCGAATGATAGAGATGTACACCTGCAAGATCTCAACAGTAGAAGCTCCAGGATGAAGCAGCCGCTGTTGCAGCATATTGATAAATGACTGCGTAACATGCGTTCTCGATGTAGTATGCGTAGTGAAGTGCCGCAGATCTTCCACTGCTCCACTGCTGGCAGGCCATTCAACAACCACGTCGAAGAGCTCACTTACTCGGAGCGCACCCAAGCGAGCAATGCCCACTTCCTGCCACTTCTCCACGTCACGAAAGCTCACATCCAAGGCCCCAGAGTGGGTTCCTGATTGTTCGGAATGAATGATGGCCAAGACCTGTACTGCGAGTCGGGCAAAAACATTCTCTATCCATTGTCGCAGGTGATGCGGCGCTGATGTCGGTGCATCCCACTGGCCAGTGTATGCTGCAGAAATGAAGTCCGACATCATCACATTCATCACCCTTGCAAAAACTTTCTGGGCTTTCTCAGCACCAAGTCCAACGAGCTGCAGACCATTGAGGAAAGCAAGAAGTCGATCGCGGGAAATTGCCACTCGATGGTCTTCGCCCTCATCCATCATGTGTGCTCGACCTTCAGTGGTTTCTCGTCTCCAGTCTTTGTACGAGACGGAATATGCCCGATCCACCTCCATCTCATCAATACTCATTTTCTCCATATCTGAGTCCCCATCCAGAGTATCGATACCCAGGATAGTGGTAGCATCTCGGGTAATTTCGCTTGTAAGAAGCGGTGAAATCTGCTGCCAAGGCAGAGAGTATGAAACCACCGTATGGAATGCCCGTTGTAATTGAGCCAAGAACCCAGCCTGGTGGGGTGTCGGAATGAGAGGAAGCAGATAGCGCACGACGGGCGCCAGGTAAATTCGACGGGCAAGCTGTAAGCAATTGACAATGGTCCGGAGGAGACCTTGTTTCTCCGGGCTCCGAAGAAGCTACAATCCAGTCAGCACATATAGCAGCAATAGCATACGGATCAAGAAGTCTACCTGAGAAAAATCATCGCGCAAATTCACAAGAAAATGCCTGCGAATATCACACCCATACCAATCGAAAAGGGTCCACGGACAGTTCCGCACTAGACACTCCAGTGCCTCTGCTGTCTCTTTCGACGGCGGACTTAGCCGGTTCCATTGCTTCAGCACTTCACTCCCATCTGTATTCCGGTAGTCATAGAGTAGTTGAAAACCGAGGTTGGGTACAGATAAGAACTCGCTCGCCGCAAGTCGTGCCTGTTCCAATGTTTCCTCGTTCGGCGAGTCTGTCGATCCTCCAACAGTGGCGAATGAAGTGGGCAAGGAGTCTGCCTTAAATGTCGAAGTTGAGCCTGTCGAGCTATGGAAGGAGCTGGTGGGTGTCCGGTCGGTTTCGTGTTCCGAGTTTGACTTCGACTTTGTTGGGGCTTCTAGGGACGCCGGGGAAAAGACGGAGCCAAAGACGCGCCTACGTCCCACATTGAGGGGAACGGTTGATAGCATTGTCACCATCAGACATTGAACATCGTGAAGATTAACTTGGTCTGTGTGGCGCGCAGTTTGACTATGTCTGTGGATTGGAGTTGGGGAATGTTTAGATGTTATCGCGTCGTCACGTGCGGGGTGATTCTATAGCTTCAGGTCCCACCTTCCACCTTACTTGGATGATATACTTGACACTCAAATGTTCACCATAAATCTATTTGTATATTGCTAAGCATAATGAAGGTGTAAATTGTACCATCTACACAGTATGGGGTATCGCGACGAAATAGAACAGGGGATTTGGCGTATACAAGAGGCGCGTAACAGACCAAGTCGGGCCGTGTGTTACCTCCAAACACAAGGAACAGGACAGCATCCTATGACTTATAAAACCCTTGGTCACTTCAGGGCCAGTATCTCTCAGGACCGGGTATCGTCCACCTTTTCCCACTCGCTGTCGGTGCTTCCATACCCAGAACCATCACCACCAGTGCTGGGTCTCTTCTTCGAATCCAGTTCGGTTGGCTGCAACCTAGCAGCGCTTCCAGTCGTGACAGCCCTAGACTTATCATGCTTCTTAGAAGCCAGAGCCTCGGTCTCGGTGTCGCTGCCAACACTGGCTCCCCGCGCGCGGGGGTCTTGCTCTTGCGCTTTTTCCTTCTTCTTTTCAGCCTCCTGGGCCAGCTGGGCGATTCGTACCTCGGCCGCGAACCAGTTGATGGACCACCATAGTCCCGCGCTGATGATGGACAGTGCGACAAAGTGCAGGCTGTGTGTAGCGAGAAGGAGAGCGAAGAAGACGAGCTGGAGAGCGGCGAAGGATACGTTGGTTGCAATGAGGAGGGTTGGAGTGGGGCCTGGAGTGAAGATGCTGGACCATAGATCCTCCACGAAGGAAACCATATTGAATGTACGATTGTCCAGGGGGGAAGTGTTGAGGTGACGTCGAGTCGGGAACTGGAATCCGTGTGATTGTGGCTTTGGCAGACGCCGACCGCTTTTCTGACTCCACTCGGTAGGTGAATTCCGTATAGATCTTGACAGAGGGTCTGTTTTATAGAACTTTCTGGTTTCCCCGTGGGCAATATGAGACATATCAGGTGAATCCCATTTTCGTCACGAGATGATTAGGTTCCAAGTGACTTGGCTAACACCGGGCCGAGTTAAATATCTCACCTAAAACTCGTGTCCTTGGCACATCTCGATATCAACTTATAATGCACTATTATCAAATGCAGAGCAAAGTCTCATGGATCTGTCTAATAAGTAGGTATAATATATATAGAACCCCGTCATGGAATGACGAGACAAGGTAGAACAACTATAGATGACCAATTAATTATACGGACCACGTGAGGCTCCGGATATTTGCACTCCCCAAATTTCGTAACTTCCTGCAATATCAAGTGGAGACAAAGAAGCCAGTAAGCACCGGAGTCAACGTGAAATCCGAGGGGCTTCTGGCCGATCAAATGTCTGGAGCAAGCGGGTCCTAGGGATCAGCCTGTCCGAGATCACGCATTACAAGGATACTCCGAACAACGAGGTCGAAACCCCTATCTCAAGCCAAAAGTTCCAACTTGTCCCCCAAACGCCGAATGCCTAGATGGCAAAAAGGTCAAACTTACGAGGATAGCCGTCCCCGGATCACCAATTGAAGCCATATCCCCACAAACATAGCGCCGATTTCACCCCCATGTCTCCCCTCCGCATCCCCACGGGCACAACCGTACACTAAAATGTAGACATACAGGCTTCCGTCATTCACCCCCGACTTGGCTCCCGCAATGCTGCTGATTGGATTGCCTACTTCGGAGGCAGCCCGAGGTCCTAATTTACCCCAGGTCATGTCTAAATCTAGTATCCCAGGAGAAATGAGTTCGCAAGTATAAATACCCTAGAGACTTCCCGTGGTACCTCGCGTTCAGTTCTGTTTCTCGGGCCAAAGCAACCATCACATTCACATCTCGGCTTCGGTCTTCAATTTCATCATGGCCGATGAAATCCAAGTGACAAAAGGAATATCCCACGACCCTGTGGTCGATGGCTTCTCACACCATGCTGAGAACATCGCTCATGACCGCGAGCCCTATGGCCCCCCTGGTCTTCGGGGACTAGTGGCCAACCCATTCGTGCTGCTTTGTGCAGCCTGCTCAACACTAGGAGGTCTGTTGTTCGGTTATGACCAGGGTGTTGTGTCAGTCATTCTCGTCATGGACCAGTTCCTGACTGAGTTTCCCCGAGTCTCGGAGACTGCCTCAGGAGCAGGCTTCTGGAAGGGACTTTTGACTGCTATGATTGAACTAGGTGCTTTGATCGGTGCGTTGAATCAGGGTTGGATTGCGGACAAGATTTCACGCCGCTATTCGATTCTTGTGGCCGTTGCTATCTTTACTCTTGGTTCTGTGTTGCAGACTGCTGCATATGGTTATCCCATGTTGACTGTTGCTCGGTTTATTGGTGGTCTTGGGATTGGTATGTTGTCGATGGTTGCGCCGTTGTACATTTCTGAAATCAGTGCGTCCTCCTGTCTTTTTGCTTTTTGATCCCCAGGATACATTGTTGATTGCTTTTTAAACCTACCTAGGCCCTCCTGAATGCCGTGGAACCCTACTTGTCCTTGAAGAATGGTGTATCGTGCTTGGTATCGTGGTTGCCTTCTGGATTACCTACGGAACCCGCTACATGGCCGGGGAATGGGCTTGGCGTCTGCCGTTCTTATTGCAAATGATCCCAGGCTTCGTCCTCGCTGCTGGTGTCTACATGCTACCGTTCTCACCCCGTTGGCTCGCTTCCAAGGGCCGCGATGAAGAAGCACTCCTCAGTCTCAGCAAGCTTCGCTCCCTCCCGCCAACAGATAGACGTGTTCGCCAAGAGATGTTGGACATCCAGGCCGAAGTACGTTTCCACCAGGAAACCAACAAAGAGAAGCACCCGAGCTTGCAAGAAAAAAGCACCAAGAACTCATTCTTGCTGGAAATGGCTTCTTGGGCCGATTGTTTCAAGAAGGGATGCTGGCGTCGGACCCATATTGGTGTTGGACTCGGTTTCTTCCAACAGGTTCGTACCCCCAAAAGTTCGTCGGGTGACTGAACTAATGAAGATTATAGTTTGTCGGTATCAACGCTCTCATCTACTATTCCCCAACCCTCTTCAAGACAATGGGTCTCGACTCGAGCATGCAGCTCATTATGTCCGGAGTCCTTAATGTGCTGCAGCTGGTTGGTGTTACTACTAGTATTTGGACTATGGACTCGGTTGGTCGTCGCAAGCTGCTGCTAGTTGGCGCAGCTCTCATGGCCATCTCACACATTATCATCGCGATTCTGGTTGGCAAGTTCTCCAACAACTGGCCAGCACATCGGCCCCAGGGATGGGCTAGTGTGGCCATGCTGTTGTTCTACATGATCGCATTCGGAGCTTCTTGGGGTCCGATCCCATGGGCCCTGCCATCCGGTACGTGAATACCTGTCCTAGTTTAAAGAGAACATCCTGCTAATAGCAGCCTTAGAAATCTTCCCATCCTCTCTGCGTGCCAAGGGTGTGGCTCTGTCAACTTGTTCCAACTGGCTGAACAACTTCATCATCGTGAGTTTCCTCTACCAACCCTCTATCCATAGACCAACAAGACTAACCCTTCCACTTCAGGGCCTTATCACACCCCCTCTCGTCCAAAACACCGGATACGGAGCCTACGTTTTCTTCGCCGTATTCTGTGTCCTAGCCGGAATCTGGACCTTCTTCTTCGTCCCCGAAACCAAGGGCCGCACTTTGGAACAAATGGACCATGTCTTCAAGGACAACTCCAGTGCAACAGACCAGGCAAAGAGGCACGCCATTGAGGTGGAGTTAATCCGCGCACAGCAGGAGGTTGCCCACCGCGAAATTGCATGAGCAACTTTCCCACTCCGCAATCGAGCTTCCTAGCGGCAAGCTCTCAGATACCCCATTTTTTAGCTGAGTATGAGCATTTTCAATGACATATTACAACTTCATGAACTAGCTGCATCTCAAGTATATTCTAGTCCAATCATTGTTCCGAGTAGCGTATTTATTACTATCCGAGGAAGGTCTGAAGCTTAAAGCCTGCATGGCCGACATCCGTGCCGACATCCGCGAGCTCGAGGCGAGATCCGAAGCAATGGTGCCATGAGGTTGTATTATGGGGAATCTGGGGTAAAATTGTTTAAAAAAGAAGTGTATAAATAGGTGATGTCAGGATGGGGCACATTGGACATTGGAAACTAGACCTAAGTGCGTATAAGCCAAGGTATCAAGCCATACAACAACAGCCCAGATGCATGATCTCTCTATTTCTAAGTGGCTACTCCTAGGTTGCGCTTATTCACTGAGTGTAGCAGGATGCACAGTGAAGCTCAAAGCACCCTCACAGCTTCCTCTTAATGCTTCCAAGCCGGTTGATCATGCCTTTGCGTCTTTCTCTTGGCCTGTTCATTTCTTCGCAGACTACGCTGGTGAGTATTAGACACTGTCCCATCTATACATCCTTTGCTTATGCCATGACTTCAGGAAACAAAAGCCACCCAAACCACTTCTCACAGGATATAGTTAATCTTCTTTACAAAAAGACAGGAGCACACCCACACATCCGAGTAGGAGGAACATCAGCGTCAGTCCACCTATGAAGACCTATCCATGTATATCATTCACCCAAAAGTCCTTTTATACTAAATCCATCGCAGAGACCGCGCAATCTATAACGAAACCCAAGATCAATCCATCATTCTCTCCGAAGAGTCCGGCAACGGAATTCCAAATAAAGTATCCCTCGGCCCCGTCTTCTTCGAAGGCTTCGATAATTTCCCAGACACACCCTGGACCTTTCAGGTAAATCTGGCAAACAACAAAGCCGACCGGCTTGAGCATGCACTCACTGAAGCACGCGTTGCGCTAAGCCATATCCGAGGCAACCTTGTCGCTTTCGAGATTGGCAATGAGCCTGACCTCTATCCCGGTGATGTCAGACCTGCAAGCTATACCGTTGCAGATTATGTTCGTGAATGGAGGGAGTATGCAGATGCTATCTCGGAGCATGTTCTCAAGGGAAATAGGTATGGGTTGGATGAGTGGAGGATATTTCAGGCTTTGACTTTTGTTTTTCATATGGATGGGTTTACAACGTAGGTTACTTTTCTTTTCTTTATTGTGTCGTCGATTCATGAGAAACAGGGCACGAGCTTTCGAAGATGGTGTTGATGATGATGGACATGTTAAGTTGGTTTCATGGCATCAGTACGTATCGCCCGTCTGTACTATGTTTACTTGAAGTCGCTAATGAGGGCGTAGATATGCTTCTGGTAACCAAGACTGGGTTCGGCTTCAAGGTAGGAAAGGCTGCCATTGCCCTTCTGTATATCTGCCAGTACCAAGTATCTTTCTGACCTGGTTGTCTAGAATCATTCATGAACCACACCGCAACGGCAGCAAACCTCACACAATACATCGGCGACATGGACGTAATCCACGCCCGCAATCCAAACATCACATTCCTCCTCGGCGAAACAAACAGCGACTACGTCAATCTCAACATGAGTCAGGTAGAGGGTGTATTCGGTAGCTCACTCTGGCTTGTGGATTATCTGCTCTTCGGACTGAGCGTTGTAAGCTCCCAGCAACGCCTACAGCATCTATCTCCAATGATCCAATCAAGGCTACGCAGCCTGGACACCAGTCGAAAACAATAACCAGGCCCCTCAAGTCAGAGCACCATTCTACGGCCAAGTTGTCGCGGCAGACGCCATTGGACGTCATCGAACCGTTCAAGTAAAATCTCTTGAGCTGGACAGAGAGGATCTGTCTGCCTATGCGATTTATGAGTCTGAGAGGCTGGCTAGGTATGTGGTTATTAATCTTGACGAGTGGAATTCTACGACTAGTTATCCCAGACCTTCTCAACGGATTTTGCTCGATGTGCCCAGGCACGTGAGAAGTGCTGAGGTTCAACGGTTGACTGGTCCAGGGGCTAGTGCTGATCAAGGAATATCTTGGGGGGGGGGGAGTTCGTTGGAATTATACGGACGGGAGACTTGAAGAATTTGGCCATGGAGGGGTTGAGGTCTTGAGGGCTCGAGGGGGCTCCATTGGACTTGAAATTGACTCTAGCGAGGCTGTTGTTGTAGAGCTCGCTAGGTGAGCACGGCTTAAAATGGTAGAACTCTTCAGATTAATCTATGATGTATTGAAGTTTCAGATGATATATTATTCAGATAGAAAACTGTTTCAAGCACGCGAAGTGCTCTGTCAACCTACAAATGGTATCGTGGCTAGCTATTTCTGTTTTGTCAAATAACAGTCCGCGCGGACCGTTCATCGACATGACGGGAAGGGAGCGATGCAAGGGGCCAACTTCCAGAATAATCAAAATTGGCCTACGGGACCACTAAACTAGAAAGTCGCATTGGCTGATGTCCAAATCTGATGATCCACTAGGGCGTTGGGGCTGAGGTAAACCATTGGGCTTCACCCTGAGACACGGAATGGATTGAGAAATCACGGTCATGATTTGCTAGTACCAAAATCAGATTCCCGATCCTCGCCAGGGTCAAGGAACCAAATCTGTGATTGGTGCTAGTCACAATCCGAAATCCACCATGCGCTTTGGATTCTGTACCTGTACGATGTTTTGTATGCAGTGTTGTATCACTTTAGTCTAATCCATTTACCCTTTCTTCTCGGTATAAAGACGGTTCTACAATCCACAAATGATCTTTCGATCATGGGTCACATTTTGTAAACCTTCTCTTTGCTGTCTCCAACCCATTTCATGATGACCTCGGTACCATTGCTCGATGAAGCTGGCCAGAGCCTCACGGATGTGAACTATCATGCTGAAACTTTTGGATATCCATCATCAACTCTTCTCCCTGAGCCGTCCGCGCACCTTACAGATAATTGCTTTTGTGACTCGCTCATTCCATGCCCCCAGCCTGACCGACGTGCTCATATGGACCTAGGGGGAGTTGAATCGTATCAATCCAATTACTATACCCCAAGTCGTTCCTCGATCAACTCCAGCCAACCACAGGTTTTGGGGGCGGAAGATGTCACTGGCTCTAGTGCCATTTGGCCTCAATCTCTGAAGTCCACGATTGCACTAGATGTCATGAGGCAGATGGCCAATCATCCTCGACTGTCCGAGCCAAAAGCCTGCGGATTGTCTAACCGAATAGAAAAGCCCAAGTAAGTCTTAGATTTTAGCAAGAAAGCTAGCCATCATCTTTGCTAACATAGGTTCTTTCTTTCTAGTGTACGCGCACTTTTTTTTTGCATGCGAGTGGAGGAATTGCCAACAGCTCTTTTCCTCGAAAGGGTCTATGATGCGACATCTCGAAACGAAACATGTTTCTCTTCAGTCCTTCAAATGCTCCCATAGAGGCTGCAACAGGCTTTTGAACCGAAAAGACAACAGAGATGAGCACTCCCGACGGCCTCACAATAGTCAATTTAGCCATTGGCATTGACCCCATCCACGGACCGACTCCCGGGGCGGGCGAGGCGCCCAGAAGAGTCGAGTTGAGTAGTCCCACCCGCGGGAATTGGCCCTAGAGCCAGCTAGAACCTGAGCAAGTTGAACAGCAAGTGCGCACCTGAGTTTTCAAAGAAACTTTAGAGCGGTGGATCGAACGGAGGTATGGGGTGATATTCGGCTCGATAAGGGTATGTCAGGATATGGCATTCACCATCCAGAAAGAATGGTGCAAAGCAAGCTTTGAGCCAGTGCGAGCGTCAAGATCGGATGTTATTCAGGCCTAATATAAGAAGCTACTGCATTACGTATTACTGTACTGAGAAAGGATTTTGCTCCAACTTGGTACTCTTTGCACATTTACCGTTTTCTCACAAACCTTCTTTTTCCTCGCTGGAGTTGATCAGAACCTGAACGACCCAAGCTTTCATGAACAGTTCAAATGGCAGCCAACTGTCCACTCTGGGACCATATGTCTATTCTATCTAAACGATCTCCCGTAGGGCTCGTCGATCCAAAGCCCTCAAAGTCAACGACGCGCTAAAATGGGCCCAGAAGGATTTAAGCTACGAGACGCCAGTCCCTCCAACACAAGCCAACATTTGATCAACTTCAACGAGCCCAGATTCTCGATGACAGCTGGTATCACTAATTCCAGTGCCATGTGGCCTCGCTCACAACTGTACCCCTCCTCTTCGTTCCAATGGTGCTGTTGTCACCTAACAAGCATTGACGAAAACGCCTTCAATGTATAAATCGAACTGTACAATAAAAAACAATTTGACAAGAAAAGCTTGTTGCAGGCACCTGGATTTGCTTCATGTATCTCGACATCCAAATGCGCATACTCCTTAGCCTGAGTAGGTATAACACAGAAAATCACCTTGAGTATTGAGCAGGCTCTCAAGCGTAGTGTTAGATGCAAGCTTGCCAATATTCACCTCGAAGTCTAGAGTGACATTCTTCCCACCGTAATCAAGCGGCATGATAGGACCACCAACCTGATGGAAGCGCGTAGGCAGGTCTTGATTCTGCCACTCCCAAAAGATCCGATCGAGGTTGCAGTGATGAAGAAAAAAGAGAGGATCTGACCAGTCAGCAAACAGTATACTAAGTACAAACCCATATGGCCCTGATAACTCACCTCCAGGACTTAAAGCCGAATTCCCCAAAGTCCCAAGAACACCCCCAACTCCAAAATGCGCACCCCCATGAATGTTAGGCTCCGAAAAGCTAGGAATGTTCTCAAGCGCCCGCGCAAACGAAGTGTAATCCGGCTGTGCGAGAACATCGTCTACAAGACTCTGTTGCGCAAAGTAATTCATAATCCAGGGAATCCAGTCTCTCCGCAAACAATCAGGTTGACCCTTTGGGTTTCCGACGGCGAGCATGAAATCTGGAGGCGCAAAGGGGCCATCCTCAACGCATCCGCCGCCTGTTCGGCCTGTTAGGTTGAAGGGGTTCTGAGTAGCGTTTGCAGTGAGATATTTCCCGTTTCCACCGAATCCGCGGTGTGCGGAGAAGATGTCTGTTTCGAATATTTTCATTGAGGAGTTGTTTGTTGATGAGGCGTCTAGGGACCAGTTCCAGTATCTGTCCAAAAGATTATACCGTTGTTCTTCATTAAGTTTCTTTGATGGGGTCTGTGGTCGGACTGACTTACGGTTGTACGCCTTTATATCCGCACCCTTCTCGGAGGGCTTTTTCGTAGGTTGCGACGAAGTATCGATGCCATAGAGTAAAGTGACCCTGATTTACAGTGATCAGTCTTACTGACAATTATACATGCAATGTGAATGCGATATGTACCACCCAGTGTATACTCGGCGTCTGATCACTATGAGTAGCCTGGAAATCATCAAAATGCGTGATCGCATTCTCAAGACCAGATATCGCCGGTCGAGAGGCTAGACAACGAACTGCGCGAATATAATCATGGCGCTCGTCCAGATCTAGTTCTCTCCTAGGAGATCAAGACACAAAGTCAATTATACACAAAGACGAGAAAGCATAACACTGTGGCTTACCATTCTTTACGTATCGGGGGATTCTCGCATATGTCCGCGATGCAGTCCAGGACCAAAAGGAGAACTCCTAGGGAAAGCTTACTGAAATGCATAGTTAAATGGGTAAAGCTTGAGTCTAAATATTCTTTCAGGGTGGGAGAATGGTTCTTTTAAGACCTCGGCCGACTGCACCGACCACACTATGACTTCGGGGAAAGATCAAGTTCGGCCTTTCCATCTCAGTCTTGGACTACTTTCCTCGTGTCAACATCCATCCCTGTCGGGTCTGTCGGGCGCCTGCCGGGGATCGATTTGCTCCACCAATTATGGTGGGAGAATTTGAGTACAATATAGAGGACAAAGAATGCTGACCCATGGACCTTGTGTATCTTTCTTTGTGAGAGATAGTGTGAGAGATGGTCTTGGCGATGATCCAGTGACCAAGAAACCAGGATCTGTCAGTTATCAGCCCTACCACAGACATGTCCAGCTCTCAACCAAAATCATGGGGAACTCGAGCTCCCAGGACCCCCGAGCTTGGCGGAACCCCGTCGCCAAGACCGCGGAGCAAGGGGCCAAGTCGTCCAATGGAAAGCCAGTGATCGTCATCGAAGAGCTACTTTGAGGTAGCACCCACGTCGACCCATGGTTGCCCACAGGGCTGGACTTTTGGAACTATCGGGGAGAGCGGACACCGCAACTTCGAGTTTACTGCCAGATACATATGATATCATGGACCTAGCGAAAGCGTCTGCCGGAGCTGCTTTAATAGTATAAAACTCAGTTCAGTCACAAAGAAGCACGTCGAGTCAATGGTCCGGGGAGCTTCGGCGAGCCTTGCTTCCTTTCACAAATATGTGGGATCGCACGGCTTGCCTTTCTCCTTGTAATATAAAGAATTCACAGATCCCTGTTAATTCGAGTTGAAGATATAGGAAACACTTCAGTTATCAATTACTGTAATCAGGTCCAATGGTTATCCTTGGCCTGTCATGGCCTACATTACGGCAGACAATGGCTCTCTTCAGCCTGCCTTTCTTGCCGTCATGATCGGGCTATTATTGTTATCATGTATCAGTGTCGGTCTGAGACTATACTGTCGGGTTGCGTTAGTCCACAAGGTTGGACCGGATGACTATTTAATTGTGACTGGGTTGTTCGTTACAATTGCCATGGGCATCATGAACGCGTTTCATATCAGCTTCGGTACAGGGTATATTCATCACTGCCAATGTTGTCTTGCAAGCTGCTAACAGATTGTATCTAGACGCCACATGGTCGACCTAGATCTGCCAACAACGATTGTCCCAACCCTCAAACACTGGTATGCCTACCAGCTCGTCTACCCACTAGCAATCGGCCTAGTCAAATTCAGCATTCTTTCTCAATACTACCGCATCTTCCCTGTGAGGCGATTCCGAATCGCCACAGCTACGATCGCGGGAGTCGTCTTCCTCTATACAGTCATTGTCATCTTCGTCAACGTGAGTCCCTCTCTGGACCACTCTACCTTCTTTACATCCAAGAATCAACTCTGACTCTGCCAATCCAGGCCTTCGAATGTCATACCAAACCCTGGCGTGCATGGGATCCAACCGTATATCCAAACGGCTGCAATAGCCTCACAGCGACATACTTCTCCATGGCAGGTACCAACATCCTAACCGATGTTATCATTCTTTTTATGCCTCTTCCACTCATAGCGAAACTGAATCTCCACCGGAGGAAGAAGTGTCAGTACTTCCACTATCCCATCCGTTCCAAACCAAGAACTAACACGTCCACCAGACGCATTAATAGCAATCTTCCTCACTGGAACCTTCGCCTCAGCAGCCTCGATCGTGCGCCTAAGCGCACTATACAAGTACATGATCACAAAAGACGTCTCCTACGACGCGATCCAGATTCTACTCTGGTCCCAAGTCGAAGTGAACATCGCCATTATATCCGCCTCAGCACCATCGCTTCGGCCGCTATTCCGCTCGGTCTTCCGGGGGTCGTCCTATTATCGGACTGGGAAGCATCGCGATGGGGAAGCGGATGGTGAGGGTGGGATTTCGGGGACTGTTGGCTCTAGTCGGCGGAGGACGTTGGCGCCGCATGAGTATCCGTATCCTGGTGTTGAGTTTGTCATGCGTGATTTGGAGGATTGTGATTGTTATAGGGATGGTGGTGAGACTGTGATTGTGGGTGGTGATGGAGTTGTTGATGGAGATGGGCAGAAGGTCGCGGTCGATGTTTCGAGTTTGGTGACCGTTCCTGCGCCTGTGCATGCTGATGGGGTTGGGCTTGGTCAGGATGGGATATTGGAGGCGAGGCGGCTTGGGGATATTACCAAGACGGTTGCTATTGAGATGAAAAGTGAAGAGAGGTAATTTGCTGTATAATATTGGGACTTCGGACTGGGATCATTATTTGTATATAGCCAGTTACATTTAATGATAATGAAGACTTTGAACACATACATGGAAGTGACACATGGTAGATTGTATTCTGAGAAATTCTGTAACTCCAAGTCTTGGTGGGATATATGCTGTCCTGTCTTTTGTCTTTTTCACTATTGGGCACTCCCCGAAGATTCCCTCAGGGAACGAAATCCTCAAATCAGACAAAGACAATGGAATGAAAATACGACAGGGCAAATGGAAAGGGGAATGATCACCGGCTACAGCTACGGTCCTTGGCCTTCGTCCTGCAGACTGGCGCTAAACACTGACCGAGTACCTGGACTTGATCTTCCAGCTGAGCCCAGCCAGGTCCTTGCTAGCTTCTCCATGCAGTGCCAAAGGAGAAGAGGCAAGATGGTTGGGAGTTGGGGTAATGGCAGACGGTTAGTGAGCGATAAAGTTGAGGCAGTAAGTTATCGGAATGGACAACGAGGTCTGAGGCGAATACATTTAGGGCATTTAGAACCTGGAAAATAAATCATTCTTCTTCAGCCTGGTGCCCAAAAGCTGGAGAGATGAGCCTCAGTATGAGGGGGAGCGGAGGGGACAAGACTACGGGTGTCTTATTCACAAAGGAGAAGTCCCATTGTCACGCAGCGAGGTGTAGAGAGAGTCGTGGAAATGAGGTAGTCCGGCGTGAGTTACATGTAGTGGATGCAGCGTGGATGCTTAGAGCCCGGAAGAAAGCTCTTCTTCGACTTGATGCCCGAAAGCAGGTGAGTCTGGCCTCAAGTCTCGAAGCGGGAGCAGTCGATGTAAACAGGACCTGGAACCTGGAAGAAAAACCTCCTCCTCGGCTTGTGCCCAAAGCTGGTGAGACTAACCTCGACGCAACAAGGGAAGGAAAGGAGGTGAGAAGGGTCTACAAAGTTTTGGCGTCCAGTCGGGAAAGACAGCCTTGCGATCGCCATCTGATAGCGAACAATGGGTTCTACACCGTGCAATCTTCGACAAGCAAAGATATCGATAGACATTAAGCTAATGAAGTCTTCCTGCGACTAACATAAATAAATCTTCAACCAGAATAAAGCCTGTTAGTGAAATATATTGGTAGCGAACATCTCAAAGCGTGAAGCAGGAATCGATATATCCGTCTCGGGGAACACAGGGGCTCGACAGAATAAAGCCTCGAATGGCAGAACAAGTGGCGCACCTACCACGCTATGAGGAGTCACAGTGACTTCCTGAGAGCAGTAAGATTGTTGGGTCTGTGCTGGTTGGCGAGTTAGAGGAGGCATGCTGGGGGTCTGACTGCGGAGTGTTCGAATGCAGTGTCGAGAAAGTGGGCGAGGAGAATTAGTTGGTGCGAGTTGCCATAACTCGAAATGTATCACAGTCGGTTTCCTAGCAATGATAAGCACAAATCGTACGTCGCCTTCGGAGTGTGCGAACCACCACTCAGCGTCTTCTCGTAGGCGCCCTAACGATTGCGAAACCCCTGTCTCAAATACCAGAGTCGGCCAGCCATAATTTTCTTCTTGATTGAACATTCTGCTTTGTGGGATCAATCCTTGGTCTCCTTCTTTTCCTCTGATAGAAGTCCTTGTCGAGTTTGGAGGACAGGGTGGGTATTTTGAAGCCGCAGCCCAATCCCAATCGTCTTCCGATATCCCCATCGCACGCATCTGCCCCTCCATGTGTTTTGATACCCGCGTGGTGATTTGTTCATGAGAGGCTGATGGGATGACTTTGATCAGGGCATTCGACTGTTCCCACATAATACGGTAATTCGCGCCAAGAATGTTGTGATCTTCACACAAGCATTTCAACTTCTCTGAAGACAGGCCTAGGACCAGGAGCCACTGGTTTCCATTAGGGTTCTGTTGAAGCATTTCCAAAATCACAGCTACCTCATGCTGGAGGTGTTTGATTGAGGAAAAGACACGTGTTGTATAGCCTTCAGGGAGCCCACGCTGCAGAGAAGGGGGCCCAATCGCACAATCTGGGGTAAGATTTGACATATTCAAGAGTAGTTTGGATGGGGACGATGCATTATTGGTTTCGGAACCCATGATGAGTGATGAATGAGACGGAAAATGACTCCGGGTGTTGTGTCTGGGTATTGTCCTAATCACCTAGCTCGAACTCTAAATTGCATTCACATTGCAGTTTGCAGAATACGTAAATGCTAGTAAACAATTCATTGCAAATAAGGACTAAGCTAAGGAGTGATGGTATCTCATAAGCACAGTAAAGATCCCGGGATGCATATCTCCCAACGCCGCAAATAGCCGAATGAAACCTGCGCAAGTAAAATGCAAGCCCACATGAATCATAAAACACCGTGTCGTGCCTTGAAAATGGACACCTTCTCGTCATAGAACAGAATCTCCTGCAGTCGGTAATAGATGCGCGAGGTGTTCTGGTCCTCGTCTGGGTCGGTGTCATAGTCTTCGGGGTTGCTGGAAAGAGTATCTCCCTTGAAGGATTCGTCGTCACTGTGGTCTTCGGTGAAGTGGTTATCGTTGGCTGAGGGGTCGTGATCTTCATCCTCCTCGGTAGTCGCCGGGGAGTTGTCCACCGTGGGGTTGTCGTCGAAATCGGCAGGATTGTCATCATGTCTGGCTTCGAGAATTTGGAAGCACTTGATATGAAGGCCAAGGTAGGCGATTTTGAGATCTGGGCGGATGCTGACGATATCCAGGACTTGGAGTGCTAACTCCTTCAGATCACGATGGACAGTGTTGCAGATGTTCGGTAGGTACAAAGCTCGAAGCTGCGGCATATTAGGCAATCTCTGGAGAAAGAAATGCTGGTTCCGTGTCAGTATAAGTTGTAACTAGTACCACGGCAATGATCACTTACCCAATCTGCATAATTCATCGCCATGCCGAGCTCCTTCAGCTGCGGCATTTTCCCGCTCGTAACAAATGATATCATGTCATGAGTGAACATCCACTTATACCACCGCGTAGATGAATACCCACTTCCAATCTTGCGATCAGTGCCATCGATGAGAACCTTACGCAGACTCTTGCGATGCTTTCGCAGGATGTGCCGGTAAATGGCATCGATTTGCACAGAAGATTCGTGACCCGGCGCCTCATGCAGAAAGATACTCTCCAATGTATTCGGTGCCAATGCATCTTTGATGAAGAGAATGAGATACGGCGAAACATTGTCCGTGCGAATGTGTTTCAGATTAAGCGGGAAGTCAAGCAGGCTTTCAGTGAACCGGGAATCTGGATTAGATTGGCGCCTAACCGGTACTGGAGAAGGTGCATATTTCCGGCGAAGAGCCCGCCACAGTTTTTCATGGTCAACACATTGCATGACGGTTAGGGTGGTGAGTTTTGTCCAATCAACAGCTGGCAACAGGGTGGGCACATGCAATGGAACTCGTTCCAACTCGAGGACATTGAGACTAAGCATGTCAGAATCAGCTTCAAAGGAGTTCGCAGGCGAATGAGTCGTTCGATTGGGCAAAGTTGAATCTTGTGGCTGTATCTTGTCCTCGTTGGTACTGATGAATGGCTGCTCTGCTTGCGAAGCGGGTTCCTCGCTCTCAGCAACAGTCGACCACTTGGGGGCAACGTCGGTTGCGCTGTTCGGTGGCATCGAACCTTTGATATGGCAAGCTGGAGTAACTTCGTCCCGATGATCAGACAAGCTGCGCCGTTTCAGTATTCCCAAGATACCATCTGCGCGAGGCCAACTCGATGCAGACTCCGAGTTTGTTCCACACAGCAGCCACGCGCTCATGTGGGCTTTTCCGGCAATGCCAATTCGGAGCTCAGTCAGGCGATGGCGCGATTTCTCAAGGAGAAGTGCCAGCTCTTCAACATACGCCGGTTCATCTATGTCAAGGACAGCCACGCTATTGAGCGGAGGCAATACAGACAGCGAAGGGTGTTCGACATGTTTGTATTTCTGAAAGAGCCTCGTTGCCGGTGCAGACAGGTTGCGTAAAGCGTTCTCTGAGTTATCATGCCAACGAACCCAGATGCGCTCCAAGCGACATTCATGTCCGGGCCGATCTGCCAAAGACGCAAGCGCCAACCAGATTTCACGAACCACTCCAGTCGGCATGTCCCAGACGAAGGCCTCCAGGTTGACCATCCGCGCAACAGCCAGGGCAACGAGCGTCCCTAGCATCTTGCCCACTTCTTTGGTTACTGAGTATTCCTGGACCCAGCTCAGTGGACCGTTTCCAATGGAAAAGGTGCGAGTGTATTGCGCATAATGATTCCCTCGCCGCGACCGCCCACCGACTTGATTCTCCGAATGTTGAGAACTCGTACTTTGCTGGCAATCACAGCCGCAGTGCGTACAATTGCCCGACAGTCTTTCTTGGAACCTTGGCAGCCGGCTAAACACATCCTCGCCCATTACCAATGTCGACAGGCCATAAGACAGCGCATCTACCCCCGAATAGTCCGCGGTTGATGGGTTCAGGGACTCTGGCCAGACGATGTCGAATCGTGAGTACATATGCGGAATGGCCAACCCATGGAGAGCGGAGCATGTAAGGGCCAGCGATGTCAAGTCATTTGTATGCGTGACCTAGTATTATGGAATTGTAAGCTCTCGCCCGCGATTGCGAGAAAGACAAGTAATACCTCTTTAATAATCTCCTTCAACACGTCCAGCGGCAAATCCAGTAACAGTCGTGGCTTTTTTGGCATCTTGAGATCTGGAGGCGTTTGACTTCGGTCTTCCGTGCGGGAAGTCGATGGGGTAGCGCCCTGATAGGAGAGTCGGTTGACGTCCTCTTGTTCCAAACGCAGCTTGCCCAGCGCGAGAGTGAGGTTTTTCTTGGCATCGGATTCGAGCTCCATTGAGGCGGTGCTTTCGCTAGAGACGAAACCCTCCTCGTCTGACGACATCATGTCGGGCTTATCGGTATCCATATCGGCCATCAGACGGCGTGTCCCTAGCGCGAGATCGCAGTTACTGTGGGGCACGGCTGGTGGCGAAGACCATCCCTGAAGAAGATACAATACAATCCCAGTTTTCGGTCACTGGTCACTTTGGCTATGTTGGCAAACAAAAAGAAGCTATTCTGGGGTAATGAGCTCGGATCATCTATCTACATTACGTAAGTGTGTTGTCGTCACCTGCCGTAGGTGCCCGAATGGCAAGGCATAGTATAGTCAACAAAGACCTCGTGTTTCTCATGTTTCTCTCATTTGATGGTTTTTCATGGGTGGGGGGTCACTGGATTTTTTTTGGGAAGAGGGGATTTTTTGGTATTAGCATTGTGGCTTAAAAGTAGCATAGGTTTAACCACCACGCATGACAAAATCGAAAAAATATATATATATTGGCACATTGCGCGGAATACTTGTTTCAAAGACAAAGAAGAATTTTATTTTCGAATCAGACATTAAAATAAAAACAAACAGTATCTCAAGTCAATCTATAGCACCGTCTAAGGTTGTTTCTCTCTTCTCTCCTCCTCGGGGGTTATCTCCTTGTACCTTTCGACCTGGAGGTAGGAGCTCTAGTCATCTCCACGTCCAAGTCGTTCCAAATTAATTGCCGCACTAATGCAGGCCAAGTGACTGAACGCCTGTGGAGTGTTACCCATCTGCTCACCGGAAATAGCTACTTCCTCTGAGAACATGCCCAGGTGATTCGAGTAGGAGAGAATGTTGTCAAAGTGCGAAAGCGCGAGCTTCCAGATGTTGGGAATGGGCACGTCGTAGTTTGAAGCCTAGACATGCAAAACAGATTGAGCCGGGCTCTCAGTTTATGGGTGTAGGCTCAAACTTACACGAGCCATGGCTTCGACAAGCCAGAAGGTTACCATGATGAAGGCGCCTTCGCCACCTCCCACACCTGTGCAACATGAACATCAGTAACAGAATCCAATGCAAGGTAATGCAGGGCTGCATGGCCGAAGTGGTCACTTACCATCATTGGCTCTCAGGTGGTCGTATCGGAAAACCATCTTGGCGCTGGACAGTCCCTCCTTTTCGGGGCTTTCGAGAATCCTCTTCAGAGTGCTGATGAATCTGGGGTCATTTGGCGCAACGAAGAAGACCAAGGGCGCGATCAAGATGGATGCATCCAGCACTTCGGGACTCTCATAGCTCTGGCAGAAATGACCACGCTCCTTGTTGTATCCTTTGGTCATGATCTCGTCGTACATCTCATCCCGAACCTTAATCCACTCAAAGCGATCAGGACACGGCAAGCTGGCGCGCTTCTCTGCAAGACGAATGCCGCGATCCAAAGCCACCCACATCATGATCTTCGAGTAGATAAAGTTTTGGATCTGACCACGAGACTCCCAGATGGACATATCCTTTTGATTCCGGACGGTAACAACATAGTTGACCATGCGTCGGATGGAGCTCCATTGGTCATAGGTGATGGGGTTGCCGTGCTTGTTGTACAAATAAATACTGTCCAACAGCTCACCGTAGATATCTAGCTGCGTGTGGAAGACAGCCGCGTTGCCGATGCGAACAGGCTTGCTGCCTTTGTACCCATCAAGGTGGTCCAGTTCCACCTCGGGAATTTCGTACTCGCCCCGGATGGTGAACATGAGTGGTAAGAATGGTCTTTTGCTATCCTTGTCCATGTCCTTAGCAGCATGAGGGAATATCCGATCGAAGATGAAGTTGACGTATGCTTCTGCCTCTTGACTGTAACCCATCTTCAGGAAGACGTACAGTGTAAAAGCCGTGTCACGCACCCAGGAATACCGATAATCCCAGTTTCGCGAGCCTCCCACATTTTCAGGGAGCGAGAAGGTGGGTGCCGCGACGATGGCACCAGTGGGTTTGTATGTCAGCAGCTTCAGGATGAGAAGACTGCGCTCGACTGTCTCGCGATAATGACCGCGGAAGGCACACTTGCGGGTCCAGTTGGTCCAGTAGTCAGAGGTCTCCTCTTCCATCTTGAGCAGATAGGCGGCCATAGTGGCCGAGCTGGGGACAGCCTTCTCGGGACTGTGCAGGACCAGATGAACTGTCTGGCCCTCCGACAGCTTAATCCAGGACACCAAGCCACGGCCCTTCATTCCCAAGCGATCTTCCAACTTTAGATTCGCTGATGGGAGCCCAAGCTTGTCTGGCTCTCGCGAATCGCCAAAGATCTCGACCTGCAGCCGCTCGGTCTCACTTTCGAAATGGATAGTTTGAAGCCGGTGCTTCTCCATGTCATTCTCCAGCTTTGCACGAGTGTTATGCGAGTCTCGTGCATAGTTGAAGGCCGGAAACAGTTCCACCTGCAACTCCATCGACCCACGGCTGCATTCCAGCTTTCGGATCAGACCCGAGTGCTGTAACCCTGATTTGAACCGATTGGTGCCAGGCTCATTGCAAGGACAATATCCCGACAAGAGTCTAGCGGACTGGACAACCTTTTTAGGCGTGACTGGGAAATAGTCCAGCATGGTCACGACACCATCCTCGTTGGTCCACCTGGTCTCAAGCAAGTTCGAATACGGAAGATATCGCTGTTTGCTGTGGGCATCAACAACGGTCTTGTAAGGGGTCACCGAGAAAAACCCGCCTTTCTTGTCGTCAAGCAGGCGGCAGAAGACACTAGGCGAGTCAAAGACTGGCCAGCACATGTAATCCAAACTACCGGCCTTGCTGATCAGGGCACAGGTGTGCATATCCCCGATCAGGCCGTAGTCCTCGATGGCATTGTATACAGTCTCAGTCATGATGACAACGGAAATGAGTGAATGCAGGGAAGCCGATACAAGTTCAAAATACGATGGTGTTTGGTGCAGATCGAATGCTTTTTGGCAGCATCAACCCGAGACGATTGAGGAGAAACAGAAACGAAAGCACAAGAGAATGCAATATCCTCCGTTGAGATTCATCATCCGCATGGCCCGACGACTATGGAGAAACCACGACATGATGATGATGCATCAGGGGTCTGAGGTCATCGCTATGCCGGTGGATGGAGGCTTTTTCCTAGCAGACAAGGCAGAGGACCGAGTTTCATCGTTGGAGAGCTCGCATTGGATCCATTTCCCGGCATTCAGATCATTGACCCATACGTGTTTTCTGATCTCTCAGGTTGACCGGGAGTTTCAGGATCCTCTTAGATACCCACCCAGGTATTGTATATCTTCACAACAATTAATCCTCAGGGTACCAAAACCGGAGATTTCAATCCGCCAATAGCAAAACAGACAACAAAAAAGAGAACCTAAACAACATCACATCAAAAGCTCACGGTTGACCCCGGATCGACCGGACAGTGGAGCGGAGAAAGATCGGTGGAACCAGTCAGAGCTGAAGTTGACGTGACTAGTGAAGAGACCGCCCTGAGGACCCTCGATCTGCCACTCGATCCCTCAGGATTCATTTTCCCTGCTTCAGCTGCTCTCGTGTTCGTTCCTTTCTCCATTTCCCTTTCCTGTTCCCGAACATTCACTCCCTTGGACCAAGTTCCACCTTCAGTTCCACCCTTTCTCTCTCCCCTCCCTTTCTTTGTCAGCATCGCCTCCTTACCCCAACTGCCCTCGTGTACTGTCGTGTGACGCCCTTTTTTACTCGCTCATGGGGGAATCAGTTCTTGTATCTTTTCCCCTTATTTCAAACTAACTGTCCAGTCCTAAAAATGGGGCTCTCCGCCGGTAGCCACCACCGTCGGCGAAGCTCCATGCTCGCCGGGACAGGGCGAGCTTCACAGCCGGTCTCAACGGAGCGCAGAGATGACAGCCTCTGGTCACATGCCGATGGAGGAAACCACAAGCGCGAAGAACAAGAGCCATTGACGGCCGAAGAGGACACTGATGCATCCGATATGTCGTCCGCTGCAGAGAGTTTGGAACTCGACTTGATGAGTTCAGATGATGACCAATATGACGAGGAAACGGGACTCACATCAAGCCAAAAACGCCAGCGACGACGACGGAGAAACCAACGACGAAAGCTGGATGCCCGAATCGCGGATACCAAGTCACGAGGCGACTTCGATACAGACCGTAGCATCGTCAAGAGGTTGGGCGTTAATGCCGCCTTGATTTTGATGTGGTACTTCTTCTCGTTATCCATCTCAATAGTGAGTGATTTTGCTCCAATCTTCCCCTGGTGTTTTGAGCTAACCGTTCTTGTGTATAGTATAACAAATGGATGTTCTCCGAAAGCGATGTCGTCTTCCCCTTTCCTCTTTTCACCACGAGTTTACATATGCTTGTTCAATTCACACTCTCCGTTATAATCCTATGGATCTTCCCGTCTCTCCGACCACAACACCCTCCGGGGTCTGCAGCGTCATCCCCGGTGGATGGCCCTGAAGAAAAGCCGCCGATCCTGACCAAATTTTTCTACTTCACACGCCTTGTGCCTTGCGGTACGGCGACCTCGCTCGACATTGGCCTCGGAAACATGTCATTGAAATTTATCTCCCTTACCTTTCTTACAATGTGCAAATCATCTGCACTTGCCTTCGTTCTCCTTTTCGCCATCCTCTTCCGACTCGAATCGCCTTCTGTCAAGTTGATCTTGATTATTGTTACAATGACGATCGGTGTGGTGATGATGGTCGCAGGCGAGACTGCTTTCAATGCGCTCGGGTTTGCGCTTGTCATTGCGTCTGCATTCTTCTCGGGCTTCCGATGGGCCTTGACACAAATCCTTCTGCTCCGCCACCCGGCCACTTCGAATCCATTTGCGACCCTCTTCCTGCTCACTCCTGTCATGTTCTTCTCTCTTATCGTCATCGCGCTATCTGTGGAAGGTCCTGCTGAGATCTACCAAGGATATCTTGTGCTCGCTGAGAAACGTGGGAACCTGCTAGGCTCTTTCCTTCTCATCTTCCCTGGAGTGCTTGCATTTTGTATGATATCCTCGGAATTTGCGCTTCTCAAGCGTTCTTCAGTTGTTACACTGAGTATTTGTGGCATTTTCAAGGAGGTGGTCACAATCAGCGCAGCGGGTATTATCTTCCATGATAAGCTCACTGCGGTCAACCTGACCGGTCTCTTCGTGACGATCAGTAGCATTGCGGCATACAACTACATGAAGATTTCGAAAATGCGCAGTGAAGCACTAGAAGAGACATGGAGTCGCGAGTCGAGTCCGCTATCTGATACCGAAGATGGTGACCACAGCAGCGCTGGCGAGCAGCAACAACAAGGAGACTATCGTCGAGTTGCAATCCAAGATGCTAGCATCATTAGCCCTGCACCTGGTGGCCACTTGAATAGTGACCAAACTGTATCGCCAGCTGGTGATCAAGGGCGCTCATTCCGAGTGCGGGCCAGCGGCTCCAGGCACACGAGACACGCTCTCTCCATTTCCACGTCTACAATCCCCGAAGACGACGGGCCACCATCTCCTCTCAGATCCGCCCCTCCCACTATAACGACAATGGCCCAAGCGGGATTCCCTCATCTGCAACCCTCCAACCGCGAGGGATCTCCAGATGTTCTGTCAACCTCATCCCTTTCACCTGTACGGCAATAAACTCCCACCCATCACTAGCGTGTCACGTTCATTCTGCCTCTACTCCTCTGTTATTTTGATCTGCCCTATATTCCCCTCCATGTGACGGTTGTATGCCACCTATATCTCTTCTGTTGGCTGGTCTAACTTCCGAAGCGTGCCTTTTGGATTGCATGTCTCTTTTTAGATATGATTTGTTCTAATTCTGGTTTGGCCAGGATATGAGTTTCTTTTTTGCATGAGGCGGTTGTTGGCTTTTGCCTTGGACTTCACTGATACCATCAATTCAATTTCTTTTGCTTATACACCGTTCTCAAACTTGATTGTCACTCTTGCAGCATCTCCTTGGTTAGATACTCAATGTTATCATTATACAGGAGGCAAATTTTTCATAATGTGTGAATCTCCACGGTGTCCAACTGTATTCACTAATCAGCAGAACACATCTTATAAGAAGTAACGTTATCTATTCATTCACGCAAACTACCTCGAATCAATATCCATACAATTATTCCTTCACACCCCCCTTCATCATGTCCTTAAGATTCTTCTGACCCCTCGGCTTAGCAGGCCCCTTAGCCTTCTTCTTCTCATCCGCCTCAAGCTTCCGTTCATACTGATCCTGATGTTTGGCCCGTTCCGCACGACCCTCCTTTTCAAGCTTAGTCTCAAGAGACTTGAACTCTTCACACTCAGGGTCCATCCCGATAAGCGACTCGAGCAGCTTGATCTCACGTGCCCAGACACCTGGATCTTGAACGGTAGCCGCGCCCGTCCCTTTAGATCCTTTCTTTGCACCCTTTTTCTTGCCCTCGTCCTCACTACCTTCTCCGGCGTCTTCGTTGGCTGTGGTCTTCCACGGGACGCGGTCGATAGGTGTTTCAAGAACCATGGGGAGACCCTCGAACCGGGGCTCGTTCATTACATTGTGGAATGCACGTAGACCGAGGAATCCGGTACCGATGTTGGCGTGAAGGTCTCTTTTGCTTCCTCGGGGAGCTTTGGAGTCGTTCAAGTGTAGGGCTTTGAGAAATTGAATGCCAATCAACTCATCAAATTCTGCGAGGAAGGCCTTGAAGCCCTCTGGAGAGGTGAGGTCGTAGCCGGCTGCAAAGCTATGGCAGGTATCAACACAGATACCGATGCGGGAGTGATATTCCTTTGGGATTAGATCTAAGAGATCACGGAACTCGGAGAGGGCGCCGCCGATCGTGTTACCGTGGCCGCACATTGTTTCCAAGACCGGGACAACTGTTGTTGTTTCCTTGATGGCTTGGGTGAGGGTGCTTGCTAGGCGGGCGAGTGCCTCTGGGAGGGGAGCCTGGTTGGTACTTCCAGGGCTTTGGGGTGTTAGTAGAATTGTGGCTGAAGGGATGGTTGACTGACTGGAAGTTGTAGAGAGAGATCCCAAGGGCTTCGCAACGGCGGAGGTCATCTAGGAATGAGTTGTATGCTTGCTTGGACTTGGCGGTGTCACTTTGGGCCAGGTTGACGAGATAGGAACCATGGGGAAGAATGTGCCTAGATTGAGCATGAGTGATCTATTCTGGTGAATGCGGGTGATCGTAGTAACTGACTTGGATGCATCATAGCCCTTTTCAACGCACAGCTGACGGAATTGATCACAGTGATCGTCTTGGAGCGCTGGGTTGTCCCATTTTCTCTGCGACTTCAAGAACAACGCAAATGCGTTGCCGCTAATTCCACACTTAGTTGGGACTGAATAAGAGGGGAGTAAAAGCTGGCACTTACCCAATGTTATGGCTGTTATGAATAGAATTAAATACGCCTGCTCATAATTCTAGATCAATACCAAGCTGCTGTTCATCCGAGTTGAGTACTGACCTTTTGCGGCACTGACGTGTGCGCCAACGAACATGCGCAGACCCTGGGTGCGAGCTGCCAGAGGCATAGCTTCAGCCTCTTGATCTTTTTTGGTTTTTCTCGCCTTCTTAACAGGCTTGGTGCTGTCGGCGTCTTCGGTGGCTTCTTTCTTGGCAGGAGACTTCTTTGGCTTTCCCTTGGGAGCAGCAGCTGGGGCAGATTCGTCAACAGCCTCTTCTTTAACGGGCGGAGCCGTATATTCTTCCTCGGCGTCCGATGCCTCCGGGGAAGACAGCTCCTTGAGATTGATGCTGGATTTCTGTCGCTTGGATCTTCTCATAGGCGAGGCATCGGATGTGCCACCACTAAGGTTTCTTTTGTGATTGGTCTTGGATTCAAACTCTTCACGCTTCGGCGAATCAGGTGATTGGCAGCACATAGTATTCCAGGTGTTCTTTGTTCTTCACAATGTTGCAGGTTTCAAGAGTGGATACTTGATCGAAGACCCGAAGAAGTTGGCTGATATTGCCAAGCCTTATGTAGCCCCCGTCGCTGTGAATTCCAGAGAGTAAGATATGCCTAGCCAGAGTATTTTATTCTGACGAAGCGAGGCTCTGTCTGATATAATTTTCTCGCGTATCTGCCCAATACTGTCAATGTGATGCAGCAAGGACAGAGAACTGATGTATCGCCGGGGCAACGGTCATGTGATGTTTATCGATAAACCCCCTCCTCCACACAAAGTTGTCCCTTCAACTCGACAATTTTCGAGCTTTCTCAGATCTCTCATCTGTCGTCATGGCGGCCTCTGATGACCTGGTCGACTTCAACATTATCGAAAACCAGAAGGAAAACATTCAATCACTCCCCGGTGGTCGATCAGCAAGAGAGCTTGCCCGCATCTTTTCTGCTGGCAGCAGCAGTGACAAGATTCCAGCGCCGTCTCCGAACGCGACAAGGACCCTCAACGATGCCGTACGAGAAGAATTTGAAGGGGAACTACAGTCGATTGGAGAATCAGACGACCCGCTCGACGTTTACGACCGCTACGTTAAATGGACCCTAAACGCCTACCCATCTGCACAAGCGACCCCAGAGTCCGGTCTCCTTCCTTTGTTGGAGCGGGCCACGAAGTCTTTCCTCTCATCATCACACTATAGGAACGACCCGAGGTATCTACGTTTATGGCTCCATTACATTCGGCTTTTCTCCGACGCCCCGCGCGAAACATTTGCATTCCTCGCACGTCATCGCATTGGTGAAAGCCTGGCTCTCTTTTACGAGGACTTTGCTGGGTGGCTGGAAGGTGCTGGACGTTGGGCACAAGCCGACGAAGTATACAGGCTCGGCATGGACCGTGAAGCGCGACCAGTCGAGAGACTGGCACGAAAGTACAGCGAGTTCCAAGATCGATACGAACAACGACCACAAGATGCAGGGCCATCCTCACCTGCTTTGCCGGCCGTCCGACCAGCGCTGGCCGCCAAAACGGATCCGTTCGCCTCATCAGAAAGCCCTGTCGACCAACAAGCTACACGACCATCCCCTTCGGCTGCCCCCAAGACGAAATCCGGAAAGCCAAAGATGGCCATTTTCTCAGACGCCGATTCCGCTGCGCCAGGCCCAGCAACTGGTGGAGCGACAAAGGGTTGGGACAGCATTGGATCGATTCGGGACCGCAAGAAGGAGAACGAAATGGAGGCTAAGCCATGGGCTGGAGAAACATTGAAGGCTGGAAAGAAAGCAGCGCCATCGCAGAAGATGGCGATTTTCAGAGACGAGGTAAGTGTTCACCATGGGTAAACCTTTCTCTTTATGAACCTCCACATATTTACGATCACAGGACTAATTGCTGGCATGACCTTATGGTTTTTTACTTTGTATTCAGTCCAAACCAGATTTATCTACCAAAGAACCAATTCCTCCCAAGCAAGTACCGGAACATCATGTAAGGGAAGCGGTAAACCCGCGCACCGGCCGCCGAGAGCGTGTATTTGTCGACTTGGAATCAGTATACCCGGATCGAAAAAACCCGGCCCATGAGATGAGTTTCGAAGAGCTCAGATCTATCAGGCGTGGGTGGATGGACAAGAACTGGAAAAAACAGAAAGAGCCCTTGCAACAAATTTCGGGGAATGCCAATGCATCAGAGGAGCTACCGGAGCACCTGATTGACAACCTGACGATAAATGGAAATTTCCAGTCTCACGATCAAGATGGCGGCAAATCAGGCAAATTAAGACGCATCGAGGTCAAAGGGGAAACGACACAGACCCAGACCGGTAAGTCAATACAACCCATGCGAGTTCTCTGAGCCATCCAAACTGATGACTTGTATAGTCAAGATGAAGTTCGACTCGCCCTCCAAGTCAAAATCCAAATCCCGGAGAAAGAGCACCAGAGAACCGACAATGACCATGCATACTCGCGCGGCGACTGATGAGATCTATAGCATCTTCAATCAGCCATTGAAGGCAGAAACCGAAGCAGATGCCGATAGCTTCTGCGGTAGTGACTACGAGGACGAGGATTGCGATAGCACCGGAACAGGTCATATTTCAGCAGCGTCAAGCGACTTTGGTGATGACGAAACCCAAACAACATTCCACAGATCCTACGATGACACTGAATTTGCCGACACTACACGGGCTGATAGTGCTGATGGGGGCGATTGGACAGAATTTGACCCCAACCGCGACATCCCTGGAATGGACAATGACGAGCTGACGTCTCAATCCGTCGTGAGTGAAGAAGCAGCTAGTTCTTCGCATGGCACACCAGAGAGGAAAGTATTCGTGCCAGAGATGCCCGAGGATTATGCTCCACCATGGGGAACTTACCGTGACCCTGCTGTCATGGCCCAGAACCGCCTTCCTTTCATGACTCCAATTGTGGAACGGACGGAATGCTCAATTCCTTCCCTGACAGCCGCCCGGAATAGCATGTACAATGCGAAAACACCTTCCAAGCCTCGATCACCCGCCGCGGATCTCTTGCTTGATAGCCCCTTGGGAGAAGAGGATCATACATTCGCATATACGGCAGATGTTCCATTCAGCCCAACAGCTTTCAAGGCGCTTGCGCCTAAATTACGGAGACGGGAAGCGATCATCAGAGACTCGCAGTGCAATCCAACTGACAAGGGCATTCGCAACACGATTCTTAATTCTTTGGAACCGCCACTTGACACATACACCGGATATCATGACCACGTTGAAGACAGCAACTACGCTTCGATGATTCAGAAATTTGTAAAAACTAATACTAGGAGATCCAAGAGTGGCGATGAGAGATTTGATACACCAATTCTTGAATTCCCAGGAGCCGAACGAAGCTACATTGTTCGACGTGAGCTTGGAGCTGGTGCATACGCTCCGGTATACCTAGCAGAGAGCGTGGACAGTCTTGAATCCTACCATTCCGATTCCGACGACGGTGCCAGTCCCAAGGGCAAAGACTTTCGCCCGAAATTGAACGCCTATGATACACCCCGTTATCCCTTGGAGGCAGTCAAGGTTGAGAATGGACCATCCAGTGCCTGGGAATTCTACATGATTCGCGCCGCCTACGAACGTCTCCGGCAATCTGTAGATTATGCACGCGCCACAGACAGCATTGTTCGTGCACACGAGTTGCATGTGCATAAACGGGAGAGCTTCTTGATAGAAGACTATCGCGGACAAGGCACCCTGCTCGACCTGGTCAATATCGTGCGCAACGAGTCTATCAGCGCCAATCATACCTCCGAAGGTGGTCTAGAAGAGGCACTGGCAATGTTCTTCTCCATCGAGCTATTCCGAACTGTCGAGGGACTCCACGCGAACGGAGTTCTTCATGGTGACATCAAAGCTGATAACTGTCTTGTCCGTCTCGATGACTCCAATTCCAACGAACCTCCCACTAGAGGTCTTTCCCTGCTTGACCTCAGCGCCGATGAGTCTCCCTTCGATCCCCGTGAAGGCCCTCACTATTCTCCAAGTGGATACCACGGCTGGAAACAAAAAGGAGTTGCATTGATTGACTTTGGTCGCGGTATTGACATGCAAGCTTTCTCTCCGAATGTGCAATTTATCGCCGACTGGGAAACTGGCACACACGAATGCAACGAGATTCGCGAAGCCAGAACCTGGACCCACCAAATCGATCTATACGGTATTGCCGGCGTTATCCACGTCCTTCTTTTCGGAAAATACGTTGAGTCCACACCCGTTGGCAACGATGAGAACTCACCGTCGGGGTCTTCGCGCACCTACCGCATCCGTGAATCTCTGAAGCGCTACTGGGACCGTGAAATATGGGCCGGTGTCTTCGATCTTCTATTGAACCCAGGCGCTGAACGCTGGCAGCGTATTGAGCGCGAGAATGGACCACCAGACATTGCTCTGTCTACGGCACCTATTCTTCCTGTGCTACATTCCATGCGTCATGTCCGCTGTAGCATGGAAGAGTGGCTTCTTGCGCATGCTGAAAAGAAGAACCTTGCTCTTCAGCTCCGTAAGATCGAACACCTTCTGGCGGAGCGGAAGAAGAAGTTGGAGAAGTGATTCTTTGACTCTTCCTCCTGTTGACATGCCCGTATTGTGTATTTCTTTTCTATACCATACCTTATACCCCCTATCTCTTTCATGTTACTTTCTCTTGTTGGGTTCTAATGGCACTTTCCTTCCTACCCTTTGTTAATATGCATGTTTGATTGAAGATAATATTTGATATTGCTCCAGTTGATTCCGGTTCAAACATTCTCACAACAACCAGTCCCTAGGTAGTCAAAAAAGCTTCACTCTATTTCTGTTTACGTCACATTAGGCCAAGCCATGGATAGATAGAGTTAGACCGGCTCATGTAATTAAATTGAGTATCCATACCCGGGGCCCACTCATTTAAGTATACTTTAAGGTGGATCTCTATAGGTTACTAACCACGATCTACTATGACGTGAACGCTGGGCTGATATGGACAAAAGCAGGGAGAAAAAAATCTGTCAGGCGTACCTTGCGGGCATTCACCGTGGCGTAGAATCTACGAGATATGACAAGAAAACTTGGAAAATAAGAATGATTGATTTCCATGATGATCTCGCGCTCAAAGCAAACACGGAATCAAGGAATAAACAAGCCGTACTCTGCACAATAGATCAAACAAGATCCAGCACGAATAATAAGCTCTTAAAAGAAAAGATAGGCATCCATACGTCATGAACAACGTAGAAGAGAATCAGAAAGTAAGACAGATAAGACGATATCAGATAAAAAAAAAAAAGAGCAGTGCGGCAAATGAAATGAAAGCAGCAAAAGAAAAAATCACATGCGACTGTCCGGAATGCAAGGCCAATAAAGTTCGCCACAAGCTTAGGGGAATCATGTGAAGCACAAGCAGAATCAGCAGAATCAGAGCGTCGAAGGCATGAAGAAATTGAACGGATCGGTAATCATAGATCGAGAATAGAACTCGTCGAGTTATGGCTGGCTCGATGTTCGGATTCAAATCGAAATCGATTGATGAAGATCCGGGAAATGCGAATGAATTATGAGAAAAATGAAGTTTCGCTGGCAAAAGATAACCAAACAAAACACCTCGCTTGCGTATCAGGGATGTCGTTGGTCAACTGCAGTATCATGCGCGTTCGTTTCGTTTCGGTTCATCTATGGTATTTGCATATGTATCGTTGCACATTCGCTTTTTTAGGGGAAGTTTGTGTAATTGCTGTCCATGCTGATTGACGAGGGTCAACATAGAAGCAGGGGATCGTTTCCATATGTGATGGGTAATTCGATAGGCGGATGAATTATCCGAGTCGTGTCAATTTTCCAGAATGCCGAGGTGTGAGAGTGTGAGGGGCATTATGTGAGAGATACAGGCGACGACTGGACAAGCCTGAGAAAGAAAAGTAAAGAGAATTTGTAGAGAATGTGGGTCGCAAATATGGCGAGTAGTTGTGAGAAGATTTTCGGATTTTCGAATTGGTATTTGAAGTTTTTTTGGGCTTTTGTTGTTTTCGAAGAAACCAGAAGGAAAATGTAGAAATGGTTGTCAATGAGTGAAGTGAAGGGTGGACGTTCGTCGAAGTTGAGACAGGTACCACCGAGTAACGAAAGTAATTGCCAATAGAATTGGATGGTTTGACGAAGACCACACATAGCATTTGCTGTTACAAGGCAAGCCGAGTTGAATGCTTGCTGTCAAGCAACCGATAGCTCGATGCCAATGTACCATACATGGTTCCGACAAACAAATGGAAAGCGAAAAACCTATCACATTTTTCTTTGAGTTGAGTGTTGTGGTGTGGAGAAGGTGATCGAGCGTGAGAGAATAAACAGGACACAAGTCACAAACATATCGTTACAGTCGTTGATAATGCCGTTGCTGTCATAAAAAAAGGCTGGAAATGGGGGCGATAGCTGGGCCCCGTCTGTATCTCGTTCAGGTCATTATGCAAAGGGATAAAAACTGGCGGAATCAACACCGGAACAGAACAGATACTCGAAAAGTCGACAGCAGAAAAGCGCAAATCTAGTTGCGCGTGAAAGGCATATTCAAGATTTGCCGGCGGATTCGCTCGGCATCGGAGAGACCCTCCTCAAATGCATTGTAAGGTAGAGGGGTTGACGTCTTCTCGGGTGCGTGTGTAGGGGAAATTTGCATCGGAGAGGTATCGTCGGTGGGTCTCACATAGGATGGGCCGCCGCTCGAGAACGGATCGGACAGCGAGGGTGCATGTCTAATGAACCGGTTTGGAGCATCGCGACGCTTGTATGCACCTTCAATCTTGAACGGCGAGCCAAGGCGTTTGATATTGTCACCAAGGTCTAGCAAGTGGTTGACAGGTGGCTTCATTACAGGAGTGGTCTCTTCAGGTTCAATTGGGCCTGAGTTGAGAGACGAAGGCGGGGAAAAAAGCTGGTCGACAACATCTCGAGGGTTGACTCCACTAGTCGTAGCGCCACGGTTGCGGAGACGAACTCGGCCATGACCCATGTCTTGAAGCTTGTTGTTATGAAGGTAGTCCTCAAGGCGACGATCGACATCTTCATCGAGGTTCTTGGTCTCGCCCAGGGCACTGGTGAATACGTCATCAACGTTGCGCATAGACTGCTCCAGGTAAGTGTTGCGGCGGGTGCGACGCCCTGGAGCATGGATAGTCTCGCGGCGAGGTGCGCTGTTGCCCTTGACCTGGCGGTTTGATCCACCAGGGCCCCAAGTGCTGTACACAAAGGGTGATCCCAGACGAGGGATACTGTGAGCGGATTGTACACGGAGATGCTGGCTGGGGGTTGGGACATTTTCGGGCCCGACAGTGGCTGGCACAGGGTCATTGAATGAGTAAGTGTTCCATGGCTGCAACGGTGGCAGATCCTGTGTGACGCGAGCGATTGGGTTTGGCTCATTCGAGGTGACGAGAGAGACACCAAGATCACGAGTTGTATAGGCAGAATTGTCTGCGAACGCGTGAGGACCGGTACCTGCAGGCGCGGACACTTCGGTGGGTTCGGGGGTACGCGACTGCATGATGCGTTGATAATGAGGCGAGATAGAGAACTTGCGACGGCAAAGTGCCTTAAGACGACGTCGAGTCTTGGCGTCTGTCTTGGGCCAGTTTGGCTGCAATGTCGATGCCGCAGTTGCTTTGGGAGTTCCAGGCTCAGCAGACATCATCGAGACAGATTGGCCGAGACGACTGCGCTTGTTTTCCCATGTCCTCTTAGCCCGGCGCGAAACACGGGATGTGACTCCAAGGGGAGGAATGCTGCCCGGGGTCATCTTGAATGGAGTCATAGTGGGGTCTTGGAGATAAATTTGATAAGTGTTCCACAGATGATTATCCATCTCGCGCGTCCAGCCTTTGTCGGAAGCAGACCTGTAAGCGTTCGATGATTTACGCTGCGAAGGCGACTCAAGCTCAGCTTCTTTGGAGAACTCGAGAGGGAAGTATGGATCGAATAAGTCACTTTCCACACTCGTGCAGCTTCCAACAGATGGACGCGAAGCAAATGTTTCAATAGATTCAACAGAAGAGTCAGATAAACTCGAGCAAACGGACTCGGGGCGTTTAATGGGCCCAGGAGTCTGATCCCAAGCTGGCCAAGGGGTCCCCGTTTCGCAAGCCTCGAAAGGCGTACCGCGGATCTGCGCGGGAGGTGTCTTGAAATTCATGCGCGCGCGAGGTGGTGCAAGCAGACCCTCATCTTGAGGGGATTGGCCGAGGAAAGGCGCTTCAAGCGCACCGTTAGATTGCGGAAATTCAATCGAGGGAAGCGGGACGTCTGAACCTCGGAATTGGAAAAGGTCAAGATCCATGCGAGCGCAGACATCCGTGCCGGAGCGAGGCCGAACTCGCGGTAAGCGGCAACCCGAGATAGAGTGACGAGGTGGAGGCGGTACTTCAATCTTGGTGCTCGGGCGCTCCGGAGTCTTGGGCACCTCGTCATCTAGGAAGGGGAAGGTGAAGTTCTTCGGCAGAGTGCGCGAAAGCTGACGTTGAGCCATACTGGCGATCTTGCGGTAATGCGAACCGCAGAATGTGGGGTCAATGCGATCTGACGAAGGTAGGAGTCGTGTCGGAGGGTGTAGTGGATCGGTGAATATGCGGCTTCGAAACGCGCAAAGTCGCGTCCAGGGTCGTAATATCGTGATATGATGAAAAAGGAAAGGGGAACGAGGGCAAAATAGGTGAGGCAACGAAAAAAAGTCCGAGGTTTCGGTGTGATCAAAGGCTCAGGAATGCGCGAAATCGGTATCACCAGATCACATCTGCGGCTCCATCCCGTCTAGTAGGGGGAGGGAGATTTCGTCATTACCCAACGCCAGAAAAGCACAAAAGAAAAGAAGGCCTCCGAAATGGAGACGGCGAGAAAGGATCTCGCGAAAGTGGTAAAAAGGGTGGTAGAGAGAGAAGGGGAGAAGGGCCGGAGAGAAGAGGAAGAAGAGAAGATGGGGGAGGTTGGGCGTAGGGTGAGGCGCCGGGGGGTACCTGGTACCTGTGGTTCGGCGGCCAACACTCACTGAACAGCGTACTCGGTACTTGCGGTTCAACGGCCCACTAAGAAAATCTTAGACTTACGATTCGCGAAACTGCGCGATACAAACGAGTTCTTTATTCTCATTCGATAGAGAGGACTACTTTGGATATTTTCTCTTCTCGTAGGGGTTTGTTTAGATTTTCTCGACTCTTTCCTAGGTGGTTTGCTGCAGGGACCTTACGTGATGCAGACCAGAATCCGGACTTGGGAGGTAAGGATGGGTTACAGATACAGAGTAGCAAGAGGTAAAAATAGGTGTACAAATAGGCAAAGATAGACAGAGCCCGTGGACCTGTTCCTGAAAGATGGGAGGCTGGTGGACTGTTTAGTGTAAAGTTGTATAACATCGTGGGTGTTCGGTTAGGCCAAGTAGACACTGTCTCCAGCCGTTCCTTGGCTGCAAGGGCCTCGAGGTTGCTTATAGAACGGTCATGCATCAGATCATGCCCTGCACTGATTTTCTTCACCTATACTTTTTCACTTTTCCCCCAATTATACATAGTGTTCGTGGCTCAGGCCGTATCCAGGGTATTTTTATTCTTTCAGAGAGAATTCGTTTGTGTTAAAAAAATAACCTTGGAGGGGATCAGCGGGACAGATTTCATTGTGCGGTCTGTGGCCCAAAGCCCGGGGCCAAAGAGCCAATATAACCCCATTCAGCGCATCGAGAGGAGGTGAAGTTCTCCACTGACGCGCGACGCGTGAAGTCGCGTGCTGTATCTTACAGTCACGTGTGTATTTCCATCACGTGTATACTTCGACTTCAACTTCAACTTCAATTTCTTCGTTTCTCTGTCGGATATTTATGCTGGTTTGATTGGGAAAAATTGATTCCATCTCGCAGTGGGTAGCCGCAGTTGGGATGCCCGATACAAACCCACATTCGAGAAGCCAAGTCTCACCGCCGATTTACTAACTCGGTATTGGGCAGACAGTGTCAATTTAAGTCAATGTATTGGTTCCAGACGAGATCATAATATCTGAATGTGCGTGTCACCCAAGTTCCAGCTTGTTTCGCAACTAATAAACATGATACTGACGAAAAAATACACAGAATAGAGAATAGGTGGTCCTCAAATAAGAATCCAATACAGAGTCCGTATGCGAACCCACACTACTCGCCCAAGAAACCCAGGTCGATCTCTGGTTCGCGCGAGCGGAACAACATCTCCACTGTCGGATCGGTAATCAACTCAAACCCGTTTTCATAGTTCTTAGGTCGACCCTCTGACTGCAGCTTCCAGTCGTACTTCATAATCAAATGCAGCAGCAGAATCTTGGATTCGTTGGCAGCAAAGAATCGACCAGGACAGGCGTGCTTGCCAAGACCAAAGGCAAAGTGCTCCGGTGTTGTCGTGACAAGCTGGTGTCTGTGTTCACTGCCTGGTTCCTGGCGCATGTTATAGAAGCGCAACCCGTCGTAGGTACGGGCGTTTTCATAGATAAGGCCATCTTCCATCATGGTATGAGCCGACACAGCGATGGTTGCACCCTTGGGAATTATAGTGCCATCGGAAAGGGTGATCTGCCGGGTCGCGTAGCGGTTCAAACCAGCTGTGTCCAGTTTTAGCATGTCACTCTCCTAGTTCATGCAACAGTAAATACTGAAGATCACTTACTCAGACTCAATGGGTGCATCCGCTGTGACTCTTTCATCACACTATCCATCTTTTTCAACTTGAGCAAACTAGTCTTTTTCAAGATCCCGTCCTCAGCAGCAACAGCACGAATCTCATCACGTAGCGGCTGAATGTACTCCGGGTACGCCGCGAGATCGTACATAATATTCGTAAGCAAGTTCGACGTAGTATGAATAGCCGCGAGCGACAATCCAACCTGAGCACGGGAGATGTTGAAATTGGTAAAGTTGTTCGCTTCAGCAGTCTCCTTGAACCAGTCCAGAGCATCGCGGAGGCGGGGCGGGTCGTCTTCAGGAAGCTTGCCGGCGCGAATTAATTCTCGTCTTTCGAGTTCATTGGCGATGATCAATCTGGCGCTTTCCATGTGCTTACGCAGCTTCTGGGCTGTAGGCATGAACCAGTGGACAAATGGACGGAGAACAGAGGGCCAATCTCGCAACTCGCGCATGGCTTCGAAGGCGTCGATCACGAAATTAACGGATACATTCACCCATTCTTCATTGTGGCAGATTTCCTCTCCGAGAAAGATCAAGGATGAGATCCGGGCTACTGCAAATGGAGTCTTTTGAAAGAAATTATACGGTGTCCACTCTGCGCGGCGAACATGCCTCAGTAGGAGCTTTTGCATGCGGCGAGGGGTGATAACATACCCTTTGTTGGGGGAAATGCCTCTTTCAAAGTCGCGCCAGTCTCCCTTGAGAGTGGGATTGAAAGAGACCCTATTTAGATGTTTGTCAGCATTGATGTTCCCCGGGCAGCTTTCAGTATGGCATACCGAGTGCTTGTGTCAACTGGGTGCGCGCGACGCCAGCAGTGATATTGAAGGATCCTGGATTGTGAAATGCCTCAAAGCCAGCGATACGATTGCTGAAAAAGGTCTGCTAATGTCAGTTAATAAGATCTGGATTGTTTCAGGCGTGACAACCTACCTTCTTGACGGCTTTTTCGAAACTCAAGTCTGGGTGACTCTTGATCTCATCCGTGTACTTCGGATGCACAAGGATGATTGGCTGAGTCGCTCCTATAATTTGGAATACATTGGAACCCTACTCCTGTAAGCATGCCGAAGAGCAACTTTCATCGCCGGGATGCCGTTTCTCACTTTCGCGAAACCCTCGGCGATCAAAGCACGCGCAGACTGAGTGAAGCGCGATCTGGCCTTTTTATTTGTAAGTTCCCACCAGCTTTTTCCAACCAGAGGCACACGACTAAAGGGAATTTCGTCTGCTAAATCACTCCATATGCTAGTGATGAACACCGCCACAAGGGCGACGCAGACGCCCTGTACCACATAGGGGTTGTTGAGTAATTCGTTGACAACGCCCATAATTAGGCCAAGCAGTAACAACGAGATTAAGGTATCAGGCTACTACAACGGATTATATCCGGAGGGTCGACCTATTTATAATAATCCCAGGCCATGGACCAGTCACACGTACTGTATTTCATTCCTTGCTCGATCAACTGGAAATTCCCACATAAGGCTACACGCGAGGCTATCGGGTTATCGGATGCTATAGCAGCCGAATCAAAGCCACCCGCCTGGGGATGAGCTCACCAATTCAATTAGCCGGAATGTCAAAGCTCCGACAAATTGCGTGCATTGAAGCGAGGATAATGCGAAAACGAGAGATTGTCGCGATCGTTTCCTAAAGGGGCAATTCAAGGGCAATTTCCTTTCCCTTGGGGATCCACTTGCAGCTCGCGGACGTCGTCAAAGCTATTAGCGTGTCGATGACTGGAGAACAGCCCTGGACAGTGCATACCCCAGTCGGGTAGGCCAGATCCGACGTGAAATCCGGCTACGAAATTATCGTACAGGAGTCTCGGCGCCACAAAGAGCCACAAACTACTGTAGCTTGAAGAAACCCCCCATAGAAATAAGGATATACTTATGCTTATGTTGCAAATGCTAGATTTGCCACTTTTATATAGAGGCACGATTAGGGCAAGGATCCATGGGCGGCATGCGCCAAGACCCCGCATTCAGCATGTCTCCTCATTTCCCCCGCGACACTTCATCTTTTCTTCATTTCGACCTCTTCTGTCTTCACGATGGGTGACTGCGGAACTGCTGTTCCACCGTTGCGCTCCACTCGAGCTGGGAATCCACCGCAGCCCTCGGTTTCTCCCAACGAGATATCCGTCCTGATAACGGGTTTTGGGGTATGATCTGCGTCTCGGATCGTGCTCGTGTGTCTTCCGAATCATGAAACTAACGTGTAATAGCCCTTCAAGACAAACCTCGTGAACGCCTCATATCTAATCGCCTCTTCCCTCCCGTCGTCGTTCATCTTTCCGTCCAAAGACCAGGACACGGACCCGCGTCGAGTCTCTCTCCATGTGCACCCCACACCTATCTCTGTGGCTTACGCCACCGTCCGGGAGACCCTCCCGTTAATTTTGGAGGACTTCGCTGCTTCCCACGGTGGTCGACGGCCCGACTTCATCATTCATATCGGCATAGCCTCTCCACGACCGTACTATTCGGTTGAAACCCTAGCCCACCGCGATGACTATAACATCACCGATGTCGAGGGCCGCTCTGGGTATCTCGATGGCGAGAAGCGGTGGAGAGAGCTGGGTCTGCCGGCCATTTTGACACCGGGCCGTGTGACTGATGATCCATCCTCTGCCTCGCCATACCAACCCGATGAGCATTTCTTGGACACGTGGCAGTCCTTTGCCCCGGAATCGGATCTTCGTCTGTCCAAAGATGCGGGTCACTATCTGTGTGACTTTATATTCTATAACAGCATGTCGTTGGCTCTGCGTGAGGGCCAGGACCGTAACATCCTCTTCCTTCATGTGCCTGGTGCATCCGAAGATGCGAACATTGAACAAGGACGCGTAGTCACCCTTGCCTTGATCAAGACTATGGTGTCATGTTGGCTTGACAAGAAGCATGCTGTATGAATGGGGCTGCTGCCTCCAACTTGGTCTCATGCAGGGAGGGTATTATCGAGAATCATATATCTCATGCCTCTCCCATTCACCGCTCGACTCCAGCCTCTATTTTTGAATATTTTCTATCTTCTGCAGTCATCTTTCTGCTATTTAATCGCATTTTCACGCGCGCACGGTGTTTATATGAGGCATTTACCAGATTTATGAATATAATGGATATTGAAATATTAACCGATTTGTCCAAGTAATTCTCACTCACTCTGGTGGAACATATATCTTAGATCAGCCTGACCTGTATGAAGACAAAACCAAGGCCAACCATCCAGACCATCTTCCCCTCAACACAATTTATCAATGATGCAGCTTACTGTGAGGTAGGATTCTGCATGATCCCAGCATCAAGAGGCATTACACAACGGTGGCAAACATTCTCCCATCCCACACGATCTCCTGTCCTGGCTATATGCGTACCAATCATCGTCCGACTCCCCTCCAAGCAATATCCCGAATCGGTCCAGCTGTCATTGCCAACGAAGCTTCCCTGTCATACATCGACATCTGTTGTCGAGACTGATATAGCATGGTCACGATCACTGTTGATCAACGTAGGGTACGTGCAACGCTGATGTCCAGGTCTGTGGCTTGGCTATGTAGTGTCTGTTAGCAATGCTGCGCTCACAATCTGCGTCTGTATATCTCTAGGTAAACTCTGGCTTGATACATGGAATGTAGGATGTGAAACTTGATCATATTCGTATCCTCTGAACGGGGAGGCCATATCTCATCCTACATGCGCTTCCATGTCCCGTCTCACGACTCTCTTTCCCAAAGACAAAAAAAGACGATAAATTCATGGAGGCACCATCCTTGCGAAATAAAAAGAAAGGCAAACAGAACGGGCCAACGCGGCAATTGTCGCAGAAGGCTGGAATATCTTGATTGATTTGTTCAGTCGATCTCGAGCTAGAGAAGAAGAAAAAGAGTCAGCAGTATGAACCTTTACGACCCAAGAGACGGACAGGGATATGATAAGTTAGGTGGCGTAGAAGGTCTTCCTCTTAATATGGAGACCAGTCGTGCCAGCCATATCCACTGCTTGAAGCGACATCGCGGCACAAACGCCAGACCTCGCAGACTGAGTACCCTAGCATAGTCCTCGAGGTCACTACTCACGTATGAGACTAGTGGAGTGTCTCAAAAGTGGAATAGGAAGATAGAAAAAGACGCAGAAGCAGGAAACTATATATACCAGACTTCTGTGGGTTCATAGTGCCGCATCAGTAGAAAAAGGCGGCATTTGATCGATGGAGTGAGGTCAAGCTCGATGCTGCTGGAAAGAAAAGTCAACAAGAAGCCTTTGCGGTACAACGCACTGATCTACTTTAGACTGTCCGCTATAGGCCCCTTTCAAGATACAAGGCGCAATGTAGACATGACTCTGGTCACTTGGCCTCCGTAGTCATTACCTTCAGAGGCAGCATACCCCCAATATGGAGGATAATATCGAGTTAGAAGATTGAAGGATGAACCCTGATTGCCAAAAATTGACTCTAATACATGATTCAGTATTATACCAAAGACACTGGGGCAATTTTAGAGAGTCTGGAAGATAGTCAGAGAGATCTTGTTGATGTTCCTTATCTCGCCACCTTGAATATGTGAATATCAGAATTGTCAGAAATGCCGCCGATGGCAGGACTAGCAGCCTTTGCAAAATGGTTAATAAGAGACATGATTTTGTCTGGAAATATGAAGGGGACAGAGAAAAAGAAAAGCAAAAGCATAAGAAAATGAAGATATTCTGTGCGAAACTGCAAGTAGCCGACTGCTCTTTGTTTACACTCCGGCTTCTTTACTTCCATTATCGGCGTGACAGTCCTGCAGGATGGTCGGCTGAGTCCCTCAAGGCCTATGAAGTGTTGAAACAACTAGGTAATGGCGGTCGGGAGCCCTTCGCTCTGTCTACAAGCCCCTGGATAAATTACATCATTCTCTCTTTACGTGTTTCCTAGAAGCAATGGAGATTCCTGCTTTGTCTACATCCTATGATACTGGGACTTCTCCAATCGTACTAAATATGTCTCTACAAAAGCGATTAAACACAAACTACAAGTCTTGAACTTTGTTGTTTACGCATTACCATTTCGTCTTCAACAGTCAGAAAATGGAAAGTGCTCTATTTTACAACAAAAAAAAAACTTCTATGGTGTCTCACCTTTCTATCTGAAGTGAACAAGAAGAAAAATGTCAATCAATACTGTTGAGAGTCGAGTTAATACCCGTTTTGAATCACCACGAGAGGTTGAACCTAGCTAGCCGGGTTAGGTGAACTAAAAGCATAAGTTCTGGAGGTAAGTCTTTAGACGGTCAGAAACTCGACGGGCATCCCGAAGGCTGTATTCACGGAGGATTGCACCTAGTTCCGGTAGGATCCCCAAGAGAGCCCTGCACTGGCTAGTAACAAGGTCTCTGTAGTGGACATGAGGTTTGCCTCGGATAGTTGAGGTGCTTTGAAAGGCATCTGCGATTTGCAAAGAAAGCCCGTTGATTAGACGAGCCTGCTCAGAAAGCTGAGTGAGATGATCGCCAGTAACGACGGCAACACCATCAAATTTTTCCAACCGGGCAACTTGGATATTGAGACCCACCTTGAACCGAGAGCATTCCTCTTCAAACTTGGTAACTAGGGCTCTACGAGAACTCAGCCTGGGTGTCATTGGGGCGGCTGGCGCTTTTTGCGTACGTCGAGACATTTTGTCGGTTGAACAGTGGTTAAGCTGAGTCGAAAGATAAAAGAGCAAACAATGTGCAAATAATGTGTGAGGTTCTCCAACAGATGAAAAGGTCGAGGTTGTTTATATAGGCTTGCTCGTCTCAGATCTTTTAGTTAATAGAACTTGATATTTCAAGAGGTGATATCACAATGAAAACAATGAAATCGCAAAGGCCATTGTGCTCGATCTTTGAAAAATGTCAGTCTTTTAACATTGACAAAGAGCATTGTTAGCTGCTTGACAATTTCTAAACTATATTCTACTGATTTTGGTAGAACGATTCCACCAGGATTTGAGATCATATAATGCTACAATGATGGCAGTCGTTTGCTACATTGCTTGACCAGCCAGTTGGGCATTCCTTTAAATACGATCTCACTAAGCCAAGACATTCGCATCAGTTTCAATGTGCCTTGCTGCTCTTGCTTGCTCTCTTTTCTTCAAGACATCCACTTGGTTTGAATATTGTGTGTGTATGATCTCTTGGAATGAGAAAGCGATTTGTGGCATTTGCGACATATAATTGGAGGTCAACCAGACTGAAAGTGCTTACTGGAAGTTACTTTCCCGACAATCAAGAGAAAGTAGTTGTTCTTAATGACTCTTGTATTACAAGAAGCCTCGATCATCCAATTTACGAGGACGACTGGGAGTTGTCTTATAGCATTGCCCTACTTATGCCACGATTCAATGCAACAAAAATGCATAGGTTTTCTGCAAGAGGTTATTGCACTTCCTCAACAATTTAGAAAATGATATATGCGGTCCATTGGAAATTAAGCCACGGAACATTTCCTAACATGTTTTCTTGTTTCTTTTCCTTTGCTTTGAATTAAGCTAGGTTGCATATGACCACCTTGGTCTTTTATTAGCTTCGTTTCTAATAGTGCTTGTCGCAAAAGTTTTATTTTTGTGCTTCGGCATCGGTCCCTTTGTCTATTGATGTGTGATTCGACATTGGACGATTGGCCTCTTCAACTAATAACTTCCTTAGTTATGATATTCCTTAAAGTACTGGCAGAAATAATTGCTTTGTTTTTTCCTGAAACACTAGCTGACCTTTTCCCTCCAGACGAATATTTTTTCCAGTTATCTCTTGATAATTTTCTTTATGCTACCTCAACCAAGCGCCGGCAATGAAATCCCGAGAATACGTATTCACGTCTATAAGGGTCCAAAATGCCCGTGTTGAGAGATGAATCCGATCTCGAAACACCGTGAAACAGATCGTAGATGTCGAGTCCTGAACAGCACTGTGCAACAGCATTATCAAGCAGAATCATCAACAACGCGAGTCTCATCTATCAAACACGCAAAAGTAATGGTTTGCTGTCCTTTAAGTTGTTTCGGCCCTTGTCGTCGTCGCCTCAGAGGCCGAGCTCGAGCCAGAGCCACTCCGAGTCCAGAGAATGAGACTGAACTCGTGCCGATGCCACCAAATGTGAGTGCGCGAAACAAGCGAGGTCGACCAACATACACACGACATTCCAACACCGCGTGGATATCAGAGAGGCCTTTTGACGGCTTGCTCATGGAAGTAGAGCTCAATCGGTAGACCAGGAAAAAGAAGGAGCCCAGCCGCAACAAGAGCCTACCCAAGAGGGACCCGCAGAACAGTCAAGTGAAACCAAGCTATGCCCATCAAAACAAGAAAAAAGAGCTAAGCATCGACTCCCCAGCAGGAGGAGTCGGCATGCCAAAAACAAAGGTCCCCACGCGACCATCGTCCAGCCACCCTTCCTGGGCATGAATGGCGAAAGGCCTAGCTTTGCTGCCGGCCACGCACCAAGTAAAGAATTAAGTGCAGACCCGAAGGAGAAGGCTCCTGGTGGGGATGATGTGGCCGGTTTACGAAGAGGGAGAAGGCGTGGCGACAATGGTGGGAGTGGCACTGAGAAAGTGCACCCACTTGGAGGAGGCGATTCAAGTGAGTCTCCATCATTTTGGAAGAGGCGTGGCGCCCCGGATGAAACAGAGATGACCGGCTCATCTTTTAAGAAACTTCAAGCTATCCAGGAGAAAGAGCATGAATCATCGGCCTCCGGATCTGGAAGTGGCTCTAGTCCCCATTCTGAGCCTGGAGTAGGAAGAGCAGGAGGTCCTGGCTCTAGTTCTGATTGTGGTTCGGGTTCTGGATCTCGTAGGGGCTATAGATCAGGCTCAGGCTCGAGATCAGACTTCTCAAGATCAAGGTCATCTGGATCAGGATCTGCAGTCTCATGGGGCTCATTTGAACAGATCACAGACAAACGAGTAAACGAGTTCTTCGAAAAGGGTACCAATTACCAAGACTGGATCCAGCATCCAAATGACTCAGACTGCGCAGCTCCTTGTCCAGTACAACAGTCAACCTTGACAGAAGATATGCTTCTTAACGCTCCCAACGCGTCAGATAGATGGGAAGTACGGGAAAACCTCTGGATCAGCAACTGATAGCTGCTGGCATGGAAACACTTGCTGCGAATGCATAATTCTAGCTGTTGGGTATGGAAGTCTTCAATTTTGCCAGCATTCGATCTTTTCCTTTGCATGTATTCCCAAAGTCAGTCTCTTATTCAGTCAGGAACGTGGAGTGAAAATCCCAGGGGTGATACCGCGGTGACTCTGTATCGGACTCCTGAATTCATGGGACGCTACTTATATTTGCGTGATTGTATCATATATGCAGTGTCCAAAGGACTACATAACAAGGTGTCTAGATACAAGGCCAAAGAGTGGTCCCCTGACTCTCCGGCTCAACTTTTAAACAAGCGAATCACCAGGAAACTATTGTCTAAGGTGCAGTTTTAAATGTGAACAAGTTATTGAATAGGGCAATGTATTGTAATGTAGATGAGCCTGAATCAAAATGTGTCCCATTTCCACAAGGGTATTAAAACAAAAAGCAGATTCCAATAGATGGCACAGATGACACAGATGACAGTAAAAACAATGGAAGGCCGACATGCTTCAATTATGCGTAAGGGATTATGTAAAAGGATCGTTCATGTACACCATTATTCGCAAAGGACAAAGTCGAAAGTCTATAGCAAGGAGGGAAGGGAAAGCCAGGTGACAGTGGCAATGGGAATGAGAAAGCCATTTAAGGCTTCGCAAGTTGCTCCTTGCGGAAGAAGAGTAGGAAGCCAGCACAAATCAGCAACTGACAGAACAGGGCGACCCAAAACCAAGCGTTGGCAATGGCATGGACACCCTGCGTGACATCTGGCGAGATAGGACCCGGTCCGGTATTATTGGGACCGAAAGCTCTAGCGCAGATAGTCGCAATGGAACCGAGCACCTGCGAGGCAATGAGCGCGAAACACATGTGCACACGCGTCAGAGTCTGTAGCATGATGATACCGAAGCCCAGACCTTGGATGGAGTCTAGGACTCCGAGCCAGAGCCATACACTTCGTGACACTAGGGCGCCGGATGTGAGACTGCCTGCCCAGGGTAGGTAGTAGCCAATACCGGAAATACCCCACCAGATTTGGATGAATCGTGGTGCACCGAGACCGCAGGCGAAGACGGGGATGAACCAACTGTGTTGCTTGGAGAATTTGCTGACAATGAAGAGGAAGATGCACCAGACAACGCCGAAGAAGATGATGCAGAGTATGACGATTTGCCAGGGGTGGGTGTGGTTTGAGTTCCAGAGGAAGCTCCAGTTGCGACCGTAGGGTGCACTAAGGAAGAAGTTCTGCAGGATGACGGCGATGAAGTTCCAGATGACAATCTTGCGGCGGAATAGGGATTTGTAGAAGGAGGGGACCTTGCCAGGCTTTTGGCGGTAGTAGTTGGGGAGACCGAAAGCGAGGAGCAGACCGACGATGCAGAGGAAGGCGGCAATTGGGTAACAAATAGCGGTCATCTTCCAGCTATTGGCGAGGGTGTTGTCGGACAGAACACCTTCTTGGGAGGCCTTTGTAAGAGTTGAACCCCAATACCAAAGACCAATGACATAGACTTGCTGGAGACCTTGGATGACACAGGCGCGGAAGATCCAGGTTTCAACGGGCGCACCTCCTTCGTCGCCAAAGTTGGATGCGAAGAAGATCGATCCACTGGATGAGCCGGCGGCGTAGAAGCCACTGCCGATATTCTGAACCCAGCCACGGCTGAACTCATCGGAAACCCAGTGAGCAGAGCCAATGATGATAAATGCAATGGCGTACAGGAACCACGGACTCGAGAGACAGACAACGGACTTGAAGTAGCGGTAGACGAGCCACCAGCAGACAGACGTGATGGCATAGGTGGTCGCAATGCCGTACAATTTTTCTGCGGTTTCACCGACTTCGCCAGTGAGCAGGTTGATCTGGTAGGAGTTCGCAGCAATGATTTGACCAAGAGCAAGCAATATGGAGTAGGCGGGCCAGTCACCCAGCTTGATCTGCATCCATTTCTTGAGACCAGTAGGAGGAACGTAATCCTTTCCGAGAAGGAACTCGTCGTCAGTGATATTCTCCTCGCTGCCGTTGTGGTGTGAGGCTAGGTCGTTATCGTAGAAGGAGACAGGCGAGGCGTTGCGGGATTGCATGATGGAGGGCGTGGGCGACTTGGTGTGGCGACCAAGTCTGGCATTGCGGAATCTGTCGAACCATTGCTGTTCACTCTTGATCAAGAACTCTTCAATACAAAGCTGGGACTCGGAGTTGGATCCATTGAGGTTATCCAGTCTCTTGTCAAAGGTCTTGTAGTACTCGCCAGTGCTATCAGTGAAGAAAGGATCAACCTTCTGCAGCTTGAAGTCCTTCTTTTGTCCGACAACGGAGTCGAGCGACAGAACGGAGGCATTGCTGTAGCGGTGGGAGTCGCCAAAGGGAGTAGGGGGAGGCAGAAGAAGGTTTTCAGCGGTGGGTGGTGTTCCAGGGCTGGTAGGAGGCAGGTTAAATCGGGGGTGCATGGATTCCTGGCTGAGACGTCTAGCAGGTGTGCCGAAACCGGGGGAAGCGATACCAGGAGAAGCGAGACCACGCTCTCTCTGGGATGCTTGGGCACGGCGCTCGGCTTCAACCTGAGCCGGGGTAAGAGTGTACTCTTCATCGTCACCATAAACAACATGAGATATGTCCTCGTCGCTGCTGTCCTCAGCATCGGCGTCGCTTTCGGGAATACCCTCGGCGGCGGCAGCCCTACGGCGGGCTGCGTGACCAGGACCGGAGCGAACACCAAGAGAAAGAGACCTGCTCAATCCAGACTTGGGCTTCTCAGTCTCATTGGCATCGGGCTCAGGGCTGTAGATGTTCTTGTTCTGAGAGCCAAGATCGTTCATCTGGTTGAAGGAGTAGCTGCTGTCACGAGAATGGGCGAAACCAGGAGGAAGACCAGGCGAAGGCAGACCGTTCATGGGGTTGCTGATTGCGTGAGGAGTCATAGCACCGGCGAAAGTGCTGCCAGATGAAGTACCAGGACGAGCGTGGCCTTTGGCGGCTTCCTTGTTGTGAACCTGAATGGCAGTAGACTGCAGAATTTCAAGGTCCTCAACCCACTGAGCAACAGGGAAACGCTGCTTAGCAGAACGAGCACGCATCATTGCACGAGTAGAAGTCTTCGAATTAAGCGCAGCATCGATGGCGAGCTTGAACTGAACGAGTAGATGGGATGTGGAAATAGACTCGACATTGTACCACCAACCAGGCATTTGACCGAGACCACCGACACGAGCACCAATACCAAGGGCACCCTTACGACCGAACTCGACGGCAACTAGACCGAAGGGCTCATCACGGGACGGGATAAGGGCGAACTCAGCACCAGAGAATATAAACGGCGGGAGAGCAGTGAACTCTGGCTTTGAGAACACACGACCCGGGTAAACCTTCATCATGTGGTCAAGCTTGAGAGCGGCGAACTTTCCGTAGAGATCAATAACGGGACCAATGCAGATCAACTGAACATTGGGACGGGATTCAAGAACGGCAGGCATGGCATCAGCAATAAGATCAACACCCTTTTGCATAGACCAACGACCAACGAAGACAAGCAGATCGGCATCGGGATTGAGGTCGAGTCCTGCCCATTCCTGGGCTTGACGCTTGAGATCAGGACGGCTGGCCTCGTAGGTAGGGTCCACGGTAATATCTTCGTCCTTGGTGGGCTCTTTGGTCCATTCGCCGACATCAGAAGGATCAGGGTTAGGCAGGTTTCCAACCTTACGCAGACCCCAGAAGATGGGGTAACGGGCGTAGGAACGCTTTCCGTATTTCTTGGACACACCGACGGCACCGAAACCTTGCTGGTGAACACGGAGGTAACTGGCTCCGGCGTGGAGCAAGTTGAACACCTCACCGAATTGGACGTACCGACGAGCGACGTCCTCCTCGAGGTTGAAGACGGAGCAGACCTCTTGCTTTTCCTTAAGGGTTCGCATGGGCCAGAGACCCTGGAACTCGGCATTGTGCAGAGAAAGACATGCGGGGATGGTGTTTGGCAGAAGATAGAGAGGCGCCAGGGATCCGTGGTAATCGTTAATGTGGTAGGCATCAATAGGGAAACGCTTGATGGCCTCCGCAATACACTGATTCCAAGCTGAATAGTAAACGGCACTGTCCAAGTCATCCATACGAGCAGGGTAAGGCTCGGTCTTTGACTGCTGACGGAACACAGGAGCATCGAGTAGGACATAGGTGATGTTGTTCAAGACATGGTACTGGACCTGTACTTGGTATGCGCTGCCGAGGATGGTAACTTCCATAGGCTCTGCAATTTGGTCCACGGGGTAATCGATACCACCAACGCAAGGAACAACCCAAATCAAGTCCTGGTGACCAAGAGTCTTACCCATAAGCTGAGCCATGACACCCAGACCACCGATCTTAATCTTGATGGCCCAATCCTCAATATCGTACTCCATAGTCGCAATCAGCACCATGCGGCGCTTCCCAGCAGCGCCGAGTGTGCCGAGGGCTGTGGTGCTCTGCATAAAGCCGGACTTGTTCGCCAGGCGCATGAGAGGGTTCAGAGACTGGTCTCCACTGCGAGAAGGCTTGAGCTTCTTCCAGAAGGCGAGAGGAACCAAGCTGTGCTTCTCGCTGACACCGACCTGGTTGAACTTGACCTTGTAGAAGGACTTCATGAAAATGTAGACGCATGCGCAACCGGTAAGAAGAGGGATGATCCAGAAAAGAACGAACATGGCGATCTGAACATTCTGGTCACCGACCGGAATAAGGGTGTACTTGAAAGTAGCATCGTTGATGTAAAACTTCCATGCCAGATGGCCATCAATGGGAGCCTTAGTGATGTTAATCAGAGTAGCGGAAAGAGAGGATGGCGGCATGCGATCTAGAATGCTGTCACCATCGGCATCACCAAGCACCATACTCTGGTCAGGCTTGCCGTCCGGGTTTATACCCCAGACATTGAGCTGTCCAACTGCGGGCCATTCAGAAGTGAAATGGTAGTTCCAGTATCCGGTATCATCGTTGAGCTCAGCCTGATTCCTAAGACCGGCGTCGTATCCATACTGGTTGTAAGGGCCGTTGAAGAAGAGATGAGGGAAACGACGGGGAGTCTGTTTCGGGTCGACATCGCCCTGCTGGACATAATCACTGCTACCAGTCCAACGGTTCCAGTACTCGACACGGACGTGGTGACCGTTCCATCTCTGTTTCTTGGTTCCCGACCAGTCGAGCTCAGTAACGGTGTCATTACCACCGGTATACTTTTTCCAATCAGAGAATGTCGATCCCCAGTTGGTGGAATAGCGCCACTTGTCGGCACCTGCAGCGTGGTGCTGGACAAAGAAGGTTCCATTGTCATCCCTGTGGAACAAACTGCTAGAGTAATTGGCAGTGCTGAAAACCATCGGGTTATCAATCTGACCAATGCGGAGAAGGAAGTGGTCGACGGAGTTTGTGGAGGCAGTCTTGGCTTTGTTGGTTGCATTTCTCACGTTCAAGCGGTGGACACCGTTGTACACTCCGTTGAGGTTGGCAGACCACATCCAAACACTAGGGATCTGACCAGTATAAGAAGTTTCAGTTGTTTTAATATTTGAGCAGTTGACACTGGCGGTGTCGACTGTGGGGACTTTGAGGAACTCGGTGGACGAGTTGAAGCTCAGGTTTTCGGTGATCGAGTCACAATCCATCTCCTCGGAGTAGTAGAATGCGACCTTGACGGTCTCCTCAGCGTTGGCCTTGACGGTGGAGCGCATCGGAACATCGTGACCGGGATAGAATTCGGTGACCATGGGCCGGGGCTTGATGTGCTTGTCGATCGGAACATAGGCACGGAATTCATATCTTTCGAGTTTCAATGAGGAGAGACAGCCGTTGAATTCAGTAGATCCATTGAGACCGAGCTTTTTTGCTCCTGTTTCCAGAGTCAGCTCGTCGTAGGGATAGAACAGGTTCTTGACTGTGGTCTTGGCTGCGAAAGGTGCGATCAATGCGGTTTGGTTGTCCGTGCTGCTGCAGTCAAAGTGCCAGGTCTTTGAGCTGTTGAGATTCTGGTAGACAAACCAAATCGATTGAGTATCGGTGAGGTTTTGTACCGAACTGGCATCGCGAAGAGTAGACCACATGCCAGTCTCGGTGACTGTGTCGTTGGAACCCGGGTAGAGGACATCATCTGTCTGCTTCGACAAAAATTGGATTGTATAACCGTCATTCAACACCTCGTAGTTTTCACGCATCTGATACATGTGCTTGAAGATGTTGTATAGCGGATGGGACGGATCGCGGTGGTCGTAAGCGACAGTATCATCCTCGCACCCATGACGACCTTGCTCGATCGGCCACTTGTAGTACTGCGAAGAGTCCAAGGAGAAGCAGCCATGAGTCTTCCAAGCTGTCGCTGCTGACATCGCTTGACGTCCGTAGATATAGTTGGACGCTGTCGCATCGAGGACGTAAAAGGCCTGCTCTTCACCCCAGAGGAGAAGCGGGATTCCGGGAAGAAGCAAGGTGGTGATGAAAGAACCCAGAAGTTGTCTCTCGACACCCCACTTGATTGTTGGCCAGCGGAAGACATCCTGGTTGGTAGCACCAAACATGTGTCGAGGATCGAATTTACCGGTGTTCGCGTTGACTAGGTCGTTCGTGACCAACATAGTGTTCCACCCATCGACCCAATCCTCTGGAACATCAAATCCAGCTGAGAGCTGACCGTCCATACCAAGGAAGCGAGTCAGGGCACGATATGTCGAGTAGTGGAATGCAGCACCGTCAATGGCTTCCTTACCGATCTCACGCAAGAACCACTGGGGGTCAGACTCGTTTGTTAACTTCATAGTTTCCACTGCAGCGTCGTCGCCTGATTTCCTCTGGTTAGGCTGTCTACCACGTCCAAGATAAATGGAACCGAAGGTATCTCCACCGGTAATTTCACCAGCAATAAAGAAGTTATGCTTGCCAGCTTCGCGGGCACACTGTCGGTAGGCCTCGGACATATCGCCAAGGGCATCCACAGTAGACTGAGTAGCCTTATCGTAACGGAAACCATCGATGTCAAGAGTTTTGATAACCATGCAAGAGTGTTGGATGAGACGCTGGCGAACAGTAGGATGCCATTCACGGAGACGATCTTGGACGGAGGCGAACTTGGCCAGCTGACGCTTCCAATCGGGCCAAACACCGAAGGCTTCAATATCACCGTACTGATCAAAGTCACTATCGTAACAGCCAACCAATTCGGCGGTCATGGATGCATTGACGGGCTTTCCATCCTCGTACCAGAATCGGGGGTAGTCGCAAGAGGCGTTGTACTCATTTCCCATTTCGAAGTCGACGTAGTGGCGATTGGACTTCCACTGGACTTTCCATTCCTTTTCAGAGAATGGAGTTGTGCTGTTGAGATGCCCGTCGAATCCAAGCAAGTCACCCATTCTGTAGATTCACTGTCAGCTCTAACCTTTTGTATGAAATTGGGGATAAATGACTTACGTAGCAATGGTGTTGTCGAACAACACGTACATGCCGCGATCGTGGATTTCCTGGATGGCCGCCTGCCACTGCTTGATTGTAGCGTAGTGTTGATCCAAAAGTGTTGTATCCAAAGCGGAATAACCGTCGAATCCCCAAGGCTGGTTCATGAGAGAAGTACCCGCAATGTAAATACCCTTAAACTGGTCAGTTACTGTTCTTCGAGTCAGGGTGAGAGAAGCATACCTTGATTCCCAATCCCTGCAGATAATCCAAAGTGTCGATCAAGCCCGCCACATCACCACCATGGCGCATTTGGTTCGAATTTAGATCATGCTCAAACAAGGTACCGTTGATGTTATCGTTTTCAGGTTCTCCGTTGACAAACCGATCCAAGAACAGAGTATAGAACGGGAAGCGCCAGTTGTCGGGAGAAGGATTGTAGTGGGTTGGGTATGTTCCAGAGTACTCTGCTGGATTTGTTGCATCCGGATTTGTGTTCAGGTTGTATTCGAGGAAGTTCTCGTCATAAGGCCAACTCGTCACTGTCGTCGCAAAAAGCGAGATCAGCGCGGTGGAGCACAACCACTTCATGGTTGCGCGGGGAATCGAGGTGCGACTCTGACAGTCGTGATTTGACTGGAGAGAGAGAAGTGTATATCACCCTATGCAAGAGTTGGAGATGCACTGCTATCACTGGCCATGAGCAAAGGTGCGCAGATCGAGATGCTGGAAGTCAAAAGGTGTGTCCAGGCCGGGGGCATCAAAGAAGCTCGGGGAGATGCCAACGCAAGAACGAGAGACAAAAGGTGGGAAAGGGAGTAAACGAGAGAAGGATGATAACGAGAGAAAGATGAAGGAGAAAGCAATAAGCAGAGAAGGGAAAAAGAGACCAAGTCACATCAACCGAAGGAAGCTAAGAGGCTGGTTCAATTAGTGGCTTTGGGGTAATGAAGCTCTCGATAAAAATAAACCAGGAATTAGCTTGGAGTATATGAGACAGGCTGAGGCTCGTGCTAATCAGACATCTTTTTACTATCAGCCTTGGGTCTACTCACACGGGCTTCTCCGTATTTTTGCCTTTTGTTTTTCTTTTTTTGATTATTCAATTTCTGCCTTCGTTTAATGTACAATGCTCATTCGTCACATCAGCATAGAATCGACCGCTGTTTGACATGTATGGGAATACGAGAGAGAAAAAAAAAAAAAAAAAACCAAAGCAGCCTTGCTCGATCGAGTAAGAAAGCCTTCGACCAGTGATCTGGAAAGATAAATATGGGTCCTTAATAACGGGGCTCGGTTCCTTGACCAGACCCATAGACTTGAGTTTGGACCCTGAATCTGTTTGGTCATCATATTTTTGCATGCTTGTCCAGTTCCTGTCACAGACATGAACCTGTGTACCTTTTTTTTCCATAAAATGGGAATTTCTTGATATTGACATAAGACGAAGCCGATAAGTCCGGGCCGAGTCATAGTTGAGACAACCTGTAACTCGTGTTTTACGCGAATTACTAGCGTCCCGATAAGCGGATCACAATCCTCCATCCGACGATACCGACGGCACCGGTTGGCCCGGAGGTGAGACCCCCCACTTTTATATCAGGCTTAGCCCGGCGGAGCTTGGTATTTTTAAAGTCTTGGCAGGGTTTGGGCATCCACGACCTGATTAGACGGCTATCTCGGGAGCATCCACATTTTCCGATAAATCCAATGCCAAGGCGCCCGATGCCTTCAAGTTTTCAGTCGCTCGAGGTCCGCTTCAATTGCCCAACATGCATTAGTGAAATGGACCCAAGAGAAGAGATTTCACAGGGAGCTCTGCAATCTGAAAACTCTGAGCATGTGCATGCATTTATATACAGTATACAGTATGTATCTAAACGTACATGTACATGTACAAGCAATGTAAGTGGTTCGATAAGACAGGTCAGTACCAACTACAATACATTAATACCGTGTCATGGTATTTTTGCAAAAAACCAATACGAAACGTAAAAAACAGAAAGAAAATAAGATCATGAAAATCTGAAAATCTCTGCCCCAGTCTCCACTCTCAGGAACAAGAGGCAGTCCCAGGTACGGCCCCCAATGTCTTGCTCTAATATATCCAACCGTTGAACACGCATGAACTCCTCCTTCAAACTAGACACTGCCTGTCAAATCCCCAGAAGGCAGCCACTGGTACAGCCACCCGGAATTAGGGCTTTCCAGCTATCTATCTGAATGCAGGTCACGCCACGGCTTATCTCTCCAGATTGCATTTCCCTTTTTAGTGTTTGCCTTGTTTTCTTGGATTGGCCACTCGTACCTGGCTACTGCAGTATCGCTGAATCTAAAATCACTAGACTGGGCTGGACTCTACGCCCCATAATTCCATTAAAATTGCACGCGCGCAAAGGCCTTCTTGACTATTTATTGTCGGCCTCGCTCTCGTATTTCCCCGATTCCCATTTTTGCTCAGTGCACACAGTCAACATGGCCAAGTACCGAATTACTCCCGTGTTGCTACTCATTCCCTTATTCCCTTATTCCCGGTTTTTATGTGGGGAAGGTCAAATCCGCTAGTATCAAAAGGAGTGGACGTTGTCTCGGTTTATTGGCCCATCCGAAGTTGGTGATTCTTTGTGATGGAGATGTGACTACTGGTGCTTCTGAAATTAGGGCACAAGTATGTCTCAGCCACCGAACATGGAATATCCCGCACTAATAAATCAACCATTCCGAGTGCTTGGGCATTCAGGGGTAGTCACGCAGTCTCAATGTAACTGTAGAACTTGTGCCAATCGGTTATTTCAATGTTCATTGGTGTGAAGTGTAAGCGTTAGCATATCGCATATCAGCCCTGGCCCTTGCCCTGTGCGTTGCACACTTTATTATATCTCCACCTTTGGCCGAGGTAATTTGGCTTTCTTTTTTCCACCCCTGCCTAGTGTCTGTTTAGTGTGGAAGTCCGGCTCAACTATTCCCTTGGAGTGTAACGGTAGGCTACATCGCTGGATAGTCTGGGGGCTTTTTCTGGTGGGCATGGGGGAATTTCGTCAGTCTGAACGCCACTCTATTCTAGGTTGCGGGGGATCCCAATGTGAAGCCAATAACAAAGTTGAATTGGGTAACAGGTTATCCGGCGTGACTATAGTCTAGTGCTAGCTCAAAAGGACTAGAGGGATTGTATGGATCGACGGACTTGCACAGGACTTAGGGCCGTTCCCCCATTTTTGCCGTAGGAACTTGCTCCTTCTCCTCTTTCCAGCTTCACCAGTCCACATGTCATTCATTCGTTCTCCGTGACCTTGAAGTTAAGGTCGTCCCTTCTTTCTCTCTTTTGCTCTTTCCTTTTCACCATCACATGATGTCATTCCTTTTGGCCCTGCTGGGCCTGGTCTCGTTGACCTCCGCCGCGTCAACGGCCGACTGGAAGCCAAGAGCCGTGTACCAGACCATGACTGACCGTTTTGCCCGCACTGATAACTCGACAACTTCTCCCTGCAGCACCAAAGATGGCCTCTACTGCGGAGGCACGTGGAGGGGAACCATTAACCAACTCGACTACATCGAAGGCATGGGCTTCGATGCCGTGATGATCTCGCCTATCATCGACAACATTAAAGGTCGCGTCTCGTACGGTGAGGCCTACCATGGATACTGGCCCGTCAACTTGAACGCTCTCAACGCACGCTTCGGTACGCACCAAGATCTGCTCGATCTTAGTGATGCCCTCCATGCCCGTGGCATGTATCTGATGATGGATACGGTGATCAACAACATGGCCCAGATCATTCCCAACGGCACCGACCCGGCTAAGGAGGTCGACTACTCGGTCTTCGACCCTTTCAACAACAAGGACTACTTCCATCCTTACTGCAAAATTAAGGATTGGAACAACTTCACCGATGCGCAACTCTGTCAGACTGGTGATCTCAACGTCCCACTTCCGGATCTCTATACCGAGCACCCAGATGTCCAAAAGCTTCTCATCGACTGGGCCAAGGACGCCATCAAGACATATTCTATTGATGGACTCCGTATTGATGCCGCCAAGCACGTCGACGCCAACTTCCTCAAGACATTTACCAACGATATTGGCGTATTCAGTACTGGAGAAGTTCTCGAAGGTGCGGTTAGCATCATCTCGGATTACCAGGCCCATTACATTTGTAGTATGCCAAATTACCCAATCTACTTCCAAATGCTACAAGCTTTTACGATGGGAAACACAAGTGCATTGGCTCTCGAGGTGGAGGCCATGAAACAGGCTTGCACGGATGTCAACGCTCTTGTTTCTTTCTCAGAGAATCACGACAAGCCTCGTATCGGTAGCATGTCTAATGACACGGCGGTATGCAACCCATCTTGCATATGCAAGTCATTCTTACTAACCAAGCCACTTACAGACGGCCAAAAACGTACTGGTCTTCACACTCCTCTTCGACGGAATCCCCATGATTTACCAAGGTCAAGAACAGCACCTCAAGGGCGCCGATCCACCATACGACCGAGAAGCCATCTGGCTCACGAAATACAACACCGAATCTGAGCTTTACCAACTAATCGCCAAACTCAACAAGCTCCGCAAACACGTCAACGCCCTCGGCAGTGACTACTTTGACCAACCAACACACACTGTCTACCAAGGCGCAAGTGAACTTGCATTTTCTAAAGGTGTCGAAGGTCGACAAGTTATCATGATGCTGTCAACCCAAGGTTCAGAAAGTGGCGCCTACAACGTGGCCCTGAGCAACAGTTACAACGCCGGCACCGAAATCATGGAAATCCTCAATTGCGAAAAGTACACACCTGATGAATTTGGCTCCATCACAGTCGCCATGAACAAGGGCGAGCCTCGGGTGTTCTGGCCTGTGAAATACATGGAAGGCAGTGGTCTCTGTGGTTACGAAATCAAGAACGTGACCTTGGCCCAGTTGAAGAATGGCGTGGCCTCTTCTGCTTCCTCGGTCATCGCTTCTTCACCACTAACTACAGCTTTAGCCTCTCTGTGTCTTGCATTGACGAGTATTGTGATGATCCTTTGAGCATGTTCGAAAAACGGAATTTCTAGGTGTTTCTTTTGCGTCGGCCTCTTTCACGACGGCTGTTTGGGCTTGCGACGATATCCCTTCTTGTAGCATATTATTTTCTCACTGTATATCTTTCTTTTTTGTCGCATAGCAAAGCCTGTCACCTTTTTTCGGCAATTGTTGCTTTCCTTCTTTCTCGTCTTAATGTCTTTCAACTGCAGTACTTTGATTTACTCTTATATCTCCTACGAAAAACGAAGCGTCTCATTGACTGAATATACTTTATCAACTCCTTCAAATTTGGCAACCTCTGCATGCATATATATATATATGCAATGCAACCACCATTGATATAAATCCCGACCGCACAGAAAGCGCACGGAAAGCTTGAACCTTCAAAAACAAACCGCATATACTTAATCAAGTGACACACCTTAATCATGCATAACAGTCAACTCCAGCGCCAAGCACTTACCTACGGAAGGCTTGTATAGTGACAAGCCGGACATGCCGCGCACAGATCAACATCTCCATTACCAACCCTACCTAGGCTACAATGGTTAAGGTTAACGGTTTCAGTAAGTTTCGTGAGACCGAGTGGACCTTCTGGAAACCTATCGAAGAATTCTATCCTTTGTGTGTACGGAGTTCTCCGGTACCTGCGAAAATCAAGTCTCACATAGATCCATAGCCGTATTGTAAACAAATTACAAGGTAAAGTATTTATCACCGCCCAAAAATAGTCGGACCCACTTCTTTCTCGCATCCGACGCTTACGCCCGAATGGGAAATGGCTCCCCATTCCTGACGGAGACGCATCCTCAACGCGACAATCGACACTACCAGTCCGATTATGGCGTCTTTTTTGGCATGGTGTACTGGCGCCCAACGGCGCGCACAGAAAGCGCATTGGAGACAGATAGAAGGTTAGAATATCGGTCCATTCAACGCGCCCAATAACGTCCCTGGTGGTTTTTTTAAAAAAAAAAACCACAAGAGTCCGTAGCTAACAACATGCACAGAATCAGCCTCAAATCTGGAATCGTTGCCCTCATGGAATGCCCCTGATAACAAGCTCATCATGCAAACATTTGAATGGCATGTCCCTGCAGACCACCAGCACTGGCGTCGTTTGCAAAACGCGTTACCTGGTTATCAGGCCATTGGCGTTGACCAGTTGTGGATTCCACCTGGTTGTAAGGGTATGGATGTAAATGGGAATGGGTATGACATCTATGACCTTTATGATCTCGGCGAGTTTGATCAGAAGGGTGCTGTCTCTACGAAATGGGGGTCTAGGGGTGATCTTGAGTCTTTCCTTTCTGAAGCGCGCGGGCTCGGCATGGGTGTTATTTGGGATGCCGTTCTTAACCATAAGGCTGGTGCTGATTTTCCGGAGGCGTTTCCTGCTGTTAAGGTTGATCCGAAACGTGAGTTTTTCTTTGTCTTTTTCTTGCTATTCTTTATGGTTGAGGCGCTAATTTGGTGATAGAGAGAGATGTGGAGCTGTCAAATCCAGTTGAAGTCAATGGCTGGACAGGTTTTGATTTCCAAGGCCGGGGTGACAAGTACAGCAGTATGAAATACCGCTGGGAACATTTCAGCGGCGTTGACTGGGATGACAAGAGCAAGGAAAACGCCATCTTCAAGATTACCGGCCCCGGCAAGGATTGGGCGCAGGATGTCTCCACTGAGAACGGAAACTATGATTATCTCATGTTCGCCGATCTCGACCTGGCGCACCCCGCGGTTCGTGATGATCTCTTACAGTGGGGAACTTGGATCACCAACGCATTGAGTCTGAGTGGCATGAGGCTGGATGCAGCCAAGCATTTCTCTGTTGGCTTCCAGCGTGCATTCGTGGAGCATGTGCGGGAAACGGCTAATCCGGATTTCTTTGTGATTGGTGAGTATTGGACTGGGAATGTCAAGGCTCTTTTGCAGTATCTCAAGGACACCGAGTACAGCCTTGCGGCGTACGACGTTCCTCTTGTGCAGAAGTTTTGCAAGTTGTCACATCAGGAATCGCCGGACCTTCGTGGCATCTTGAAGGACACTTTGGTACAGTGTCGGCCGGACCTTGCTGTGGTGAGTTTACTTCGGATTCGTGGAGGCTCAATTGAAGAGGTCAACGCTAACTTTCCCAGACTATCGTTTCAAACCATGATACGGTAAGTACCAAAACATTAGACTAGTCTTTTGTGGCGTTCATATTCATCTAACTCCCGAAAAGCAACCAGGACAGATGCTCGAGGTGAGTCAACTAGGCCCCCCAGAGCCCCAACCAATCTAACAAACTCACCACAGACCCCTGTAACCCCATCCTTCAAGGTTCTAGCGTACGCCATAATCCTTCTCCGCAAAGAAGGCCACCCTTGCGTGTTTTACGGCGACCTCTACGGCATCCGCGCCAATGTCAAAGACCTAATGACACCAGCCTGCAGTGGCAACCTGCCACTCATAACCCAAGCACGCAAACTTTACGCCTACGGCGAACAACAGGACTACTTCAACCAGCCAAACTGCATAGGTTTGTCTCACTTATCCACCTCCTTTCATTTACCCAATTCGGAACACGAGGAGGGTCCCATCACTCAGCCTTGGTATAGCTGACCACAATACAGGATTCGTCCGCTACGGTAACGCCCGTCATGTATCTGGTCTTGCCTGTGTTCTCAGCAATGCTGGCTCAGCCGTACAGCGCATGTATGTTGGAAGGGATCGTGCATATCAGGAGTGGGTGGACATCTTACGGCCGGATGTGAAGCCCGTCGTCGTTGACAAGAAGGGCTATGGGTACTTCACTGTTGCAGCGATGAGCGCTAGCATCTGGGTTGAGGCGGTGGCTTTGAGTCGGGATGGTTTGAGGCGCGATTTGTATGTTTCCCCTTTTCTTTTTCTTTTTCTTTTTCTTTTTCCCTTCTTCCCGGTTCTTCTCGATTCAGCTATGCGTTTGACTTACTTTGGTGGCTGACTCTGACTCTGATGTGGCAGTGACGTGAACATCTACAACTAATTCTTTTACACAATACCCAATACTCTGTCACGACAATAGAATCAAATCTCACTGTAAATTATATCATACACATTCTGTACAAGTACATATCATGTCATGCGGTGCAACCCGACCTCGTATTTCCTCAAAATAGGAAAAAGAGAAAATCATCCCACATTTCCAAAAGGGGAACACCGAACATACCCGCAAAAACCAACCAACAACTACAGTATGAGTAGAGCAGCAGATGTGGCGCCTTAGAGAGGCAAATAGCATCATAGAATTACCAATGTTGGCCCAGGGTACCAGAATTTATTATCCGGCACAACCTCGGTGAGTGTGAGACACTGTCTGCCTAATCACTAACTTACCATGTACATGTACCATCGGGGTCTGGGGGGTCTGAGAATTTTTCCTTACCTTACGGCACAATTCTTCCGTACCCGAACTGGAGAGTGGGTTGACATGTCAAGCGAAATTGGATTGTCTCATGAACCCTGAAAAAAACCGAAATGGATCTGTGGAGTCTTAGTCAATAAGACACCGAACTGGAAATCGATTTCGCCGTACCGGTAAATCAATGCCCTGAGACATTCCTCAAAAAGAAAACGTGTCTTGGCCATGTGCTGAGCTTTTTTCTATCTCCGTTAACGTTATCTGGAATGCAATGCACGTGGAAATTCTCTTTTACCCCTTACTGGGATTATGTTGCATTGGTGTTATCTTTCGGATTTTAGCCTTGTCGCTTGGTTCCATGGCGTGATACCGTGGCTTTGTTTTGCAAATACGTGATACCAGGGTCTACGGGTAAATGGCCGGGTGTATTTGCACTGTAATATCCACAAGAGTAAAAAAAATAAAAAGCAATTAATGCCAAGAGTCACTAGTGGCTTGTCTTAGCTTGTTCTTTATCGGTCCAATACTATTGTTGGTGCATATACTGTACTCTGTATGCTACTGTATGAGTTGACCTCCGGTGTCCTGAGACTAGCTTGCAGTAAGACCCTGTTTTGCGTGTCCGAGGCTCAGTTACATCCCACTTTCTCAAGTAATTGATTTAGATATTATTAGATACTGGGGACGGGGGTCCCATTTTTGTGTATTTTTGTGCCGTTTTGTGGGAGTATACTATCAGGATCTTGGATATAGAAAAGAATTATAGGTACTTTCCTATTTAAGATCAGGGTCCTCGTCGATCTGGTTTGCCTAATTTAAACATCCTCTCGCATCCTCATCTTCTCTTTCTTCTCTTCATCCGCATCTTCTTTTTCTTCCAAGTCTCTCGCTTTTGCATTCACTCGTTAACAATCAGCCATCATGCGTCTGTCACTCGCTCTATCTGTTCTGCCTCTGGCACTTTCCGTCTCTGGTAAGCGAAATTCTGTGCTATGATTTGTTATCGCATCATTTGACTGACTCTCTTCCAGCTCTTAAGGTCATTGAGCCTGAGCAGGGTGCCATGGTTGACACCTCCGACTCTCTGACTGTCAAGTGGACTTCCGTCAAGTATGTATACCATATACCATAGCAATCAAGCATATAGCTTCAGAATGCGCCCAATCTACGAGCATGATATCTAACCCAGCCTAGCACCGACGCTTCCAGCGTCAACATTTACATCTCCAACAACGCCGTCTACCCTCCCGTCCACAAGAAGGTCGCCTCCGACATCAAGACCTCCGAGGGCTCCTACAAGATTGACAGCCTCTCCGATATCACCAACGGCAAGGGCTACCAGGTCAACCTGGAGTCCGCCTCCGAGGAAAACACCGGCATCCTCGCCCAGTCCAACCAATTCAACGTGACTGAGTCTGCCTCGAGCTCTTCTACATCTACTGGTGCATCCTCCTCCACCTCCACCAGTGCTGCCACCTCTGGAACCTCTAGCGCAAGCAGCACTGAGTCTTCCTCTTCCTCTGCTGTGTCCGCAACTGACACTTCCGCCGCAGGATCCTCCACCTCCACCAAGTCCGGCTCCACCACCACTACCGCCACCGACGCTACCACCACTGCCTCCGGCACCTCCACTGCCTCTGGCATGACCACCGCTGCCTCCGGCTCCGGTACTGCTAGCGGTACTGCTTCGGCCTCTGCTACCCCCTCCACCGGTGCTGGTGTTGCTCTCGGTGCTGCCCCCGTTGCCGTCGGTCTCTTGGCTGGTGTGCTTGCTCTCGGTCTGTAAATCGATTGAGGAATAGCTGATGTGATAGTCCGTACTGCTGGAGTGGTGTGGTTCGGGCTTGTCGGGGAATTGGGTTCCATGATTTGTTAATGGCATGAGTTCAATGGTGGAATGGTGATAAATGAATTTTGGGGGCTTCTTTTCAATTTGCTTGATCTATACGTTTTTTTCTTCTATCCCTTGTATACTTGGGTAGATACGTAATACATATGTCTGCCTGCTTTTTACATACTTTGAATACTCCTTTATTTGTATCATAGGACCTTGTATTGGACTTTTTACGGGTTTTTGCACAGCAAATGGCCGAATTGAGCAAATATTCCAGCATCAAAAGCTTGTCTATTTGATCAATAAATCAAATCATCTTCTATTTAGTAGATAATGCGTTGTGGCTGGACTAGCTCGGAAACGATATTCTCGAGTGCATCGGCGAGAAACATGCTACCAATCGGTTAATTGAGTTCAACATACCTTACTAGAACGGTTCATTTGAAAGAATATTAGACCTTTCATGATATCTATGAGAAAGAGCTTGACAAAGAACGTTTTATCCGAGCAGCGAAAGCAAATTATATATTTCTGTTCTCATCGGTAAGACACACACACACACACACACACCTTGGACACTCTGTGCTACATATTTTACATTATGGAATTCTCTAAGAAGTACCAATGGACCGAGAGCTTTGATATTTATTTAAAAACTTATACTTAAATACTACAAGATATTACAGGTTTGGTCGGTTGCATGTTTCGTGCACCCAGGTTCTTGGCTTGACTACATAGTTCGACTTTAATCCCGCGCAAGATAAAATAAGAATAAACAAATTGATAGATGTGCGTCTATTTGCTGTAATAATATCTCCCTCAAAGAATAGCATCAGATTTCCGCACTTAAGCCCCATACTCGGGCTCATACCTACCAGTATCAATATTGGCCTCAATAGGCTTCACAACCTGTGACCGGAAGGCAATCTTATGGCCGAAATATAAGACAGCGAACAGAATCAGACTAAGGTAATTGATAAAAAAGTCTGTGACGCTGAAGGTCGGGATGAAAGCCGTGAAGCCCTGGGTGATGATAATCAAGACGTTGAAGAAGAGACCATACCACGAGAAGAACGGCTGCCAAGTCGCTTTGTAGGGAAGAGTATCGCGAGAGATACCACGTGCCTTTAACGCTCTCATAAACGCCAGATGGCAAATGTTCAACGAGGACCAGGTGATAAAGCCTGCCAGGCCGGCGATTTGCATCAACCAGTTGAAAACGGTGCTTCCTGAATTGCTTAGGTTCAGGAATCCCAATAGGCCGAAAATGGCTGTGAAGCCGACGCTTCCATATGGGACACCGTGCTTGGTTGTCTTGAGGAAAAAGCGGGGTGCGAAGCCTTCGTTTGCTAGGCCGACTAGGATACGGCTACCGCTGTAGACGTTTGAATTGGCTGCTGAGAGGACCACGGTCAGCAGGACCGCATTGATGATGCTCGGTAGGGCGTTGACGCCTGCGCGGTTTGCAGCAATGACGAAGGGGGATGAGTTTGCGTCGGCGCTGTTTCCATCGCTGGACGTGAGGTGTTTATCTGTGGCTGGGACAACGATGCCAGCGAAGAAAACGGTGAAAATGAAAAAGAATACAATTCGGAAGAAGGTTTTGCGAATTGCAGATGGGACATTCTTGCTTGGGTTCTCTGTTTCTCCTGCAGCGATGCCGACAAGCTCTGTTCCTTGGTATGAGAATCCGGCTTTGATGAGAATAGCCCAGAAGCCGATGAATTTGGCCAGGGCGTCTTGCTCTGGGTTCGTGATCAGGTAAGGCTGGAAGGGACCGGGGTGCATCCAGTATCTAAATCCGATGTATCCCTCTTTGCCGACGCCAGCGTTCATGCAAATAGCGAAGATCATGAACCCGACGACTGTGATGATCTTGATGCTCGAGAGCCAGAATTCGACTTCACCGTAGCAGCTCACTGGGAACATATTCAAGATGATGATCACAACCCAGAAGATAGCAATGAAAATCGCCATCGGGATCTGCTCGTCCCAATACTGGATAATCAGACCGGTCGCAGTCAGTTCAAGGGCAAATGTCGACGCCCAGGAGAACCAGTAAACCCAGCCCATCGCAAAGCCCAGACTCGGATCGACTAGTCGTGTAGCATAAGCAGCAAATGCTCCTGGAATTGGTAGATATGTAGCTACTTCACCCAGAGCTGTCATGACGGAATAGACAATCGACCCCACGAAGCTGAAGGCAATCAAGGCACCCACGGGGCCAGCTGTTGCAATGGCAGTACCGCTGCCAATGAAAAGACCAGTCCCAATTGCACCACCTGCCTGAGAGTCAGAATAGTATCCAAAGTTGAGAAGTTTCACTTCCTACCCATTGCGATCATCTGCAAATGTCGGCTCTTCAACCTGCGCTGCAGCTCGGGCAATTCGTGAGTCTCCCCATTGCTATGTTTCTCCTCAGACTCCTCGTCCTGGTTGCCAGTAGAACCTATACGGTCTGGCTCTTTGACATCTTTCTTGTCTGTTCTCGGCTCATTTTGTAGGCTGGTGACCTCGTCGGAGGTCATTTCCGAATATTCAGGGGAGGACGGAGAGTTTCAATTGAGGAAGTAGTCAAATCTGGGGTTGTGAGACAAGCATGGGGCCCTTTGGCTCATTTGACGAATTGGTGCATCGCGTTGGACTTCCCCAAATGGTTGGTCCCATTTCCCCAGGAGGATGATCGGCCTGGGGACCCCGCGTTGCCGGGCCGGGACTTTCTCGGGATCCATCACGATGTCCGAAGAAACAAATGAGAGTCGCCCAATTTGCGGGTCCTTCAGAGCAATTGCTAAGTGCTCAAGCCGCATTACGTTAAACTGTAACTCTGGAAGCTCTGCTGCGCATCGGAACGCCCCGAAGTCCGGAAAACAGCCAATTGCGTGGCTTATAACGTAACTTGCCGATATAAAGCTACCTTCACCCGGCCCGGTATACTGTGGAACTCATACATCATCTTGATGCGGGGTAAGGAGATGAACATGCTCCTTCAATAGATTTTGATCGTGAGGTGGTTGTCGTGCAAAGGGCGTAGAGCTCATGTGGTGGCGGTTTCTCGATCGGTCCCTGTATACTCTCTAGATACGCGAGATTGGGTTCTTATTCAGCTCAGATCGAAGCTTCAGTATCCAAGCGAGTCTTCACTGCGCGAATTGTTTCGGCCGGGGTTATATGCTGAGTCGTGGTGCAAGAATGGAATGGGGCCCGGCGGATTTTTGCCCCGTTATTCGGCTGCGAGTGGGTACGATCGTCTGTGACGGTTTGCACTGGGCAGCTGGGTGCTATTTGACTGTTTGGGTCTACACATTCGATTGTTGTAGGGCGAGGAGGTTAGGAAACTGAGGGCGTCGTCATGTTCGTGGGCCCAGGCCACACATCTCAATGTGCGCATTCCTGGCCACATGTTGGCATCCTAGCCCGGGTTGTTCCATACTGCACCCTGTGAATAACACGATGATATGTTAACTTGAAAACGACATGAGAGAGAAGGGAGGGAGATGAGGATGAGTTTCTCCTGGGAAGTATCGACTTAATTAGTTAGTGTAGAGACCTCAGGCCTCTCATGTCTTGGCAAGCCTTTGGTCCTTTTTTATTGCTAGAACCTAGACAGCTGGAGAGCAGAGAATACACACCACTTTCATTTCATCAGATTCATTCTACATGAAGTAATAGCAGGGTGAATGCGACAGACGTCCTCGAGAGCTATACGCATGGCCTGGGAGTGTTTCCAGGTCTTCTATGATATCGACCTGTCTGCTATGCCAGACTGCCCATCGAGCCGTCCCATTTCATTAGTTAGTCAACTGAAAGTTTAAGTCCAACTATTTTCTCAGTACAGAGTAGGAAGCACGCATTTACACTACTAATTTTATGAAAAGCATCAGTAACATTCTTAGCGAATTCAACACTAAATGTCTTTTTTCTAATACGACCGTCATATCATCTTCATCTATGACCACTCAAGTTAAATTTGTCAAAGATCACCCGCTAGAGACTCTTGGGACGTGGCCGATGTGTGGTTTGTGCGCTGATCAGACGCGAAGCCTGTTCATCACCTGTGGAACGGACTTCCCCGCTGTACAATGTAAGGATTTGCGTTGCATCACAACAGGAGAGAAAAGAACTCTTTCCGGTTCGTTAGCTCCTGTTCATCTGCTACCCACCGTTCGCCTTGGCACATGAAAAGTATAGCCTTATGCACCACATAACCGCTATTGATCTAGTACTGGAGAGCTGTGGGATAGCTGCAACTCAGGAAGAGAAATGATCAGAAGCAACAGGCTTTGGCTGGAGTTTCAGCGGAACCTCTGGTGTTAGGCTAACTACCACCCCTAGAAGCGCTAAACGAGTCCATTGTTCAAACTTGATCATTGCATCGCTCCCGCTGTATAGACATTTGACAAGTACTGCCTCGGGGTACTTGGTCGTTTCAGCTACCGAAGACAAAGCCAGGACACACCGTAACAAAGCTCCTCGAATCATAAGAGGCCTGATCGAAACCAGGTGGACCGCCCCATATTCATATTTTGAAACGAAAGCCTAAAATCAGGTAAGAACACCGAGAGATCTCTCAGGAAGCCATGGTTCGGAATGTTAATTACTTTATGAAGAGCAGTCTACCTCAATACCGAGTTCAATGTCCAGTGTCAAAACTGCACGACGCAAATCTACCTCCACGGCGTCCAAACTTCGAAATAGCTGTGACGCATGTGCCTTGTCTAAAGTTAAATGCCCAAAAGAGAAGCCATCTTGCTCACGGTGCGCGAAGAGAAGCATCGCATGTGAATACTCTGTACCAAAACGACCTGGACGCAAGCGAGATAGTGACTGGAATGACAGCGACACTGGAATGCGATATTCAAGAACCCCCACTGTTCAAAGTGGGCTAGCTACAGCCTGGTACTCACCAGATACATCGGCTACGCTCCCAGATCTGAACGCGTCCTTGGTAGCGTCCACCAGACTATCCAGCATGACCCATATTTCCTCACGTCCGGCGGTAGTTCTGGACCCTGTGACTGCTCTTGAAACTGGAGTTTACCCAGAAAGACCTGAGATAAACAAATTCTCTAGCGGTCCCTTGACATTCCCAGTGGAGTTCCCGGAATCTGGGTCGTTTGACTGTAGCTTTTCAAGCTTTAACCAAGCGACTCACAATGCCACTGAGCTTTGCACCTCGGATGAAGGTGACCTAGAGCCTTCCTTTTGCACGAACTCTCAGTATCGCAACTCTAACTCGGACTCTTCCTCTTTGGCAGCAGAACGACAAGAACCAACAGCCTATGCGATCCATGCTTCTAGTGGCATCCCGGAAACAGAGTCAAGGTGCCGTTGCATGGAAGATGTTCTTTGCCTCATGAAAAGACTCTTCTCTCCTATAATACCAAAATTCGATACATTGTCATCTAACTCATATCTCATGAGCCCGTGCGTTGGGACCACAGATACCGATGACATCTCGCCTCTTCAACGAACTCAAATAGTCCTTGTGGAGAATAAGCAGTTCATCAAGGTCGTCACAAATATCTTGAAATGCTCGTGCGCGGAAAGGGGTTACCTATTGACCATGTTGTCCACAATTACTCTGAGAATTCTGGAGCGATACCGTGCAGCGGCGCAGATGCATCCTGTACCAGGGCAATTTCCACCATATAGGACGACATCGAGCCACAAGACGTCTCAGATGGTCCTTAGTGAGCTACATCACGTACAAGTATTATTGGCTAGGCTTGCATTGCGAATTGACACTTGTAGAGAACATGCGCCTGGAATCAGAACTGGGCCGGGACATTGCTCTGCGCCCAGAACAGCTTTTGAGGGAAGCACAAATCCCGATGAGTTTTCTGTCACTGCTTTGGGCCAGATGCAGACAGACTTGCAGAATTGTCTGTCGCGTCTGTCGTTGGATATCATCAACATTTTGAAACATATATAGAAACCTTGCATCTGGTATGGAGAGCAAGACTTAACGACAATATTTTTTTGAGGACAGAGATATGCCAAGGTCTCAAATCTCCATGGAACTGTCAATCAGAACGTAAAATTGTAGATAAATGATGATATGCCGACAGCCAGGACCAAGAAATCAAATGATCTAAAGCAAGCCACAGACCCAAGGGAAGGAACCGATAGCGCCTTCTAATTATGATTTTTCTTTGTTTGTTTGTGGTACCCTTTTCTACTGGAGAGGACTCGTGACTCGATTTGTAGGCACATGCATGGGCGCTAATCAACTTAAGCTCGGCCCTTTTGCCACCGATCTAGCGGGTAGATCCGTTGGAACCATATCTTGGGTGGCTAAACCCTGGAGTAATGAAACCCATAATCTGAGCTCAGATGTTGATCCATGGATTTGAGTTGCGTCTTGCGCTTCAGGAAAGTCTATCATTGAAACATTGCAGAGGTCAGGGGTATTGCGTGTTGTACTCAAGTTGGGGCACGAATCCAACGGCGCGCCTACATAGAGACCCCCTTGCTGACGCGGGGCTATACAAATAGTATATTGGGCTTCTCTTCGGTTTTGTTGGGGATATTAGGGTCCAGCTTAGACCTGTTGATACAAAGTAGGAATTCTTTGGGTGATGAATTGCGCAAGCTCTTTTTGCTTCGCCCATGTTCCCAGAATCTACAACAAGATTGAAACCCCCACTGTTTCCACCGGATATCATACTTGAAAGGTTTATATGTCATGTCACGCTCTTTACCCATGGGGATACCACACATGATGATTCAAAAAACAACGCAAGTTCCCTTCACGGCTAAGAATCAAAAAAGAAAACTCACTGTGGAGGATCAGCACATAAGTGGAGTCATCGTTGATTGAATGACCTGATAGTCTTAGGGGACCGTGTCTTAGAATTCGGCATCAATTTCCATGCTAGGTCTCAAGCCATGCCGTGATAGAATATCTATGCACAGAAGCCGAGCTCGCATTGCGGCAGGATCCTTGGTAGCCATGTTGCTCAGCCATAGGATGGCCTTTCTGATCATTGCCCCAATGTTGGCACTCTCCGCTGTACCCTCCTTTGGCCGAACCACAAGGTTCATCATTAGCACAGTCACAGACTGCATGATATAATGAAGCATGCACCACCACGGAGAGCATTCATACAGCCACGCGACATCCGGGTCGCTCGGTAGGAGATCGAGTATTTGACCTGCTACCTGAATGCATGTGGCCGCCATGGAGCTGCAGAGAGTGCTTGGTGGGCCATCTTCCGGTGCCCCGTACACGACACGATGCAGACATGGCTGCGTGATCACGAGCCTGGTGGAATAGAACTGGAACGCAAGACTTGTGTGTTGCAAGACATCAGGTCTGTTTACTCCAGATCCTGTGAATTGATAGGACACAGGAAGCCGAGAGAGCCAACGTTCAGCAGACTCATTGAGTGCCGAAGTCGCAAGTTCAATTTGCAGCCACGATCTCGGAGCAGCTATTTGGGAGAACAAAGTGCCGATTGCTTCCTCCATGATGGCCGCCAAGTCAACGGAGTATGTAAAATACAGTGACGCCTTCATCGACAGGTACTGTGCCGCAGTGGCCCGAGCCTGCTCATTGCGTCCTTCCTCTCTAGACGCGACATGGATGGGGGTTTGAGCTATGGGGCTGTCCAACATGTCCTTCCTGGGCAATTGGAAATGCAAGGATGACATCAAAATGCGCCGGGATTCACTATTTGTAAGAAGTTGCATGACATGCTCCTCTCCAAATTCCTCCTCTCTATAAGGCACCGGAAGGGGTGTAGCGCAGTCTGCCCTCTGCATACCAAATGGACGACCAGTTATCCCAGAAACAAGGTTATTTAACAAGTAAAGACCCCACCAGAGTCGATACCTAGCTTCTTTGGACAGATTTGAGGTGCTAGGACTTTCATCGCGAAGTTGAATACCCATAGCCTGCGCCGAGCGTACTGCGATGCCACACATTCTCCATGCCCTGGAGAATCATAAAGAAATCAGTTTTTGCCCGGAGAAAAATGATCTATCTAAATAAGGAAGATGCATCCACCTGTTGACTTGTCCAAGAGAAAGAAGGTAGAAAGAGGCCAGTGCTTCCACTTGTACTTGCTGTAGATTGGGATGGCTAAACGATGCAGCATCATGCGTGTTGAGCTGCCATGCCCGTGAGAAATATACTGCATGTTCTTCACGGCCGTCATGGTCGTGCAGAGCATGGCAAGATGCAAGGCAAGAATGTCTTGCGCCAATGGCGAACACCATGTTCAACACCGCCATCCACCTTCTTCCCGGTCGTAGATTTGATTTCGAATAGAAAGCTCGGCACTGACTGATGAAAAGACCCTTCCCAAGAAACGGAAAAGACTCGTGTGTGACACTGAAGTAGTTGTCGACAAGTTGATCAGCGATTGCTTGCGACGGTCGTTCCATTATAGTCACATTATCTGAGACTACAATTCCTGATTCATCAAGAAAGTAGTTCACAGATGACAGTGATTTGATGTCTTCGTCCTTCTGGAGGCTGCCTGGTGTCGGGTGCTTTTCTTCAAGAAACCGCATGAGCTGGTGCAGCCACTTTATGGCCGAGTGTCCACCGATGAAACCGGTAGCTTGCGCTTCTGCATCACGGTTAAAATCTTCATCGACGAAATCCACGTGGCTTCTGGTGTAAGATGGTGTGTTGGCATTGTCTGATCCTCGTCGGGGAAGTGTCGATGCCAAAGAAGCGGTTGAAATCTAGAGATTGTTAGATACTAGCATGAGGTTAAATGGATGATATATTGACTTGGCTCAGTGGCTGAGAATGTGCGTCTGCTGCGCCGGATTGATTGACAGACGTGTCAGGATGATGATCGGGATGGAGATAGATATTTCGCAGGAGGTTCTCGTACGTTTCGACCTGAGCTGTCAAATCATCAAGTTGTCTAGACACCACGTCAGATGCGTGTGTGTTTGCATCTTATCTGAACAACGCACTTGACCATTTTCTCACGCTTGCGATCACCATAGATACATGTCACATCGGACATTTGGCATCGATGGCACGTAGGACGGTGGCCACTGCATTTCACCTTTTGCTCCCGGCAGTTTACACATGCTCGGGAGACTCGGCCAGGATTGGATATTGGTTTTGTGTTTGTGGCTCGAGGAATGGCGATTTTCGGATTGGGTGTTTGCTTCGCAGTGTCGACGTGTGACTCGTAGAAGGGGTTTGAACTTTCGGATGCTGTGGTGGATGATGGATCGGATGAATCCTCCTGCAAATTGCCGGGCGTATTCCAGTCATAGCTGAAGAGGGCTACGTCGTCTACAAGATCAGACGTGGGTGGCCGGGTTGACGATAGGGGAGGGTGAGGCAAATTTCCACTCATGGTCACTATCAGTTTGGCAACTAGCCAAACTGCAGCGCCACGGAAGATGCACAGAACAAGAGATTGTACTAGAAAACACACCTCTAGCAGTGGGGAAACCGCAACTCAAGTAATGCCTCTCTGGATTCATATCAAAACCACGCTTGTACATGTGTAGTTAGTCTTCTAGGAATATGTAGGGTTGGACCTCCAAACAAACGCTCTGGTTGGCTGGCACTCACATCCGTGCCCCCTTCGGGCCGTCAAGAACTTCCATGGATTGTCACCGCGCTCTTTGTAAATCTTCAATTTTCATATAAGCGAATTTTTTTGCAAATGTTTTATATTCAATGTTTATTCATACGTGCAAGATTTAGCAAATTACACGACTCTTCAGGATATACCTTTTAAAGCTGCTGGCGAACAGAAAGGGGAAATCAAACACGGATATGTAGCTTGTAGGGAACAACAACGCTAAAACAACCCATATTGTAGCGGTAAAATGAAAGAAATTTCTTCGTATTATTCAGCCGGAGATTTCGGGTGAACGTCACGACATGTTTGGCCGACATATGCCTGAGGAATAAGGTCTCCGTCGTTTGCCTTCAGTAAATGCGTGTTTCCTTCTGAACGAACAATGAAATACACCATCCATTCGCCGTCAGTTGAGCTTTTTCACCGATGAAAGCAATGAATTTGGTATATATGGCTGGGAAATACTGCAAATTCTCCACCGTCCCTAGGTATATCTATTACTACTGCAGTGATATTAGGTCTAATTTCCCAGACGAAAGTATATTGAAGAGCCGCTGATCAATCATAGACTTTTTCAGTCTTATTTGCTACAAGGCCTTGCGACCTTGAGAGGGAATTGCCAGGTGAGTACAAGCTCCTCATCCGTGCATTGAACTTGAGTAAGAGGGAGCACAGAAGAATGGTATGGCAAGAAGCACCCACTGTGCGGCGAACTCAAGGCTAGAAAGAGAAAGGGCCAGGAATTGTATTCTGATATTGGAAATTCATCATTGCATGGTCTATCTCGTTTTCACTCCAGCTTGGGTGTGGTCCTGGAGAAAAGTGGGGAAAGGTCAGGTCCAATGGTGAATTAGCGTACAATGGGCAATCGGGGTAGTATTTGATGTAAGCATGCTAATCTTCAACTGTCTATCAAATGGCCTATCATAGTCACCTGGCCAAATCAATTATCTAGTTCAATATAAAGTCAAACGCTTGATAAAAATGCTCAAGATAATAGCAAGTCGAGGGTATTCTTTCTACAATTTCAATCATGTATTTTCTATATGTTGTCGGCCTTCAAATTTCAAATGCTTTATACATTAGTCCTAACCCTGAAAGCCTCAAGGCTCACAAGTCTTGATATTAAAAAAAGAATCGTGTCGCTCGATGACGTTATGTATTCTTGCGATGGGACAAACGAATCAAAAGCAAAAGGGAGAAAAAAAATGATCCCTGTTACGAATATATCAAAATAGCCACTCCCTTTGACTTGACGCCTGAATTCTCGAAAAACCCACTTCAGCTGTATATTACAATAAATCGCCCATAGTATAGAATGCTTCTGATCATGAAGGCCAGTGGGGGCCCATGTTCATCGGTAAATAAGGATGCAAAAAAGGAAAATAATGTCTCAAAAGCCCAACAGCAAGACAGACAGGAGTTCCAAGTGGAAACTTTGCTTTCCCATTCGTATTGATCACGCTCACATTTTTCATATCATAGCAGCCCTGGTCTTCATCCGCCGCCTCGATCATAGCGGCAGCCAAGTCGAGATAAGACACAGGACTTTCCTCATCTACCAAACTAAGGGCATGGCCACGCTGCACATCAATCGATAAAGCCCCGGGTTTGATGAAGACAGAAGTGAGCCAGTCCTTCTGGGCACGAAGTAGCGTCTCAGCTTCTATCAAGTCTTGGTAGACGTGAGAAGCCGAGCGGAGTAGGAGAAATTGCAGTAAGGAGTTTAAATTCCGAGAAAAGTTTTCATCAATGGTAGCCGACGACAGAAGAATGATCTTGGGCATGCGCTTGATAATGGCGGCGTCCTGCATACCCGACAGGACCTGTATCACGGCATCGGCGGCATCACGGGCAAGGCGGCAATTGGGAATGTTATCGTTAGTGGAGATAACTAGGAAGACCGCCCGGACGTCGCGGATGCATGATGCTAACAGTTCGTGATCCTGAATGCTGCCTTCAAAAATCTCTACCCGCCCGTTCCCAATTGTTTCAGGTAAAAGGCGCAAGAGTTTGTTGCGGTTGCGACAATATGCATGGATTCGAGATTTTGGTCTTTTCAAAAGGTTCTCGATGAGGGCAGTGCCACAATTCCCTGTCGAGCCTAAGATGGCGTAGGTTTCATGCGTCGACATGACGACCCCTTGCGTGGCTTTTTTTTTTTTTTTTTTCTTTCCTTGGAGTGAGGCAGGTCAAGAAGAAATTCAGGATGGAGAGCCCCTTGTGTTCAGAAGGCCAGTCAAATGATGCATATATCAATTGATGGGTCGAAATAGTTAAAGCGCCCGTCAAGCACAGCTTTGATTTTGAATTTTATCGGCAGCTTTGGACGTATGTGCAATTGTGCGAGGGCTCACGTGGATAATATGAGGCTTTGATATGTATACTCCAACGGCTTTTTCGGCTTCATTTGGTGTTTAGACTTGCAGAATTGCTTTTGTTCATATTGCATAGTTCAGGGATCGAGGATAACGTTAGGAGCTGGCGACCCGAGCGCAAAGATAGGGGGGCGTGTGACCTGAAATGTCAGGTGTCGATACCCACCTCACGTCGTTCGACCACAAGTTAGCTTGATTTAGTACAGTTTCGCAATCTCGCCTAAATATGGGACATTATACATTCGTCTATACGAGGATGTGAGTTTTGCGCTAGAAGTCACTTTTAGCCCAAATAATGAACGCTGTTAGAGCGCTGCAGACAAAGCCATCCCCTGACTGCTTGCCTCCCTTGTGCTCGGAACCACCGAAAGAGGGCATATTATCGTTCTTTGCTCCGCATATAGCCCAGAAGAGACGTGTATCTACGTTCCTTTGCGAAACAGATTATGAAAGGAAGAAAGCCAGCAATTGAGAAGTCAAAGTCAGTAAATATTGAAGAAAAGTGGAATAGCCCATATATTTACATTTTACTAAGTGGTTACTGATCAGCAATCAGACCGTCGGGATATTCTCTCAAGGTATAGACCGAGCAGTCGGTACATTCTACTTGATTCCGACTGCCGACCGGGATGAGTGGGTCATTCCCCCCCCTTCTGTGATAATTTGCTATAGCGGTGTCACGGGATCCCCCCACCCTCTCGGGGGGTGTCCCTCAGCCAAAGTGCAATTCTCAGTCATATTGCAAATTTCTTATTTCTTCATTTTTAAGCCCGGGAGTCCTGTGACACGACTAACGCCTATGTAGGTACCTGTAGTATTTCTAAAACACTGGTTGATTCGAAGCAGCTTGCCTTTGCTCAGTTTCGGTCGCTCTAGACAGAAAATTGATAAATGGACGTAATATTTATCTAGGAAGCCTCAATTCCATCTACAATTTCTCCGTCTCTGATGTACTCCTCAATCCAGCCGATGGTGATCCTAGTCTAGGTCAATTATAGTCTCTAATATCCTGCTAGACAAACGTACATGCTTCTCTTAGTATCGGCAAAATTCTCATGGTCACCAGCTAGGTGTTCTTTATACCAAGGATCTTGCTTCATACGCTTGTAGTCTTCAATGCTTCGAAAGACAACCTGGCTGAAACAATCGAAATCTGCAATATTTGCCATCTGCGGGTCAAACAACTGGCTCATCAAGGCGCGGGTGGACTTTTGATTATGTATCTGAAAATACCAATGATCAGATCTAGAGATCCATGAAGGAGAAGAGCAGAGTGCAACGACGAAGATGCTCACCTGAGTCCATCTCTTGATACCGTACTTGACCATCAGTCCCTTTGTCATGGGTGCAGACACATTGACCATGTGGTGGTGATAATTTTCTTCACTCATGCCGGGCTTGCGGTAGCCACATATCGTTAGACAGAGAAACCTGTTTTCAGCTAACCCTGATATTTCGGGGATCTCTGGATCATGCCCTATATTCATGTTCGTGATTGGCATATAGACGCAATTGAAATTGAGGATGTGAGCACAGAAAAGTATAATTCAAAGTATGTGATCTTCTTAAAAGAAAAAAAAATGACATGACTTTTGTATTTGACATTCTTTCATGCGAGGGGATGTCCAAGGGGTACATTTACCCTCCCTCGCGTCGTGTCGGGTCATAGTTCTGCATCGCAGTATCTCGGCAGTATTTCGGTAGTCAAGTTGCGCTAGACACCAATGGCTTTTGGGTTTAGTCCGATATAATATTCATTTGTCTTTCAGGTTTGCGATACCTATATGGTAATCCAAACCTGAAGTGATATACACTTAGATTTGGGGGCATTGCTGTTCCAGACAAATGGTTGACAATGCTCACGCCTTCACAGCTGCGCATTTTCTCATTGAACAGGTCAACACGTAGGCTGATCTGTTAGAGAGGGGCGCTTGGCTTGTCGGTATACATGCAGGTGCAAAACCTACCGTCGGGGTAAACGCGGGTGACGACAACTACCCCAAAACCCGACCTTGACGCGCCTGGGAATTGTACGCTTCTCCGACACATTCCAAGGGTTTCTTACGAATGAATAGTTGCAAAAAAAGAGCCCTGGATCGTGGTTTATAAGACCAAAGCAGTTAATAATTAATCCAGGCCCTCCGAGCTGTGATGGCAATTAATATGCTTCAAAAAAAATCGTGAAAAAAGCTAGAGCCAGTCTGTAACTACCAAGAGTTTATAATCTCGTGGGTTCAGGTGACAGCGAACCACCTTTTAACACCTCCTCTCATATCAAATCCAACCATACCGTCTTCAGCGAGCTTTCTCAGGATTTCGTCCATGAGGGGCTCCAACGCTCTCTGCATGAGATGTTCACTAATTTTCTCTCCATGCACCGCCACAACCACCTCCTTGGTCGAGAGCCTTCTACCCCGCAGGCCAGTTTGAATCTGATGTAGAGCCCGTAGCACCTGACGCTCACGTCGCAACTTCCCTGCTAGCTCTCCCGCAATCTTAGAATGGAGGTTCGGTATCACATCTCCATGGGCCGGGTAGCCCTTGATGCAGTTATGGGATTGCATAATGCGTAGTGTGTCCATCCAGGTGCCGAGGTGTTCAACTGCTGTGGTACCTTGACCAAGCACATTGTCTCCAGTGAACATAGCATTCTCTTCTTCTAGAATGAAGCACATGTGATCATTAGAGTGTCCTGGTGTGTGGATGGCTCGCACTGTAGCACCTTCGACAGTAAAAGTTTGGCCATCGAAGATGGGTTGCTGTGTTTTGCTCGGTGTATGTTTGAAAATGAAATCAGAGAGTTCCGGGTACAGCTGAATGAGATGGGGAACACCCCCGGTATGATCTCCGTGCCAATGCGTCAAAAGGACATTTGATACTGAAAAATCTTTGGTGGCCAGTGTTTCTGCAATTAATCCTGCCCAGGCTGGAATTCCCTGGCCAGTGTCGATGATAAGACGCTTCGCTCCAGTGCCGATAATATATGTATTCGTTCCTTGAAGTGTAAACTAGATAGAACGCCATTTTTTTAGTTGTTGATTGACGTCTTGGACATTGACATGGAAACACCAATTTCACAACAACTTGGACTCACCTTTCCGGGATTCTGTCCAAGGATACGGATTACTCGTGGACTGACCTGTTCCACATCTAACAACTTTGACATCCGCTTTTGTTGGGCTTTCAAGTAATCTTCAAAGACGCAGAGATCCAAGGCTTTGTTGATTTGACGATATCCTCCCTCCCCTGGCGCCATATTGACCGGAGGTTGAAGGTCTTGTCTTGATACAAGAAGATAAAAATGATTTCAAATCGAGTCACAGTGCTTAACACAACTAGAGCTGAAACCCCACAGCTCGTGCAAGGGGCAAATAAGCGTGGCCAGTAAGGGGGTGGCAAGGCAAAAACGTCGTTTATCTCCGGAATGGAAATCGAGACGTTAGGAAGGGCATAATTTCCCGATGAAAAAGCCCCACGTCGGGGGAATGAAGACAAAGTACAAGTGATATCATGTCGAGCGTTGAGAAAGTTCGCTGCAAAATCAAGTATATATGCCTTGGTGCTAGTTTCTCTACATCTATCTCCGACTGCGGATAACATAACTTATCCGAAGATTGATCATTGATCACAAGCGTTGACCCCTTGCTTGACAGATCCCGCTGTCTTTCCATTTTGGGATACGTGCGCCCATGTGTCCTGTTGGATTTTATTTAATAAATCTCATGTGGCATGAGTGTAACTCATTTTCGAAAAGAACTATCCGCTCATAGAATGGGATGTATAGGAACCAGCCCTATGGATCTTTTTCAAAGTATGAAATCATCTTCTATTGCCGAGTCCTCGGATGAACTTCTTCACATGACGGTCTGCTACTTTGGCAATGAGTTCCCTAACGGGGGTACCAAGGACGTCTTCCGACAGCTTCACAACCACAGCAAAAACAGACACCATCTTCTTTTGGCCAACTTTATTGAAGCCGCCACTTTGGTCATCCGAGAGGAGGTTCGATCATTGCCGACCAAGTTGAGAACATTGTTTCCGCCTTTTGAGACAGTATTTGGCCTTGCAGACAGTGACGACCTACGCAGTGGCCCTCTCGGTGATTGTGTGAACGGGATGCTCATTTGTGTAGTTCAACTTGCAACCTTGATCGGGTATGACGAATACCAATATAGTAATCCGACAAGACTTCTGCTAACTATGTGCATTCTTAGACACTATGAATGCAGCAGTGGGAGCTCATTCAATTCTCAGAGGATAGACCTATATACAGCTGGTATGGGGACTGGCCTTTTGTCGGCTGCCGCCGTTTCTCTCTCTCATACATTGGGGGACTTGCTATTTGTTGGGTCTGAGGCTGTTCGTATAGCGTTCAGACTAGGTATTCTTGTTAAAGAAGTGTCCCAAGACCTGCAACCTTCAACTGGCGGGCATAATTGCGATAGCTGGGCATACGTTGTTCCAGGAACTTCCCATGACGAAGTGCAGAACGAGCTTGATTTGATACAAGAAGTTGAGGTTTGTTGCATATTGCGAGTTGGCCAGAGTTGATCTATTTACTGATTCCGACCTTGAAACACAGACATTCGCGACCTTTAACAAAGTTTTTATCAGTGCTTGGAGTCGAGGATCAGTGACTGTCAGTGGACCACCGGCGCGACTGAAGCACATGTTTCTCGCATCTGACTTCCTACGAGACCGGAAGTTCATTGCTCTGCCAGTCTATGGTGGCTTATGCCACGCGAAACATGTCTACACAAAGAAGCATGTCAATCGCATCATCCAACCCAAGTCAATCGAACAACTTGATGTCAGGCACATGCCGCGTGCTCTCGTGTTTTCGACCAACACCGGGCAGCCCTTTCAAGCGACAAACGCCAGTGAGATTTTCCAAAATACGGTTGAAGAGTTATTGACTCGAACAATTCATTGGGATAATGTTGTTCAGGGGATCATAGACCGGGGAAAAGACATCGGAGTGACCGAGTGTGTGGTCCTTACGCCGGGTTCATCTTTGCTCGCACGCGACCTGATCGAAGCGCTGAACTTGGAGTCGAATGGGTTCAAAACCAGCATGATAGACACTATGAAATGGATCTCCCAGTCTAAACCCCCTTTAGAAAGCGCAAGAGGCACCCAACAAGCAAAAATCGCCATCGTGGGCATGTCCTGTCGTATGCCCGGAGGTGCCAACACCACCGACAAGTTCTGGGATGTTTTGAACGAGGGTCTTGATGTGCACGAGAAGATCCCCACTGATCGTTTTGATGTTGAATCACACTATGATCCCACTGGGAAGCGTGTGAACTCTAGCCATACACCGTACGGTTGCTTCATTGATCAACCAGGCCAATTTGATGCGCCTTTCTTCAACATTTCACCTCGTGAGGCCATGCAGACAGACCCTATGCAGAGACTTGCGCTTGTCACAGCCTATGAAGCTCTAGAAAGGGCTGGCTATGTTTCGAACCGGACGGCATCAACGGACCTACATCGCACTGGTACTTTCTACGGCCAAGCTAGTGACGACTACCGTGAAGTCAATACAAGCCAGGAGATAGGGACTTATTTTATTACTGGGGGCTGTCGCGCCTTTGGTCCAGGTCGTATTAATTACTTTTTCAAATTTTCAGGGCCCAGTTACAGTATCGATACAGCATGCTCGTCAGGACTGGCTGCAATACATGTGAGTTGAACAAATCTTTTGAGAAAACAATCCCGCAAAAGAGCTCATGAGAACTCACAATATATAGTTGGCCTGCAACTCGCTTTGGAACGGAGACACAGATATGGCAGTGGCAGGAGGGATGAATGTGTTGACTAACTCCGACGCATTCGCTGGATTGAGCAACGGCCATTTCCTATCAAAGAGCCCAAATTCATGCAAGACATGGGATTGCGAAGCCGATGGTTATTGTCGGGCTGATGGTGTTGCATCAATTGTCATGAAGCGGCTGGAAGATGCGCAGGCCGACAACGACAACATTCTCGGAGTGATTCTGGCGGCTGGAACAAATCACTCGGCGGAGGCGGTTTCTATCACACATCCTCATGCAGGTCACCAAGCCTACCTCACGCGACAAATTCTCTCCCAAGCTGGAGTTGATCCTTTGGACGTCAGCTATGTGGAAATGCACGGAACTGGAACTCAGGCTGGTGATGCTCAGGAGATCCAATCTGTCACTGATGTCTTCGCTCCATTAACAAATGCCAAGCGCCGCAGTTCAAAGCAGTCACTACATATAGGTGCGGTCAAGGCAAACGTTGGCCATGGTGAAGCTGTTGCTGGTACAACAGCGCTGCTCAAGGTGTTGCTTATGTTTGACAAAGAGATCATCCCGCCACATGTTGGTATCAAGAACGCAATCAATCCGGCCTTTTCCAAAGATCTCAAAGACAGGAATATCCACATACCGTATCAGAGAGCACCCTGGTCAAGGAAGTCGGACAAGAAGCGTGTTGCTGTTGTGAACAACTTTAGTGCTGCTGGAGGAAACACGAGCATTGTCATTGAAGAGCCACCTGAGTCAACCACACCTTGCAATCGGGACCCACGCTCCAGTCATGTCATTGCAGTATCAGCGAAGAGCAAAATTTCGTTGAAGGGCAATCTTCAACGCCTCATCGCCTACGTGGAAGCAAATCCGAATATTTCTTTGTCAAACTTGGCGTACACAACCACCGCTCGACGTCATCATCATAATCACCGCGTCGCTGTGTCGGCATCAGATTCAAGATGTCTAGCAAGGCAGCTGAGATTTACTCTCCAATCGACGGAGTCCCATAAAGCGGTCCCCTCAACTGGACAGACCCCAGTTATATTTGCCTTCACGGGCCAGGGGGCATCACATCGGTCTAGTAACTTGGAACTATTCAGAGATTCTCCGTATTTTCAATCACAATTCTTGCATTTAGACACAATATGCCAGGCTCAAGGGTTTCCATCCATCATTCCTGTCATCGATGGGAGCTTCCCTGAGAGCCATTCGCACTCGCCTACAGCCACACAGCTTGCACTTGTTTGTGTTGAGATGACTTTGACTAAGTACTGGGAATCCCTGGGGATCAAACCAGATGTTGTCATTGGCCACAGCATGGGTGAATACGCGGCTTTGCATGCAGCGGGCGTGGTTTCTGTCAATGATGCTATCTTTCTTGTTGGTCAGCGAGCTGAGATTTTGGAGAAGAGATGTCAACCAGGAAGCCACAAGATGTTAGCTGTCAGAGCCTCGCTCGAGGAAGTGGTTTCTAAGGCAAACGGGAAACCATTCGAGGTTGCCTGTCTCAACGGACCAAGGGACACGGTTCTGAGCGGGACAGTTGGCGAAATCGAAGCACTGGTGGCTGAATTGGAGAATTCTGGAGTCAAGTGCTTCGGATTAGATGTGGCATTCTCCTTCCACTCAAAGCAAATGGATCCTATTCTCGATGAGCTAGAAGCTATCGCTAGGACAAGGGTCATCTTCCATCCTCCAAAGCTACCCATCATCTCCCCTCTGCTCGGTAAAGTTATATTTGACGAGAGGACAATCAATGCCAATTATATATGCCGAGCAACAAGAGAGACTGTGAATTTTATGGGCGCTGTGGAAACGGCAATCCGCATCGCAACTGTGGACGAAACGATGGCGTGGGTTGAACTTGGACCACACCCAGTCTGTGTTGGATTGGCACAATCAATCATGTCGCCAATAGGTGCGGCAGTTCCATCCCTCCATCGAAGTGAGAATAATTGGCAGACACTTTCACAAACTTTGGCTGTTCTTCACTGCGCTGGTGTTGAAGTGAACTGGAACGAGTTTCACAGACCCTTCGAAAAGGACCTGCGGCTTTTGGACCTGCCCACCTATGCTTGGAACGAGCAGAATCATTGGATACAGTATAATGGCAATTGGGCTCTGACCAAAGGCAACAACTCACATGGGCTCGAGATCAGGACACTGCCAATGACGAGTCTTGACACTCCCGCACGTCCTACGCCCATATCTGGGCTGCGAACATCCCTGGTTCACAAGGTAGTCGACGAAAACTTCTCAGGGTCAACTGGGCGAGTTGTTGTCCAATCTGATTTGATGCATTCGGAATTCTTGGCTGCTGCATGGGGACACAAGATGAACGGGGCCGGTGTGGTGACTTCGGTAAGTCTCAAGATTCATGCCCAAGTTTGATAAACCGTCTGCTGATAATTTTTCAACCTTTAGTCAATATACGCAGATATTATATGGACACTTGGAAAGCATCTTCTAGAATATCTCGATCCAACGGCCGGCAAAAGTGTCTGTGACATGGAAATATCGAACCTTGTCGTGCGTGAAGGCCTAATTGCGCAAACAAAGACCGATACGCCGCAACTAATTCAGATCTCTATCAGTACACCTGATATTAGATCAAGAACGGCATTCATTGAGATGCATAATGCTTCCGATGACGGGCTTTCCTTGCTAGACAATGATCCGATCGTGACAGCACAAATTGTTTATGGAAACGCAAAGGCCTGGCTCACCAGTTGGGTCCCATTCAATCACTTTATTCAAGGTCGAATTGAAACCTTATTGCAACTGGCCGATAAATGTGTTGCAAGCAGACTCTCACACAATATGGTGTATGCTCTGTTTGCCGACAAACTGGTCGACTATGCAGATAAATATCGCGGCATGCGCTCGGTTGTGCTCCACGGACTCGAGGCTTTTGCTGATGTTACCATCAAGGCAACTGGTACGAGCGGCACGTGGACTGTTCCTCCTTTTTTCCTTGATAGCGTGTGTCATCTGGCTGGTTTTGTGATGAATGTTTCGGACGCCATGGACACAAAGAACAACTTCAGTGTCACCCCCGGTTGGGGTTCCCTTCGCATGGCTCGCCCTCTGGTTGCTGGAGCCATTTACCGATCCTACGTAAAAATGATTCCTACTGCCGAGGACTCGTCAACATATCTAGGTGATGTCTACGTGCTTCAAAGTGACGAAATTGTGGGTGTCATGCAAGCTATGAAGTTTCGTCGGTACCCCCGCGTGCTTCTCAATCGCTTCTTTTCATCTCCCGACACAAAGTCTAGTTCTGTGAGTGGTGCAGATGCTCCAGGTACTGGCAAGCTTGCTCAATTGGGACGTGTGCCATCTTCTGCGCCTTCTACGGAAAAGTTCAATTCAAACGGAGGCTTGCAATCACCCGCAGAACCCCCCATGAAAGACACATCAATGCATGCTCCCGCGAAATGTTTGTCACTTCAACAAAATATTGTTGATACCACAAAGAGGTGTTCTGAAAGTAGTATTGTCAATAAGGCAATGGCGCTCGTCGCTCATGAAGCCGCTATGGAGCCTTCTGATTTGTCAGATGGTGCCACCTTTGCTAGTCTCGGTGTCGACAGCTTGATGAGTTTGGTCATTGCCGAGCGGCTGCGGGAAGAGCTAGGCGTTTCTGTGAGCGGAAGCCTGTTTTTAGAATATCCAACTGTAAAGGATTTTCGAACCTGGTTGGCTGAGTACTATGGTTGATTCACACGAAGTAAAACTTTTGATGTCTTATTTAATGAAGCCTGTCCTTTCACATTTGCTTTCTGTTTTTCCTTAATCTATATCAATTCACGCTATAGTATACCTGTTAAACAAATCATCAATTTGCCACGTTAATCCACGCAAGGAACGAATGTTGAACACGTACTTAGTACAACTGATTTCACATGTGGTCTTCCCTTTTGAATCTCGTTGTCATGCATACACTTGTCTATTTCTCTGAACCACATAAGATATGTATGTCACGCTAGATGGTATTTCCGCTATAGCTAATTTTGAGCTACTCAAATCCCCTCAAATCTTTCATAGCCTTTCTTTCAAGACGAGAGGTACATTATTTTGAACGGGAGTTTCTTCCCAGCCGAAAGCAATAGATGTCTTCGTCTGGTGCAACTATTTTCTAATAGTATGGATTTAGAGAGCACTTGGTATCCAACATCTCAATTCTAGACAGATCTTCTACAAGTATGTTGGCAGGAAGGTGCAAAAATTACGTTTTGATAGGCTCATAGAAGTCTCCATATCAGGCACGACTATGTCCACCAAGCCATCGTAGTCGGGAAATGGAGGATGAGCATCTCCCGAGCGCTCGTGGCGCTCTTGAATAGATCTCCGTACTGATGATGGTGTATGATTCTGTACAGGATAGTGTGAGCCGAAATGAAAACATAAATCATAAGTCCTCAAGCCAGGATAAAGTACTTGAGTATATCTAACAACCCCAACTTTGGCCAAGAACTCCGCTACTACTGGGGCATGGATCTCGGACCAATGCTTGTGAGATTCCTCCTCGGACAATTGTGCTTTCTTGTAGGCGACCACAGTGACGCGTAGATTGTGATTGAAGCCAGCCATGATGACAGAGAACAGCTCCAATTGAATATAAAATGATAACAAGAGTTGGTTGCTTCTTTCCGAAGTCCCGATGTAGCTGAAGGGATGACCGGTCAACTTTTCTTTATAACAATTGCCCGAATTCGGCACTGTCAATTCCGCAACCTTGGCATGGCCTCATAATTCATGTAAAAGACCCTGTTGGCATTTGACACGTGGTCGCAATCTAACCGAAAGCGCGTTGCGGAGAATCGGGGTCTCTATCCATTCGACTAGTATCAATAGGAGCGAATTAAGGCTATCGTATATTCGGTTTCACATCGTTCATTTTCCGCGTTACTAGATTTTCGAGCTGCTCGATAAGTTCTATGTATTTGTGGAATTGGTCCAACGAGATGTCATACACAATGACTATTTTTGGTAACGAGAAAGGATTATACAGAAAATTGAGCAGAAACATGTATTGAATATCGTCTTCCCTGCTCTAGTATTATGCATCACCATAAGTTTGTTTATGTTTGCCCAAATATCTTCAAGTCCACATTTGATGCAACCGTGAATGTTGAATCGCATCCAAACATCAACGCAAAGCGAATGATATAACGACGTGTTCTGTTCATGGTCGTCTCTTTCCATACCTTTACTCACTATACTAAATGCTCGCCCGCTTCAGTTTAACCCACATCCCACCTTCAGGTTTCGTCGTAATGAGACCAGCCGGAATGGGAGGTCTATCTGGATACGCCAGTTCAATCTCAAAAGCACCAACGAAAGCTGCAGTGAGAGCCCTCAGCTCTGCTTTAGCAAACCCCTGGCCGATACATGAATGCACGCCGTGCAAAAAGGTCAAGATGGAGTAGTTGCTGCTCGTCCCTCCAGTGTTGTTTGGCTTACCTGTTTCAGCATCAATCCACCTCTCGGGCTTGAAGACATCTGCATCTGGGCCCCAAAGCTCTTGATCCCGATTGACAGCCCAGGGAACAATGTAGATCTCTGTGCCTTTCGGGATGCGTTGTCCGGCGATGGTCGTATCCTGGCGAGGTGTTCGCATGCTTAGGGGTACCGTGGGATATAGACGTAAGGTCTCATTGCAGACTCCATTCAGCAGGGGCAGCGACTCCAGAACAGAAGAAAGGTCAGAGTCTGCATCCACGGGGGAGGTAGTAGGGAGGTTGGCATGAATTTCCTCACGCAGCTGTGATTGGATATGGGGGTTCGACGCTAGGAGGTATATAACCCACGCAAATGTCGAAGAGGTGGTCTCATGACTATGAAGAAGATTAGCTTAAACATCTCAATCCTGTCTTCTGTTTGCTGAATGCGTAGAGCTTACCCAGCTGCAATGAAAGTCAAAAGCTGGTCAACCAACTCCTCGTTGGAAAATTCATTGGTCTCCATGAGCTTAGAAAGAATATCCGTGGACTCCGATCCCATAGCCGCAGATTTCTCTCTTTTCTCATGGACAAAATGAATGCAAGTTCTGCGCAAGCTATCGGTAGCCGATTCCAGTTTAGCATCGATTCTCCCAGGGACAAATTGGTTCAACCAGTGCAGCTTGTAGCTCGTCAGTGCAAAAATGATCATTTTCCCAAGCGAAGGCTCCATGATTTTATCATATGTCTGGGCCAGAAGATCATCCGAGTTCTTAATCGTATTGAAGTCACGCCCAAGCCCCGCGATACCAATAATGTCAAGAGTCACCTTGGTTGACCAGAAGTTCACATCCGTGATCCCTGTTCCACCAGAAGAAGCCAAAACTTTCTCCGCAATAGCATCTGTGAGTTTGATAGATTTATCCCAGAAAGTTGGATAAAGGTCTTTGATATTTCGAAAGGAGAAACTGGGCATAAGGCGCTTCCGCTGGAACTTGTGGACATCGCCTTCAACAAGAACCAATCCGTCTCCAAGAACCCGACGCATGAAATTGCGAGGTCCTTCGGGCTTTTCAAAATCGTATGGTCTCTTGACCAAAACCTCCGCGAGTGTTTGTGGACTTGCCAGGAGAACATTGTTGGTGTTAAGAAACCCTCTATAGCGCATCAGTCCATTGTGAGAAGTTTCCTGCATAAATTTCAGGTATTCTGGTCCCACAGGCTTCTTGAAACGGATCAAGCCATAGCCTAACAAAGGGTATCCACCCTGATATTATCAGTATGGAGTTCGTCTGCGAGTAAATCATCACTGGGATTGACTCACAGTTGGGCCGGGAAGTTGTCGTAAGGGACAGATAAACCGGGGGTAGATTTGTGTTTCGTAGATAGCCCAAAGAATAATATTTACTCCCTGGGCACACCAGAAGAGATGGTGTAATGTCTGGTTTTCAAAGTACTGTGGCAAGTATTTCAAGCAAACCGCAGCCTGGGTAATAGAAATTGAAGACAGTAGCACTAGTATCCCAAGCGACAAGGACATGTTTGAATTGAAATAAATCAAGATGCACTGTTCTCCTGATATTCATGCGATTCTTCAATATACCAAGTGTTCGAGCAGAATATCAAATACAAGAGAATAGGTTGAAGAGGACGTACCTCGTAGAATCAATTTTTTTTCGGACAGATAAGTTCCCTGATCGTGGCCGTGGAGTGTTTTGAGGCGTGATCAGCTACTTAAGCTCGGCACCAGGCCATGTGAAGCCCTGGCCCAGTCAATGGCTAGTTCCTGGACTACTACTGAAAGTGGTAGATCTGGGGTTCAGTAGATGCTTTATCCCCCAGACCTAATATCAAAGATCTCTTGCGCAAATATAGCATCTCTGCATTGTTTCCACAGTCTCCTGTCTGTTTCCTATTCATTTTCGGCTAGTTTCCATTAATCGCATCATACCCAGGCAGCATATCAAAGAGCTTTGATTACCCCAAAGTCTGTGAATTTATGTATCACTCGCTGGTGTGTCCACAAATGAGATTTGTTACAGACATAGCTGATTCTTTAGGCCACTGCTCAACAGTGCGCTGGGGCTTGTATGATGATGTCATGAGCATCACGGAGCTATGGGTCTGTCCGAGCCCAACTCACACACGATAGTTTCGCACATGCATCAGAGTCCCTTTGACGGGTCATGTTTCTTCTGGCTGAAAAGATCTCTAGCCGAAAGGCAATTATTTCTGACACTAACCAATATATCCGAGCTCAATTTAGTATCTCTGCCAATTGTTGGAGATTATCCTGATGCGAGGTCGGTGATGGTTTCGGCTCTTAGACAGGCACACTTCGTTCTGAACGGTGTCTATCATGGTCTCGTTATTATGGATCGGTACCGCTTGAATGGTGGACAATAGATCCTTTGAGAAAACCTATATGGCTAAAGAGTCAAACTCTAACCATTGAGAACGACGGGTTCAAGTCGACAAATCGGGGCAAATAGATCAATCGATAATTGACCAGATGATTGATCAAGTGCTTTCAGCAGATAAAGCTGTAGATGAGTAAATCAGCCAATAAAAGAAAGAAAGAAATAGATGCATACGCCATGATAATATTGCAAAATCGACGATAGGACGGCGTCCCGGTACCGGGGCAGGTGATACTCCCAGTTCGTTAATCAGGTCAGGATCAGCAATACAACTCATCGGAAAGCACAAGCAATGTTCTCCAAATGGGGACGATACTTGTCGTCGTCGTAATTCATTAAATGAGCATTCAAATAGATAGTCAAAGATCTGGCAAGATGATTGTCTTGGATTGAGTAGCTTCTGAGCTATTATATAAACGAGATGATACATTGGGACATCGCCACGCGCCTCGCTATTCCATACCCAGAGGCGTCAGACATGGGAACCAACAGAGAAAAAAATGAGAAAGAAAATAGAAAGCAAATATCCAAACACATGCTCGCCATGAGATGTACAAATCAAAAAGAAAAGCTAGCAAGAAATGAGGGAAACCCTCTCATTGAGATCTATGATGTATCAATCATGTTCAAGGATTCGTCTCACGCACACTGCGCAGGCAGCGTTCGAGACGCTTCCCGCGCTCTTTTTCACGAACAAGAGTATCCTTGACAAAAGCACGAATGGCATCGCGGCCAACCTTTTCACGCCATGAGGTCCAGCCAGCCAGCTCGCTGACTACTACGTCTTTGTTCCATGAGACCTCTTTGGCCAGGCGAGTGGCTTCGGATTCACCGTCCTGTATCTTTTTTTCCAAGTCGCGAACCGATTTCTGACGGGACTCTTCAAAGCCGGGTAGGTTAAGATTAAACTTGCGGGGGAGGGACGAAGAGAGGAGGGAAGAGCGAGAGCGGGAGATGTTGCGGGTTGTTGAGGAGAGGGAGGACATGAGAGACAGAGGGCGGGAGAGAGATTCAAGGATTGCGGCAGTTGTGTTGTCCACTGAGGAAAGACTTGCGATATACTGCAGGAGTGGGGAGGAGTCCGACCTCGAGGTCGATAGGTATGTGGCGTATCGGGAAAAGGCCTCTATGTGAGACACGGGAAGCGCATTTGTGGGCTCTCGGAGAGTCGCGAGGACAGATGAGCATAGCATCACGGCGTCCGCAAGATCTGATGCTCCATTGTGCAGGGCATGTCCGCGGCGGATCAGGCTACGCGTATTGGCGTGTACTCCGCGCACCATCTCCTGGGCGTGGTTGACAAACTGCTCGGTATCGCGCATTCCATCCAGTGAAACAGGCGGGTATTCGTCGGCGATGGTTTCTGTGAGCACTGCTGCCTTGCGACGAGAACGATCGGCCATCATATCCGGTTGAAGCTCTGGAACGAGGAAAAACTCCCACAGCATTTCATGAGTTGAGAAGGTCGGATGGGTCAAGAGCGTCTTGAGGAAGCGGTCAAGTCTTTCCTGGAGATCATGAAGCACGGATCGTGAGGGCTTTGAATGTATTTGGAACGGATTCCGGAAGTCCGAAAGAGATGGCATATAAGAGGCTGGATGTTCCACTGCAAGCCACTTGGCCAAATTCTCAAAATCCGAGAAATTGCGACGACAAGTTGTCACGGTGTATGTTGTTGATCCAGGTCGTGAAGATGCCACTGATTCTGATGGAGGATATGGAGCCCCGGATTTGAGGATAAAGCGTACTGTTGCATCTTCCACAAAGAATGATCGCACAACAGTTGTGACACGGCCTGAAGGGTCGCCACAGGCAAATGGGGGGTGGGACAACAAAATCAAGTCATCAATGCGATTTCGTACCTCGTCATCCTTGGCCAATTCAACGGCCGTCAAACCACGTGCTTCTTTGATATGAACATCAACCCTTGGGTCTAGGAAGAGAATACGAACTTGATCGACTCGCCCGTACTTGCTGGCCATCATTAGTGGTGTGAACCTCTTGTCGTTTGTCGCATTGGGGTCACAATCGCTCTCCTGGAGAATCCTTCTCGTGATATCCGGGTCGCCAACAATATGTAATAGGGTATTCCCCTTGGCGTCGACATGGTCATCCAATTGAAGTGGTTTATTATCACCTTGTGATTGTTGCGCTGCAGTCAAAGCAGCTTGGACCATGGATTTGTACTCGGGATGATCATAGGATCGGCAAAGTGCGAAGAGCGGAGTTTGTCCATGCTTGTCTCGTAGTCGCCAAGGAACAATGCTACCCAGTCGGGCCAGCAAAGACGGTGTGCTGAACAGATAATGCGCGACTGTTCGACCATGGATATCGGATTTGGTCAAATAGAACGCAACCACATTTGCATCTGTCTTTGCAAATAAAAAGTCCAAGAGAATCTCAACAATCTCGTTGTGAGCTAGCTGCACCGCAGCATTCAGAAGTGTTGTCCCATTGGCATTAGTATCTTGAAGAATTTCTTCCAATGGGTAGTATTCCTCCAGAGTCAACAAGTATCTCAAAGCCTCGGGCTGACGACCCTCAACCGCCATCATTGGTATGGAATCACCGGCTGGGTCTTGAGTTTTGGTTAAAGTTTCAATGGAGCTATCACCCTCGATTCCACTTGCCATGGATCCAAGAGTATTTGTCCTGGAAATGAATGAGATGGCTGATGATTCTGACATACTGCGAACATCCATTGACACTTTTTTGATTGGTCGATGGGGTTCTTGGAGGATTGAAGGATCCTCCCATGTCTGGAATGGAAATACATGAGACAATGGCGGTGCATCGACAATGGCTTCCTCTTGTTGTGTTCGGCTATTGATGTGATTGGTGAAAGAGTTCTCGAGGGGTAGTTCCTCTGCTTCATCTGTGTCATCTGTCTGGAAGAAAACAGATTTCCTCTCTGGCTCTGGTGAAATGACATCGTCTTCTGATTCGTGGTCTTCGTTTGGTTCCAGAATAGCCTTCATATCAGATAGTCTGCCTGTTTTAGTGGCTAGCCATAGACGTCGGTTTCGAGCGCTGGCACGACGCAGTCCGGCGGAATCGGTGACAAGATACATCAAAACAGCCTCGAAAGTGCTCAGAGCATATCCCATCTCACCACTGTCGACATCATCGATATAGATGAAGTGCTGCATATACAGCAACCGAGCTTGGAGATGTCTAGTCTGGGACCGTATCACAACAACTAGCAACAATGAGACTAGAACATCGGCATTGATTGTAACAGAAGAAGTTCCTTTCTCGGACGCTGAGCCGTCCAGCTGATCATAGCTTCCTGGGTAGGAAATAACTTTGACAGTCCCAAGGAGAGTGCTCAGCATATCATGAGGACACCGGGCCTCGTTGATCTTCCGAAACTCATCCACGCCTCGCCCCAGTCGCCGAATCAACTCTCGCTTCCCTGCACGTCCACCTTCCACTGATATTCCAACCTGGGACACATCAATGCTCTCCATTTGTCGTATTCGCGAGTCCAACTCTGTGTCTTCTGGCTGGCGGAAGGAACAAAGACGGGGGAAAAGTAAGGGCTCGTGAACTTGTTCGGCGACATAACGTTCTATGAGACGTTCGACTAATGGGCCAGTGAGATCGGTGGTCGCACCGAGCAGTGACAGTTGTTGCTTGTCAACAAGACGAAATAGATCAATGGCCGCAGTGACAGCAGTCTCTAGGCTTCGACGCATGAGGTCTTCGTCATCTTCGAAGTATTCTTCCGAATTGAATGGCAGTCGGCCTCTGCTGCGTGACGACCAACTGCGGATAGAAGAGCTTTCATCCGTTAATGATTCAGTACGTGTGAGCTTGTGCATACGCTCGCTACCAGATGCAGACGGCGATCGTGAAGGCGGAGGCGGTAGCGGCTTTCCAAGTTCCTTGCCAAATTCGCGGAATAATCGTTCGAGGCCAGGCTGCATCTGCCGGGCAATCATGGGAAAGTTGGCAAGGAGTTCACCAAAAGTTCTGATCTCTTGTTTCTGTGGTGTTCCCATTGAATCTCCATTTCCATATTTTTTGTCTGCCGTGCTAGGTTCAATGGCTCTGCTTCCGGTTCCAGGCACTGAAGCAGGTATGATCCGTGCTGGATCGTACGTTCCGATCAGCGGTCGAGAAATGTAATATATGAGCCATGGGCGCGAATCGTTGGACGGAGTGTAGTATAGCGCATCGGATAGAAGTTGAGCTTGTGTAAGCGACTTGAATCCTGATGTTGTATCATTGTTAGCCCAAGTCGTCGCGTTCACCGATAAAAAAAGTTACCTTTGTTGCTGTACACTGAGTTGTCTTTGATGATCACTGTCCTGCCATTAAAAGTCGTAACTTGTCTTGCCTTTCCTCTACTGTCTCGCACATTGTTGTCTTCTTTCAAATTTGTAGAGCCGGTATGAATGGGGATGCGTAACACATGACTCCCTAGAAATTCCTCCGACGCGACTAGATCAGAATACAGCAAGTTCGATTCCCGGTCGCGTGAGCCGATGAGACAGTCCGTCGTAGGTACGAGCAAGACCTAATGAATGCACACAATACCAATTAGCCACTCCGGGCAATCCGCTGGTTGATTGACAGTCTCCACCTACATGGTTCCCAACCGGTATACACTGGCCCGGGACAGTGCTTCGAAAGAAGGCACGGAGAAAAGGGTTTAGAGGGTGCATCCAAACGGTTTTGGACGGCCCAGTTGAGATACTCCAGCAATCATCAAGCCGTCCGTCTCAGCTTGCCGGAGTTGGAGATGTGTGCGCGGTGTAATTTCGCGGGGAAGAGCTTCGGCGCATACAGCTGCAGGCAGCAATTTGGGAATGAGGTCAGAGCGCGTCGACGGAACTTTTGTAACACCTGCAGCAAAAACACAATGGCGAATCTCAAAGAACAAGACAATCAAAGCGCCGAGGCAAGCAGAAAGAGTGATGAAGCAGCAGCCGCGAGGGTGATTCGAGAACGTGATCGACGAGCTGATGGGCGCTATACCACATTTGGTAAGTAACCCTCCTGCAGCCTGAGGCAACACAAACTAGTTATCCAGGCACACATACTGCATGTTCACTCCATAACTTATCGTGTATGGCTTTGTAGATTTATAGGGCAAAATAGGAGGATCTGGCTCATATGAAAAACTTGATTGAGCATGAGACTGTAACTCATAGAAACCGTTCAAAAAGCTGTACATGGGGGCCTATCTGTTTCTGAAACGGTAAAATTAAAATGGAACAATTGGTAAACATACATCCTTGACTGACATGTGGTTTGCAGATACGTGCAAATCATTCGGTCAAGCTTACAAATGTCCAGTAAAAACGTTATTCGTCACGGTAGTCGAGATATTGGTGAGCAAAACATATCTTGATAATGTATATATCCGTACTCCGTACTCTAAGCACAAGTCAACATGCTTTTTCTATCGCTCGCAAGATTATTAGACAAAGCTAAATAGGCAACCCCAGAATTTCTTAGCCATTGAATTACCTGAGTGATCTGACTACGCCTTTTCGAACTCCAAATTACCAAGGAACCCGAAGTGAGTCCTATCATATGCAGTTTGCAGATGGATGACTTGTATTCCCAAGGTGGAATTCTAATATACAGAGTGGGTGCCGACAACACCATTTGAAAACAAATAAAGCAGAGAGCCAAAGAAGGCTGTCCAATCGTCCACACCATGCGATCCAGTACAGTTTGGCTGTATACAAAACCAAACGAAGCCAACAATGACCTCTTCACTGGCGAGTGATAACAAATATGCTTTTGGGACTGATCAACCCAGTCTACGCTCGTGCCTGCTGCGAGTACCACCGAACTTGAGTCGAGTAGAATCGGTCACTCGCATCACAAGTCCCTTGATGAATCGTCCCTCATTTCCCAGAAGCACCTTTGTGAATGCCTCCCGGCCCTTTCCAAACCCGCGGAACACAACTTCTAACCGCTTGATTTCCATTAGGAGGCCCTTCTCCTTGATTTGTCCGAGAACATGGGCGGAAAGTTGGTATGCCGGGTCAAATCCAGAACGCCCGGCTTTGCGGAAGCCGATTTGACCACACCCAATTGACATAATAGGGTTTCCGTTTGGCCGTGTCAAGGTAAGGATTGTGTTGTGCTTGTGGCAGTAGACGTGGAGATGGTGAGCAGGGGCTCGGTCGGCGTAGGGGTTCTTGATCATGTCGGCTTCGAAGCTTTCCGCCATTCTGAAATTTTCACGGCGTGCAGGGGCTCTCTCGCCCTGCATCATTTGCGTGATCGCGGACAATGGCGATGAGGGCGAGGTGTCGGAGGGTGTCTCCGAGTCGCGACCCAGCATCTGTCTTTGCATTTCATCCCGATCGACCCGTGGAGCTTGTTGAGAGCTAGACATCGAAAAGGGACGTGTGAAATGCAAAGACTGAATGCGAGGCTGAGATTGGCGACATACCGACGGCAATGCCTTGGTCAACGCGCTCATTGAAAAGGAGCTCATGGCGAAGGTGCGCAGTAACGAGAATTCCGAAGAACAAAGAGAATAGCGAAAATAACAAGTGAATAGAGACTGAACAATGCCGGAGTGCCTAATCGTGAAGCCCCGGGTGTTGTCGCAGGTCCCGTTGTCGGACCGAACAGAGGAGACGCTGGAAGTTTTTCGAAGTCTTGGCATCTCGACTTTTTCCCTTCCCCGATCTCTTTGCCTCCTTCACCACTCAACACATCGCGTCCAGGCTGGGCTGGAATCCCCGTCTTTTTGATTAGCTTTTACCTACATCTTTCATCTCCGTCATCCCTTTTCACCTTATACTTCTCTGTCATCACAGATGATTCCGACCAAGATGTCTGCCGCCACGCGAGCCGCTACCCTGCGGTCTCAGGCACCGATTCTCCGATCCTCCCAGCGTTTCTCGACTCGCGCCGGGTCATATTCGACCATCTCAGCTCAAACCTCAGTCCTCTCTCATAGGTCATCCCGAGCCATTATTCAACCCACCCCTCACACCGTTTCCCAAATTGTCTCGCCATTCGCCGCCCTCCCGTTGACACGTTCATTCCACGTCGCAACTTCCCTCTGGCAACAGCAGCAATCGCAAAAGCAAGGCGAGGGGAATCAAAGCGAAGATCCTAAGTCTGAATCACAGGGCGAGGAATCCAAAGAGGAAGGAAAGGAGAAGAAAAAGGAAGAGGCACCACCTCCGCCACCACCTCACGGAGACAAGTCCCCATGGCAGGTTTTCCGTGAGACTCTGCAGACCGAGTTCAAAGCCTCCAAAGAATGGGAAGAGTCGACCAAGGCGCTGGCATCCTCAGCTCACCAATTCAGCGAGAACGAGAACGTCAGACGTGCGCGTGCGGCTTACGACGCTGCCTCGGGAGCTGCTACAACCAAGACCGGTGCGGCTTTCAAGCACACTGGCCAGGCTCTTGGAAAGGGAGCTGCTTGGACATGGAACACTTCCGTCGTGAAGGGTGTCCGCAAGGGTGTCAGTGCAACTGGAGAGGGACTCGAGAAGGCCACACGGCCCGTTCGTGAGACCGAGGCATACAAGAGTGTCAAGGATGCAATTGATGATGGTAGCAGTTCCCGCTATGGTGGTTGGGTTGAAAAGGAGGAGCGCCGCAAGGAGCGACAGCGTCGGGAGGCGCTGGAGCTCAAGGCCGGCAAGACCCGTCACGTTGACCAGATGGTTGAGAACCCTGAGTGAGTTTTAATAATCTTTTGTCGATTCCGTACATGTCTGACTGATTTACCTACAGCGCCGGTACCCACGTCACTATTCACAAGGACGCCGCCTGGAAGGACTCGTGGCGTGACTTCAAGGACTCTAACCCCATGATGCAGAAGCTCTTCACCATGAAGGAAACCTATAACGAGTCCGAGAACCCTCTTATCAGCACAGCAAGAAGCATTTCCGACAAGATTGGAGGCTTTTTTGCCGAGAACGAGACCGCTCAGGTCATCAAGAAGTTCCGGGAGATTGATCCCAACTTCCAGATGGAGCCATTCCTGCGGGAAATGCGCGACTACATGCTCCCCGAAGTGCTCGATGCCTACGTCAAGGGAGACGTTGAGACTTTGAAGCTTTGGCTCTCGGATGCTCAGTACCACGTTTACGCTGCCCTTGCCCAGCAATACACCACCGCTGGCCTCAAGTCCGATGGCCGTATCCTCGACATTCGTGGCGTTGACATTTCGCATGCGCGTATTCTCGACCCTGGTGACATCCCTGTATTCGTTGTCACTTGCCGGACCCAGGAAATCCATGTTTACCGCAAGGTCAAGACCGGCGAACTTGCCGCGGGTATGGAGGACAAGGTTCAGTTGGTCACCTACGCCATTGGTCTGACCCGTATTCCTGATGAGGTCAACAACCCCGAAACTCGCGGTTGGAGATTGATCGAGCTTCAGAAGGCCGCGCGCGATTACATTTAATCGTGCAATAGGCTCTGTTCGGTCTTCTTCTTCTCCTTCTTTCTCCCCTTTTCACCGACATATTCTCTTGTGGATTTTATCTCCTCTCGCATCTTGAACCCACACCTTCCAATTGTACAATATGACTGTTCGATATCAAGCCAGGTAGATCTGGCACTTGTTTACGGCTATGCCTATTCCAGTGACTACGTCTTGGGGTCTTCGCTGGTTAATCAGATTTTCTTTTTTTTTCTTTCATATATTAATGCTTCATTCAGCCTGTTGTTCAACCGCCCCGGTTGAGTTTGGGCCTGTTCGCCTAGGGTCTTCTTCTCGAGACATCCGCCGCAGGCTTTCTCAGGACTGAACGTTTCGTCCTTTCCATAGACCAAGACGCGCGTTGGCTCTTATCTGATGGCATTTCTCTGGGTCTTGAGGTGTTCTGATGGCGTCTTTTTTGCATTCTGTTTCCACTCTCCCCTCGCCTCCCAGTTTGACTGCATTGTCTCATTGGTTTCGGTTTCTGTTGTCAGGTTTCCGCCCTGTGTCACTACAAGCCGAGCGTCAGCTGCAACGTTATGAAGCGCCCTCAAATCATGTAAATATATAAAAAGAGAATTTCTGATTTGGATTCTCTGCCTCTACTTTTTCTACTGTAGGAACCAAGCCCTCTGAGATTTACACATCTGGCTTCCTCAAGATACCAAGGTAGTTTCCTCCATACCAGAGGCTTTATAGCATTTAGTTGCTTTTTCTCACAGGCTGCCAAGGACAAATGTGCTAGGAATTGTAGTTCTTTAAAGAACGCTTGAAATTTGACTTTGCTACACGGTATATCAGATTTGGTCTTTCAATTTCATGCCATCAATCATTCAGTGTGCCAGTATATTAGTTCTGGCCACCGCGTCCGGCGCCGCCAGCACCGCCACCCATCATGTTCCGAGCCCTGTAAACAATCAGTTCATACCCTGACAATTGGGATTTGATATTGGGTTGACTTACATATCTGCAAGGTTGGGATCGCTCATCAGGCTAGACATGTCAGGCATGCCACCACCCTGGCCAAAGTTTTCGGCCATCTGGCGGAGACGGGGGTTGTTCATCAAGTTGCCGAGCATATCGGGGTTGCTCATCAGGTTCTGTGCCATGCTGGCGAACATGGGGTTGTTCATCATGGAGCCCAGGTCAGGCATACCACCGGCACCACCGGCACCGCCGCCGCCGCCAAGCATGCTAGCCAGAGAAGACAGATCAGGCATGCCACCACCACCTCCACGGGAGGCACCGGGGGCAGTGTCAAGGTCCTCCGAAGGAGGCTCGCTGGTCTGGCTGGCCTCCTCAAGCTTCCGGCTGGATGTCTCCAGACCACGCTTCATGGCTTCGCTGCCACCATTGCCTTCGGCCTCAATACCCTTCTCGTAAGCCTCCTTGGCGGCGTGATAGTCGCCCATATCGAAGCGGGCGAGACCCAGTCGGCTCCATGCCTTGGAGTACTTGGGATCGGCGGCTGCGGCAAGTTCCGCATCTGCTGCGGCTTTCTCGTGCTGAGAAGAGGCCGAGTAGGCAGCTGCGCGATTGGAGAGGTAGATGGGGTTGGCGGGGGCAATCTCGAGGGCCTGGGTGTATTTCTCAATTGCACCGGGGTAATCCTTCTTCGCCATAAGAGCGTTTCCCTCAGACTTCAGCTTATCAGAGTCGGGCGTGGGAACGCCGGCTGTGGGCTTTTCCTGGGATTGTTGAGCTCCGGCGTCGGTCGATTGCGGGGTTGACTTGTTGCGCAGCTTCTCGTAGACACTGTAGATTCCGACGAGAGATTGCCCACCTACAGCATCCTTCACGGCGGCCTCATCGGTAGGATCAACCTTGAAAGTGTCGGCGATACAGGATTGGGCGATTTCGATCGACTCGGCATCGTCGGCTGTGAGGGTGCCATCCTTCAGGCTGGAGCCCAGGAAATCGATGACGGCCAAAGCCAGGCGCTTCTTGCTCTCTGTTGGGGCCTATGTGTTCTCGTCAGCATGATGTGACATCCAGCACTGGGGATATCTTACCATGATAGCAATAATCCAGAGATATTTTGAATGGGGAGAATTCAATCAGGAGAAGGAATGAGGGAAAAAAACAGGTGGGCAATGCGGGGGGACAAGCTCCTGCACGTGATCGCTGCTTATCGGCCGCGGTCTGTTTTCCCCAGCTGTTTGGACTTCCTTGTTTCTTTCACTTTGATGTTCACCTTGGTGGTGACTGTCTGTACTTCTGTCGATTATTACATGGCTTGATATGACTCCATGTGAGCTTCATTGTCAGTCTTAACCCCTGATCCTGAACCGCCATGTACTGGCCTCATGGAGTTCCCCGGGTCTATGCGGTCAATGGGCCCGACATTCCCTATGTCTTAGACAAAGATCCCGGACTCGATCCATCCACACCTGGCAGTACGAATTCACTGAACGACAGCGAGAATGACGAGGCTCAGCAAGTCATTCCGGGCACACAGCGCAATGAGCCGAGCATTGAACCGTCCCCCGACGCGGGCACATCCAAATGGGAAGATGAAGCCATCAAGGCTGTTTGTGTGTCCAGGGCTGGCCAAATATTTGCGACAATGACAGAGTCATCCATTGCTCTTTGGCAGACCCGAGTATGTTCACAATAATGGTGTTTATGGCGAGAGAGTTGGGCCTTGATACTAACCATTATAATAGCCTACAGCAGTTGTTGCAGCAGTCACTAGATCCACATTTTCTTTGAATACATACGGTTCCAACGTCGACATTCTTATGCATCCGGACTCGTCAATTCTCGTTGTACAAACTTTCAATGGATACCTCCTGACATACTCGATTGCGTCGGACACAATGACTAGAGTTTATCAGCAGCGGTTCGACCAGTCCACGCACCATCGTCGCCAGCAAATTGCTCGCTTCTCAGCAGTGGAAGAAGCCAATGTGGTGAGGAACATCAGTATCCGGTTCCGAATGGCCATCAAGATCGAGTCAGGGATCGTCAAGGCGCTGGCGCTGGATCAAGAACTCATTGTAGCCACCGTGAAACCGGCGGCCATGCAATGTATTCGATGGACTACCGAAGCGGGCGGAACACAGACTACATCGGAGCTTCTCAGTCGCATACTGGGGATTTCAAAGAAGGTTTCCATTGTGGATATGGTATATGACCGCGCGATGAACCTTTTAATATGGATTACCAGCAATGGCCAGGCATACGCTGTGCAACGAGAATCCGGGGCGCAGGAGGAATTTGAAACAGCCAAAAAGCTTTTCCATGGACATTGTTTCCACGATCCGAAGCACAACGGCGAGAAGGCAATGAAGGTGGCAGTGAATGCTCGCTTCTCTTTACTAACCCTGAGTTGCATCAATGGCGAGGTCTTAGTTTACACTGCGAAGGATTATATGGGTAATGTTCCCTTCTCCCAGAAGCTCCAGCTGCCAGCTTCGCCAACAACGACCGGGTCCTTATCCTTCATGGGTTACTCGCCGGACGGATATTGTCTGTTTGCAGGATATGAACATGGCTGGACAACATGGAGTGTCTTTGGGAAACCTGGAGGAAACAGCTTCTCAGCAGACCCTGCGCTTGCAACAACCAATACAGAAGATTGGCTGACTGGTGTTTCAAATGGTTGTTGGATCGGTGGAGGCTCAGACATCATTCTCTCCGGAAAGAATGATCGTCGCTTGTGGATATTGGAGACAGCTCGCAGTGCTTTGACCGGTTGCTTTTCTTCTGCAAATTTGGCCCGAGGTCTATTGCAGACCGGAACCGAGTTCATTCTCTATCGTGGTCATGACATGCCAGATCTTATGACAATTTCTGGAAAGGATTCCCTTTGGCACCATGCTCAGTATCCTCCAGCATATCTTCACTCCCAGTGGCCGATAAAATCTTGCGTCGTATCTCAAGATGGACGATATGTTGCAATTGCAGGTCGGCGCGGCCTCGCACATTACAGCGTGAATAGTGGTAGATGGAAGGTCTTTGAAGACTCCAATGCTGAAAACTCTTTTGCTGTCCGAGGAGGGATGTGTTGGTATGGCCACATACTGATCGCAGCGGTTGAGAGTGACGGCTCATATGAGGTATGCCAAATATTTGATTTACGATTATTTCACTGAAGACTGACCTCGACTTGTAGGTGCGCCTTTATTCGCGTGAAGCCTCTCTCGGCAACGGCAGCAATTCCATCATGTTTACTGAATATCTCCCCTCGCCAGTGGTGTTCATTGGCCCATCGGGAGAGGATTCCCTCTTGGTCTATACATTCGATAATATTCTCTATCATTATATCATCAATACCACGCAGTCTCAAATCACCCTTGTTCCTGTGGGGCAGATCGCCTTTAACGGGATTGTTCGAGCACCATCCCGTGTTCGAGCAATCAGCTGGGTTTTGCCTGAGGAACAAATGCGTGAGTTCTCTTCTTCCTGGGACGTATCGATCGAAATACTAAATAAAAAGCAGGAAATGGTGATCCATCTCAAGACGTGAAAGTCGCATCGGTGCTTCTCCTTGTGGATGGCAATTTGGTTTTGCTGCAGCCCATGGTGTCTGAGACAGGCGGACTAAGATATGACATGCGTGTGGTCTCTCATGATGTGGAATATTACATCCTGATGCGTGACCAGCTTTCATTCAACTTTGCCCCACAGGTTGATGAATCCCTGCCTCCCAGTCCCTCTGCGGGAATGACCCTTGAGCCGTCTCCCAGCAGCTTGTCTCTCAGGGACTCCCTTTGGATGTTCCGGGGGAAGGACCTGCTAGCTTGGAACGATGTACAAGATGTTTTACAACAGGAGACAGTACCGGATCCACTCCACATTCCTCTGGATTTCTATCCACTGTCTGTGTTGCTGGACAAGGGTATTGTGCTCGGAGTTGAGTCCGAGATGATGCAACGACGCGATGTGACATTTACCGTTCTAAAATTCGCCATTCGAGTAAGGACGCCCGCTCCCGATCAACGATACGCCTTTTCACTAACATGTGCCTCAGACCCACCTATTCCTGCCGTACTTCTTACAGTATGGCCTCACAGCCTTTGGAGCGCCCGCCGCTCTTTCACTATGCCGTCATTTCTCCCATCTGTCGTACTTTGCTCATGGCCTGGAGATATTGCTCCATCACGTCCTGGATGACGAGGTGGATAACGAGAGTAAGGCCAGCAAATCCGGGAACCCAGCCGAACGCGAAGAGCCGCTGCTTCCAACCGTTATTTCTTTCCTCCAAGCGTCCCTCCCCGTAAGAGAATATCTTGACATCGTCGTGCAATGCACACGCAAAACAGAGCTGCGATCATGGCGCACACTGTTCGCCTATTTGCCTCCACCAAAGGATCTGTTCGAACAAGCCTTGAGACTTGACTCGCTCAAAACTGCAGTTGGGTATCTTCTTGTATTGCAAGCTTTCGAGGACGAGGAACAAGGCCACGATGGCCGCATCGAGGAATATGTCGTGCGTTTGATCGGCTTAGCTTCGCAAAAAGGAGACTGGGAGTTATGTGCTGAGCTCGCCCGCTTCCTCATAGCTCTAGATTCCTCGGGTGAGATGCTTCGACGCGCAATTACCCGGGTTGGCCTCCGCCCTAACTCCATATCCCCTGTCAGTGGTCAGCGTCCTGGACCCGGTCCACGATCTGGATCTGCAGGAGTGAAAGGGCTGGGCTTGGACCTCTCGATTCGGTCTCCATCATGGTCTTCTCTTTCTCCAACTTCGTCGATCTCACCCCTTCAAACTGGACGGGATGGTGATGTGTTAGATGAAACCCCCTATTCAGCAGATGGTAGGGATAATTGAACAGGCTTTACTGCTGTGCTTCTGTGACAAAGCACATTAATATTTGTGGCCTCACTACGCGTGTACATAATTGCCATTGGCAAATGAATGTTTAAAGAACGATCTCGTTTTTCGGTACATATGCTTTTTCCATTTTGCGTGTTTCTATATATATATATATATATCTGTGACAGACCTTGCATTGTAATGAAACTCAAATGCTGTTGTGTTCCGGGTCCGCGGCTCCCGGCCCAAGTACAAACAAATCAAAGTTGGTGGGTCCTATGCAAGGCTTGACCAATAAGAACGCTTATATCCCGGCAGCCCATGGATCTATCCCTGACGCCACAACCTTTATTCCGCCTCAGCATCTATATCAGTGATGTCTCTATATTGGTATGTCTCCAAATTAATACACTGGTAGGAAAGAAGCAATATGAGAAGTTATCATTCGCAGCCGAGCCTGTTGGAGCCAAGCAACTTGCGTGATGTTCAGGGGTTCTTCGTTCACAAGGTGGAATTTTGATTCAGTCAATTATCTTGCGTAATTAATAGGGTACGTAAGTCAAATCCCGAGGTCCCTATTAGTGTGAATGATCACATTCAGGGACCCGAGAGAGATCAGCTAGAAGGGCCCCTTGTGCACTCCCGCTGCAGGTGTCTCGCATTAAGAGGAAGGCTTATGATGTAAATCATTGATCTCCGTCCGCAGTGGGCGGACCGTTGGCCCCGGGTAAGCAGTGGATCAAGCAATAGTTCATGCTGGCAGAAATGCCAAGCGAAATGCCAAGGGGTTCTATTGATCATCACGTTAAGTGACGGCTGTGGCGTCTGATGATCAGGGTCTCTTAGGGTTGTGATCTACCCTCGTTGACGCGATCGTGTGGATTAGGTCACAATTATTGTTCATATTCTGTGGAGAATGCCAAGCGTCGAGGAAGATCAGGGTACTTGTCGAGTAGCCATACACAAATAGCATCCAGGAGTTCGAGACGCAGTGCATATGAGTTTTCATCCACCCTGATGAAACTTGACAAAGTGCACCGTCCAGTTGATGAACAAAAAGGGTGAATCGTTGAGTTTGATCGGCAGGGTAAGACCCATTCTGTAACGAGGCGACAAATGTAGTTACGTGCGGGCTTGACGTACTCACTAGCAAGGGATCGGGCATTGGAATGCCTTGCGATGTCATCTGTATCGGATGTATATCTGAAACTGACGTCCATTTATAGTCTTTCTTTCCTTCTGGTACCGATTTGGCTTCAGTCAACGTTCTTTCTTTATACTATTCTTCATTCATTTTTTATACTACACTCTTTACAATATTTCCTAACACCTCTCCAAACATACATGAATCTATAGAACCGGATTGTTACACATATCATGGCCGAAGAAAAGAAGTCGCCGCAGCAGGCGACCATCAATGAGCTGCCACCTAGTTCTGCTTGCCCATCTGAGGGTGCATCGTCAAATGCCAGTCTAATGAAGGTGGTGGATTGGGACGGCCCGGACGATCCAGAGAAACCAGTGAACTGGCCGCGATCAAGAAAGAATCAGATCCTTGGCGCTGTGTGCCTCATGCGCTTTACAACGTACGTCGGGTTCCTGCATAATCACCTTGCAACATAGACGACTCGAAGGCTAACAGATAGTTGCAGCCCGCTTGCCTCGTCGATGATGGCCCCGGCACTTTTGCAAATTGAAAATGAGTTCAAGTCATCATCAATGATGATGAACTTTGCGGTCTCTATCTATGTTAGTCTTTGAAATACCTGGGCTTCAGTACTACCGGGGTGTCAATGCTAACGTCATTCGTCTTTAGATTATCGGATTCGGACTCGGACCCCTGGTGCTTGCACCACTCTCTGAAATTTATGGACGAAACAAAATTTACCATGGTGGCAATATCATGTTCACTATTTGCACTGCGTGCTGCGGACTTTCTCCAAATACCACATCTCTCCTCATATTCCGATTACTTTCTGGAATCATGGGCGGTGCCCCTTTGACAAATGGCGGAGGAACTATTGCGGACCTCATCCCCTCACATGAGCGAGGATTGTAAGTATATCGAAGATGGACTCGTCTTCTCTATTTCTTGGTCAAGGTCACTGATTGATTCTTTAGTATAATGAGTGTTTTCAGTCTGGCCATGCTCCTCGCACCCGTTTTAGGGCCAGTAGCTGGCGGTTTCTTGTCAGAAGCTGCCGACTGGCGGTGGATTTTCTGGCTTTTGACCATTATGGTATGTCGGTTCTCTTTCAAGAAGATTTGCAAAAGCTAACGAGGCATTAAACCTTCTAGAGTGCTATCACAGCAATTGTGGGATTTATTTTCCTGCGTGAAACTTATGCCCCAACACTCCTCGAACGGAAGGCTTCCCGACTCCGCAAAGAGACAGGAAATCCTGACATCCAAGCCGCGACCAAATCGCCGCTCCCTCTTCAGCAACTTATTTTCTTGGCTATAATGCGCCCAATGAAGCTGCTCTGCACCAGCCCCGTCAGCATCGCGATGGCCCTCTACATGGGTTTGATTTATGGCATTATTTACCTTCTGTTTACATCATACACCGTGGTATTCCAGGAGCAATACGGCTTCAGCCAAGGTCTCGCAGGTCTCACATACCTTGGAATGGGATTGGGTTGTGCCACGCAGCTATTCCTAGGCCACTATAGTGATAAGCTTCACACGAAGCTCACACAACGCAACGGTGTGGAGAGGGCTGAGTAAGTTCTTGCCATTTACTTGAATTTGTCCTTGAGACGCATACTAATTCTGTCATGATAAGATATCATCTTTTGATGCTGATACCTGCTGCCTTCTCGCTTCCTATCGGATTGATCATCTATGGCTGGACAGCACAGTACCACGTTCACTGGATGGTTCCAATCTTCGGCACCTTCTTCATTGGTGTCGGTTTCTCAAGCTCAATGGTAAGCTTGTTGCTTTGGTCTACTGCGCTTTTTCACGCTTCTTCTTTGTCTAACTAATTCTCCTTATTCAGACCAGTGTCCAGACATACCTAGTCGGAGCTTTCACTGCATATTCTGCTAGTGCACTTGCTGCGAATAACCTCGTACGCAGTATCATTGGTGGTGTAGTACCACTCTCTGGACCTGAGATGTACGGAAAACTCGGACTTGGCTGGGGAAACACATTGCTGGCACTTCTAGCCATGGTGTTTGGACTTGCTCCTTTATGGTTCTATCGGAACAAGGAGCACACAAACGAAAGCAAGCAAAACCCAGTTTAATGGGAATGTTCCATCTTTTTGTACTTTTCTTTTCTTTTCTTGTCTTTATTGTCAGTACTTCTTGTCTATTTTCACTTGTTCCCTCGTTCATTCCGCATAACGATTGTTTCCTGGACTGTTCGCATTTAAATAGACCAATTACAGCATCTGCCTTGGGCAGCTCAAGAAATAATTTTTCGAATAGCCTTCCCTTCAATTATGAGTAGGTATACAAGAAAAAGGGCCCGTAAATCTTAGAACGTGGATATAAAGGCAAATTTTCCTGAACCCAGCCCCCATGACAAGACAAGGACATAGTCTCACAAGTTTGACCGGATACCAATACAAACGGAAGAGATCTAGGCTAATTCAACAAAATTGGACTCAATCAGAAATCCTACGGTTTCTGTATTCTTGCTAGCTCGGGATGTAGAACGCAAATTGAATCCAGTTACTTCAACCCATCCACAGACAGGACCACTCATACTGTAGTCGATGAGCTTCTGGACTTCAAGACTTCACTGATATTGTATTGCTAAAGAGGGCTGAAACGTTGTTGCAAGAGTGTTTTGGGAAGGGCTGGACCAGTGTTGAACAGAGTGTGGCTGATGGAATTGAGGATCTGGAATGATCTTAGAAAGTGATTCTGTGTAGAACATGTTGAATTGCATGAACTATACTTTCTCGAAGTCCAAATATTTGCCTTCTGGCCTCAGGCGACGAGGTGTCCAAAACCTTAAAAGTCAGTGTTTTGTGCAGTCAAGGGGCAGTCTGACATCCCTCTGAGCAGAATCATCAAGATACAATGACTCTATCTCCGACAACCCATACACTTCAGGTACGAGACACCGACGTCACTGACCCACCGGTATCCGGGCCTAACCTTAACCAGTGGAGTGTATTCAACTTTCAACACTCAACATCAGTGATGCCTCAGAGCTCCTGATGTTGGTCCCGCGATTCTGCTGCCTGCGTGTTCGAACACAGTTCGCAGCACTTACTCTCGCCCTCTTTCTCGCCTGGACCCTCTTACGATGGCGTACCGCATACGTCCCTGCCAATCTCTTCGGGCACATCTCCGACTTGACAGCATCACACCAGAAGTTTTGGCGGGATTTCCACACGCTGTTGGAACAGTGCTCACCTAATACGACGGCACCGGTGATCGAAAATGAAAGGGCCCCGACAGAAGGGTTCAAACTCAAGGATGCACCGCCGCGTCCAAACTACCTGCACATTCCAGATGATGATGTAGCCACACTGAAAGACGCGCATACCCAATTTGTGGACACAATTTCCCAATCGCCTCCTCAACTTAGCTATATACCCGACACAAAGGGCGTGGTCACGACCGCAGGCGGTTTCTACCTCCCCGTGCTAGTGATTTCGCTGCGAATGCTCCGTTGGACAGGATCAACGCTACCCATGGAAGTGTTTTTAGCGGATGAGGATGAGTATGAGGAATACATCTGCGATCAAGTGTTGCCATCGCTCAATGCACGGTGTCTAGTGCTATCTCGGATCCTGAGCGTTGCGCCGGTCAATATCGAGAAGTATCAATACAAGCCATTTGCAATGCTTTTCTCTTCGTTTGAAGAGATTCTGTTTCTCGATGCTGATGCTTTTCCACTTGAAAAGCCGGAAGTTTTGTTCTGGGCGGAGCCTTTCCTTTCTAGGAAGATGGTCACATGGCCTGATTTCTGGGGTTCCTCCGCATCGCCTCTCTTCTACAAAATCACTGGCCAGGTTGCTCCGCCAATGGAACTCCGCCAATCGACTGAATCTGGTGAGCTACTCATCTCAAAGAAGACTCATACGCGTACCCTCCTGCTTTGTACGTACTACAACTACTGGGGCCCGTCACATTATTACCCGCTCTTGTCACAGGGCGCCGCAGGGGAGGGTGATAAAGAGACTTTTTTGGCGGCTGCATCAGTTATGCAAGAGCATTTCTATCAGGTCAGCGAGCGTATTTGCGCCCTGGGTCACGGTACCGACGGTGGCATGGCAGGCTCCGCAATGGCTCAATTTAACCCCATTCAGGACTTTGCGTTGACCAGCCAAGGGAAATGGAGAGTTCGGGGCGACGAGGCACAAGCACCAAGTGTGTTCTTCATTCATGCTAATTTTCCCAAGTTCAATCCGGCAACTGTGTTCGACGACGGTGCAGTCAATCCTGCTTTTGCCGATGATGGCAGCTATACTCGTGCTTGGACAATCCCTGAGAGTGTTGTCAAGGACTTCAGTTCCAAAGCTGATGTTGAGAAGATTTTCTGGCAAGAGATTCTTTGGACGGCGTGCGAGCTTGAAGATAAGTTTTCCACATGGAGAGATCATGTTGATATATGCGCTGCTGTGAAGGATTATTGGGGCGCTGTTTTCGGAGATGAGAGGCTTCGCGAAGAACGTACATGAGGTCCAAACGCAGTCTTGCGAATATCACTAGTTCCGAATTTGCCACAAAGAGCAAATCCCTTGTTTTGTATTTCTCTCTATCCTCACCTCCCGGTCCAGTCAATTGAACAGCATGTCCATTGACAGTGGCATGCAGACGCAGAAAACCGAGGTCTAGACTCACACTCATGTATGATCACAGCCCTTTGAATACAAAATGGTCATGTCAACTGATTTGTCTCACGCTATGTACTCTCGATCGTCACTTTTCACCTTTGCTTCAGTGCCGATACCTATTCCACCTTTCTCATCAAGTCAGACATTCACTAGTAATATCATGATGCCCACGCTATTATCCACACTTCTCGGCAGACAAAGCAATATCAATCTAAGACTTCCAACTCAATAACAAGATCCTTAAAATCAACCACATCCTCATCAGTAGTCCCAGGCTTTGCCGCATAAACACTAAACAAACACTCCACCGACTGCTCTTCAGCAAATACCCACCCGATCTCGCGAAGAATTGGAGTTTCCTCCGTAACACTTTCACTTCCCCGGCCTACCTCCATGAGAACAAGATCATGATCTTTCCTTGCAATTTCAATCGTCACCCATTCACCCACGGGTGAACCGACGACCAAGACTCAAATCAGGCCATTGATCTTTCCCAACAACACAAATCATTTGCTGTCCATCCATTACCTCACTTTCCATCTTGATCCATTTCTCATATCCCTCTGGAAATCCATCATCATCACCAGCCCGCATTGTGCATATTGATCTGTTGTTTCGGTGGGCAGCGTTACACGCATTCTTTTGAATTTTTCTAGCGGTATGCTTTTGTAGATCTTAGGGACATTGGCTTTGTGTGTTGAGTCTGGCAATGACTAGAGATCGCTTAACCGATATGCTTTGATGCTTTGATAGAGAAGTTGGTGGTTCTTTAGCTTCTGTTGGGGGTATTGTTTTGAAGTTTTTGGTCTTCCAATTGGGCATTTTGACGATAGATATTGCGTTATTGTTCGAGGATATTGTTGATCTGTGGGTTTTTGTAAGTAACGTTCTAGTTTTCAAACAGATCGTCTAAGTCAACGTACATGCGGAGTAGACGGTGTAATTCTATGATTAGTTAGGCAGAACGGCTCTTTATGATATTCAGTTTAGTCTTTCACCACCACCCACTATTGGGTTTACCTATAGAAAATACATTCTAAAATTAGCCGGATTCAGCCAAACAAGGAATTCCCTGGTTCTTATATCTTCAGCCAATACCGATCTATCATGTAAACCATGTAACGCATTGTCTCACATTTGGATAGATTGTGTACCAACAACTTCTTACAATTCATGGTGTGGACTTGTACACATTGCGTCGTACACAGTCCTCAAAATCTTCTGATAAAGGGATATAGGGAAAGTTGTGAAACTTGAGAATAGAACATCCCCGTAAAATTTACTGCCAGGTCAGCCAAGCACAACATCAGCCAACCATAGATCTGCAATTGATTGTCACATTAGAAGACCAATGTTTACATCCACTGAACCAGACCCCATACATCAAATCACTTCGCAGAGGCCAAGACATTTCCTCGGAAGGACTGCAAGTAAGCGAACTCTCTGCTTTATTGTATAAAGATGTTTGTAAAAATTAGTTCGTGGATTATTGATATTTTTCATAATTCACACTTTGGCATCACACATGCACTCGTGCTGGAGTTCCATAACATAAAAGACCGTGATTACTATCTCCCAAAGGATCCGGTACCATGCGTTTGATCAGAAGATCGATCATCTGATCCAGAAGGTACAGGTTATTGATTTTATGGATGGGGTTATGATCCAGAAGGCATTGTAGGCTGTCGATGATGGAAGGATTCAGCCTCGGTTATAGATGCAGACTTAGTTGACCTGGGAGATTTTTATTAGCTTCCAAGATACTAAGTAGTTCTTGGATGTAACTAACCTTGCGATGTCAGGCGCTTGGATCTCGATCGCTACGGGGGAGTTTATCTCATTATCAGTGTCCATGAAAGAAATATTGCGAGCGCAATATTCGATCGGACCGTATGAATAGATACACTTTCGTTGTTGCATGAGGTATGTTCAGCTACTCCGTCGGCCATATGGCTCGAAGGGGAGAGCCGCAGCGACGATTGCCATCACGATGTAAAGCGCCGCACAAATGTAAATCGGAACAGCTGTGCTAGTCTATCATATGATCAGTCTCACGTTCGAAAAGTGTATTCGCAAATAGAAGAGGTAACTTATGGGCACGTACATCGGCAGCCTGACCAACCACGGCACTGACGATTCCCATGATTCGATTGAGTCCAATGGCGACACCATTTCCTGTACCACGATGGGCGGATGGGAAGACCTTCCAAGCAGTCAGTACCAAATGAGCTCTTCAAGGTATCCAGTATCGCAATTGATGGAAAGGGACACCAACCTCAGGCGTGTAAGCATAAAGAGTACCATAATAAACATTCAAACAGAATGAAATAGCACACGTAAAGCCAACATTCTGACTAGCAGTGCGAACTTGCGTGTAACAAAAGAAGAAGACCATCGTCACTAGAGCGCCAATAATCATAGTTCCCCGACGACCCCAGAACCAAGGCGAGCGACACATGAATCCGGCCAGCACCGGACCGAAGATGCCACAGGTATTGTTGATAGCGTAGTTTCGCCAGGTGATATATGAACTAGTTTCTCCGAAGCTGGCGCCGCGAGACGCAAGATAGGTCGGCAAGAACACATTGTAAAGTGGATAGGCGAGACCGATCAGGAGCCATGAGAACCACACCAGGGTGGTAGAAAGCCCCATTTTGCGGGTTGCGAACAGCCCACGGAGGTGGAAGAAAACTTCGCTTGGGGAGATCACTCGTGCCAGCCAGCTGGATCCCGCTCTATGTCTTTGGTTGATTTGCCCGCATGCTTGCAGGCGTTCAAGGGTGAGACTGCATGGGCGGTTATGTTTGTTGGCGATGTTTTGTAGGACTCGCACGGCCTTCTCATCCTCACCTTCGGAGATGAGGAATTTAGGCGTCTCTTCCAGTCGGATGATTGTGATTCGGAGTATAGAGAGAAGAAATACCAGGGCACCGGAGGTGTACCATACGTAGCGCCATCCTTGGTTGTTGGCTCGGGTACAGGTCGCTGCATCGCTGCATGAGTAATTTGGAATGAAAGCCCAAGCAAACAATCCTGCAATGAGCTGACCGAGGCCTAATTTTCCAAGTTAGTTGGATAGTCCTGCAACAAAACCTTGCTAGATAAGCAAACTCACCCCACCACGCAGCCATTAGTGTTAATAGCCATTGTTCTTTGCTAGGCAGATACTCCAGAAACACCGTAGTATCCAGTACCAAGTTACCACCGGCACCGAATGCACTCAGACACACAAACAATCCCAGTGTAATCCAAGATGGCGAAGCCCCGGCAACAATGGTGAAAACCGACGAGACAAACAACGAGAAGTTGAAGGCAAAGCGTCGGCCGATAATATCTGCTGAGAACCCCCAGAATATGGCACCCACGAGCATTCCCACATAGACCGCAATTGTAAGGCCCGTGGAATAACCAGGTTGAAACTCCAGCCTAGCTTGTTTCGAAATGATAGACTGGATCAAGAGAATGAGCGAGTCCACCGCATATCCGAATCCGTTCAAACAGAAGAGCTTCCAGTGGTGAGCAGTAAAGCCAATCTCGTCGATGGTCTAGGAATATGCAGGTCAGTTGTGGTCTTGATGCATGGAATGCATGCATGGATGTCTCACGTCGTTGATCAGCATCATCTTCGCAGCGAGAGCTTCATCGACTTTCTCCCCCTGCAAGATATCCAACTCGCCATGGTGAATGGATCTTTCAGCCGGAGATGGGTCTCTCTGGCTTTTGTTCTTGTCCAGGACATTCTTGGCTGAACTGGCACTTGCTGCGGAGTCCATGGGGGGCATAGAGAGGTCTTTTCCAGGTCAAAGAGTGCACGGAGAGTCAAGAAAAAAAAAAAGAGAGAGAAAAAAGCAAAGCCACGGAGGGGTGAGGCACAGTCAATTTATCTTCATCCATGTTAGCGGCCTGCTTAGGTCCCGCCTATTCGTCTGTTCATTTACTTGGACGCTTGTCCATTGGTGAACTTTATCGCACCCATGTTGACGTGCAGCTGAATCTGACCCCGGGATTCAGATCAAGATAGTGATCGGGCCTTGATTGAGTCACGGCGTACTCTCTGTTGTTCTCGGGCTCTTTCAACATCCATCTCACGGGAGTCTTTCAGGGAATCAGGGCTATCCCCGCTATGCCGAGGCCAGGCGCACGAGCCCTTTCCCGCGCTCATTACTGGCGAATGCAATGGCGCTATTCCCAATTGGCAGCGGATTTGCCTTGGGAAACAGGAATAGGTCGAATCATATTAAATAGGCATATCTGGCGGATAGGGAGGGTTCTTGGTAATCGCATAGGACACGGGTTCACTAGCTGAAAAGTGGTTGACTTGATCCTGGAAGGTATCCCGACACACCCTATACTCCAAACGTATACAGCACGCTTGAACGTCTTTGCATTCCCGGAGATGTATTCGGTCTATACGCTGTTTCAGACTCGCAGGCCAATATTTACAATTCACTGCATCCAACCGTGGGACAGACAATTCATTTCATTTCGTCGAGCACATAATCATCACCACACTTCTAGAGGTATATGCCAACATTATCCAAAGACCCACAATTGGTCAAAAATTCCCTTCGACCCCCTGATCAACCCACGCCTTAGTGACTTAATCACTTAATCAAGGTGCATCCGCCACAACCCATCACCAAGATAGTGGCCCTCGTCCATAACAACCCCCTTTCCTTTACTCTTAATCTCCTCAGTGCCAACCTTTAGCATACCGACAAGACAAACCTCCTCCTTGCCTTCGGCCTTAACAGCAACAATTTGCCCAGCCTCAATAGCATTCTCGGCATCAGGCAGTCTACCACCGGGGGAGGTAAGGCCAGGCGCCATAAGCGTCGCGCCAGAGAGCACGAATCGAATCGCACCGCGATCGATCTGGATTGTCGGGATGGCAGAGGGGTATTGGTGGATGAGGCGGAGGTGAGGAACGGGAGGTCCGTCGATGGGTTGGAAGAAGAGAGGTGTGGAATCTATTGTGTAGAGGGTGACGCGCTCGGGGCTGTATGAAAGCACGGAAAAATTGTTGGTTAGCTTCGGGGATCTCTGTATTGCTGGATGCAGGGTAGATTGGCGGGCGAAAGAAAAGGTCGATGTAATCGGGCTTGGTAAGGAGTGTGAGAGGTGGAGCTGTACAGTTTTACGGCTTCAAGGGAAGCCTTCTTTGGCATGACATCTTCAATGAAGGGCTCGAGGCCAGGGTAGGTCTCCAGTAGCTTTTGGCGCAGGCCGCGCTGCACGGAGGACTTGACCTTTGATCGGTTGCTTGGGGGGATACTAGAGGCAAGATATGTTAGCATGCAGTTTAATGGAACCCTTCCTCCTTTGTTTATCCCTAATAGCCGAGTGAACACCACCCATCGGAGGTGTTTGACAGCTCTTGCGGCGTTTGCGGCGTCCGACTTTTGAGGATTGTGTGCTCCCAGTGGGTGAAGGTGGCTCGGCCGTGCAGGTGCAACAACAGGGTGGTCTCTCGGAGGTATTCGAGGCGTTGACTCACTCTTTTTTGAACATGGTGCTGGTTGAGACGGCAATTCTGTGAAAGCGAAGCTCGTGTGGTGGGATGCCGCGGGGAGGTTGGTCACGTGGCGTGTATAAAATCGGGAGTGGAGCGTCGAAAGATCGACTTTCGATGTTTCTTCAACAAGAGAGAAATGTTTCATAATAATTCAGTTTCAAGCTAGCAGCTATTGACATCGAGTATCATGCAGGTTCTGACATCTGTCTTGACAATAAACCCATCGATGCTTCTCTCCTCAAGTCCATCAATTCCTAAATCGCAAAGCAATCTGCATCATCACTCTCGGCCTTGATATCCTGCTTGTCTTCCTCTTCAGCCTTAATATCAAACTCCTTGACTTCGTCAGAGTCGTCGAAAACGATCAAGTCTTTCTCGGCCTTGATCTTCTCAGTCTTAGCCTGCTCCGCCTTAACTGGTGTGTGCTTCTTGTTTTCCAGGTTAATAACAACACGAGGCTGGTCTGCCAAGGACGTCTTCACGCTGTTGCTTCTCTCGTCGGGGATGTTCTTCTGCTTCTTCTTTGCAGGGGTGCGGGGAGTGCCCTTTCGCTTCTGCGGTGAAGTGGTAGGAGTAGTAAAATCGCCGTTCCCCACGAAACTTCCCTCCGCCAGCTTCTTGAGTCGCCCGATGCGACAACTCAAAGCATTGGTGGTCACATCTGAGCTTCGTATTAGCAAGTTCTCATTTAAGTATCCCAGGTGCGTACCTGGTCCAACAAACGCAGCAATCTTGTCCATGTCAAGCCTGATATTGGTATCCTTCAGATGGCTCAGAATCCCGAGGAGGATCTGCATCTGTCAGAATGGACGATAACCAAGGCATGAGAAGTTCGAAACTTACTTTGTTGTCGGACTCGGCGGTCCACTTGAATGGCATGATGACAAGAGAAGTGGGTGGTGAGTAGTAGAGATTCAGAAGAGTCAAGTGAGTTGACAGGGATGCTGTTGAAGTGTTGGATTTAATATGCGGAAGGAGAGTCGTGAAGATGTAGAGAAAGCTGAACAGCTGGTGAAGAATAGGGAAGTTGAGGCGTTGGCCTCGACTGGTGGATGATGACCAGTGAAAATGCAAAAGAAGGAAAAGAGAAGAAAAGTTGACTCGGATGATGTTGTGGTCTTGGACTCACCAAGCCATTTGACGTGTGATATGATCCGCACTTCTGCTTGTTTGTTCGGAGTTGTGCCCTGGAATCAGATAAAGTCAGACTCAGACCAGACACTTGATCTTACTTCACAACGTTTCTGCCTTCACGGCTGGTTCCCCTTGGCGTCTACTAGATAACTGAGATATCACATTTAATTTTACATCACATCTACATCCACATCTAATGGATTCGAGACAAGAACCTAGGCTCGTCTCTGTAGGACTGTACGGAAGAGTGTCATGAAGGTGCAATACTGAAGAACTTTCTCATACTTGAGATAGTTTGAAAATAGTCCCCAAAAAGTGACGCTCACTCCTCTTGCAGCCAACATGATATTGCTTCTTCGTTGTGGTGTAGGATCTTCTAGTCTGTGTATCTCTATCCGCATTATATCACCTAGTTGCATTTGACGGTATATCTCTATGCGGGAGACAGAAACTTGATCGCGTTATTGTAGTAAATATTCATAGATGAGCTGAGAACAAAATCAAAACCAATGCCCTTAACTCGCATAAGCAGGTGTCATCACCGTGTGAAGACACAGCAAGCAACATGTGAAATAAGTGATAGATACGTCTAAGTGAGAGAGTAAAACAAGTCTTTGCGAAAGCAACAAAATGCATTTGGTAGGCAGGGCCGGGGGGAAGGATGCAATGCACATTCAAGTACAGTAGGGAGTATGAAAGGAAGTTTACAATGAAGATAGGGGTTTATTCACAAGATTCATTCAGGTATATCATTCATAGACTATTTTCTAATTGAACCTAGTGCTTGGCAGCACCGGCCTTGATAAGGAGAATATCGCCATCCTCGACGACGTAATCCTTACCCTTGGTCATGATCTTACCAGCGGCCTTGACGGAGCCTTCATCACCGAGCTCGCGCAGAACACTGTAGTTGTACGCAACGGCCTGGATGAAGGTCTTCTCGAAATCGGTGTGAATGACACCGGCCGCGGCGGGGGCCTTGATGCCCTTACGGATGGTCCATTGGCGAACTTCATCCTCACCAGTGGTGAAGAAGGAGGCCAGGTTAAGAACCTTGCGCATGGTGGTGATGACCTTGGGCAGACCAGACTGGGTGCTCAAGTTCTTGCACTCCTCGGCAGCGGCGGCCTCGTCGTGCATGAGGGTGAGACGCTCCTCGAACTGGGCCGAGATGGGCAGGATCGGGTCACCAGGGGAGTTGGCCTTGATCCATTCGAAGACCTTGGGGAGGTACTTGTTCTTCTGGCGGATGTAATCTCTCTCGCTCAGGTTGACCAGGTACACAACAGGCTTGGCAGTGAGTAGGAGCAGAGGGTTGATGACTTCGACCTAGAAACCCGGTGGGTTAGCATGAGGTTTCACAAAATGTATTGAGTGATGCAATAGATGTGACTCCAATTTCAGTTTATAACTTTTGTTCTCAAGGTGCCCTCTTCGTGAGTTTATATATTGAGGACACTCGAAGAGCTGGGTTTGTTTCGAGCAAAGCTCTTATTCATCATTGTAGGAGTTGGGGGGGAAGATTTGGGGGAAAGAAAAGTTTTCACATACCTCCTTGGGGGTCCAGTCAGTCTTGCTGCGGATGTCGTGACCATCCTCAAGGAACTTGAGAATGAACTCGGTGGTGGCCTCCTCTTCCTTGAGCTTCTTCATCTCCAGGGACTGTCCGCCACGACGGGTCTGCTTCTTCAAGGCCTCGAGAGCCTTGGTGACGAACTCGATATCCTTAATGCGCAGTTCCTCGTTGATGATGGTCAAATCACGGCAAGGGTCGACATCACCCTCAACGTGGATGATCTCGGCATCATCGAAGCAGCGGACAACCTGGAAGATAGCATCGACGGCACGGATGTGCGACAGGAAGGAGTTACCCAGACCAGCACCGGTGGAAGCACCGCGAGTCAGACCGGCAATATCATAGACGGTCAAGTTAGCGGGAACCTGGGACTTGGGCTTGTAGTGGTCAACGAGCCAGTCGAACCGCTCATCGGGTACGATAACGCGGGCCTCCTCGGGGTCGATGGTGGCGAAGGGGAAGTTGGCCGGGTTACCCAGGGAGGACTTAGTGATAGACTGGAAGAGTGTCGACTTGCCGACGTTGGCAAGACCAACCTAAAGCCATTGTTAGATGGATGGTGGTGGAAAAGAAAGAGAAAAAAAGGGTGAAAGGTAGGGGACAGGGCAGGCTTAAATAGTTTGTGTGTGGAATTAAAAAGTGGACTGTGCTGGAAAAAAAAGGAAAAAAAGGGTGGGGGCATCTGCTCACATACGATACCACTCTTCAGGTTGTTTCCAGGACGACCCAGGTAGACCTTCTCCGGGATGACTTGCTTCTTGGGAGGCATTTTGTTGGATTTTTTCTTCTTGCTTGAGTAGAAGCGACAGAAGAGAGGTGGGAGGTGGGGGGAGGTGGAAAGGCGGAAGCGGGAGCAGGGATGGAACGCGCCAAATGCAGGACCAGCTGCGGATCGATCGACGATACGAAGGAGAAGTAGTGAGGAGGTGGAAGACGTGATGACGGCGCCCACGATTGCAGTGGGCAAGATCAATGAGGAAAAGGAGAGTAAATGAGTGCGTGTTTGGCAGTAAAGGACCAAAAGTGATGAGATCGCGCCAGATGTCATCGAATTTTCTGCCCGCAAAGAATTTACCGCCCACGTGATGGCTTAGCCCTGACGACGTCACACTACGTAATGCTTGAAGTATACAATTATCACGATCTGTTTATGAGAGCAATTGGCAGGGAAAAAAACTATGCTGGTATGATCTAGTTATCGACTTCCACGTCACTGATAACCACTACAATATACGCATGGTTATGCAACATAGCTATCAATACGTACTATTGAAGCAAGCTATTACCAATGGAATTATCACGGGTGCTCGTAAACGAGACCAAGAAAGCGTTGCAGCAAGGTAGCAGTCAGGTTATGTAGGATAAACAAGAGCAAGCCCAGAGAGAAACCTATGGTACAAGTACAGCACGAAATGAAATATGTCATCTCCAATCTCGCCCCAGCGAAGATAAATAATGCAAACCCCTTTTGCCAAGGTAACCCCATCCAAACTTCAGGAACGCCACGAATAATAATGAAAAGAAACAGAAATCAAAAGGAAATAAACGAGGTATCAACGAAAGAAATATCAGATCACTATAGATCCATGGCATCGCCATTTTCTGACGCGGTGTCAACCATATCCAGCAGTTTGGCGTAAGGCACTGTGACACGTTGAAGGTCTCGGTGTTTGCCTGAACAAGTATTCGTTAGCAAATATAACATCGAAGAAATAGACCAGGGTTAACAGAAACATACCGAGTGCCAGAATGACCTCCTTCAATAGTGTCTCCCGGGGCCAGCCACATAGATCGTCAGATCCTTCGCGCCAATTCCGGCCTTCGCGCTCATTCGCCTGCAAATTTAGGATTCCCTCAGTGGTATCATCGTCCTCGAAAAGACCACCGATCAAGCCCTTCAGCAACTCCTCGACCTTTAGCTTCAATCCCTCGGCGCCGATACGCTTGGCGTACATGGAGAGATATAACCGGAACTCTTCCTTAGCACCAAGAGACAACGCAGCGGCAAGACGGTTCTCGAGATGCGCAATGGACACGCTGGACTCGAATGTCTCGTATCCCTCGCGAGATAAAAGAACCTTGATGAGACGCTGGAGGAAGTATGCTCGTCCACGAAGCAAGGTCTCGTTGGTGGTGTTGCGTTCCAGCCAAGGGATGATACCAGCTGCAACAGCTGCCTTAGCATCCTTGTTGTCTTGCTGTGCATCCTTGGCTTGTAGGTTGTTTACGGGTGCGTCAGTCGTGTTCCAGTACTGACTGCCAACAGCCCACCACGCTTCAGAGATGCGCTGCCAAGTGAACATGGATGGAGAATATGAGTATCCTTCACCGTTAGATAGGGAGACGACAACACGGCCCTCCGAATTGATGCGTGCATCTGTCACTGCCGGGGCAGCAGTTGGGTTTGCACCCAAAGTGTGAATTGCCGCATCCAATACGGGCTGAAGAGATACGGGTGGGTGAGGAGAAGATAGATGCTTCACGTTCCAGACGTAGCACATGCCCACAGATGAAATGCACAGGATCCATGGTCCGTTGCACTCGAGAATCACCGGCTGTGCTTCGAGGACCAGTGCACTGACCAAACGACGACCTGCCGGCGTCCAGAGGTAAATTGACCCATCCTCGCATCCAGCTGCCCACATGCTTTGATTTCCAGTGACTAGAAGAACAGTCCGTGGCAAGAAATCCTGCCAGAGCGGCTGCTCTCCGCGGAACAAAGTCAAGCGTACTGGTTCCCGGTCCACGGCACGACCAGTCAGGCTTGCTGGAGAAGGATTCCGAGCTTCGAAAACCACGTCCACTCGGCTCTTGCTATCCTTTGAGTCCGCACCGGAGCCCGGTGCTTCCGTTGGTTTCCCGCTGGTATCCAGCGCGCGGAGAATCTGGCTGCGGATTTTGGGAACAGCCAAACGAAGCTGGCTGACCGCCATGCAAGGGTTGATAACGGCAGGACGAATGAAATCTGGAGTGGGCTGTTGGCCAGTCGCAGCAGGCTGTACTTGGGCTGGGAGGAGACCATCGGGGGTGTTGGCCATGATAGGAGTTGCGCCATTTTGACTGGCAAGAGTGACCCGTTTTTCCACGCTGCCATCTTCGTCGCCCTCGACCTGGGCCAGCTTGCGCTTATTTCCAAGTAGAAGAGTGGTCAGGCCACCTTTAGGAAGACCATCGAATGGTTTTGACAAGTCGACAATGGTAGTCGGGGCATCTGACTTGACCTGGTTGCTAACTGAGGCCATCAGACGAGCTTGTGGGAGAGAGGACTCGCCAGCCCCAGCCCCTGAGACCAGCAATGGTGCAATGCGCTTTTTGCCTTCCTTGGTGTATGTTGGGCGCTGCTTCAGTCTTTCTAGCTTGGCCTGGTAAGGATCTGGCTTTTCGGATTCCGAGGCAGCGGGTGTTGAAGCACTTCCATTGGGTTGTGCTTTGTTGGCCTCGGGGGCAGGTGAAGGAGCACGAGTAGGAGTCGCTCCGTTTGAAGGTTGAGGTGCCTTGTCTCCATTTGCGTTCGGCTCTGCATCTCCCATCAACGCACCCATTCGCCCTTCGACGCCCTTGATTTCACCTGCCTTACTCTTTTCTTCCAGAAGCAGACTATCTGTAGTTTCTGTGATACCCGCACCCTTTCGATTTGTTCCAAACTTGGTGAGCGATTTCTCATTTTCTTCCAGTTCCGTGGCCCATCCCAGCTCTCCATCTTCGAATCTGACTGCTAGAATTGTGCCATCTAGGGCAGTAGCAAAGAGGCACTTTCCATCAGGGGTCCATGCCAGGTCCGAAATCGCTTTGGCGGCCATCTCTTGGGCAACAACCATCGGCCGAGCGTTGCTAGTGATCCAAATACTGAGGGACTTGTCTCCTCCAGCACAGGCAATGACAGTGATGTGATGTTGTCCTGTAGATCCTTGGCCATCTGCTTTCTTCTTGTTGGGGGGCTCAGTTGCATATAGTCGTGGAGAAAATGAGCAGACCTCAACTGGTGCTTCGTGGCCGATAAGATTGATATCACCATCCCAGGATCCACGGTTGATAATAGCCACGGAGCTGACAGGGCCGTTCACAGCATTTGCAGCAGCGATATGCATGCCGTCCGGTGACCATGAGCATCGACGGAAGTATGCTGTCAAAGGAGAATTGGCGAACGGAGCGGTGATAGTCTGTTCAAGAACGAAGTTGTTCATCTGGTCATGTGCGGAGGAATTTGGAGTGGGGGAGGTGAATCGAAAGATGCGGACGGTTCGGTCATCGCTGGCCGTTGCAAAGTATTTGTTGGCGGGGTCGAAAGTGATACCCTTGACGTGACTTTGATGAATTGCTATCGTCTTCAATTTTTCGAATGTATGACCGGACCACACCACGACCTTAGAATCCAGCCCGACGGACACGAGAATAGAGGAGTCATTGGACCATCCGAGGTCTTGGACATCATTGTCATGGCCAATCAGTCGTCGAATTGTGCGCCAATTCTCGACTGGGGGTGCTTCGTCTGTGCCTATATATTGCAATAACCGTAAGTGTCTTGGTCCGTGGTGACCGAGGTATGTGAAACGTACCGAATGTTGACGAGTGTGTTGGAGGGTTAGCGTCGAGCATATATACGCAAACGATCTTGTCATCCGCCCCCGACGCAAGGTATTTACCATTGGGCGAAAAGCGAACAGTATGAATGGTGCCCGAGTGGTTGCTCATCGACGCCAATTGTTTCGGTTTGCCCGAAAGTTCAGCATTTCCGGTACCATAAATGGCCTCAGTAGACCAGATCCGAACGTAACCATCTAGTAAACATCAAGGGCCCGAAATTAGCGATATTTCCTCGGGTGAACGCATTCTGTGCGATCCGAATAATGCCAGGAAGGGTTATGCTCACCTCCGGCTGCCGTCACTAGTCGTTTCCCATCTGGCGAAACGTCACAGCTATAGACCTCGAAATCTTTGCGTTCACCTGGACAACAGACGCCCTGTCAGCAAAATTTATCCAGCATGGGGTGTTTGGATGTGAAGGGTGTGTCGGCGTTCCGAGGGGAGCGGACAAAGAAATTCATGGCGATTGCACCCGTACCTCCGTGTGTGAGCCAGACCGGCTTGATGATATGCATCGCGCCAGCCCGAGAGCAACCACAACTGCTTCTTTCTTCCTCGGGGTGTCCGGATGATCAGGGTCGATTGAGCGACACGTATCAGCGCTATGCGCGAGGGAGGGTAAGGAGGGGCGCGGTCGTGATCAAGTTTGGAGCTGGGCTTCAGGTGTTATTCTCTTGGGCATGACAAGGTCCGAATCTGAAGGACCGGGAAAAGAAGAGAAAGCGTCCAGGTACAGATGAGCAGGGGAGGGGATGAGAGCCGGAGATTAAGGGCGCGATCCAAAAGTCGCGATCTCCAGATTTGCATGGTCCGAGCTCCCGCGTTATAGCTACAGCTGCTTCATAAGTGTAGTTGAATGTTGATTTTTAATTTCAATTCCTGTGGCATTTTCTTGTAGTTATACAACTGAGAATAGAATAAAGGGCTTCTTGCCCGGAGCTATGGCTATTTACCTCATTTTTAATATGTACAAATTTCCATCAAGTATTCAACAGCACAAGAAAGCCTTGAACAGAGTATACTTTTTTACGCTGAAGGTTTGCTTTACTTTGGTCCTTTTGTCTATATATGTTTTGCTATTTTTGAACACGCTTTATCTTGCTTACACTGGTCTATAGGACTATTTCGTCAATTGCCCCTCTATATAAAACCATCAGTCTCTTCTGCCTTGTGTTTTACTTCGCAAGGTAATCCTATCTATCGACAAAGCGGCTCTCAACTTCATGTAGACTCAAACCCCAGAGGTATCCAAGTGCTAGTCAGAGAGACTTCTTCACAGTTTTGAAGTGTTCGTCCGTGTTTCTAAGTGAATATACAGTATGTTGTTTCCAAGCAAGGAGGTTGCTCGACTACTGGGTCAATAGAACCAAGTGACAGATATACTGTCTGTCTTCTCGGATATTCCTGTAAACTTACCATCCAGGCCTTTCCATCTGATGGCTCGTCGATTGGTCCCTGGAGGAAGAAGGCTGACTGATCTTGGCTGGTCAACATGGAATATGCGAAGCCAGGGGCAACCTTGAAGACCTACAGTATCTCCTTTGGGGGATGGTGGGACAAGGAGCTACTTGCTTCATGAGCAAAGAACTATCATATGAAGCTATGTCATTGAGGACGTGCAACTCATTGTTGAGTGCATTCTATTTCGTTATTGTTGCAATTTCGCATTGTATGTCTAGATTGTGCAGATATCCTATCAAATACTTACTGTCCGAGGACTTCTTGCTTACTTTTACTTTAGTCTCATTATCGAACTTTGCCTGGCTGTCCTCTCTTTCATCGAGTTGCCTTAGATACATGCGCACGCAATCCCAGATAGGGTCTTATCATAGCTTTACTATTGGTCACATAATGGACCTAGATCTACTTTTACCTTTCAGCTTCTCAGTTTATTTTCCACATCGGGTCGTGCCAACATACAAAATAAGTCATTGATTATCTCATGGGTCCAGGATCTACCGCGGTAACTAACAAAGAGGCATCTGGAAGCAAACGCGACTAAGAGTTATATATCTCACAATATCTCAGCCTTTCCCAACATTTCAAATATGATTCACAGGCATGGATTACGACATTGGTGTTTATCTATTTCTTTCCGGAACCACTGGAGCCGGAGGGAGGAGTGTACGTCGAGCTTCCGGAGCCGCTGTTGTAGTAGCTACTTCCATTAGGGTTGGAGTAGTAGTAAGAGCCATTGCTATCAAGTCAAGTCAGCCAATTCTAGTTTTTTTTTTTTCACCGTCAGATGCATCACTGGGGCTTTTACGAGTTCGAGTAGTGGTAGCTGTTCGAGTTGGAGGCGCCAGAGCCATAGTCACGGGAGCAGTAGTGGTTGCCCTAAGGTGGAACTGATAAGCACATATTGCTATCTCATTGAGATTTTGATGCTCAATCATGTAAAGCTCTCATCGATGTCTTGGTTTCCCAATTATGAGCCTGTAGGAATAGGGGGAGGTTTACCTGACTGTTGGTGCCGGAGCTTTTGTAGGAGTATCCGTTTCCAGACGGCATTGTTTCTGTGGTTTCTGTGGTTTATGTATGAAGTTGAGGATGGATAAAGAGAAGGAAGAGGAAAGAGAAGAGGAAAAAAGACGAGGGATGAAATAGAAAGCATGGGGCGACACGTGAGCGGGGCGCGTACTTAATACGGTGTAAGAGCATGATTGCCTGGCCCTTTTCGTCCGCGTTCCGATTGTTGAGCCCTTACTATGAGTGGTCTTGACAACCAAATTGTATGAATGTGACGACATCATCTGATCTATCCATTTGTATAGTCCAGTAATAATACGAGGCTGACCTTTGCAAAGAGGATGGGTAGATAACACGTCCTCTATTGCTTTTTTCTTTTTGTTTCCCGGCCCCCGGTCGTTCATCATGATAGCCCTTGTTGCATTGGAGGTGAGCTAGAACTGAAGTATGGAAACCCAAGAGCAGCTCCCTTTGATTATCATAGATGCACTTGAGCTTTGGTTTGTTATCATTGTATACGAACTTCATTCAACAAGCAGCTCCTTATGCATGTGAAGCTTTGATCCTATCACAAAAATGGGAACTCGCAGGTAATTCGAGAGTGGATGCCTCCGACTAGTAACCAGGTCTTTGTCTGCACAATAGAATTGTTTTAAACAACACTATTTCATCACACATTGTTGATGTCTCGCATCTTGACTGGGATCCAAGCTGTCGTTTCTTTGTCTCGAATCCGTGCTAATTCCATGTCCTGTGTTTTGAACCCCCCATATTGCCCTAGTTTCTCCTGATTAATCATAGCTTCTTTATTTCCTAGGTGTTTTTAATTCCGTTGTGTAAAATCGATAGCAACACGACAATTAACCACAGCAGCAGCACTACATTCGCATATAAATAATCAGATAGATCCTTTAGTAACATCCATATCAAGCAAATTCCTCCAGCAATTATCAGACAGACTATATCAAAACAACACAACCTCAATCTTATCCCAATCAACCATTTTGTACACCAGGGCAAACATCTCACAACATGGCACCTAGAAAACAACGAAAATCATATTCTACTGTCTCCACCAGCGCCATTTCTCGCTCACTTACAACCGAATATACAAAAGTCATCGGAAAAACAATACCCCAACTCTACGGCAAGATCCAAGAAGACGGCGCCATCCGCCAAAAATGGCTCGAAGACCCAAAAGACCCAACATGCACCATCAAGCCCACAACCCTTACAATCAAGAAGCTCAAGAAACAAGGCTGGATATTCAGAACTAATATCATACACACCCCATGTGAAATCAAAACAGAATTTACCAACCAAGGAACCCTCAAATACGAAGAATTCCGAGACATATTGCTCACCAAGCCATGCGCAGACAGCGAAAGAAACTTCCACTGGATCCTCCTAGGAAACGGTATAATCTACGTCAAAGATATCAATAGACACGACGGACCCCCATTCTCCGAAATCGCAACAACCCTCTACAAAGCCGGGGCGCCAATGGAGTCTCTCCAGCATGTCTATTTCGATAATGTCGTTAACCTCAATACCAAGCGGTTTGTTGTGAACAGGCTTTATACCGAAAAGGGGCTTGACTTCCTTGCGCCGCGTCGCCCGATTATGGTTTGGAGATATGATACTCCTGAGTATCAGGGTCTTCTGGGGACGCGTCTTGGTAAGGCTGTCGCTTACATGGTTCTCGGGGCATTCTCTAGGGGGACGCACTATATTTCTCAGGTTGTTTCCTTTGCGGGGCCGGGTAATTGTTGTGCGCTTCATTTGAGGTTTGATATTGAGCCGATTCCGGTCGGTTTGGATCGGGTTGTTTAGTCGGTTTGTTATTTTTGTGCGTTGGCATCTATTTATTGAAATGGGGATGGCACGATGGCAGTCTGACATAGCAGACGGGTCGATACTAATGAAGAGATCACACAACCACTCCCATGGCCTGAAGGCGTAGAGAGCGGTCCCTGAAGGTGTAAATCGTACCGAACCTGATGCTATATCATGAATCAAGAAGTTTTGCGAGTAACTGTAGTCATATTGAGGTTGTTGGATCATGCTCCTCTCTCTCTGTAGGAGAAGACTGCATGTCTCCTGAGGCATCATAGATGCCTCAGGCCATTCAAATACTACTGTCACGGGATTCACCACTACATTATCTATTTAGTTCTTTCTTCTAAATGTATCATTTCATTTCATTCTTTCTGGATATTTAACTCACTTCCATTATTTCAGGTCAGTCCTTTTCGGCCAATTCAGGTGTTTTATTGACAATATCGTAGCATATCCAAAAACGATCATGTCAAACTCATAGATAGATTGCGGATCACACCATGAAAAGCAGACCGCGCTTTTCATTGCCCTAGGTATTTTATGTAAAACATCGTAATATGCCCAAAACTAACCAAGCAAGCTTCATAGATAGACTACGAACAATATAAAGCAACCCCAATAAAAAGGAATACTTGTACATTCAGGCTTTCCCCATCCACGGGGATTTTCATATCGTCAACAGTTCCTTTATGTACACATACAGGAAGCCTCGTCGGCGACTTCAACACCAACAAGCAAAGCAAAGCGTGTGCGTTTTGGAAGACTCCTTCAGAAATGCTAGGAGAAACAAGTGCCAATAAAAGAGAGAAAACCAAAAGAAAACAAAGATGAAACGTGGGTAGGATCAGAAATACAAAGGAGCAGAGTGGTAAAAATGAAAAATGAAACCAGACCCTTGCGCCGAATGGGGGACTGGGGCTGAATGAGATTTTGACAGGATGCAAAACGGAAAGAAAAAGAAAAAAAAAGGGGGGGGGGGGGGGGGGGGGGCGGATAAATAGCACATCAAGGGCAAGAGATAGAGGTCATCGTTCTCGTTTAGGCTGAATGAGGCAGAGACGCCTATTTGTTTTGCTTGTTGGCTAGGTCAAATCCTTCCAAGACATCCGGCTTAGCCTGAGCTTGAGCAGTCTCCTGTGCCTCCTCTCCGAAGCTCTTCTGGTCAACACCATGTTCCGAGCTTTGAGATGACTGGGAGACATTGTCCACTCCAAGGGTCTTCGCGGCCATACTGTGAGCCTGTGTCTGGCTGACCTTTCCGTAGACAGCCATGGCATTGGCAATCATGCCACCCATATCACCGACATTGCCAGGAACAACGACGGCAGTACCCTCGCGCGCCAGCTTAGACCAAGCTTCGACATACTTCTCAGCGACGCTGAGGCTGATGGCGTTGTGAGCATCCTGGCCACCTTCTTCGATAGCGCGGGCAACAGCCTCAATACCGAGAGCGGTAGCCTTAGCCTTGAGCTGGATAGCCTCGGATTCACCAGAAGCGCGGTTGACCTGCTCGGCACGCAGCGCCTCGGAAGCCAGAATGACTGACTGCTTGCGACCCTCGGCGATGTTAATAGCGCTCTGGCGCTGACCCTCAGAGTCGAGGATCTCAGCGCGCTTCGACCGCTCGGCTGTCACCTGGCGATGCATGGCAGCGACGACCTTCTCTGGTGCATGAATGTCCCTGATCTCATATCGCAGGCAGACAACACCCCATTCCTGGGCCGCCTCGTTGATAGCCTTTGTGATGTTTGTGTTGAGGTTGGCGCGTTCCTTGAGGACGTGGTCGAGGGTCAACTGACCGATCTCGGATCGCATGGTTGTCTGCGCCAGTTGCGAAATGGCGTACTCTGCGTCTTCGACTCCGTAGCTATATTGAAGAATCAACGTGTTAATCACTCTTCGGTTCAAGTGCCTCTATTCAAGCCTGTGAAGTACGGGATATGCCTCACCTTGCCTTGTACGCATCGAACACCCGCGTGTATAACACACCATCTAGTTCCAGTGTAACATTATCTGCCGTGATGGCATTCTGACTAGGGATCTCAATGGCAGACTCCTTCAAGCTCTTCACGTACGCAATGCGATCCAAGAATGGAACAAGGATAGCCAGACCGGGCTCAAGAATGCGGTGGAACTTTCCCATGCGCTCGACAATCCATGCCGTCTGCTGTGGCACGAATCGCACGACAGTGTTTGCGGGGAGGGGCTGTCTGTTGGAGAAATAAGTGGTGGGTCCGTCGCCGTATGGGCCACCGGCTTTAAGGCTATTGAAGAGCGACTCCGGGGCGAGGCTCTTGGATGAATTTGAAAGGGCTCGGCATTGAGTCTGGTTCAGGGCTATGCCGGGGGACCCGGTGCTGGAGCGTGGGAGGCGGCGTTGTTTGGGAAGGAGGTTCTGGCCACGAGACCGGAGTAACCTGGAGGTCTGGCGGGTTGCGCCCTCCATCTTGGAGAAGTCGGAGATGGAATATAGAGGATATGGAGAGTGAAGGGGGTGCACTAGGATTGAAGGCGCAGAACAAAGCTGGGGAGGGGAGTGGAAGCTGTCGGAGTAAGGTTCGGGACTGATTATGCTTGCTCCGTTTGGTTGAGGTCTGGGAGCCTGAGGCAGAAACCTCGGCATATTCGTTCATGACAACGCTCACTTCTCATTTATCTCTCGTATGCAGACACAAATTAGATGACAGATTAGTCTTACAGCTTACATTTGTATGGGACAGTTTCAATATCATAGTGTCAATTGCTCATATTATGCATAACAATCATATTACTCCACAAAAAACTGGACAGCCGGTTTATGCAAAGAACAAAGTACACGAAACTCAAGAGTCTGCTGTGCAAACAATCCAGCGAGAGAAAGAGAAAAGCAAAGAATGAGCGAGATCATACCAATGCTGAAAGGGAAATAATCTGCCCCAGGGATGACAGCGATAGACCAGATGGGTATGTCTCTCGAAAGAGGAAACGACAACGTAAAAATGCTGGTAATTTTCTCCGTTTGACGGCACAACGAAGAAACACGAAGAACACAGATAACCTCAGACAAGACTTTTTGTTTTGATTGGACCATTGCTTTTCTCTGGGTCATTGCCATGCTGATACTTGTTAAAACCCAGAGCCGAGGATCTGGATCACACACTGACTGGGTCGATGAAACCACAGCCTTAGAAACGAAACAAGAATAGAAGTGCAAATCTCTATGTCAAGGGAAACACAATTTTTGTTGGCCCGGCACACCGTAGCGGCAGGCATCGAAAGGGAGAGATACTGCCAATAAAAATCATGCCAGGACGCCAGAACATTTTGATAACCTCCCATGACTGAAAAGAAAAGGAACAGAAAGGACAGAGAAGGAGATGAGATAAAAAAAAAGTGAAAAGAACTCCGAGGCTTCACAAGAAACAAGCCCAACCGCATTGCAAAGAAAGTTGGCACTCTAGAAAAAAAAGTTGGAGAATATGCATGCAGAAACCTTTTGGACAGAAGTTAAAAAAAATGCCGGTCATGACGAATGAACGAGCAGTGAAAATGGGTCGCGAAAAAAAAAGCAGAACTGGAAAGGAAACAGAAAAAAAAAGCAAATGCGAAAGGGCTCAACGTTGTAACTTTTCTCGGGGCAGGTTGCCGTGCAGGGTATTGAAATGTTTGTTGACAGTTTTCTGGTTTTTCAGCAACATGTCCCCACTGGCAATGGCGTCATGAATCATATCATAAGCGATGGTTGAACAACCGTGAGATGTATCCTTCGAAAGATTGATCATGTCAAACATCACAGTGGAATGGATACGGCGGGCAAACAGAGCCTTCCGATAGAAATCCATGAGAGCCTTGAACCCATTGTCAACGTGTCGTGTAAAAAGATCATCAAGGGCTGAACGCCTAAATTCATTGTACAGGTTCAATTCGAAATTGCTTTTCAAGCTCCGAGACCAGTCAGAGTAAGGCAGGGTGGCAACAGGGGTATTTTCTCGGGTAACTGATCGGCCTTGCTCGCCAAAAGGTTCATCGCTTGGCAAGGTAGAAAGTTGCGGGGCATAATTGGACGTTTCTGTGGACGGACGGCCCATTCTCTTTGACTGGTTGTATCTCCTTCTCCTCAAGTCTTTGTATTTTGAACGAGTAGCACCACCGACTTGATGTCGAAAGCGGTCAGTATCAGACCTTTCAACACAGGTCAGCCAATATTCTACCATAGATGAGGCGAAGGGGTCTCGGCATACTTCACTGGGTTCGCCAACGTCTTCAAGTCAAGAGGGGAAGGGGATTCGGCATGCGAATCTAATCCGCGCGCTGAATAACTGTCAGAAAATGAACGATCCAAAGGTAATTGGGAAGACGACGAAACAATCGACCAAGTCGAGTTCGCATCTTGCGACAGGTACGGGTCCATGGGGTATCCTACATTGGCAATTTCATTCACTGCGGTGTGAGGCAATGAAGGCATGAATTCGGGGGCGGTAGACGAAAGTGATGTCTTAGCGACATTGGCAACTCCGTTGGGAACGAATTGAGGAGCAGATCCGTTGATAGCTTTCACAGGGGTGTTCTCATCGTTCTTGGCAGCGGGAGTGGTGTGCTGAGCGGCAGGTTCACGCTGGTCAACAGGGAGAACCCACTGCTGCCACTTGTCTCTGGGACGCAGACGGTCGACATTGTCTTCACCGGTCTGGTACTCAACATTGCGGAGCTGGCGAGCAACATGACGAATAAGTTCAAAATCCTCGGTCAAGGACTTAACACGCTTGAAGCTGGCAAGGACGTTCAAGGGAACGAAGCCCTGGGAGTCCATCTGCTTGCGAAGGAACATGTCCTTGCACATGTTGTCCACCGAGAAGTAGTATTCCAGCTGCATGGACAGCATAGACATGAGCGAGAAGGGCTCCATGTATGGCTGGTAGGGCACAGCGCTCATGGGGCCGGGGTTCACAGCCTGGTAGCCGTACATAGTGTTGACATCGGTAGGGAAGGGGTAGACACCATAGACATTTCCGTTAGGCAGCGAGGGCGATCTCAAAGGCATGCGGTTGTTCTGCTGAGAGCCATTGGGAAGGCCATGCTGTTGTGACCGCTGACGGTCATTGAAACCACCGAAGGATTTGGAGGGAGCAAAGTTGTTGGACACAGCCCCATTATTGAACTGAGCACTTTGACCATTGAAGTTGTTGAAGCCACCACGGCCACGGTTGCCTCCACGGCCTCCGCGCTCTCCACGGAATTCACCACGGTTGAACTCGGTGAAGCCAGCGGGATCAGCAGACTTCGAGCCAGCATCAAAGCGACGGTCATTGGTGCGGGCAGCAGCCTGCGAGTCGACGGCCAGGTTTCCACCCTTGCCATTGCGAGCTTCCTGGTTCTTTCCAAAAGCCTTGCCCTCGCGCTGGGCGCGGGGAGCATTCTCTCCATTGACCTGCTTGGTGGCGTCCTCGCCGTTGCGAGCTCCACGGCTGCGCTCGGGGGCTTGAGAAGCCTTGCGAGCATCAGCAGTGGCACCAGCCTCGGTGCTCGTGGAACGTCTCGACTGGGCAGGGAGGGAGGCAGCACGTCCAGTAGCCTCGTTTCTTCCGCGCTCTGCGGTGGCCTGCTTGCCCTGGGCAGCCTGTCCAGAGGCAGCCTTGTCAGTGGCGGCAGCTCCGGTGCCGTTAGCTCCACGGCCAGAATCACGGCCACCACGAGTGGCACGTCGGCCTCCGCGGCCGCCGCCGGCAGAAGGCAGAGGAGTGTTGAACACAGCAGTAGGGACGTAAGGAACGGGGGTCCACTTCTCCTTTCCATGGGGGCGGATCACGGGGCTCTTGTCGGTCTTCTCCTGGGCCTTCTTCTTCTCTTCGCCAATAGCAACCTGGGGAGTGGGCCATGCGGTAGAATCTTCAACTGGGGGGACCGATCCTGTAGGGTATGTTAGTAATTGATTGTCGGTCTTGAAAGTTTGCACCATTGTCGACCATGTCAAAACCAAATGAAACTGGCCTGCGCGGTTCATAATGTCGCAATCTGCGAGTAGATCTTACCAGCATCGCGTCCCTTGCCACTCTCGGTCTTCTTGGAAGCCTTGGTGCCTTCTGGTGCGCTTTCAGCGCTCTTCTTCTTCGAGGCCTTGGAATCCTGCTGAGACTCATCGGCAGTGGAAGCGCCCTTGGTAGAGCTGGCCTTGCCGCCGGTAGCAGACTTAGGAGTAGTCTTGACCTTGGCGTCTTGCGCCTCTCTGCGCTGCTGCCAGATGTTGATAGATGGGAGAGGAGCAGCCTTCAACTCCTTGGGAAGGGCGGCATCCTTCGCAGCCTCCTCGGACTTCTCGCTCGACTTCTCAGCAATAGCATCGGTCTTTCCCTCGGTGGAAGCCTGCTTCTCAGAAGTGGCCTCTGTGGTTCCATTCGGGGTATTTGAAGAGTCGTCATCCTTAGACTTGCGGGACTTGGACGTGGTGCGAACGCTTGGACTTGACGTGCGGGAGGCAACGGCCTTCTTAGCGGCGTGCTTGTTGGTGACGGTGGTGAAGTCGTCATCCTTGGTTTCCTCCACGGCGATCTTCTCAGATGTTTGAGGGGCCTCGGGTTCAGCGGGAGCGGGCGCGGTCTCCGTTGTGGTCTCCGTTGGTACTTCCTCCGGTTTGGAGTCGATCTTCTCCGGCTCTGATGGCGTCTTAGATGGAGTCGGTGTCCCGGATGCGCCCTTGGCGGCTTGTGCGTACGAAAAGGTAGACATATCGAAATGAGAGCTTGCGGTAGCTCTGATCGTAACGATTGGTGTAAGAAAACGAGTCCGTTTGAGATTGCGGGTTATTTTTCCCGAACCTCCTTTGGTGACTCTGGAGAACTGTCTGCGCCTATGTGGGCGATATGGTTTCTGCAGAAGTGGGAATCAGACAAAGATCCCGCGTTCTCGTAAATTCACTGAACTGTAGCTTCCCGTCTTTCAGAGAGGCTCCCAGTGTATGCGAAACGGACTATTTCCTGCAGCGAAACAAGAAACCAGCGTATATGTGTCGGCGCACAAAAAGTGCAATCGAACGGGTATCGGTCGTATGGATCGTCTAGATCACAAATCGCAATTAATGAACCGTCGACTGAGGAAGAATCTCAACAGTTGTGGCTTGCGAACCCACGGTTGTCAAGAAGATGTGAAGGTGACGGTGCGAAAGAAAAAAAATTCGACCGAGGACGCAAAGGCACTGCCCTGTGAACGTCGTTTACCAAGCTGTGATATGTTGAGCGGCAGGCTCGTGCAGTCACTACTGTTGGTGCAAGTCGGATGCACAGGAACTCTTCCCTTGTGTGATTCCACCCTTCACTCTCGAAGCAAATCAAGCAAGGAAGAGAATGTTCAATTCAGCGTTCCTGGCGACAGTGTCGATCCCTTGAAAAAAATGGGGGACCGAACGACGCGATTTCGCACGTGGTGGGGAGTCTCGGAAGGTCGGATTTCGGTTCTCTCGAAGCGTGAGACGATGAGAGGTACCGCAAAGTAACAAAGAAGTGACGCGAAAGGTCAGGGTTGTTGAAAGGGGAGGAATGGAAGGGGAGAAAACAGCCCGCGGAGAGGATGGGGAGAAGAGGAAGAGAGGAAGTCCAACAAAATTATTTGGTTCAGGGCAGAAACTGGTGGTAGCGGGGTTTTCCTTACACTGCGTAATTAATTACTCTGCACTTTGGAATTTTATAGTAAAATGTCATTTCTTTACTGTTTACATTGCTTTTATTCTGTCTTCAAGGTTCCTATAAGCCTCTTCAAGGTGGCCTGATTACTGGTCACACTGAACTCCCTAGGATTGCTTAGGCTCCCAAGGTGCGAAGGGGTTCTGTATACTGCATACTATGCATACTGTGCACAATTGAGGCATATATTGCCCAAGGCAGAACCTCGTTGATATTTACTGTGTGTAGTTCAAAATCTATTGTGTATCTTCTTTGCCGAGGTCGACGATCTCGGTGGTATGGAGAACTGGTTTATACTTGTATACTACCTATAAACTCGACAAACACCATCCACGCAGAGAATTGAGCCTCAGAAACCCACAGGTGCCTGATAACCGAGGTCGCGCGATCGATTAAAGTAGCTGTCAAAGTGGCGATAGTTCAGGGTTCAGTTCTAAGCTTAAAAGGTCAGCCACTGAGAACATGGCCTTTGTTATTGTTAATCTTCACCCCATGTTACAAGATTGAGGCATATAACTACCGAATACCATGTAATCTTCGACTTTATAAAAATACGTACTTTGCTCCGTACATCTGACTGAACTGAACATCGCGGGGTCCACCGGAGCCCCTCTGACGATTGGCGCACAATGAAATATCTGACAGGAAGTTTACGTGTTGGCCTTGCTTGTTAAATATAACATTAAACATATTACAAATCCTCATATATCTACTCTCCAGCCCAATATCTCCCTATGCCCGAAGTCCCTTTCATGTAATATTCACCCGTTAGACCGTTAATATATGTTCGGATATACAAACCGGTGGTGAAATGCTCGGGTATCTAGTTCCCGGGGTAAGTGTATTACAAGCCTTGCGCCGCGAGTCTGCGTACTTTTCCTACTTTGATTAGTTTTACCCATGAAAAAAAATTACAATTACACATATATTTGTGCGATGTATACTATGGCACGTGATAAGGCAACATGTAAGTACACGCACTGTAAAGTTGTCTGTCACTTCTTGCTAAATTGCCCAAATAACTGCCCAAATACTTCACCTCCGATTATTACCCCTGCCCATCTGGTTCTCACCACAAGTTCACTAACACGTCGTATTCACATGTTGTGCCTTCGGCAGTGGTTAGGGCTGAGGGCACGCGGAAACCACCGGAATGGAGTGGGTATGTAATCGGATTACACGTATGGATTACCCTGGCGACACGGGATATGCCTTAGGCGGAGATGATCTATTAGATCTAGTTTGACACGGGATTTGAAAAACATCGGGAAATTGCGATATCAGTGTTCAACCATGGAAAACAACAAATATGTACAAAAGCACAACAATTAAGATAGATGTATTCATAGACACCAAACTCCATACCGTTAACACCATGTACTGTAGATACATCTACCAATGCCGAACACTGACCAACACCTGTTCACGCGCATCCAAGTCAATCGACCCTAGCGGACCTGTGACCAACCCTAGCCGCATAAGAACCTGCCAGACAAGTTTGCGTTTGAGATTTTCCCGAACGGAAATCTTTTCCACAGCGTCATATCCATTGAAGTATTTCAGGAAAACTGGCCAGTATTTCTTGTGTACGGTCTGGAGATCATTGGGCGTGATATCCGGACTATTGTTGATATCATCTTGCTCTGTGCTGGGGTGGTCAGGGAATCGAGCGACGATCTCGTCAAGCCAGCGTGACTCGAGTGGGGATGCGCGGTGTGGAGAGAGGATGAATGATGAGAGACGGAGAGCGGTTGATCGATCGAGATACTTGTGAGACACGCGTAGTTGAGTGTGTGGATCGAGTCGGCCGGGCATGGGTGTCTCTTCTCCGCTGCCGTGGCTTGCCAGTGACGATGAGGATGAGGAGTTGATATCATCGTCCTCGTTCTCGTCGTCGGAGTCATCTTCGTCGACTGGGATGGTGTTGGAGGAGCCCTTTGCTAGGTACCGGTCCACTTCCTCCTTCCGCAATGCCATTTCCACGGCCATTTTGATCTCGGGTGTGACCTTGATACGTGCGAATGTGCGCAGCTGGGTGACCCAACCACCGCGCAATAACCATGCTAGGATAGTGAAGTAGACCTCCTTGTGGTCCTTGCTGGGGATAAAGTTGCTGTATGGGCGAGGGGTGCCGCTGAGGGTGGAAAGCATCTTTGGCAAGCTGGGAAGTGTTGGGAACGCCGCTTGATAGGCGATCGTAGCTACTTCCAGCTTGCTCAGGTCGCAGTTTGGAGAGACGATGTATGTGTCTCGTTGATGAATGGGAGGAATAGCGCGGGCACGGCGCCAATACACAAGATGGCTTGACAGCATCTGGATATGGGACAAGGGGATCCCTGACGAAGCCGATATCTGAGCAAAGGACTTGGTTGGCTTGGAACAGCGGATATAATGGGCGAGTGCTGGGGCTAGAGTGCCACCGGAGGCTTCGACATCTTTGATAATAGCAGCTTCGCTGTCCAAAAGTAGGAGGGCGAAATGCTTTGCCAATACCTGATGTGGTGTATTGTTTCCATCAGCTCCTGGGTCGTCCACTGGAGTTGCACTGTCTGCTGTGGTCAACCACAGGCCGGGGTATGACTTGTCTGCTGGGCCAGAAACGTATGGGGTAGAGGTCAATGGCGGGATTTGGAGCGAAATAGACACATCGGGGCTGAGCGAGATAGATGCGATCTTGGATGCTGATATGCTACTGTAAACGGTGTACATAGCCCGAGCCAGCGAAGACTGAGATATCAACTCGGAGTAAAGGTTGTGAGTCGATGTTTCTAAAGAGTCATGTTAGCTCGAGTATGACGGCAGCCACCAGCATAAGACTTACTATTCTCTCGTGCTCTCCGGCGAACTTGCAAGATGTGCTGAGACTCTTTCCACACATAATCAGTGCGAGCCTGCTCCCATTTGAGAGCTTTGGCAAACTTCTTGATAACGTTCTCATAGATTTCCTTCACGCGCATCGAGTACTCCAAAAGAGGCGGGTCCACGACAAACACCACATTGAACATAGTCATATGGTCTTTGTCCTCAGGATCAAGAGGCCCGTCCCCCATCTTCCCCGGTTTCCCACTCGTCGAATCACGCTTACTATCCGTCGGCGAAGTCAAAGACTCGGCAATGGAAGCAACACTAGCACCCATATCAGGAGACGTAACGAAGTGCTCATCACCCTGCCCATCCTCGGCCTGCTCATTGTGACCCAATTCACCACCATCCCAGTCAGCACGGGGCTTCTTCTTTTTCTTGCGTCGTTGTTTGCGCCATGTCCCATCCTCGCGCACAAACACCGGCCACCCAATAAGCGCCAGATCATTAATGCCAACCTCGAAGCGCCGCTTATGCCACGACCGAGACGGACTCAACAACTTCTCCCATACACTCCCAGGCACACCCAGAAGGGACTCCCAGGGGGGCCTAGAACTCCCGGGTCCATCCTCAGGTCGATCAGACGCGGTCCCTGCATCCTCTTCGAGATCGGAACCTGCGCCACCGCGCTTTCGTAGCGAGGAAGCTCGACCAGAGCCTAGAGATCCGGGACGGTGCGGTTCGTTGGCTGCAGTCGAAGCCGAGACGGAAAGGTGCTCGTCGAGGCCGAAGTTGCTGGCGCGCCGACCTGCATGCACTGAGCTGCCGCCGGCATGAGTTTCTTTTTCTCGCTCGCGGTCCTCCTCCTCATCGTCTGAGCTTAAGCCGCTTTCACTGCTTGAGCTAGAATCGGTGTTTCTCGAGCCTTGTCGCGTACGAGTGCGGGAGCTGCGCCGGCCGCCCTTGGCGGTGGTTTTAATTCGGTTCTCGCTAAGTGGTTTCGGGGGTAGTGGAAGACGAGACGGGGGCCGGTTCTTGAGCGGACAATTAATATTATGGCCACTAGACACGGGTCTGGTGGCCGTGCGATCGAGGACATTTGGTGTCTTCGGGCTCCGTGGGGGAGTTGGAGATCGTAGGCTTGAGAGTGGTTGGGCGGGATTAATTCCCCGCATGCGCGTGCTCCAGTCGACGGTCTATCAGATGGTACATACATCAGCCATTTTTGCTAACAACAACTCGATCTGTTTCAATATAGGTTCAATGATTGCTGCTAGGACGTCGTTTGATTGGGGCTTGGGATTTCTTTTTCAAGTTTCTAACGCCCTCTCTAACAATTAAAAACTGATCGACTTTCCATGCAAGACGCCATACTTGCAGCTCAATTAACTAGGCGGGTGATAGAAAGCTCTCTTAGACTATCGTGTTGTATACGTTTAACTATAGCTCTCTGGTGTTAGGTATATAGGTATCAAATGCATTTTCATATGTACAACGCCTTGAATAACGCCAGCACTACCCTGTCATCAGACTAATGCCAATCTCCCATATCGTACAATATCGCTTAGCCCTTCAAATCCCAGGCTCAGCTTTTCGATTGCGCAGTATTCGATGTGTCGGCACCTGCATTGGCAGGGGCTTTGTCTTTCTCTTCGTCGTCTTTGAACACTAGACCGAGGTTCTGGAAGTTATCCGGCGCCATAAGATTCCTAGAAGATGTCTCCGGTTAGCACTCTATTCTCAGCAAGCTTTCAGTTCCCTGTGCTTCAATGATGAAGATGTGGTGCCTCCACAAGACGGTTCCAACGTACTTGTCCATTCGGCAGGAAAGGTACTGCTTAGCCAATTTGCGACACGCCTCGTCGTTCGTGCCTCTGTTAAGCTTGATACACTTCAGATATCCTGATATAATGTGCTTGCACTCGCCTATAACATTCAAAGTTATAATTAGTTTCTGTGTTCGATTGTCTTGCTGGGGATCAAGATTGAGTCTTGTGGTTCTTTTGTACCTTCGTGATCGAGAGGGAAGCTACCGCGCTCGGGTCTAAAAAAAATTAAAATAGTCAGCATAATGTTGTGGTTGTTGCTGCGAATTCATCCCCTCAGTGGAAGAAGACTGCCTGCGCAAAGCAGTAGACTTCAAACGGTACTTACGGCGCGGGCTTGTAGTTCACAGATCCACCTCCCGGTGCTCCGAAACTCATATTCAGGTATTTTGAGCGTGAATCCGCAAAAATAACAGCAAAAAAGAAGTCTGCTTTGGTACAGACGAGACAATCAAATCGTAAGATGCGCACTTGTCGGAGAACGAGACCAAAAGTCCGAGAGACAAACAGGGCAAACAAGACAAACACCACGTCCGCCAATCACAAGTGCGGGATTCGGTCAATGATGTCTATGTCTCTCGGATGGATGGAGGGGAAATAGAACTTCGGCCTGCAGATGCGAAATTATATTGGACTGAGATAGGCGGGGTTAAGCAGATTATGCAGTCATACTTTGTTTTACCTGTTTGCTTGGGTTTTGAAGGTTGGGGTCGCTAGCCATGGATGGAATATATATAGAGGCCACTGTCTTTCGAACCTGAATATACTTTTCCAATCATTCGACTAATCTTTTTCTTACCATTTCATTCTTCCTTGTCGATCCCAAACTCATTTACATCAATCTAAACCATGCCTATGTATGTGAGGTTGGATCGCAGGCACCCTCTGTCCCATGTCAGCATCAGACCACTGACCCCGAACGAACAACAGGAGACTCGAAGGAAGCTGCCAATGTGGCGGCATTGAATTCACCCTCCAATCACAAACCCCAGTGCCATACCAGCTCTGCGCTTGCAGCATCTGCCGCAAAGTAGGCGGATACCTGGGCGCCGTGAACTTAGGGGGAATCGCAGACAGCATGAACATCACCAAGGGTAAAGACCTTATCAAGTAAGACATTACACACTAATACATCCTACGAAGACTGAAAAACAGGCTAACACACCCAGGAAATACACGGCAATCAAAGACCGGGGCACACCCATGGAACAACTTTGCGACTCCGAGCGCAGCTTCTGTTCGAATTGCAGTACCATGCTCTGGGTATGGGACCACCACTGGCCTGAACTAATTCATCCATTTGCGTCGGCAATTGATACGGAGTTGCCGGTGCCCGATGAAATGGTTTGCATCATGGATGACTCGAAGCCGGCTTGGGCGCGGTGGCCCGAGGGGAAGAAGAGTGTGCATAAGCTATATGGGGAGGATAGTCTTGAGGGGTGGCATAAGAAGCATGGTCATTATGTTGAGTAGGGAATAGGGCATGTCCATTTTGGAACAAGGTGCTTATGATTATGAACTAGCGGTGGGGAGAGGAGTTTACGCGATGAGAGCGAATCTGATTTACAATGAAAACGAGTATGATAGAATTTTCTTCCTTAATATTGATGCTATTATGTAGTAACTATTGGCTTCTGTGATGCGAATTAGCAACAGAACATCTCATGACATGAGTGGCATGGAGGGCAAGTGAAGAAAAGATCAGTTCTCCAAGGTGAAATAATATTGTATCGACACGGTGATTCAGAAAGAACACAGCGAATATTAAGGGTTCATCAGGCAAAGAAGGGGGGATTGGAGGACTGTAAACTCACGATCAACAAGCCAGGTTGGATGCTGGGTATGTGTTCCTATGTATTCACTTATGTCCAGTCAGCAATGGCATTCAAGCAATATGCAGGTGTCAACAGCAAGATCAAGACATGGCAACTAAGTCAGGCTGAAAAATCTGTTAGCATGGAACGTAATAAAATTTCACCAGGAAAAAACCCACCTCATTAAATCAGATTTTTGTATAAATGTTCATTCCCGGACACAGAGTGCCCAGGTCAAACAGTGTGAATAACACATTCATCATAATAGATATGACCATGATGGGATAGGGCAATAAGATGAGAGCAGTAAAGTACCTAGAGTTTCTGTTAGAAACACTGCAAAAAATTGTCATGGCGACATGGACAAAATGGTATGTGGGCAAAGGGTCAGGTGACGAATTCTCAACAAGTAATCCACCAAACATACACCCACAGAGTTTGTACGCTCTGCTTAGTTTCGGGTGCATGAAAGGAGGGTACGTTATGTCCGCCCGTTCGTTCAAGATATCTTCATGCTAGGCAATAGCCGCAATGGAATGATGGGTATGGGAGCAAGTTTAATGTACCTAAGCGACAGCTTGTTAGCTAAAGCTCACTTGATCAATGACAATGAACCAATGAGTTATTGTGATTGGGGTCAGACAAGGCTGAAACTAAATTTTGACAGATTCCACATGGTGATTAAGTTTGAGGAATGCCTTTGCATGTCGAATGATCATCATCCCAGGGGGGTGGTGTTGATATGGAGAGGGAAAAGTTTTTCCTTACCTTTTAAAGAAATTTTTTGGATTGCATCGCCGAGTGAACTCGGGCTTGTACACAGAAGGAGTGTGTGCCCTCATTAGACACAGTCCAAACTGTTGAATGAAGAAAAACAAAAAAGGATTGAGAGATCATAGCTCTTTGGGAATCCTGGGTAATGAAGAGAGAAGAGAAAAAAATTGTGGGTGGAGCTCGCTATATAAACGGATGGTTGAATACGGTGACCAGATTCTGCCATCAGCGCTGTTTGACTTGGCATCAAACACCAACCGAGAAACCACGACTCTCCACTAGACCTAACCCGAGGTTGATATAGAAGAATTTGAGAACATTCATTCACGCTTTGCTTTCCTGCCTGTATTTGAGCTTAAGGTCGTAAATATTTGAGATAATCGTTTTTAGATGAGTCATCTTTGCCAAGGAGGGGGTTTCCCGTATTCCTCAAGCCAAAAACAGTATTGAGCTGTATCGTAAATCTCTTTTCACTGCCCGTCTTTGGAACTAGCTGGACATGGCTTCAAACAATTCCCCACTGGCCTCATGGGAGACTTACGCCCCTTCTTGGGATAAAGGAATGGGTGATGAAGGAAATGAATATTTCCGCTTTCTGGAACTCCCCATCCTGGAGAAGCTGATTGGTAAACTAGAAGGATGCCATGCTATAGACCTTGCAACAGGAAATGGTCTTGTGGCTCGCTGGTTAGCCCAGAAAGGCGCTTCTGTCATCGCAACCGATGGTGCAGTCACGATGATAGACCGTGCAAAGGCGCGAACGCACATCTTTCTTGGTGAACACAAGATATCTTTCCAGTGTCTCGACGTCACAGACCAATCGTCTTGGGATGAATTTATGGTGATTGATAATCAACTCATGGTCAGTTCACAATCTAATTTACTCAGTGTTTTCTTGCCTCTCACTTGTTATCACATCTCTTTATTAGAATGGCGGTTTTGAGGTTATCACTATGAATATGGCTCTCATGGACATTCAGGATCTGGAGCCATTGGCAAGATCTTTGAAGAAATTGCTCAAGCCCAACGGTTGGTCAGTTCTTTCTACCCCCCCGGCCAAACATTATTCCAACTAAAAGCTACTTTCTAGCTTCGTCGCTACTCTGCTTCATCCGCTATTCTTCACATCTGGGGCAGCTCGGCAGGTAGTAGTCCGGGAGGACCCGGGGACTGGTCAGCGAATCGTCGACCGCTCTATTGTTGTAACCAAATACTTAAATGTCCCCCCGGCGAGACAATTGGTGTTGAAAGGGGAAACTGAGTCGCCGGTATGTGATTGAAGCCCTTCCCTATCCAGCGAGACGGTGGAAAAGCTAAATTATGCACGGTAGTACCTGTTCCACCGACCTTTGAGCCAGCTGTTTGCACCGTTTTTCAAAGCAGGTCTCGCCGTAGATGCACTTGAGGAGACCAATTTCGACGAAAGGCTTAGTGATCCTGTGCGTGAACATTCGTCGAAAAACTTTACCGAATTTCCGAAGATACTTGGCTTCAGGATGAGGCCCATGTCTGCGAACTAGATGGTCAGGGATCTTTGCAGGCTCTTCGAGATACGGCAGAGGCGATTGAGTACATAAGAAATGTGAAATTGTGGGGCTGGCTTTAGATTTGTATGTAGCTGCAATGATGCATTTCATAGTTTCAAGTTTCTCGAGTCAAAGACCGTTATTGCATTTAAGCTAGAGACCTGGATAACGCTTCCACTGACTTTCCGAAGGTGTCTCGATCATACGCAGTGCCTGACATATACCGCCTTGGCTCATCTTCGCATCTCGACTCCATGGTCCAGATATGCCTCAGCCTTCTGTCGAAAAGAGTCCATTGCATGTCTCCATAACGCAGGTCCAATGCTAATTCTCGCCACACCGATTTCAGTGAGCTCACGAACAGACAGCCCGTTTTCAAGGAGTGCGATGACGTTCAATCGACCATTGAAGGCCTGACATAGTTGAACAACTTCCGCAGTGGCCAAACCTCTCTTTGGTCCACCCCACACAAAAACAGTCGTGGCACCGGCATCCAGATATGCCCGTCCACGCAAAATTGCTTCATCAACATCATGATCTTTCATGACTGCATCCGTACGCGCATTCACCACAAAACTTGGAACACCTGCATCCTTCGCAGCAGAGATCGCCCGGCGAATACGGTCTACCGCTTCATCCAGAGGAAACAGATACCCTGTACTGTTGTCCCGATCCTCAATATTGCACCCGGACGCTCCGAGTGCAATGATACTTTTGATAGCGTGTTCCAGCTGATCACCATAGCCATCTTGCAGGTCGACCGTGATGGACTTGTCGTGTTTCAATGCAACTGGGATGATGCGTCGTAAGGCGGTAAGGTTTGTTTCCAAGTCAAGTTCATCATCTGCACATCCGTTGACTGCGGCAATGGCGAAGCTTGCTGTGGCGATGGCCTCTGTTGCTGGGAGCGTGGCTACCACTTCTGCTGTTGGGGCATCATAGACATTTGCAAATACCACCGGCTTTCCAGGTTGGTGGAGGCTGCGAAGTTGGTGAGCTCTTTCTTCTGCCATTGTCTTGATATAATTTTATTGTTGTTGGGGGAATGGGGAGGTAGAGCGATTGTTGAGGTGTAAAAGAGCACGGTGAGCCACGACTTATAATCAAGAGTATGGCTCTTTTTTTTGGAATCAAAATACTTCGAGAACCTCAGCGCGTAGGTTCGTAGTATTTAAATGTTTCTTTGGAGGGGAAAACGAGCCGCAAGGAATGGCTGACTGTTGATTGGTCAATTTGATAGCAAGTATCTAATACTATACGAGGCAGAGTAACCAGATTCGGATTAGGGTATGTTCGGATTAAAGCCGAGAGACAATCCGTTCGTGTTCGTTGGGGATTCTATTTCCCAATACTACTGTACTCGAGACTACGAGCATAGCAATATGGAATGGAACCCAAGGTATGATTGATGAGACTTCGTAAAGGAACACCGGTGGGGGGAAATGCCGCGAGTTTACACATGAACGCATAAATAGCAGAAGCTCATTGCAGGCAAATTAGGGACTCAAGGTCAAAGGCACGCATGCAAACACAAGATTATTACTAAAGAGTGCATTCGCACAAGCTAGTAACCAAGTCAGATCGTTGAAGCCTTGAAGACAACACCTGGAAAGAGCTGAAACCAACACAATGCACGGGAATCAGACGTAGATGGCCTATGGGCCAACGGCTAAGGTTTTAAGGAACCGCTTGTAGATACCGAGTCACACCTCATCTGGACGTCATAGAAGTCCTAAACCTTTCAAAATTTAGTTGCATCAGCCTGACGTCCATATTCAAGCACAATGCCGAAGCCCCGAGTGCAGTAAGGATTTAAATTCGAATCTGTCACAAACAGCAACATTTTGTCTCCGAACCGCCATTGATACCAACCAAGACCAAAATGTCCACAAGATACAAGTTGAACACAGGTGCAGATATCCCGGCCCTTGGATTCGGCACCTGGCAAGATGAAGGGGAACAGGAAGACGCCGTCGCGGAGGCAATCAAGGCGGGGTACCGTCACATTGACACTGCGCGCGTGTGAGCATATCTTCTATACCACCAACATCAAAGGCATGTTCCAATACCAGGGCTGACGTTGCGGTAGTTATGGCACGGAGAAAGCCGTCGGAAGAGGAGTCAAGAAGAGCGGCATTCCCCGCGAAGATCTCTTCATCACGACCAAGCTCTGGTGCAACAAGCAGCATCCGGACGATGTGGCACCAGCTCTGCAGGAATCACTCGAAGACCTCGATATGGATTATGTCGATTTGTATCTCATACACTGGCCTGTGGCCTGGAAGCGAGGAGAGGAGTTGTTCCCGAAAGACGATGGGGTGCCAGTGATGCAGCATGATGTCGGTCTTATGGATGTAAGGTTATCATATCCTGCTAACTATCAAGTTCAAAATACTGATAGCAACATAGACCTGGAAAGCCATGGAACAGGTCCTGAAGACGGGCAAGACCAAAGCTATCGGCGTGTCGAACTGCGACAAGTACGAGATGGAGCGCCTGGTAAAGGATACCTCGGTCGTTCCGGCGGTGCATCAGCTGGAATGCCACCCTTGGCTACAGCAACATGATTTTACGGCGTGGCATCGGGTTAATGGGATCCATGTCACGCACTACTCGCCGTTTGGAAACCAGAATGCCATCTATGGCAACAAACGCGGAACCGAGAGGTTGGTTGATGAGCCTGTGCTGGCGGAGATCGGGAAGAAGTACAACAAAACTGCTGCGCAGGTTACTCTTGGTATGTGTTCGCGGAGTATCTAGATGTTAGTAAGGAAAGATGCTAATAGCAGTGTGCTTGATAGCCTGGGGTGTCACGCTAGGCCATTCGGTGCTGCCGAAGTCCAAAACCCCTTCTAGGATCAAGTCTAACCTCGAGGGAGATTTCAAGCTCAGTCCAGATGATATGAAACAGATTGAGACACTCAACCAAAAGCGTCGTTTCAATGATAGCAGTGGGGAGTTTGGCAGGGACTTTTTCGCAGGTCTCGAAGGAAAGTAATGACAATGCTATGTCCAAGCAATGATGCAATTTTAGAATGCCATTAATATCGTGAAACAATCAGATTATGCAATGATACAACTGTCAACCAAGCAAGTATGAGAATATGTAGATGGACTGTGGAGTATGCAAGCAGGAGTGGTTGTGGCTCATGACGTCATCGGCATACAAGGAGCAACAGGTCGACCCGCTTCCTACATCGTTCACCATACGGATTAGCACAATTTAGCAATGTCTTCAGCAAAGCACGGATTTGCTATCGTTACTCCTGCTTCACGCGGGCTAGGTTTTGCCTTCGCTCACCAACTTCTAGCGCGGACCCAGCTCCCGGTGATAGCAACAGCGCGCAAGAACTGCAATGAGATCCGAGAGTGGTTGCTATCTAGCAATGGCATACCCAAGGATTCAGAGAAGAGGCTTAAAATGATTGAAGTTGACGTGACAGGTACAGTGCAAACGAACCTAGTTTGGGCCAAGTGTTCGTGACAACGTAAACAAACCTGATCATTTCCACAGATGAATCCACGATATCAGCAATGGCAGATACAATCCGCAAGGAATATCCAGACACACCACTCAGATTGGGACTGACAGTGCCGGGTACTCTGCATGTGGAAAAGTCGCCGAGCCAGATCGACTCTGCCGGGGCTTTGGATAGCTTCAAAGTCAACTCCTTGGGTCCATTACTCCTCATGAAACATCTCTCCCAATTTATGCCATCCAAATCTGCACCTGCATTCCCCAAAACAGAGTTCACAGCTGCAGCTGGTTCCGAAACGCAGCTGGAGTTGCCTTCGCATGCCATCTATGCCATGATGGCTGCTCGCGTCGGCTCCATTTCTGACAACTCGTCGGGTGGGTGGTACTCGTATCGTGCGAGCAAGGCTGCTGTGTTTCAGTTGGCAAAGTCTTTCGATTTGTATCTGCGGACGAAGAGCGCACAGAGGGCGATTGCTGTTGCGTTGCATCCGGGAACCGTGCGGACGGATTTCACGAAGGAGTTCTGGGGCGGGAGGGAGATGCTGGAGCCTGCTGATTCAGCCGAGAAACTGTTGCAAGTCCTCTTGGGGCTATCAGCTGAGACGAACGGAGGGAGAGGGAGGTGTTGGGATTGGAAAGGGGAGGAGGTTTTGCCATGAGCATACTGGACTTGGAGTTTGGTGGGAGGTTAAGCTTGATCTAAGATATTAGATTTCGGATTGACAATATGACGCAAAGCCTGCAAAAGACTGTCTTCTATTCGCGCAGCTCTAAATAGGTCTTGTCCCTTTGTGATATTCACGTGACCTTTCGTACAAAAAAGGCGACTCTATCACTGCCTGTCAAGTTTGTTGTCACTTCATTGCGTCGCATAACAGTGACCCTTTGATAGCACCTCGAAGCAGCAGCTGTGTGACTGCTTCAGCGTACCGACAACCACAATATGAATTTTAGCGGAAGCTGAAGGGACCATAGAACTGAGAATCAAAACAAACACCAACAGGATCACTATCTGCAGCGCGATTCCCACTCAATAAAATCCCGGAGCAGAAGCTGTATGACCGCTTCAGCGTACGCCGACAGCCACGAAGTGACTCTCAGCGGACGCTGAAGGAGCCATAAAAACACTGTCCTGGGAGTTTAACTGAGTCATATCCGAGTTGAGCCACACCAAATGCAACATCCAGATGCAGTCGAATGTGGGGTGTACATGGAAGGGTTACAATCCAAGAACAGTCTCGACAGTCGTATACAACTTCAGAGAGAGCAAGGTGGCGGAGAAAGATACTGACTGAGCTCCTGAGAGCCGGGGAATAGGGAGGTACTGCTGCACAGCTTTGATTGAAGCGAGGTGGGGGAAGTACGGAAGATTGGAGAGTCGAGCTCTATATAGTGTAGTGGTGAATCCCGTGACAGTAGTATTTGAATGGCCTGAGGCATCTATGATGCCTCAGGAGACATGCAGTCTTCTCCTACAGAGAGAGAGGAGCATGATCCAACAACCTCAATATGACTACAGTTACTCGCAAAACTTCTTGATTCATGATATAGCATCAGGTTCGGTACGATTTACACCTTCAGGGACCGCTCTCTACGCCTTCAGGCCATGGGAGTGGTTGTGTGATCTCTTCATTAGTATCGACCCGTCTGCTATGTCAGACTGCCATCGTGCCATCCCCATTTCAATAGGTAGGCGGTCGGGTCCGGAATAACCTCTTGTCCGGCTCACTTTCCGCGCTCAAACGGGCAAGTTTAAGTCAACTTCACGCCACTCTTGACCCAAGTGAACAAATGACGTGAATGTCATTGAGATTGGCCTTGATATATTTTGAAATACTATCGCAGGCCAAGCTCCGTTATGCTCTGTCGTCCACGAATTCAGCTCAACCGAGAATATTTTAATATTGTTCTCATACTACAGGCTACTGTGAGCCTTTTGTGGGAAAAAAGAAGGATAAAAAAAAAAGTATCATCTTCAGACTAAATACCTGAACTTCTATAACCAAATGAGTCTATATATGCAAGATAACCGAGCCGGTCATCGGGTGTATCAAATCTAATCAAAAATGCAGGCCTTCATAGAGTTAGGCTGAATGTATTCCGACGCATTGCGGAAGCTGGTGAAACCCCAACGGATCTGACCAGCCATGGCAATCTCAACATCGAGATCCTTAGCGAACTGCCAAGCGAGACCAGTATCACGCTGGAAAGCACGACCAACAAGGATGACATCGAGGTCCTCCTCGTTCAAGATCTTCTCAGCCAGGTTTCCGTTGTTAATCATACCAACGGCAGCAACGAGAAGCTTGTTGCCAACGGCCTTCTTGACAGCAGAGGCGAAAGGAACCTGGAAGCCGGCACCGGAGGTGATCTTCTGGGCACTGTGGACACCACCGGTACTAATATCAATAAGATCGATAGCACCTTGGGCGGCAAGAGCACGAGCGAACTCAACAGTGTCCTCGAGCTTCCAGCCCTTCTCTTCGGGCTTGCTGGTCTCGAGCCAGTCGGTAGCGGAGACACGGAGGAAGATAGGCATGTTAGCACCGACGGTGTCACGAGTCAACTGAGCAATCTCGAGAGAGAGACGAATGCGATTCTCGAAGCTGCCACCGTAGTCGTCGGTACGCTGGTTGCTGGAGGGGCTCAGGAAAGAAGAAAGGAGATAACCGTGGGCGTTGTGAATCTCAATGAAGTCGACGCCGGCAGCAACAGCACGCTTAGCAGCGGCAACCCAAGCGGCCTTGACCTCCTCGATATCATCCTTGGTCATAGCGATAGGCATAGGGTCACCCTCGGCGAAGGGAATGGCGCTAGGAGCCTTAACGTTATCGGTCCAGCCGCCAACGGAGTTGTTGGCGACAACACCGCCCAACCAAGGAGCGACGGTCGAGGCCTTGCGGCCGGCGTGAGCAAGCTGGATACCAATCTTCTGGCCCTGGCTGTGCACGAACTCAACGACATCAGCGAGGGGCTTGATCTGGGAGTCCTTCCAGAGACCGACACAGCCGGGGGTAATGCGGCCCTCAGGCACAACGCCAGTAGCCTCAATAATCATGTTTCCGGGCCCGCGCTGGGCAATGGCACCGTAATGAGCCATGTGCCAGGGGGTCATGTGGCCATCATCGGCACTGTACTGGCACATAGGCGCAAGCTGTAGGAATGTTGTTAGCTTTGTAGATCATCAATTGCACGGAGAATACGTACGCCCAATCGGTTCTGGAAGGTAACTCCCCTAACGGTGAAAGGCTTGAACAGCTTGGGAATGGGCTTTCCACTGGTCTGGGGGTCACGAGCTGTGCCTGCCGGGGGGCTTTGGGCAGGGGTGAAGTATGAGACGCCCTCAGCGGGCTTAGCTGAAACGTCGGGCCAAGTCATTTTGCTTTGATATGAGATATTATAACTTTATACTGAAATCCTTACCTTGCAGGGGTGGAGGGTATTTATATACTGTAACTAGTTCATGTGGAGCAATCAAGGTGATTTATCATCTGAAAATTTGATAGCCGTGGCTTTTTGATTTTGAAACACGGATAACACTCGGGATTCTATTTTCCGCATAGCATCTTTGTCAGGGCGTGAAGCAGAAATGAAAAAGTCGCCGAATGATATCCACCCCCGGTTGAATTAGCTCCCGAGTCCCGGCTTATGTAATGTCTCCGATACTTTGTGGATCCATGGATGCGATGAGGCCAACTGTCAGGCAGACAGTTGGAGACGCGTCAGCTGACAGTTGGAAGGTCATGTGACCCACTAGCGTGTTTTGAACTGTCAGCTCTGTGATTAGTAATCGATTATGATTGGCTACTAAAGTGGGTCCATATCTTGGCATTACACGGCTATTACAATCTTTCCCTTTTCATCCACCCCATCTCCACTGAGGTTCCCGACCGCCTTCACTGGATCAATTTTTCTTCGATTTCATCAAATTTCCATCATATTTTCATCGATTCTTAATAGCTGAGCATTATGGCAAGCGTTAAGAAGGAGTTTTTCGACCGTTACGTTGCGCGTGCCATGGCTGGCGACCCCCCCTGCCTCCCTACGAGACCGTGAGTCGGTTCTATCGCATGAATAATGCATTATTATACCATGGCTAATACATTACAGGATGACAATGGCCATATTGTCATGCATATTGGCGAGGTTTTCTGCCGCGTCCCCGACTGCTCCTCCCAAACAGTGAGTGATGAAGGCATCAGCTATTGAAAAAGTATTAATAATGCATTACAGAAGCAGTTCTCCCACACTGGCAACCTGCGTGTCCACATAAAGGCCCATAAAGACCTCACCCTCCCCGGCCGCGCCAAAGGTGCCCCTAGTGTCGAGGACAAAAATGCCTCGATCGCGTGGTATAAATCGCTCTTTGCCCCTCCGAAGAAGATGGCCGTGCCTTTTACGAAGGCTGGCAATGTGAGTTAATATGATGACAATACATTCTCCGGACATTATTAATGCATTATCCCAGATCGGTATCAAAGAGATCAAGGATTTTCTTCGGACCAAGCATGTGACCCAGTTCCCTTGCGAGTCCTGCGAGCAAGCTAATGCTAGTGAGTTCGACCTATACTCTTATTAATACTTTACTAATGCATTAAAACAGAATGCTGTGCCACCCCTTTCGTCTGCGAGTACCTTGACCGCTACTACGACGTTGAAGAGTCTTTCGACCGCCCGGAGTAAAACTACTACTACCGCTTTCTGATATGACTATTATGTTTTGACGATAGATACGGGTGCTTTTTCTTTGAATTCGTGGAGTTTTGATATCCGAGTTACTAGCTGAACTCAATAGCTAATACATACTCTTACTATTATTAATATACTATAAGAATCTTTACTAGGACAAAAGGTGCATAAGCGGACTATTAATAATATATTAACTCGGAAAATATAAGAAGGGCAATACCTCGCAGTAATAAAATAAATGCTAGTGGTATTGGTAGTGGTCTAACTATACATAATATAGCTAATATAAATTATATATCATATATGTTAGCCACACCAATATATAAAATGTAAGATTAATGTATAGGTAAGAGATATATATATATAAAGATATAACTAGTATTTCAATTTAGTTTTTCTAGTTCTAACTCTCTCTTCTTATTTGCAAGACGCTTTTCTAGCACTCTTGCCCTTATATCCTCCGTCTCTTCTTCCTTTTGAAGGTCTTCGATTCCCGATATATCCGGCCGGGTCGTTTCGCTACCGCAGATTAATAATGCATTATTAAGTATATATAATCCCGCGTACTTACTCTTGCTTTTTTCGTGATACTTTTAGCCTTTTTACTAGACGAGTTTGAACTGGAACTCCTGTCGTAGAAAAGGACATAGATATCGAGTTTTCGGAGGGCGCTTTGTTTGGATCGTGAAATTCCTCCTGTTGGCGGTCGGCACCTAGTAATGATATATTAGATATATATTTAAAATAGTTTAGACGCTTACATCTCGCCATATGACTATACATAGCCTCACTAGTCGTGTTCGCACGGTAGTGTGGCCGTAAGCGCTTCTTTTCAAAGGACTGAAACTCTTCCATATCCTTTCGATCAACTGCTCTTCCACTAAGAATATATTAGCTATATATTAAGAATGTATTAGACAACACACTTATCAATCGCTTGTATAAGCGTAAGCTGACGGCCCCGATTGTTGACCTTAAAGTGGCTCTGTTCAACTGCGTTCGTATTATGCCGAGTCTGATCAAAGACTAGCCATGGGACCTTAGTACTACCCCGATGAAGGCCTGATGCAATATTGTCTCTCATTTTGTGCTTCGCCCACTCTTGAATCTTGACGGAAGGTTCTGACTCTGAGTAAGGTATTAATAATGCTATATTAATAGCTAGAAGCGACATACCAATAATTATACGAAGCGCTACCTGGTAGTCCTCTTTCGTTGGCGTATCGAGTATAGACATCATCCTTTCTTTCGCTCCATGGCGATATTTCACCCCACGTAGACACTCTCTAATTCCTCGTTTGAAGTGTATCTGGCAGAAGATAACTAGAGACATAGCTAGTTCCTCCTTTGGGATATTAAGATCGGAGATTGAATCGAGATAACGTGCGAGACCTATAATGCATTAATGATATATCTACAATAGCTGAAGTTATTACTTACCATTCCACTGTCCTAAGTCCATATCCATCACAACAGCCTGGATCCCAGACCCATGAATTGGGAAGAAGCGTAAGGGCCGACCAGTATAACGCTGTGTAGAGGCTGATACCCTACTAAATATCAACGCATAAGCCTCTTCATCTGATTTGCCTGAGGTAAAAACGCGAGCAAGAGTAATGACTATAACCAAACATTAAGAATATATTAATAATAGCTGGGCTCTCTCACTTACTTCGATTTTGCTTTTCCACAAATTTAGCGAAGACAACCTCTTGGGTCTTAGAATCCTTAACCCTCTTATAGGACATATCGACCTCAAAACTCTCGGAACGTTGCATGATCTCGGCTTGCTCTCTAGTCTGACAGATGATAAGGGTATCGGTAATCTCAACAATGTATTCCTAATAATATATTAGTTATGTATTCATAATATACCGGGCTCTGTTTACCCTGATGTTGCCCTGGTTTATTTGCCATTGAAAAAGAAGCCCATTTTTTCCTTGACCCTGTGGGTAGGCTAAGAGACGCTCCTTCTGAATAATAGCAGCAATCCGGCCCATATTTCCTAGACTTCCATGAATTTCGTTAAGAGAGAGCGCATTAAACTGCGCACAAAACGCCTTAAGCTCAGGTGACATAAGAAAAGCAACTTGATAGATATTAGCAGAGATAATATATTAAGAAGGTATTAAAAATAGCCGTACCCGGAGTGAGGTTCCTAATTTCCATACTCCTAATAACCTTGATCAGATCTAGGAGAATTGCCTGTGGAGGCTTTGCTGGAGGTGGAGGAGGATGCGAATGGATACCTATCGATAAAAAGGCGTAGAAAGGGGTTGTTGTGAGGTTGACTGGCACTAGCCAATGGTATTGTACCTTGCATCCTATGATTTGAAGCTTCCCGCGCCCTTGAAGATGGTTTGTGACTTTAAAGTATTAGCAATAATACATTAGGAATAGGCTGATAATGTATTATTCCTTACGGCAGAATTGTGCGCGGCCTTTATTAGCCTCAATATTGCCGCAAAACTCATGCTCAATAGAGGCGATATCACGAAATAGCCATTCGAGTAATACCATGTCGAATCTATGGTTATCGATGACTTTTTGTGTAAAATGAGTATGGAGTGCGTCCCCTGTATTCACGCATCTAATATAGGCAGCGAGAACTCCGGAAGGTTCCTAAAACAATACATTAATAAAACTTAGATAATACATAAGCCATAGTGCCTTACTTACCAAGTAACTCCCCCATTCTAGCGTTGGTTTACATGTATCCTTCCAGGACACGCCGCATGACCTCCGATCCCGAAAAAGCTTGACTGCTATAAGGTATTTCCTTACTCCACGATTAATAATTGCTTAATAAGGTATTATAGCCACTTACATATATGTCCTTCGCTTCACTTGCTCTGTTTCAGCTAAAGGAATACCCTCTCGAATAGCTTCAATTTCATCCCACTGCGTCTTTGATATAGACGTATGCTTCATATCTTTAAGCGCCGGATCGGCGTATTGACAGAGCTTCACTCCAGTGCAATAAGCAGAGGTATGTAGTAGTGGTACACTACCAAAGATAGTCTCACTATTCATAGGCCGTTCTCGATAATTCAGCCGCATCGCATATTGAACCTGAAATATATTAATAAATCATTATTAATAGCGTGCCTTGTTCACTTACGCTTGAGATCGCGTTAGCAACCGCACTCTGCTCTTGACCCGGAACTGCGACTATGTAGGTAAAGCCATCAGGATCTGATATAGGATACTCTGGTAAAGCTATTGTATATCGAATAAACCGAGTTCGTAGCGGGTGGCATTTTGTATGGGTCAAGTTCAGTAGGAAATTTCCGTCGTTTTCCTTATACATTGTTAATGCATTAACAAGGTGTAATCTTATACGAAACTTACTTGTTCTTCATCAGATATCACGATCTGATCTCGAATAAGGCTTTCCTCAGCCATGGTAGAGAAATATTCTAATACAAAAGTAATATATTAAAATGGACTGGTTTAAATATTGCCACTTTTTTGTGGGCCACTAGCGTAAAATACGACAAATTCTAGCGAGTATCAGTCTGTAAAGGTTTATTACAGTCACGTGGTGCCAAGAAATCCAACTGTCAGGTGACGCGTCTCCAACTGTCGGGGTGAACTACATCCTGGGATGCGATTCACGCCCAACTCTATGTGCATTACAGCATACAGTTTAATATCCACACAGGCCGTCTAACTAGGTCTCACCTAGGATCCGTTCATGCTAGTTCTTTTTGTCATGGTAGTTTGAACCAGTGTGCTTTCGGTTATATACATTTCTAAACTGGAGAGACAGGCCCTTGTTTGCATTTATATTCCTGTTCCAATCTTCGATAAGCCACACTTCTTCTGTTCCTCTTTTTGCCTCTTGTTTGTCCGAATCTCTAGACTGAAAATCAACGTCAAACTTTGGACATCAAATCCACCATCGTGCTAGCCCATGCCTGAAGACTAATCTTCTAGTCAAATAGCCTACCTAGTACGAAACCTATGATCCTCCATTATACTCTTGAGTATAAGAAGCAGCATTTTGGCCCACCTAAACTGCTGCGTGAATATGGTTTCAGCTTAGTACTACCATGCGTTCGCGGATTTGGGACACGCATGGCATCTTCCTTTACGCTGACGAGCTCTTCCAAGCAATCCAGACCGAGGAATATCCAGATGAGCTATTATACGTGTAATTAAAATACCGAAGGCAGATTCAGAGACTTCAGAGGATCGAGTGAGTTGGAAGTGAAAAAAAAAAAAAACGTTAAGAGGTGCGGAAGGAAGTGAAGGTAAACAGGCAAGCACCAGTGACTGAGCATGCTACACACAAATACATCAGAGGACCATTAGAATACTCCAAACCACGTTAATTCAAGCCACCAGAGTCCAGGCAAAAGTTGAATATAAAAAGTATCCTATCTCAAGGACCCATCCAAGCCTCAAGCCTGCCGAACAACATTTCCACCCGCCTTTAAAACCCCAGTCCGATCAATAAGCGCCCGCGCTCTGACATACGGATCCAACTTCCAATAATTCACTCGGAACTCCTCAATGACAGAATTCCGTCTCAACTTCAGCTCATCCACCGCCTCCGGATCCTCCTTCCCTTCAGCGAATGTGGTCGCAGAGATCCAAGCCGCGGTGGCAGCAAGCATGCGGATGCCAATCATCATACGGTCATACATGAGCTTGTCGCGCGTAGCGGTATCCTCCATTATGGCGTTCTCGTCTTTCTCCGGCTCGACGTATTCGTACTGCCAGTCCTCGTCGCCTTTGAGTTCTCGTGGGATCTGGGTGCGTGAGATGAATTTGTCGAGGTCGGCGACTGATTTTGTGAAGTGCACTTTGGAAGCTACGACTGGGTCCATCCAGCCATGAATTAGTCTCCAGATTCCTACGGGCAGACTACATTAGTGTGTGTTGATGGGATAAAACTCGGACCGCAGCTTACCGGAGAAGATCCATGGTGCGTTGTGGATGAGCAGGAGGCCCAGTGATTCGGGATAATTTGCCTCAAAGCATTTGATAATAAATTTGACGGGCGAATATTCCTGTTTCAGTTAGTACCGGTGATTTCCAGGCATGAGTGGACGTCAAGAGCTAACCATATTGGACAAAGAAAACCCAGACATATCAAAGACAATTGTCTGCCGAACAGTCAGCATATACCATACACATCAACTGCGGATAACATACACCAGTCTCAACTGGAGGAACCACAATCAGCCGAGTCGACTCAATAACGTGAACAATATACCGCTCGAGGGTCTCCTCCGTCTGAGCACCGGGCTTATGAATCTTCACCCGGACATAATTAACAGGACGGCCCTGTTTGTCAAAGCCATGAAGGAAGCTCTTGCCCATCTTGAGCTGCTCGATGAAATCAGTGCCGTCCTTCTTATCCTTCACGGACTTGCTGGTCTTAGATTGTTCCAGAGCATATCCCTCTCCCTTGGGCAGGATATCGTCATCGACATCCATTTCCTTTCTCCACAATACTGTCGAAGTCATCATACTGAACGCTTTGCCGATGTCCCATTTCCTGGCTCTCAAAAAGCGAAGCAGGAGGCTGTCGGGATGCTCTTGTTTGACCATCTTCAGGATCGCGAAACACATCTCCTGGGGTGTCATCTGGGCCAAAATACTTTCCATTGACTTGATTTCTGATTCTTGGACGCCCAGTTTCCGGAGCTGGGTGAATAGTGTGGCGAAGTGCTCTGGGGAGACTTTTCGCGTTGCTAATTCCGACATGATGGTCTTCTGGGCGTCTTTGTTCATGAGCGAGTCTACTTTGTCCAGTGACTTCTTTTCTTTGCTGTCTCCGTTCGTTTCGCCGCTGATATGTCCATTGATCCCGCCATTGGACTCGCCATTCGTTTCGCCATCCGTATCGCCGTTAGTATGGCCGTTGGTGTCGCCATTTGTTTCCGCGGGGGCTATTCCAGTTGTAGTTTCCCCATTGGCATCTTCCCCCTTCAAAGCAGCGACGATAGCTTCGACAGACGGTTCATTGATTCTATCCAATGCCTCGAAGAGCTTATTTGAGGGACCCTCAGATACAGGGACATCATAAACAGCCGATAAAACCGAAGCGACAGAAGTGAAAATAATGACCCAAAACTCGCGCAGTTTGGCTTCCTGTTCGGGCGTGAGGTTGTTGAGGTACCCTGTCGGAGTATCAGATACGACAGCCATGGTACTAATAATGCGTTATATTGCAATGAGAAATGTTGCAAGTTAATAGTTCATTTCGCAAAGCAGAGGAGTCTCTTCTTATTCATGGTCGCTTCCAAGTCTTGGAACGGTCTGCAGTCTCCACATGAACGGCCAAGGGGGGTTGGCTGCCTCGGTTCTCGTGTCATGGGTGCGCCTCAAAATTGATGCATGAACCTCGGTGTTTGAGATGGGAAGATCTTCTCGTTTGATTGCCTTGAATGCCCTGTTTTTGGGCTGAAACACGAACAGATCCTGGGGGTGACGATCTCCGGTGCGGAGGTGATCGTCGCGCTCGGCGCGCTCGGCTCCTTTTTGAGGGTTAGAAATGCGTGAAATTCGGTGGCTTCAAATTTGGGTGGGAGATTTACGGGGTGTTTGATTTTCGGATATGCAAGATAAGTGATGCGATTCATAATATGCCTCTCTGATCTCTTACATTCGCACTACTCCCACCCTCCTAACTTTGTCAACTTCAAATGCATCCCCTCCAAAGGTTGACTGGTCAATGTCCCTCCAAATGTAATCTTCTGTTTTGGATCTTTCAATGCACATTGGAAAAGACCAAATAGCCCCGCGACCGCACAGCGAAACTCAGCCTTCGCAAAATCCTTCCCAATACACGCCCTCGGCCCATGAAGGAATGTAATCTGGGCAAAGTTCGTCGATGCACCTCCGTGCTTATTAGGGGATTGTTTGCCAGTCTCGGGATTAGTATCAATCCATCGCTCAGGCAAAAATTGATCTGCGGTCTCGCCCCAGAAATCCGGGCTACGATTAATCGACTGCGGACACAGTGCGATCGTTGTGCCCTTGGGTATTTTCTTCCCCGCGACCATCGTTTCACGGATGGCTTCACGACCTGTCATTGGCACTGTGGGGTACAAACGAAGTACTTCCTGGCATACGCCATTGAGGTAAGGCATTCCTTCGAGGTCTTGCCAAGATACCAAGGCAGCTGGGGAAGGGATAGTCTCGCGGATTTCTTGACGAAGTTTATCCTGGATATGTGGCTCTATACACATGTGGTAACAACACCAGGTAAGCGCCCCGGCTGTAGTTTCATGCTGCAATGATTGTTAGCTTTCAATGGCCTCGTTTGGTGAGTAAGAATACAAGAGAGCATACCCCAGCCGCCAGGAATGTAAGCATCTGATCCACCAACTCGCTGTCACTAAACCCCCCGCCTCGCATCATGGTGCCTAGGATATCGCCGTCGGCGGCTTCCTGTTCACTCTTCTCGGATTCGAGAAATTTGCGCTTCTCACGAAGAATGTCGTGGAATACCTGTCGCAGGTATCTCACATTCCGCGGGAGCACAATATTAGCCTTGCAAGGAATAAGTTTCACCAGCCACTGCGGCAGGAGCAGCGAGGCACCGAAAAGCAGAATCAAATCTGGAGATGGCTTCAAAATCGCGGAATAATTCTGTGAGACTGGGTCGTTCTCATTTTCTAATGATTGGAAGTCCCGGCCGATCGCAGCAGGGCCTATGATATCCAAAGTCAATCGACTATAACAACCCCAAAATTAGCCATTCACCTGCAATAAATTTCAATGAATCACAGTACTCACTTGGCCCACCCCCCAATCTCAATAAAGCCAGCAGGATTCGCATTATGCAGCCCAGGAAGAGCATGCATCCTAATCTCCTTCTCAAGCTGACTCAAAAATAGCTGCGTCTTTGTCCACATAAGCGGATACATAGCCCGAATATTCTTAATAGTGAACGCAGGAGTGACAGCTTTCCGCTGTGCACGGTGGGCATCACCTTCAGAAAGAATGAGTCCATATCCCAACCCACGAGCTAGGAACTCCCGCCCGCCCGGCGGCTTAACAAAGTCATAGCTATTTGTGTGCAGGACATCCATCAAAGCTCTGTGGTTTGTTGCGAGTAGGAAGCTATAGTTCAGTGCTTCGCGGAAGTGGATTAGGCCTTCGTTTGGGACTGTTCGGAGCCAGTCTATTGTTATACTACCGCGAGGATGGAGCATGAAAACCTTTGCTCCGATTAGTGGGCCCTGTTGGACATTGGTTAGCCGGGCTCTGTATATTGAGCGTAGGAGAAGATGTTATACCCTGACGGTAGGCAGGTGTCTAAGTGGGTTGAAGAAGAATGGCCATATGAAGACCCTCCATATTGCTAGCAGGAGGAAGTTGGCTCCAAAAGCATAGAGAAAGATTGTCGCAGGACGCTCTGTAGTCATGCGAGATGCGATAATCACCAGGGTTTCAACCACGATAGAAGGAATGAGAAGTGTTAGACGTTCTTTAGCAGTAGACATTGTGTGTTCTTGATAACAACGAGATCAAAGTATGGCATTCCTCCTTCGTGAATTTTACAAATTTATACATGACCTTCTTACTCACATGTCACTACTCTTTCAAAAAATCAATCTGCCTACAGCCAGAGCGGACGACATATCTTCCGTTCTTTAAACTTTCAATGACTCAATCTTCAACTCAGCTATGTAGTGAATATGTCACAACATCAAATCTCACATGCACGTCAAATCGGTCGATCAACTAAAAGGCGGGGAATACACCTAGCGCGTCCCAATAGATTTGCGACTAACGTGATCGATCGATGTCATTGCTCGAATTGATCTAGTGGACCGGAATCTTCACATGCATCTGGGGAACCCGGGGAACCATGCACGCTTTACTGGTTTCGGCATGCAGGGCGAGCGAACCAGGTACGGTTGTTTTGCTGTCTGAGCGCCCTGCTGTGGGGGGAATGATTTGGCCAATAGGGAAGTTCGTGGGTGGACTACATTATTTCGTGAGATCTAACTTATATTCAATTGTGGTACTTGAATGAGTTGATAGATAAATGATATTTGGGTTTAGTGGGAGAAGATCGTATACTCACTGCACTGATGGAATAGAGGAACAGTGGACTGAGCGGTAACGTTTTCCCCTTATATATGAGAGACACTGGAACTGTGAAAGGCATGTTTCAATGCGAGTATTGAACTGATACGTGTTTCTTTACCGGCTTGTGAATCTATAACTTCTAGATACTTACATTGGGAAACTGTAACCTAGACTTACGTGTCCTAAGAGAGGAAATTCGACCACTGAAAATGCTTTGACATCATGCCTACCCACCAAAAGATCGCTCGCCCTATGATTTGAAGCACCAGGCATCGATTAATGAGCGGTTCAATCATAGTCTGCGATATTGCTCAAGCTAACTCCGCAACGTGTAAGGAATTGTTGTCGTTGAAATCTGATTCATTATCCATTATAAGAACTTAGCGCACCAGAAAATTATGAGATGATACCCGAGAAAGAAAAAAAAAGAAAAAAAAAGGAGATAGAACATGGATGAAGAAAATTCCATAGACACCAAACGCTGATTGACAGGCCTCCACGGCTAATCAACAATAAGTAAATGTTGAGAGACCGACGAACAATTCCAGGCTATAAGCTCAGAACACCCATCATCAGACCCACAAGAGTCACTGGAACCAAGACAGAACAACAAATAGCAGCAAATGACCGCTCAGACGCAGCATCCTTTTCAACCCCAGTTTTCGGATACGAAATATTCTTCTCCGAAGCAACCAGCCTGTCCTCTCTGGAGTAGTATTCCGGATGATTGAACAAATGCATAACAGGCACCCAGTTATTGAATATTACCAAAAAGCTCAAATGGAGCAAGGGTGGCCAGGCAACAGTGGTAAGAGCTCTTGTAACAAGATCTCCATGACGGTAGATGGCCATCTGGATCGCAATAACGAAGGCACCCACACTCGCAAAGAACAAGCCCACATTAAACAGAATGCCGCTGCTACTTTGGAGGATATCTCTGTATGCCTTCTTCAAGGCCGAAATGGATGTAGCGTTTTCACTGGAATTAGCTGTGCTACCAGTGACGAAGGAGCCTTTGGGTTTGCTTCCGAACAGCTGAAACCTGATGACGGCATATAGATGCGCTATGGAACATATCGTTAGAGCCCAGCCATTTCCGAAAAGGTACGTCAACAGAACTTACCACCAGCCAGCCAGCTATTCTCAGCATGTGCAAAAGGCGCAAATGGAACACCAGCATGCGCACTCCGGAACCAGTCATAAGCCCAAGTAGACGCAACATAAATGGTGGCAAGAATAACCTGAGCCTTGACCTGTACTGCTGATTCAGCAGGGATCAAAGAGTCCCCAAAGACCAAAAGGAAAGGCAGAGCGACATATCCCATCACGTAGCAAAGCAATCCTGCAATGATGGTCAATCCACCAATAGCAATATCCCAACGCAGCTTCTCGGGGATTCCCTTGTTTGCCGAGGGAAACATCACAGAGATCTGCTGAGAATGGCCAATATGCCATCGGTTGCGCTGCTTGACATGTCCAGCGAGAGAAGTAGGAACAAGTCCAAATTGCAGCACTTCCTGTACTTGCATCGTGCGCTTCCCCAGTCCCCGTAGGATCAGGGAAAGTTGCCAGTCCTCCGAGAAAGAGTACGTCGGATAGCCGCCAGCATTAAGAATAGCGTCGCGACGGAAGACCGCACCGGACCCGGCATCCAAGGCATGATTAAGAAGATCGAGTTCTGTATTCTCGCATGTGTAGAAGTATGCCCGTGACTGCGAAAGTGGATCGCCATTTGGCAGATTGTAGAAATATTGGCGCGTGGTCAGTAAGGCTGCCTCTGGGTCTAGGAGTAGATGTGGCAGAGTTGCGCGCAGGAACTCTGGCATGAGGATTGAGTCTGCGTCCACGACTGTGCAGAATTCAGGTGGATCCTCGGTTTGCAGAGAGAATAGGGCGTAGTTGAGGTTTCCCGCTTTTGCGAAGGATTTACCGGATTGCTTGCCACGCGTGTGGTAGTGGAGGTGGTTCCATTTTAGGGAGAGCTTGGTGACTGCTTCCTGCAGCTCGGTTGATGCTCCGTCGTCTAGAACCCTGACTCGGAGAAGAGACGACGGATAGTCCAGGACACAGGCTGCTCGCACTGTGTCGAGGATGACATCGGATGGTTCTCCACAGCAAGTGATCAAGACATCGACCCGGGGTAGGCAGTCGCTACTGCGCAATCTCAATCTTCCTCGAGACTTTTGCTCTGATGGCTTTGTTGCTGCAGCAGACAATTGATGATGATTGTGCGACATATCTGCTTCAATCAGCAATTTCTCATACTATTTTCCGGAGTGGATACTGACAGGCAAAGAAACCCTCCACGGTAAACATGGCCCACATTTTCCATGTTCGCTCCGGAGTCGTTAGGATGAAGAACAATCGAGCCGCGAAGTAGACGTACGCCGCCCATAATGCTGTTTGCGATGCGAACCTGAGATAATTGCGATAGCGCTTGCCAGCCACAGTGCGTTCATCAGGGGCGAGCTCCTGAATATCGTAAACGTGGTCAGGAGACATTGAAGCGAAATTGATTCACAAAACAGAATCGGTGTTCAATTGTGCAGTTGTGCTTCCTATTCATATTCCAATTCCTCTTCTTTGAAGAATAAGACCTGAGAACAATGATTCGAATCAGTTACTTCGATGTCTTATGCCCCAGTGAGAACCCAAAAGATCCCGAAAATTTTCAAGCCCAAAATAAAGGGGCGTGAATGCATTCAGGTGTATCTAACTATAAGCAGATCAGTTTCACTCCACTTCAATTCTAGAACTTACTCCGTCTATTTATACTATTCACACTAATTGAAGCGAGGACCAATTGCCTCTCAGTTTTCTACACCGTTTTATGCCACTAGCGCCGTCTAGTTGGCAATTTGGCAGTGGATCAATCCCCCGAGCATCCGATTGGCCAATTCAGCATGGAAATCCCGATGTTATCTGGGGATTTTGACACTTTGTTTTCCTTTCATCTTAATATTCGTGTTTCTGATCGATCTCCCCACAAAGGCTACCTACTCTCTCACTCCATAATCCTTCTTCAAAAGATCAACATCAGGCATAACCCCCGCATTCTCAAAAGACCGATACGTCTCAATCCATGTTTCAGAAGTAGAATCATTCCGATGCCATCCAAATTCCCTTGCCTTGTTCATAGACGAAATAGTCAACCATGACTTTCCAGTCGCCCAATTAAAGAACCCCCATGTTCCCCAATCAAACGCCTCCGCTTTATCGCCATACTTGGCAACAACGCGTTCCCACACTTCGCGCTTGTCCTTCGCCCATTCCACCATGTCGATTTCATTAGAGAGGGTTTTAGCTTGTCCGGTTGCATTTTGGAAGTTGGGTTCTGGGACCTGTTTCCATTTTGTATCATATTAGGACAGGCGTTCATGCAAGGAGACTAGACTCATGGGTTATATGTGGGTTGTAATAGAACTTACCTCAAGACCAAAGTAAGCAGCAAACTCTTGCCAGATATACCTCCACACAAAGACATCACCATTTACATGGTTGAATGCCTCATCCTTGCAGTGATCCTGCGATGCAGTCCACACAGACAGATCGGCCAGACTGGGTGCGTAGGAATTATCATCGATGGAGTTCCAGAAGTATTCGTTTCCAGGGAAGTGAGCAGGCTGGCCTAATTCACCGCAGATCAACATGTAGGTCGCGATAGTCAGGACCTCCGACATGCCATTTGCTAGGAAATAAGTGATGTTTAGCAAAGTTCCCAAAAATCCCCCTTGGTTAGAAGAAGGAGGCAGTCGTACTCACCATGCGGCGCAAACCCATTAATAGCATTAGGCCGAATAACATTCCACCCCCAAGACCCTCGCCTCTTCTGGACCTCACGCAGGTAATCTTCCTGGTTGTAGTAGAAGTTGAGTCCTTTGTCGTCGTAGCGAGGGAAGGATTCTTCCAGGGGAACTTTTACGGGACCAAGGTGGACGCCGTAGTACTATTTCGTCGCGGTTAACACCACGTAAATCTACCACACCATGAAAATATGGTACAATGACTCACCTTCCCACCAGTCTGAAGACAAACCCGCACCAACTTAGGACAAACAACATCGATGGAATCAATGAAATTCCGGAAAAGAGGAACATTACGTTCACGTAGGAGCGTGAAGTCGTCGCTGTGCACGTACGAGGTGAAAAAGGCGTGCGTCACATCTGCACAGATATCTTCAAGTTTTGCAGTGATTTTCTCGACTGGTTCGAGGAAGTCCACAGCGACGAATTTGACGCGTGGGTCGATCCATGCGTTTGGAAGAGGTCGTCTGGATGTGACGATGATTTTGGACCTAGGCTTTATCAATCGACTGTGTGAAGAGCCGGCTTCTAGGGATTGTGCTTACCATTGCCCTTTTGGCTGACGGACGAGATGTTCGATGATGTTGAAGCCGCTGATTCCGTTGGCGCCTGTGACGAAAGCGACCTTTTTGGCTGGTGCGACCATTCTTGCTTGGGTTGATTTGATTTCCGTTCGATCAAGGCTGCTTTGTGATATAGCTACTCGAAACTGAGGGGACTTGGGGTGGTTTATATATGCTCTAGGAGTCCGGCTAGAACGGCTCCGAGCCCTAGGTGGGTTGGATTGCTGTGGAGTCTAGAAGCTGCAAGCCGGTTGCTCTCATCTGCAGTATGTCACAGAGGGGATAGAAGTCATATAGAAGTTCGGCGCTGAATACTCGATAGTTTGTTCGACATGCCGGTCCGTTCGGCACCTTGCTACATGTACTTCCCGGTGGATTTTGCAGGAATTGTATACGATCCTGGATCGCGTAAATCGGATAAGTGTAGGGTAAGGCACTCTGTAACCATTGGTGACCCGCATTCCTCTGAAACAAACTTGGAGGGTTGAATGATTTGGGTAAAGGGTGATGAAGATCATGGTGGGTCTTGAAGATCTTGACGGAATCTTGACGGAATTTTGTTGTTTGGACGGAATATTCCTTTTAAAATTCCTTTCACTTACTATATCGGAATTTAACTTGACTAGGAACACGGAATGTTGAATAAGAAAGACGAAGATATGCCAAAATATGTACATTGAATTTATGGCAGATGCTAATACCGCTGAATTCAACCAAAATGGACAATGCAAATATACAGAAAACAATCACCACTCCAACCGATCATCACAAACAAGCTGAACATCAAACCTCTCCAAGCCCCTCCAAACCCTTGAACCAGAGTTACAAGAAGCAACAATATCCCTCAGATCACTGATCATGCCACCAGGTCCACTAGCAAAAATACTAGTGGGACCACGCACCGTATCCTCAAGGAAAGACTTAACAAGCACAGGCAAATCAGGATGTCTGTTCACATCCTCGGAGCCACTACCGAGTCGCTCGATGGCAGTTGGCTTGTCACATCCACAGCAACCAGACTCGGACGACGAAGAAGGCGAGATCTGCACGGCCTTCTCATCGATCTCAACCTTGGGTGAGTCGACCGGAATAGATAAATTGCAGTTCTCTGAGTCGTCCAGCGATGGTGTCTTGCTGCTTGTGTCTCGCGTAGCGTAGATTTTGATCTCGAGATTCAATTCCTTGCGTGCTTTCTGGAGGATATCCAGTTCGGCTTTGATCCACTCTGTGTTTGAAGTGTGGCGAATTGCCCAGATCAACTCGACCTTACGGTCTGGCGAGCGGGGTTGTTGTGCTAGTTCCAGAAGGACGGGGAGGACGTAGGTGATTCCTGTTCCACCGGCGACGCAGAAGATGTTCGTGTTTGGTGTTAGAGAAGTGGTGATTTCTTCCCCGTAGGCGCCTGTTAGGATGATAGGCATGGTGGGGTTACCCTTTGCGGCGAGGGCAGCGACCTTTTTCGTTTCGCCGCCTTTGGCGCGGAGGAGGTAGGAGTGTCTCACTGTTCCCTTTGAGACGGCTGGGAGGTTGAGCGGAGTGAAAGGGTGGGACTGCCAGATGCTGCATTGTGTGAAGCAAAGGTAGTAGTGTTGGCCGATGGCCCAGGGGTCTTGGTTGTTGTCTAAGTCAAGGCGGATGACGTCGCCGTGCTCCTCGTCTGGGAAGCGGGTGATTGTTGCGTCTGCGGCTTTGAAGCCGAGACCGAGTGTGCTGGATTGTTCAGGATGATAATGGAGGATGGCAGTTCGGACCAGCCGAGCGCCGCGGTCAAGGAACCAGAAGATTAGAGATGGCCAGAGGAAACACTTGAGTTGTTTCCAGTGGCCCCAGCATGCACCAATATAGACCATTGCAAGAACATAGTGAAGCTTGCGGAAGGTCTCGTAGCCAGTGAGCTTGATTCCCCACGGAGTGCTCAATGCGAAGAGCAAAAGCAAGAGAATCATGGCGACGATGCCCCAAACGATGTAAGTCTCTTTGACCCAGGCAAGGGCAACGGTGGGCTGAGGCTGGTAGAGTCTGATCTCGACGACACACCAGCCAATTGTGTGAAGGGAGCTCTGCAGGAAGATGATGTAACCGAGCCAGCGGTGCATGAAATTGAAACTCTGGTATGGCAGGCCAGTGATCAACGAAAGGAAAGACTCCCGACTGCTTAACAAGATAGAAAGTGGAGTGAGGGCGTAGGCTAGGGTGCCTACACGATCTGACCAAGGACCGATGCTGTTGCGGGTGTTGTATACACCGGGCATATCCGAAACAGGAGTGACCCAAGTGTTATACACGATTCCCACAAAGCTGAAGATGAGAAGGTACCCCAAAAGCAGGGCGAGAATAAGCACCTGCAGACGGGTAGTCCGTCCAAATATCATCCGAGTGGCATCAGGAAGGAGATATCTCCGAATGAAGGACGAAAAAGCTCGCTGAATTTTGGATAGCCCAACTGGCGCTGGTGTGGCCATCATGGGTGACATTGGTGTGCCAAATTGCTTCAAAACAACCCAACTGAGCAGCATCGCTCCAATCACGCACCACATGATACCGGAATAGAGCATTCCTCGGTCATGGGAGTAATAGACATCGTCTAAATAGGCACACGAACCTGCATCGTTTGTGCAGGGCAGTGCCCGGTCGTAATATCCCCAATGAGGCTCCAACGACGTGGCAGCGCTCATATTTTGGATGTGGCGAGCATCCAATTTGGGGAACGTCATGTTGTATATAGTCCAAGCACTAAGCCTGGGTGTCAATGGATCAGATCTCTGGGCGAGGCTGAGATATCCGACACAACTTAACAAGTCATTGCGAGTTCACTGAGAGTGGAAAGTTGAAGATGGCAATTCTCCGGGGAATCCAACGGTCTTTTAGAGATTACCAAAGATCTCAAACTAGGCCAAGGTGGCCATTCGCATTTGAGGCGATTTGAGCACATTTCTTTCCCACGCCATCTTGGTTGACTCCACTTGGTGGGGGCGCGATCAGGTCAGATATAAGGAAGGGCATGGCCTGATATAGACTTCTACTCCGTATACACCTTCTCTATAAACTCATCTCCGTGTACGCTCAACATCAACAATCATGGAGGGCATGGATATGGGATCCAGCAGCGCCGACTGCAAAATCTCCGTGAGTGCCAAGACTGCATGTCCGGAATAATTCACTTATCTTATCCAGATGCTGTTCAATTTTAACACAATCGATGCCTGTTTCCTATCGACAGGATGGCAAATCAAGAACAATGGCATGTTCGCCGCAACTTGTATAGGCACCATCCTGCTCGTCGTGCTGGTTGAGTTCTGTCGCCGCATTGGGCGCGAGTACGACAACTTTCTGACGCGCCAGTTCCAACGCCAAGCCGCGCACGGCATACTTGCCAAGACTTGCCCCCGGCGGGCAATTACTTTTCGCGCCACGCCTTTGCAGCAATTGATCCGCTCGGTTATTCATGCTGTTACTTTTGCCGGGGCATACATCACTATGTTGCTGGCCATGTACTTCAACGTATATGTGATTATCTGCATTTTCATTGGCGCGGGTCTAGGCAAATTCCTATGTGATTGGATGGTGGTTACGGTGGGCTTGGATGACGTGCAGGATGAAACGCGGAAATTGGAGGAGACGACAATATGCTGTGATTAGCTTGAAACTTGTTTGAGATTTAGATGATACCACTTGTTTTATTTAGCGTATTTAGCACCTAGTGAGACATTGTTTGTCTATCAAAGAACCAAAGTCTGTCTGTCTTCAAAGAAAATTACGAACGGGGGCAAATCGCAGTAGAGTACAGAGAGGTAATGAACGACGTCTAAAAAATATGAATCTGAACCTGTCAACCTCGTCAGCTCTAATAATTTGCCTCGGCTATATCCATATCAGGGTCGACTTCGAGCCTTAGGTATATACCTGCCATAGCTGGTGAGGAACTGCTATGTTCCATGGGATAAATTGACACTGGACTGCATTCATAAACATAGAACATTCAAGAACCCGTTGGTGGACATGATAGGAAAGAAGAAAATGGAGTTCTTCTTCTATGAAGAACAAGCCATATAAGGTAACTTTGCAAGCCATCATCCAGCTAGCCTACCAATGTGCATCCTCCATCGATGCCCACAAGTCCGGTAAGTTTGTTATAGACTCCACCCTTGGAAGATTTAACAGACCCTGGGCTCCAGCTAGTGTTTTTGTCACGCTGAAAATCCGTAGTTCTCTAGTTCTGGGGTTGATCACCCAGAAAAAAACATGGTTTCGTCGTTAGGGGCCTACAAGGGACTAGTAGGCTCTGCGCATCCGTGGGGTCGATGACTTGGTTGATATCCGTCTCCCCCAACCTCCGCAAATAGACCCAGCCTACGAGAACTGGCTATTCTGGTCCGAAGCTGTAGCCTCATGGCTGTAATTATAAAAAAGAGAAATGGAGCCCAATCAATAAGTCAAAGATTTATTAACCTGATATAGTCCAACTAGAATCGGAATGTATACATAGGCGTTCCTTTGTTATTCAAAACAAGAATTCTTGTCCCGTACGACTCATTATGCCCTAGTACAAATCTTGGACTACCGTATCAGATTGCGTGACTTGGCTTGTGTTTGCGGCCCAGATAGAAAAGGAGAGCATGATGGCGAAAAGGACAATCCTTTGAACTGTCTAGAGAGAGAGTCGTTATAGGCTCTCTCCGAGGTCTGATCTAGCTAAGGCAAACATGCCAGTTTGCCCATCAGCCTCCCATAGGTATTTCCCACAACTGCAACACAGACCAATTAACTAGACTGACGAGTACATAGCATCCTACAATGGCATCATTTTGACGCACATAATGGAGTAGAACTAGCGTTCGCGAGGTTCGTGTTATGCATGTCGCCCTTGCACATCTGGTGGGACTAGCGAGACTCATCAGTTTTGAACAGACAAATTGGATAAAATGATAAGCTGGTTGAGTGGGGTTCCGACATAATCTCATGTTTATATCTTTCCGGGCTTGGGTTGCGCAGCTCAGACCGGTCAACAACGAGGAAAATCAAGTACTCACCCTTATTGGCTGATACGCCTCTAGTAAACGGTGGATCCCTTTTACTTTCTGAGATGATAAAGTCGCGGCGAAAGCAAGTGTGATCAGGAGGAACACGCGTTACAGGGAGATCGGACTCTAAGCCATCTTGATAGGCAGCGAAAAATGCGGGATGATCTTTAGACCGTTCAAGAAACCTAACATGAGGATCTTCATACCCGTTCTTTATCTCGCGCTTTTTCCAATGATTTTTCAATGCTTTCATGTCATTGAACCCTTCGTAGCAATCGCGGGACGGGCAAATATAGTTTATCTTCGACGTTTCCATGATCTCCCTAGAGAGGGCGATTTGCTGCTGTAGTCGCGCATTCTCGGCCTCAAGCCTTGCCAGTCGTTCAAAGGTTACTCCGTGATCTAGAGATAGAGATGTAGTGGGCTTTATAATGAGAAACACGAAACCGGCACTGACGGTAGTCGGTGCCTCGACCCACACAGTCTGTCCGATCTCCAACCTAAGCCGGCCGATCATTGGTTTACTGTTTGTGTTTTCTGCGAGAAGGGTTGTGTAGATAGCACCGGCAAAGTTATGTGGGGTTTCTGTTTCCTTGGTAGTTCGAATGATAGCGTAGTCGGCGCACTTTGTTTTCGCTTAGCTCGGGTGAGTCCAAATGGGTTGCACGGGTTATACTTACTCCTGGGTGAACCAGTTTCCGGAGTTCCGCGGTGGATTGATCCATATGGTTCACCTTGAGTTCAATGATTCCATGAGAAGGGTCACCTAAAGTATTCCCCAGCAGCCACGAGCGCATGCCGGGAATCAAATTGCGGATCAAATCCACATTTGCGTTTGGGACATGTCGAACCGGCCCGACGGGATCCATGATGATCTGCCGAAGACGTAAACAGAGTCTACGATCGATGCTGATGCGCTGGCCATTACCCCGCCAGATTGTGCGATGAGTAAGCGGGAATTGACAGGGATAATGAAGTCTTGATCACCTGGTTATACGTATCCACCGGGTCTATAGGCAGATGACAAGCAGAATATCCGCAACATCCATGCTAAGAGGGGATTTGAACACCCTCAGGAGTTAGTCCATTTCGAAAATATCAACTTTTGTTTGGCTATCTCAATCCTAGCCCCGAGATCTGATAATAAACTACCCATGCCAATACTGTACCACACCATTAGTTCTTCTTGAAAAGTGAGCTATGGTAGACGAAGCATCTGTGATATAATATATTCGCCTACGATAGACAGGGAAGTCTAAGTCTGTGCAATTTTATATCAAGAACCTTCTTGCCCAACAAAATAAGCGAGCAATCTGGCAACCAAGAGAGATAGAAGTAGGCACTCGGTTATTGTAGTATGTCTCAGAGCCTCTGACGTGGCCGATCTATCACATTTCCATTACGACCAACATCTCAATCACTATATCTGTTCCTATCTCACCGATCACTCCGACAAGTTCGATCCGTATTCCGTTGCATTGCAAAAGGCGTGCCAAGCCACCATTGCCGACCCGCCTGTCTCCGTCTCAACCGCATGGACCGGCATTGCTGATAAGCAGAGCAAGAAGCACTCGCTAGTCGTTATCTGTGCCTGCATCCCCGCATGTGTTGACTGCAATGGGTAATTGACATATGCCAAGACCCCGGATGTACCCCGGCCCTTGATAACAAAGAAGCGTCGCTTTATTCCGCTGATAGCGGTCCAATTCCCGCTCTGATAAGGAATATACAGAGCATCTCAAAGCTTGATAGATTGATCGGACGAATCCTATTGCTTTTATTGACACGCTAGACGCAAGCTCGGCCGACCTGATTTAATCTTTGCACGCCCTTCGTCTGTTTGATATCTTACGTAAATCCGCATGCAACTCTCTAATCGTCCAAGCTGATGCTGTAGTGGAGATCACAGTATTGCATGTGTCTCGGCTGTAGCCTATCTTCACATTCAATACGACCGCGTGGCTGTCATGTTGCTATGAATCATGCATCGGCTCGCAGATAACGACACGAGCAAGATTGAGTGCAATCTGAATATACCGGTATTCAGAAAAGGGAGGAAAGGGAAAGGAAAGATATAAAAGGAATGAGATAGTTATGTAGCACAAGGCACTCATCCTATACTTCCACTGAGCCTCCTCATCATAACAAAACATGAAGGGTTACTTACGGCACACCCTGTTGGGACTAGGGTTAACTGGACTAAGCCTCGCTGGTGTTGTACAAAGAGACATTGAGGCAATACGGTTTCATAGCCTGGGGGGTGTAACTGCCGACTCGTTGCACAATATCCACGTCGAGTTCTTAGATACCCAATTTGAGGGTCATCTGCAACTCGTCTACGGAGAATGCGGAATTGAACACCCGCTACAGGGTCACCATGAGATCGGAAGTACATTCGTGAAACGTGAAGCACACCCGGAGCGTTTTGTTTGGGCCACACCATCTGACGCACCCCATTCACACTGTTTACATGCTTTCTCCGGATCCACGCTCATGGGTCGTTCGTCACCCATCATGGTGTCATCGCCAATGAAGAAGCGAGAGAGTATCGCCGACGTGGCAGATGCCATGGGCCCTTGGTTCGATGGCGTTGCATACATGAAGTCAAAGAAGCACAACAAGGCATTCGTCGCCAAGGCAAAGAGTCACTCTGTTGCTATTCTTGGCGGTGGAATGTCTGGTCTGATGACGAGTCTGCTGCTCGAGTCTGTTGGTATTCACAACTGGCATATCTACGAATCATCTCACCGTGTTGGCGGCCGCATCCGCACGAAGTACCTGAACAACACCACTCCCGACCAGTACCAGTACCAGGAAATGGGTCCTATGCGTTTCCCTGTCAGTATCACATATGCCGACACTAATGAGACTCTCGAAATCATGGACCACCGGATGGTCTTCCAATTGGCTGGTGTTCTCAACGAGATGAACAAGCACAAGCCAGAACTTCAAGTCAATTTCATTCCCTGGATTCAGAAGAGTCCTAATGTCCCTGCTGCCTCTGGTGGCAACCGTCTACCTAACGGACAAATCCCCAGTGCTGCTCAGGTAGCCGCAAACTCATCTCTCGTTTACACCGCTGCATCGGAAAATGCCACAGCTGCCGCACAGGCAGCATCTGATTTTGAGGATTATACCAAGCTTGATGACAGAGAGACCATTCGCAAGATTGCAACAAACATGTACCAAGCACACAAGCAGGCTGTTGAAGATGGCATGTTCCACTGGTCCGAGGCCGGATACCTCCGATACGCAATGGGCTACGATGCCAATCTCACGGACTATGTCGCTGGTACCACCGACTCTCCAATCTGGGGTGACTTCTATGACGACGTATACTTCGCTGCCACCAAGTGGCGCACCATCGACAAGGGCTTGGAGTCTTTGCCCCGTGCCTTTTACCCTCACGTCAAGGACAAGCTGACTCTGAACCGTACTGTTCAAGGCCTGGTCCACGATGAAACCTCTGGAAAAATTGCCGTGACCTGGCGCGATGATCCCCTCCAGATGGTCCCAGAAAGCCAAGAATACGATTACGCTGTTGTGGCTGCGCCTTTCAGCAAGGTCAGACTCTGGGATCTCCCTCGCTACTCCTCCCTCCTCAGCCGGGCTATCTCATCCCTGAACTATGACCCAGCCTGCAAGATGGCTCTTCTTTACAAGACCCGTTTCTGGGAACACCTGGAAGAGCCCATCTTCGGTGGCTGCGGTTCAGTCGACGTGTCCGGCGTTGGCAGCGTTTGCTACCCATCCTATAACATGAACGGCACCGGACCAGGAGTTATCCTGGCCTCATATATTTCTGGCACACCAGCACGATCCACTGCCGCGCTCAGTCCCGAGGAGCACGTTGCGCTTATCCAGCGCACAATGGTCGAAGTCCATGGTGAGGTTGCCGCAGAGCAGTTCACCGGAATCTACGATCGCCAGTGCTGGGAGTTCGATCAGCACCAGGCTGGTGCTTGGGCCGATCCCCTTGTGGGTCAACAGGAGCTGTATTTGCCTGCTTACTATCAGACTGAGTTGAACACTATCTTCATTGGTGAGCATACTAGTTATACCCATGCTTGGATTTTCTCGGCTTTGGACTCTGCTGTTCGGGGTACTACTCAGCTTTTGCTTGATCTTGGCTTGGTTGATGAGGCGAAGTCTGTTGTTGAGACTTGGATGGGTCGCTGGATCAAGCTTTGAGGGTTTGATAGAGTATAGATTAATACTTACGACGATGATTACCTTAACCACACATTAATAAATTTGCTGGACGTTATTGTTGAAGTTGACGCCTCAGTGCTCAGGTCTGCTACATTTACTCCTAGATGAAGACGCTTTTACCCCGACTTGGTCCATCTACAATGCCCTTTTGTAATGCGAAAGCAAAACCGACCGTTACCTTTTCTTAAGCGGGTAGTAAGCAAACCTCAGTCAACAGAACCATCACGTTAGACATAATCTCACTTCAAGGCTAGATGTTTCATAATAGAAAATACTGACCAAAGAGTAGATGCTACTTACTGCCCACATAGCGACTACAGACAATGAGTATTCGAGTGTATTAATTTGCAGCCGCTGTTGGGGAGAATGGTTGGAACAAAGACCGTCATATATGGCTTTGTCCCTTACCCGTCCAACAGGCAATCTATTAACAGCCCCAAAAGGCCATTGTTCGAAACAAAGCACTGGAACAAATCTTTAATAGCCCATTACTCTCCAGAGGTCTCTACAATATTATTTAAGTAACCTCGATGTCCTGATGACCGTCTTCGATACAATTCACCAACCACATGTTCCATCTCAAATATACAAATGTCCCTCAGAATACCCCTATTGCGATCCCGAATTTTCCCAAACCTCAAAATGTTGGTCCCAAGTATGTTCATCTTCTGCCCTACCGGTGAGCCCCTCCTGGAACAGTCCAGTCGGCGCGGAGCCGTCCGCTGGGTTACTGTCACCTTTACTGCTGAAGAGGAGAAGCTCGCCGATATCATGCTAATGCAGATCATGGAACAGGCCTGTCGCAGTGAACGGGCGATTATTACCTTGTCCCCTATGGATCATGATGGTCTTGACTGTCTGTCCCTCCCTGTTTACGGTTCTAACCTATCCGAAAAGGAAATTCGCTGGCTTGCTTCTCATAATGCTTGGCTCAGGTACAAGGATATCTTGGATGGCTTGGTTCGACTTGACCGCGATCGTATCTTTGGCTCTGAGACAACGATGACCTGTGGATATTGAAGATTGATTTCACTTGATTTGAGTTGAATCCAAGTGCTTTTTTATTTATAATTATGCGCGGCAATTATACATTCTTTCTCATTTACTCCGATTACTAGTATTAACAGCAGTAGGTAATTCGTACCAGTTAGATCTGAAAGCGTACATAGTATCAATTATGCCTACGAGTTATGCTTGTGCTTCGTAATGCGTGATCCTGGGGTATACCGGCGGGCCAACTGGCCGGTTGGTGCAATTTATACCGCGGGCTATTCCGGTGCCCTAATTTAACCACCAAGGTCCTCCAAGCTAGCATTTCACTCCATCTACCCTGCTGCGTCCTCTGCCGTGGTCCAATGGCAATGAATAATATATCTGCCATGATTGGAACCCACTGCCAAGCCTTGGCATGTACATTTCCTCGTTTTCTTTCGGAATCCTCCGCTTGGGGTGTTGATATTTTCAAACTGTAATTGCACTTTGGATGAACAAGATGTTCTCGGAAAAGCAGAACACTGTTGTTCAAGTCATATCGGAAGATGCCGCGGAAGAAGCCGAGCTATCTTTCCAGTTCACAAAGGAGGAACATGCCCTCAGTTGGTGGGATGCTATGGGAATGCATTACCCCGCCATTGGCTGGGGACTTTTCATGAATTTGGTCAGTCAGCGCATCTAAAAGATAGTTTTGTTTTGCTAACAATCTCAGGCAACTATCTTGAAAGGCATTGACGGCGCCATCGTGCGCAGTATAGTAGGTCTTCCCGTTTTCAAGGAGACATACGGGTACAACCATAACGGCAATTACATTATCGCTGCAGAGTGGCTATCAGCCTTCAACTATGCCAACAATATAGGCGCTATAATTGGTGCTCTCTGTTCGGGTCTTGCCTATGATCGCTTCGGGCCACGGTGGATGACAGCCGGGTGCTGTGTCCTATCCATAGCATTCATTTTTATCCAGTTCTTCAGTCATACTCCGGCTCAGCTGTTCGCCGGTCAACTTGTCAACGGATGTGTCATTGCCTTTTACCCAATCTGTGCATCGGCCTATGTCGGCGAAGTCACTCCTTTGGTACTGCGCGGGTTCGCAGCCACCATGACCAATCTCGCTTTCTCGATCGGTTCTTTGATTGCCTCGGGGATCCTCAAAGGAACGGAGACCATGGACACCAAGTGGTCGTACAAGATTCCTATTGCAACTCAATGGGCCCTTCCGTGCGTTATGTTGCTCTTGGTCGCCTTCTGCCCCGACCCGCCCTACTGGTTATGTCGGAAGGGCCGCCATGAAGACGCCATGGCTTCTCTGCGCCGTCTTGCAACGCCTGGAGTTGATGTAACCAAGAAATTGGCGCACATCCGGGAGACCCTACGTCTGGAGAAAAACCATGAGGGAGAGCGACCTACTTATCTAGATTGTTTTCGGGGGACGAACTTTCGCCGTCTGGTAATCTGCGTGATGGCATATGATATGCAAGCATTTACCGGAAATGTGTTCTTCCTCAGCTATGCCGTCCACTTTATGGAGCTAGCTGGATTGAATGCTTCAAATGCTTTTTCAATGAACATTGGTCTGACGGCGCTGGGTCTGCTGGGCACATGCATATCCTGGTTCCTGCTTTCTTACGTTGGCCGACGAACCATGTATCTATTTGGCTGCTCGATGTTGGCGATCGTGCTGTTCATCATTGGCATCGTTGACATTGTTCCACGACAGACGTCTACCACTTGGGCGCAATGCGGCCTGATGTTAGTTTGCACCTTTGTGTATGACCTCAGTCTGGGGCCGTTTTGCTATGTGCTACTCGCTGAAGTATCATCCGCCAAGCTCCGGGGGCTCACTATTGCACTTTCCACTGTTACTTGCTTTGTCTGGTCAGTTGTTTTCGCGGTCGTCATTCCCTATGCGATGAACGAAGACCAAGGGAATTGGCGTGGCAAGATTGGTTTCCTGTTTTCGGGGCTTAGCGTGCTCTGTACTATCTACTGTTTCTTTTGCATGCCGGAGACCAAGGGCCGTACATTTGAGGAGCTGGATATCCTATTTGAGCGCCAAGTGCCGAGCCGAAGGTTCAAGCATTCAAAGGTGAATATTGACGTCGGGGGGAGGCGTTTGGAGTGATTGGCTTCCTAGATGTATTGCCCTAGATGAGATAAGACTTACACCAACTAATATCAAAACAATATATTATATTTCACATCTTCAAAATCCTGCAATGGCTCAATGCCCAGATTATTGGAAATATTTCATGGAAATGTCATCCGAGGTGTCAGGTCACGAATACGAATTTCTAATCAGACGTGTTTAAGCGTTGAGGCTATTTATAGTTTGCTGACCGCGAGCTTATATAGATGACCGTCATTCCTGTTAAGTGGCCAAATAACTTCTTAAGGCTATCGAACGCAGCGGAAAATGTCTCAGCCCAAGATTAAAGCAGTCCTGTTCGACTTCATGGGTACATGCCTCGACTGGCACAGCAGTGTAGTCCAAGCCTTGCCATCAACCATTCCACGCAATGAAGCATCCAACTTTGCTCTGGAATGGCGCAGACAATATTTCCTGGAGAACAACAATCGCTTTATGCAAGGCCTTCACCCTGAAGATATCGACGAGACACTTGCCCGCACCCTTGAAGTGACCCTCGCCCAGTATCCACATCATCAACCCCGCATCAACGCCGAACCCAAAACCAACTTGGTCCAAGCATGGCACTCCCAGCCTGCATGGCCAGAAGTTTCAAAGGCGATCAGAAGCCTCCGCCAAGACCTCAATCTAGAGGTGTTCGTTCATGCGAACGGAACTACCCGTCTTCAACTTGATCTTACACGATCGTCGGGGCTAGACTTCCACATGCTTTTCTCTAGTCAACTGTTGGGATTCTATAAGCCTAGTCCCGAGGCATATGAGAAAGCTTTGCAACTTCTCAAGCTCAAGCCGGAGGAGGTGGTGTTGGTCGCAGCTCATGCGTATGACTTACGGGGAGCTCAGAAGTGTGGGCTGAGGACCATTTATGTCCATCGTTGGACTGATGATATTGATGAGGATATGGAGAAAGTCAAATCCGAGTTTGATGTCTTTTTGGAGAATATGGATGACCTGCCTGGTATCATTGGGCGGATGTGAGTCGGATGGATTGAGGTTGTGCATATTCTCAGTCACCACTGGATATATTGGAGGACATATTTAAAATTGCCAGACTGTTAATCTGTAATCCGGTTTACCAGAAAAGTTGAATCGTCCTCCGTAGTTAGAAATGTGAACTACATGTACAGATCCGAGCTTCTCAAGGTTCTACTTGAACCATGGCATGACACTGCATTCCACCCCAAAACTGCACAATCTTGTGCATTCCGCATAATTATTCAATTATGCAGCCAAGGCACGAACGACCCTAAATGCCGGAGGTATCATTCGATCATCGGTAGAAGACGACGCTTTGACAGCAGATGAAGATAACGAAGTAACTCCGTGGCTCCAGACTCTTCATGATTCCAAATCAACACAACGCTGCAGGAGACAATAAAACAAGAGCTGAAACACTTATCCGATGGTCGTTCAATCCCCAGAGCCATTCACGTCATACGAAACCCTCCGTTCCACACCCCAACTGTCCTGTCTTGCAACCCAACGCCACCCTCTTGCTTATCTCCACCAAGCCCAACGGACAACATTCCGCACAATACCGCATTTGAGCTAGACCGAGAAATCCCGATATAGCCAAGGTCCAGTCAAGAGGCCAAGATGTCTTAGGGCAAGTAAGCCTCGCAAAATACACTTTTGGCGTAAGCCATAGTACCAATGGCAAGTCTGGGCGAGCCCATCGATAGTGGAAACGACCCAGTTATAAAGCAATGTGGCAACAATCCAGACATATAGCCGACTCGAAGACCGAGATCCCTCGGCTCTCAGCGCATTTTTGCGGAGAAAGACAGAGGGCGCGGCTCAGGGTCCACTCCCCCGCACAAACCTCCCCACGTTAACGTGGGCGTGGGGATGAGTTCTGCGAATGAGATTGCTCAATCGGTGACACTGCCAGGTGTGTCCGATTGGACTTGCAAGTTATTTAAGTTCTTGGCATATCCGTGGAGGAATCCCGGGGTTAAGAGATGTGGATTCTGGGGTTGGAAACAAGGAGGGACGAAAAATGGAGCTGGATGGCGGTGTATAAAGGAGACTGTGGATCGATGGTCTTGCTGTTTCTGGCCTGAGCTGTGTCTTTCTTCTATTTCCTTATTCACTTCTTACTTTCTATAGTGAGTCAATTGGACTTTTCTTCTTCGCCAGTGATATATTGCCACCTTCAGAATGTCGGACGATAACATCAGCGATAAACATGAGACTTCCACTGCGGAAGTCCTTCGTCGCTATCAGACCGCAGACAGTGTTCTGCTTCCAATCCCGCGCGATGCCTTTGAAAAGCTGTACCTGAGCCCGAAGACGCCCAATGCCGGCAAGTTGCGCTCAACATTTGGTAACCCGACACCGATATCATTGATGGGTTTCTTGCTGGCTGCGACACCAACGGCAATGATCACCATGGGCTGGCGAGGGGCAGGTGGAAATGGCGGTGCAATTCTGTAAGAAGAACAACAACTATCGAAATGGCACAACTTCTAACTTGTTTCGCTTTCAGACCAGTTTACATCTTCTTCGGTGCAATGGTACAAATATTTGGCGCGGTTGGCGAATGGATCCTCGGAAACACATTCTCCTGTGCCCTATTCTTCACATATGGTACATTCAAACTGCCATCGTATAGATATATCTAAGAATACTGGCTAAATTGGTTCATCACAGGCACATTCTGGCTAGTCCAGGGTACATCAATGATGCCATTCTTCGCCGTCGGAACCAACTACTCTCCTACAGGCAATTCGCTCGAGGGAATAGAAACGCCAGAATATAATGCAACTGTTGGTGAGTTACATCTGATTAATCTTTCATGGCAAAAGCAATTTAACTAATACCAATCCTTCTTCGAGGCTTCTACTATGTGACCCTCGCAATCCTCACATTCGTCTACCTAATCTGCTCCCTGCGAACAAACGTTTGTCTATTCTTAGCATTGTTCCTACTCGTCATTACCTTTGGGTTGTTTGCAGGCACATACTTCCAACTGGCACTTGGTAATCTGGAGCATGCTGCGAAGTTGCAAAAGGTACGTTCTTCATGTGTATATTTCACAAGTCACAATTATATACTAACGCTCTGTTATCATAGGCCGCTGGAGCATTCAATTTCGCACTGTGTATACCAATCTGGCATATCTTCATTGCGCAGATTCTCGACGCGGTTGATTTCCCCTTTGCCTTGCCCGTTGGGGATCTTAGCACGGTTATTCTTGGGAAGAGTCAGAAAGCGCGGAAACAAGAGGTTGAGGGTTAAGATCATGCCATACGTCGCACTTTGTACATTCTATTCAGCTCCAGTACTTGAGAAATACGAATTCTATTTAGGTACAAGACGAAGTCGTAGCTCCATTTGGTTTATGCTGTTTATGCGTATTAGTTCTGTAAGATAATATCAAAGCCCCCCTCACCCCGAGAAGTTGAACATTGTCATTTTATGCAAGCTGACGTGAGATCATCCACGTACAAAGAACAAGCATGTGTAGATCAAGATGAATATCAAAATGAATATCATACTTCTCACATGTGGACGCTGTACAAGGCAGACAACTATACTCGGACCCCAGAAATTCAAAACTGAGCCTGCCTAACATGCATGCAATGCTTTAATTTGATCCAGAGGGGGATGACGATCAGGATATTCTTCTGCTTATTGAACGGACGAACTCGAGGGGTACAGCCTGAAGTGGTGGGGGCCAGTGGCGGAGCAGAACTGCACACTTGAAAGCTCATCATAAACTAATACATGATCCTTTGCTACACGTATTTGCTGTACTTTACTGTTCTTCTTTTTTCTTTTTAGTCTGCAGCTCCGAAATATGCAACACGTGCTCCGTTCACGTGGCTGCTGGACTCGATCCTGACTTGCTTGTGAAAGCTGGCGCATTCACTAAGAGCAATTATCGCGGTGTGTACCCTGCTATTGATCCCACGCGATCTGCACTTTCACAAGATGGCAAGGTGGCGGTCATGACTGGTGGCAGTCGTGGACTTCGTCGAACGGGGATTTTTACTAAGCCTTTTTGAACGCAGCAGATTCAGACTCAACATTTTCAAGAACAATCATCAACCTAGCGTCCAGGTCCGCTGTCAATGTGCCACCAGGAATGATTACTTATCCCATGTCCAAGCTGGGAATCATCAAATCCAGTGTCCCTGACAGAAAGAGGAACATACAACTATCACCTCTATAAGTCTTGACCCGGGCTATGCTCACACTAATATGGGTAATGCTGTGGGATTTCTGCAGCCATCCATGCATGATACACCCGAGGTTTGTGACGGTCTTGCTGTGCGGTGGTCTACTGGTGACAAGTCTTTCCTATCTGGCAGATATGTTCCTGCCAATTGGGATGTGAATGAGCTAAAAAAGAGACTAAGAGGATATTATTAATGGTCGCTTCCTTGCCACGTGTCTAAAGGGGAAGCTTAGGGGGGGGGATGGAATTGTTATTCCTAGCCATGGCAAGTAGTAGATTCGGGAAGCCACATTATTAGAGGCGACCTTCCTTACATGCTAATTTCACTTTCGTCGATGGTTAAACACGTGCATCAATAACCATACGAAAGCTTACTTTCTAGCGAAATCAATAGTTTTATCGCAATGGAGCTGCCTAAAGTCAATACAGACGGGAAACCCAATCAGGAGTGAAGATGAGTAGATGGGGATGAGGAATTAGCTTTATGTGCTCCGCCACAGATCAAGTTTAGACACTCGTCATTCCCTCCCTCCCTGTCCGGCGTTATATCACGCCTCATATTACCGCTTGCTCTCCTTCCTACACTACCATGGCCCATTCGTCCCAACAATGGCCCTCATAAAAGACTCCATAACAACAATCTCATCCCTGTCCAAATTCCTCTTCCTCTCCTATGTACTCGACTGGATATTCATAATGTAAGCCCACCACCACATAACGCCCCTAACAACAATTCCAACCCCAGCGCCAAAACTAACACCCACTCAGCGGCATCGCCTTAATAGGTTATGGCTTCTACAAACAACACCCAAACCGCCATCCCTTCAGCCTATCCGACCCAACAATCAGCTACCCGCAAAGCCCAGAAACCGTAACAACAGAAACACTCCTACTCGTCAGCCTCCTCGCGCCAGCACTGCTAGTCTTCCTGATCAGCGCGCTCGTCGTGCCAGGTAGCGCAGCCATTACTTCAAACCAGCACGCCAAACCTTCTGCGGCACATATCATCCGTCGCAAGATCTGGGAATGGAATGCCGGGTGGATGGGTCTGGCGCTGGCGCTTGCCAGTGCGTGGTGCGCAACCCAGGGATTGAAGGTTCTGATTGGGAAGCCGAGGCCTGATTTGATTGCGCGGTGTGACCCTGATTTGTCGGCTATTGATAGGTATACTGTTGGCGGTCTTGGGGGTAGGGTTGATGGGGCGCCTGTGCTTGTTTCTTGGGAGATTTGTCGCGATCAGAGTAACTCTTTGAGCATTGATGGGTTTGCTAGTTTTCCTAGTGGGCATTCTTCTTGTGGGTTTTGTTCCTATCCCGGGGGGGGGGATGGTGGATTTCTTTGGATCTGGCTGACTCTAGTTTACAGTTTCTTTCTCTGGACTGCTCTATTTAACCCTCTGGTTGTGTTCCAAGTTCTCTGTGGGGTTCCCGTATTTGCCGCATTATCCTGTGGAAGATCAGACCTTCGCTGATGATGCTTCTTCCGTTCGGAGACGGGGTGCTGCGCCGCCTGTGTATCTCATGCTAATCGCGTTCTTCCCGACGGCGACTGCTGCTTTCATTTCTGGATCGCGCTGGTTCAATTATCGGCATCATGGCTTTGATATCCTTTTCGGGTCCGCGCTAGGCATCTTCTTTGCCTACATCGGGTTCAGCATGTACCAACTCCCCATTCGCCGTGGCGCGGGCTGGGCTTGGGGTGCGCGCAGTCGTAGGAGGGCTTTCATGCGTGGTCTTGGTTTCCCTAGTTCCCTCGGAACTGACAGCTGGTCGTATACACACAATAAGGACAGAGAGACGCACGCCAACGGTCATAGTAATGGCCTCGGCACTGATATTGAGATGGCACCTCGAGGTCGGGATGCGCCATTGGAAGGTCACGCCAAGCCGGGCAGCAGCTCTGGCAACGGCGCTCGGCTGGAGGAATGAGTGGACGGGGGTTGGATGAGGGAGGCCATGGGATGAGCCTCGGTGCGCAGTGTTTCGATAAAACGTATCTATAGATTATAATGAACAACAGCCTCATAGCCATCGTCAAGAACATGGTATCGTAATATCCAATTTGCCGAGTACCGCTCATCGCCAACCCCCAACCCTCCCTTCATCCCACCTCGCCTTGGCCTCCTTCCGCGCAGCCAACCTCGCCGCCTCACTCCTAACCCTCCTAACCCAATCCGCAATCTCCTTCTCAGTTGCACGACCATGGTCATGATGATCCTCGTCAAGGAAACTCTCCTCAACAGCCCGACAAACTGCCTCCTGCTCGGCGATCGACGCGCTATACCGCTGATACAAAGCCTTAGGCGACCAAGGCGCCAGGGCAGCGTCCATCTCGGCTTGTTTCTTGCGCCAGGACACTTCAAGCGATTGGTGTGTTAGGAGCATTGTTTCTGTTGAGGCGCGCAAGTCTGTGAGGTGGGTTTGCATTTCTAGGACGCGGGTTGCTAGGTCTTTGTTTGTTTTGATTAGGGATTCTAGGGCTTGTTGGCGGGCTGTGTAGGATGGATGGGAGGCTGAGAGGGCTGAGAGGAGGTTTGGGTCTTTTAGGAGGGTTTGGAGGTCGATTGTTCTGTTGGTTTGGGCTGGTCGTTAGAGCGGGTTGCGGGTGTATGCTTGGTCTTGGTTGTGACGTACGATTTATCTTTGACTAGGTCTGGAAGCCAGCCTTCTTCCACTGTGGGTGGGTTTGGGAGTGCTGGTTGCGTGGTGTATGCTGTTGGGTCTGGCTGGTAGCCTGCGGGGGGCGGTGCGGTTGACATGTTTTGCGGGGTGCCACCTCGGCTGGCTTCGTGACTGCCGGGTTTCGGAGGTGGCGGTGGGGGTGTGTCGGGGTTGACTGGATTCATTTGGGCCGAGTAAAAAGTTGATTGTGGGGGGAAGGGAGATGGTGGTTGAGACATGACGAAGCTGGGAATTGGGAGTTGGGAGTTGGAGAGTTGGGGAGGGAGGTGAAGCTCGGGAAGACGCAGCTCAAGCTTGGCGGGGCCGACTCGGAGATCTACACGTCTACATCCACACCAGTTGAGGCTCAATTGTTCTGCTTTGCATCAAATGCGGGTATTGATTCGTAATTTCATTTAAGGTACAGGAAGATTTGGAAATTGCATCCTTATGCATAAGTCGGCGGAGAAGCCAACAGGCTTAAATGTGCCAATTTCTGGCCGGTGTCATGCCAAGAGTACCCATTGTCGAATATGTATGTATCTTGGGATCTTTCGGGTTCGCCTGAGCCTTTGAGCAGGGGTGTTGCCTTCGGTGTAGTGCATATCAATGGCCTCCTTTGGAGGAGAGACATGATGTAACACAGGGACTGATTGGAGAAACATAATCCAAGCTTTGTCTCTTACTCAGTTCGTCTCCGGATCTCTCGCTCCATAGCCTCAATATTGGAGCCAGCCATGGCATCCTTAACCAGCTCGCGAACCTCATTCTGCACCTCCTCGCTGTAGTAGTCCTCCCGGGTCGCAAGCTCCTCAATGCGTCTCTTGAACTCAGGATCGGGTTCACCCGCACCAGCAGTAGCCTCATCTTCAGTCATGGTTCCAAAGTTAACTTGCATATTGCTATCAGGAATGCGCGGCGGTGGGTTCAGCATGCCCGAGTCTGTCTCAGCCGGAGCACCACCAACAACCTCACGGAGGTAGGCTGTGACTTGTGGGTTCTCATCATCAGCCTCCATCTTCTCAACTGCTGTGAAGCCCTCTTCGTTCTTATGATTGTAGTCCACCTTCAATTCCTCGACCAGGCAGCGTGCGATTTTGGGAGATTCGGTCACGAATAGGCATGTCTCTTTGTCTTCGTCGAGGAGGTTGACGTCGACGTGGAATTCATCCACTAGTGCGCGCAGGAGGTCGGCATGTCCGTATGAGGCAGCGGCGTGTAACAAGGAGTAGCCGGATTCATCCTGACATGATGCGATCGAAGGATTGGCACGGAGGAGCTCCAGAACCGCAGTAGGGTTGTCGGCAGCCAAGAGGAGAGGGTTTGGCTGCGCCATGGTGAGTCAGAGGAGAAGAGTTGTGGGTAGGTAAAGTAGGTAGAAGACAAGGTAGAAGAGGTGAAGTGAGTGGAAGAAGTTGGGTCAAAATATGAAAAAAAAAGCCGACAAGAGGCTCTGCCCGCCTTTCCTCTTTCGCTCCCCGCAACAGTGACACATTTTGATTCTTTATTTTATGACTCTTACATGACTCGACTGTGATCGCGAGGAATGTTTCTTTGGTTCTCTTGCTCTCTCTCGGTTTCCTCCTGCATCACCTCTCGCCCTCTGTTCCTGCTCGCCCCCACCTTGGATCTGCCCCTCCATCAGCTCTAGATCTCCAACATCGCGACAACGCACCTAGATCATGGCGACTCAGGATCCCTCCCAAATCGCACAGCTGGTGCACAGCTTGGAAGATGCACGGAAGCAGTCCAAGGGTGAGAAGAAGCAAAGGTTCACTTGCAAGAAGACAACATTCACAGTCGCTGGCACCAACAATGTGACTGTGGACTCTTGGAAGTTCCAAGACTGGGACTACAAGCGCCCTGATCTCCCAACGTACGCCCGTGGTCTCTTTACCACCCGCCGGAGGGACGGCATCCCCGAGATTGCAACCCGCGGATACGACAAGTTCTTCAATGTCAGCGAAACAACCAATACCCAATGGCACAACATTGAGAAGCATACCAAGGGTCCTTATGAACTCAGTGTAAAGGAGAATGGATGTATTATCTTCATTTCGGCGCTAGAAGACGACAAACTTCTAGTTTGCAGCAAGCACTCCACTGGAGTTCGAGAAGATACCGATCAGAGTCACGCCCAGGTCGGAGAGCGCTGGACGGAGCACCATGTCTCGTCGGTTGGTCGAAATATCAAGGACCTCGCACGGACACTGCGTGAGAATAACCTCACAGCTGTCGGAGAGCTCTGCGACGACAGCTTTGAGGAGCACGTTCTAGCCTACGATCAGGCAGCCTCCGGCATTTACCTCCATGGTCTCAACTACAACCAGCCGGAATTTCACACAATGTCTTCCGATAAAGTACACGAGTTTGCAGATGCATGGGGCTTCAAGAAGGCCAAGTTCGAGGTTTTCGACGATATCTTTCGAGTACGGTCCTTCCTCGAAGGATGCGCTGAGACTGGTACTTGGGATGGGCGTGAGACTGAAGGGTTCGTGATCCGATGCCAGCTCAGCGATAATGGAACTGGTCCATATCGCGATTGGTTCTTCAAGTACAAGTTTGAGGAGCCATATTTGATGTACCGCCAGTGGCGCGAATGCACCAAAGCCGTGATTGGGGGGAAGCTCCCCAAGATCAGAAAGCACGAGCAGATTACACAGGAGTATCTGCAATTTGCCCGGAGGAAGCTGATCAAGGACCCCAACATGGCCAAGGAGTACCTCCACAACCACGGCATTATTTCTTTGCGCGAGGAGTTCTTAAAGGAGCGAGGACTGAAGGGTTCTGAGATCATCGCCATGGAAGCAAATGAGCTAGCAAATTCAAGGGATATTGCCCGCAACATTATTCTTGCTCCTGTCGCTACTCTCGGATGTGGAAAGACAACAGTGGCTCTCGCTTTGGTCAAGCTGTTTGGATGGGGACATGTTCAGAACGACAACATACCCAAGCAAAAGAACAAACCGAAGAAATTTGCCTTTGAAGTCAGCGAGCTTATGTCCACTCACCCCGTTGTCATTGCAGACCGCAACAGCCACCAACGTCGCGAACGTAAGCAACTCATGGATGATATTTACCCTGTGATCAATGATGCCCAGTTCGTCGCTCTTCACTACGTCCATGAACCCAAGGGTCAACTTCTGTCTAAGATCAAAGAAGTCACCCGGAAGCGAGTGCTGGAACGTGGCGACAATCACCAGTCGATTCGAGCCGGGACCATTTCCAATCATGAGACTATCGGAATCATGGATGGCTTCCTAAACCGCTTTGAGGGAATTGACACCGCTCGACAGCCCGACGAAAACTACAATCATGTCATTGAGCTCGACGTCTGTGCCTCGTCTCGCGCAAACCTTGAGACAGTCGTCAAAGCCCTCCACGTTGCCTACCCCAAGGTAGTTCCGAAAATTCCGACGTCCGAGGAACTCGATTCTGCAATCAACGCCGCAATGAAAAATTACCACGTCGAGACAGATCTCAGCTACAGCTACGGCGGAACCCAGAAACAAAAGAACAAAACCAAGGCCCAAAACACAGGTACCACCTCCACCCAAGCAGGCGCAGACATGGACCCGGCAACCCTTTCCAAAAAGATCGAATACTTCAATATCTCTCTCCCACCTAAGGAAATAACAACCGTCCTCAATTCCATCTTCCAAAACTCCTCCGATCCCAAAATAGCCCAGCTCTATAACCAACTCTCCCAAACCCGCCGCCTCCAACCAGCCTTCCATGTAACACTCATCCACCGCGCCTCAAAGAAAGACAACCCTCAGATCTGGGACTCTCTCGCAGATCGCTACATCAAAGCCCACACCTCAACTCCATCTCCCAATCCAGCCCAAACCCCTCCAACCCTGGGCACAGCCCGCGTCCGTCTTGAGCGCTTGGTCTGGGATAATCGCTTGATGGCCTTCGTGGCACGCATCTTACCTCCTGGTGGAGATGTCGATTCTGATACTCCTGCTGTGGCGCCTGTTTCCGATGCCGATTGGCCTTGTGCGAATGCCATTCCGCATATTACTGTCGGTACCGTTTCGCAGGATGTTAAGCCCAAGGAGAGTAATGATTTACTCAAACGTTGGGTTGAGGTTGGCTCGGGTGGTAACACTGGCATTTTTGAAGCTGAGATTCCTGGTGTTAAGATTGTTGAAGGCATTGTTGGATTGGTTATGAGTCGGGGGAAGTATTGAGTTTGATGAGATGGCCAGGTGTTTATGGTTCCTGCTTTGACTATGGCTATGACTTCGGCATGTGCATTGCATTATTTTCTAGCAGTTAGTAAATTTGTTTATTAGTGTTATGCGGCGAGATATCCTCCTCTTCTGCAGATGGATATTTGCTGCTTTGAGTCTCGAGATGGACAATTATGCATGACCTACATATACTTTTTGCCAGGATACAAAGCCTATTGATGTAACTAACGTTTTGCATTTTCAATCCAGTCCATCTTGGAACAACGCTTCATCTAGCAACTTTATTGTCTATTATGTATATTTGAATCCAGTCACATGATGATTACAATGTAAGTTTGTTGATATCTTCATCACCTTCTAAAATCTTATAGCATTTCTTATGTTTGCAGTTTGAATTATCTAACAGCATTCATGGCATCCACAATTTCAGGTCACGATGAACATATTCCTTGCCTCTGCTTCGCAAACAATCTTACTGCATTACGCGCTGAGGCGGGCGCTCCCAGGCAAGCGCATCCTTGATTCGCCCTCAACATGCCGGTTTTGTGTACTTCTGCATATTCTTGGACCCCACTTTATATATAACATCCCTGCATTATTTGGCGCGCGCGAAAGGAATTGTCATGTCGAAACTCTTATATTCGACGTTTCGGCGGATTCTATCCATAAACACTTAAATTATCCATTGTGCTCTGCGATTGAGTTCCCATTGTCAAATCAGGCCCAAATATGGTGGCTCAATCACCGCCGAGGTCAAAACATCAGAAATGGAAAACAAATTTGAGGCGTCTATTATCCCCCGGTGAGGTCTCTCCGGGTGAGACAAAGGACAAATTCGACAATGCAAGGAACCTCTCGACCCCAGAACAGTTCGGGTTGTTCCTAATCAACCACGAAAATGCGCAAACAGCGGTTGATATCATTGCAGTTCACGGACTTGGAGGTCATTTTCAAAACACATGGACTTGGCTTCCTCCAAAATCCAGTACCTCCAAGCCCTGCAATTGGCTTGAACACCTTTTGCCCTATGAATTCCCCCACGCGAGAATTATGTCCTATGGATACAATTCCGCGGTGGCATGGAGCAAATCAATATGCGTTATAAGCACATTTGCGGAACAGCTTCTCCAATTTGTCAAACGTGAACGATCTTCTGAGCAGCAAAAACATCGGCCTATCATTTTTGTTTGCCACAGCCTTGGTGGTATTGTTGTTAAAAAGGTATTGCATTCCCACTCTGTTCTACCATGCATTTACAGAATAATCGACGTTTCGTGATCTTTCGATCCATGCCTTCAGTCTCTTCTAGCATGTCCACTGACAATTCACAGATGTTGAATCTAGCAAATGAACGACGGAGATTACGACCCTGGGATGCAGCATTACTCGACAGTCTCAGGGGTATACTCTTCCTAGGTACACCACACAGAGGCTCCATTGTAGCAGATTTGGGATCAATCGGCGCAGACCTACTGAGGGCTGCATCTCTAGGCAGAAACACAAACGCTGAGCTCCTCAAACAGTTGAAGCAAGGTACCAGGGTTCTTCAAGAGATATCGAGCTCTTTTACTTGGGTCGCGATAAATTTCCCCATTTGGACCTTCGTTGAGAGTGATCGCATGTATGGGCTTAGTGAGCCTGTAAGTCTAAACTTTGCATTTGATATTTGCATTTGATATCCGCGATGGACCATTAACTGACGTATGCAGATTGTCACCGAAGATTCAGCAAGACTTCTTATCCCAAATGAGCATTTCTGTCGTCTCGATGGGAATCACAGAAATATATGCAAGTTTGATGGCAGGAATGAGAATTATAAAAAGGTTGCAAATGCTATTAGACGATCTATTGACGGCTCTGGGAGTACTCGCAAAGGGAAGCCCACCGTCCTCGGATACTAGGAACAGTGATTATTATCTATAACGTTAATATGTTTCAGACATTGTACTTATCTTTGTATATCCCTCCTGGATCTTGCACAATCATGCCGAAGGAATAGACTATCTTAATAGCGATTTTGCTCGGGTTTTTAGAACGTTATGAAGTCTCCCACTGGGAATCTTGCAGCTCCCTAGTGCACCATCTACCCAGTCAGTCTGGATCTGGTTCCGCTACGCACTTCCGTCATGCACTTCAAACGACAGTGTCCAGTGCTTCTCGAGGAATATCTCAGCTATTAATTAAGCTTGAAACTTATGTCAATGTCAGGAGTGGAAGTTATGGTACTGCACTTCACGCTGCAAATATGCCGATGCTGTTGGATACAGGTGCAGACCCTAATCTCGACATAGAATAACCCAGCATATCGCATATTATCAGACCGTTCTAGCGATATAGAATCAGAACTTGCGTTCAAGTTCCACTGGTTCAACTCATCATCGTATCTGAAAACATGCCCTCGATCATGTTTAGTGCTCATTTTATTGTACAAGCTCTATTGTACCATGCTATGGGTAATTTTGCGATGGGTAATGGAAGTTTCGCAATTCTCACTTAGGCCCCAATAGACCGGTATATCCTCGGAAATGACGAGATAATTTGATTGAATACTCTCCTAGACAAGCCACAAATCGCTCGAGATGCCTAGTACCGAATGTAAACTGCAGATAGCTCATTAAGTATTATTTCACTTCTTAATTAGCACCCTTGCAGATTTCAGCAATCAATAAAAATACCATATGCTGCGAGACACTCATAGAGCAGAGCCATAAGCAACCGCATGAAGCGGCGACATCCCCAAACAGATCCCGACCACGAACTAAATACGACTAAATAACGGTACATACCTGTGAAGGAACTAGCTACTTCGTCATTATCCCTCACACGTGTTTCTCACTATTGTACTACATAGATAAAACACTATCCCTGCTGGGAAGATGGAAGTATTTAAGGAAAGCAGAAAGCCAGACAGAGAGTCTAGCTTGATATATGTATACACAAGGGAAGAAGGCTCATAACGATGTTGGGGAATACAAGCAAGACAAAAAGTAAAAAGGGTCGTTACGCTGCAAAGGGTGGCTCGCTATGCGAAGACTTCACAAAGTGTAGGGTGTATGTAAGTGATAGACACGGTGCAAGAATCATCCGCATATCCGCTTGTTCGTCCATCTATCCACTGACCCAGGCAGTAACGCGCGACGCTCCGAAGCGACCCATGTATTGCAGGCCGGTGCTTCCCATGGGGAAATAGCTGACGAGGTACCAGACCAGGGAGGCGAGTTGGAATATGGAGGAGATGAGGGTGAGCAAGAGGTTTTGGAGCTAGAGAGGAGTCAGTGGATGGTTCTTTGTAGCGACAGATCGTGCTCTTTCTGATGTTGCGGTTGAGGTAGTGAAAAAGTGTAGCTAGGATATGCGCGAGCATAAGTGCACAGAAGCAAGAGCATATGCCAGGGACGGTGAGACAGAAAGATCTCGACGGTTCTGGACTTTGGACGCTGTCGCACCGGGGTGTGTCGGACAAGGTGAACCAAATGGATTTTCATACAAGACCCGCGCGGTGTGAGACGTGGTACAAGAGTCGAGAAGCCGACGGGATAGGGGGTGGGAGGAGCTAGATTCGGATCTGGCCAGCTGGGGCATGACAGACGGTAGGTACTCAGGTTGCACTGCGCGATGGAGAGCAAGGCTGCAAGATTCCCCTTTTCCCAGCGGTGCAGTGCGGCCATACCTGATACTTGGGTAAAGGGATGTGCAACAAACAGGAAAATGCGAAGATGATCTCGAAAGGGAGAGATCGACAAGGGCCGAAGATAGAGAAAGACCGAAATGGGAAAGAGATGTAAAGCCACAGGATAGAATAGGAATCATTGATTTACTTACCCCTATAGCAAAGTACAGAGTCAGCGCGATAGATCCGAAATAAGCCGCTGTGAATGGAAGCCGGGGTCCCGAGACCAGATGTTTAGCGTACGACCAGGGTCCCATGAGGACCGCCCATGATAGCAAAAACAGGACTGAGCCGACAGACCATCTAAAGAAAGGACCTGTTAGCAAGAAGTATCCAAGACAAAACAGAGTGCAGCTCTTGGCATGAGGCGCAGATATAGGCTTGGATCAGGACGAATCACATCGCCAGACGAGGGACGTATGCGCACATGGCCCTAACCACAAAAGACTTATGACCTGGGTGGCCGCAGCTCGGGATTTGAGTGGTGGTCCAAGAGCATGAGAGAGCTGAAAAAAAAAGAGAGAAGATAGGGTGGGAAGGGCATAGCTAGAGGGGTAGTCCATGGTAGTGCAGACCATATAATAATGGAGACTTACAAAATGGCAAATTTGCGGGGCTTGAGTGTCAAGACAGGGAACAAGAAGAAGCAGATCATGAAACAGACTGCAGCACCCAGATTACATGCACCAAAAATGAGCATACGGTCCCACCGACTCACTATACGCAGTCAGTCTTAGTGCATTTCGCCTTCCTCTCCTGTCGGATCACAACCAGTTAAACAAGCATGGTGGAAATGAATCCTGCCGGCGCAGGAACTGCAATCTCATCACCTGGGCTCATATAACGGTGTACGGGACGATCGGAGGATCAGAGGGTCACAAGCCAAGAGTAGAACTTACAAGCAAAGAAGCCCTCTTCTTCTTCCCGACGATTGGCTGCGGGTAAAGGAGCCCCGGGGCCGTCATTGTGAGTGGGCAGTTGCACGTAACCCCCCTCCCCGAATGGGTTCAAGGACTGTAGGCGCGAGAAAAATGGGGTGGAGGATGATGCGCCAGTGCGGACCGGCAGGTCCGGATCTCTGCGCGACCACCCTAGTGAGTTGACGGAGTCTCGAAAGGAGTTGTTTGCCATGATTGATAATCGATCAATAGTATCCCAATTGAAAGGAGCAGCGGAGGGGGCGTGCACGGCTGCTTCTGCAGAGGAGGCCCGAGGTCCAGGAATTCAAGACCGAGAAAACGTCTGCAGGGACTATGCGAGATGGAGTGCAGATGATCTGCGGCGGATGATGCCTGATCGTCGAGGATTGGCTGGGGGCGGAGAACAG